AGTACTAATAGCTGCCGGTATAGCTGCAACTATAGCTACGCTATAGAAGTTAGTAAGTGTTTAGATAGGTTAGAACTTATTATAGGAAAAGGAGTTCTAATAATACTTATATAACCGGAGTATCCTCTATCTCTATATCCTTATCCCTATCCCTATCCTCCTTACTACTTAGACTAAAGCTACTACTTTAAGTATTAATAATATACTCGCTTAAATGATACTTACTAAAGTGTCAGAGGGTATATAGGTAAACTTACTTATCCTAACTACTACTACTACTACTAAAGTTATTATTATCTTCCTCCTTAGCCGGAGCTAGGGTAGGAGCCGGAGCAGGAGTAGGAGTAGGAGCTGGAGCTGGAGCTGGAGCTAGAGCTAGGGCAGGGGCGGGGGCGGGGGCAGTAGTAGGAGCTAGAGTAGGAGCAGGAGTAGGAGCGGGGGTAGTAGCGGCGGGGGCAGGAGCTGGAGCTGGGGCGGGGGTAGTAGCGGGGGCACCACTATATTATATAAGTAATAGACTTTAAGTATAAGAGAGCTCTTTAACTTACAAAAAACCACTAAGTCTAGTAGTCCCTCTAGGGAGGGGGCAGGTGAGGCGCAGAATAGTCTTTTCTGAGACCGGGAAATTAACTTAGTACGAAAGCACCTAGGCTTGGGAAGGTATTATTACTGTTATTGTTATTGTTATTACTACTGTTATTACTATTGCTGTTACTAGTGCTAGTGCTAGTGCTAGTGCTGTGATGTGATATAATATGATTTGATATAGGATTTAACTTAGAGAAAAAAAGAAAGAAGAGAAAGGAGAAGGGAATAAAGATATACTTACTCTAACTAACTCTAACTTACTCGAGCTGCCTTAGATAGAGATTATTTACTATTATAGACAAGTATCGTATTATTTGCTACTAGTACACTATAATAGCAGTAAGAGACTGCTAGCTATCTGCAGCTAGAATCTCTAAGCGAGTGTTATTAATTAGCTTATTTACTTTAATTTACTTTAATTTACCTACCTAGTTACTACTAAACTTGATTTTAAATACTAGAATATTATAACTAGCTATATAAGTAAGAATCATATTATTTATTATAAGGGAGTATTATAAATAGAGCGAGGTTTTAATCAAGGGTCGATTAAGCTATATGAAACGAAGCTATTTAGTTAGCTTATTTACTTTAACTTACTTAAGGATGCCCTATATTCCATGTCTTATTACTTTATTAGTATTAGAGTTATAGGCTAGGCGCGGCTACTATACGATCTGATTAGCTCACTTACTTCTATTTGCTTTAACTAGCTGATATCTGATACTTCGAACCTCTAGAATTAAGCACTTACCACTAGATATACCATAACAAATATATTATTCTATCCTAGGTACTTTATTGTTTATAGTTAAATAATACGCGAGTGATTTATTATTAGTAATATCCTCCTGATCGCTAGTATTAAATTCTCCACTTAAATCGGTACCTGTTACCCCCTCGCGAGCAGTGCTATTGAGGTATATTACTACTTTATTCTGCACTTAAGAAGTATAAACGCGATTAAAATACTCGACTTAGTCAACTAATAGACCTGTGCTAACTATACGGATATCCTTTAACTTAAATAAGCTATTTAGTAAGGTCCCTACTCTTGGTTAAGAGAGACTATCTATTATAAGTCTTATTACTTTATTAAAAATATTATTAGAAGTATTAGTAGATATATGATCCCCTAGTATGTTCTCTCTAAATTAACGCTCTAATATTACTCGTATATAATAAATAGTAGTATTAGTAGTATAAACACAATTGAAAGTAATATCAGTATTATAAGTAGAATTCCAGTAATACTTTATCTTAATCTTAATTGCTCTATTTAGATACTCGAGGCAGAAGTCAGTAGGCTTAAAGCTAGTTCTACGGCCTTCTTAATTAACTAGGCCAGATATAAGTATAGCACGCTAAAGCTCCGGTATATAAATACTATCTTTAAGTAGCTATCAGTAGTGGAATATCTCGTATATGTAGTTAGTTTAATAGGTACTAAGAAAATTAATAATCAAAGGGTCTATATAATAACGAAGTATACTAATATCGCTATACTTAACTCCTTACTTAACTATAAGGAATAGTTTAATTTCCTGAAGGTATCGATATATAGTTATAAACCCCGGGTCTCCGTGCTTAGTACTATTAGGCTGTTTACTATTTTATACTAATCTAGTGAAAGCCTAGAGCTGAATAAACTTGATATACGCTAGAAATATATTAAGCGTAAGGCTAGAAAGGATATTATTGTAAGCTTCGCGATAGCTGAAGTCGGTCTTAGTGTATTTACTATAATAATCTTTTAATAATAATATATAAAGAATAGCTAGTACACGAGCTTTGAAGCTATAGGGGAGAAGTGTGTCTAGAACGTAGTGCTTCGGACTATCCCTAGCTATTATAGTATAGCCCTAAGATATTATATCTCCGAGAATAGTATACTCCCCTCTACTAGTTCTAGGCGCTGTTATCTAGTATATACGTATTAATAATAACCTAAGGTTGTATTAGATATGGAACTATGCACTAATACCGAGATACTAATTATAGTGATTATATATCTTCTCTGTGTACTGTTATTCATCCTTGACCGAGCGAATATAATATATAGTAAGCTAATCTCTATAGAGTAGCTATAGCTGAGACTTAAAATCCTTATCTGGATCTAAGTATAACTATCGCTAGAAGATATTATTATAGACTCCTATAGTACTAGTAAGAGTTCCCTTATTTTCGAATATAGCTTTAAACTAGTAGTATTCTGTCCTACGGACTGGAAGGAGATCGAGCTCTAGTATAGAAGGAAATAAGCTCGTCTTATCTTGGAATATTATTCGTACTATAGTAGGATAGAGATCTTAGATAGTATCTACGATTAAGAACCGAGTAATACGCTCCTTAATAGACTGTGATAGAGATTAATAATATATCAAGTTAGGCGGTAAAGGTAGGACTATATTAAGGGGCAAAGGATAATTAAGACTACTAATCCTAGGGGAAAATACGATATCTTTCTAAGCGAGAGGAACTGTGGGGTTATGTATTAATTGTGTTAAACCTATAATTAGTATCTCTGGGCAAATAATAATTGTAGCTATAATTATAGTCTCTTAAGTCTTAATATAACTAAGGACCTTATCCCGCTTATTATCTTAAAAGTTAATATTATTATAGATAATAATACTTTAGGAGTTACGACTAAGCAGAGGGAGATAAGTCTATAGTATATATTAATCTTATAGTCTAGGTAGAGAGAATTAATAAATAAAAAGCAAGTTGAAGTAAATAGAAGTAAGTGAGCTAGTAAGAAGGTAAGATATAATAGCTAATCGATTAGCTAAATAGTAGAGGTATATCTGTACCTTTACTTAAGAAGTAGATTAAAGTAAATAAGCTAATAGAAGGATAAGATATAGTAGGAACCGAGAACTAGGTAACTAAGAATAAGGATAGCGAGCTTACACCCTTACTTAAAAAGTAAATTAAAGTAAGTAAGCTAATAAGAGGATAGGATATAGTAGGACGCGAGAACTGGATAACTAAGAATAAAGAGCGTGGTAAGCTCGCACTATCGCCTAGAAAGTAAATTGAAGTAAATAAGCTAATAGTAGATAGGTGCTTATAATTATAAGAGAATATAAAAGTTAAGAGAGTTTGATTATATACTTTAGTAAGGGCCGCGAGTTCTTTTATTATAATATTTCTAGTCTAGTACGAATAATATATACCTAGACCTAATAAGACCTCGACTACTCGACGTTTTATACTAGATCTAAGAAGGTATAAGTCTAAGTAGGACTATATATAGTTGGACTACTTCTTAGACTATGTAAAGGAGAGTATACTAGTTATTATAATAGTAGTGCCTTAAAAAGACCTTAATAAAGCGGTTCGGCCTTAATTATACGCGTTCCACGAAGCACGCTTATTTTGAAGTAACGACTAAAGTAAGGCAGATCAGATAGGCGCTACTTCGTTTATACTTAAGAAACCCTGCTCTATATCTATCCTTTCGTCTGTCCCTTAGATATTAAAAGGCCTAAAGTACTAAGTCTAATATAAGGCCTTAAATTCCGAGCGTAATAAATTAAGAGGAATAGAACTAAACGCTAGCTTAATATTATCTAAGGCATATTAAAGTATCTTCTGACGCTACTTAGCTATACGGATATATCGTAAGTGTATCTTATAAGTATAATCGTCTTCTATAATAAAAGCGGTAAGGAACTTCCTAAGAGACTATTTGTAGTGCCTGAGAACCTTAAAAACCTACTCTACTACGGATTCTTTTAAGAGCCTTGTCCTGCCTAGAGCTCACTAATATTATGTATTCTCTAATCCTCCTCGTATAGTATTAGTAGAATCAGAGTCACTATCAGAGTCTCCCTAAGAGTTGCTATCAGATTCGCTACTAGAACCTCTATCGGAGCTATTAGTAGAGTCTCTACTGGAGCTGTTATTAGAATCGTAGTAGAATAGGCGGGGTAGGGTCGATAGTAGGAAAGAAAGCTCGCTGGAGATATTAAATAGACTTAATAGAAGGTTCGAAAGCTCACTAGAGATATAAGGTAGAGGAATCGATAGAAGGTTCGAAAGCTCGCTGGAGATATTAAATAGACTCGATAGGAGGTTCGAAAGCTCATTAGAGATATAAGGCCTTATAAGTAGCGGTTATCCTTCACGTAATAGGGGTAAAGATAGTAGTGAGGAGGGGCTGCTTATACCGGAAGCGCTATAAGCGGGTATCGTGTTTAAGTCGGAATATTACGCGATTTAGGCTAAATACAATAAATAAAGCCTAGCATAATCGATAGAGGTTAAAAAGAGCTTTTAAATGTACTTTTAATAATTACAATCAGTTGTAGTTAAGAGGTAGAAGTACTGTGTTATAGTAGGTAGTTCGATATTAGCTGTTCCTTACTAAAAGTATAGCGTAAACTACTAAAATACTACTATTTTCCCTTAGACCCTCTGGTGGGAATTCGTAGGCTCGCCCTATCCTTAGTATCTGATTAGCCTATTTACTTTAATTTACTCTAATTTACACTAACTTGCTTACTGAGACGCTAAAGGCTGGATATGTAGGGCGTGGCACGAATTACTACTAAAGGAGGGTCTGATTTATGAGATAAGTAGACGAGAGGCTGCAGGTAAGATATTGCCGTTTTAGTTGTAGGAGGAATCGTAAGTAGGCCTATATATACAATGATACCGCTTAATGATAGCGAACATTGCATGTTCTTCGGACGAGAAAGACGAAATTGTACAAGGTCGATTGAAAATGAGAGCTACTTGCAAAACTAGGTATCGCTCAAGTCTGAAGTGGACAAGCAGGCTATATTGCTGTTGATACATCACCTTCCACGTTGCCTGAAGGATAAAAAAATACTGGCTGGACTTGCTTGAGACTGTGAAAATAGAGGATGCCAAGCTTACCTGGACACAGCATAATCCTTCTCTGACATGAAGTACTTGCTTCTAGTTGAAGGAGAAGTTATCACTACTTACAGTCATGGGGATGTATTTTCATATCCCTTCTCGAAAGCTTTTAGGATCGGAGGATTCTGCCGAACTCAAACGCTCGAATGGCATCGCTTAATTCATGGTATCGGTGCATCTGCTTTAGGCAGCGCAATGCTCTTGAAATGTCCCCCTTCCATCCGCAGATACAGAGCCTCCCCCAGGCATTATGTCAATCTCATCTTCAATTGCCCCCAGTGGTAAATTTTGGCCCATATGTCTATAGAAAGCAACGCAACGCCCGCCCCACTTTTTGTGATGCAAAATACATTCATGAAATAATCATTGCCCTGTTAAATTTGAAGATTGGTACCAGCACGGCTAGACTTGATAACTGTCTTGACGATATGCTCGGTCTTATCCCAATCATCCTGATCCAGTCGAATAAGGTCGATATTATAATGCTGGGCGATCTCGGAGAGTGCATTGAAACTCTTTCTGTCGAAGACGAAGGATATACTGACGCCCACACGTCCAAATCGTCCTGTTCGACCGATACGGTGGAGGTAGGTTTCTGGATCTGGAGAGTCGTCCATGCGGCCCTTCATGGGTATATCATAGTTGATAACCATGGAGACGGATGATACGTCAATACCTCGAGCGAGAACGTTTGTGGTGATAAGAACCTTCGCCTGACCAGAGCGGAATTGCTGTAAGATATTGTCACGGTCGTTTCCGTCGAAGGCACCATGGATAGCAACAACTTTGTGTCCATCGGCAGTCAGGCGTTCGGCAATTCTGCTCGCGGTTTCTCGTTTCTACAAGAGTAAGTAAGGCATCGCGAAGTTGGAAAAGACTTCTTACCTTGACGAAAATAATAGAGGATCCGATGGTCATCAGACCATATAATTGGGCGAGGATATCGTACTTTCCTTCATCTGACGGGCAGTCCATGTACATTTGTTTGATACCTCCAACTGTGAGCTCATCACGCTTCAACTTGATTTCGGCGGCACCGGGACTGAATTGCTGTGCATAGGTCATGACCTCGTCTGGGAAGGTGGCAGAGAAGAGGAGGATTTGGTCGATCTTAGGAATCATGCTAGTAGAGGGTTAGAAAAATACAAATCAGTATGCATCAAACTTACGATTTGACACGCAGGCACTGATCACCAAGACCTTGTTGATCCAGCATATTATCGGCCTCATCCAAGCAAAGAACCTTCATATTCGAAACGTCCAGTTGTCTTCGCTTGATCAGATCCATAGCAGTTCCTGGAGTTCCAACCACGACCATCGACTGAACCTTAGTATTTCGCTCCATGGCTCCAGGAACAGCGGCCTGGACTGTAAGACCTTCCACAAACTGACCAATGGTCTTGACAACTCCTTCGATTTGACGCGCAAGCTCACGACTCGGAGCAAGGCAAAGAGCTTGTGGTTGGCTTGGTCGGGTGTAGTCCAGGCGGGATAGAATTGTTATGACAAAAGCGGCAGTCTTGCCGGTTCCAGATTGTGATTGGGCGATCATGTTTTGGGGAGGGTTCATGAGTAGGATAGGGAGCGCCTTTTCCTGGATCTTTGAGGGCTTTCTGAAGTTCATGCCATACATGCCCTTCAAAACTTCTTGGGAGCTGTTTAAGATTAGCTTGACGTCGTAAGTGCTTAATCATGTGAACTTACATTCCCAGCTCCTCAAATGTTTTGATGGAGAACAGGGGACTGTTGACATCGCCCTGAAGGTCGCTCAGCTTCACCTCGACCTCGTACTGGGCATCGTGAAGACCAGATCCACCAAGAGGTTCGACGGTACCATCACCTTGCGCATCACCGAGAGATGATTCTGACTTCTTTTGCTCAACTACTGGCGATGCGACCTCGTCGGCCCAAGAACTCGTGCCTGGAGTGAAGGAAGAGGAGCCACCATCGAGAGGTTTAGTGCCAATGCGATCCGCGAGGGAAGCAGCTGGCTTGGGTGTCTCGGCCATTATGAATGTTTGTTTGTAGTTTGGGGGCACGGAGGAAGGGAAATTCGAGGGTTGGAGTATTCCAAGTCTGTGTCTGTGGTATACTGCGACCGTTTGCAGGAGTATTTGTATGCAGGCAGCTGTGGTGAAAGACAGGCAGGCACGGGAGGTGTATTCACAACCAGTGTGTTGCAGGAGCTTCGTAGATCGGTAGAATAGTGAAGCTGAAGAAATCGCGGTGAAGTGATGCTGCGGCTGTAGGAGAATGGGCGCAATACAGTAGTGGTGGGGTGAGATGGTGAAGTTGAAATTGAAGCTCGGCCGAGCTCCAGAATTTGGGACAAATGGCGGGGTGAATTATTTTAGGCTTAGCTTATGTTTGAGCCTCAGGCTGCAAAGATTCCGGGATCAGGCCAGTGATTTCTCGGACAAGTCGGCTGTGGATCCGTTCTCTTGGGATCTTGGGCTCGCGCATCCCAATTCAGGCTTCATGCGGGAGTCTGAGTAGTGGGGTGCTGCGCCATCAACAAACGAGCAGCCAGACAACGCTCGACTCGCCCTCGTCCTCTGTCTCTGGTTTTCTCTACATTATGCGACTTCATTGTCTTGCATATATTCCATGATTCTATCTCTTTTGTGTCTTCGCTTCGGTGGTAATCATGGCAGATGTTGACATTTCTCCCAACTTTGGGCAGGAATTAAAAGTACGCGGCTTCCAAGACCTACTTGCGATGATCTGGCAGGACTGACAAAAGCCTCATTTTAGGATGCCTTCAAACCCGTGAATGCCTGGGTCGCTGGCGGAATAACATGGCTCGACGAGATCCAACAGTTTTACCGGGAGAGAAGTGCGATTGAGAAGGAGTACAGCGCCAAACTCAACGGATTAGCAAAGAAGTACTATGAAAAGAAGTCCAAGAAGTCGAGTAGTCTTAGTGTTGGAGATACACCTGCTATGACCCCGGGATCACTGGAAAGGTACCCGCAATACTGAATCCTGCGAGTGACAATTGCTTACTTGGCCTCCTTTCAGCGCATCCCTCACGACTTGGACAACACAACTCACAACAGTCGAATCTCGAGCTGCTGAGCACGACCGGTTCGGAAACGAGCTGATAACGAATCTTGCAGACCCACTGAGAGTACTGGGAACTCGCTATGAAGAGCTACGGAAGCGTCATTCCGAGTATGCGGATAAATTGGAGAAAGAGAGAGACTCAACGTACGGAGACTTGAGGAAGATGAAGGGCAAATACGATGCAGCATGTCAAGAAGTCGAAAATAAGAGGAAGAAGTCCGAGTCGGCCTTCGACTACTCGAAAACAAAAGCCCAAAATGCGTACCAGCAACAAATTCTTGACATGCACAATGTCAAGAACAGTTACTTGATCGCAATCAATGTCACGAATAAGCAGAAAGAAAAGTACTATCACGAATATGTACCGGATCTCTTGGACAGCATGCAGGACCTCTCAGAGTCCAGGACAACAAAGCTAAACGGAATTTGGGCTCTTGCTGCCCAACTTGAGCACGGAATGTTGAAACGTAGCACTGATTTTGTTACCCATCTCTCGCAGGAGATTCCACGTAATCAGCCTCCATTAGATTCAATGATGTTCGCCAGACATAATGCTGGACCATGGCAAGATCCTCCAGACAAAGTCTTCGAGCCTAGTCCAGTTTGGCACGACGATGATGCAATGGTAGTAGATGATACAGCAAAAGTATTCCTTCGAAACGTGTTAGGAAAGTCCAAATCTCAGTTGGGTGATCTCAGAAGAGAGGTCGACAAAAAGCGCCGAGAAGTTGAAGGGGTGAGGAAAGTAAAACAAGCAATCAGAGAGGGTAAAGACAAGAGAGACGAGGTGGAAATAGTGAGAGCACTATTTGCCATGCAGGAGGATCTCCATCAAGTTGACCATAAGAGACTTACTGCGGAAGTCGAAACAGTCACCATCACGCTCGCCGTTGGAGACGTTACCGTTGGAGCGAAAAGCCACAACTTCAAATCCCAGACATTCAAGATACCCACGAATTGCGATCTTTGCGGTGAGCGTATTTGGGGGTTGTCAGCAAAAGGTTTCGACTGCAGAGACTGTGGGTACACATGTCACAGCAAGTGTGAAATGAAAGTTCCGGCAGAATGTCCTGGGGAGCAAACAAAAGATGAGAGGAAAAAGCTGAAGTCGGAAAGACAAGAGCAAGCCAACTCGCTCAAGAGTCCAACAGGAGCCTCAAAGGATGGCGTTTCAGAATTACCAACAATGAGCCGTTCCAATACCATGAACTCGTTGAGTTCCGGGTATGCTGCCAGTGCCAACCGGTCAGTATCTGGAAGTGGTCCAAGATCTCCAGCAGAGGAAGCACCGCCTGATAGGCCTCATAGCTTGAGTGTTAGTGGGCCAACTACCGTTAGGAAGAATAGAGTCGTGGCACCTCCTCCAGCTGCCTACATCAGCGAATTGCCTGGAAGTGCACCGCCGACTAATGGTTCAGGGGCCACATCTTCCAATGAGCAGAGAGGCAAAATGTTGTACGGCTACGATGCAAACGGTGATGGAGAAGTTACAGTGTCTGAAGGAAAAGAGGTAACAATATTGGAACCTGACGGTAAACTTTATCCCTCCAATCCTTGATCATCACTAACAAACTCAGATGGTGGCTGGATCAAAGTCAAAGCCGGCTACAAAGAAGGGCTTGTCCCAACCGCTTATGTTGAAGTTCTGGCACCAACACCACGACCCTCATCCATCTACTCCAACTCCGGCTCCTCCGTATCAGGCAGCGTAACCAAAAAGCAAGGGCCAGCCGTAGCGCCCAAGCGTGGAGCAAAGAAGCTCAAATACGTGGAGGCGCTCTATGAGTACACGGCTGGAAGTGATGCTGAGCATAGCATGACTGAAGGCGAGAAGTTCGTGCTTATCAAAGAAGACCCTGGTGATGGCTGGGCGGAGGTTGAGAAGGGTGGAGTGGTGAAAAGCGTTCCCGCGAATTATGTTCAGGCTGTATAGGGGCAGGGTTCGGTTTAGTCAAGAGACGATTCTGCTTTTGAAGTAGGGAAGATGACTTGGAGCATATTGCATTGCAGGCATAGGCGTCCATGGTTCGGGTGCGCTGGATGCATTTGATGAACTTCAAAATGCTTTGGTAAAGATCATTGCAGCAGGTACAGAGCCGGTGAGTCTTGGTAGCACGGGTTGTCAGAGTAGCTGACTGCTTCAAAGGGTGAAAGAATAAAACGCGATGTCCAGGCCCTAGCGTATATACATTTTTCAATGTTGGCTGAGTTAAGTCAACAAGGTCATATACTTTCAAGAGAACCAACAATGGCCCATCTCTCGGTTTCCTGAGGATATTTCATTCCAGCAGTATAGCCACAAGCACCTCGACTCTTGAGCGATCATATGGCTGCAAACTTTCACGACGAGGCTCCGTCGTTCAGGATATTTCAGCGGCTGAACCTGGAATCCTACCCACATCGAGATGGCAGGGTTGGAGGCTCGACTCGCCACTTCTCGTGTACAGTATTTTGAAACAACAACAGCAAAGATCCCTCGAGCTTCGAAACAATTGACAACACATAACCTGAGCTTCGCTTGTTTATGCTTCTATCTCCTCGTTCAGATGACGATGATCGAATCTGCCTGGTCATAGAACGATCGGGTTTGTATTCCAATTTCATCCCACCTTCAAACGTAGCTCAGCCTTGCGACATGGGCGTTGGTTCTGGTATCACCATGACATCAATATGTGGCATGCAGAATGCACTTTCTCATTCTGGTCCTCGCTGCTGATGATGCAGCGATTACTTTCCTGCGAGGCTCAGGCCACGGAGGCAGGTGCCAAGCAAGCTGTTCTGGTTATCTAATCTATTATACTCGTACTGGCACAAAATTGTGGCTGGTGACATCCTATTATGTTTTCTCCTCGACGTTTTTATTTCCGCTAAAGTGCAGAAAGTCCATTACCATTACCATGTCACCATCCCAGCTTTCCTTTGCATGTTGACTAAAGAAGGCGTTTTCATGGCGTTCAATTATTCTCCAGCTCCTGTCGGTGATCCGAATTGGAAGCTGCATGGATGGTTATTGAGGCGGGGAACCCGAACCGTCCAGCCTTGCTCCGTTCTCCCTTTTATTTTCCTCCAACTCTCCCAAATCTTTTTATTTTAGCCCTAATGCTCGATGCTGTTCTCGGCGGGAACTGGCAGAGTACCTTCATGGCATTCTTTGGTCCGAAGGTTCGTCGAATCACTGCTTTCATCGGCAGGACGCAGCAGAGAATCCCCCCTGAGTGCACAACCTGTCACCGAGCTGCAGGCCGTGAGCTGGAGCCATGAAGTGCATTTGGCCCCCAAGAACTGCAACACGGGCACACCACACAGATTGATTCGCCAATCGAGCCTGTTACATGCTTCACAGTTTGTACGACAGCGGAAAATTCTTGGTAATTGGTGGATAGGCACAGCATTCTATTCGTCAATGGCGACATATCTCGGGCGGGACACCTGCTTGGGTGTGCCCATTCAGTAAAATGAGCCGCACTTCCCTCGAATTTGGTATTGGTAAGCAGCCTTTTGGGACAGACCGAAGAGAGCTACTCGATGCGGCTGAAGGACTAAATGCCCATAAATGAGCACTCCTCGAAGTTGCTGGAATAGTAAAGTGCTCTTTGATCACCACAGCGCAAAGCATGGCGTCCGAAACCCCACAGATCCACGTTGTTCCCGCGGTTACGGAAGACTACGATGGGGAAGATTTCGAGGCTGATGAGATCCCCGAACAGCTACAGGACGAATGTCTGATCAATTACTTTCGGTGTCGATACAAGGAGCGACCAGCATTGGAGACGCAATATGAAGAAAATTCACAGAAAAGAATCAGACGCGAGATTGATAGGATCGATAAGCTCAGGGAAGGCTTTGATGACACGGAGCGAAATAAGCCAGAGGTTGAGTTGTTCTTATATCGCCAAACGATGGTACCATTCTCTGGGTCAATCGATGTCTCGATGATAGAGCTGATCTTCGATAGTGGAGAAAGCATGCTATTGCCAAATGCGACGAGAATCTCAAAAATGTCGAAACCAGAGTGGTAAAGTGGATATACTTGAACAGGTTCGAAACGAAAGCTGCCAGCGATCGACGGATCGAACTAGAGAAGAAAATCCTCAGGAAGGTTTCAACCTGGCATGATCCAGTCGAGCCGCCTTTACCCAAAATCCTACTGGACGCGAAAAAAGCGGAAGAGGATGCAGCATCACATACCAAAGATCCGCTGGCACATCTCATCGAGAAGGTATCTAATAAGCTCAGATCGAAAAAGGAGGAAGCAAAACTACCTCCCTCGCCACATCGCGAGGCCACTGATACACGCGAATTCAAGCTTCCCGCTGATGACTACGGGATCAGTGTTCATGAAATCATATTACAACGATCTGATAAATCTTGCCCGTCATCATACATGGACTACAAGTCAAACAGACATTCACTTTCTAAGATCCTTTTGGCGAATGATCAGAATCCCTTAAATGAGCCGTGCAAACCGAATACAATCCGATATTTCCATTTTCCTGCCAATAATATGCATTGGATCGAGGTATGTCATCATGAATATCCTGATATCTTGGTCATCTTGCTGATTCCTCAATAGGAAGCCATTGCCAGGTATCATGGCGAGGAGACTCCGGGAGAATTCAACTATCGGAAGCACGACAAGTATTGTGAGAAATCGTCCAATTTTCTTTGTCGCCAGTTTTGGACTTCTTTGCAGCATGGTGGGATATACGTAAGACTACCCTCCTTTCTCAAGAGCAGTCTGTTCAGTCTGGCTGTTACATGGAGTAATTATTATAGAGGTGGATTCATCCACGAAAAATCTGGCTTAGTGCTTCGTAGACGCACTTATTATGCTATGGTGGCTGATCATGATCAGGATCCTATCCACGCACGACATATGAGGTCTCACTGTTCTCTGATTACTCCTGGTACGTTTTCAAGGAAATTCGATGGATTGTTCTGATACCAAAACAGATACGGCTCGCGGTTCCGACCCTATTACAGGAAGCAAGAACTTTGTCGTTTTCGTACGTCCTCCGGATACGCCCAGTAGCAAATACCAGAAGCTAAGAGATAACAGATGCCTTATTTACACTGGGAAACACATCGAAGACGAAAGAAAATGACGCAAATCATGAAAGAGATAACAGAAGAATATCATCGTGACCGACCACATGTTACCGAGACTCTACGAGAAGAAATGGGAAAGACTGCTGAGGAACTGTATCTCAGACACGCTCGACAGCTGACTGATTTTCTCGCGATGGAAGAAGCAGCGAAGAAGAAGAAAGAGAAGAAGAAAGCGAAGCCAGTGAAACGAGGGGAAAAGAAGAAGAAACGAGGGGCACTTGGAGAATATTTGTTACAGATCGCGAGAATCTACGATGCGCTTGATATTGAATCTGACGTCAGGATTCTGCGAGATCATTTGCACAAAGACCCACCATTGCATGCAAGACGAACGCTCGACCAGTCATACTATTGGAAGCTTCAGAACACAGATGGCAGGGATGAGGACCAGGTCGTATATCGTGAAACTAAGCGAGGGAAGAATATTTCAAGAACTTCGAGGGTGATCATGGTCGATCAACTATGGTTATACGTCCTCGATGATAGTAAGTTCAGCATCTATGTTATCGAGTGGAATGCTGACGAATCAGATACCATCATCTCCAGCTTTCCAAGAAGATGGGGACGAAACAAGCCAGATTGGTCTGGTGTGCATAAAGGTATTCGTGCCCGGCTCGATCACCTCCGTGAGGGCGAAATTCGGTCCGTCTACGACATGGCTCTGTTGATCATGAACCAATGCTCAACCGTTTTCTTTGATCGAACCAAGCCTGTCGATGAGCGACCTGAAGTTCTTGACATTTTCTCAAATGCCCTCAGCCATGTTGTAAGCTCTGCTGAGACCCCTCTACCAACGGTGTTGTTAGCTGATTCCACCACATCTAGTCTGGAATGAAATGTATCTCATTCGAGTCTTTCTGGAGACAACTTGACAAGCTTAGCTCAAACGACTACCAAGAAGCGGACCTTGAAGCAACTGCCCGTAGGTACTTGAACATCAACCCAGAAGGTGAGTTGCTTCGCGAAACTCACGACATAATTGAAGAACTGCGAATGATGTCGCATATCTTTACCGAGCAGCTCCACGTCGTTGAGCAGTTTACTAGCCACTTGCAACATTTGAAGGAAAAGGAAGATGAAAAGCAAACGACCGAAATGAAGATGTTGGATGTTATGACTGAGGTACGAAAGCTATTGGAAGAAAGATTCGAGAAGGAAAAGGATCAGGTAGACACCTATTCTTCTCAAACGGTGTCCACTGTCCAAAAGAACCACTCGACTGAGAATGGATCCGCTCGCTACGCTCATCCTGCCACGATACCAGTGATTGACGATACTCCGACTGTGAAAGGGACGAATGTGGGACCAACTGACCTAGCAGTTTTAAAAGCAGGACTGGCAGACCCACTGTCAATACCTTCAGATGGAATACTAGCGGCAGAGAGGGTAGCAGACGCAGGTTGTCAAACAACAATATCTGTTGCCAAGATATCGATCCCGGAAAGTACTATTCAATCTGCTCAAGAGGTCGTTCGGGAGATTTCTGGCCGCAGAGCAGAGCTACACAAACTGGAGCAGAGTACCGTCTATGTCTCTGATCAGGTATTCTTACCCACCATCAATCATGGTTCTAATTATGTTTGTTGCTGATTCAATCGCAGCTGAAAGATCTCCTCGATCTCAAACAGCAACAAGCAAGTATCATCGAGGCCAAATATGCGCTGAAACGTGCAGACGAAAGCGTCTCTCAGGGCAGATCCATCATGCTGTTCACGATTGTCACAATCATCTTCTTGCCGCTGTCTTTCATGAGTTCTGTTTTTGGGATGAATGCAAAAGATTTTTCGGATGCGAAGGGCGACCCGAACATGAGTCTGAAGCATATTTTCAAATTACTTTGTGAGCACATCTTTCCTAACAACACCTTCTATATCACGATTCCATATTTATTTCCGAATCTTGACTCGGCTGATGCTAATATCTGTATTTCCTTTAGTCCCAATATCCGTCGGCGTTATCATCATCTCTCTCGCACTGGCCTTCAGCACGTTCATCCGCAGCCTGTTCTACTTCATCGGCTCTATCATTTGGGCTTTCATCTACGAGTACTCATACGCTCGATACATCTGGCATACCTCTGTCCACATCTTCAACAAACTTACCAAGAGAACGGATAATCCAAAGGATCATAAGAGTGATGGCTTTTATGGCTTGAGGAACGAGGCTGTCAGGTGGATATATGGTCGAAAGGAAAGGTCCAAGTTGAAGAAAGAATGGAACAAAGCGAAGTTGTTGGAGAAGGAAAGACTAGAGAGATTGGCAGACGGCGGTCTTGTGGTAAAAGGAGGATCGAGAGCTGGCTTGAGCACAGGCTTATCGAATGGTGATGCGAGCGCACATGGAGCTGTTGCGACTGGGACGGAGGGGAGGAGGTTATCAACCGCAGGTACTAATAGTTCGAATGGATTACCTCCTGGGAGTGCTGGGGATAGTGTGGATGGGAAGAGACGGAGGTTCGGAGGTACTTTGCTGAGGGGTAGTAGTGGAAATCTTAGCAATAAGAACCCTGTATGAAATTTGATTCTCAACTTACTATCTAGACTTCATTTTAATTCCAAATTTAAGACATATTTCTTCGTTTTTCTTCATTTCATTCTCACAATCCCCAGTTGCAAGTAACACGTCTCAAGGGATGACCTTTCCAGCTCCAACACGGGACGCGCCCCCAGGCACAGGACCGCCATCAACAGATGGTCCCCACCCAGGACTTCCGTAAACAAACAGATACCCCGAGACACCACAAAGTAACAGGAAAATACCCATCACAATAGCAGCCAACACCAACCCCTTCGGCCTCTCCGCTTCCGCACTAGCCCCCTCTCCACCCAGCCTCCTCCCCGGCCCAAATCTCTTCCACGATAAATCTAACCCCCAAGCCGCCTTCCCCGTCGCTCCCGTGACAGCCGTCCCATACGGTCTATTCACTACATCCTGCGTCCCAAACACCTTCATTATCCACCCCGGCGTAGGAAGCATATTCCTCTCTATGCCGGAGCTCGGGTACAAGCCAGTGAGTAGATCGTAGAGGTGTGCGGCGACGAGTCCGGTGCCTTGGATGAGTGCTGCTTGAGGGCCGGCGGTGATTAGTGTTAGCAGGAGGAAGGCGTAAGGGAGGTATTGGCAGGGCATGGTGAGGATGAAAAGGGTTATGGGTTGGTCCCAAGTGTCGCGCACGGAGGTGGTGATGAAGGAGAGGGCGAGGGAGGAGGCGAGGACATGGCCTGAGGTTATGAGGAGGTTGAGGATCTGTGGAGTGTTAGATAGACAGTAACTCAGACGCTTGCTCCAGGGAAGGGCAATGACTAAAAACGTGTATGTTTCACGTGACCATTTCTTCTGTCTGCCCCTTGGAGACGACTTGAAGGCTCCGCATACATGGAGAGGATTTATAGAGCATATGTGTGCAGAGCAAATCAATGGTATTTACTTACCAATATAACGCCGCAGATGAAACACAAATAAGTCACAAAATCCGCCCTTTGCGAAAATCTAGGCGAAGCAATCTCAAGCTTAGCGCCGTACACGTATACTATGTTCGTCAGCTCTGCCGCTTGTCTACTAGGCTGTCATATCCGGTCTTGACTCACGGAAGTATACATCGAAAAGAAGGGAGAGCCTAGGGCCCGTGATGAGAAGCGATGTTACGAGCCGCCAGAGCTCAGGGGGAAACTGGATGAGGGCGGGTAAGGATAGGTGAAAGAGAGTGAAGTCTAGGACGCCAATGTAGAGGAGGAGAGAGAAGATGAAGGATACGGCGGCAAGGGTCCTAGATTGCGTTGTGTTAGGTATGAGATGGGAAGAGCCGTGGCGACTGGGAGAGTGATGAGATACTGTACCTTGATATAGGCGGTGCGTGGAAAAATGCTTCGACGAGCCACATTTTGATGCTAATCGTGAGATTTGTAGTGGGATTAAAACAAGATATCGCGACAACTGCAGAAATGAAGTTGCTGCTGAGATGTCAGCTCTCCAGGAAGGAGGATGTCTAGTGCTGATGAAGAAGGATTCGTTGGTTGTTGATGAAGCTAGGAAACGAGGATCTTAAAGTGGCTTAGTGTGAACAGGGGTTCATTCCTGCTTCAGCTCCTTGACCTCTTTTCCATGTCCCTCTGAAGACATTGCTGCCTCCCAGAAATACATGGAGAATCGAGGTCTACATAAGTATATATGCGCTGTCTGTCTTCACGAGAAGCCGCTGTAATATGGATTTGAAGCAGTCGGATGGTAACGGGGCGGCCGTTAGTCTCAGGCTCTCCAAGAAAAAGTGTAGATATGCATTGCAACACATCCACGACTAGCAATGAGGCAGAATGCTTTTGATGGTCGTAATGTCTTGGCATGATCCAGCTTGACACGATCGGAAATAAGGTCCAACGTACAAGAATTCCCGAGTCGTTGTGGCTCTTTGGAAAACAATCCTGAAGCAAAACGCTAAGCGAGCTTGGCATAAAGAAGTCAATACTCAGTAAGCGACCTGCACGACATACCATTCTCAATGACAAACATCCCTTCGAGTACTAGTTTGTGAGCAGAGGCCCTATGGAACTACCATGATAGAAGATGACGCTAAGTTGTATAGATAGGAGTGACGGCAATGACCTGAGCTCTAACTGGATGGTCTACATTATACGAAGCCATTTGACCAAAGTAGCAGCGAAGAACATTGAATAACGGAAGCCTTTGATAAAGAAAGGACATTTGATGAGCTGGCTGCAATTCCCATTGCTATCAAGAGAATCTGATTTTGTATCACGTGACGTGACGCGCTGTTCAGAGTTTGACGCGTCCGCCCAGAAGATGATCAAAGTTAAATCTATTACACAACAAAGATCCTCCGAAGCTTCACATGGAGTCCTTAGTTGCCCAAACTTCCAGCCGCTACTTCCCAAATCGCAACTATGCCACCTAAGAACGCGTCAGGGACAAAACGAAAGGCCCCACTCGCAGCTGCGGATTCGAACGTTGACCCTCCAGCCAAGAAAGTCGCGAAGGGAAAGAAGGTGGATTTCCCAGCAGCTGCATCAGATTTGGCCCCAGCTACCCAGAAGACGTATAAATACTCTGATTTATCATCCGTACGTTCTTATAGATTGCTTTGAATGCTCCTCTAATATATTGATAGCTCGAGAAAGAGCTGCCGCCAGTTGGCACAGTTTTGTGGTCGAATGGCGACGACGAGGATGAGGTTGACTGTGACAAGGACGAAGATGGTGATGGAGAAGCTTCAGAACGAAGAGATAAGGACACAGACAACGGCAAGAAGAAGAAAAATAGATACGGATAAAGGTAAGGATGGCAAAGAAGAGCAGTCTAGAGTAGTCACGGATAAGGGGTTCCCCATCACCCTTGCTGGTCTGGAAATTTTCAACCACATCATTACAGAGCAGCAGAAGAGGGATCCTGACTACCATGGCATGTACATCTACAACGACTATGCTGGCTATGGCATGACAGAGGTATTGGAGAACGTGGTATGTTTTTGTTTCGCATAAATGAGAAGGCAACGCTTACAATTCACCATTCAGCTCGCAGAATTCAACAAGATTCTCTACAAGAAGGATGTCTCCCCGCTTAAAAAGTGGTCATATATCGAAGGCTTGGGGTTCTGGCTCTTTGTTGGAGATCTTTACTCACTTATGAGTATGTTCTGTTCACCCGATCTGTGTGGAATCGCTCGCTGGAAATCAGCTGACACCATGTAGTGAACGACAACAGCGGAGGCATCAGAGAGATTTTCAACATGTTTGTTCCTCTCATGATCACCGGCCTCAAATTGCTCGCTGAGCATTCCCTTATCGCCCCGGACTCAGCAATTCCCAATGTGAATATCTTCACGTTGATCGTGACCGAATTTCTCAGTAAAGACGCTGGCGATTTCCGAATCAAGAATGTTGAGAAGATCGTCCAGGCTGCTGACGAGGCAGGCATGGTATGGATCTTCCCGAAAGGTATCAAATTTGGAGAGGAGGATGTACAGAAGCTGAGAGAGTCGTGCGAAGCGAGATCAAAGACCCCGGATTGGAAGAGAGAGGTAGGTTACAAGTGAGGGTGGCGAATTTGAAGCTGGACTGACGTAGATGTAGTGGCCAAGCTTCAAGCGTGATCATCCCGGTGGCGCACAGTATGATATCACCAAGATGTCGGAAGTCAAGAAGAGGCAATATAGCTTTGGCGGTGATGATGAATAGTCGGAACCTGGTTGGTGTAACGTTGTTCCCGGGTTTGCTTCCGCTCTGAGGTAGCAGAGGCATGGAATCTCCTTCAGACTTGACGGAAGGTTTCATCGATGTGTAGCGATTGTTTTACATAAACTGTTTTAGGAAATTAACGTAAGGTTGCCACCACATATACCTCGCCGCGCTGTAAAGACAAGGGATCAATCAGATTATCCGAGTACATGTGCAGTGTCACAGGACATTACTACTTTCTGGGGACAAGGACAGGTGTTTGTTTCTCTTATGTGTCTACCATTGGACGTGGAAGCTTGTAAGCAAAAAGTTTGCCTTTGGGTCTTCAGCAAATTTCCGGAGAAGAGATCAAACCACCAACCAGCAAACCACCTCTCCCAAGATGGAATTGAACGAAGTGACTATTTTCAGATTGGTAGTTGCCAATGCTACGCACACATGTTCTGACACTTTTCTTGCTCATATAGTATGCTCGACATTTGAGCCCATCAGAATTCATTTATGCTTCACCAGCCGAATTATGCTGTGATGCTGGCGTAACCTCTTCCTAAAGATTGTTGGATCTTCAAGCTTAGCGATCGGTGGTTCCATTCACGGCGTTTCCCGAGCCTCGTCTCTTCTTGCGTATATTCTACAGGGTAAACAGTAAATGCCGAGGATTTCGGTACTACATGGAAGAGGATCGGCTCGTTGAGCGAAGAATTATGAGCGCAACCTCAGCCGCTTCATGATGACCTTAAGCGACGATCAACAATGCTTTAGTCGTCGCCTGGATCTCGATGGTTGTCAGACCTTCTGCATGGGCGGCGGTCGCATGAACTTGCGCGAAGTCACTGCGGCCTGATGAGCTATTTTCTGGCGGCATGAGGAAGCGATGCGGGAATAAGATACTAGCTGCATTGCGGGGTTGAGCTTGCAGAGCCGAGCCAGGCCGCGGAACAAAGAAGTGATTGAATTTGAGTATCAAACTGCTAATAGTGTATACTATAACCATTTCTAAGGAGACACAAGAAGGAACTCTCAGTGACGCACCCGAGGGGAGGGGAGAGAAGCTCGGCTAATTTGTGCCAAGCTGGAAGTAAACAAACCTGCTAGTTCGGGATGCATGTTACCACAATCACCCGTCCTTTGCTTCGGATTCGAATGACACATAGGGCAACCCATATTTACAATTAGACACTGTGATGGATTGATATCAATTGACTTGTTACAAGACAAATATGCAAAAACAGAGGTGCCGTATGAGAACACTTCGCTAAGATTACACACACCACTCAGGCTCCATTCCTTCCAGGGCAAACACAATTTCTTGATTAGACAGTCACGTAACTCCAATATCTTCGAAATTTTAGTGCTTACTGGCCCTGAGCTTTGTAGGAGGCGCCCGGGAATTGGTTGAAGAGACCATTCTTGAAGGTTGAAAGCTGTGGACAGTTGAGTGCGTTGATCTGCGGTCCCAAGTTGCTGTTCAAGAAGTCGAGGATCTGGCCAACAGGCTGAAGGAGTGGACTAGTAGCGTCGACCAAGCCAGCTTGAGTGGCCTGGAGGAAGAAGCAGGCCAGGTTGTTACCTTCCAACAAGCTGGGTCCATTGAATACACCCCCGGTGAGGTCCCCAGTGTCGACTCCAACGAACGAGTTGACGGTTCCGGTGTTGCCACCCTTGTTTAATTAGCACTCTATCGTAAAATAGCAAAGATGATACTCACGATTCGGATAATTCCAGGGTACATTTGATTATTGATGACAGTGTCGACGTTGGTATCGACTGTATTCATAGGCTGTGATGTTGGCCGTTTGTACCCTACGTCACATTCAAGTTAGCTAATGTGTCTCCAGGGAAGTTTCGCGCAGCGTCTCAAGGAGGTACTGGACACATCAAAGGATACGTACAGTTGTTTGGAATACGTTCATGTCCGGGAGTATGGACGAAGTTTCCTGGTTCGCCGGTGACCGAAAAGAACGACTTGAGAACCTCCCCGTTCAGGATGCCACCCTTGTTTTCTGCAGAACGGTTTGACATAAACTGTAAGAAGATAGAATCAGCATCGGCCTTGTAGTAAAGAAATCGCTTCAGGAGAAGGTAGAAATCATGGAATGTTACTTACATGAACGACGAAATTGTGCGCGTCCGGGGCAACGAGACCAGAGAACGGTAGCGAAAAGTAGTATGGGTTGTTCTGGATGGAGTATTGGGCGTTATAATATGCTTGAGATGCCACTTTGTCGTGGGTGAGACCACCCTCGGAAGACGCAAGGCCATAGAGACGCTCCCACCTGTGCATCTCGAAGAAGCCGACATTTCCACCATGCATGTAGGCATCACCCTGATCCATCATTAGCACTGATCATGTATCTCATGTAAGCTGACTTACCCTGACTATTGAAGCATCACCCTCATAACGGTTATGTGTTCCGACAATACCAGTCGGTTGCCCCAAGAGCCCTAAAGTACCTGGGAATGCGCCACCAATAGACCATTTCCCAGCAATGGGGTCGCCAGATATTGCAATGGAGATGACTGCCAACGCCAGTGAGAGATCTGTTGACATGCTATAAGCCGCGCCAAGGCCGTCGATTGCTACGGGTAAGAGTTAGAACTAGGATCGACCTTCATTTAGAGAACATCTGGTGCTAGAACGTACTTTGTTGTATTGTTGCGATACCATTGCGAGGCAAGAAGTTGTGGTTGGCGGCGGCGTTGAGACCAGGGCATTGTCCTCTCTTGTCATTCGTTCCAGGAGCCTGCCATTCATGCCCACTGCCGGGTGCAACGTTGACAAGCTGGTCCTGAGCGTTGAAAACAGTACATTTTCCGTGAGATCCACAGTTGTCACGGTCAGTAGTGAACTTTGGTGGAGGCACAACGGGTATCGATCCTTGTCGCTTTTGTAGATTCTCAGAGTTCACAGCTTCCATAACAGCAGGCCAAGCTGCTGCCAGTGACAGTGCCATGAGGAATGTTGAAAGTGTATAGCGCATGTTGATAGGTGTTCAAGTCGTTCGAAAACAAAATGAGGTATGGCAAAGTCAACAGATTGCTTCGAATCGTTGGGCAACCGCTTTATATAATATGTTTTCCATCAATTGCGGAAATTCGCCGCTGCTCGAAATCATCTTGATTCTAATTCTAAGTTGTCATTCACCAAACAGTAATCCAACATGTCGATCTCTCTACCGTCCAAAATCTGGATATACATCGCGAGTTGTCAGAATGCTTGGGCAGCTCGCGCCGGGTCGAGAGTAGTAAATTTAAAGTTAGAACGCGGGGTAGTATTGAAGTTCGAATAATGATTGACCTATCTCTAACTATTCCAACCTAAGATCAGCATAGATAGTCGTTCTTATTTAGTGGAACCCAAAGCTGCCAGCTGAGCTTTGTGGCTGATTGGAGACTTGTTGGATCTCGGATCTCCAGAGCTAACGACGGGAACTAGCCACAACTGAAAGTAGTTATACTTACGAGTCAAGCCAAAGCGGCTGCTGACCATCATACCGTCCTCGGTTGGGCAGAGTTTCGGCCGGCAGTCGGCAGTCGGTTGACGGTAAGGCGGGAATAGGCAAATCTGACGTACCTGGAGATGAGAGGAAGAAAAAGTTATCGCGGGGTTATTGTTGTCCTATCCTGTGGGCGGAACTCCCGCAACCGGACCGGATACAGAATGACGCAGTGGCTGTTCTTGAGTTGTGGCGGGCAGTTTTGCCCGACTTGTTGTGACAAATGTGACTCTTAGTATTACAATCAATACTTTTCAAGCTAAGATACAGAATCCTTTCCTAGAGTTATTTGAGGAGTAAGAAAAGTCAGAGAAGACGAGTCCGAATTATGTATTTATCTGAATAGTACGTAGAGTCATAGAAACAAATCTTGCAATCAAAAGTTCTATCTTAATAATATCTTGACCGAGATACAATCATACAACTAAGCGCGGGTACATAATAGACTTCTGGCACTATTCGTCACTGTTGACAATGCTGAGTCTGGAACTTTAGGACGCCTCCTAAATGATAGTGGCTGCAGAGTAAGATGATCTTAGGACAAGAATAAATGTGATGTACTGAAGTAATATGAGGTCACTCTTCGGAAGACAGCAATAGCATCACAATCCTGTTGAAATCTCAACGTGATCTAGATTTTGCCATATCTCCTGGAATAGACACCGCCTTTGGAACTCGTTTTGCAAGCTCTCTATGTTTTGTTCATACCCCATTTCAACCAAACCGGGATTTTATGACTTCATCCGGGAGGATCATCCTCCTCGGAACAGTGAGCACTGATATGGCAAGATGGAAACTTTCATATTCACCGTATCTCAGAACTCGACAGCCCCACTACGTAGAATCTATCACTCGTGTATGAATACAACAGGATGGAATGGATAGATTGACCATCTCCAGAATTAGTTTTAGGCTTTCCTCTTTGAAAGAGCGGGCTTCTATCCCATACCTGATCATTCGGCGGGATATCTATGCAGGATTGCGACACTCATCACTGTTAATCCAATCGGCAGATGTCCTCGAATACCATCGGAACGGTACAAGATTGAGCTTAATCACACGATCCAGTCTCGTCACTTGCTGAACTCCAAAGTGATGCACGATGACTCCATCGTAATGCACTCCTGCTTGAAACATGGCAGTTGAATAAGAGAACCAAAACTCTGGATCATTGAAGGTGTTTTTGTTCTCATACCAAATTCATGGGTCAAGGATTTTAGTAGGTGATGAAAAGTAGATCAAGCGTGTCATGAGGCAAGGGCTGAGCTCTAGTGGCACCGATGCCTCAAGCCGACAAACATTCTAAAGGCCATCCAGCTTTGCCGCATCGATACTTGGCGGGATGACTTTCTTTAATCGCTCCTATGTCATCTTTCAAATTCTCTTGCCACGTAAGTGTACTTGCATAGAACCGCCTTCAGCGAAGTTTCGTGGGATTTGGACTGGAGGTCACTATGCACATGGCAAGTCAGCTTTCGAAACATTTAAAAACCACGAGATGGCCAACGAGAAGAGAATCACTTTTTTACGAACGGCCAATAGATTAAAATACAGTCTTACGGCTCAAACAATGTGTCGGGGAGGCCTTCTGAGCGAAAAATGCCGAATTATTGAAAGGGCATAATAGTCGGCCCCCCTGTGTGAGGCTGCGGGCAGAACGGAGACAGAAAGGGAAGAGACTATTATATCCGGGAAGAAACGCTAGTGAGTGACATTATGCTGTCTTGTTTATGCCTGTCTCTACCCATTTTGAGATTGCTGGCTTAATCCAAAGATTGTTATTTTTGTTCTAGAATAAATTTTAGGTACTGGTAATGTCCAACCGCTGTAGAGCAGGAGACATGCAGATGAGATACCACTGTTGCAGACTATGCTGCCGAATCAAATGACATAGGTAAAGGCTTCTTTTGATGCTTTGTCATGCTCTTCTCTTTGCCCAAAGTTTCATGAGGCTTCAATCCTTGCTCATCAAGCATCTCCTGGTGCTCTGAAGTCTTAATTTTGGGTCAATTCTGAACCCCCTCTCATCAAAAAGGTGTGTCGAGCAGGTTCTAAATGATGCATAGTTTCAATTAACTAAGATCTACGACCCAGCAGATGCTCCTCACTGTCGTCCTCCTAGTATATTTTCAGCAGTCGAACCAAGACATCAAACTTCGATCTTCAGACTTCATCTGACCAGTCTCATCCATCACGACCCAATTCAAAGACCTTCAAGTTCGTCGGCGCCTGCGATTAGGTCATCTACACCACCAACGAACATTGACCTCTGCTTGGGCGATGGACAAAAACACAGATTTGATACTGGGATGGATTGTTCTGCCTCCTGGCGAGCTTTCGCAGATGATCAAGCATCAGGACCTCCAGAAACTGTCACTTCGAACATGATAGGACTATCAAATCCGCCAACCACTTCCAATGACAGCCCCGACCATCGTGCCGCATTCAAACACGCGAGAGAAGTCTTCGAAAGCCTGAAAGAGACTTGAGGGAATCTCTTCGCCCAGTATTTGCAGACTAGTCGGGAGTACCACGGCGAGGAGGACGGAACGATAAAAAGGAGGACAAATGTCAAGGAAACGCGTTTGACGAGATGCGATAGCTTCTCAGTACGCTAGAGTAGAGGTGCGACTTAGTGGAGACTGGGGGAAGTCTGGGATTGTGCCGATGGACAAGGCTATCAAAGCCCATGAGGCGAAGAAGGAGCGTGATGGCAGGGGAGTTAGCGAGTGGATGTCGCCGCACGAGTAGCTTTGAGGAGATGGACATCCCAGGAGATTACAAAGTTTCTATTGGAAATCTGCCCTTTTGTCTTCCTTACGGAGTATACTTTTACCAGAGACGGTGTGGTATTGTTTTGATCCGGTCTTCCTCCTGAAATATTCGCTTAACTTTCGATCCCCTACCGCCAGAACTCCAGGGGAGATCCTTCTAAGGCTTTAGCCTCACAGTTTTTAAAAGTTTCCAATAAATCTGACACAACTGTGTCTCCACTCGTGATATGGCAGATAGATGGATCGCGGTACCAGGAAATATTTCATACGTCGTATTCGACCTACACGGAATAAAATATGTGGAGGATGATTGAGGAGGGGTTCCTAGCCCCGCCACCGTTGTTTACCCAGAGCAATACAACTCCAAAATTCGCTGGACACAAATATGTGAGCAATGCAAGATCATGTTCAGAATCCTGTAAAATCGACTGCTAGGGAAATCTTCCGTCATGTCCGAGTGCAATTACTTTTGTGTTTCTTGAGTTATGTTGTGGTCTTTATTTGGGTTTTTGGGGCAATATAACCGAAGCAGCACAGGGGGTTAAGATGGGATGAATGACCCACAGCAGATTTCATGTCGCTTTCAACGTATATATGAATGCCAACTTCTCAGATAATGTTGGATATTTGGATTTTTTTTTTTTTTAGCAATCTGTCACATTTCCGTCACTATGTTGTTTCTAGCAAGCCCATTTGCCGCACTGGCGTTACTGCTAGCATGCATTGGCGCCAGCGCAGAATTGACACCCTACACTGGACCGGCACCGATCCTCCCAGCAAAGCGTTCAACATTCAGTTTCGGCTCCCTGACTACTGGAGGATCAGCTGCCAAATCATCCGCAATCTTCCTGGTAGATAACATGCCAGATCTTCGGACAGCACTAACTCTCCCTTACCCGAGGATTGTTTACGTCAAGGGTAACATTACTGGCAATCAAATCACTTCAAATGCAGGCAGTGGAAGCACATATGCCAATTGCCAATGGTACACCGATAACAGTGGTGCGAAGCAATTCAATCTAACGAGATATGTGATGAGTTTGAACACGAGCTATATGGATAGTGTCAAGGCAATTGCAGACAAGAATGGGAAGATCGAGGGGATGAGTGCTGTTGATTACCTCGCGCTGTTGAAGAAAATGAACGTAAGTCATTTTCGAAGAACCTTAAGGGCTCTTCTCAACCTTTCGCCGTCATTCCGAGAATCTACCAAACTCTCATTCATGTCCAAATACTAACTCGGTACAGGGGTGGAGACCACAGGCGCAGAATTCCCAGAAATCCTGGGTATCAATAAACGTCAAGTCCGATCTAACGCTGATTGGCTTCGACGAAAACGCAACGTTAAATGGAGTCAGTTTGATCTTCAACACTGTTAACAATGTGATAAGTACGAGCGAGATTCCTTCCCTGCTCTGATGAGTATCAAGCTGACTCTTTACCAGTCCGCAACCTGAAGTTGATTCCGCCCAGAGATTGTTTTCCTGCTCCCGAGGACCTAAACGTAGGCACATCCTGGAATGCTCGCTACGATGCACTGTACGTATCACAAATTATTATCTCTGAGAACCGTTTTAGCAACTGTCCTACACTTTCGAGACTTTCTTACCTGCTTCAATCATTAGTATATATCAAAGAAGTGCTAACTCAGCTCTCCCAGCTCGCTCGTCACAGCCACAAACTTCTGGATCGATGGCAACACCCTGCAAGATGGCCCTACCCGAGTGGCTCCTGATCCCTTAATCTGGGGCTACAAAGTCGACCGCTACGACGGTCTCATGGACTGCGAAGACGGCTCCGACAACATCACCTTCTCGCACAACATCGTCTCCAACCACCACAAAAGCCTCCTCCTCGGCGGCGGACTAAAGGAGCGCGAACGAGATCTCGGCAAGATGCGATTTATGTTCTTTGGAAACTGGTTCTCGAACTCAGATTCGCGAAATCCTCTTATGAGATTCGGGACTTTTTATGTTCTGAATAATTTATTTACGTATGAGGAGCCGTCCGCCCAAGAGTACCAAACGCGCTTACAGTATAATATGGGTGTTTATACGGAGTCTTCCGTTCTGGTGGGGGGCAATGTTTTCAGGAACAAGGCGGAGGGTAGTACGACGAGGATCTTTTCGTTTTCGACGTTGTTGAATAAGACGTTGCCTGCTAGGTTGTGTATTCCTTCCTCGGAGAAACATACGCCCAAGGGAGTCGTGGGTATTGGCAGCGCGTTTAATGGGAAGCCGATTGATCTTAAGGAAGATGCATTGTCGACTTTCAGACGAGCCGTGTCAGGGAGCCCCAACAGTGTGGTCGATGGGACGTTACTGGTTGGCTGTGAAGGATTCTCTGCGCAAGCCGTTCCCGTGGCTTTCAAGATGACGGATGAGGTTGAGGCATATGTAAGGAAGGAGGCTGGTCAAAGAGCGTCTTGGTAGTTCTGCGACTGAGTGTACATTTCTCGAAGCCAGATTTTACGAACGTTCTGCCAATTTCGAATTCGGAACATGTAGTCTAATAAGTATGAGCTTGGCCAATGTCAGACAACGAAGGTGTATTCTTTCTATGGTGTGGTGGTGAGTGTAAGTGTGAGTTTGAGAGGTTAAGTTGAGATTAATGGGTAGGGCGATTACTGGTGCACGGGAATGGGGATTAATTAAGCGAGGGTTGTTTACTTTGGGAAGGGAAGTAGAAATGACAGCATTATGGGCGGTGATGTGCTTGGGAGTATGGTTTCTGGAAACATATGACCTAACCCTTGTGTAATTCATCCGTTAATTATGAGAATTACTTTTCTTCCTAGACATCTACTTTTTTCAGGGACAGGCTCTCTTTCGCTCACTGCATCACACCCTATCAACCTACTTTTGTTTCAGAATCGACATATCCCATAAAGGCGACCAACACATAGAATGTTAAGACTCATCACAACAACCAAACCCTCCACAGTCCAGTAAGATACCTAGAAATCCCTTTAAATATTTCGACATCCATGGTGCCGGACATAAACCTCACTCCACCAACCTCAAACTCCCACCTCCATCGCTGGTAATTATATCTTCGCCTCGCCTTCGACTTCCCTGCCGAATGATCACTCCACTTTAATTTCAATCAAACCAACAAATAAACCACTGTGCATAAGTCCAGATTTTGGATCTTTAGGACCACACGGAGAGCTGTTGGCGTCGGGTTAGTTGAGACATTTCAGATTCTGGGTGTGCACAGACTGCTAGCTGGGTATGATAGGAAGCGGGAGGCGTGGGAGAGGTACGGGAAGGCTGGGAGTGTTTCTCTTTATTCGTTTGGTTGGGGGTGAGTATGGGGTTAGAGGTACCAGTGGACGGCTGCGAGAAGACTTAAACGGTAGAAAATGGCATAGTAATAGCAGGATATTTATATATAAATTTGAGATACAACACATAAAATCAATCACCCTTAACCGTCGTCTTGAGATTAAGTACATTTACATCTACATTTAGTAGTGCTCGCGTAAGTAAAAGGGAAAGGGAAGGTGAGATATGTCTCACGGGACGGGAGGGAAGGACGGATGGACGGATATTGTGGCTCTGACTCTGACTTTTATTCTGGCCTTTGAGTGAATGAATGGTATGAGTGAATGGTACCGTGTGAAGGATATATGCATTGCAGTACAGTACAGTGTGTGGTGTGTGGCTGGAAGCCACTGTTTCCTATTCGAGACTGGACGGCACTTTGAGACGAGACGAGACGGGTATTGATATACTGTACTGTTCTGTAACGTCTCGATCATATACTCACGATATGCGGGTTCTACACTTAGTGAGTGAGGACGAGAACCCACGCTCAGGCGCTTGAGGGTAGGAGTTTGAGCATTTGTACAGCTAGTGAAGGAAGAAATAGAAGGGATAGATGGATGTATGTGAAGGAAGCAAGCATCGCGTGAGAGCAGTAAACAGGAAGCTGAAGAGGGAAAGTTCACCCTGCGTTTCAGTTCACACTGTCGGCCGAGCTTTGCACGGGTGTTTGACTGGAACTTAATCTACTCCCACTACACTCTCCTCGACTATGCTTTGCTTTGCATCGCCTGACTGGATGGGAAGATGGCGGTTTTGAGTCATGGTATGCTTATCTTTAGCATCTAAGGTTCCGTATTCGGTTGTGAGTGGCTGGGGAGATGGGGAGTTCGGGGTTTCTGTTGGTGGGTGTAGTGCTTGATGTTTGGAGTTTTGGATGTCTATGACTCTGTAATTGATGGTTGGTGGATTGGTTGTGGCTGCTGATGGATCAGCCGCTATGACTGGCTCCCGGGTGCTCGGGACCTGGGAACAGGTCTGTGGACGCGCGAAGGATTGACTCGGGGATGCGGGCAGGCGTTTACGCGGGGATGAGAGATCGCTTGTTAGGTAGCTTGTCAGTGTTCTAGGTGTCAGTGTGTGGGACAGGGGCAAAAAAGAGTGGAGTTATCTCATGTTTTTTTTCATTTCTATTGACACATGCCCATTCATCATTTCTTCCGTTTGATATCCCGTTTTCTCTAGTAGAAGTGGACGTGACTCTCGCGCTGCGCTCGAGTCTGAAAAAAAACAGGCCGTGGTAGGATACAGCTCGAGCTCGAAGTCAAGTCTCGGTGCAGAAATGAAGCAAAACCCATCATATTCCCATCCCGTGCAAGTATTGGAGGAGGTTGGATAGACGGTGGTGATTGAGGCCCAGATACTACTAGGTCGAATGTGGCAAAGACGCCGCTCGGGAGAAGGAAATAAAACCATGCCACATGCAAGAAAGGCGCTGGAGGTATCATCGGTGGAATAGGTATCCTCCATAGCGGTAGAATGCTTCAAGAAACGAAAATATGCTTCGTTCATATACAAACAGAGAAGGGACTCGGAAGAAATGGTGGGATGTCGTGGGTATCGGAGGTGTGCTTCGTCGGGTCATTACGACGAGTATTAAGGTCTCGATATTGGCGAGTCTAGATGGTTGGGTATCCAACCTCAAAATGTGTCATCCGTTTTCCAGAATTCGCTCGTTCAAAGAATCAATTTCTGTAGATTCTTTTGAATAATCATATCCTGGACAGATGCCATGGTGACTTTGAGGAGATCGGTATCGGTGGCATTAGTGAAATGTGAGTAGACGTCTCGGCCGGGACTTCGGTTTAGAGCAACAAACTTGTCCATAAAGTATTTGCTTGTTTGTTGAGGGTCTCTTGGGTCGCCTTGGAAATCCGAAAAGCCGAACTTGGTAATCGGGCTGACTGCGATCTTGGCTTTGAAGAGATCCATCTTGTTCAAGAAGAGAATAAGTGCCGAGTTCTTGAACCAGTGAGAATTGGCGATCGACTCCCAGAGCATTAGGGCTTCCTGCATTTGGTTCTATAAAAATCAGCATTGCTCGTCACCTTGTAGCACGTGTTCCTTACACCGTCCTTGTCCTCTGCCAGACATTGATCATATCCACTGATTGCAACTAAAAACATCAAAGCATTGACATTCTCAAAGCAGTGAATCCACTTCTTCCGCTCCGATCTTTGTCCACCAACGTCAAACATGCGATATTGTAGCGATCCGAGATCAAAAACTGTCTCTGTAATTCCGGTTGTTCGCAGTCTTGCGCGTAGTACGTCTTGATCGGTGGGGATGAATTCCTTGTTGAATAATCGGTCGAGATCTTGGAAGAAACTTTCATGTGGTCAACATGCCTTCTGTAACACTTCGCAGAAAATCCCAACTTACTAGGCCAGATTGTCATGCAGCGCGAACTCGTTGCCTCTCTCAATCGCCTTTTGGATTCCTGGGTCCCTCCACATGTCCTTGAATGCTCGTAGATACTCAACTGGTATAGGCTCGTATGGTCGGAGATCTTTTTCCTGCATTATGACGGGGAGATGGGCCTGTGTAACTGTTAGATCAGTGGGGTCGATCCCTGCCTCATGCAGAGACGGTTCATGGGCGATGGCATGCTTACAGTAGTGTTATCAAACTCGAAAGGGATACCAAACTCGTCCATTGCGTCAATTGTCATTCGCAGACCGTCGAGAATGTTGTTGAAGATGATGACCCTCCACTCTTCCTTTTCATTCTTTGTGAAGCCATCCTTCGTGTATATCAGACGCATCTGCTTCAAGATTGTCGACTTTCCACTTTCTCCGGCGCCTATGGCAGACAACAGTCAGTACTCGGCTCAATTGTTGGTCTTCGGTGGAAAATGAGGGGAAGTTGGCATACCCAAGAGCAAGAGTTTCACAACCTTCTGCATCACCTTCTCATCCCGGTGGATCAGAGCATCGATCTCCCGACTTCTCTTCGCCTCTCCATCTTCCCGTCCACCGAAACACATAGTGACTATCTGCGCCGTTGCGGAGGATTGATGTGACGGTTGAAGTATTTGGGCCGCTACAGCGACAGGTGATGAGGTCTGATTAGGATTTTCTCGCAGGTGCTTCGACAGTCGGAAGGTTCAAATATCAGAACACACTAGGAGGGATGTATGCACGAAGAAGGGGTAGCTGTCCTGGGGTTGGTCTTTAGGTATTGTCTTGTCAGCATCGGTGACCACGTAACGATACTTGGGGGGGAGAGAAGGATCAGGGAAGGCGTGGAAGGATTTGAGGGCACCGACTTGCTTGCACGAGTTTGTGATGGTGACAGGGGAACAAAGTTCGCCTGGGTAGCAACAAGGGTTCAACGTGCGGTTGAGGTCTCAGACTGGGATCGCGGGTGGGGGGCGGGACCCTGTCGCCCCTGGGAGCCGGCCAACGGCACGCCGCAAGTCCAGAAGAGACGGCGTATTATTATTGACACAAGCGTGCCTGAAGACGTCAAGTCCCGCCGTAAGCAGAATGCCTTCCAAAAGATAAAAGATAGTCGGCCAAGTACTGTAGGTATGTATGTCTTGGTGCAACGAACGATCTGGCAGTTGTTCGCCGGGTCTCGTGTTTGAGGACGCCGTAGGTAAGGTAGTGGACCTGTGGTACGAAAGGTGCCTTACGGACGAAGTTCGCTCGTCGGTAATTGGCACGCAAGAAAGAACCAGGTTCTGGCTGCTGCTGCTGTGGTGTTACTGTACTTACTGGTATAGGGAAGGTCTAGACATGGGTTTGCAGGATCGTGTGATTTTGCCGTCGAGTCGATGTTGACGTTTCTTCGTGAGGTTAAGAGTAGTACTACTACTCCGTACCTTAGTGACGTTCGTCGGGTGAGTTGAAAGGCAACGGCCTTAGGTAGGACCGAGATAGGCACCTAAATAATTTTCGTTACTCGTCTGTAATTTACCTCCGTTCACAGTGCGTCGAGCCGTCTCGTGTGGAGGGATCCAGGCCCAAATCCAGACAGTGGGTATTGAAATCCGATCTGTCAGGGACAACAGGCGCAGCACCATGCATGCAACGGTACGTACAGGCTGACGGCAGTCCAGTGAGATCAACGAGATGTGGTGTGTGTGGTGTTGTAACTTACCAAGTCAAGTTACCAACAGGAGTCAGGAACGGTAAGGTACGGTACGGTACGGTACGGCAGATAGGATAGTGATGGAGCAAAGCAGACGTGGGGGAAGGGAGAGTGAGTGTCGATGCGACTGGTGGAGGGGGTGCAGAATGTTTGGCCGTTGCGGGAGAGAAGAAGAGGAGAGGTGAGGGGAGGGGAGGGGAGGGGAGGGGAGGGGAGGCCTGACCAGATAGACGTAGCGGCCTGCCAAAAATCAAAATGTGATTTGGTCGCTAAACACGGGAGAGAAAGCCACCAGAAGGCCTGGGATCAGGATCAGGATCAGGGCCGATGCATCCGCGGCGAGGAGGAGGCGCTTCTGACTCTCTGACAGGCCGGCAGGCTGGCTTTCGATTGGCACACCAGTGAGTGACCACTGACCAGACACCGTCTGACCGACCGACCGTCTGAACCTGCTGTGGTAAATGTACTGTAAATTATCTTGCAGATAGCGAACTTGCTTTTGGCATGGTCCTATTATTTACTTTTTACTTGCGCATTACCATTTTCATGTTGGGCCCGAACTTTGGCTAAATGTCGAGAGATGGGATGGGATGGCATGGGATGGGATGGGATGGCGTGTTTCGATGGCTACAAGTTCGTTCACCTTTGACTTGAAATAGTAGTAGTCCCTGCCGCGGATGCTTCCTCGAAAAAGGACAGCTTGGGCGACCTCTCATCAACAGCCTACAGTACTTCCCCGAGCTGGATACTATCTACCGAGACCGAGGGCATTCGGCATTTCCCGAGCCTCCACGCTTCTGCATCTTTTGTTTACCTACAGTACCTACATGCACGCTGTGCCTCCCCTCCCTTCCTCGTCCGAACCTCCATCTCATGCCTGGGCCGTCTCATCCTTTCGAACCCATCCCCACCGCCGTCAACTTCTCTTAATACTGTACTGTACTGACCGCTTCCTTATCTTAGTTCCTGTCTCTCTCTCCATGTTTGACTCTCAATCAGTCCACAGCCGTGTCTCGGCAAGAAGCTTGGAAGGCATTCTATCCATGCAACCGCTTTCTCGGCATCGTCAGATTCGTCACATCTCCTCATCCAAACCTCTGATACCTCCGAGACATTTCGAGACGTTCTCCGGATATCAAGCCTTCGACACATTCCACACGTGGCCTGAAATGCCAAACCCCTTTTAAACCTGGTCAATTTTCAGACTACTGTACAGTGCTGAGCTGCACTTCGGCAGATCATCTTGATTGTAGCCGAGGACGCTAGGGCGATACTTCCGGCCGTGGCTGTTCCTATCAGAGGGGAGTGGTGGATTTTTTGAACTGCTTCCATGTTGCGGGCCTTGATGGCAAGTCGGCGATAAATCACATTCTCAGTTATCGAGGATGATCTCAATTTCTGGATGGAGTAGGCGACTGCTCTTTTGGCTCAAGATCGATATGCATTGTGGGCGTTGATGAGTTGATGTTGAAGGGCCTGTTGGTTCGGCAGATGAGTGGAACAAGGTGAATTGTGGCGGCGATTGAAACAAATCTATCTACCATGTTCATCGGGAGAAGCTCAGGGTTGGACTCAAGCTGACCTCCTACAGAAATAAACACTTATCGTATCTGCAAGTGTACATAATGTTCACTCGCGCAAGACCATACTGCCAAATCAAGTCAGGGTCAGATAACATGGCACAAAGTCCTGGAACGTTCAAGGCCAACGCCTCAACCCAGGGACATCGTTTAACCAATCCTCGTGGAAACCAAATCACATCTTCCACTACCTGAACTGTTCAATTTGCTTGACGCGGTATGCTTTGCAGCTGTCAAGTTCTTACTTGTCTCCTCCCAAATTGTCTCCAGGCCTACAGGTACTACAGAGTACAAAGCTAGAGATTCCGTCGCCAGGTTGTGCCCGATCAGAGATCCTTGAGACTCATCAGCGAGAACATGAGCTCACCTTGGGCTACCGATATGCCAAAGCCACTGACAGAATGTGACAAGATCGAACAGGATGCTCCTCCCATGGCTCAGGATGTCGTTTCTCCCCTTCGTCCAATACAGGTCTAGACTCTCCGTGTCCCATCTCTAAATATGATGGTGCTCATGAAAAACATTGGAATCGCAAAGCCCTTTTGCATGACTGAAGTCTTCTGAAGCTGTCACGGCAGCGGATGCGCCCCATGTTCAGGCGCCATACCGACTGGGTACGATAATACCTTTCTCAACAGTCTACGTCTGAATGGCATCGACCAAGACTCTTCTTGCCATGCACTCATTATCGAGGATCGTGCACATATGGATTTGCAATTGCATGTCTGTATGTCACGCGAAGAGTTGTATTGGTATTTAGATTAGGGTAGGTATCGAAAATTAAGTGGGTAGGTAGATGTGCTCATCATTGTCTCAATCGTACCTTCTGTAGATTTCCCTGTTTTGCAGCCTTCCAGCTCCCCGCTCCTTCCTCGTGCAAATCCAGAACTGAGTTTCTTTACATCATTTCATCTGACACCTCTCCTTCCATGCATCTATCCTCTGATATCTTCAACATCCTCATCACCACTCTCCTTTCTCTATCTATCTTTACCATTACCCCTCAGCAGACACCACTTCTACTGGAAACGCTCCATTCATTACATGCCTGGCGACTTGTACGGAACTGTTGAGGTTATCCCGTCGCTGCGTCGGCGAGCCTCAACAGAGTACAGTACTGGCCTCGACTATACCAGCTGCCTACTTGTGGACGAAGATATCGTCTCTCGCGTTCGCTCACTTCTGCTATCGCGGAACGAACACTGGCCTCCTCGAACTCCGTACCCATCCGACGAGCCTTTCACACAGCCAGACGGCTGCGAGCTTGTTTCCGGATTCGACTTCAGCTCAGCGAAGAGTGTTGCCAAACTAGCCAGGCAAACCACTGGACGCCTCAGCGTCCCGGACATCAGGCGAGCACTTTCGAAAAGCGATATGGCGGACCTGAAGCCAGTTCAGCCAAAACTCAAGTCCATCCTGCACACGTCTAGTTCTGCCAATGAACTGAAAGTTCCTGGTGAATTTACCCCTGAACCGCGGAAGTTTCGATTTCCAAAGTTGGTCTTGCAAGATAAGAAGAAGTCAGAGCTGGAAGGGATCAAGTCATGTGTCGAAATCAGTCCCCTTGTGCCTATCAACGACGAGGAACTACATCAGACGGAATTGGAATGCTGCCCTCCATGTGATCCTGCTGATCTACAACCATCGAAATACCTTGTCAAGCACCCAAAGCTACCTAGCCCGGGACTCGAGATCGAAGCAGCGGATCTGGCATGCTTCATGGGTGGCTGTGAGCCAGGTCTCAAGAACTGCCCGAAGCATCGTCGGTCGGATTCAACATCAGTCAGAAGTGCATCCATGGATAAGCGAATCGACGAGGACTTCAGATCGATACCTGAAAGCCTGGCAAAGTTGGGAATTTCCGTCAAGAAAATGAAAGCTAGATCATCATCGTTCAATGCCCCCCTTGGCAGCGACAGATCTGCTGGGTCTTCAGACAATGGCGAATTGGACGACTCGAGAAAGGAGATGCGCAAATCCTTTGAAAGGTCCCCAGGTTCTTTACGAAAAAGCGTACGATCACCAATCGATAGAGCATTATCACCTATCAGCAGTGTGACTTCTGGGTCCACCATGGATGCCTTTCCACTCGCTGCCCTGTCATCGGAACTTGCAGCAATGGAGGGGTCGATTGCACCGTTCTCAACGACTGTTGCAACAAATTTCAGTTTGCCAGGCTATAAGCAAAAACGTGCATCACAGTCACTACGGACTAAACTTGCGGAAATTTCAGCTCGACTTGACCATGGATCTTCCCAGCAAGCACCCAAATCTGCCGACCAACTCGCCTCAGACGAGGCCAGCAAATCAGAAGTACCTACAACATTAAGTACTAGTCGAGTTCCGACCAATGTTTCCATTTCTGTCGTGCAGCCTGTATTCGAGCAAACACCGTCCGGTGAAGATCCAAGATCGCGTCAATCTCGAACATCTATCCCTCGAAAGCCAGTCCCCGCAAATGATTTGGACAAGAGTCAGGGAAGCCTGGGTCAAGGTGAAACAAAATCCAGAGTCTCATTTACCAGCGATGAGCAGGCAGCACATCATGATATTGGTCAGAAAGTGCCAAGTCTATCCATAACCCCAAAGGTAACTGGTGGAGCGAGATCTCGAAAGCAATCAGATGATCAACAAAGTGATTCCCTCAGGGAAAGGAGATCCGATGCCTCACTGAGATCTAACACTGCTTCATTGAAATCAAAGCCATACAGTCCGTCACTCCTTTCAGGAGCCTCTCGGACCTCGGTCATCCGGCATGCACTCTTGAAGTCTTCCGCCGCAGACACTTCACCAGTCGATACGGGTTTACCTGTACCTCCTCTTCTGTCTGCAATTTCAAGCATGTCAGAACAGGTTATGCCAACTGAGCTTGCATATGACGAAATCTTGAAGTCAGCTGGAAGTGATTCGAAGGGCAAAGCTTTGCAAAGAGATACCGAGTATTTCGATACGACTGAATCAATGGGACGGGATATGAAGGACAAATCCGGCATTAGCACGTCCTTTCCAAAGTCGTCCGCTAAAGAAGTAGCAAGTCCCAAATCGGTTGACTTGGGCGACAAGATGGTAAGCCAGCCTAGTGAGACTGCCAGCAATGGAGCAGGAGCTGGTCTCGGCAGTCCTCCAAGCCACACCAGAGATTTGACACAATTTCCAATATCTAGCCACCTCACAGATCTCCAGAAAGCAAAAGACTTGGTCGACAACGCGCGTGGCCGAATTCAAGAAGCCGAGGAGCAGATGATCCAGGCCATGGCATTTGAGAAACAAGAAGGCCATGGTCCTGCCGCAACCAAGCATATAGATATTTGCAATCTTGACCAAAATAGGGCTGAGGATGCGCTACGTGCGGTATCAAAAGCAGGGAAGGTTCTCGATACCTCCACCAGTGGCTTGATTTCACCCAGATCGTATGTTCTAGGCGAATGTGAATCCCCAGAGGGAGGTATGGCCGAAAAAGCAGCTTCTCCAGCAGCTGTGGGTGGAGATGAGCCTGTGTCTAAACCTGGACATGAGAGTTCACATAAAGTTTCCGTTGGTTCAGTGGACACGAAAATAAGCTCTGCTCCCGTGCCAGAACAGAGTGATAAACTTGTCAAGCGGGAAGAGCCAAGCCGAAGTCAGCCACCTGTAGAAACCTCAAATGCAGAGTACTGGGGTTTTGTTCCGGCCGTCAAAGAAGCAGTACAGAATGCAGTTCAAATCGCGGTTCGAAATGCCGTCCAAGACATTGTTGTGCCACCTGGAATGGACCAATCTTCGAACGAGTACCGCCAGCTCGTTTCAGCTTCTCTAACCCGAGCATCCAAGAATGCAGACAACTACATTCAACATGTAGCTGCGCGAAATACAGTACCACCATCTGAAAACGATTCTGAGACTCCTGTCGTCTTTTCAGGTCAGAAGTATGGTCAGCCATCTACACTTGAGACAGCATTATCGCGAGAACCTCCCAAACAGCCGCCAGAAAGCTCTCAGCTCATCGCTGGCCCTTCACCAAGTCGCAGCCCGGTCCCTGCATCGGTTTCTTCCCGAGAAAATGATCGTGGAGGGGTCCATGAGCAGACGAAATCCGACTCGGCGCGTCAGGAACAGAGCCCACGACGTCTATCTGTCTCCCATCAGAATATCGTACTGTCTCCACGACCATTTTCACCAACAGAGTTAGAATCGATCCCGCTCGATTCCGACAACAAAGCACCTTTCGACGATGACAACCAAGCTTGGAAAATCTCTCAGGCTTATGCATCGAAGAAGCGCTCATCTGCTGGATACACAGCAATTCCGACTCGTCACTCTTCCAGAAATCGGGTGCTGAGCCCCAAAACGAAAGCTACAAATTCAATGGCGAGTATCTCAGCTCAGGGATCTCTCATGGGATCTCGTAAACGATCGTTCGAACTTCTAATCTCTAGAGGTGGTCAAGGATTACGTTCAATATCGTCAGCTGGCTCACTAAGAAGTGCCAAATCCGAAGACAACGAGAAGGATGCTGTGGAGTTGACCCCTTTGAATCCAGTACCCAATCGCCGCAAGAGCATGAGCTCCGCTTCTCTTTCGGGGGAAAAGCTTGGCCGTAAGAATACTGTGCACTGGCTTAAGGATCTATTGTCTACAAATGGGCCATACGAGACACGATTCACAGCTTTGCCGCCAAGAACACGAGGTGGTCGGCCTGAAAGATCCCACACTGCTCCTGTGAAGCCTGCCGATGAGCTGTTTCAGGAAAGAACTCCTGATCCTGCGAATCTTGCGAAGGGTATTACCAAGCCACAATCGACCAAGGCGCGGAATGAAAAGCGAACCGATATATCAGAGACCTTCACCCGAACAATCAAGGATCTTGAAAATCTCATGAATGAGGCTCTCCATATTGCTAGGCAAGCAACCGATAGTCCCGAGATATGTACTCTGCAAGACGGACTTGAGAAATCCATCAATGTTCTGAACAATAGCCAGAAGGGTCAAATCAAGGGACGAGCAGATCTCACACCCCGTCCACTGCCAGATCGGACTCAATCAAGGATCTCTGCCATTCGCTGCTCAGATTCGGATTCAAGTGACGTGAGCATACACGAGAGCCTGCGGAGTTATTCTGGGAGCAGCGGTTCTGATCAGAGTGACGAAGAGTATGATCCCAGCCCAACTCAAGTCCGAAGCATCACAGTCTCGGCTAGGAAGCTCCCTTCGAGGCACGCATCTGGTTGGCCGCCCACAGGTCGGGTCTCAACACCTTATCCTCCCGCATCAGTTACCCAGTCGCGGAATTCGATTGTTGTCGAGCCTCAACCTGAGCAAGACAGAAATGATTCCATTGATCAAATCAGGGCAGCAGATCCCCGCTCGATGCGTACTGAGACCAACGTAGACATCACCAAGATGGATACAGCTTCACGCCATCAGCCATCTAATCAGAAGAGTAATGCTGAAGTTCAATCTGGTTCAAGACGAATGAGTGCTGCAACTTTCCCACCAATGGGGCTCGAGAGCGATGAGGTATATGTTGAAGATACGAGACCAGAGTTTAAGACCTTGGAGCCATTTAGTACGGAGCGACAAAGTACCAGTCACCGTAAGAGCTCAGCTAAGTCTCCCAGGCGCCTGAGCCCCAAGAGAGCAACTGTCGTTAGCAGTAATGATATCGATTCTAAAGACACGGTGATGACAGGCGGTAATGGTCGTACCGGATCAAATGGACCTGGGCCTCTGCCACAGCTCACCCCTCGTCGAGGAACAGGATTTGTTCCAGTTTGTATCAAGGAGCATTCCGAGGAGGATCATCAGGCCATTAGGGCAAAACTTGCTGCCAAAGAGGTTCCTGGAAAGCAAGAGGTACGCGACTACATACTTTACAATCGCCATCCTCCGATTACCCCACGAGCCAGCTCCATGATGTTGAGAAAACGAGCTGACCCACCACAGTCGACATCGCATGTCATGTCTGGTCAAACCACGCGGACTGGTCAGACTTATAATTGGCAGGACATCGACCATACCAAGATCGAGCCTTGCTCGCAGGCAGAGACCAGAAGACAAACGGTCGTGCCGGAGCCACAAATCATTGATCCAAATAGACGGCGTTATTCACATAGTCTAGATGGATCTTTCATGACGCATAGCGAAGTTCTCGATTTCGACACCGGGTATGGAGTTCGACACCGTGGAGGGGGAGGTGAATCTAGTAGAGCACATGAGGCGATAGAATTACGTGATAGCCCAGGTTCAGACCTTCCTCAAACTACAAAGGGAGTACAGAGCAGCAGTAGTAAGCAAAATCACTTTTCTCTTGGTGGAAAGAGACACGTCAGTCTCAGAGATAATCATATCAAAGGATTCAGTTTGGCCAGGACCCACAAGAGACAAAAAATTGCCAGAGACTGGTCTCCAGGCCGAAAGCGATTTGTTGCAACTGTTGCATGTATCAGCACTGCCTTGATTGGTATTTTAGTGGGTATTTATGCTGGAGAAACACCTGCAATACAGTATTACATCGTCGACTTCCATCACTACACTGTTCTCGGTAACGTCTTCTTCTTCGTCGGTTTAGCAATCCCTACTTTCTTGTTCTGGCCACTACCCCTCCTTCACGGACGTAAGCCATACATTATGGGCTCCATGTCTATCGCCATGCCTTTACTTTTCCCACAAGCTCTTGCAGTTGGCGAATTTCGATCGCCGTATGTGGCAACATGGAGAGTTGGCCTCATCATGTCTCGAGCTCTGATGGGATTCTGTCTTGGTTTCGCCAACATGAACTTCAAGCAAATGCTCACGGATCTATTTGGTGCTTCGTTGCAAAGTACCAACCCTCATCAGGAGCATGTCGATGAGTTTGATGTTAGGCGGCATGGTGGTGGTATGGGAGTTTGGCTTGGCCTCTGGACTTGGTGTGCTCTGGGCTCCATTGGCATCGGATTCATGATCGGAGCAGTCATCATCAACACCTTGAATCCGGCTTGGGGCTTCTATGTCAGCATATGCATCATTGCATTTGTGATGTTACTGAACGTCTTATGCCCTGAGGTGCGACGTTCGGCATTCAGAAGATCCGTGGCTGAAGTGGTCAATGACGGAGACGTGTCTCGCAGACTAGCCCGTGGTGAAGTCAAAATGTACATGGTTCAGACTGGTCCCAAATGGTGGGGTGAAGAGTTCCATTTCGGTGTCATGCTTAGCCAGAAGATGTTGCGGCAGCCAGGGTTTCTCATCATGGCATTGTATACTGCTTGGATTTATGGACAACAAGTACTCATTACCTTGGTATGGCTTCCCACGGTGTCTTGAGACCATCGCTAACAAGTAGTAGCTGCTGGGTGCTTTGATGTCCAAAGATTACAAATTCACATCTCCACAGGTTGGTGCCGCTGGCCTGGCGATACCTGTGGGTGCTCTTATTGCCATACCATTCCAGAAGGCGTCTCTGTTCAGTCGAGCTCGTCAAATAGCTCCTGTGAGTGATGACGGTACTTTCAAGAAGAAGATATCATGGACATCACATATGGTCCGACGATCTATCTTCGTCTTGTGTCTTCCGCTTGCCGGTGTCGCATATACTCTGTCATCTGGTGGTCCTCCAATTCCGTTCATCCTTCCCGTTCTATTCGCTGCCTTGGTCGGGTTCTTGTCAAATCTTGCCATGGCGGAATGTCACGGGATTATCATGGAAACATTCGACACATCCGACCTTCAGCCCGGAATGACCGGGCGCAGCAGAGGATCCGCTGGTGGTAAAGCTACGAGCAAGCGAACAAACTATTCGTCCTTTCCGCGGGTTGCTTCTGGGTTTGCAATTACCCAGGGCTTCGGATATTTGATTGCTGCAGCTTCTTCTGGCGTTGGAGGTGTTCTCACAAGACACCTTGGTCAACAAGCTGCTACTGGTGTCATGGCAGGTATACTTTTCGTCCTTTCGATTTTGCTTCTGGGGACATTGATTCGCTACACCAATGTGCAGATCATCCCAGACTCGAAAAAAGATGAGATGGAGCGATATCACTCTGCCCGTCGAACCTCAGCTCTTCGACAACAAGAAGGCATTGAGGAGGATGAGCCATGGCGTCCCATCATCATCGGTAATCCTCACCACACTACGCGTCGCATGTGCCTCCTCGAGCTTGGTAGTCTTTCACGCTTCAGCGAGATCAGACTCAAGAACAAGTTGGTTGACGAACAAAGTCTTGAAGCCAAGCATCCGAACCAAGCAGCCATGCATGAGCTGAAGCACAAAATTCACGAAAAAGAGATGGAAGTCGTCAATCATGTTCGCAGAAGCTTGAGTCGACATAGCTCTAGAGGAAGTAAGCGGAGCCGGAGTGATGGGCCTGAACAAGGCGACCTTGGAGGACACCGAGAGATGCTGAATCGTGGGGGGTCGGGAAACGGTTCCGGACGGGCAGCTCCCTCCAGAGGAGTGAGTGGCAGAGAGAGCGCACGGAAGGGAACGAGTATGGCGAGGAAGGTTATCGAAGAGTAACTGCTGGAAATGTCAAGCAGAAGACTGTGACTTTTGCACCGGACCTCCCTATTGCTGGGCAGCGTGGTGAAGGAACTTGGTTGACGGAATTGTTCAATTTGATACTTGGGCTGTTTGTTACGGTCGTTGAAGTGGTATGGAAGTCACTTGGCGCTAGAGGAGGTGTGCAGGAAGCTGAGGAGTATGGTGGAGGTTTCCAGGGTTGGTATTGGCGAGGAAGTGTGTATTCGCTGAGTGGTGAGTTTGTTGAGAGAAGGAGGGTTGAGGGTTGAGGATCAAACAATAACCTAGAAACGACATTCTTAAACTTGGGCTTTGACCCCATCAGATGAGTGCTTCCATTACCATTGTTGACAAAGTCGTGAGACAGGCCTTATTAGCAGCCCTTATTCTCCGTTATCTACCTCCGCGCGATTGCTGCTCTAATTCGCAAAGTGAAAGTGGGTACAAAGTTATGGTAGAATTACACTGTTGCCCTTAGCAATGGGAGACACAATTCGACTTGCCACTCCAGCCTATGGCATCAGTACAAAACTAGACTTTCCCTCTTTAATGCATCCAAGTCCACATATCTTTGCCCATGCGGCAGTGACAATATCCCCGATCGTTTCCAACCGCCCTCATACGGCATCAACACCAAAAACACTGTACTGGGCTCCGCATGCAGCCACGCCTCTTCGTGTTTCGGGTTGTAATACGTCGTACTCAGCACTAAAGCTATCTTCCACCTCAGGTTCAGGAACTCTCCTTCGCCAAAACCAGGCACGTCGAGCCAGGGATATTCGAGGGCAATATCCAGTTCCCGTTCGGTTCTCTCGATGAGAAGCGATGGGTCGAGCTTAATAATGAAGCACCAATCCTTGAGTCCGTACGGTCGCTGTGTGATTGAAAGGCTGGTGATATCTCCCGTCAGCGTCTCGAGCTTGATACAAGGTCCGAACTCAGGTACTATCTTGCTTGTACTTCTACTCCACGCTTCATTGAAAGGTAGCGATTGTAAAGGCTCTGACCCATCCCGTTTCTGCTGTATCCAGACTTCAATGTTGCTGTGGAGGTTCAGCAGTACATCGCCTGGGAGTTCTGTCGTCCCTGCAAAGTCATGCTCGTAGCGGAAGGGGCCACTTTGGAGACTTAGCCAGGACCAGGAGGGCATGCCGTCGCGGCGGGTGAGCTTTTCGGGGATGATGCTGTTGTCTTCGAGGTCGATGGTCCAGGTTAGGCCGTACAGGAAGGCGAGTTCCGGGGAGGGGTGGAAGGGCTCGCCTGGGCCGGGGAATTCGTCGTAGGGGTAGTCGAACCAGCTGCCTGAGTGGAAGAGGTTGGGTCGGTGTCGTTTGCGGGTTAGATTGAGGGGAGCTGAAGCGATGAGGCGCTTTGTGTCTTCTAGGGTGGCGATTTGAGGAGTTTGCAACTCTGGGGTGGTACCGGAGTTGGAGGGAGTAGAAGTATTGTTTGGAGTGTCTTTTTGAAGCTCTCTACCTTCGCGCGTGACAAGAGGCACACCGAAGAATGTGAAGTACTCGACGCGATTGAGGATACCTCGAAATGCATCGAGGGTATCGGATTCCCAACTGATATCCCGTCTAAGTAATTCATTGGCAAGAAACTGGAAGCGTTCCAGCACTGTCATGTTACCCTTGTTGCGGCTGCTCTCCGTATCTGAGATCCTGCTGCCAAACACTGAGTTGATGTTGGTCTCAGCGCTTAGATCATAGCTGCTCATTTTCGGTATACGCGGTAATGCCTCGTGTTTGCATGTCGTCTTGCAGAGGAATTGTAGTTGTTTAGGTCCGAAGATCAGACAGCGTGTAGAGAGATACGCTTCTTGGAATGTCCATGCTCTAGAAGCCCATTTAGATTGCTGGACCGTGGTCAAGACACCCGGACCTACGGCTGCTACCCTGTGATCTCCAAGCCAGGTTGATGGCTGGAGCTGGCGAGAAATAGGCGGAAGTGTCCCTGCTCCAGGTAGACCAGCGCTGTCGTCAGCTCCACTGGCTGCAACGAGCGTGACTTTGGCAGCTTCGTAGATCTTGTCCATGAGGGAGAGCTGGATTGCTTTGGTGACTGGGTCGTTCTGGTCGATGCAATATCTGTCAACCCATAGATACTGGTGACCTAGAGCTCGTGTCACAGCCATGGCATCGACGATCGTCCTGGGGACGTTGGTTGGTACTTCTTTGAGTTTCTCCGGCTTTGAAGATTCTGCTAGATCTGCTTTGCGTGGTTGCGGGCCCCAGACATAACTTAATGCCAAGTATTCTGCCCCGACTGGTAGTGAGATGATATTCCGGGAGTCTGACAAGCAATCTATCACATCGATAGTGTTATAGAGATCACTAGTAGATGCGTGGCAGGCTGAGTGGGAGGCACTACAGTCCTGAATGCAAGCTTTTGCCCACTCAAAGTCGGCCTGGGTAGGGTCCAGAAGTCTAGCTTGGAATGGTGATAGGCTGTCTCCAGGAGGTGCGTTCCTCGTTTCAACGGGAATCAGAAGGTTTTCCTTCTGAAGGCCCTTCATTGGTGGTGGAAGATAGCCCAGTCTCCGACGCGAGAAACGAGCCCCATTGTCTTCACTGACTGCGAGTCCCATCACAAAATCCTCAGGGGGATAATCGAGGGCTGAACGCCTCTCCTTCTCATCGAGAATATTGATGACATAAAGTCCATATACTTCTCCAGTCTTATATGCAGGAAGCTGGGCGATCAGTCTGCAAAGCTCGCAAGCGGAGAGATCCGCTTCGGGAATGGCCAAGTCATCGAAGATATGGGACGCTGTGGCAGAGAGTTCAAACAACTCGTTGCTATTACGCGCGAGTATTGCATCTCGCGCACATAAGTGAGTGGTGCCTTCTTGCTCCAGCCAAAGTCTGACCATGTTTGTCTGACGGGTCTGAAGAGCTGGGCCTGCGATGTGCAGTCGGCCGGTGCGTTGGTAGCTCTCGTATGTCGGTACCATGTCGACATTTTGCATCCAATCTGAAGACATAGTGTGAGTCGCTCGGTAGAAATTTTGGGTGGAAAGTGAGCAAGTTTCTACTTAGTTGTTGGGAGCTGAAGACGACGCGAATTGTATCTGGAGCCTTGTCCTTGTTGTGTGAAGCACGAAGTTTGATCATGATGTTCTTTACTCTTCATATAGCTCCCCTGCGTACTTCATAGAACGAAAGCCACGTCGGTACATGCAGCCAAGCAACACCGATTGGGTGCTGTGTTATGTGAACAAGAGCTGTGCTGTGAGTCCGACGAGCGTTCAAGTATGGCAAAACTGACCTCGCGAATTAAGAAGTAGAGGTGTTACATCGTAAATGGTGAAATGGAATCGCCAAAAGCATATTGCAAACTAGAATGAACAACAGGGTCGTTTAAAAAATAGTTAGGCGGCAACAGGAAAGGATGGAGACAGGAACAAAGGGTCGTCCACTTGGCTGTCAAGAAAAATCCTCTTAGAGCGAAGCATTGCACATTGCACTGATATATGCAGGTGCTGAGCCCAGAATTTTGGGATTGGTTTGGATTTCCCCATCCGAACTTCACTGTCTTTAACATTGCAGCACGCAGCATGCTGGCGAAGAGTGACAAGCCGGCTACTGAGCTGGATTCGGATTGCGAGTGCTGGAACTTTCCAACTTGACACATGCTTTTATAGCACTGATTCAGAGTCCAACTGATTCTGGAGAGACCTACTGACTTTCCCGTTTCCAGTGTCTCGAGTTGATGTCTCTTAAACTCCATGTGATGCACCACATCCATTGGATACTTCCAAATGGCGTTTGACCCTGCCTCTTTCGCAACTGCTTCCTGGAAACCTTCCAGCACTGTACAAAATTCGAGAAATCTCCGATGTCCGGTCTTCGAAGCCCAGTCCCTACCATCGCAGAACAAGCCGACGTCACAAATCACTCACTTGCAAATCCCGTATTGTCATGAGAAGCAAACGCCTTGATTTGTAATGTACGGTCCTCAGGTTTCATGTGAGATTATGCCACTTTCCATATTCCCAATGCCATCGGAATCCATGCACGAAAAACGAAGAAGCCGATATGCGAAAATAGCATGCGTTGAAAGACAGATAGCCCAATTTCCGCAACACCATTTTGCCGCCTTCCTTCCTGCCGCACACCATATGCACCCCAAAAGAAGTGACCAATCGTCTATTTGTCCTTCTTCTTGGACGCACCCTTGACCTTTGCCGTACCGCGGAGAGTCTTCTGTCTGTTCTTGCGTTGCTTGCCTAGATGCCGATTATGTTAGCCTTTCTATCTATGACATAACCACTTCACGGCAAAATCTCCCCCCATGATATCTCCCAAGGTGTAGATGTTCGTATAGAGGAACATACGCTGTTGTCTGCTGGGCTTCTCAATCTTCGACGCAAATCCAACACGAACCAATCTGTAGTGTGGCTCGAACTTCTTCAAGGCCTCGGGCGAATCGTACACGAGGGCGAAACCGGTTGTCTTGCCACCACCGAACTGAGTCTGAAGACCGAAGACGTTGACTTGGTCCTTGTTGGCCTTGTACATCTCTGCGAGCTTGCCACGGAGTTCATCCTTGGAGATGTTGGCACGGTTTGGGTGGAGAATGTCACTGTAGAAAAAAAAAGCCAAGTCAGAATCCATCTTCAACACAAATGTGAAAAGCCGTCTCCCGAATCTCCCCACGACCCAAAATCCTCCAACCCTTCGCAGATGTCGATATCGAGAAGAGCGCAAGACTCGCAATTGATGGGTTCGGAGCAGGAAACTTACACGACCATTTGCTTGCGGCCAAGGAGAGGGTTTCTGATGAACTTGCGCGTGCGCAGTGTGACTGGTTGCTCACGGTCTGCCATCTTGGCGATTTATGTGGTATCCGATGCGTCTGTCTACGTGGTGAGACAGATGTCGATCGAGAGGTTGTCGTGAGAGGTCGCTGTCGTCGTGGGAAGATTTGCGAGGGTGGACTTCGTGAGGTCTTCGTTATCCGCAATGCGCTAGTAACGATGGAGTACATTACGCGAGCCCACAGAGATTTTTGGTGAAAAGGGTGCTAGCCCTACTGTGGCCTGAGGCGAAGAGCCAAGGTTTCTAAGGCAACAAGAATCCAACAGATCTCGTGACTAATATGATCGAATGACCGCATCGCGTCTAGGTATATTTCCAGGTGCGAAGATGGAGTCTCTCATAGTTGAGAGCGTGCATCGTACAATGAGTTGCTCTCTGCGTTGTAATGGGGATGAAGAGTCAGTTATCAGCGGATGCGAGGCATCAGCTCGATCGTTTCTGTCGTCAATACCTTCAAGTTACGCTCGAACTCAATTACCCGACTGAAGAACATCTCAGAAGCGATGCATTCCAGCAGTCTATTTACTCTCGGCTCTTCTCAGACGATATACAATATGCTCCTCCCCCAAGATACCAACTCCGGGTCTTGAAGGAGCTGATGAAGAGGATTGAAGCCAGCATTCAAGATTGGGATGAAGAAGTATGAATTTCATATGAATTCTCATCTGGCTTATTTGCTTTAATCCATGACAATACATGCACGCGACTGACTTTGGTTCCACGTCAGGGTATATCTGATGATCTTATGAACTGTCTCGCAGTCTTGCTTTCCACTTCCTTACCAAGCGAGGAGACCTCAGCTCAACAGAAAGCATATGTCACATATTCACTTTCTCTTCTATCCCAGTCTGATATAAGCCCAACGATCACTCTCCACGAGGCGCGGAACATCCTCGCTGCAGCTGGCACGACCGGACTCCGAACATGGGAAGCTGGTCTCCATCTAGGCAACTATCTGTGTGCGAATCCAAATACCATTCGCAGGAAATCTATACTGGAACTTGGGTCTGGGACAGGCTATATTTCAATTCTCTGTGCCAAGTATCTGGAGGCCGGCCATGTCCTCGCAACGGATGGAGACGATGACGTTGTGGCTAGCTTTTCGACAAACTTTTACCTTAACGGCCTCCATGAATCCTCACACATCGAAGGCAAGGAGTTGAAATGGGGACACGCGCTCACAGGCGGCGAAGATTCTCGCTGGAATCTCGGTCGGCATATCGACCTCGTGGTTGGAGCAGATCTAACCTATGATCCGAGGAATATCCCGCCTCTGGTTTCCACGTTCGGAGATCTATTTGAGCTAAATCCTGATCTGAAAATACTGATCGCGGCGACAGTGAGAAGCGAGGAGACGTTTGAGAAATTCCCCGATGCGTGTAGGAGAAATGGTTACGGCTTTCGAGGAATTGAATTCGGGGTCTTGAAGGGCGAGGAACAGCATGGCCCATTCTACTCGGATATGGCACCGGTGAGGTTGTGTATTATCACGAAAAGCTAAGTCGTGGTCAAGCTATGACTTGCAGGGAATAAGGTCGATATATGTCTTGGGAGACAGCTTCTTTGTACAAAAACTCCTGGGAAAGGACTGACGATTCTCTTAATGAAGTTGAGCGCCAGAAGCTACACATTGAAGTCATCATCTCTCTTTTCCTTTCACCTGGATTCATGGCTCTCAGTCTCGACGAGTTTCCGATTGCTGTAATGGTTTGGGGACGAATTCTGATCTGAAAGCTACTCCCTCTACGTCTTTACATAAAGCTCTTCACGTGTTGCTTATTTGAGCAGTCACATTGGATTTTGAACAGCTCATGGCGGACACAATTTCTCGAAAATTTCCACGCCCATGAGAGATGGTCTATCGCTTCAAGGTTATGATACCACACCACACCGCAGGTGCCTGTAGATGTAACCCTGACGAGTAAGATTCTCGCGGCCTGGGCCTGGGGAAGAGCACTGTCGAACTTTTTGTTTGGAAACACAGCTAGAGCAAGCGCTCAGCATCATGATCATGCGTGGCTAAATGCCTCCACTTTATGCAAGTAACTTTCCTGCTTTCTAAGACATCAAACATCCTTCCCTCTTTGGCTTCAGAGCCATAAACGAGCTGCCAAATGGAATGCAGCACGTGAGGCTGACCCTGAAATTGGGGCCATCCTCCTGTGAGCAAGCCTTAATATCGCATCTGCCAAAAGCAGGCAACGCAATCCGCAACAGGGCAAGCAGATTCTTGGAGCTTGCAGCTGGGAAGCACTCCCTCAGATCCAATGCATGGCTCGACCTGCTATCCAATATCCACTTTGCGCCATGCCCCACGCGCAAGCAATTGCAAATAATTTCCTGATACATGCATCACAGCTCAACATCATTTGTTGTGTCACAAGCGCTGACAAAGTCGCCCACATCTTACATCTCCATGGGTACTCGGCAATGGGCAGTAGGATATGCGGCTTTTCCGCCAAGGCTCCATTCGGGTCAGCAGGAGGAATCTGAGGTCCCGATGCTGCACGCTTGTTGCGGTACTTTGCTGACTACACTTGTATCCAAATATTCTCTTCAAATATGGGGGTACAGGATAGGTGTTAATTTCATGCTGCAAACGCAGCTTGCTGATTTAGTCGTTCGGGATCCTAGATAGTTGGCTTTCCAGATTGTAGGGCTGAGATGTACAGGGGAACAGATCATACGATTTGTTATACGGGTGTTTCGATTGGGACTGTTGATGGGCGTCTGATTTCGGATTGTCATATTGTGGATCAGGGGGCGCTGGGTAAGTTCGTGAAGCGTCACTGGAGGACGATTTCCGCGGAGAGAAGTTTGTATATAATTCGACGAGCATTTATCAAACAGCATAAGGAAACATTTCCAATACATCTTGCACTGCAATACCCTTACTTTCCCTCAAAACAGACTTTAGTAACAAGCAGCTCTTTACCATGGGCTCTCTTACAACTACAGCTCCTCCTAAATTTCCTTTCGCTCGTCCATCCGGGACAACTCCAGCTCTCGAATATGCCCGTCTTCGCGCCACAGATTCAGTATCTCAGGTCGAGCTCTTCGATGGCAGTGTGGCCTGGCTGGTCGTCAAACACAAAGATATCTGTGCCGTTCTAACAGACGATAGACTTTCAAAGGTTGGCCATGTAGAGGATCTCTCTGGAATAGAGTTAACCTGAAATAGCAACGCAACAGACCAGGCTTCCCGGAGCTCTCAGCGGGAGGCAAAGAAGCAGCCAAGAACAAACCAACGTTTGTTGACATGGATCCACCTCAGCACATGCAACAAAGAAGCATGGTCGAGTCGATCTTCAAGAAAGAACATATCGATGGCCTGCGTCCTAAGATCCAAGAGACAGTGAATACTCTCCTCGACAAGATGATTGCTGAGGGAGGATCCGATCCTTTCGATTTCGTGGAGAAATTTGCCTTACCTGTTCCATCTTATGTATGCATTTCACTATTGGCAACATCTGAAGCATATCACTAACTTTCCATAAACAGACGATCTACAGTATCCTCGGCGTCCCGCTTGCTGACCTCCCAAAACTAACAAACTTCGCTGCCATCAGGTCCAACGGCTCAGGGACTGCAACTGAAGCCTCAAATGCCAACGCCGCTCTCCTCTCTTACATGGACTCTCTCGTCACAGCTCGCCTAGCCGAGCCAAAGTCAGACTTGATCTCGCTCCTCGTAACCGAACAACTCATCCCAGGCCACTTGACGCAAGCTGACGTCGTACAAATCGCATTCCTCCTTCTCGTTGCAGGCAATGCAACCATGGTATCGATGATTGCTCTCGGTGTCGTTACACTGCTCGAGCACCCTGATCAACTCGCGTCACTCAAGGAAGACCCTGAGCAATGGGCGGCGCCGTTCGTAGAGGAGTTGTGTAGATTTCACACTGCGTCTGCGCTGGCGACCAAGAGGGTTGCGAAGGAAGATGTTGTGTATGGGGGAAAGCTAATTAAGGCTGGTGATGGCATTATTGCGGCGACCCAGAGTGGGAATCGGGATGAGGAGGTCTTTGGAGAGACCGCTAATGAATTTGATATGAAGCGTGTGAGGGGACGCGAGGAGGCGCTAGGATATGGGTGGGGAGCGCATAGGTGTGTGGCAGAGTGGCTGGCGCGAGCGGAATTGGAGATTGTATTTGGTGAGTTAATTGGTGTTGTTGTGTTAATGGTTCGGGTGGTGTGTGCTAACTGGGAATAGCGACATTGTGGACAAAGCTTCCGGATTTGAAGCTAGCGATTCCGCTCGAGGCTGTGAAGTACTCGCCTCTAACTAAGGATGTGGGTATTGAAGAGCTGTCTGTGGTATTCTAAAGGAATTTTGGGACTGTGGACATTGCTACTCTTGAGAATTAAGCAAACAAAAACAACAAACAATAACAGATAAGAAAAACAAATTGAAGCTGGGTGATGAAGAGCAAGACGGGGTGATTGACCTTCTGGATTGTAGTTAATGTGAAAGAAGAATCCCATTCTACTTATTTTTCCTTTAATGATGAGTAGCTCTTTGAGAAGGTGGACCTGCATTTTTACTGGCATTGATATCCTTCTCAAAAGAATTCCTCTGAGAGAACGCTTGTCTCTGGAAGAAATCGCCACCATTAATGGCAAGTTGCATCTTATCTATAGATACAAAGACCTACCAAAGAGTACTAATGACTATGAGAAACGTCTGTGACAGTTAATAGAACTCTATAATATCCTCAGGGACACAGTGTCTCAAGTAAAGAGTGCTTAGAAACTCTATGTGCAGAAACTATCACTCACCCATCCTCATTGCATCTCTCCAAGTGCGCATCAGTTACAGAACTATCTGAGCCTACCCCACGTTACATTCATCCCTCTCCTTCACCTCACCATGCCCATTCACTCCCCCACCAAACACCATCTTCTATTCCAAACCCAGCAAACACACCAAGCAACATTCCGAAGAAACAAAATGCTAACCGCTCTATCTACCCAAATACTTCGAATTACCTCCACTTCACCTCAGCCGTCCAAAAACCGGTCGAATAGTTCAGTGGTTAGAACGCACCCTGCTTGTGGAACAGTCCAACCCTCTCGATTTTGGATACCCTCTGGGCCTGTAACGGGCTTATCGTTACCCTGAAGGTTGGGTTATTCTAGTCGCATGATTGGGTGAGACTGTGGTTCGAGTCCATGTTTGATCATCATCTGCGCTTGAGATTTTCTGTTTTTGTGAGTTTTGTCGAGCTTTCGGGAACAGTTTCGCTTCGAAGAGTTTTGCCGACAGTGGGAGAGGGCGTTCATTGACGAGAATGAAGGAGAACGTAGTTGTTTGCGGTTAGCCGGAGACGCAACCTCCGTGCTACATGAAACTCAGTGGACGGCATCAAACATGTCTGAATATGTTTCTTTTATGTTACGGATTTTCTTCATGCTCCTTGGTTCATTGAAAAGCAAAAGTTCTTTTCAAGGTTCTACAATTTGAACGCGTTTGTTGTTGTTCCATTTGTTTTTCGATGTTTAGCCGAGCCAAAACATTCTAAGCGAGGTCACCAACAAAGTCTCTTCACGACCACAACCGCCAAACTCTAAATTATATCCAAAACAACGTTCTTGTAATATCTGCAATTACTATTTCAGTCTATTGATCCTACATAAAATCTCAGTATTATCAGATAGTGGTGGCATTTTGTAGGTGGGGCAAAGATATTTACGTAGCAGAGGTTCAGGGGTGACGAAGTAAACGCCCAGGCAAGACGACCCGAAGACGACCAGAGAAAACGGTTGGGAATATGGGAAGGTATTTCATTCAAAAGTTAAGAGGTATCCGTGAAGCGGGTATTTATAGTCTATGTCTTCGTCTATGCTATACAAAGAGTCTGTTTGCTCTTTCTGTAACCAAATCAACCAAGACACTGGTCCCTGTCTGTCATCCCTCTGAAGGCTGGACCTTACAAGTCTTCCTTGGAAAGCATATCTGCGATATCCAAGTAGAACGCAATGGCATTGAACCTTCCGCAAGTCAGCATAGCTATGTTATCTCATGCTCGGGGACGATACTCACTTTCGCTCATTACCCACCAGCTGCCACATCATCCACCTCAGCCTATTTGTCCAATTGATCAAGTCCAAATGACTAACATCAACCAACGTCCCCTTATACGTCCCCCACTTCGCACTTTCCACACTAACCAAACCATCATTCGGGCCCTCCATCCTCTCAACCACGCGGTGCGGCTGTCGGAAAGCACTCCAAAGACTAGGATCCACCGTGGCTCCGTAAGAAAAGTATCTCACACCCGGGACATCAGGCGTCTTCGGATTGAATTCCTCCCGCATATACTTCGTCGTCAACTGCTTGAAGGCTCCAGTACTAATTCCGATTCTCTCAAACCACTTGCAGAAATGCGGTACATAGGACGGCCCCAGTTCCTGGAAAACATAGTCCGCGAAACTCGATCCTCGATGCGGCGACGCTACTGTGGTAAGAGACAAAACGTCAACATTCTCTGGCTTGAGTCGGGAGATCATGTATCGGGCATCTAGGCCCCCCATGCTGTGAGCAATTATATTGACGCTCTTGCCGTTTGCTTTGGAGGCGATGTCCTGGCCGAGTTTCAGGGCTCGTTCTTCGATGCTGCCGGATGCTGGGACGGAAGCAGTTATGAATTCGATACCGTTCGCGCGCATTGCGTCGGTGATGCCGCGCCAGTAGTGTACGCCTGGGAGAAGGGAGCCTGCGAGTCGAAGCTCGTCGAAGCCTAAAAGACCATGGGCGAGAACAATGGGGTGTTTGGGTGTTGCTGGACATGTTAGCTAAGCCCATTTGATCAAAATAAAGAAAATTGAGACATAACGCATGCCAGAGGGAAGATATACCATATGTTTCTCTAATCGTAGCATAATCATCTTCAATCGCCCTTCCCAAATCATTGATCCTCGGATCACTATCTGTCTTTTTCTGCTCTCCAGTATCCGTATTCCCAGGATTTCCAATCTTGTCAGCCCTCTCCTTTTTTCCTAAAGAACAGCAGCAGCAGGTCGTAGAAAGGGAAAGGGACATTGGTTTGCGTAGGAGGGCGGCGGTTCTAAGGATATTCGTAGGTAGAGGAGTTGGCCGGCGAGGCACATTTTGGAAGAGCCATCTCGTGCGTGCGACACGAGGTAACAGTGTTGTCATTGCTGTGTGCTATGCATTGGGATAAATTGTGTTGGTGGAGAGATGCCATTGCGAAGAGAGGAAGTCGCGTTGTGGTGTTGATGGTTTTCGCGATGGAGTGAAAGCAGTGACGTCGTTGGGTGAGCAAAGTCGAGTCAGTCAAGCATGTGATTCTAGATGGTAACGGATAACAAAACAACTCGGCAGATTAGAAATGATGAGTTAGAAGATTGCAGTGTCTCGATTATTGAGTCTGGTTAGAAGGTTTGAGATTGGAAAGTACGTTGATACACCTCTCTAGTGCTGAGATGACATTGACCCAGGCAAGCGATGTATGCTCAACATTCTTGATGGGGATATCTTCTTGAATTGCAATAATCTATACAGCGCTTTGAGTACTTCTGTCCATCTCACTCCCTTGTCGAGTTCTCGGGCAGTTGAAGGCCGCAATCAATGCCATCTCTGAGTCCAAGTCCAAGCCCAATTCGCAAAAGCTCTCATCTACCCCATGGCATGTACCAGCCTCACCCCACTCATTTAGGAGCCTCAATACGTTCCGGAACAACAGGCTTGACGTCGAAGACGGCTTTTAACAGATCTTTCACAACAGCATCTTGTCCCTTCTTACCAGCTGCTTGAATCTCCTTTATCTTCTGCTCGGCATCCTTGTTTGCGTCCTCTTCAGCCTTCTTGTTGCCGCTTGTGTGCTAGAGGCAAGGGTTAGCACCAGTCCTCCCATATACCTATTGAGAGTTCTCCAGATTATGTGTCTTGAAAGAGAGCGTGGACGAAGAATGCCGTGAGGGGAAGCGTACCTCTGACTCGAACTTCTTGAACTCATCATCCTTAGACTTCTTGTATGCATCAATTTCCTTCTTCGCCTCGTCCCTGGCCTCCTTTACACGCTTCGTGCGGTCTGCTTCCATTAGTGATCCGTCATTCTCGATGCCGTAGCAGCTGTGCTGGATATGCGGTTCTTGTAGATGCCTGCTCACATTCTCTAGCTGTAATCAATTATTAGCACAGTCCATCAAGCCATTGCCTCTCTGGAAGAGCAGACACATACCCCTCTGAACAATCTTCTGTGCTTCCCTCTCAGCCTATCTACCATCAGTCCCTGGTCCCCTCCTCAAGCTCCTGCGAACAGGCGTGGATACGTACATCGAGCAGGGTCTGGATACCCGCGGAGTTTTGTGCAGACTGTACGGTGTTCGTTAGCCAATGATCCCACAACAATAGCTGTAGGCGGAGCGGGCCATACCATCTTGCGATCCTCCTTGTCTAGTTCTCAGGTATCGTGGTGTTGAAGGAGAGGAGCTCGTTATCGCGGGATATGCAGATGGAGGTGCAGCTCGCCCCAAACGCAACGAGAGCTGAGCTCCAGACCCCTGCTCGGCAAGCGCCGTCAACATCGTACCTCTTCCAACATACATCCAGACTTCAATGACACTTTCTATTTAGCAGCTCACGATGCGCCATTGAATTCCTGATTATTATACGGACTGGGAAGGGCGATCAGAAAAAAGAGGAAACAGCACAAATGTCTCGGCCAGCAAAGCTTACGCTCGCGGGCACATCTCTCTTTGCCGTCGCAACAGTGTTCTTCGTACATTACGGGCAACAGGCCGAGAAAGCTGTATGTACCCAGCAACCCCTCCTCGCCTCCTTTCCCGGACAAATACTTGGATGTATCTTCGAAGCCGTAAACAGCAGTGCTAATTACGATTCCCGTTCTATAGGCAATGCATCAAGGCGTCGTGAGAGACATGGAACAGCAGCGATTAAAGAAGGAGCGCCAGTTGGATTTCGATATGCAGAGAGCGCTGGAGGAGGAATACAAGAAGGTGCAGAGTGTACATGATGGGTCAGTTGTGTTGGACAAGCCTAGGTAGCATTGGCATGCTTCTGTGCTCTAAGAATCTCTACTCTGAGGAGTGTATAAAATGGTTGTACAATAGAGGTGTTGGGCGGCGCAAAGCATCAGAACCGATATATCAAGACAAGCAGACAGCAATTGTAAAAACTTGTACCGATGGGAAGCAACCTGGCTAGGCAGAAGACATGATCCAGGTCAAAAGTTTCTGTCTCATTATTCGACTTTTCTTTGTGTCGTCTGCGTCATCTTCTTGCGCTGAGAAAATCTAGCTATCATACACCAGATCTACCTGGAAAAGCGCCTAAATCTCGTTGCTCTACCCCTCCAATGTCTGCTGCGGATAAACGCAACCAATATGCAGCACAGCCAGTCCTTTTGTTCCAGGCAATCTTGCTCCGTTCCCAAACGCCTCATATGCAAAGATTCGTAATCACTCTGCCAACCCCCTTGCCCTTTACATTCTTACATCTTGTCTTCTCCCTCCCTCCGCCTCGTTCAGGCGACCACTTATCGGACTGTGATTCCAGATCTCGTGGTAAATAAGCGAGCTGCAATGTTCATCGACGCAAGTTCTTGGAAAAGCAGCTTCGCAGCATATGGAATATGAATCTGCGAGATCTTGGTCTTGTTCTTGCAAGGTCGGCACTCAAAGTTTTGAGTTGCAAGTTTGCTATTTAGATTAGTACAAGATTTCGGAGTGACGTGGAGAAAAACTTACGCAATCGGTGTCATGAGTCCACAGATGTCACACACATGGACTCTGAAGGCATCCGATACCTCAAACAATCTCTCCTTCAAGAAGGACGCGGCACCGTGCGAGATCATGCAATCACGCTCCATCTCTCCGAAACGTAGACCACCATCTCTGGCACGACCTTCTACCGGTTGTCTGGTCAAAATCTGGACTGGACCTCTGGCTCGGGCATGGATCTTGTCATCGACCATATGACGCAGACGCTGATAGTAGGTTGGGCCAAGGAAGACTTGAGCCATCATCTTGCGTCCAGTATGGCCATGGTACATGATCTCGAAGCCACGAGAGTGGTAACCATGAGCTCGGAGTAGTTTAGAGACGGAATCAACAGTGACCTCGGTGAAAGGGGTCGCATCACCCTCAAGACCACGAAGAGTTGAAACCTTGCTCAATTGACACTCGATCAAATGTGCAATCGTCATACGGGAAGGAATGGCGTGGGGGTTGATGATAAGATCCGGCACAATTCCCTGGCAGGTGAAAGGCATATCCTCATTGCGGTAGGTGATACCAATGGTACCCTTCTGTCCGTGACGAGAAGCAAATTTATCACCAATCTGAGGAATCTTCGTAGTCCTCATGCGAACCTTCACGAATTTAAGACCCTCAGCGTTGGTAGTGAGCAAGACCTGATCCACGATACCGTTCTCAGTACTTCGTAGCGGCGTAGATGCATCACGCTTGGTATGTGCCTTGGTGCGCAATCCAAGCTCTTCGTTATCTGGGGCCATTGGAGCGGTCTTTCCGATGATGATGTCCTCTCCGGAAACGCGAACACCTGGAGCAACCAGTCCGTCATCGTCAAGCTTGTCATAGGTACCATGCTTGAGCTTCATAGTATCATTTCTGAACGGCTTCTCAAATGCCTCGATAGTGTTCATACCAATTCGCTTTTCCTGGTCGGTGTAGGCACGGTAGAATAAACTTCGGAAAAGACCTCGGTCGATGCTGCTCTGGTTCATGATGACGGAATCTTCTTGGTTGTAACCGGAGTAACAAGCGATAGCGACAATTGCATTTTGACCAGCAGGCAGCTCTCTGAATTTGAGGAATTCCATGGATCGAGTTGTTGCCAAGGGCTTCTGCGGATAGTAGAGAATATTTGCCATGGTGTCCATTCTTACGTCGAAGTTCGTGAGGAACACTCCCATAGCTTGCTTACCCATTGCAGACTGGTAGGTGTTACGAGGAGACTAGTTCGATTAGCAAAGAACTACCAGCAAGTAACTTATATAGCACATACTTGATTGTGATCCGGGAAGGGAATAATGCTTGCGCAAATTCCCAGAATCATACTTGGATGAATCTCGCAGTGAGTCCACATATGCGCTGTAGGATTGACAGGAGCCTTGACACGCTTGTTCAAGTCTCCACTGTTGTCGGGCTGCACCTTGTATCCAGCCTGAAGCTGACGGGAGATATCTAAGTCTTCGGGAGTCATGACAATCATGATCGTCTCCTCTTCTTCCGCATCAACATACTCTACCACACCCTCATTTATCAATCCCTGGAAACCAAAGTAGTGGTCCTCCTTGGTTTGTGGATCCAGATTGGCAGGAAGAGCTTGATCATCTTCTAGTCTTCGGATGTGATCCTTATTCAGAACCAGACTGCCTTTATTGGCACTATCAACGTCGTTGTCCACGACGAAGAGAGGTCTGCAAACTCTGCCCGCGTCTGTAAAAATCTTGAACTCTCTGTCTCGGATGTCACGAATCAGGGAGACTTCGTGAGAAATCAAATGCGATCGTCTCAAATGCTGCACTGTCTTGACAAGATGGCTAGGATCTCGATGCACTCCAACCCAGACACCGTTGACGAAGACCTTGGTAGCATTTGGTGAGCGCAGAGGTTCGTACTCTTCCAAAACCTCCATATTCCGTTGAATCATGAACTCGATAATAGGATCGCTAGGGGTTCCAACTGTGACATAGCACATAAGGGCTAAGTTCTTAACCAGACCACATGCCTGTCCTTCAGGAGTCTCAGCTGGACAGACTAAACCCCAATGGGTATTGTGCAGTTGACGAGGCTTTGCAATTTTACCATCACGACCGATGGGGGTATTCGTACGACGAAGATGAGACAACGTCGAAGAGAATGTATAGCGATTGAGCACCTGAGAGACACCAGCAGTGGAACTGGCGGCTTTTTTCTGATCTCCCCAATTACCGGTCGCTAAAGAATACTTAAGACCGTTGGTGAGAGTGGTGGCTTTAACACCGAGTGTGAGATTGAACTCTCGGTTATTCTCGACGCAGCGCTGAAGATATTTGTAAACGTCGGTGGTCAGTCTGCGGAACAATGAACGGAAGAGCTTTGCGAGGAGAGGCCCTGCGAGATCCAAGCGCTTCTTTCCAAAATGATCTCGATCATCCGTTTCTCGACGTCCAAGAGCACACTGCAACATCTTGTGAACCATATATCCCAAGAAGAAAGCTTTCCGGGTCTCACTACCCTCTTGCTGCGATATATGTGGTAACAGCTCCTTCTGCATGATATCGCGGGCATATTTGATACGCTTGTCGCGAGTAAGGTTCTGCTGTTGACCACGCTTACCAATGAAATCCAAGGCAACCTCACGGTCCTGAATGACGAAAGCCTCTTCGATACATGGCTTCAACATCTCCAACATCTGAGTATCGTTGCGATCGTAGCAAATATGATTTAAAATGTCTTCGTCAGAAACGACTCCTAGAGCGCGGAATACTACTGCAATAGGAATGTCGCTCTTGATATATGGCAATGTGGATTTGATCGTCTGACCGAATCCTCCTCTGTTACCGTCACCTTTGGCGAAGAGCTTGATGGCCATTGAAGAAATGAGCCGCGAGCCTTTCTCGAGGGCACTTCGGATTTCTGCGATGTACGGGGTCGGACTCGGGAGCGACTTCTTGAAGACCTGGACAATGTTGGCAGCACTGCGCTCTTGGGCAATCAAAACCTTCTCTGATCCGTTGATAATAAAGTAACCTCCCTGATCGTAAGGGCACTCATTCCAGCCATAGAGTTCATCTTCATCAAGATCCTTCAAAATGCAGTACTTGGACTTGAGCATGATAGGAAGCTTTCCGATGAACACTCGATCTGGGGCTCTCTCCGTCTTGTCTCCATCCAGCGCGCCACCGTCCTCATCTTCCCATACCAAACGTGTTGGATGGACACCCGTGGTCGCCATCTCTGTCTCCTGTTCATCATCGAGTTCGTTGAGAGGGACAGGGCGCTCGACTGCGACGGAAACTTTCTTCGTCATCTCGAGGTATAGCGGACTGGAGTAGGTAAGATTTCGCAACCGAGCTTCTTGCGGCAGCATGACTGATGTGCTTCCGTCACCTTCAGTCATTGCTGGTCGCGACAACAGAACGGTGCCAAACTTGATCTCATATCTGCGAAGGGCGATCGGGTTGTCGTCGGAGGATGGCGGGTTATTTTGGTCGAGGGTGAGTTGGGAGTTCTCTTCTACCAATTCCTGCATGGTCGTAGAAACAAACTCGTCGAACGAGTCTACTTGCTGCGAAACCAAGCCCTTGGACTCGAAGAATGAGGATATAACCATCCAGCAGTCCTCGGCCGTAATACCACCATCTTCCTCCTCGTCGTTGTACTCCTCATCGTACTCGTAGCCATCTTCAAATTCCTGTGTATCCGCCATGATGGGGTTGCAGAATGTGGTAGGGAGGCGTGCGAATGTAATCAGAGTCGGGGAGAGGTTGGAGAATCAGGAAGAATCGCTCGTCGCGCAGAGCCAGAGGTGAGAAGGGGCGGTCGCCTTCAAAGTGCCCAAGATTGGGGAGACCTTAAAGACAGTATATCGGGAGCATGAAGGTTAAGAACAACTTCAAAGATAGAACTTGAGGTGTTGACGAGAGATCCGCAGCTGTTTCGAGGATATTGATTGTTGCTCTTCCAGAGCTGTTGACGCGACCTGATCTTTTCGCATCGATGCCTTGTCTTCCAGTTTGGCCTCCTCGATGCTGAAAGCGCTAGCAAAGATTGGCCTAACCATTTCAGGTTAGCGGGCAATATGAAAGTCATAGTGACAATGTTTCATCCCACGTACAACCCCATTGATCCTTTGTTCACTCTCTTTGTCATATATGCTACGAATTGCCGTCACCAATTTGGTGATATGTCTGTAACAAACTTGTAGGTAGGGTAGGAAATGCCGATAGTGGATGCCCCGGTTGTCGTCGTGGCTAGGTTGAAGGTGTTTGATCCCCAAGGAAGCAATGAGTTGGATAAGGTAAAGGTAAACAACACGACAAATTCATGTTTGTATTAGAGATAAGGAGGAAAAGCTAATACATAGGTAGTTGCACATTCATTTTGGGAAAGACGTTGCTAGTGCAGAGCTGTGAAGCTGTTGGCAAAGCTGAGCTAATCGAACAGTCATGTGACGAGACTCGGTGGTGAGGCTTTGGTGAAGGTCTTTGTTGTCCGGATTCGTTCTTGTCGTTTCTTTGTTCTAATCAAGAGATGGACCTTATCATTTCCTTGAGTCAGTTGGTGTCAACCTTCTCCAGTATTGGGCGAGAGTTAAGCAGCTATCCTCCGTCGTGGATAAGAAGTACTCTGACGAACTTCCAAATATAACTTGAGTATGACATGTGTAATATGTGAACTCGTATTTCTTTGAGCCCCTTTCATTTTTCAATTGACTTGCACAAAGATCTAGGTATCCAAATTTTGAGGCTGCCACAGCTAGAGAGCTGGTTCCGCTTATGAGGCAGATCTTACATTCCAGCCAAATAACTACAATCTTCCAAAGAATGATCCGATCTTTCTCTCGCTGGCGCCTGGCTTTTGTGTGGCTAATGTAGATCAGGTGAACTTTTCATTCCCCAAGTTGAATTTCCTGGTTCTCACGCATGAGAAGGTCACCTCATGACTTCCGACTAGTACTGGGCACCAGCAACAAATCTCATAAAATCATTCGTTTTCATGAGGACTTTTACTTGGACTGCTTCTGGAAGGATCAAAATACAATATTTTCTGCACTGAATTATTTCCAATCTAGCAACGATCGTGTATATAAATGCTCAGAGTGTGCCTCATCTCCCTCGAGCGAGATGCTGAGATGTTACCAATAGTGAAGGAGCCTGAGAAGTAGCTTGTACTTCTGCTGGACCAGACAGAGCTCATTCTTTCATGTGAAAATGAACTCATAGTGCTTTTGTGACGAAGATCTGTGTCTTTCGAGAGTCACTAAGAACGTGATCGAGTTCTGAATTATGTCGTCTGGGCTGCATGCAATTCGAAAACACACTTCTAATCTCGTCGACACACTCAAGGAAATTTCGGACAGTCTTCGGACATAGCACGAATGCAAGCCGATTAGAGCCGCTTGCTGTCGTCAAAGTGGATCTTCGCTGCATGATTCAGGTCATACCTACAGAATGTCAGTTCGATACCGTGCTGACAATAATCAACTGCTGGGAACATAGCTCCCGCACCAGCGTAAGCAGGCTGCATATTTGGTATTTTTCGGTTCAAGCTTGTGCATTTTCTGCAGGAACATGTTCACTATTCCTTCTTGGGACAGAATGGGTGTGCTGTGAGAGGAGCGGTACCAAGCGGTGATGCCTCGGCTATCTGGTGGCTGAACTTGGATCCGATGCCTGTAAAGAGGGGTTCAACACTCTAATGTTCACCATTTAAAGATACTAAATTCGCACTTCTCTCCCATATCTTTCTACGACCAATTAAAAATCGACAATTCGATTCTCAGATCCGGAGCTTGTCCCATCCCACTAACTAGTTATCCTTGCACGACTGAATCTTCGCCACCAGGGGTTCAACTACATCATCGGATCTCAAATCTGCATGGCCCTTTAGCACCACCAAAAGCTCCATTATTTTCCCAACATCCCGAATCACGGCCGTTCACGGCAGTGGATAATTGGATCATCAACCTAAAATTTTGGCGGGCGTCGGATTTAAGATAGAGTTTTGGTACAACTTGGCACTTAACGACGAAAAAGTGGTTTCGACAGGGACTTCGAGCTATTACAATTGCGTCAAGACACCTGTTTTTCGGACGCATTGCGTAGGTGGGCTGCTCTAGCAATCGGATAAGAGCTCCACAGAAACATATATTAAAGATGTCGAAGCCCATCAAATTCCCATTTGCAGCAGCAACTGAACGAATTCTCTCTCTCACAAATCACTTTCAAGATTCTTTAAATCCAGCAGACGATTTAGAAAAAGCGGAAAAGATGGCATCATACAAATTCGCAGGATGGATGGGCTTAGATAAGGAGAGTGAGAAAGGAAAGATGGTTTGGCAGGAATATGAGCCAAAGACTTGGACTGAGGATGATGTCGATATTAAGATCACTCATTGTGGTATCTGTGGCTCCGATCTTCACACTTTAAGATCAGGCTGGGGTCCTACTCTCTACCCATGCGTAAGTCAAATCCAATCCAACTATCTCCTTTCCGATGTCCTAGAATAATTATCTGACTCCCAACAGTGCGTTGGTCATGAGATTGCTGGCACAGCCGTCCGAGTCGGAAAGAATGTAAAGCACTTCAAGGTCGGCGACCGCGTTGGTGTCGGCGCTCAATCAGGCTCTTGCCTCGACTGCGAGGAGTGCCTCGAAGGAAATGAGCACTACTGTACAAAGGGAAATATCGGTACCTACAACGGCAAATACCCAGATGGAAGCAAATCCTACGGAGGATACGCCGATTACTGCCGTGCCCCAGCACACTTCGCTGTTAAGATCCCAGACAGCATCAGCAACGCTGAAGCAGCACCCATGTTGTGCGGAGGCGTTACTGTCTGGAGTCCTCTGACCAAGAATGGCGATATTAAGGGCAAGAAAGTAGGTATCGTTGGTGTTGGTGGATTGGGACATTTCGGTCTCCTGTGGGCGAAGGCTCTTGGTGCTTCCGAAGTTGTTGCTATTTCACGAACCGACAGCAAGAAGGAGGATGCGTTGAAGATGGGTGCTACCAAGTTCATCGCGACCGAATCAGAGGGCTGGGCTAAGAAGAACTATCGGTCTCTAGATCTGATCGTTTCTACTGTCTCGAGCCCAAATATGCCGCTTGAGAAGTACTTCATGCTGCTCAGAACCAACGGACAATTCATCCAAGTCGGTGCGCCAGAGGATAAGATCCCTGCTTTCTCGGCGTTCGCTTTAATCGCGAAGGGATGCAAGATGGGTGGCAGCATGATTGGAAGTCCAAAGGATATTAGCGAAATGTTGGAGTTTGCGGCCAAGAATGCTATTCATCCTTGGATCCAGGAGAGGCCGATGAAGGATGCAAACCAGTCGATTGTGGATATGGATGCTGGGAAGGCGAGGTACAGATATGTTTTGGTTAATAAGAAGCATGTCGCGGAATTGAAGGCATGAGTTGTATAGTAATGAATGTTATGAAATTATATTAGACATGAAAGGAAGAAATTCGAAAGGATTATCTCTTCTAAATTATGTGCATCTTTTCTTGTGAACGAGTCGAATCGCTGGATTCTGTTGGGGCCCTTGACAGTCGTTTCATGATTCAATACATCTTCACATCAATGGAGTTACAACGAAACGAAAATGCCTACACGAGACTGCAAACAGCCATTCCCTTGACTTTGTCCTTCTTTGTAACCCCTCCACGCTCAATCGAGAAACAACGATTCTCACACGTGACGTACCAGCTGCCTGGTAACGACGGCTCGGTCAAAAAATGAATGCCAACAAAGGATCCATCGACGGGAGAAGCAAGGGAGACAAAATGGAATCCCCAATATCAACCTCAACTCCTCTTTTCAGGATCACACATCTCAGAAACCCAGATAATCAATCCAAAGTCAAGAAGCATCACATGACGGTTCCCTGCTCGACTGCAATTCCTCTCGAGACTCTGAAACAAAGTCAAAAGCGATGGTCTCGGAGCAAAAAACCGTCTTGGTTCTCGGCCCCGCTGGAGCCGGCAAGGCTACTGCCATAGGATGCATCTTATTTAAAGTCAGTTATATTACTTATAATGGACCCTTACCCCACTTTTGCTTACAGCGAGGATGAGCTGGACGGATAGCTAGCTGACCTGACGGGGATTACCTAGTTTGGGGGTATTGATATGTTGACTCTGGAAAGGTTCCAGAAAGAGGGAATTCGGTTGTGTGGACAGGCTGCAAGGAATCTCAAGAGTCCTGGTGTGCAGCCGAGTTTTGATACCCCGAATTTTCATGTTGTGGTTTCGGGTAAGTGTTGTGGTGTTCGGTAACTGGTGTTTTGTGTACGTCGCTTAATGGATTGTGGTACAGATGGCTCATCCAAGGTTGACTGTGTTCTCCTGGTCATCCCTGCAGACTCGGCTCAATCACATCTCGAGAAGGAGCTTGATATAGTTGCCGATGCAGCTAAACAGATCATAGTGCTGATCAATAAAATGTGAGTGTGATGTGAAGTTGAGCTAGACCTCGCTAATCTCCTGGATAGGGACGATATGAATTGGTCGGAGGTGGCATTTCAAAGCACTGTGCACAGCCTTGGGCGAGTCATGCAGGGGTGAGGAGTTGTTTTCTATGGTGCTGAAGTGGATTACGACTAACAGTAATCAGTGTCCCGGTCATTCCCTTCTCGGCTTTGAGAGGCGATAATGCTGTTGAGCTGTCATCAGAAACTGCTTGGTATGAAGGACCAACACTTCTTATGGCTCTGGAGACTTCATTTCGCACATGATTACTGGGTTTATCTGGTACTGTTGTTATCTGACATGATATATGAAAATAAATACAGATCATTCCATCAAAACTCCTTGCAGTGCCTTTACCACGTCGGTGTGACCACAGGACTCTGCTACAGAAATAGGTGTCTGGCCCGAATTCGACCTACTATTGACCTCTATCCCTTCGACCTCTAGCAGTAACTTAACAACGTCTAGATAGCCGTACCCAGCAGCAAAAGAAAGTGGACTCCGTCCATTCCGATCCTTTTTGTCTACATCCACGAGACCTGAAGCGAGTAAGGCCTGTACGGTCTTTGGAGCATTCCCAGATAGTGCCCAGGCTAGTGGCGTCCAGCCATCTGCATCTTCAGCATCCACTCCCATAGGACAGTGTTTGATCAGGTACCTAACAACTTTGTGGTGGCGTCCATGACAAGCCCATGACAAGGCGTTCCGGCCGTCGTTATCTCTGCTCGAGATATCAAATCGGCTACTATGTCTTAGTAAACTGGTGACTTTTAGTTGACCGCTTCCAGCGGCCCAAGATAGTGCAGTCCGCCCAGCTCGATCGCGCTGTTCGATGCTCATGTGTTGTAGACTGAGTAGATATCTGACGATATCAATATGTCCTTCTGAGGCGGCCCATGAGATAGCATTTCGTCCTGTCCTGTCTACATGATTCGGCGAGACACGGGGATCAGACAAAAGTGCCTGAAGGATATCCAGATGCTTGCCAAACACTGAATGAAAGAGTGGCGTCCGTTGATCATAGTCGGCGAGGTCGGGCAAAATGTGTTCGTGGTCGAGAAGTTGCCTTACAATCCCCAGAAATCCGTTGCTGGCAGCAATGGATAGCGGTGTTCTACCACGGTGCCATTCATGATTGACTCTGAACCCAGCCTCAGCAGATATCAGTCCCTCGTCGCGAAGGAGAGTGCGAACAACATCTCTGCGATCGAATTGCGATGCGACAATAAGGGCAGTACACCCATCAACTACCCTGACATCAGGGCTCACATTCTCTTTGAGTAGCTTTCCGACGATATGTGCGTGTCCATTTCGAGCTGCCCAAAACAAACCCTGAACTTGCAACATACCTGGGTCTGAGGCTACCGACATCTCCAAACAGTATTCCACCGTTTCTTGGTGACCAAAGTAGCAAGCAGTAACCATTGGACCGAAATCTTTGGGGCACGGGATATTCATGTTAGATCTGGACCAGTAGTGACGAAACCAGTTGAGCCCAGGATTGGCTCTCGCGTCAGATAGTAAACGTCCAGCAGCTCTCAGTTCCGGCGAGGCAAGCTCAATGCCCAAAGCGAAGAGCTCTGGCCAGTAAGTGGCTGCGTGATTGAAGAAAGGGTATCGCTTCTCGATGCGACCGCATGCCTTGAATTCGAGAACGGCAGGCTCAAGGAACATATTAGACCCCTCCTCACTAAGATGAAACGAATCCCAGAGGGCTTCCAAAGATTCTACATCCTTGGACTCATTTCCCTCGCTGGGAACCCCAGGGGACAGCTCAGGTTCTATCTCTTGAATTGAATATAAGTCTTGAGAGAAATCTTCCAACAGAAGATAGCATATGCACGCCTCGGCAAGCAATAAGTTTGCCCGTACTGAACAAACACCAAAACAAGCCGACAACGGATTTGCAGGCTCTTCTGAAAGATTGAGCAGGAACTTTTTGAGTGATGGATGTACGAGATATATCCGTGAGTCCCAAATCTGAATGAGAGGACCAAGCGTGCCTTCGATGATTTCCTGGATGTTTGGCTGCATGTCGTTCTCCAATGCCTCGAGTGTTGTCTGTCGGTCTAGAGCAAACAAAACTCTCATCTCGTCTAGCGTCAAGGGACGCGAGCTCCCAACGATGAAGTGCAGCAGTTTGGAGGCATTCTTCTGTTCCTTGACAGGAATCCTTTGGAGTAAGCGTTCGTAGGCCGCATTTAGATCTTGTGGCAGCTCGTCAACGATGCGCTCGAATTCTTCCTGTGATGCGAAGTAGGTCTTCTCAAGAAGATGCAAGACGAGACTCATCCAGAGAAAAGTTCGACTGGCATTCGAGTACAGCGCTTTTTCTAGGTAGATGCCTGCTTCTGGTCTACAATGAGCTCTGTCGACAGTTCCTGCTATTCGAGCTCGGATTACAAGTCTCAATTGGTTGTTGAAACTTCGCAGGATAGCTGTCTCATCCTGCCGACTTTCTATCGTCTCGTCGAGGAAGGAGTAGCACGGCGGTCTGTTGTTTCTGCGTAGCATTGGAAATGACCGCCCGCACTCAGGTTTTCAGCGGATATGCAGACAGAAGGGTTTGGCCACTATCTAGCTTTGGCACGAAATCTAGGGGAAGCACGCGAGAAATCAGATAGCTCACGCCCATCACGGCTATACGTGATATTTCTTTGTCTGTTGGAATGTGATTTGCCAGGAATGGGCATCCTTTTGCTCGTAAAGAGGAACAAAGGAAGGACTCATGGATTTGAAGCTCGTCACTTTTCACTTGAAGAGCACCAAGGTTTTGATCGGAATTCTCCAATCCGGAAGTGGAAGGGACCGTCTTGACATCTCAGGAATGCTAGGTAGCTTTGCCATTTCCTTGGTGAAATGTCCCAAGTAGAATACTGCAGTGGTAGATCTGGAGATATCGATGTCCCGTGAACCCGCTCAGAAGCCGACAAGTACGCCCACCCATGATGGCCGAGGGTGTCCTTGCAAGCCATGGACAAACTTATAATAACGATTTAATAAAAGTTTGAATACAGATGGACTTGAAGATAATTGGAAAATAGGGAACAGTACTCTGCTGTGGAGCACGGTGAGCTTGCTTGTGTGTACCTTCCACGTGATGGCTGACATCTCCCCCCATCCCCCCCCCCCCCCCGATTTCGATTGCCGAGTGAAACCCACATGTCACAATGTTTTCATGTCAAGGGGCATAATTCGCACGATAAAAAGTTGAATCCTTCTGATGCCCAGAAATCTCTGGGGGCGGCGCGGCTCGAGTTGCGGGTCGACGGCGCCTCCTTTGGACCTCCAGCAGGGATTCGGCAGCCCGCAACTTGCGCAAGCCCCCAGCAAACCCACCATCGTGCATCTTCCACACTGTAAACTAACGCCAGATGTTTTTCAAGGTCTTCAGCCTTGTGGGAAGGCGAACGGTGGATGGAAGCTAATCTTGACGTTCAGCTAAGCTCCTGTATTTGAACTTTCTGAATGTCGGGTAGAGCGTGATGGCATGTATAACTACTTGAGGATATCTAACTTTCGGTTCAAAATTATATTCGAGTCGTGGCTCCCTTGCATTGATGCGGACGTCCGTATGGATGAGAGAGCGACCACCCGTCTGGCCCGGAACTGTGAACTTCATGGTTGGTTTGCTTGAATAGCCGGTATGTGGAGGGTTCTCGAACAATCAAACCAAAAAAAGAAAAATTTAGATGCCCCTTTTCCCGAGACGTTTCTCCCGTCCTTGAAGCGTGGCAGATCATTGTTCTTAACTTTCTTGCGACATCCAGGACACAGACGAGCTCCTGTCAAAGAGCATCTGTCCACGTCCAAGTCCACTTCTTGGCGCTTCTAGTAGAACGACCTTGCTGTCGCAAAAAGGGGTTCCTCACTGCGCAAACCCGGTAAAAATTCTTCACATACAACCAGATAGGGCGTAGATAGCTACTCCTAGGTATCAAGTACACAAAGTACTTACAGTGCGCTTCACGTCACATCAACTCGCGCCTACAATGATAAAAAGGGGCAGCAGGGCAAACTCCCGCCCCCTATTTTCTGTCAAATCGGGGCTGAACTTGATCTGTGCCCTTTTCTGACTTTATCCAAAGCTGGAAGAATCCCAAGCGGGAAACACAAACATTTCATACCAGCTATCTGGGTCTCTTCCAAGGGAGGGTTCCGATATGAGGGCGAAAGTTGGTCAGCTTAGAAGAGGGAAGATGGTCAGATGAGGTGTTCGGTCGAATGTCCCGACAGCCGGGAGTAGATTACACGTGACTTTGAGATGTCTCCAAGCTGGAAAATATGGGGAAAACTGGTGAAGTTGCTTGGATATCGAGGGACCTCGTTGTCCCAAGAGTTAGTACGGAGCTTGAGGAATGCTATCATACTCAGTTACTGTCGAATATTTGTTTCATTATCTATATCCGTAGGTAGGTACTAATATGGCCGAGCTGTCGCACTGTCGATCTAACCTGGTAAATAAGCGATAGACAAACAACAACTCTGCAATGTTTGCACATATTTTCCAGCTTCTATGGAGACCATGGGAAGACTTTCGTGACCATTTGATCATTATTCATCTACCACAACGACCAGCCAGCAAGATTTTATGCTCCCCTTAAGGTTCCTATCTGACCACGAGAAACGTTTCAAGATAATCAGGTGATTTAGTGTATTCCCTAGACCATTTACGGTTAGCGGACGTGCTCAAGTCTACACGCATTTCACGGGGAACTCTGCCAGTTATTCCTGTTCACACCTCCCCTCCTCTTGTCTGAGATCTTCTCTTTGCCCAATGCTTCTTGAGGATCGTTCCGACGGCTGCGTGTCTTCTTGATCTTTGGCAACTCTGGATTTGTGGAATATTCGTGGCTCGCGGACTTGTGTCAGCGGAATTACCCACAGATTCTCAAGTATCGGCACATACCAGCCTCGCGGAAAACTGGACGTTACCGGTCTGAGATATCCGCCCGGTCGCATCATAGTGGTCCTGCATCTCCCCAATACTCTACCTTACCTTCCACCTTCCCTCACCCCCAAAAGTCACAGTCAGTCCGCGACCCATCAGGACACCCTCGCCGATTGACTCGCTCCTCGACATCGCAGGTCGACGCTCCCGTACTCCTCGCCGACAGTGTATTTGTCACTGTTCGCACCACGTCCTCTGTGGTGGCTAGATTGGACCGGTGCTTTCGCTTCTCGCCTCACTGGAATCACGCCGCCTATCGCATACGCTCTCTGCTCGCAAAAAGTTCCACGGACAACTACAACCTCCCAACTACCAACTTTCTCGCGTCGTGCGATATTGACCGCCAATACTCAACAAAAGCTGGCACATTAGGCACTTGCTTCCTCGAAGCTGTCGCCTCGCGACACATTATCGGCCAGAACGCCGGTCGCGGTTCTGACACGCTCTGAGAATCCCAGTAGCTTGGCTGCAAGGCGAATTTGCTCCGCGCCTCTCATCCGCGACGATGAACAACGTTAATATGGGTGGCATGAATGCCATGGGTGGTCCAGTCGGCGGAGGGATGCCCATGATGAACAACGGCGCAGGTGGAGCCCGACAACCAATGCCGCCGAATAACAACGACCAGCGATCGCAACTCAACACCTACATCTACGAATACTTCCTCCGAAATGGGATGTACGATTGTGCGAGATCTCTTCTCAACAGCGAACAGCCCATAAATGTGGAGAAGGATAGTCCTGGCCGCCGTCGCGAAAATGGTACTGGCGATGAAGGAGGAGATGGAGATAACAAAGACGACATCGACTCCAAGCAACCAAATGACTTGCCAAACCCAGCTATCCCCAAGGAATGCCCAGAAAGCTGTTTCTTGTACGAATGGTGGTGTCTATTTTGGGACATGTTCAATGCCCAGCGTGGAAAGGGTGATGCACGCAGCGTCTTACAATACGTCACGCATACACAGGTAAGTTCTGACGTCTTGACACAACCGAACTGAAGCTCACATCTCTGAAGGGTCAATCACGACTTAAGCAAGAACAGCAGCAACAGATGCTGCGCGGATTGAGAAACGATATGACACCGCAGCAGTATCAGCAATTGATGATGAGAAACTCTGCTGCAGGTAATGGCATGAACTTGAATCAGAATGAATTGAGGCACAAGGCCATTCAAAATAACAATCGAAATGCGTTGGTAGCCCTTCTTTTGATTTTGTACAGATAAGCTAATGGTCACAAAGTACCCCGCAGCAATTGCAAATGCTTCAAGCCCAGCAGCAGGCTCAGAAGCAGCAACAGATGCAGCGTGATCCATCAGAGGGAAATAATCAGCAGCGCCCACAATCCCCTGGATCCGCAGAGAATGCACCGTCTCCTTCGAAACGTCCTCGTCTTGACGGAACCCCGTTCAACCCACAACAAGTGCCAAATGGAAGAGGACAAGCTGGAGGAATGCCCCAACAGGTGGGAGATACTGGCCCCAGCAATGCTATTCAAGCGGCTCATATGCAGCTTACCAATGGCATCGAACCAAGTAATCTGACAGCTCAGCAGTTCCAGAACATGCCAGGCGGTCCAAATGCTCAACAAGCCAGACTCGCCGGATACCAGCAAAATCTCGCCCAGCAGCAAGCTGGCCAAATGCCCGGCGTTAATAAGCCCATGCCAAACCCCGGTGGTCCCCAGAATCAGGGCTCACCAATGATGACCCAAGGCCAGGATGGCGCGGCAATCGCCAACTACTATAATCCTCAAGACCCGAACAGAATGCAGGGTCCAGGTGGTGCACCTGGTGGTAGCGGCGGAAACCATGCTCTGCAAGATTATCAAATGCAACTAATGCTCCTAGAGCAGCAGAACAAAAAGAGGCTCATGATGGCGCGCCAAGAGCAAGATAACATGATACCACGACCTGAAGGAGGACAGGGCGGTGGTCCTGGTCCAGTAGGACCTAACGGACAGCCATTCCAACAAGGGACCTCCCCTCAAGGTCCTCGTTCGGTGAACTCGCCTAATCCAGGTGATCAAATGAAGCGCGGTACTCCTCACATGAACAATGCTGGCATGCCATCGCCTCTTCCAGAAGGGCAATCTCGAGGTTCTCCAAGTAATGGAATGAACTTCAACCTTCCTGGCGGTCAAATGGATCCAAATATGAATCCTCAGTACTTCAAGATGAATGGTATGGATCCTAACATGGCCGGTGTCATGCCTAATGGCATGCGTCCTCCAAGCTCTCATCCAGGAGGGTTCAACGGCCAAATGACCCCACAGCAAATGGCTATGGCTCGTCAGCAACAACAGCAAGTCCAGAACTGGCAGGGACCTAACGGCCAAATGATGCCACAACCTGCCTCAGGAGGAGCTCCACAACAGAATATGGGTACACCGCAACAGCGAGCTATGCCGCCGCCATCCGCCCCAGCAGCCAACCCAGCAGCGAATGGTAGAACGCAACCTCCATCGCCGCAACAGAACCCAGCACCACCGACGCCGTCGCAGACCAATAAGGCCAATCCAAAGAAGAAGGCAGAGTCAAAGGACAGTAAAGCAAAGGTATATTCTATTGCGTTTGATGGATTTTTTGTAGAAATGTTGACATTGATGACAGCGGGCTACAAAGAAGGGATCTACCGCGAACCTCAATGCAGGTGCCACACCGTCTGCCGACGCCGAAAATGCTGGGGCAACGCCGACGCCCGCGACTCCCATTACCCCGGTCCATCCGAAGAGCTTCCAAAATGGAGCAGTCCAGCCTGTTACGAACGGTCAGGCTCCCGCGCCAGCTGCGAACGCCGGGGTTGTTCCCCAACAGCCCGATCCTCTGCAAGGCGGTGCTCTTACCTTCGATTCTTCTGCTGTTAGTATTCTGGTCCCATGCTTTATCTCCCTCCTAACGCAGCACAGTTCGATTTCCAGGGTGGTATGGACTTTGCAAATCCTGGCAATGGCAACATGGATGTGCTCCAGGACTTCGACTTCGACTCCTTCTTGCATCAAGATGGAGAAGGTGTTGACCAATTCAACTTCGACTCGGCCGCATTCCTTGATGGGAACGAGATTGGCGCAGAGTGATCGAAGATACATTCTCTTGGAGTACCATCATTCAAATTTCCGGAGTTTTCGTGCATACCTCATGGCGTTAAAGCGGATCATACCATCTCGGTTCCGGAGTGTTCCTTGTTTTATGCGAAAAGAGTCTCGGTCCCAATGATTAGAAAGAGTGGCTTGGCAGTCTTAAAAAATAACCTTACCACATACATTTGTTTCTCCTGCAATTGGATATGGACTAGGGCATGTTTCTCTGTTTTATGTTTATGCTTTATTGTAGCAACGTACCTAATACCTGCTTTATCTCTGCTGCCTCGCAGTGCGCTCGGCATCGGAGCAACAGGTGGATTCTGGAGTCGGGGGCCAATCTCTACAAACTTCTTTACGTGTTCATTATTGTTGTGCGTCTGGGGGGGATAGGTCAGGGAGGAACCTGTGTATTTATCATGGAAGTGCGGGAAGGCTTTGCTGGTGGATTTAAAGACTTGATTACAATGGAGCACGATATTATGTTCAGTCTTGATCTTAACCTAAGATTCAAGTGTTTTGGATCATGCTACAATATGCCGGTTGTCACTAATCAAATACGTACATTTTCATTGGCCATCAATGCAACAGATGCTATTAAGCACAAGCACATCCACACGTATGAAGGCTGCGGCTAAGCCAATACAAAGCCTTGCCGCAGAGTGTAGCGTCTAGCGCTTAGTTTTCACGCACAGCTGATTATATAGCATCCACTCTCTTTCCCCCCTTCATTCTTCTTTTCCAAAGTTGGGGGTCTGGTTAGTCCGACTGTTTTACCTGATCCGTGCACGTACAGTAGTGCTGACACAATACTTTTTATTCTGAATTCTAGCACTTCAAATTTTGCTACAATTACTCAGCCGCCAAATTGGCGAGCTCCTCGTTTCGCCCCGGCTCGGAAGTAAACATCAAAGTCCTAGCTTCTTCGTCAACAAGGAACAGCTTCACGGCAAAGTGTCATAGCTCTAATTCCTATCCCAGCAATATCTTTTCCTATCCTGCCCAGTCCTAGCAGCTACAAACCCGAAAGCATTCAAATAAACAGAAAATATCAAGAATTCTAGAGCTCAAACACTCCTGAATTAAATCAGACATGGCGCCCATTCCACCCCAAGACCTCAACGTCCCTTGGCACAAAGACACCGTCCTCCAACTCCGCACCAGCAAAATGAAACCTATGCACAACCTCTCCATCAGCACAGGTATCTACAAGCAGCCACGTACCACCCGCGTCTTTTGCAGTTTCACCGGCCTCGCCGACGACGAGCACGACCTGACTTTCCACGGCGGTGTCGACAAAGCCGTGCACCAGTACTACCCCAGACATTATCCGTCCTGGAAGTCCGACTTCCCCTCTGCCGCCTCTGCTTTTGAAGTGGGTGGTTTCGGCGAGAATGTAGTGAGTGAGGTTATGAATGAGAGGAATGTGTGTATTGGGGATGTGATCAGGATCGGGGAGGTGCTGCTGCAGGTTAGTTTGCCGAGACAGCCGTGCTTCAAGTTGAATCATCGGTTTGGACTCAAGGCCTTTACCAGCCAGACTTGGAAGAAGAGTCGCACGGGGTGGTATTATAGAGTGCTTGAGGAGGGGTGGATGGGCATGGGTGATAGGATTGAGCTTGTGGAGAGGAGGCATGAGGAGTGGACGATTGAGAGGGTGCAGGAGTATTTGCATAGGGATAAGGGGAACTTGGAGATGTTGACAAAGGTAAGATAATTTTTCACCTCTTGTGAGATAAGATGTCTTTCACTCAAGAGTTTCTGTATTTTCGGCTTGAAGACCGTGTGCAAGTGAGCTTTTGTTTCCAGTTTTGATCTTGGGATAACGACCTGACCATGTCCTCAGCTCGAGCAAATTCCCGAATTCGGAACTGAGTGCAAAACAGCTTTCAAACGCATGATCGCCACTCTCCTCGCCGCCGAAGCCGAGAAGAACAAGCCCAAAGAACCAGAAAAGTGGGAACAATACACACTCGTCGAGAAGAATAAAGAAACTCCTCGCATCACTTCCTTCGTTTTCTCCAAACCCGGTTCAGAGGAAACCAAAACCAGAGATCTCGATCCGGGGTGTTTTGTGAGACTAAAGCTACCGAATGAATTGTTGAGATCGTATTCGATTGTTAGTGGCTCAAAGGATAGATTTAGGCTGGGTATTGCAAGGGATGAGAAGAGTCGTGGAGGATCGAAATATTTGCATGAGAATTTGGAGGTTGGTGATGAGATAGAGGTGGGAAAGATTATGGAGAGCGTGCCGATTAAGGGGCAGTCTTCGAACCAGTAAGCATTTCATTTTCTCTGCCGAAAGTCATCCTGGTCCGAGGAAGTGAAATTTTCCTACTGGTTGGGGTTCTGGGACATGAAGAAGATATCCAAACTGATTCGGTCAACAGCATATTCATCGCCGGCGGAATAGGCATTACTGCCTTCCTCGCCCACGTTGACATCTACGCGAAGATCAACTGGAACTACATCGTGCACTTCGCTATACGATCAGCAGAGGATGTTCCGTTCAAGGAACGAATCGAGAAACTGCGAGATCAAGGACGTATGGTACTGTATGATGGGAAGAAAGGCGAGAGGATGGATGTAGCGAAAATACTCGGGGAGAGAACCTGGGGAAGTGCGGTGTATGTTTGTGGACCGAGGAAATTGATTGATGGGGTAAGAGAGGTGGTTGAGAGGCTTGGGATCGGGGAGGATGAGGTGCATTTTGAGGCTTTTCAAGGTGATAGTTTTTCTTGAAGAGTTACTGTGTTTGTTGTAGGGCTGAAAAATGTCGAGAAAATTGCTGACGGGGATCTAGCTGACAATACCGGTGATCCTTTCACTGCGGAAATCGTAAGTACTAGCGAGGAAGACCAGAATGAAGAAGGAAAGAGTAAAACAATCGATGTCCCAGGAGATAAGACGCTTTTGCAGTGTATTCGTGACGCTGGCTTTGAGATCGACAGCAGTTGCGAGGTGGGGAATTGTGGTGCTTGTAGGGTTACAGTTACGGAGGGAGAAGTCGAGCATAGGGGGAGTGCGTTGAGTAAGGAGGATAAGGAGGAGGGCGGGATGTTAAGTTGTGTTAGTCGTGGGGTGGGGAGGTTGAGGATTGAATGGTAGGCTAGGGATTGCCTGTGATTGCCTTTGCAGTTTATTTACTAGAATTTTAGTTGGAATGAGTAAACATGAGTCCTATATCTTTTGCCACTTTGCTGTTGATTGAACTGCGTATTGGTGCAAGTGTTTTTTTTTCCCCGGTATCCCTGGTCCCCTCGCTTAGAACTTCATAAACATTCATATCTTTTCCAAAGTCAAATAACGAGATAAGACATTCACTTCCATCAAATAGTCCGGAATGGTGTAATGGTTAGCATTTCTGCCTCTCACTAGCTGTTTATACAACAGTCAAGTGTTCGCAGGAGATCGGGGTTCAATTCCCCGTTCCGGAAATATATTTTACTTTTTGTTGTCTGCTCCCTTTTTGCTTTCTATATTGCGGTCTATGATCCATATTTGGTGCTACATGTGGGCATAGAAAGTCCCTTTAGACTGGTTAGAGGCTGTTAAACCACGTTATTGGTATACAGATCTGAGGGAACTGCATTACGTTGTGCTACCTATAGGAATACTCGGCCTTTAGTCATCCCTGAAATAGACAGCTATATCTCCAGCGGGATGTATATGCAGACACTGAGGTCATCTTTACGGCACTATTATAGCGCTAAGAGGCGGTGATAATGACTAGGCGCTTCGAGCAAAGTGCTTCATCCAAAAGTTACAGGTATCTTTGAAAGGCAGACATTACGCATTAAGTGAATAGATATACAGAGACGCTTTTTTCAATCCTGGTGTGCTCATCATGTCCCCTCTATCTCCGCTCATGCTGAGAGCTCCTTGGCCACTGAGCTTCAATGTCCTCCTTTTGTACACCACTAATAGTCGTAGTCTGTGCACTGCCAACATGTCCATCCAGATCCGCTACTGGATCAGCCTCCATTACGGCCGGATCCAAACTCGTATTAACACTCCCATCCGTACTCAGATTATCAAAACCACCCTGCTCCTCAACAGCCTGGATCTCCTCTACCTCGATAGCCCTCTCTTCCACCACTTGCGCGATCATATGCTCAGGATTCTGCGTAGGATCGTTCTCGGCATCTCCATCCTGACCCGGATTCACCATCTCATACTCCAGGATCTTATTCAGTTTATAAAATCCAACAGCGAGAAGCGCACCAATAAGCGGTCCTAGCCAGTAAATCCAATGCTCACTGTCAAAATCATGCGTCACAGCACAAGGCGCGAAGCTTCTCGCTGGGTTGAGAGATCCACCAGTGTAGTACACAGCTACGAGCTCAGAGATGAAGAGTGCAAGGCCGATGCCCACGGGTGCGATGAATGTCGCGCGGTGCTTTTCACCTGCGAGCATTATGATGGTGAAGACTAGCTCGGCGGTGCAGACGGCTTCGATGAAGAGGCCTTGGGCGGTGGATGTTCCTGAAGCGAGGGTGGTGCGGACATTGAATGCGGTGGGAAAGAGAACGGAGACTATATAGGCGGAGAATGTGGCTCCAGTTACTTGGGCGATGAAAAGTAAGAGGGCACGGAGAGGAGAGAGAGCCTCGAGGAGGGCGAGAGCGAGGGTCACCTAAGGGGAGATGTGAGTTGAGACCAGGAGAAGTTTGAAGAGGGATAAGACGGGGAGATTGAAGCTTACAGCTGGGTTGAAAAGGCCACCACTGATACGGAAGAATATCCAGGCGTTCACCATGAGACTAAATCCAAAACTGAGTGAGATGTAGAGCAAGGTTGCCGGATTGAAGCCTGTTGCTGAGCCGGTTGTGGACTGAGAGGTGTGTTAGCTATACATTCAGGTCACCGATTTCTTCTGAAACTACAGCCTTGAAATCCTGGGAATGGGTCTTATGCATGCCTACCTGGTTCGTCGAGTCCCCAACTCCAATATTCGCAACCTGTGTCCCAGCAAAAGCGAAAAAGAGGAACATGAACGTCCCTACAAACTCTCCCATAAATGCTACAAAATCTATTGACCTATACATTAGTCTCACGACTCAGATCAAGAGTTTTCGAGGGGCATACGGTTCTTCGCGTCACTATGCATCCATTTTGTCCAATGAAGTCGAACCGGAACCGGCCCATCCTGCTTATGCTTCTGATGCAAGCGATGCCTGATCTGTCTCCTCTTGTAATGATGCGGATCATGGCTGCGATATATAGCTGTGTCGTCAGAAGCGGAGCTGCGGTAGCCTCCTCTGGGTGTGTTGTAGTTGTGGTCCCGCTGGGAGACGCCGTGGCTGGCATTGCCTTGTTGGTGCCTCTGTCGGACTGCTTGAGGAGGAGGTGGAGGTTGAGAAGTTCCGTTTGTATGGGCTTGAGGTGGCTTGTAGAATTGCTCTGATGTTGTGATTTGGGCTCCTGGGATGGAGGAAAGGGGTGGGGAGGAAGTCATATTGACACTGCTGATGTTTACACAGGGACTTGTTCGAAGCGAGGGATTGCCGAGTCCCAGTAAATAGATTAGAGTTTCGTAGAGAAGAATTACAACGACGGGAAATTCACGACATTCAGAAGTGATCAGGGAAGAGACAAAAAGAAAGAAGAATCATCCGGTAATCTTTTTCGTAAAAATCGATACCTTTCTCGCTCTATTAGAAAGTGAGACCTTTTCCGATCGATGACATCGACGGCAGTGGCGCGGATCATAGCCCGAGCATGCGCCGTCCAAAGTAGCCTCACCTCGCCCACAGTATGCAGCACGCGCTTTGCCTCTACGGCACCTAGTCGTTGGCGCGGCTGGAAACTTTCCGAGGGATCGGCTGTTGAACACAATAAAGTGTTCTCGTGTTGGTAGATAGGCTCGATAGGTTTTGCTTGCGGTGTGGATATGTTGGCCGTGGGATGATGGTGTGGCTGAGGAATGGGAGGAGAATGTGCTAGCTTGGACTGCTAGCGACTTGCTCTGCATTTGGTTCCACTGGTGTCTTGTGTGAAGTGCGATTGAAGTGCATAAGTAACTGTAGTGTTTGGAGGAAGATAATGGCAGAATTTGGACAAAGGAGCATAGATAAAAGAGACACACTCGCCTGGTCATCCTTTTTGTGGAAATCCAGAGACTTGCCGCATTCTATATTGTTTAGAGAATCCCTAGTGTTGGAGAGAAGACCTGGCTGGACAGGCATTGTGAGCTTTCTCCCAAGTCAACAAGAGAAAAGGGCGAGTGCCTCAAGTTATCATCCATTGTAGGGCACTGGATTTGCCATTCTGGTACCCGGACCTGAGGTTTCGAGTAGTCAAGCAATTGCTATGTCTCTGGTTTCATACAGATTACACAGCTCAGTTGCTCAAAGTCCGTAGACAATAAATGCTGTTTTTTCCTTCCTCGATTGTGGCAGCGCTGCGCTTAAGATTTCCCATCCCAACCCATTCCAAATCTATGAACGCCTCCAACTCCAAATATGCAACCCTATTCATCGTCCGCCGGCATCTCATCATCAATGTACCGTATTAGAGATATCCTCATCTCTGTCGAATCGTTCCCCCTCAATACGTCGGTGATAAAATGGGCCTCGACCTGCATCTGCACCATCTCCAATGCACCCCTCAGGACCCCGCAGAAGATGTTCGAATACCATAGCTCGTCCTGTGCCCGTCCGTCGTCTGGCAGTTCCACAAAGTCGGCTAGGGGGTTTTCTTCAAATATTAAGGAGAATTGCTTGCTGTCGCTTGTCCAGTTTGTGACGCTTGGGGTGATATTGAGGAAGATCTTGAATCCAACCTAATCAAGACTATAAGCTATTCTGCCCCAACATCAGGAAACGAGGTGTGTATACTTTCGCAATCATTTCTGCCGTTTCCCTAAAATTCGAGCATCGCCTCATGGTATTGGACTTCGCGAGGTAATCCTCAATGAGCCGTAAGCCGATGTTGTAGCCCATCTTATCCAGCTGCTTGTTGACTTCGACGTAATCGCTTTCGTAGTCTTTGCATAATTGTGCTACGATCGTGCCATATGTGAGGGTTACCAACTCGGCGTTGACTTTGTCTACCCGACTCCTGGTTTCTGGGTCAGATTTGAGGAGGGCATAGCCGGAATTGTATTGGACTCACTTCCAGACTCTAGAGGGGTGTCAGCTATTGTCCTTGAGGATATTGATCGCTGGGGAAGTGTCTTACTCTTCTCCTATCCGAGCAGCTTTGGAAGCCATGATTTAGTATTGGCGTACTGGCTTATGTGATTTGTGAGTATGGTTTGTAGGCTGGGAGTTTTGGACGAGGCGGCAGGACAAGGCAGGCAAGGTCAATGTTCCGAGCGAGAGGCTGCGAGGTCACTAGCGCGACCTGCCAAAAAATATCCAGAGCTTCCTGACCTTGCGACTCGAGACCAATCACCACCACGACATCTCCTTCGTAACGCAGCCTCCGACATTCTGAGAAGCAGTTAATATCCCAGGAATCATGGCTTCAGAAAAACGGCCCGCGTCGGGCGACTACAGCAACTCGCAGATGGTGGTTAAGAAGCAGAATTTGGGCAACAACAACAAGGCTGTAGCGGTGGTCAATGGGTCTGCTGCGAATGGCGCGCTCATACAGGCGGTATGTAACGCTCAGAGACTATGAAAAATTTCACATTGAATGTTTTGAGAGGATTTATGGCTAATGCGCGTGGAATAGGTGCCTCGGACAACAGGTTTGCAAGCTCCAGTGATGGAACTGTCTGGTCACTCGGGAGAGGTATTCTGCGCAAAGTTTGACCCGAATGGCAACTATATTGCTTCTGGTTCAATGGACCGTACTATCAGTGAGTTTAGGACCATTAATATGTGGCAGGGTAATGTTCTAATGGATGGTAGTGCTCTGGAGAACTTTTGGCAATTGCGAGAACTATGGCACTTTGACAGGTCACAAAGGTGCGATTATGGATCTACATTGGTCGCGAGACTCGAGAGTACTGTTTTCTGCTTCAGCGGATATGCATCTGGCGAGTTGGGATTTAGAGACTGGCACGAGGATACGAAGGCATGTTGGACACGAGGAGATCATCAACACAATGGATATCAGCAAGAGAGGAGAGGAATTGCTCATCAGTGGATCTGATGATGGATGCATTGGTATTTGGGACCCAAGAACGAAATCAGCAGTCGACTTCATCGAGACGGATTTCCCTATTACAGCGGTAGCTTTGGCGGAGGCTGGAAACGAGATCTATTCTGGTGGTATCGACAATGACATCAAGGTCTGGGATATGAGGAGAAAATCTGTTGTGTATTCGATGCTTGGACATACCGACACCATCTCTTCCCTCCGGATTTCACCAGATTCCCAATCACTGCTCTCAAATTCGATGGATTCGACGGTACGGACTTGGGATATCAGACCTTTTGCACCCACAGAACGACACATTCGAACCTTTGATGGAGCACCTGCTGGTATGGAGAACAACCTCATTAGCGCCAGCTGGAACTTTGACGGCAAAAGAATTGCAGCAGGAGCTGGTGATGGCACTGTTGTGGTGTGGAATAGCGAGTCTGGAAAGCTCATGTACAAGTTGCCTGGGCATAAGGGAACAGTGAACTGCGCGGAACTTTCGCCATCTTCGGATCCGATCGGTAAGTTTTCCTCGTGGTATGAAACTGGTCAAGTGGATACAGCTAAAATCATCAACAGTTCTTTCTGGATCATCTGATCGAAAACTCCTCTTGGGAGAGTTGAAGTGAGCTCCACCTCGCCTCTCGCACATAAGGTTGCGTTACCATGACCTTTCCGGGCGCGAGGGATGGCCGAAAAGGCGCACAAAAGTGGATTGAGGGCTTTCCTGGGTCTGCGTCTGCGTTACGTAGGGACTCGGACGAGGCGACGGCGTAATGGGAAATATGGAGTCGTGGCGTTGTACATTTATGGCCTCGAGCAGCCGTAAGAACGGCATCCCTTGTTTGAGGAGCGGATCTCATTGAGCAAGAGCCTCAAGTTCAAACGGCGAGCGATTTATGCATTAATAGCCAGTCGTTAGCTTCGATTACACCAATTGGCGTGCGGGACACTTCGAATCGTTCTTGGTGATAGATTAGACGACAATGATCGACAGGACATGGTGCTATTTGGCTGAATGTGCTGGCGTCAAAATCTGTATGTACAGTATTTACCAATACCAACAAAACTGCAGAAACCATGCAGGAACAGGTGTATACCCGTAATTGAGGATGGAAACCCGAGGTGAAGTGCAGTGAACCAATCGCCAATTTCGCTAGTTCAGTTCTTGCCCAGCAATACCGTCTGATCGCGAAAGCAACTCCAGAAATTCTGCTTCTGTTCTTACTTCCGTACGCCTCGGTTCATTTCGCCCAAAATACTTCGCAGCCATCAAAAAGCGAAATGGCGATGATTCCGTTCTGAGCGTCTTCTCGCGTCCAGCGTCACAATTAGGTGCTTTTGATTGGCCGAGCCTTGCTCGGCGCCGTGCTGAAACATCAGCGAGCTTCACAACCTTGTTCTGCTTCAGATAAGCTGGGTTTCCTATGGTATCGCGACGCCCCTGATGTCCTCAAGCATGTGCCTGCCCCTGGTTAGAACCTCCTGGCTCTGCTTCCTTCAGGCTGATCGGTCGAGATGCATGCGCACGGTGAGTGGATGAGAGGGTCTTGAAAACCATCGTCTCCATCCTCCGTCTCTCTCTTGTTTTCCCCTTGGCCGTCGCAGCTGCTTGTTCTCCTTGTGTCTGTGGTGCCAGCAGCAGGTCGGTGCTTTCCCTCTGCTCGAGTAACATCATCGCCCTTCCAGCAAACCTCACTCGTTCGCATCTGCAGCGAGACTGAGTCTTGTCCAGTCTTCCAGTCGTTCTTCTTCTCTTCTGATCTCACCCTCTTTTTGTATTTGTGTTTCTAATCCATTGGAGAATCGTCCGCGGGCGAGCGACAACACTTGCTTGCTTGTTTCGGATTTCGAACCTAACCCTCATTCTCTTGGTTGTGCTCCTAGGATCTCCTTACAAACGACTTCCTCTCAACCACTCACTGGCGCTGGCTCCAGGCATCATAACTCGCCACTGAGTCGCTGCTGCAAAAATTACTTGACCGATACTCCTTGGTCCATTCGCGAGCCCCTTGGCCTCTCGATCGCTGGCTACGTCTTCGGTGGATCTTCGAGGAACCTCAGTATAAACTTCGACACGGACTTCATTCGACCCTGATGCATCTGAAGCTACGAGCGATCCGGTCGTGTTGATCGGTCTAACCTCACGCGAGGAGGACCTCGTGCTGGACGCGAAGCAGGCCACTTCATAACAGACGAACCCTTCTTGAAAGACCGTTTAATATTTGGGATTACTACAAGTTGGGACTTTGGATACCCCGGCGGATCCTCCATACACATCTCAACAGCCAAGCGCCATGTCTTCAGGAAGGCGGAGCGAGCCAAGACCTAGACGGTCGTCGTCGACTGCTCCTTTGCAGCCTCAATCGAGGGTTGAGAGTCTGCGAACTGGGCTGAATGGCTGGTTTAATGGACGGTCGAGGGTTGGGACACCGAGGAGGAATCAAGTTCCAGAAAGTCCAAAGACCCCACGGCAGACACCTGGATTACAGGAGCTTCGTCTGCCATCAACAAGACTACACATCCCGTACCTATCTCGATCAAATTCCCTGGCATCAGTGAGGGAAACTGGACCATTGGCTTCGCCACGATCATTTCGACATCCTTTTGCGCCTATTAGTTCTCGACCTGTCACTGCCAGCTCCTTACGACAACAACATACCCGCCAAGCTTCTGGCGAGACAGTCTTCCCTCGAACACATCAGCCTTCTGGACGAAGATTCGTTGGAGTAGATCCAGCTGAACTTCATCTGGCTGAGCTGGCCAATGCGGGACGAAGACGAAGGAGGCAAAAGACGAGGAGATTAGAACGATTATGTGGACCGAAGATCAAGAACAGAAAGATACGAGCAAAAGTTCTCAGCTGCTTCATATCTGGAATGGTGCGTAGAAGCATGGCTATAGCTTTTGAACACTCACTAACAAAACACAGTTTCTTACTCTTGTTCTAACAATCTACCTGGCAATGGCCCTCTCCAACCGGAACGAAAGCCAAGAATTCCATGTCCTCCTGATCCTCATCATCCTGATAACGACCATCTTCTTCTGCCATTCTCTGATCCGTCTCTGCATGATGATCATCAAGCCTCCGCCAGACACCGACCTCGAATCGCAGACCCTCCCCGCCATGGTCGGCCCCGGCGGCTACGCCAACCCAGCGGCTCCTATTCCTGTAACACTTGCACGTGACGAAGAAGCTGCTGGTATCGAAAGCGATGCGACGAAGTTGCCTCCGCCAGCCTATGGACTATGGAGGGAAAGTGTCAGGGTCGATCCTAATCGTATCTTCTGGCAGAGGAATGCGGCTGCCCCGCCTGTGCCATCGAGGCAGAGGGGTGTGCCTGGGACTGGCGACGTGGAATCACAGAGACCGCAGACGGCAAATAGACCGCCAAGTTATATTTCGGAGGATGGCGTCGAGTATATCATTGAGGCGGCGCCGAGGTCCATTGCCCCGACTTACGATGTCCCATTACCGCCTCATCCGTCAGAGAGGGGGAGAATTTCCACGTTACCGCCTGTAAGGTGATAGTAGCGGATGTGATGGGGTGAGACGGGAATTGTAATTTATAGTGCGGTTAGCGAATGTAGCGTGTGTTGTGTTGATCACCATTGCTTGTTTTGCTTTGTCTGGCGTTTGGAGTTCTTTGGCATGAGGCGGGTAAGGTGAGGGGGAGGAAAAGGGAGAGGATATCATCTTGATATTTGTTTACCTGTCTTACGTATACGTAAATGAGACGAGATGGTATATGTATTTATAACAGAGTTGGAACGAACACAGGAGGAGGCTGAGGGGTTCCAGAGCATATTATATCCACAGGCGGCTTTGCTAGCTAGACAGAAAAGTTTCTTCCACACCATCTGTTTATCGTTGCTTTGACTTTCACAGTGTAAAGTGCCTGCTATGGAATTTGCAACGCCTTTGGTTGCTGTGAATCTGAGAGTGAGTTAAGGCAGAATACGAAGTAGTCATGAGGGGTCGGCTTACTTGGCTGTTCACACAACTGCATGCTGCTGCACATCGACTGCTCTGCATGTCATGGGTTAGTCAAAATAAGATATTAGTTCAGAACGGAACAGTGGGTTTGGGGGGCCATTTGGTCAGCTGATAAGTGTTCGGAAGTTATATTTGATAGTCCTATGCTTCGAATGAATGTCTTAAAGCTCAAATCAATCTCAAGCTCGGACATATACTTCTGAATAGTTTTTTATTATTTCTCGATTGACAGCTGTAGAGATAATAATAGCAGTGATCGTGACGACTGACCAGTAGCAAATTCCCAAGGTTCATCCTACCAAAGATAGAAGATCTTCGCTTGTTTTGACGGTCAGATAAGATCTCCTCTGCTGGATCCTGGGGGAACGAACTGTCATGTTCTGCCCAACGTCAATTATACATCCCTGTTTGTGGCGCAAAGGCGTTTCTTCTGCATCAATGTGTTGATTGCTTTTGCGATAGCTTTAGAAGTGTCGGCACCGGAAGAGAGAAAGTTGACCACAGAGGAAAAACCCCCTTGAATTGTGTCTTGGTATTGGTTTCACCGTCCCTTTGTTTGTTTCGTTTCGTTGACGAGTGAGTGTATGACATTTCAAGAGGCACAGACGCGGTATTGGACGGTGTGAAGCATCGCAAGTATTGTAGATTGTTTTGTGGTGAGTTGATTGACAATTTGTATGCAATCAACAGCAATATGAATTTATAGAAATTGATTGGCTGGCAGCGTACCATCGCCCCTTTCAATTACAAGTTCCCGACTCCACGGATCTGCCCATCTAGCTCAGTCTCCAGCTGGGCCTTGTGTCTTGGTCTTGTGGTCTTGTCTGCAACTGTCTCCTTGTCCCCTACCGAGACCCGAGCGAACACGGATCGGATTTGCAGCTGCCCACTACTACTGCCCAGTCACAGTCGGACTTGCACTCCACCTGGCCCGCCACTCCAAGCACGGTTAGTCCTCACGCCAAACCACTCCAGTCAGTCCAGCGCTGCGGGCTAGGCAGTTGAAGCGAAAAACTCTGAGCCCATCCCCCATGCCGGTGCCCTGCCCTTTCCCTTTCCTCCCTCTCCAAAACAACATCAATCCAGTCGACGATTTTGGTTCCAGTTCGCGACGTTGTACAAGGAGGAAGAAGGTTGACGGAAGAAGTGCTGTGCTGTTGAGAAGGAAGACGGATACCCGCAGGATCACCACCAGTTCAAGAAGAACGCATCGGAAGGAAAGGCAAGGAAGCCAGTGAGAAAGATGTAAGTTGAACCCCCAACTCCAAATCTTCCACCTCGCCGGCGCTCCAACTCCCACGGTGAATCCATCTGTCCTGCATCCGTTCAATAGAGGTGGCTCTCGACTATCGACTGTACGACTACTCCACACCTCCTACGGATATCCTGCACCTCAATATCGATCTCGAACGCATTCCCAAGTCGCACAAGATCCATGCATGCTGCAGCCTTGCGGATGCTGGTCATGCAACGCGAACTTTGGTAGAAGCGCTCTCCAGGTTGTCAGAATCAACAACAGTCCTGTCGCCGCTGGCGCTCATTCTTGCATCAAGCATGCCAGCCACCAGCGTTGAGGAATGGCTGCAATCCGGACGACCAGACGAGCCATCTCACCGATGCAGGAAGATCGTTCGGGAGTGGACCACTGAGGACGGCGCATTTGTTACGTGCTGTGCTGACGATGGAACCCAACAGACTCATTGTTTAGTCGCTATGTCTTCACTCTCTCGTCGTGCCTGCTACAAGTGCGGCAATGTCGGCCATTATGCTGAAGTGTGCTCCTCTGCTGAGCGCCTTTGCTACAACTGTGAGTTGCCACCTCCGCGCATTATTTCCTGTGACAAACGAACTAACTCTTTTCTCAGGCAAACAGCCCGGTAAGATTCTGGCTCGTGCAGCGCATGCTTTATCGACGATTCTGATGGAAATATATAGGACACGAATCTAACGGATGCCCTTTGCCAAGAACCACCGAGGCTAAGCAGTGCTACCACTGCCAGGGTCTCGGACACGTTCAAGCCGATTGCCCAACTCTCCGTTTGAGCGGTGCTGGTACCAGTGGTCGATGCTATAACTGCGGACAACCCGGACATTTGGCTGTATGTTACATGGAGATGTATGTTGCTGGATAAGTGCTGACAATCTGAAGCGTTCTTGCCCAAGCCCAGCTGGTCCTGGTCCCATTCCAGGCGCAGGCCGTGGTCTTGGTGGTCCTCGTGGTGGATTCGGAGGCGGATTCGCTCCACGAGGAGGATTTGCTGGTGGACCACGTCCTGCTACCTGCTACAAGTGCGGTGGACCCAACCACTTCGCTAGAGATTGTATGTCCATCCTAGAAGCTCAGTTGAATCGAGAGACTAATTTGAATCCGTTTTAGGCCAGGCACAAGCCATGAAGTGCTATGCTTGTGGCAAGCTCGGTCACATCTCCAGAGATTGCACTGCCCCTAACGGTGGTCCTCTCAACACTGCTGGAAAGACTTGCTACCAATGTGGCGAGGCTGGCCACATGTAATTATTCCCGTCCTTATGTCTTGTTCTTCAAACTGACCATCTACAGCTCCCGTGACTGCCCACAAAAGGCTACCAATGGTGACCTTGGTGGTGATGTCGATCTTGGTGTCGCTCCAGTCGTCGCCCCTATTGCTCCTATCGCATAGATCCTTCCATGGATCTCCACTGCTCGATAGGCCACGATGAACTATCGAACAACACGTGGATCTGGTCATCGATTTCATTTTTCTTGTAATTGGACACAATGCGATCTCACATCCCACTCGTTCTGCATATATGGCTCGGCATGCGACAAAAAATCGAGATTTCAACATTCACGGATCGGCTTGTTTTCACCCCTGGCGCCTGGTCTTTTCCCATGTTTTCTGACATGAACACCCAAAAGCTTTTTCACACGGATATTCATTTTCCTACCTTTTACGAACTGGCAACCCGGTAGATACCACCTAAACGACGTTGCGACCCCTAATTCTGTGGTTCTGATGGAGAGAAAGAAGCTGTGCTGTTTCCCTCTTCCTAGCTGAAAGCTGGGACTTGGTTTTGAGACATAGAGGCAGCCTACCGCTCGACGGCTATTTTAATCACAAGGAGAGAGAGGCACGGATGGAAAGCAGCAGGCGATGCGAAGCGAAGTGAAGCAGAGCAGAGCAAGCGCATGGAGGTAGAGAAGAGATAAAGTGGACGGGCGATGGAAGGGAAGGGATGCATCGAAAGGGAGGATGGATTGACGCGGTACACATATTATCTTTGGGGGTTGTGATGTTGGCTGGTGGATTCTGGGCTTGAAGAGTTCACGCATGCACGGGCTGGCGGTGGGAATTGCAAAGCATACCCGTCGTTCATTCGATTGATAAGTAGCAAGTAAGCAGCGTTGAGAGAAATACCAAAAGAAAATAAGCTTTTCAAGTACGCAAGCAAAGTACAATTTGTTCATGATTCGTGGTTTTGGAAAGCATTCTTTGCGTTGATTTTCGTTCCTGCCCTTCCCTGCAGTCTGGAGGGTGTCTTTCGAAGTCGAGGGAAAATAGAGTAGAATTTTTACCGGTTTATTTTCTCTCTTTCCTCCACTTTTTCTCTTTGACTTTGTCTCTACGTACTTTGCTCTTCATGTTTTTTCGCTTAAGCTACACAGAATTCATCCATCGTAGTGGTGGCTAGGTTTATCACCAGTATATTTACCTACGGCAGTCTTCGACCGCCCCATCTACCTGTCCCCATAATTTCATTTTTCCTGCCTGGCTTGTTGTCCTCTATACTGGGAAGAGAGGAGCGTGATGCCATCCACTATGTCATCATCTACGCGTTTCTGCAAGAAGAGAGGCGCTGCAGAAGAAGCCGAGATGTGAACCAGCTTACGTGCTCCTGCTTCAAGTCTGTAGCTGGCTTTCAGAACATGATACGGACTTTTTCCTAAAGTGGTGGACCATTCCCATATAACACGCCTCAAACTTTGGTGGCCTTCAACGGAAGTCAGGTCCATCTTGCGGGACAAGTTGGAGGGACGAACGTGCCTTCCCTTTCCGCACAACAACGTTCCTGCCAATTTGGGCAGTACTAGCACCTCGCTTCCACAGTCTTGGGTCTCGCTGCCTACTTTCCTTTTCTCTTCCTTGCCCCTCAACCTTTCCAATTCCTTTTCTCTATCCTCTCTTTCCATCTCTCAACATCTCCAAGCAATCAGTCATCCATCTACCTCGGCTCGGGTCTTGTTCCCCTCATCTCAGCAGCAGGAAGAAGATAGCCAATGCCTAGCGGCATCAATCTTGCTATCCAAGATTGGTCTCTTACGCAAATCCTCGGTGCAGCTTTTCTGGTAGGCGTTATCACCGGTTTTACGTTCTGTGTGGCTGCTGCGTGGTTGTTGCCTGATCTTGAGGGTACGGAAGGTGGTGAGGAGGCTTGATACGTGTGCGATATACCAAGTGCCATTACCCTTAGCCTGTCATCCAGATCAATTGATTTTCTGCTGCAATTCGTCAGCCTCGAGCGACGCATCTGTTATACATCGTTAATCACAGACTACTGACATTGACACTACCTCGCGACATCCGAAGTCATCTCGACCCAGTCTACCGTCATCATGGCCGCAGGTTCAGTCTACAATGGCGGTGGTGATGATGAGCAAGATGTCAGTTCCCGCTGTCCTGAGTTCTGACCATGACAGTATGCTGACATCATCAAGGACACTATCATCGACATTGAAGAGATACAAGCTCACGGTACGGCATTGTAGTTCCACTCATGATGTGGTGGACTAAAGTGGTTAGGAATTGGTGCTGCTGATATCACCAAGCTCAAAGCCAACAACATCCACACTATCGCGGTAAGTCTCAATGACTCCACCACAGGTGGTGATGTCTATCGATATTCAATTGCTGCAGACTCTGATCTCTACGACATCGAAAAGACTCCTCAAGATCAAAGGTTTCTCTGATACCAAGGTCGAGAAAATCAAGGAAGCAGCCAAGAAGTTGTCGGTAAGTACATTATATATAGAGATGACACAGGAAGCTCGATTAACCTGGTACAGCCTGCTGCGGGATTCATTACTGCTGCTGAACTTGGACATGTGCGCAAGCGTTGCGTCAGAATCTCTACTGGTAGCAAGCAGCTTGATGCCGCTTTGAATGGGTACAAGATCTGCGGAATAAACTAGACCAACTAATTTCTAGTAGTGGCTTCCAAACCATGAGTATCAGCGAGGTCTACGGAGAGTTTAGTAGGTGGCGGTCGACCATGCTCAATAAACGTGGCTAATTTGCAAGGATGCGGCAAGACTCAACTCGCACACACCATGTCTGTCATTGCACAACTTCCAAAGGTTAGTCTGATTTCTATTGAATCAAAGCACTGCTGACAGATTTATAGGAGATGGGAGGTGCTGAAGGAAAGGTTGCGTACATCGGTGAGTCAAGATTGTCTGCGGGCGCTGGCACACAGCTGATTCTATTAGACACCGAAGGGACTTTTCGTCCAGAGAGAATCCAGGAGATCGCCGAACGATTTGGTGGTATGTATCAATTCTCAATGGCGGTATGATTAGTTGTTTACTTTGCCAGTCGATCCTGACCAAGCTTGTGAGAACATTGCCTACGCTCGTGCGCAGAATTCCGAGGTAAGATCTCCGTCGCTGAAGAGAGAATCTCTCTTAACAGCAACCAGATGCAAACCGAGTTGCTGGAAGGTCTCGCTGCCAACTTTGCTACCAATGAGTACCGTCTTCTTGTCATTGACAGTGTCATGTCTCTATACCGTACCGACTACTGTGGTCGAGGTGAGCTTTCTGAACGTCAGCAAGTCCTTGGCCAGTTTCTTCGTCGTGCAACACAAATGGCGGAGGAGTTCAATCTATGCGTCTTGATGGTATTTCTCTTGCTCCTTCGAGTAGTACCCCAAGTTGACAGGCACAGACAAACCAGGTCATGTCGGACCCTGGTGCCAGTGCTCTATTCGCAGGAGCTGATGGTCGAAAGCCTGCTGGAGGTCACATTCTGGCTCACGCTTCTACCACGAGACTTCTACTTCGAAAGGGTCGGGGCGAGGAACGTGTTGCTAAGATTGTTGATTCGCCTGGTAAGTCGATTGAGCGTTATGGTAGTCAACGTACGTCGAAGTCGAACTGACTTTTTCAGATTGCCCCGAACGCGAAGCAACTTACATCATCACAACTGGTGGAATCAATGATCCAGAGAAGGCTTGATATTGACACTTCAAATATCTTCGGTCGTAATTTTACACTTGCATATTATTGCTGATATGGGAGAGGTTAACAATGCATATCATGGAGCTCGAGGAGTTGCTGTTGGAAACGATACCCCTTGCTCTGATCTTTAGCGTCATCAGATTAGATTAGATTCCGGCTAGAATTTCTGCTATGTAAAAAGTTGCAACCAAAGCTTCACCAAGTCCATGACACTGCAAAGGTCTTGCTCACAACACCACGATAAATTGAATGATTCTCGACACTGCACATAATAATACAATGTCTCAAATAGGAGAATATACAATCCTCCCAATCACAATTCCTTCCACACCCGCATATCCTAAGCCAACCACCCACACAATCTTCCTCCGACAACATGTACCCAAGATACCCACTGAGAACGACTCACGAAGCCTCTTCCTCGTCAATGTTCCAATAGATAGCACATACGCACATCTGCGCGCAGCCTTCAACTCCTTGATCGGCCCCGGCAGATTCGAGTCTGTATTCTTCGAGCACGAGAAGAAGCCCATACCTTCTGCCACCACAGCACTCGCAATCGCCGGCACAGGTCCAAACAAGAAGCGCAAACGTGGAGACGACACACCAAGCTCAGAAGGCCTCGACTTACCTCTACCGCAGATATGGGATCGTGAGTTAAGGAAGAGCGGGAGCACGGCGGTCGTTGTACTGGTCGATGAGAGAAGTGTAGAAGGTGCACTGAAAGCTGCTAAGAAGCTAGGGAAAAAATCGAAGGAGAGAGAGATATATATTTGGGGTGAAGGCGTCACGATATCTTCCTCTGGATCTGAGAGATCGAGGGACAGAGCAGGATCAGGGCAGAAAGATGGTGTACCGCCTCTAGGATCAGCACGATACTTGGCACACCAGAAATTACGTTTCCCTTCGAAACTGGAATTACAGAAGAACGTCGACGCATTCATGACGGCATTCAACGCTCTCGAAGAATCCAGAGCGCTAGAAGCGAAACGCACGCGCAACGTCCCCGACGAAGATGGTTTCGTGACTGTTGTCCGTGGGGGCAGGAGCGGGCCGGCGAGGATGGAGGACGCGGAGAGGAAGAGGGAGGAGTTGGAGAGGAAGGAGGAGGAGAAGAGAGACGTGTTGAGGAAGGGGGACTTCTATAGGTTTCAGGGGAGGGAGAGGCGGAAGGTGGAGATGGGGGAGTTGGTTAGGAGGTTTGAGGGGGACAGGAGGAGGGTGGAGGAGTTGAAGGGGAGGAAGGGGAGGGGTGGGTTTAGGCCGGAGAGTTGAGTGGGGAGCATGGAGGAGATATATGTGTTGGTGAGACGCTTCTTCTTACCCTCCTTCTTTGAATCGCTTGGGGCTTGGAGGGATCTTTGGTATGTCCAGTACACGTTTCCTTCTCCCATCTGGCCTCTCGTTCCCTCTCCCCAATGACACCCAGTTCTGAAAACCAACATGATGACTCCGCGGGGCCATACTAGCTCTTCCCCTCCTCTCTTTCACCACCATACAAGTCCAATCCTTGCATGGTGCAAGAAGAGATGAGAAAGGGGAGCGATGCCTAAAAAAACCGCATTAACAAATCTTCTCAACTTGTCTGAATGGTTCTTCTGGCTGGCTTTTTTCTCCCTTTTGGTACTTGTCGTGGCTGAGAAGAATTTGTTCTGGAGAAAATGGGGCTTGAGTGCTGACTTGTAAAAGGGATATGAGGAAAATGGGAGTAAGCTTCGCCTAGGCTTGGAGCTGGAGTGGGAGGGTGGAAAAACTATGCCTTGGAAGCGGTCAAGGGGACTGAGAGGTAGTATCCTGTCAGAAAATATATACCCAAAAAACGCAGACGTATAGTTAATGTTGCTGGGACTTCATAAGCTCACCCCATTGACTTTTCATGATGCCAAGTGAGAGGAGGGTATGTATTGTGCGTAATTATTTCTTCTGCTCAAGCAAACATGAACATTAAGTTCTGGGTTTCTTCTCATCTGTCACAAATATCAAAGAGTAGCCCTTCTTCCTTCAAATTACTGTTCATTCATTAGTTTTGATTGCTACCTACAACACGCAACTCGATGTAGGAAGCCATTCAGCAGAATTTCATTGTCCCATCAAATCCATGCCCCATTCATTATGTCGTCAGCCCAATCCATCTTTCATAGACTTAGGTAGGTATCCTGACTACCTGTGGATCAGTACTGGGTACTTGATCCCCAGATCCCCTCCAAGAAGAGCAGGCCGTTGAAGAACTCCAAACTAGACCAGACATGAATCCATGATATACCCCACCCAAAGAACGCCCAACACCCACGCAATTCAGGACAGTTCAGCTCAGCAAACAAAAGCAACGTGACATCCAGTTCCGATTGATTCAAGAACCAGAACAAGACAACTGAAGCCCAAAGCTCAAGCAAGGTACTTCGTAAACCAGTCAATCGCCTGCTTTTCAGCCTTATCCGCCCAACCTCTCTGCAACCCATCATCCGGCACAGCTCTAACAGCAAAGCCATGCTTCGCACCAGGCATAACCACAACCTCATTATCGCCCTTCTTCTTGACCTCGAGGATCTCCTTCATCTGTCTGATCAGTGGTCCTTTCATAGCCATGTCCGTCTCGCCGACTGCGACGCTGAGGGGCACGGTCACGGCTTCGACGTCGCTGGGGACCTTGACGAAGGATGGGTGGGCGGTAAATGCGCAGTCGATGAGGGGGAGGGCGTCTTCGGTTGAGTTTGAGGAGGTTGCGGTGCTTGGGACTTGGGAGGTGTAGCGCTTTACGCGGTGAGAGGGCTTGTCCGCTGAGAGCATGAAGACGTGTTGACCGCCCCAGCAGAAACCACAAACGCCGATTTTGAGGGAGGTTGTTTCAAATGGTGGGGGAGAGGTGCGGAGGTCTTGGAAGAATTTGAGGATTCTGGGACGGCAGACTGGGGTTGTTATTAGTAATGTTTAACTATTGTATAATGTAATCATTGGGAGCAGGTCTATGTGAAAACATCGAATTGGATTTGAAGTTGGGATAATGGAAGTTTGGAAATAAAGTGAGGGAATATACATACCGCCTGGACGGGTGGTGAGCATCCACGGGAGCGCGTAGTACATTGCTTGGATGGCGTAGATGGGCTTGTAGATGATGGATGTAAGAATTGAGGCTGGCGCCATGAGCTTCTCCATTAGAAGTAAACACTTCGAGGACATTGCGTGACCTATTCAAGTGAGCATTAGCAAGATTGTTTCTCGAAATGACTTATTGAAGAAGAAAGGGAAGAGAAAGCTTGAGTGCAAAACCTACCGTTCATGAAATCGGGGCAGTAGACGAGGAATCCACCTTTCTTCGCATAGACGTCGCAGAGCATGCGATTGTTCACGAAATCGTACCCAAATGCGTCGGTGATCATGACGACTATGCCTTTGGGTGTAACGCCAGCTTCAGGGTAAGCTATGTATGTTTGGAGGCCATGAATCTCAGCTACGGTGCCAGTGGGGGTCCCGGTGTGGATACTGCCTTTGAAGCAGTCTGCGCAAGGTCCTGTCATTGTTGCTTCGAGGTGCTGCACTAAGCGGGCCGTTTGTTGTCTGTAGTTGTGATTTCGAGGAACTGGGAGGGTTTTGGTTGTGGAGCGGAGTGGGAGAAGGAATGGCTCGAGAAGTCAAAGGAGGGGAGAGGTTGAGGTGAAGCTCTGCCGGGTCTTATCGTTCCTTCGGGCTCGGATCGATCTGGAGCTGGAGATTGGAGGAAATTGGGAGCAAATACGGCTAAGCTTTTTTGATCGACGCAGGGTTTCTGCGGGGCCGAGACCGGTCAGCACGCTATTTACATCCAGATTCCAGATCAGGAGGTCAATGCGATAGTAAAGTCTGCTTACTGTGAAATGGTAAATTCAATATGATGCGGAATCGCCTTATCTGCTGGCCTTGCCCTTGTCTTTGTCCGAATACTGGTGCGGTAGGACGGAACAACAAGGCAGTACTTTTGAGGCTGCAACTACGTACAAGTACAAATACGTAGGCAAGAAGGATCGTTTGGTGGTACTGAGTCAGTGTTACATCATGTACACTACTGTAATGCCACTCCGCACTGTTACATGCATGTGATCGAACATTGGTCCCTCTGCATGATTTACCTTGGTAGAGTCCCAGGAATGCAGAGTGTGGTTGCACCAGATCTTCGGGTTCGGGTGTCACCTATGGACGGGCGGGTTTGGAGTGAGAATTGTAGCCCTTATTCCGCTCTGAGAGGAGGCACCTGGTGTTGGTCCCGTTCCGTCGGGTCCGGAGGTTTGGAGCTTGGCGACACGATGGGTGAGTTGGCGTTTTGGTATTACGGTGTATCACGGAGAGATGAGGTTATTTGTGGGCACAAATCTGATGTACAAGGTGCTCAATCTGTCATTTTAACAATTACCGATGTTGAAGACTGGATAGGTGCTTGACAATTACCGTTTGTTTAGATGCGGGGCTGGTTACCTAGGTTCCTTAGCTTGACAGTTCTCGCTTATGGCCGGCCTTATTGTTGACACTCCTAAAATGTCGGAGGGACAGCACCTTCAACTTCGACACAGACACAACACTAATTTTCTTCAGGATAATATTAACCTAAAGCTGCATGAAAAACTTTGTGTTATTCCAGCTACTGTCTCCCAATTACTATTAAGATTTCACGACCGAAGTTCACACCCACACAGATCTGACCTCTACCATTCTCAGTAAGTTGTTCTTAGCCACGAGATCTCTCGTTTCGTCAAGAGATAGTGGCTTTCGAGAGTCAAAATACGGATTCGGTAATGTTAGAGATACTTCTCTGTAGTCTCGCTCTGCTCACATGCGAACGGGGGCTTTCCTTGAACATAATGAATGATACCGGTTGAAGCTTATGCCGAATATCGCACTGTAGCTTATGAATAATGGCTCTATGTGAAAGGTTTGCTATTGCCTTACGAGATATTTACGGGTAAAACAGGCCGATCTTTACATCGATTCTGTGGCGATAGTTCTCTGCTGAACGGCATTACGGGTTGCTCAAATCATCCCGGGTTCTCTACGTCTCACCCTCCAAGGACCACCTGCAGATATTCGACGTCCACAACATCAATAACCACTGCCAATGGGATAAGCACCCCGTACCCACCCACACCGGGATCGTGTTCAACTCTCAAAAGGTCTATTTTGTAACGTTGGGAGATGGATGTGGAACATAGCTGCCTCTTTTGGCAACTCAATGTATTAATTCTATGTCTAGAACTTGCTATAGGTGCTTGTGAAGCTATTCGGGTTGCCCCCAACGTCCCAGCTCATGGTCTCCTAAGTGCAATAAACTACCCTCTGATGATACTTGCATGATCAAGATAAACCCACCAAAGCCTGTGGAGCCCTTTCGTTTAGATAAATCGTAGTCAGATAAAGTGTGTTTCGTTCGATCTGCCTCACAAGTTGGCTTTTGATGTGGCAGCGAAGCCCCTGGATAAGCGAGCTCCATCAATATTTGAGGTGGCAACACCGCCTAAATTTCGCTGCATTGCTCCATTTATTCTCCCGCAGGCTGTTCCAATGGTAATTTACGATAATATAATATGTCAAATTCTCAAAATGTCTCGCTGTTCAACCTTGGAAAGCAAAATACGGCGTGAGGAAATATGCAGAGCCAGAGGGACGACGATGGCTGCATTGGGAACAGCACGTGGTATAATATCGTTTTCGACCTCTAGATCCATCAAAATAAATGATAATGCTTGTTTTAGTATTAAGCTTTTTGAAGACAACGGACAAGAGAATTTCCCATGCCGCTGATGTTCCGATCGAATGTTCGACTTCACGGCTGACGCTGTGCTCGCTTAGCGAGCACAATACGAGCATCAGTTACCTCTCACTTACCTATTGTCCACGACTGATAATAGTAGATAGTATGAACTTACGTCAACCATGTAAGTATAACTCTCACTTCCCCCTTATTCATCTTTTCCTCCCAAAACTCTTTCCTTTTCTTCAATTCGCCGTAAACCCACATCCAAAAACATCAACAAACACTAGCTCACCAAGAACCATCAACACCATGTCCGCCCTTGCAGAGTTCACGGTTATGTTCACTGCTAATCCAGGACTGGAACCCAATTACCCTCCAGAGTACAAGCAAACTAAAGCTTCTTCAGCAGCCCAAGCACCAGCACAACCAACACAGCAACTCACGCTCCCCACTGCTCCAGCACCTCCAACCACACCTCAAGACGCCGTTACCCGAGAAAACGTCAGAAAATCCGCACCAAGTCAACATGATTACCCTTTTATCAGTACTGCAGCACCTCAGGACACTCAAATTGAACTTGCCAAGCACTTTTGTGCCATCTGGTGCTACGGATACGAGAGGCTGATGGAGGAGAGATCTGCGGATGGGATGGAATGGGCGTGGGACGCAGAGTATTCTGCTGGTGATTTGTTCAGTCAGATATTGTATGGAATTACAGTTAGCAAGCACTATATTCTGATTTTGCTGCGAATTCTACTAATTTTTGAAAGGGAGTCATTCAAGCGCAATGAGCTAGCCCACTGTCACGTGAATTCACGCGAGGACTCGACGCGTGCAAAACTTCCTGCACGTCCCCTCTCGATTTGCTTGCACGCTTCTTCGACTCGTCAACCACGAAAACCTTCACTATGAGGCTCCGAGTGACTGTTCGACGTCACGGCTTGCCCGAAACACCAATTCTATGGAGTATCGATACGAACGCGTCGCCCACGGTCTACCAGCTTCTCGAGCAGGTCAACGAGGTGATTCCCATCGAGACGGACGGACAATGGGGTTTGGAGGATTACGCGGTGGAGCTGAAGGGGGCAAATGGGGTCAACTACGAATGTCTTCACTTCCAGCCTGTTGATAGTGTGTTGAAAGAAGAGGACGAGGTCATGTTCGTTCGCCTTATTTTACATCGTGAAATGCATAATTGAAACTGACTCTTTGTGACTCCTCAGCATCCGCCCACTGCTCACCCAAGACCTGAAAGTACGACGAATCTCTGGTAGACATCAGATATCAGACGATGGGAAGCGCTTATACGATGGCCTTGCATTGGGCAGACCACTTCTACGAACGCCGAGTCGGCCTGCGGTAAACATACCCCCAAGAAAGAAGCGCAGGATTGCATATAACGCAGATGAGGAGGAAGATGAGGGCTTTGCTGCTCTGCAGGAAGCAGAAGATGATGTGAAGGGCACCGTTCAACAGCTTCTTCTTACGGCTGATCTGGACGATGAGGACTCCGAAGACGACGAGGATTTTGCTCCTGGCGAAGACGAGAGCGATGCAGATGACGATGACGAAGACAAGCAACTCGTTCTTCATGCCGATGCGGAAGATGATGAGTCCGAGGATGACGAAGACTTTTCTCCAGAATCAGAAGGCACAGATGAGGATGATGATGATGATGATGATGATGATGATGATGATGATGATAAGCAATTGGTACTTCATGCGGATTTTGAGAACGCCGATTCTGATCCCGAGGGTGAGGATGATGTGCCTGAAGACGATGGAGGCAAAGAGCAACAAGACGATGACTTCGAACAATTTGAGGACGAGGATATGGGATCTGAAGATGGCCAAGACATAGTCCAGCGAGTCGATGCGTTGGAAGACCACAACACAATGGAAGTTGAGGTTGCTTCTGGATTGTCAGGAGACGCAGCTGACAATCTGAATGAGGCTGCTCTCGACGGAATCTCTGATCCGGATACTCGAGCTAAGATCCGTAAGTTACACTCAGCCTTTCCTAACTCCCATTTGGCTGTTTGCAAATATATCCTGAATGGGAAAGGGGTTGAAGGAGATGTTGGAGAGGCATACGAGGTCTTAGCTCGGGGGTTTCATCCTGTCAAAGCCAAATCCGAGATTACTGAGAGTTTTCAAGGCCACAACAAAGTTCCAGCACATAAGAATCATTCAAGTTCAAGGTCAAAGTCCGATTCCCCGGCCAGTGAAGAGGAAGAATTGGAGGCAGATGAGACATCAAACGAACTTCTCAAACATTACGACAAGCATGGACTACCTTCAGGATCTATCAAGTCTGGAAAAGCACTGTCTTTTATGGCTGAAGCTGCAACAAGCTTATCAAGCCCGCCTCCAGCGTCTGCCAAGTTAGCTTCAGAAGGTAGACTTGTCAAGTTCCCCGACACTGAAGAGGAGAATCTATCCATCGGTCTCACGTCAACTCCAGCTATAGACAAAGAATCCCAGCAAATCGAGTCCAGTGAAGATTCAAGTGATAGCGACTCCAGCAATGAAGATAGTTCAAGCAGCAGTGATAGCAGCGACTCATCTTCTAACGACGAGGAGATGGCAGATGTCGCAGTCTCATCATCATCAGAAAGCAGCAGTGAAAGTAGTAGCGATTCTTCGAGCGACGATGATGCCCCAGAAGTGGAATCCAGCAAGACAAAACCGCAGGCTACATTACCTGCGTCGCCTAAACTAGCCATAATCTTCCAGGCCAGACCCCAACCCAAAGAAGGCTTAGGCAAGAGCAGCACAAGAAATAGAAATGCGCGTCGGAGGAATGCGAATCTGCTGGACCGATACAAGAACAAGGGGCTTCTGCCAGCTGGTACTACTCTGTCAGAGTTTGCTAAATTGAATCTGAACAGTAATTCCACGCCTGAAGAAGCCATGGCTGCCTTGCAAGAACTCAGAAAAGCGAGAGTCTCAACTGGAACCAACGACGACCATGAAGGTCCTTCTGATGCAATTGAGACGCCGAGCCAAAAGGCAACTGCTGCTGAACAAGAATTTGAACGTCGAAGAGCAGAGCTCCTTTCGTCTCTCGCCGACGGGGGTGTAGAAATTGGGTCAGAAACACCAAAGAAGGCCCGAAAGTCCGCTACCGCCACGCCCAAAGCTACTACAGCCCAGGCACCAACAGTCGCAGCAGAGAAAGTCCCTCAGGCCAACCAAACCAGTGGTTCTCACACAGCTGAGGCTGAAGCAGGCAATGTATCTTTGGTGACGAAAGTATTGCCAGGAGCGAGTTCAAATGTGACAAGTGCTATAGACAACGAAGAACCGAGACCTTCGTCAGCGCCAGACGCCCCGAAGGAGCTTGATACTCCCATCCAGTCACCCAACCCCCAAACCGCATCAGAAAATTCCAGTCAAACAGTGCCCCGACGGTCAAGACTGAATCTTGGGGCTGGTCGCCGAATGTTGTTTGGTGCATTGGGTCTCAAGACTCCTAAGACCAAAGCAGATGAGGACAAACTGAAGCAAGATCTTATGAAGGATGTCAAACCCTTGATCACTCCCAAGCCTGCTGAAGAACCAGAGATTGTCGAGGAAGAAGTTGATGAAGACCCAGAGGCCTGGAGAAATAAGATCATATATCGAGCCGTCGAATGTGTACAGGAGGATGTATTTGAATTGAGTGAACCTCCATTCCCGTTCGTCCAGCGATGGGATCCCCAACAACGAGGTGGAAGGTTCCAGAAAGGCAAGCGTAAGAACCAGCAAGCTCAGCAATATGACGATGAATCTCGGGCTTCCAAAAAGCAAAAGCGTCGTAAGGGAAAGCACACTTACGCTGAGGAGCAGGAATATTTGGAAGCCTCGTACGAACCCAGCTTCCAAGAGGATAGCTTTATGGACTCACAGTTTGACGTTTCCTTACATACATCAGGTCAAAACGGTAATGAGGACGAAGAGATCAATCGACAGGTCATGAACGACACAGAACCTTCCGCTGGACAGGACAGTGCCCCCGAACGTGACCTACCCGCTCTTCCTGAAGATTTATCTACACTGCCTACTCTACGAGACGGTATGGTAAAGTTGGGAATGATAATTGCCTTCAAGCATTACGAGCTGCGCGGATGGCAGCCTGAGCTTTCTGATTTGGTGACCGCTCAAGTTAATTTCGTGCCTGACCATGGTGAACTCGGACTCTCGCTTGCCAAGAGAGACAGAAAGACCACAGAAAAGACAATCGATCCAAATACTGGAAAGAGGATGTACGATAAGTTTGAGATGCCTGGCGATGACGAGGACGATGAAGAGGACGACGGACATCTTTCTCTTACATTCAGTCAACTCGTCGAACCCAGAATTGTTCGGGAAGCCTCCTCGGATGTAGCCGAAGAGCTAAAGGAGGAACCATTGAAACGAGATGACCAGGAACGTCCCAACCACGATATCAAGATGAACGAGCCACCAAACTCGAATCAAGCGGATCCAATCATTATAGATGATGATGCTCCCGCCAAGGAAGCACCAAGTGCGGACGAATCCACAACCTTAAGCCATGAGCAAGAACGTCCAGAGAACAACGAGGAAGAAATTCCCGAAGCACAATATTCCCACGTCACCGAGACTCCGCTCAATTCTGATGCCCCTGACTCGTATCAACAAGATCGCCAGCCCGATGAAGACCTTGAAATGTCAGAATTGCCTCCTCAGGACTCTCAAGATCAGGTGGCCGTAGCTAACATATCCAAAAGTGGGCAGCAGTTAGGAATGGGAGGAACAAAAATTAATGGTCACCTAAATGGATCAGGAGAAGCCGACGGGAGCCAGGTGGAAGCACCTGTAAGTCAAGACACTCCAGTGACGCCAGCTTTGGGAGGAAGCAACGTCGCACCACCTGATATTGACTACATGGACGAGTCAGTCCCGGAAGAGACACGGCAGAAAGTAGCTCGTATGATGAAGGATGCCGGGTTTCGTTCGAATGTTCCATCGTCAATCTTGAGAGGTCCCGATGGAATCCAAACTCCCGGTGAGGCCGCATCGTTCGAAAAGCTTTTGAAGGAGATGACCGGGACCGAGACTAATGGCCACAAGGAGAAAGCAGCGGACCAAGAGAGCCAGAGTCAGCCATACTCCCCAAAGTTCAACGGGCTTGGATCTTCGCCTTTCAGAAAGCCAAGAGAGTCTTCTCGAACCCCTACTAAACCCCGACAGGTAGCCACAAATTCAAGTTCGCCATCACGGCCGCCTCCTTCAAGCTGGGAAACAGTGGATGAAGATCTTCGAAGTTCGCCTCCACAGCAGTCCCCAGAACCAGAACTAGAAGGAGAAGAACAATCCAGCTGGATGACAGTTGACCAGACTCAAACTCAAGCCCAGCTTTCTAGTCCTCCGGCATTTGACACCGCTCCCGAAGTTGAGGAAAGCCGAGGTTCCAGCCGCTCCCCTCCAGCCGACGCTGCTACAAATCAAACCGATGAGCCTATCAAGTCCCAAGCGTCTATCTTCAACTCGGCCAAGGAAGGCTCCGCGAAACCTCCAAAGATACTGACCGCCAAGAAGGTCCCAATCGGAAAAGCACAGGCATATTGGGAGCAGTGGCAAGCAAGGAAACGCAGGAGAAGTAGTGATTCGGACTCCGATTATGAAGACGCCAAAACCAGTTCCAAGAACTCACCTGAACGATCGCAGAACAATTCTGAGAACGCTCCTGATGCGACTGTTAAATACCCGAAGCTTTCACTTAATTCTTCATTTACAAGCCAAGTCACGGATCACGGACATCAGCCGGAGCCGGATCTTGATGACACTGCGTTAACCTTGGACTCTCCTGTGATGCCCGGTTTCGAGATCAATAACTCTTCCGGTGGTTCTCCACAACCCGGGCAGCCATCAAACGATAAAGGCAAGGATAAATTGGCTGAAGCTGAAGACGAACTACCCCCTCGAAAGCCCACTTCCCAGTCTATGCGAGCTCCATTGAGAATGCCCACGAAGCCCTCCGATGATTCATCTGACGACGAACTTCCTTCCTTAGAAGTGCTCTCGCAGGTAAGTTTCCTCTAGGTATCACAAGAACTGCATTAACTGATAAACCAGCGGTCGGCTACGATTAAGAGAGAAGCTTTGGGACCACTAAAGTTGAAAAATTCTGCAAAAGTTGATGCGGAGTATAAAAAGCTTATGGCTGCCGTGGACGAAGAGAGCTCCGAGGATGAAATGACGCCAAAGGCATCCCAGAAGCACAAGCAAGGCTCACGTTCTACATCGTTGAAGAGCAGAGCTTCAGGAAGCCATACTTCTGATCGATCAGCATCTCAGCCTGCCAAGACCAGAGCCTCTGAGCGAGCTGCATCTCAATCACGCACAACCGTAACTCGATCTTCTCAGCCTCGTGCTTCACAATCAATTCCCGCAGGATCTCAATATATGGACCTCACGATCTCGAGCGATGCTGAGCCAGAGCCAGCACCAATACCTGCAGCTGTTGAAGATCCATTACCGCGCAAGGCTTTCAGAAAGTACAATATGAATACTGATGATGACGAGGATTTTGAAGGCAGCCTTGGCTGGGTTCCCAAGAGAGGAAGCACGGTTGCCAATCCCCCGAGGCGACAAACGAGCGTCGGACTTAGGAATTCCTCCCAGACGACTCTCAATGCTCGGAACCGAAGGCAGACTACGAACGAGTAGATGATATGTGCATAAGGCGGAGACGATAATGTTTATTGTACATGATATTGTGGCTTGCTCTGGCCATTGCAAGAGATACCATAGCGTTGCATTGGCGTAATGACTGGTTGGGCGTTTGGATCATTAGGGTGGCGTTTCTGCAGGTCGCTTCTATCGGTTAATAAAAGAACGCTCCAGCGCATTCAATAAATGACTTTGGCACTGGGCTCATATTGACATTGCTCTCAAGTTGAAATATGAACCTTTCAAATAACACGTTTATTCTCCGGCTCTGAGTAATATGCTCTCAAAGGAATCAAGTGAAACATATTTTCCCCACGCACACGGAAGGGTGTTCTTGAAAATCACTGATAAAGATTGGTTGGTCAACCTCCCACCCCGAGTTTCATGGTCTGGAACAAGAAGGCCACTCATTGGGCCACGACCCATCGCTTCCCACATCACACCTGTAGCAAGCTGCAGCCTCGCGATCCAGCGAAGCCTATTCTCGAGTCAAAGCTCTGGTTCTTCTTTCATCCTCCCAAAATGTTTCAAGACTCTCCTATCTTAGCCGACGATGTCTTCTCTTTCAAGCTTGGAGAAGGGGTGCCGAGAAGGAGTCATTGGGCACTGTACCGTACTACGATGTGCTGTGCAGTGTCGTGAATCACCTGCATGACATGGCTAACCATTAGTTAAAATCCGTCAAGCTTAAGTCAAGTCAAGATGTCAAGTTGACTCTGCCCTGCTTTAATCCTTGCTCGATTCAGAACTTCACTCCCTCCTGTCTTTCTTCTAACTCACTCTCTCCCTTTGATATCTGAATCATAAAATTTATTTTCGGAGCAAGACTTCTTGAAACCCCTTTTTCGTTCAGTTCTATTTGTACGGTTTTAATTATTTTAATTACGACTAAGACACTGAGACTGGATTTCGGGAAGCTTCGTCCAAGAACTTGCTGTGCTCATCTGTCCAATCCCGGCTTTGCACGTACGAGCTCTCTCCATATTGGAAGCAGCCTCACTTATTTTGCCAACGCCAAATCTGAGAAGAGCTCAGGCTCAAAGTTCCAACTCATCTACTTACTCGTCCGATCACGACCCTATATCATTCAATTCGAGAATTCAAAATGAGGATCTCCAGCCTACTCACGCCACTCATCCTCCTGCTTTCAGCGCATTTTCAAGTATCTCAAGCTTTATTCATCACATCCTCCACGACCTCCACCCCCGCATCACCAGCTTCAGCTTTACAAGCTTCATCAACATCCTTCTCGAGGCTTTCTAGCTTAGCGACGTCGAGTTCGACTTTAGCACCACCGACAACAACGGAAACCGATGAGGCGAGGATAACACCCAAACCGGACTTCAAGCCTGGAGATGAGCTGGAATTAAGCCTGAAGCAGAAGTGGCATATCACAACTTATTATAGTTGCGTTACGTTTGGGCAGAATAGGGTATTTTGCGGATGGTGAGTTGGCTTGATTTTCCCCTATCCCAAACCCTGTTTGTCTCTATCTTTGGCGAGATTGCGAGATTGCTTCAGTATCTTTGAGCTGGACTTGATCGAGCTATTTTGGTGGTTTTGAGGTAGCCAAGTGGGGAGATGAGATGACAGTTTTCTGACGTGAAACCAGGCATGAACCAGTTCGCCCAGGAGGTGACGAGATTGCTGCTGCAAATGGGAGGCTGGACACGACGGCAGCGGCGTTGGCGGCTGGTGCTTTAGTGTTTGCTTTTGCCGTTGCTTTATGATGAGTGTCAAACGCGGAAGCTTGTGTCCCTTGACATGTATAGGTTGACGAAAATATGATCTCTGGCGTTTGCGGAGAGGACGATAAATGGCGAGGCGTTTGGGATGGTGTATATGGAATTTGGTCAGGCGTTATTTAGAGCTACGATGGTCGCGGCCTCTGCTTTTCTCAAGCATGTAATGGCTTTTAGGCCAAGGTATTTTTGCATAGTAATTTTCCAAGGGCGGAAATTGAGCCGTCTGGATCTCAGACCAACGATTACAAATCGTCCTTTCAATCGATGGTCTTGACTTGAATATTAATGCCATTGGTGTTTTGCCTCCTCTTGGCTTTCCTCCATCCTTGAGTCTTCTGTATCTTCTCCTCTTCCGGTCCCCAAAGTTCTGCCTCTCTTTCCCTCTCACAAGCACAAATTGATCTAGGGCCAGACTTTTCTGGTTCGAGATTCAAAGCTTGCCTCTCAAAATCTTGACAGCTCTGACAACATCTTAGATCTCTCAACTCGCATCTGTCACAAACCACGAGAACGAGATGACAGCCTTTGGAACGACACTTGCTGAGTGTGTCGCAGGGAATTTGGCACATGTGACATATCGATACTGGATCGGAAGTTCCAGATGAGTCCAGCCCCGTGGAGCCTCTCGCATCAAAGACGTAATTCCTTCCTCGGAACAGCGAATCCTCAGGAATCTTTCTTCCTAATCTGATCTCCTCATCCATCCATGTCAAGTAAGCAGCAATCCCGCCCTTCAGCGTGCACACCCGATCGCCATCGCTCTTCTCCATATTCTCCTGCAGAAATCTTGCTCCCTTCTCACACCTGATTCCACCCGTGCAGTAAGTCATGATCTGTCTCGTTCCAGCTGCCTTCCTCGCCGGAGAGCCACTCATTTGCCTCTTTACATACTGTGGCCATTGCGAGAATCTTCGAATCGGTGGTCTCAAAGCAGCCTCGCCTGTCTTAGGGTCCATGAAATACCCGATTCGTGATTCATAGTGATTCCGAACATCGAGAAGGATAGTGTCAGGATCATTGTGAGATCTCTCATGAAAGTCTTCCGGACTGAGACTCTCAATCTGATCCCATTGAGCTGGGATATAATTCGTGACTCCCATTGGCGTAATCTCCGACGTCACGCGGACACTGGCCGGTGCACCTCCAAATACACATGCACATCCTCCTGTGGTCGGCTTAAAGAATTGACTCTGTGTTTCTTGAGTAGAGAGATCCAGTCCGGCAAACGACCAGTGTGAAATGCATTCTCGCATGTATTCTTCGATTGAAGTTTTCGTACCGCCGACGGTGATGTTGAATCCTTCTTTCGCTATACGGATTTTACCTCCTATGTTGAGCTTCTGGGTATGAGTCGTGTGAAATGAGGCGAGAGAGGATGGATCGGCTCCCAGAGCATGGTATGAGGCTGGGAGGGAAGGAGTCGCACCGAAATATCGGTAGAAGAGAAGGACTACCCCGTCGTGAGATTTTGATGCTGGACAGGTGCATGTGAAAGTCAGTGGATCGGATGTTCCAGTTGGTAGGCGTTGTTCTCTCATATTCGCTAGCTTCGTATCTTGTAGATGGAAAGCTGGTGTGTGGACGACGGAACGACGTATCAAGAAAGAATTTGAACATTGATCACGTGATCGAGCGAACAATTTCACCGGCAGTGAGATACCTGCTTTTATTGCCAACAATAAGGGTGAAACTTAATGGTAATATCATAGGGTCTCATGCTTTAAGAAGCTCTAGCATCGCTTTCAACCTAGCTCTGGTGATACTCACGTTCGTTGGCCTCCGGACGGAGACCTGAGTCTCAACCTGCCCGTGAGTCTCTGACAGGAAGCATCACAGGCTTCCATGAGTCCAGCTGTGCCTACGAAGTAATGAGATAAGGAAGTAGGCAGATCGAGCAAGCATGGCCAAGCACATTATTTTACGTATGCCTTTTCGAGGATCGAAGCACAATTTTATCGAAAATAAAGGCTGGTAGTCTACGAATATTGTCTGCTGTCCTCCCGGTTGCAAAAACGCGCAATTTCTCCGCACAAAGATTACAGGTGAGATTCTTTGCCTGGCGCGTGTTGTTCTACTTCTTCCCACTGATTTACCAGGCATCCTTGGTCCTTTGTTATTGGCAGTTGGCCATTGTAACTCCTTCATTCTAATAATGGCCATCTTCATATACCTTCCAGACCTGGTTGTTTACAGTCTCCTCTTTTATGCTCGCTTATTTCAGACAATCGGACGAGGTGGTAAAGTTGAAAAGACCAAGATTTGGAGTCGTTCGACGAAACCGAAGCCCCATAGCTATACATAGACTTTCTGGAAATGTAGGATTCCCTGATCAGGTGCAGGAGTCAGACTCCCCGTCATGAGTATACACGGCTTGTCTTATGATACTTGTACAGCTCTCAGGGCAGATTACCCGTATGTGGGAACCTGCAAACCACTATTTCTAAATACTTAAGCAACACATACCAAGCTAACACAAATCCAAAGCAGTAGTTAAAACATGCTGTACAACGAGACATAAGATATACAAAACGCAAAGTACGCTGGCAGAAGTTCTATCCCTCACGAAGCCGTCTACCATCATGGCAACCATCTAATTTTGACATCGAAAGGAAATGGTATATCCTCTTGCGTATCTCTAAAACCAAATCTACGCTGTAGAGTGGTATCATATCGTCCTTGCGTTTCGGAGACACGCTCTCTCCCGTTTATGTCGTGATGCCATCCAGACAAGTTCTTGCAAAATAGAAGTACATTTTATGCGCCGGCAAAAGTAATAATAGTTGATATAAGGATATTTGGTATGAAGAGGAAGACCGTGTGCGCCGTCCTACCAAGGGAGACAGGTCGGCATAGGCGCAGAGGTAGGAAGGCTTCAGAATCAACATTTGAGCGGCTCTTTGGACGTGGTGGGAGAAGAATTCATTTGGGAAGAATTCGAATGGCAGGATGCATCTCCCGAGAGGTCCATTACTGTCACATCGTGGTGAAATTGTGTTACTCATCTGCCTTTCCCAAAGACTGCATTGCGATATCAGCGGTCGATCTCCTGCAGGTGCCTGGTTGTACAGTATCGCAGACTTACAAGGGTCTGGAGGGGCGACATCTGCCGGTTCATCTGGAGCTTCGTCGTCGAAGGACATGGTCGTGGAAGTCTCAAGTGGCTGAAAGGGGGAGTCTCGAAGTGCGATGTCCTTTTCTACCCCTTTTGGCTCTGGCTAGGAGCAAGTAGAGTCGAGATGACGAAGAATGGCAAGCTCGCAGAATGATCCCAAGTAAGGAGAGAGAAGTATTAAGAGTCACAGATGGAAAGAAAAGATGAAGAAAAGGGTCCGTTGGACGCGAGACGTCAGCTTCGCAGATTTACAGAAGTTGACACGCTCACGTTCCCAATACCGGGCTGCGATCCGGGCGCCGCTGCCCTTACTGGCCTAGCGCAACTCATCTGGAGAAGCAATGAAAGTCCTTGCTAGGGTGGCCTCCTCGACAATAACGTTAAAACAGCAACAGCAACAGCAACAAAAATGTTTTCTCGCTGGAACGAGGCGGACCCGAATGTTATTTGGCTCTTGAAGCTGTCCAATTCTTGCCCACTCACGATGTGGATCTTTGTCGGGTAGACTAAGGTAATGGCCCACTTCCATGCAGTCCCGTTGTGGGGAAGGCAAACTTCATGTCTTGGCATGCATGAAGCCATTCCAGGCTTATCTATTTTGCTCATCGCCATCACTTGCTCATCCTCCTCGATATCCTGCGGACACCTAGAGAGTGTTTTCAAACGTTAAGGGATTTACGGGTTTTATCTGCGGATGCCATGTGTGTTAGAGCTGAAAGAATGGAGCCGGCGAAATTTGTCTCACAAGTTCTCTTCTATACATCTCGAGCTCTATTTTGATCATTTACTGAACTGTGCTTCCTCGCATCGTGGTTCATCATTGAGCTACATTAGCAGCATCTCTGCCACGTTGCGAAGTTACGAAGCCATCGTGACTGACACGCTAGACATGTGTTCCTATTGGCCTCATGATCATTCTGCAGCCTGCCCTGCCTCCATTTGCTTGCTAAACCGCCCGGCTCGTTAAGATGCTGCATCCCGTCATTGGGCAAACGCCTTCAATTAGACGAATCAAATCAGCAAAGGGGAGGTTGCAGGTTGATACCTTTGGTTGAGCGGTGTGGGATGCTTCCTGACCGCCATCAACGATCCGCACTTATCTCCAGATTTGCGACAATGAGTTTCTTCGTCGCCCCATAATCATCTCCCGGTAATCGTCCAGAAATCATCCGTGGTACGAACTCCCTAAGGTTTTAACTATTTGCTCCTGCATATCTATTCGTACTGAGGGGCGACTATCGGGAAATACTGTACCAATACCAAATCCGAGCTACCACATCCTGTAGCACAGAACAATGCCGGTTACTGGTACAACATGTTCGAATCAGATTTGGGAACGGGGTAATCGAAGATACAGCCAAGATTATATCAGCCTAGTCACGACTGAGCTTCTTCAAGCTGGCCAACTGATGTGGAGCCAGAGTCCTAGGTTGTACATCATTCTTCAAGCAATCGGTAGCCTGTCTCTGCTTGACAAACTCAACGAAGAAGGAGTCAGTGACCTGTGGCTTCCAATTATTTCTGAGTCAATACTTGAATTCCTCATTCCGAAAGACATACGACCTCAATTTGTCCAGGCTCAGCGTCTCGTTTGTGCTCACCCCAAAGAGTTCCATCTCGGGTACGCAAGCAGCCATGGTCACTTTGCGCCCGAAAGTCACCCTCCATTTCAACGTCGCCGACACATCGGAAGTGGCAGTCTAGGGGACGTTGATGAAGTATTGAGCCTCACGGATGGTCAGATATATGCCAGGAAAAGTGTTCGACGTACAAGTTGTGTCTCGATCAATAGGAGTCGCGTCCAGGCATTTCAGCGCGAACTACATGCATTGAGTCGAATCAGGCATAGACATTGCGTGAAAATTGTAAGGGCGTGTCTCCTTTTCAATTGTTTGCCTTTCGTGCCCCACAAGAAACTTCATCATATTCACTTGCCCGAAACGAAGCAGTGTCCCGGCATTCTCCCTTTCAGCTATTCAAGTGTCTTGTTTCCACCAGCCAAGACTCGTTCTTGTCTTTACTTTATGATCGTATGCTAATATATCCTGTAAGTCGGAAGTTATACTACCTCACGTGTCTTAGCTATTGTCATGTCTCCGATGGCTGATTCTGACCTTCGAAAATATCTTGTCCATGCTGGCCTCTATCCTCAAGCCAGAGTGCTGTCTCCAGTTAGAGATTGGTTCGGATGTCTGGCTACAGCTGTTTGCTATCTGCATTTGAATCGGATTCGACATCGTGATATTAAACCGGAAAATATTTTGGTGCATAATCAACAAGTTTTGCTCGTTGATTTCGGACTTGCTTGTGACTGGAAAGATGCCAAGAGCTCTACCACATCAACCTCATGTACTTTCACTCGACTATACGCAGCTCCTGAGGTCATACTGAGCAAGAAACGCAACTCTTCTTCAGACATATGGAGCCTTGGGTGCGTGTACTTCGAGATGGCCACTGTACTCAAGAGGAAGCGTGTTTCGGAATTACGAGACTTCTTCATCAAGCGATCCGACAATTCACACTTCTACAACAACGAGCCCGGGATCGGTGCTTGGATCATTGAAATGTCCAATTTATCAAATATTGATAATGCACCATTCTTTTGGGCTAGTAAGATGCTCCAGGTGGATCGAAACGAGAGACCGTCAGCATCCACTTTGGTGAACCTCATCGAAACTCATATTCCCGCGACTGAATCTGACATTTACATGGGAAAATGCTGCCGAATTCTTAACCAGAATCTCCTCACAAGCTCTGCCTGCAGGAGTTGTGGCCAAGACGTGGCGAGCAGTGTAGGATACACCCCTTCCTGTCCCCTTTCTTTTTTCTCTCCGCGAAGCTGAGACTTGCTGACTCTGCAAGGATTCTCGCATTGTTGGATTATGCCCTCAGTGCAAAAATGTTCATAGCTCTCGCGCTTTGAGTCATGGTCTTCTTTTCACTCCCGGAAGCTGGCCTATGCCAAACATCGTGGCTGCGTTCTTTCCGAATTTCATGACCCAACATCTTACTAGCGATTATCTACACGATTTCACGAAATCGATCGTGTCGAATGGTCTCTGGGAATCCCTGGATATGACCGCCAAACTATCTTGTATTCCAGACCTACCCCTTGTTCTTACTCTCCGGAGATTTTCGCCTACGCGCGACCTTATGTCGCTCCAGAGAGATCCAGGTACAAGAATAGACTTCAGAAGTCCTTTACCTCTTGGCGTGCATGACTTCGGTACCCAAGACATGGCCGAGAATCTCAACAATTACCTTGATGGCATTGTGGAGAATCATCTAGACTCCAAATGTATATCCTTTCTTCTACAGTTCCGCCACCGCGATCATTCAAGCCGAGTTTTGTACCAGATATTCTCATGGTTTCAGGAGCATAAAAACCACGTGAGCATACACTGGTCGACCTTCCTTTGAATGATGATTACTAACTTTACAGATGCCAAACTGCGAGGTTATTCTTATGAAAAGTGCTATCAAGCTCATTGCCATATACAGGATCATCATGCAAGCCCTACTGCTGGACGAGTTGCCCGATTCCTTTGGGGAAAGTACATTCGTTGATCGCACCGGCCCGCAAGTGTACAGCGATAGGCGGCGCCAATCTCCATTGCTCCTCAATCTTCAAGTGAAAGTTGCCCTCCATAACTTACAATCCAGGATATTGAAGCAAGTGCTCACTGGGCTCACAAAGCTTATGGAGTCTCGAAAATCATGGCCTTCCTGCCTCTTCATCTCAATATGCCTAGCTTTCGTCATCGAGCGCATCGATATCGCAAGCACCGAACACCAGCAACTCCGTGCGCGGTCAACAAGGCCTGAAGACGACAAAGCCGAAATGCTCAGAGATGCTAATGATTGCAGCCACGGTGTGGGAAACATGGTGTTTTGTCGTATCTATCAATCTATGAGCGCGAACATGCGGAGTAAGAGAGTCGTTCGGACTTCGATAGGGTCGGCATTAGTCCATAAACTTGGCGATATACGGAAGTTACTTGGTAAGTCACGCAATAGCGACCCAGAATCCGGGTTCTTTGCTGACCTGACATCTGTAGATCTTGAGAATACTCAGAGTGAAACAACCGGACCTCAATACTCGTCCCGACTTGTTCTTTCTTTACTGGACCTATTGGATCACTTATAGAGGGGGCCTTTCTTTTCTCGGCTGTTCAAGTCGTGAATATATGTACATAGCAAATAGTAAATGTAATATCTAGTACCGATGACCTAGTCTCATAATGGCATTTGAGCACAGAACAAGGATACATAAGAACGATCTCAAATGCACACTAAATCATCTCTCAATCATCAGCAATCCATAGTTTTGGCCCTGGAATCGTGACTGCCTAGACGGGAACTGGTTTTTCGACCATGTTCCCAGCACCGACGAGAAAGAAAGAACCTGTGCATCCATCATTTGAATTCAAGACATAGAAACGCATCAGATTGAAGGCCTTTCAAGAAAAGAACAGAGCACAAGTCAAACAGCCATTCACCACCAGTACACTGCTTCCCAACCACCCCACTCGCTAGACGTGTCCCTCATCCAGAGACCATCGGCACCTCCACCCCACATAATCGCCCTCGGCTTCTCAACCTCAGCAAAAGAATTCACACCCCCTCCACCTCCTCTTCATTTCCCCAAGCAGACGACCTCAAAAATCAAATCAGCAAAAGACAAGCTAGCTCTGCAACTGGCGGTCAAAGGGTTCTACGGTTCATTGAGTACGAACACCACCCCGCACAAAGAGAAAGATTAAGCACCTGCTAATTCCTCTTCGATTTTGATACCAAGACTTGCACGCGTTTGATTCGTGCCCTGGAGGAGGGGATGGTTGGGTGTTTTCCGTCTGGGTTTGGAGACCAGGGTTCGAGACCTGGCTTGATCGAGATTTATCTTTTTAGGGGTTGGGTTTGTTGATCTGGTGAATTGAACTGTTTTTGCTTGCTTCTTGGATTTGAGTGGGTTGTATTAAGGGATCTGTTGCGTTCGTGTGCGCTTTGCAGGTTCCTTTTTGAATTTGTTTGTGTTTTTATTTGTTTTGCACCGCCGTGAGAATTTAAGCGAGGAGCTGAAGTCTGGTATCAGCAAGCCAAAATCCACACGACTAACAAGGATGTAATGGAATCAGAGAAAGATTGAAGAGTCTGATAACACTTCGCTGGGTTTTTGGACATGCAATTGAGTTGATAAAAGAACATCATGACCTCATGAGAAGAGTGGTCAAGCTCCATTCCAACATCTTATCAGACCAACTTCTGTGCATGGATCAATTCAAGTTGACTTTCTCTTAAACTCCTCCTACAGTCTGTCTAAAGGTAGTACCAAGCGGAGTTTAGTAGTCTGTCATTATTAGTTCCTCAGCATTAATAATTGACTGGCACGCCGCGCCTCGCTACAGCGTACATCCCTTGTAACTAGCTCATCTTCCGACCTCCCGTGTCCACGCTCACCCACCGCCCTACTCCTCTCCTCCACTACCCTCATCCTCTATCTTCCCAGATTTCCTGCCATAAATCACATACAGGTTTGAATAAAGCTGCATAGTTTTATCCTTCAGCTCATGTCTAACCCCTGCACTCAACACCTCAAACTCATCACTCGACCAGCCTAGCACTCGTGTAAAATGCGCTGCTCCATAAGCAGAGGAGGCATCCAGCACTTTCAGTGGGATACGTGATTAGCGAAATTGATGTCAGAACAAAGGGAGACTTATGCATGACCAAGAAAGAGGTAATAACAATCTGAAAAGAGAGCTCGAATAAGTTGTGGGGGAACAAATGGAGACGAAACGAGAAGACGAAGTGAACTGACGTACTGACTTGCTGCTGGTAGAGACCTATTTCTTTTTGGCGACGGTTCTTAGCCCACGGTGCTAAGGGGACCTGCGAAGTGTTAGCATTTAATAAGGCATATTTTCTATCCATCTACCCATTGAGGATTTCGGGCCTGCCACTCTCTGGGAAGTATCTCATCTTTCCTCTCAACGCAACTGTAATGAAAATTGCACACCTTAATCTGCTGCTCCACAATCTTCTCAAACCCTACATCTTCCATCCACGCCTTACAATGCTCCGCACTCCTGAACGTCCTCCCAATTTTCTCGGCAGCTTCGTGCAATCCACCTACCCACATGTTCATGTATTTCGCATCCTTCAGATCTGGCAAGCCTGGATTCTCAGCATCTGGAGCTCGTTGGTCTCTAGCATAAAGTTCGAAATCTACGATTTCGAGCCTGAGAATAATGTTGGTATGCGTCTTTGTTGAGGATACCACTCAGCTTCAATGAATGAGAGAAGCCCTCGTAAAATTTCGTCCTGGAGGAAAGAAAGGTGCATTGAGGAAGAGATATGACATACCAGCCTCCTGGTTCAAGGTTGCTATAGGCTTGAAAAAGTAGACGCGGCCAATCTTGGAGTGAGCCAGCGAGAGACCTTAGGTGGATGTATGAGAATGGCTTATGTCTCCAGTCGTCTTCCACTACTCTCAAGTTATTAAGAATATCCAGCATCCGAGATTCCGAACGCAATAACCAAAAGTGTTCGAGGGAGGGGTTAAGAACATCGCTTGACACCTCCTAAGCACAGCCAGGCGAAGACGATATAAAGCCAAGGGGTTACCTACTATCGTCGACTTCGAACTCAAGGTTTGGTGGAACCCTAGGAGTATGAAACAATTTCAGTTCGCTGACCTCCTCTGCCTGTATCGCGGCCTCTGTTTATAAAACGAGGCAGAAGAAGTGTGGGACATACCATCCAGGTTGTATAGGCGACAGATCGGTTCCCAAAACATACGATCCAGGGTATTGACTGAAAACCCCCTTGTCAGCCCATGCATAACCACTTCACTAATCTCAAACCTCAGTTCCCCAGAATTGTCAGAAGATCATTTTAAGCCCCGGAGTTAGAATTCCCAAGCCTTACTCTGCAAAGTCCATAGCCCAAATTCCAGTCCCTGTTCCCGCATCCAATACCCTCGACGGATTGTCTATCGGCGCGTAAAATAGCTTGCCTTCAGATACGAGGTTGAAGACATGGTGATGGAGATCGAGCCGATCTTGTTCTGCGTCGTCATTTGGCTGTTTCGTGGTAAGAAGAAACTCAAGATGTGTGTTGTTTCTGTATGGGAGCTAAGTAGTAGGGCAAGGTTACGTACCAGTAGGTAATTACCCTCCTTATAAGCATGATATCGTCTCCCATTCTATCCATCGCTTTTAGCCAAGATCCCGCTTCCTCCTCTTCTTCGTCCATTCTCTGGCTAGGAAGCCAATCGTAGATTGAACAAGCATACCTCTATACGATATCTCGCAATGCCAGAACTCAGCGATGTTCTCGAACTCGCATCTCTATCGAAACAGACTAGTCAGACGAAGAACATGTAGCACGACTTGTTGTAGAGAGTCGCCTTGGAGATACTGAAGAGTTTGAAACAGACATACGAAGCATCGTCTCCGAAAGCAGAATCATCATCAAGCGCATCTGCTTCCTGAAAGCTCAGACTCAGTATACATGTTCCTCGATTTATGAGCGCCGAGAGGAAATCTCACATCTGCTTCAATAGCCTGTTGTCCAGCTGGAGCTGGAGCTGTAGGCTGTACAGGAGGTGGTGGTACTGTCGTATTGGGTTGTTGTTGTGTATCTGAACTGCACATATCTGGAGTTATGGTAAGAGCTGGACGGTGGTAAGAAATAAGAAAAAAGCAACTTCCCTGTAAAGATCAAGCTCCCTAAACTAAACGAGAGCAAACACAAAAGAAGTGAAAGGTCAGAAGTGATGAAGATTCATGCAGTCAAACAACTCCACTCTGTACATCCCTTTCCCATCAAGGAAAGAGCGGGCCAAACAGACGACATGTCATTAGGTTCCCATCCGTTGGCGTTGTGCTCCACCAAGTCCCCGACTCTACTAGAATCATGTGTGCGGAGATACATTACATCCGCTTCATTGCATCTCGGCATTCGCATTTCACTCATTCTCCTTATCTTTCTTGGTGGTGCGGCGACCTGTTGGTGTAATGTTGGTGAGGTGTTGGCGATGAGGCGGGGGTTACACTGTGGACAGCCGTGTAACGGGATGATGCTGAATCGACGATTTGCCAACGAGAATTTGATTCCGAGGACGGACAGGTGAGTTCCCGCTGTCAGTGGCGGTGAGATGGGAGGCTGTCTGCTTGGAAATGTTGGTTGAGTGGGGATTTGATGGCAACTCACAGAGATGGATGGGGTTGAGGTCGATGCATTTCCCGTGAGGCGTTTGAATGTGAATATCCGCAATCCACGGTCAGAAAGACCATGCAGCATGAAGAGATCAGAGGTGCAAAAAATGAATGGAATGAGAAAGTCATAAATTCATTAGATTTTCAGACAGTTGGTAATTAGCAACACCGTGCTCCAAACGCCGTACTAAATACCTAAGATAAATTTACATGACCTTCTTTGCAACTTTCTTGGCTTGAACTTGCTGCCTGCGTTCTACACGGAATATCCTCTCGATGATCAAAATTATAAATTGTATCAAATTGATGCCCAGTCGGAGCACCAGATCGGCGATACCTAGCACTGGTCGTCTGCCTCTGCTAAACGTGCTGTCTTTGAATTGGAACGGGAGCTGGGCACCGAGATGGTCTTGAGCTACTTTCAGCCCGCTGGAAAAGCCATCTTCGTGGAAACCGTATTTGGTCCAGGCGCCGCAGTAACTGATTCCCCGGGTATTTTGTATCCTTGGCAAGAGGCTCTGGGAGCGGATTGCTTCGGCGTTGTAAAGCGGGTGGGTGTAAGTGTATCTTCCTTGTACCTTTTCTGGTGGTGGGAGGTGGAGAGGGTTGAGCGTCACAAGGACGTCTCCAAATAGTTTCTCGTCGAGGTGCTGGAGGATGTTCATGTTGTAAGTAAGGCATACTTGATCGATGTTTGCAGACGTGGGCGATGATTTTGTGATGTAGTTCCAAGACGACCAAGCTTTCCTCGACTTGGGCATAAGCGACAAGTCTGAGTGAAGAATAGCAGTATTCTTGCTCGTTTTGAATCCAGCCAAGATGTGCTTCTCTTCAAAATCGGCTTCGGGGAGTATCATATCGAGAGCTTCATCTCCGTGAGTGGCAACGATCACATGGTCATATACTTCTGACTTTCTACCGTTCAAGTGCAGCCGTACCCCGCCATCGTTCTCATTGGTAATTGTCTGAACAGGCGTATTGAGGAAGATGTGGTTTGGTGGGAATCCTTTCATAACAGCGTCAATGTAGCTTTTCGCACCGTACTTCAGTGTCAGCCATTGCGGCCTTGTAGCTACGGTGCTGAGGAGATGATGATTCCACCTATTTCTGTTAGTGACATCAAAGATACCAGGCCCTCCAAAGACTTACATAAATCGAACCAGAGTCACAGCAGGAAATTCCAAAGCACACTTATCCGGACTCGTACTCCAGACTGCAGCAGTCATAGGAATAAGATAGTCATCCCTGAAAGCATGCGAATAGCCTTCCCGGTCCAGGTACTCGCCGATTGTCTCTTGTTTCTCGGCATGATGTACAACATTCCCATTTGCATGACCATTTCCATTTGCAACAACATTTTCCTCACTCTTCTCCTCCGCCTTCAATAAATCCAGCGCATATTGATTAAACCGTATGATGTCGAATATCATTCTCCAGACTCTTGGAGACATTAAGTTCCACCTCTGGGCGAAGACGGCAGCGAGAGAGGTTCCAGCCCACTCAAACAATCCATTGTCTCGAGAGACACCAAAGGTCATTTCTGTCGGCACTGTAGGAACATGGATCGATTTCAGGAAATTCATGAAGTTGGCTGTATTTATGTCAGCTCAACAGCTCACAATTAAGACCGGCGCAAAGAGTACTTACGATAAGTAGCTGTGTTGAGGACAATGAAGCCTGTATCGACCAAAGTCTTGTATTTCCCATTTCTGAATTCCACAGTATTGGTATGCCCGCCCAATCTGTCCGCTGCTTCGTAGATGTACACATCGTGGTGGGTGCGATTGAGAGCCCAAAGCGCACCTATCCCCGCACTCCCGCTTCCAATGATGGCAACCTTCTTCCTGGGGACACTAGTTGTTAGAGGAGCCATTATGGTATTAGATGATGGTACGGATGACGAGGAGAGGCGGAGAGATAAAGAGAGGAACAATTCACAGATCATTCTTAGCTTTTGTGGGGGAATTGAAGCTGGATGAGGCGCTGGTGCTGGTGGTGGGTGACGCCGTCATGGCTTTTACTGTTTGCAGCTGTAGGACGGGACGCAAAGCAAGTACAGACTCTAGTGCCTTTCATGTGAAAGTCCATGCAAGCCGTCTAACGCAAAGCAAATGCAGATCAGAGGATGACGTCGGATTTCCTGAAGCAACGGTAGAGAAAGTATGAGCAGTGAGGTTGAAGGATAATCATTGTAGAAGTAACAGAGCTGTCAAAGCTCAAACTGCCCCATAGCTCAATGGAGGTTTGGTATGATAATGGTGCAGGGGTGAAATCCACTCTGTACCCTGTCGATACCGTATCCAGCGTGGGCCAAATGTGGCTGGAGGCTGGTAAGGTGGGAGTGGGAATGCGTGTGGGTGTGGCTGGGGAGTTGAGTTCAATGCATTGCTTGGACTGAGTTAGAACTGCAAAAGGCTATTATTCTATTGAAACTTCAGTTCAAGTGCAAATTAGTCTTCCTTGGTCTTTGGATTTGCCCCCTTTTGACAGCTATACAGCAGAAAAAGAAGCAATCCAGATTATCGGAAGATTGCCGCTGTCACCTGCCATCGCTGGGCCTTGTACCAGATCTGCCACTAAGCCCGAGCCGAGCCCTCGCGACTCCTCCGTCAGTCTCGGAGGCAACGACAATAACACTACGAATCCCATCTTCAATAAACTACCCATCCATCCATCCACATTCTCCAACCTATTACCGTCAATATGTCCAACCCCCTCGATACCGACGCCGGCTCCGAGCTCTTCAGCAGCTACGAGGCCGAGCTGAAACTGGTGCAAGCAGACTTGAGCCAGAAGCTGGACCAGATCCCCGATCTGGCAGGCGAGCCACGCAAAGCAGCAATAAGTCAAGCAGAGCGGGCTCTAGAGGAAGCCAACGAGCTGGTGAGAATGCCCCTATCTGGATCCGAATCCTCGACATGTCAATACTGACCCCCAATCCAGCTGGATCAAATGCGCCTCGAGAAGCAGAACATCCCCTCCGCAACCCGCACCAAAGTCAACCAACGCTTCCGCAACCACGAATCCGACATCGACTCCTCCAAGCGCAAACTGCAGTCCCTTACCAATGACCGCTCCGCCCTCTTCGGCTCCCGCTACTCAGACAACCCGAACGATGTACAGCTCGAGCAGAGACAGCAACTCCTGTCCGGAACCGACAGGCTAGATCGCAGCTCTCAGCGCTTGAAGAACAGCGCTGCGTTGGCGAATGAGACGGAGGCGATTGGGGCGAGTACGTTGGCGGATTTGCATAGGCAGAGAGAGACGATTCAGCATACGGGAGATATCTTGCATGAGAGTGAGGGTTATGTTGATAGGAGTGTGAAGACGCTGAGGGGGATGGCGCGTAGGTAAATCGTCCCTTGTCCCGAGTTGCAGACGCTCTGGATGGAGTATGCTAATGTTTCGACTAGGATGGCTACAAATCGGATTATAAGTATTGCAATCATTACGGTTTTGGTGCTGCTTATTATTGCTGTTATTTACAGCAAGTTCAAGTAGTGGCTCTTGGTGTGTCATTATGGCGTTTGGTGCTTTGGAGATACACTCTTTGCTTTGTTGTGTAGGAGTAAATCAGTTTAATGAAACCACTGTACATTCCCCCATGCTGTTACGGACCTTGGATGATTTACATGTCGTGGCTGTAGTGTGACCGTTTTTGGATAATGAGACCAGCCGAATGTTTCCAAATCTTCAAGGCATTGAAGAATATGTTGGCATTCAATGAGACTTAGACTCAAGGTTGTTCGAGCAGTGAGGCCAGCAGAGAGAAAGCAATCGAGGAGGCATTCATGTTGCGTTCTTACATGCTGTAGGATGACCAGAATGCGTTCCAAGTCCTTGACCGTCTTAGCAGTCGATCTCCTTCCCCTCTACTTTGCACTTAGGAGCCGATGTCCTTGATTCGCATTCATTCAAACAGGAAAAAGCGCAGAGAAATGTTACTGTGACAACTTCAAGCAGGAGGCATGATCAACCTGGACCACGACTGTTGTATTACTGTAAGCAAGCTCCATATCTGGGTATCATAAGCCACCAAGGCTCAATCCTCCACCAACGCCGTCGAATATGCAAAGTCTCTGTAATCTTCAACCCTTCAAGACACGACCCTCAACATACCAAACGTCAAGCTCAGCAAGAAACCCGTAAATACAGCAATCTGCCTCCTCCTCGACCATACTCCTCCCTCCCTAATAAGCCACCCAACACATCCAAGCGGCCACAAGAATCCCATAATATTGCCCCAAAGTAAATCATCCAAAGCGCCCCCATTGATTCCATCATCACCAAAGTCGAATCCCCCAGTGCCGCCACCAGCCCCAGCATTGCCCGCATTATCGTCAATCCAGGCATCTTCCATGCGTAGCAACGTCTCAGGAGAGGGCATAGTATCCGGTGTATGTATATTCGACTGTATAGACCTAAACTGCAGCCGCAGTTGATTTACCTCCGCGGCTGTAAACCCAGCAGACAGCAATCGCGAGAAGCCTCTAGGCGTAGTAGTCGTGCTTTTCGAGGGCGTAGACCCCCCATCTCTAGTCTCGCTCCTCTCCCTCTTCTTCGACTTGTCTGACGAAGCAGCAGCCGCAACAGCTTCAGCGGCAAGTTCGGCCGAAGTGAGCGCATCGCCGATTGAACAGTTGATGTAGACGCGTGGCGGCGGCGGTTCGACGGCTTTCCCTTTGCCCTTTGGATCTGCGGGTGGAGGGGGCAGAGAGGGGATCTTGAGGACATCTGCTAGGACATCGTCATCTTTGAGGAGTTTCCCGCTGTGGATGAATCGATATCGATGTTGCGATGTTGGTGGATCGAGTTTGGACCGCAGAAGATGCTTTAGAGCTATGACCGTCGTAGCATCCGGGTCGGGAATGTCGAGGAGTAGGTCGGGAATTGAAGTTGTGAACCGGACTGTGATGGGGAGAGGGGTTGGCTCCAGCTCTGCTCCTCGTTGAGGGGTTGGAGTGAGAAAGCTTGCTGCTGCCATCGTTAGAATGCAATGCAGTGGGGATTGGCCTTTTTCGTAGAGTTGGTGTGAAGATTAGCAGATTGCATGCTGCAAAACGAGCTCAAGGTGGTAAAGGAGCGAGCATCTCCGCTTCGGTTGTATGTTGACTGAGCCTAGTAGCTGCAGTCGATGTGGTGGTGATGATGAACCTCACAAGAGCAAGACAGTCATCGTCCCGAGCCGAGGGGCTAGTCCCTGTGGCATGTGGCAGGGGGTATCAACATCAACTCCTCTTTTGGGATGGACTTCATGGTCGACTTAAACGAGGATGTCTTGAAAGATACCGTACTTGACTCTACATATGAATCTCTTCTTCAAAAGATCAGCTCCGTATCTCTCACTTGTAGAGCCACAAATACTAAAGGATGAACCTTCCACTACCTTCCACGTCGGAGCGAAGTACAATGAGTCCGGCGGTAATAAAGCATAGGAAAGGTATTTGCTGGTAGAAAATTAGGGTGATGAAGAGATTGCAAACTTCTGCTGCTAAAGCAACGACGCCACGCGCAAAATGCAATGTTCCATGTGAAGAACAGAATTCTGAGAAGATCTCCGCTAGAAGATACTGCCAAAAAGGGACAGGTGAAGGTGACAAAAACAACAAACATATGCTGTTTCCTCCGGACTTTTTCTTCGTTTCCAAAGTAGACATTTTAGGTTAGAGTTGATATTTTGAACATCGATTGTCTGTATTGTTGCGATACTTCCAATCAAGTGCTTCACTTTTGTCACATTCGTACAAGTAGGCCTCCGTAATGACGCCATATTGTCTTTGAGCGCGTCCACAAATCGCAGTCAGCTTCATCATTTATTGATGACCAACAGTGTCTACCGCCGTGCCGCATTATCACCTTGTGGGGAAGCTTAAAAGAAGTTTTTGTCCTCCCGGCCAAGGTCTTTATGAATTCCCGTACTTCTCTCTTTCAACTGTCCAGAAACTGGCAAAACCGTGTTCCCAAAGTTCCCATTCAACCTGCCGGTTTCGGTGCTCGACATTTTACCCCAACTATGAGTAACAAGGGGAAAATCCAGCCTGCCAAAAGGGTAGCTGGTAGGAAGCAAGATGTATGGTATGTAGTAGCTCCTACTATGGCTTGTCTGATTTGATTTTGAGCAATCCTATGGTGGGGTAGTTTTGCGCGGGGTAACAAACATGGAGGGCATTGTTTACAGCCCACCTATTTACTTTGGAAGACATTCTCTGACAAGATGTACAGGACAATTGTCAATGAAGCTGCAGCAGCTTCTCCTGTCCAACCAATTGTCAACATGGGCCAAGGATTTTTCGGATATAACCCACCACAATTCATCCTAAATGCTGCGAAGGACGCGTTGAACAAGGTCGACTGCAATCAATATTCTCCCACGAGGGGTCGACCTCGCCTAAGGAAAGCAATTGCAGATGCATATTCGCCTCTATGGGGTAGGAAACTGGACCCAGAAACCGAGATCACAATCACAACAGGTGCAAATGAAGGTAGGGAAAAGACTTCCTAAGTTCTTAAAGGAGATTTTGCTGATACAGGGCAGGTATGTTAAGTGCTTTCATGGGATTCATTGAGGAAGGAGACGAGGTCATCGTTTTCGAGCCTTTCTTTGACCAGTAAGTATTTACCGAAATAATTGCCATTTGCCAAGTTCTCACGATTCGCAGATACATCAGCAACATTGAGATGCCAGGGGGCAAGATCGTTTATGTACCATTGCACCCACCTCCGAAAGGAGCTTCCCAAAATACCTCTTCCGCTGAGTGGACTGTTGACTTCGCCGAATTGGAGGCCGCCATTACTCCCAAAACCAAGATGATTGTCATCAACACCCCGCACAACCCTATCGGCAAGGTCTTCTCCAAAGAAGAACTGCTCAAAATTGGAGAACTCTGTGTCAAGAATCAGATCCTAATTCTCTCAGATGAAGTTTACGACCGTCTTTTCTATGTTCCATTTACCAGGATAGCTACTCTATCTCCTGAGATTGAGAGGCTTACTCTTACTGTTGGCTCCGCGGGAAAGAATTTCTACGCAACAGGCTGGCGAGTAGGTTGGTTGATTGGCCCTCCAGAGCTGATCCAATACGTTGCTGCTGCTCATACAAGGATTTGTTATTCCTCAGTATCGCCACTCCAAGAAGCAGCGGCTGTAGGATTCGAGCAAGCTGATGCCGAGAATTTTTGGGAAACTGCGAAAACGGAAATGAAAGACAAGATGGACACATTCAACACCATCTGGAAGGAATTGGATCTTCCATTTTCTGATCCAGAGGGTGGCTACTTTGTCTTGGTTAACATGAAGAAAGTCAAGATCCCAGCGGATTACCCCTTCCCTGCACAGGTCAAGGACAGACCAAGAGATTTCAAGCTCAGTTGGTTCTTGATCCAAGAAGTTGGTGTCGCGGCTATTCCACCTACGGAGTTCTACACTGATGAAAATGCGCACATTGGCGAGGATTGGCTGAGATTTGCGGTTTGCAAAGAAGATGAGGTTTTGGAGAGAGCAAAGGAAAGATTAAGAGATTTGAAGAAGTACATAGAATAGAAGAGCTGCTAGTATCAGTGACATCTCCAAATTACGCCTCTCAAACTCTATCCTAGGGAATCTGGGATTGAAGACAATTTTCATCCAACCAAACAACCTGAATTATGGTCGAACTGACAAGCAGATAAAAACTCTTCTTCTCATGTCTCTACTCTCAATTCAATCCCGCTTTTCTAGACGATCAGATAAGCAACCCTGCAAGATACATCTCCACCGCGACCGCGCATCACGTAATCCACAGTCTCGATCTGATTAGCCTTGCCGCAACGGCTCAAGGCTCCGAACTTGGGTCCGATGACTCCGTCTTTTTGATACTTTCATATATCAACCATGGACTCGTCCAAGCAAGGCTTCGAGTTTTCAAAAGGTGTTATCCTCAAGCCGTATGATCGGTAGTTCAGAGGGGTCTATTATCACCACTTTATCAACCGGCTCCCGAAAAGGACTAGTGCTTAACCTCAACTTCAACCTCTCTTCATACTGAATTTACTTAATTCAAAATGCCTCCCAAGGAGAACTCGGTTGGCTACCGCCGCAATGGCAAGAAACAGGCTTGTGAGCCGTGTCGGAAGGGAAAGCTTGGGTGTGACCACGGAGCACCATTCTGTGGAAGATGTGTACGACGGAAAACCACCTCGAAATGTATCTATCATCCGGCACCCATGACGAGAGGCCGAGGGCCTACGACTGCTCTCTCTGTCGTACAAGAACCTCCAGCGGATAAAGCCAACTCGTCTGTCTGCTTCAATTCGCCTCCAGCTTCAGCAACATTAAATCCCCCGTTCTTCTCGCCTCCGCTGTCCGTACCACGTGATGTTGTTACGAATGGAAACCCTCCTGGATATACCAGTATCACCGTCCAGACAACGGCTACTCAAACCACCAATACACCTTGTAGTTCCACGAACAGCCAGAACAGCGCCATGGGCCAGCCCAAGGGTCCTCTAGGGGCATGGAAGCATTCTGAATACCCACGTTCTCAAAAGTTCTACGGGCCCACAAGCTTCTCAGCCATATTTTCTGAAAACGACGCCAAAGTCAACAGAGACCTATTAGATATCGGAGAAGATAAGCGGAAACACCCTGGGGCTTGGATGTATGGCGAGCCTCTCTTCGGCTTCCACCGTCCAAACGGACCGACTGCGAGAGAGAAACAGACTTTGAGAGCCTTGTGGAATCTGCCTTCTAAGGAGACTATGGAAGCCCTCGTGACCGTTCCGCAGTCTCTGAGATGTCCGAGTCTCAATTTCAGGATGATGAGACACTGTGTCACGACTTTGTGGGCAACATTTGGATCCGAGTTAACTGCTCCTAGACCAGAAAAGCCGACGCTGGATTGGCGGGAAACTGCAGACGAACCACCGCCTTTACTTGCTATATCTGATGCTCTATTTGGTAACGAAGAGATGCCATTGCCTCCTGACCCCGATGATGGAACAGAGTGGTTGAATAACTTCACGGGACCCAACATCAGATTTGAAATGATGGGGATGTTGTTTTGTTTCTTCGGTTTAGCTTATCTGGCGTCGCAAGACTGGGATCCTATATTCAGTCATCCGGATAATCATGGTCGTGATAGGAAACAAGCTGCCTGGAGGATGAAAGAATGTGCTAATGTGTGTTTAACAATGTGCGATTATTCGGAAACGGTAAATTACTTGGTTACGGCACTGATTCTGAATATCAAACGGGTTGAAACGGGCTGCACTGGAGATGAGAGTGAGTGCCCTATTGGTGGATCTGTGGTAATTTCTGCAATAAAGCTGACTATTTCAAGCATATCAAATGAGGAGACTCCACGGCGATATGGTGACAACAGCAATCACCTCTGGCCTTCACAGGCTGCCAGAATATGGAACGACCAAAGTTACAGCTGCTTTAGAGTACAAACGGCGACTTTTCAGTAACATCTACTGCAGCGACAAGATCCACTCCTCCCTCAATGGTGTCCCGCCATTACTGACTCGTCAATTCTGCGATGTTCAACTATGTCTTGATCTTGCTGACGATGTACTCTTCGCACCTCCAGAGCAGCTCGATGAAGCTATCAGTAGACTCGGGTCAGAGGGCTGGAACCCGTCTGGTGTTTGCTATGAGATCTCAACTGTGCTTCGTGCAAGGACACTAATCCATATGATCCGAGAAGAAATCCTAGAATTGGCGCTCGGAATCAATGTCACTATCTCGGTAGAGCGTATCAAGTATGTGTGTCTCCCTTCTAGAATGCCTAGATTCTAACATCTTTTGTCAGTGAACTGCACGAGAAGTCCCAGCAAATGTTCGAATCCTTTCCCCAACAGTTGCACTACTACGACAAAGAAGGCATTGCCAAGAATAGCACCGGAAACCTGCTCTATGACCAAGCTTTTCTCAGCCTCCAACAACTCCAGAACAAGTTCCTAATCGACCGAGTCGCCAAAGCTCGTGGTCTTGAAAACGGTCAAGGGCTCCTCAATACAGCAATGGAGATGATCGACCTGTCCCTAATGTTCTGGAGCAAGAGAGACCAATTGATGGCTCACTCACACGGCTTCGATTGGATCATGACCTATTACGGCATCCCTTCCGCGGGTGTGATTTGCGTTGAGCTCTTGAAAACGTCCTCAGGACATAGTTCCGTGCAACTCTCTCGTTCCGACGCCATCCAAAAACTCACGCTCTTTATTGCATTCTTGGAATGGATTCGGCCTACAGATGGGAACTACACCCTTGCACAGCGACTGAGGAAGGTCGTGAGACAGGTACTGGATTATGTGCTTGATGTGGGGGTGAAGGACCCGGCACCGGATTTTGTAGCGGGTGGGGAACAGTTACAGTATGACCCTATGCCGGGGATGGGGTTTGATAATATGAACGATCTGGACTGGCTGAATACTATAGATTGGACGCAGGGGTCTTGGATAGATTTCAATTGATAAAACAAGAGAAGACTATTCGTGCTTACGAGACATGGATTTTGAGGGGTAGGCCTGGGACATAACTTATGCTCTAGAATCCTGAATCTAGGGGCAATTTTCTTTGGCCAAGGGCCGAAAAGTAACAGGTCGGCCACCAAATTTCATCCGGGCTCTCCCCAACTAGTTGGCTGGATCTCATGACACCGAAGCTGTCCACAATTGATGTGTTAATATCTTTCATTGATCTTGTCTTAAAAGGCAACGCGAAGTGAAAAAAGAGAAGGGCATCTGGCATGGGCGATGCAGAATTTTACGAGAAACCCCAAGCTCGTGAAAGTTCAACGGAGAGGGACAACAGCGCACAATAAAACAAACGAGCTCTGACATTCGTGTTCTAAGTTTTATCTCATTCTCTGTTCTCATTGTCTGCTCGCATTCTGATACCTCAAGGGTGCCTAAGTACATGAATAGGCAATCCTCTGTCCCATACTCCCATAATTTCTAGACCCAGGAACTCACACTTCAGTACTTGTAAGTTCATTAAAGTCTGACACCACCTTTGGAAATACCCATTATCTTGAGTACCGGCAGACGGAGTGGTTCCACGGGTGTGGGAGGTTTTGGAGCCCCAATCCGCCTTTCTGAGACCTTATCAATATTCTCCGATAGTGATGCCAGATAAAGCTTTCTATCACGCTCGTACATGATGAGACGTTTCTTATATGTCTTTTTGATCCAGTTAAATATATTCTTAAACCCGTCCTCGACGATTTCTTTCGCTACAGGGTCGTCACTTTCATGTTCATCCAGTTCGACGAACTCGAGATCCCCGTCGGTGGGAGGCAAGTCACAGCCTCGTTTAACTACTATTATGACTTCTTCAATGTCTCTGTGGAGGTCGAAAAAAACTTCCAGATAGAATAACGGCCCGGCCATATCCCGTATAACGTCTGTGGTGTCGTAGCGGACCTTTAGCTCGTTTGCGTTGAATGCGACCGACTTCAGTGACTGGATTCGAGGTAATCGTGAACAAGATTCACGCCAGTATGAATCGTCAACGGCGTGATTATCCTTCTCGGATATCCGTGGACAAGTCCAGTAGATGGTGTCAGCGAAAATTTTGATGTAATCAGGCACAAGGTGACTGAAGGGGGTGGCAGTCCAACGGTAAGCTTGCCCATCCAAGTACTCCATCTTGTACATGGTACTGCGTAGGGGTTGATAGAAGGATCGACATGCCTTACGACTCTCAAGACAGGCTAGGAGGACTGGGGGAAGCGTCGGCGTGACCTTCTGTATAAGAATGCTTTTGCGGGTTTCTCCATGTGGATGACTTTGCCCTGTCTGGTCAGTATCGAAAACTTCGTGCATCACGACAACTCTTGGCAGTCTTGCGATGGCTCTCCATATCTCGACACGAATTCTACAGTCGCAATATAGTCAGCAGCTGTACGAGATGGTAGGGCACTCGGATGGGAGTTAATCCTCAAGAACTTACTCTCCTGGCAATCTAGGAAAGAAAATAAAAGAATCGAGCTTGTCTTTTTGAAGGGTATCGGAAACCGTGGAATTATCATTCAACGAAAATGCATGAAGAGCACGTTCAACGAAACTCGTTATAGCATCCATAGACTCTTTCTTGGCAGGGGAGTAAGAAGTTATTCTGCGTTTGATGACCTCAGTGTACTGTATTTGATAAGATATCGTTGGTGTGTGAGCTTTGGAGTCTTGCTCCTTTTCAGACTTCTTGGTAGGCAACTGTGGAAGGATGGCTAGGCTCTTATGTTCTCGAAGACGTTCAGTACATTCGGTGGCGGAGTAAGCGAGGCCAATCACGCTAGTGGGGTAAACAAAGCAGGCAGGCGCTGGGTAGCAAACATCAAACAAAGAAACTCCGTTCCAAAAATAAGTGAATGTCAACGGGGTCGGATGAATGAAAGGTTTTGCCCTTATCGTCATGATTCGGACCAAAATAGCTTCCTCACCATCAGCACAAAGACAGCAACCGCTTGGACAAGGCATACGGGTTGCAAGAAATGAATATCTAAGCTTTTGGCTATTGTCATCTCAGGTAAGGCTATTAAAAGCCACAGAAGACACTTAAAGGTGACAAATGTCAGGGTTTCAATCTACAGCCAATTGACTGTCGGTTTGTTGTCAGCTTGCCTCGTACTAGAGGTAAATGAGCCACGGTCACTTCAGTATTATTGTCTGAGGATTTGTGCAGAGTATTTAACATTCCCAAAGTCGGATATTTCCCAGGTATAGTACATGTCCATCCATGAATCACCATTTGTCCAATAACCTCTGGATCTCCATCATCATCACAACGCACTCATGATATTCCAGGTCATTTTCAGTTACGTCTCCTGCCCCTCTTGTCCCCCCAGCCATCATTTTCCTGCTTCAACTCAGACCATGCTCAGTGCTCACCCATCGGTCGGAGACCATTAATCGAAAACAATCCCTAGATTCGAACACCTTCCCGAGTCAGACCCATGCGTCTGAAAGAAGGGATCTTGAAATCGGCCTTCTTGATTATTGGCACATCGAAGCCAAGGGTGGCCAAGACCGTTAGGTCGGATGGTCGATTGGCAAGCTTTGCAAGTGCATTTTGCATTTCATCATCCAATACCGAGTATGTTCCATCCTCCAAATCAATCATTTCAAGAGATCCTCCAAGTTGGTCTTGAGTAACGCGCTGCGGGCGGGAATCGCTGGATTGGCTGTGGTACTCAGAGCTCTCTTGTTGGTCATCCGTACTCATTGTGTCTGCTATGAAAATATCGAGAGGTGGTGCGAGTCTATCCACGAAGATGAATTTTGCGGCAGGGAAGGTCCAAGCCAAAACCTTGAGCCATTTGTACGCACCACGTTTAGCATTCTTGAGGTCCGTGGTATTGAAGGCAATGTTGATGACGTTGAGGCAGGCACGACCATTGTGGAAAGTGACATTTGCCTTGGCAGCCTCGAATGTTTCATCTCTGCACTTCGAATTGAAGTAAACGATATCACTAGATGTCATCAAAACTTCTCCATACATATTCTTGGGTGTCAAAGAGGCTATGGGACTTCCAAAATCGTATTCTGGTTGGATATGTAGGTATAATACAGGTTTGAGGGCCTCCAAAGCCATCGCTCTAGTCTCAGAAGAAGCGTAGAGAACTGCAAGATTGGCGACAGAAGAAGGTATAGCAGCAAGTGAGTATGAGTTTGCTAGTACCATGAGAATACGAGGGGCGTTGCAAGCTTCTTTGACGATTTGGTGGCGCAATTCGAGAGGAAGTCTGCGAAAGCAGGTGGAGGTATTGAACGGGATCTCATCTGCCTTTATACCTTCTATACCCTCTTGAATAGACAGCTGAACCATATTGTTATCGGAGTTGATGATCATGGACGGGACAGAAGTGGCATCGGCGCCGGATGGTATCATGATAGGCAGCGATGTCGTCGTAGGGAGGTGAGAGGCTGGCAACTCGCTCGAGGAAGGAAGAGGAAGCAATCTCTTATTGTCGTCTGGTTTTGTGGGGTTTGCAGTCAAATTCTGTTGAAGAACTGTCGCGGATCTTGGGTGTGTTTGTTTTGAGGTTGTTTTCTGGGGGCGTTGTGTGCGCTGCACGAGCATTTATACCTTAGCTCGCTTAGTTGCGTGCAATGTTGATTTCGTGGCTGGTACAAGAACAACAGTGAATGCTTTGCGGCGACACTTGCTTGAAGGTGAATAGCGACAGACACGACACATTGGTATCATTCTACACGATTTCAGATTTTACTTCGCCCCTTCAGCTCACGCAGGTTGAAGCAGGCCGTCAATCTCATTCATCGCAACGAAGATGAGTGCAATGGCAACCTTTAGACAACCTATACCTCTGTCTGTAGACTCAAAACATATCTCTCCGTCTTGTTCCAGCTAAATTTCACCTAGATACAAAGCGGCTTACCTAGCCATCAAAGAAAAGAATAGCAAGACCTCCAAATCTGTCCTCGGAGCATCAAGTGGTAAGTGCAAGATCTGCATGTGGTAGTCAAATAACATCAATGATGAACAAGCATGTAACGGCTCTTTGACATACATCTGCTCTTGAAAGTTGCCATTAAAAGTTTAAGACACTGGTCAATTTTGGTCCGGCTCACTCCTGGCACTGCTAGTATCTTCTGACAGGAAAAACACGGATCTCAGCTGCTCTTCAGTAGTTTTAAAAATTCCAGTTCTGAACTTTTGTCTCTCATCCAAGTAGCAGCAACATTAGGGGGGGAAAGCACTAATCAACCACCGAGCTGCAGCATTGCGAACCCTCGCTCAAGCTTCTCCAGCTCGCATACCACATCCTGGTACACTGCAGCTTTCAATTTCTCATTTCCTAGATCACTCGTCCCCTGGCCAAAATCACAGTTCAGGCATTTCCTTACGATCTTCCCGTAGGTATATCCCATCGATGAGCTTATGGTCTCACTCAAACGGACCGCAACAAGAAAGTCCGAGAGGGCATTACACTGACCATTTATCAGGTCATTACTGTTGTACAGGCTCCGAAGTGGTGCTTGAAAAGCGAGTTCGATCAGCACCACCGCCAAACTGAAGAGATAGGAATTGCGGATCATATGACCCACGACATTATCCACGTCCTGATTTTCGTTTCCGATTACTTTGGTTGATGTCGCGGACCCGACTTGAACATTGAGGTGTGGTGATGAAATGGATGCCGAATTGTCGAATTTCCCATGCCGAAAAAAAACCACGTCCTCTCCATGCCAAAATCGTTTTAACAGAGGCGTTGCGTGGAATTGTAAGACTGCTTCTGCAAGTCGAGTTGCTAGCCTCAGTCGTTCGTACTCCAAAAACTGTTCAGACTCTGCTTTCCCTTCCATTAATCCGATAATCGAGGCAAGCGATTCTGGTTGTGTATAATCGTGTACCGCAACTGGAGCTGCAAAGTAAACAAGATGCTTACAAGGACCAGATTTCTGGAAGTACCCTAAATACTTATTTTCTGGGACGCGCGAGTAGCTGCAGGACTTTCGGAGTTGATGGCAGAAGTCATGTTGTACGCAGAAATCGGGAAGCGACGAGTGTTGCTGTGCCTCGCTCGTCACTGATAGGCAAGAGGATGCTTTCACCTGGAGACTTGTCGCGGGTGTAAGAGTGCTAGAGCAAAAGTCTGGTTCCCGAATGATCGAGCAGATCGGCGGTACCTGCACAAAGCGTACGCTTTTCTGTCTTTTCGCCTTCTCCCGAGGCTGCTGACTCTGCGTCTCATTTGCTATCTCCAGGTTCCGCGTTAGAGTTCGAGGTAAACTCGACGATCCGTCTGCTTGTACGATCACCTTGTGCATATCGTTCAGCGAGCTTTCCAGAAAAGAGGATTCTACTGCAATCCACTAATGATTGAATATTCAGTTGCGGCCTATACATTGTTTGGAAATAGTAACAGAATGGAGGAGAATAGCCTCACCACAGGCTCCAAAGTTGCAAATGCCCCACGCCGATCGTGTGTGAAGGCAATGTTGAAGCGAACAAACGACTCCTCTGAATCTGTTGATCCGATATTTTTTGGTAATAGCTGGAATTGTGCATAGTGCTCTGTGTGATGTTGACAGGCGGTCCCAATGGCATCATACAGCTGCGCAGAAGCTCTTTGGATCAACTTTGACTCTGCAATCTTTTTCGGCGAAAATGCTGTTGCCACTTGCGATTTCAGTCTATCATCCTGCTGCTTCTCAAATCTCGTGGTCTGCTTCGCCAAGGTGCGGAAGTCCTGGTTGAGCTTTCGAAGGTCGTCAAGATATTCCGTGAGTCGTGATTCGGAAAAACAGAACTTCAGCTTCTTTTGTATTCGACACCGCCATGCTTTATCCCCAAATGACCGTATCTAGTTAATCAAAGACCATTTCAGTCGATGTTCCATGAAGTCGGACAATAGAATGAGCTTCGCGTATTCTTACCGGCATTGATTCCTGCAAAACTGCACCAAAACTCTCAGCATCTGCTTCGATAGACTTGAGCTTCTCCATAATCATTTGCATCGTAGCTTCACAAGCCTCTTTTGCACTTCCCAGTGGCTCAATGAGCCTCCTCTTTAACGCCTCATCGCTCCAGGAAGGGTGGTCTTTCTCCTGTAACATCTCTTTAGCCGATTGTCGATTTGTCAATGTCGTCAACAGTATTTGGCACTCGTTCATGAAGATTGTCTTTTGAACCTTTAGTCGCTTCTGGTAGGAATCGAGTTCCGGTGCATACTTTTTGAATCTCTTAAAAGGCTTGAAAACATCGTCATAGTGCTCGGCTGCCGATATAAGTAGAGGGAGCACTCCAAAAACAACCCCGACCACTTCTAGCCCCGACATCGCGATGTTCAAATCCTGTTGTTGAGTTGAAGCTTTTGCTGGAGAAATGTCTCTGATAATGAGGGAGGATTGATTTGCATTGTTCATTCATCATTCAGCCTTCGTTGCAGCCCTAAGGGCTGTGTGCATGCATATATGCACACCTGCTTCCCGACACGGGGGCTGTGCAGTGCCACTGCCTCCCTGGGTTTTGGTGCAGCCTTGTCAAACACGATATCATTTCAACGCCAGGATATTCGGCCAATTCTTATTCCATCAATGATCGGATAGGCATCATCACCAACAAATTATAGACTCGGGAGGTACGTTTCCAGATTTTTGCCAAATAGCTTCTGGACTGATCGTCACCTATGCAGAGCTAGAGAACCAAATTCAAGACACGAAAGAGCTTCTAAAGAGAGAGAAGAGGCCCTGACCGAGTGCCTGAAAATCCACAAAGCTAATGCCTAAATAATTGAAGAATCCAACAGAACTTTCATTGAGGACGCCATCGTCTCTACGATGCCAGATTCATCGCAACTGTGTAGTAGTCAATCGTCTACTGCACCTTGGCAACCAGTGTGTGATACATTAACAGGATGGCTTGATGGGACATCGACTCAATTCACAACGGATGGTAATGATGACCAGGCTACTCAAGAACCAGCTGGCTTTGCCTGGAGTCTGTATCATCACACTCTCCAGCTCTTCTCACTACTACTTCCACCTATGTTGGAACATATCTCAAGCTTTGATCCACAACATAGAAAAAAAAGCGAAAAATCTCTCAAGAAGTCGTTAGGAAAATTGTTCCTCTGGGGTAGCAGCTTTGAAGATGGAAAACTCGAAAGCGTGCTGGAAGAATCTGAAAGCTTGAGAGACACAGTAATGGAGTCTTTTGCCGCCGTCGACAGGATTTTATTACTCAGTATGTCATTGGATAATCATAAAACTGCTAGCCATACTAACACATCTGGCAGAAATACCACCGATATGCTTGAGAAAACCTAGCGCATCAGAAAATCCAAGGATCAAACAAGAGATGCACGACCTGAGCATTTGGGTTGAAAAGGCACGCGTGGTCACGGAGATTGATTATGAAAGCGACGACTCATCAGCAAGTTTGGATACACAAGAAGACTTTCCCACAGTCATCGGTTCTTTGGGAGACTATGTAGGGGACCTCATGGAGCTTCTTCCGTCCATGGAAACGACCCTCAAGTCCTTGAATTGGCAGGATGTTGAGGATCGGCCGAACCAGCAGGTCGAATTCCAAATCTCGGGTCCTGCACAGCCATACGTCTTAAAAGTGTACGACAAGTTTCCATTGGCTGACATGCACTTGATGCATCGCCTGGGTGAGGCTAATTGGCAGCGGCACATCTCCTTGCGGGCATTTCACAATCAAGAAGACAGCGAAATTGCTCACCAACTTCCAAAGATCGCATTTTCCGAGTTTCACGACTCTGGTCTTGGATCTTCACTTCCAGCACGATCATCATATGCAGCCACGGTTGCATCCCATTCATCCTTTCGGAGTACCACAGACGACAAAGATAGCGGGACGCTCCGAGTGCCTCCCACTCCCAAGGAAGTGTTCGAGGGTGAACCCTTCAATTGTCAAATCTGCGGGCAAGTCTTAACCGACATCAGGAACCGTGTGGACTGGAGGTGAGATGCTAGCACTTACAAAGTCGAAAGCAAATCTAACAGCAGCACAGGCGGCACGTTTTTGTAGATCTCAAACCTTACCTGTGTACCTCTCCAGGTTGTAAGGACGAGTTCAAGACATTTGCAACTCGAAAGCAATGGCAAGAACACGAATTTGGCCAGCATCGGTTTAATCGACACTGGGCCTGTTCAGCATGTCAACACAAATCTGGAACTCCAGAAGACTGGCATGAGCATTTGCTTCAGGCTCATAAAGTCGTCTCCACCTATCCCAAACATCCTCTTGATGCGCGGTATTTCGAAGTTCGTGAGACAATACCAGTTGAATCAATGCCTTGCCCGCTCTGTTTGGAGGTCCCTGGGAAGTCTCAAAGAGACTTCGCGACACATGTTGGGAAACATATGGAAGACATTGCACTGGCGGCATTGCCTCGAGAAGGAGAGTTTTCGGACACCGAATCAGACTCTTCAGATATGCTAGACATCCCTGACCATTCGAGATTTTCAGCTAGTGGTTATCTTTCGGGAGTTATTACTCCAGGATTTGAGGGTGGCAACGTTCCTCGGTCTCAAACGACATTCGAGCCAGCTGCAATGACTTCATCTCAATTTGGAAACCAAGATACAAGACCATACTATGATGATGGATACACCTCAGCTGCGGAAGAAGCTACAATTCCGACTCCAAAGACTGAACAAACAGAAAGTACAACAAGCAAGGCAGGGGCAGTTTACAGAGCCATGCCTCCACCACGCCATCCTAGCATTCTCCGACGCACTTCTGTGTACGATAGTGATCTCCCATCTGACCCAGGGATATCAGTAGACCATTATGAACAAGAAACACGATTAGAATACCACGAGGAAGTACGATCTCAGCTACCAAGTGTGGATCGCTATCCAATATCTGATGCTCCTAGGAGCGAAGCAGCAAACAGCGGACGACGTAAGCAGAGCTTCTATGAGCAGCAATCGTCTGCTAAAGTTCGAGATGGTGTCAACTTTGAAGAGCATGGGCAGAATGACAAGGAATTACCTCTGTCTAGTCATGGACATCCAGGTTCTACACAGGACCAGAGCGGTGCAAAGCAACTCGACCCGTCTCTCACCTTGCCACCTCTTGTCGATGTACTTGGTGTCAATTGGAACGATTCAAGGCCAGTCAAGACCACGAAGAAACTCAGCTTGAGCGATTATGCAACTTGGCGAAAGAAGAAAGACTCTTCTAAGGTAGCCAAGCCCGTGGAGGGGAGTAGTCCAAATCTTGCTACACCAGATGTTAAGCCCAAGGATCTGGAGGCAAGAGGAGATCGAGCGACAATATCGACTATTGAGCCTAGCACAGCAGAGTCCTACGGCAAATCCACGGACAGTGAACTCAGCGCAAGCCGATGCCAATGGGAGGGATGCAACAAAACGTTTATTAGTGCTGCCTATTTAAATAGGCACATGCTGAGACATACTCGACCTTATCAGTGCCGAGACTGCGAAAATCGATACGCAAGTCAGAGGGACTTGGCACGACACATGTCATCTCATCATACTCCAGAGGTCTTCAAGTGTCCTCACGAATCATGTACTTTCAAGGCAATACGTAAGGACAACTTGCGGCGGCATATGGACAAGAAACACGATCGTTTTGTCCCATAGGCTTACAGCTGGAGGGATGTTTAATAACGTAGCAGTCCTAATAGCAGGTGGGGAATATCAAATTTATCAAGCAATTACATATATTCCAGTCCAACATTCCCAAAAGACACCGTAGAAGTCAGTCAGTCACAAAGTTTCCTCTATGGAGACATAGAGGATGAATGATGCAAACCGGAAAACGAGTACACACAAAACCCAGGAATTAAGCGAACAAAACAAAACAAACCCACACTCTCACACTTATCACCCATTCTCAGGTAACTAACACCACCTGCACCTGCCTCTTCAAAAGCACAAAAAGCCTGGTACGAAACTCGCAAACTATTCAAGACGGCTCGAAGAAAGGTTAGAGAGTAACAGCCTCCTAGCACTCACGTAGCCCTCCTCTATGAGGCAGACATCTACCATATTTATTTTGCGTGCCTTTTTGATTCAATAAATCTAACGATCTCGGAATGTAGGACACTGGGCATCAACCAAGGAGGCAAGGAAAGGATACCGAGGCTGAGGTTTGGGGAGATTGCTTCAACATATAAGCATACACTGGCAATATAAGTTATAAGGTGCTAGTCTTGAGGTTCAGAATTGGGCGCCTTGAGGATGAGGAGAGGAGTCTTGTGCTGTACATGATTCTAGTGTTTGAGAAATATCGAGGATCACTGATTGGAAGGGCATGACAGCCTCAGAGGCAGCAGCAGCAGCAGTAGCAGCAGTCTCATTCAGCAGTCCAGACTTTACAAATTTCATCCCTATCCTGCGTACGCCCACACTTACACACGCAAGGTGTAAAGCAGAAAAGAGCCAATCGGAGTATTATTTTCTTTTTGTCATTCATGAATATATGTCTGTATGCATGCATGCTAGCTACTGCTCGCGGGCAGATATTCTATTCAGCATCCATCCATCCACCATCCACATCCATCGTGCGAGCGAGCCTCAATCAGCAGCAGCATCAGCAGGCGAATCAGTAGCAAGGAGCAAACAGCTCTTCCTCCAAGCCCGTCAACTGCCAACCACAATCCTCCGTCTGCAGCTGCATCTCGCTCGCTCTCACTCTCGTTCTCGTTATCGCTCATACGCATTTTGTCGCGAATGCCTCTTCCGGCATGGAAAGAATCTATCATACACGTTTTTGTTTGCAAGTTCGCAATGGCTTGTTGCATTGCGTTGCGATGAGATGCTGGCTGCCTTGCTTCCTTGCTCCCGCTTCATCAAGGAATGAATCCCAGAGAAAGGCGGCGCATTGACACTGAAGAGAATGCAGAGCAGTGGCAGCAAAGCAAAGCAGAAGTCAGAGCGACCAAATCAGTTGAATATGCAAAGAGCTGTCTCTCCAGTGGTTTGCACCGATTCATCTTTCGTTTTCCGCATCTCATAATTGCAAAAGTAGTATCCCTGATGTGGTGACACATCCCAATCCAGGTCTGAAAAGACCGTTCATTCATCCTGTCTCGGACATCTACGCCGTAGTTGAGACTGGTTGTATTGAAAGGGCGAGGGAAAGCATATCGAGAATGGAATCGTATGTATTGTACAGTGTTCGTCAAACAAAATCGGAAGGATATGGTACAGTCGAAAGGTGGTCGGTAGCTTTTGGGAGCGAGCTGGTTTAATCAGGGACAGCTGCCGAGGCTTTATTCTTCCTCCGAACCAGAAGATTCATCTCCACTAGAATCGTCTTCAACAGCTGGCTGTGCATTAGCAAATGGAAATGTTGGCATCAGGGTTGAACTTACTTGGCAAGACAGGCTCTTGAGAATGGGAGCCGGAGCTCTGTCTCTGATAGGTGCCTAGCTTCTGCTCAAGAACCTTGATGTGGTGCTCCTGATCAACACTGCTCATTGGCTTGTTCTTCTTCTTTGGTGGCGGCTTGGCAGCAGTTTTGGGGCTCTCGCGACCTTGGATTGTCTTCCTAATAGCATCCTCAACCTCTGGTGCGTGCTTCATGATCAGTCCGTGGATCTTCCAGAGAAGGCTCTGACTGATCGAGTCGATGTCAAGCTCCAAGGTACCATCATCTTCAGCCTAAAGGAATGTTAGTTTATGGAGTGTCAGAAGGACGGGGAAACTTGCATCGAGGCCTGGTCGCTCTCGCTTGATGTCTTCCAATACTTGCATCGAGACATCGTCAGGTAGATTCATCAAGCCTGCAGAGATTGTTTCCTTCTCCAAGGTTCCCATGTACTTTGGACGATGGGTGGCGGCCTTCTTGGTAGCACCAGCCTTCTTCGGAGGAGGTGCAACCTTCTTGGGAGCCTTTGCTGGCTTTGTCTTCTTGACCTTCTTCTTGGATGCCTCCTCTTCTTCACTGACTCGCTTCTGAACAGTATTTACTAGCTCTTGCTGCATGGAGATGACGAATTCATCCTTGTTCTTGGCGCTCATCAAGGCAATCAACTTCTGTTGGTGTTCTAGAAGAAGCTCCTTAGCTGCGCTGAGAGAAGAAGTCTTATGGTTTTGAGCCTCTTCCTCCTCCTCGTCGTCTTCATCGTCCTCTGACTCGGGAAGACTAGGGCTAGCAACAGGTGGCGAGTGTTCGGCAAGGTAGCTATCCTTCTTGTCCCATTCTTCGTTGAACAGATTCTCGAATTGCTTACCAAGTTCATGGACTGGGTTGCCAGCTGGATTGAACTTGTAGCAGTTGGCGAAGAGCAGCCTCATATCCTTCTCAAAATCGCTTGCACTGGAGTACTGGCCGCCCTTGAGCTTAGTAGACATTGTTCCAAGGTCTATGGGCTTTTTGATGATGGCAAAGTAGTTGGGAATACCCAAGGCAACCGGATCTACAGGGATCATGAATGGATGATTAATCGACCAATATTTGTGCTTCATGACTTCGCTCAAAACCTCCTCGCAGAACTTCAACTCAGCTGCAAGCTTCTTATTCTTCGGTCTGGTCGTAGGGTACACAAGATCCTTGCTCTTGGGAGGATGGATCTCGCGCTTAGGACGACCACCATCACCCTTCGTGGAATCTCGACGGATAAGTGGTGTATTTGTAACTGGGTCGACTGCAAAGGTCTGTGCCGTAGGTGCGACGTGGGTTGGAGCTGGGTGAGAGCCTTTGGATTGACGGCGAGGAGCTGCTGCACGGGGCCCTTCGGGAGCAGGAGTTGACTTCTTGGCCTTCTTGTCTCGCTTGGGTGCAGGGACTGGCTCAGGGGGCATATTATCAATCTTGCCTAATATAACATCACGAACCTCGAGAGCAGCCTTGGAGATGGTGTGATCGGGGCCGTTGAAAGTCACAGCATTGTCGTAGATGAGCTGGACGTCGCCCTTGAAAGCCTCCATTGATGTGTAGCCACCCTTATTGAGAGCCTTCTCCATGGTCTTTAGGTCAACCTCCTTCGCGATCTTCTCCGCATATGGTTCAGCAAAGCTAGGCCACAGTTCTGCAACTGGAGCTCTGAAGTTCTTTCCAGCCAATGACCTAGCCGCAGCCTTGACCATCTTGACGAGCTCCTTGACTTCGTGAGGTGTGATTGGTGTTCCGGTCGAATGAAACTCAACGCCTTCCATCGCACCATTCTGGCTTGGAGCAGCCATATCGGAGGTGGTTGATTCTGCCTCGGTTTTGGTTCGCTTCGCGGAGGGTTCGATCTCGTCGTCGTCTTCACGCTCGCGAGCAATCTTGGCAGAAGCTGGAGCTTGTGGCGTAATGTCTCTTTCGATAGTCATGGGTTCTTGTGTCGTTTGTGGAGAAATGACCTGCTCGGCTTGCTTGATTGGCTCCTGTTCTTCGTTCATAGGTGGTTGTGTGGCAGGCTGTAAGGTATCTTCAGGTACAGTCTCGCTTTGATCCAAGGTAAGATGAGCTGTGTCTGCGCTGACGCCACTAACGTCAACTTCCTTCTCTGGCTGAGGCGTAGGTAGCTGCGTGCTGTCCAGATCAAGATCGAGGTCAGCTGGCTGCGCCACTTCCACCTCCACAGGAACCGAAAGTGTGTGTCGAAGATCTGACTCTGGTGCTTCGATAACCAATGGCACTGTAGTGGCAGCTGCAACGTCCTCGATCGCAGCGTCTATAGCAGAATCGGCGGAGGCAGGTTGCGTGGAGAGATCTGGTTGTACGAAATCGGTCGAGGCTGGGAGTTGCTCGTCGGTAGTTGTATTGGAGGAAGGAATTTCTAGCGCCGAAATAGAAGACATTTCGGTAGCCTGTGACTCGACGGCGTGGCTAGTCGATTCGCCGATTGTTTGGTTTGAAGAAAAGGCATCAACATTACTCGATCCATTCACTTCGGGGATGTCCAAGGCAGCAGCATTATCGGCAGGTAAAGGTGAGGTTACGGATTCGTTTAGAGGTAGATCAGTAGGGGCGTCATTCATGGTGGTCTCATTTCGGGTTGAGTCTCTGCATTTGTATTTTATTAAGCATGTGTACATTTGAAAACGAAGGAAAAGAGAGGTGCGCAAGAGTGTAAGGAGTTCGAGATAGACTCACCCGTTGATTTCTAAATCCAAAGCCATCTTGTCAGATGATGGAACGGGCTGGGCCTTCTGCTCAAATGCGACTCCTTCTGGATGTTGCGAGGTCATGACGGCCATCAACAAACAGACCTCTACTGGGAGAGGCGACGCCACAAGACAGGTCAAGACGGGAGAGCCTCTCAATCAGCTGCGACCTAGGATACTTAGGATGCGACAAAGTTTGCGACACCGAGTACAGGTGTTTCGAGTTGTAGAGATGATCTGGAAGTGAGTGGGGGTAGTGTTTGTTTTTATCAATGTGACAGCCTTGCGCTGAAGCTGTAGCCTTGCCTTGCGCGACAGGAAGAGCCGGGGTTTGCCAGCAGCGCAATTTCTCGAAACGCGTCGAAGTATCAAGCCACCAAGTGAATGCGCTTTTAGCTGAAGGCGAAAAGTGAATGCGCCCGCGATGACTCGTCGCGATGGCGATTTTGTTTTGTTGGCGGTGTTTTGTTTGGGCGGTTGATACGCGACGACGAACAAGCGCGTCCGAGGATCTTGAGATTCAAAAAGATGCGATGCGACGCGCAGGGAGTACACCTAACGAAAGAGACCCAAGTATTAAATGGACAGGCAGTCAGCAACACCGACACCGGGGATGCGCGCGACAAATAAATGTGCAGGCAGGCGATCAGTGGCGATGCGACAGCTAGTTCGTTGATGACTCTTCTGTTCGCGGCGGCGACCAGCTGGATGGGATGGGATGGATGGACGGGACAGCCGGGATCGTGGATTGCCAGACCGAGCCGAGCTGGTAGAAAGGAAAAGGGAAAAGGGAAAAGGAAAAAGTGTGAGAGTGCAGGATTTGACCTGAGTGGTGCGGCGTGTAAGGAAGGCCGGGTTGTATTCAGATGTGTTGCGCTGCGCTTCGTGGTATCATGTGCTTTGGTCGGAACGGGAAGCGACGAATGAGGGCCGCGCAGAGGTTCAAGGAGAGAGCAAATGACAAGAGCAAAGATGGAAGGAACGACGGTTGCTTTAAGAAATGGAGATGTAGCCCGCGCTAGCGCCCCCGAGCTAAGCGACGCCAATCAGAACGCTGCACTGGCCAGCAGCCCAGTCGAGCTGCAAAAAGCAGGGATAGATGCAGTCCAATGAGGCCGTGCCTTCCACCCCCCAAGCCCGACGCTATCTTTTCACCGACACACGTGACTAAGCTTGGAGAAAAAAATGTTTCGAGAGGTCCCGCCTGAGAAAGTGAGAGGGAAGAGAAGAGAGCTCCTAGTCCAGCACGGCAAGGCAACACTGAGTTGCACCACCAACAATCCTCGACCCTTCGCCAGCCTTACCTCGTATAGCCTCATAGGACACTGGCAGACTTCCCCATCAAGCTTTATCTCCAGCACAAAAAGCATTATGGCCGCCAAACGAAAGCTCCCCATGAAGATTGGCTTGCCGACTATCAAGCAGAGCGCAAAGCCGCTAGGAAAGAGCACTGTGAACGACTCAAGGGCTGTGGTTTCTGGCGGTGGCTATGCGACCAAGACCGCAAACGATGTAGTCGATATATCCAGCGATTCGAGTAGTGATGATGCCGTGGAAGATTCAGAAGCCGAGAGTGACGGATCTGCTGCAGGAGAAGACGTAGCGATGGAGGATGCACAAGAGACGGCTGACCCTGCGAATCCTAATAATGAAGACGAGGACGAAGAATTGGCCGAACCGTCGTTTGGGGACCGAATTCAAGCTCTGGCAGACGAGCCTATCGATGTCGCTGCTGCCTTCGAAGACCCCTCCCAAGCTTTGACCTACCCCAATGGCGCAGCCATACAACCCCCCTCCGGCGCATCACTGGGTACGGTTCTTTCTCAAGCTCTCAAGACGAATGACGTCGCACTCCTCGAATCGTGTCTTCAAACCACTGATCTGAATACCATCCGCGCAACGATACAACGTCTCGATTCTCCACTTGCAGGCATCCTGTTACAGAAAATTGCGGACCGGTTATTCAAGAGACCTGGCAGAGCCGGGAGTCTAATGGTCTGGGTTCAATGGACCTCCGTCACACATGGAGGATACCTGGCGACACAGCGAGATCTGATTAAGAAGCTGGCGGAACTGGACAGAGTGGTTGATGGAAGAAGTACGGCTCTGCGGCCGGTACTGGCTCTGAAAGGGAAGTTGGACATGATGGGAGCACAAGTGGAATACCGCAGAAGCGTACAAGATCAGCGCAGACGGTCAGATGAGGACGAAGATGACGAGGATGTGATATATGTTGAAGGAGAAGAGAGCGAGGAGGATGGGGCTACAAAGTTACTGAAGAACGGCGAGGGAGACCTCTCAGATATGGACAGCGACATGTCAGACGATATGCCAATGGTCAACGGGGTAAACTCCGACTCAGAAGAGGAAAGCAGTGACGAAGACAACCTTCTTGATGACGAAGCAGAAGAAACAGATGCGGATTCAGGCGACGAGGATGAGGCGGACGATGATTCCCGAGGAGAAGAGGACGATAGTGATGCAGATCAGTCACCTCCAGCAAAGCTGTCGAAGACTAAATCAGTGTTTTCTAAAAAGCGATAAACAAAAAGGGCAGGATAGCATTTGGCGTTGCATGGGACGGCGTTTGTTTGGCTACACTGTTGTTTATTGTGAAGCTACCGAGAGCATAGATGTGCGATACCTCTGGACGAGGAGGACATTGAACTACTTGTATAGATCAGCCGGATTCAAAATATACCTCTGGACTTCTTCTGGGAGTCAATTCAGCCTCGTCCCAATGCACAATTCCACTAAGTTCTTGGATTCTCGTTAAAAACATCTCGGTACCGAGAAGTTAATCGATTAGCATCTACATTACTCGTACCCAGCTTGCAGGTACCAAGCCCTCAAACAAGTCAATATACAGTAAGACCCAACCCCCGCCCACCCAAAAAAAAAGCTTACCCCTCCTCGCCCTCCTCGGCCCTCACATAACATGAGAGTCCTTGGGAAAGCTTTATCGCACTCAAAACAATTCAAGTCTGGAGACCTGCACGACACGTGACACGTTTCAGAAGTCCCCATCACACCTCATTCTGCAAGACAAGCTTTTTCTGGCATTCCTACCTCACCTACATTCAGATACTTAACAAGTTTCGCATGACGCCACTTTACATTCCGAACTTCCTTCCTTTCAAACAAATTCTTTCTACAAAGACGTGCAACAACCGAGTCATCCGATCCTAAATTCCAGCCTTACGATGCACATTTCAGGACAGTAATGCATGGTGGAGAAAATCAGGTGAGGTGTTTCCTGAAATGGAAGATATCACTCGTTCGTCTCAGCCACATCTCGGAACTTCTCAGCCGGATCGTCTTTCGTGTGCCGAGATTCCTTTTCATTCCCCTGCTTGTGTCCTGGAATCCAAGAGATCCAAGCCTTCCTCACGTCCAATGGTGCCAAATCCGAAATCCGAAATACAAAAGGGAATTGAAGTTCTCAGAGATAACTTATTCCCAGCAAATCTTTCTTCTACAGGATCCTTGTTCTTGCCCTGCCCCAAGCGTCTCTTGTCCATCGAGCCATTCTTCTCAACCCTGCAGAAAACTGCCACTCGGAGTCTGGGAGGTATGATTTCAAAATCTATTTTAAGACGTGTCTCGGTACGAATGAAGTTTAGGGATCAAGTGATCCCCCAGAGACCCGGACAGGAGAAACCTTCACAGAAGAGCCTCAGCTTCAAGTGTGTCGAATTGGGTTAGATGTCGGACGGAGACTCAAAGCTTGTGTTCCTTTGCGAGGTGGCTGGAGACCTTGTGGCTTTAAGGTAGGTATGGACTGACTTGCGTACTTTACGCGTCCCATCTTGCTAATAATTTGAGGAAGGAACGATCCGGGGAACAATTCGGCTGGCATTCGTCAGCCTTTTCGTGGTGGTCATTTCTCTGTACCTAAGGTAGGTATGCAGGAGAATTGTGGAGGCCTCCCAGATTATGGATGCCCGGAACCGAGGATTGTTTCTGCTTTACTACGAGATCTCCTCCGGCGGGCTTTCATCTCATATGTTATTATTTGGCATGTCATTGACACAGCGACGCTAAGTCTCGGAGGCGTTCGAGGTGCATCACCAAGCACAGTTGCTCGGCTTACTAGATCTCATGCTTAACCTCGTTCCGGACATCCAACAGTATGAAACAAACAGTGCTCAAGTGAGCATTTTCCCATTCAAGGTATCCTCATGGTCATAAAATATGCAGCCCCGGCTTGGTCTTTGGGTTCTCCAACCTGAGTGATCGGTGCTGTGAGTTGAGGTCCACTGTAGCAAGAACCCCTGTCTCGTCCACTTTTAACTCTGCAGCCGCTAACCCTGAGTGCACGGCGCTGACGACGCCTGCCTCCCTGTCTCCTCATTCATCAGCTCCTCAGCTCCTCAGAGCTCTCTCTTTTCTAGATCTATTCATTCCCTTTTGTCTTGCGTCTATTCGTTCCTTCACTTATTTAGTCTGATATCTCGTTGCCTACAAGGCTGATAACTTTCAAATTTCATGCTTGTCCCTGGAATCGATTTGATTTGCTCTTTTCAAGCCACCACGCGCGCGGGTGGCACTGCAGGTCTTGGAAGCTCGTGTCCATTGGCATTTCATCATCGCCAAGCACTTGGCAACATCCATCCCCTACTCAGAAACAAGGCTGAGGATAGCCTCGACCAAGAATTGCAGACCCCAAGTCATTATCGCATTTCAGGATATCTCTTATGATTTCTTTCCTTTTCGAACTTTTTCAACACAATCCGATATATGTTGAACACGATGGCGAATCTGAAAAAGCGCCTCGCTGGCGCAGTGTTATTGACGGTACTGTCCATATTGTCTATTTGCCTGCTTCTGCCGAAATCGCGGGTTGGCACACGTCTACAAAATGTCACTCTCGGTACGGCAATTGAGAATTATTCGAGTCTGTGGAGATGGCATGAGGACAGTTCGAGTGGGGAAGAGGATATTGGTGGTGGGATTAGACTGGTGGTTTTTGGAGACTCCTGGGTTGATGATACCCCGGAGAACCAAGGTAATAAGGGGAAGAGCTGGCCGGAGGTTATGTGTGAAGAGGTAAGCATCTTTGTTTTCCAAAATAAGGTTAAAACTAACATATAAACTTAGATCAACTGTACATCTCGCCTTACTTTTGCAGCAACACAACCTGCATCCGACTGGCCAGCTCTCCCACCAACAGGTGTCAAAATCTCCAATAAAATTCACGCCTGGGCAGTAGAGAATACGCGGTACCTCCCTCGCGAAGACACCAACTACACTCTTCCAGATCTATCAGCCCAGGTCCAGGCCTATCTCTCGCTCCCAGCTCCCAAGGAGGCACCCAAAGAAACCATCTTTGTCCTCTCCTTCGGCTTCTGGGATATCTACGATTTTGCTCGTCTTGACTACGTCATGGCTATGAATGTCACAGATAGATCTATCGATGAAATCTTCACCCAGCTCGACATACTTTACAACCACTTCGACACAACATTATACCCTGCTGAGATTAATGCTATCAGCCGACCAAAATTCAGAATCATTATTCCCCGCCTGTTCGACCCGACCTTGACTCCAGGCTGGACATCACATCGTCCGGCACCACTATCTCCAAGTAGTGTTGCTGAACAGCAGAAAAATGCCGTGTATCTGACAGAACGCTGGAATCAGATGGTTGAGAACAATATGGGATCATGGATGAACAGCCTATCAGATTTTGAATTCCAAGCCGAATCGACAGAAGACGAAGTGCCTATCCCTCTAGAACCATCCGAGCCTTTCCAGCCCCCGAATGTCCCATCCCAGTCCGAAGAGCAAAGCCGCACTGACATCCGCCAAGCTCGTACGCTTTACAAACCTGGACCAAATCCAAATCCAAACCCCAACTCCAAGACAGAGTCTTTCGCCTCTCGCCAGAAAGCCGCACCTCTAGCCATATCCATACCCACAACTACCACCCTCCTCCCCCAGAAAGACATCTTCTACTACGACGCGCCCAAGTTCCTCCTCGACATCATAGTCGAGCACGCCCTCGAAGACGCCGGTCTCGTCGACGCATCAGGTCTCGGCGAAGGCGAATCATCCTTCATCTCAGTATCATTACCCTGCGTACGAGAAGTACAGGATGGTGAGAATTCTGATGGAATGGTTGATATGAACGGTATGTTGGTGTGTAAAGAGCAGGATTTGTATCTTTGGTGGGATGCGTTTACGTTGGGAGGTGTGGCTAATGAGGAGATTGGGAGGGAGATTGCGGAGAGGGTGAGGATGGGGAGGGGATTGAGGTTGGCGTGGGAGAATAGTGGGACGAATACTTGATGAATGATGATACTGGTTCTGTCAGGCCATTTCCTCTGTTTATAGGTTTCCTTTGTTTGGGTAGTTGGGTTGGCTAAGGAGTTCGGATGGGTCTGGATACCTCTTTGCGCATAAAGCATAGCAGCATTTCTTGGAGTTTTGGAAAAGAAGGAGCATTGTAGGCGCGCTGGAGGGGCGGGTGCTGGCTATTTGTTGTATTTTTGGCATTGAATTTTACATGTCACTACAACTTTTTGGTAAATAAGAGAACATGTGAAACAAGTAACCCTCCGAGAATGTGTTTCGATTTTTCACACGCAAAAGTTCTCTCCGCCATGTGCAGAGGTGAAAAGAGCAAAGTGACCACTTTCCTCTCTCACTCTCACCACGACATCCCTTCCTTATCTCCATTCCATTCACAACCTTCCTTCCCAGGATAACTCAACCGACAACTTCCTCTTCCCCTTCCCCTTCCAAGTAGCCCCTCAATGGAAACCCCGGCATCTAAACCGCGCCTCACCTGATCTTACCCATCCACAGATTACATTACCTGCCGTCAAACCCTCACCCAGCACATCAACAACGCCAGTCTGCGAAGTCCTATTACCTCTTGGTAACTAATTACCGACCAGCACAATCACCAACCTAGCAGCAGCCATACAAAGTTAGAAGTCCCTTTCAAACAATCAACATCCACAATACACCAAAGCCAGATTACTGGATCGTACATACCCTACAACCAGTCCTCTATTCCCTTATCATTCATTCATTGCCTGGGCACTCCATTGCGTCGAGATCGAGAAAACTGGCACAAAATCCCAGCTGGAAGTAATGACTTTGACAATCTGATCTCTGAGTCTCTCTTCCGAATCTTGTGTAGCTTGGCAGAAGACTGTGGAAGATATCTACAGAGAAAAAGGGGGAAAACGGACTTCAGCCTCTGAGCGGTACAAACCCAGCCGCAGAGTCTGGCTTGGGTAAAGTTTCTTGGGCTCATAATCGGCTCCTGCGAGGGTAGGCTGAAAGACTTCGGTGATGAAAAAGCATTGTAAAGGACACGAGACAGGGCTGTAACTTTTGGAGTAAATAAATCCATCATTGGTTGGACTGGTTCCAAACGGGAACCTGCTCTGTCCATTGTCTAGCAATACCAGCTTCCGGTTAAGATATGATACCAACTTACAAAGCACACTATGATATTGGCTTGCTATTTATTGTATGAGCCAAGCCCAAAACGCCAATTGCGAGCCATCGGTACGTACAGATTCCTCCAGCAGACCGTGGCAATTACCCCTCGTTCCATGTTACATGCGTTCTATCCTTCCATTTAATATGCCATTTCCCAAGCAAGGTCCGCAACGCCAGTTTCAATACCAACACCAACTTCAACTTGAACTCCAGACTCCTCTACATATGCCTACAAGATTCTTGCTGGTGCTGATCCAGGTGGCAAGATTGGAGGTGGTTCCAACTTTGGTGTAAAAATCTCTGCTGGTCTTGGTGCTGGTGCTGGTGATGAAACTGGGTTTGATGGTGCAAGAGGACCAGTCTCATGGACCCCACAAGGATTGGCACATTTCTTTCCCTTATGACATCCTGGACCACACCTCTGCCCGTACGTCATACAACTGCATCCTCGTCCCGTACAGCCAGATTTACACGAACAACTCAACGCTACAGCAGATATCCTCTTACAGTCCTCCTTGAACAGCGCCGCATCAAAGTCGTCTCCAAAACCGTACTCCTTCGGATTTGCCAGTATGACTCTTTCCAGGTAATCTATTACCGACCTCGTTTGCTTGGGTGCTTTCTCGTTTGTGCAGAATGGGTATTGTGAACAGAACTTCCAGTGCCGCATCGTATCTTTCATGAATCGTTTCTGCATGACCATGCCACCGCGGAAGAGACAGTCTGTCACTGTGATCGGAGCATGGATCGTGCCCGGTGGCATTATTAGTGTGTCGAAACGGGTCAAGGCGATGACCTTGATCCATTTGGGGTTGGGCAGCCAGTCTTCGCCATGCTTGCTGAATCCCGCTCGAGCCTCCATGTCTTCCTCGGGCGTCTTGGTGACGATTATTGCCCAGAGCTTGAGTACAGATTCGTCCTCGGGTGTTGAAAAGTAGTTGTCATAATGAGCAGCTGCAATCTCAGAGTCTGCAGCAGCGGAGTCCAATGTGTATTCTGAATTTGGCTCTAAAGTCACCCTACGTTGAGTTAGCACTGGGTTCTGGCTGTCCGGACAACCTTCTTGAATGGAGCTTACCATGTGTAGACTCCCATGTTGTCCATATGCCTGCGATGAAGGAGGAGTCAGCGAACTCGTATTTTCATTCAGAGTGCCCGCCAAAAGGTCGTTCCGCAAGAGCTCGAAAGTCAGATTCACCTACCAGGAGGAGAACGCTCCTGCTTGACCATTGATCTGGAACTTGATGCATGACTGAATATCAACTGCATACGTATGGATCGTCTCAGTGGTCTTCTTCCCGATCTCGGTCAGGTGTCCTGCAAGCCGGACGGCCTGAGAAGAGGCATAACGGGTGGCATTCGCGAGCTCTCTACAGTGCTTAACTAGCGGTGGGGGAATCAGAAGTCTAACAACGTCAACATAGATGTACAAGAACTTCTCGGGAAATGGAGGACTTGCTCCTCTTTGCATTCTATATTAAGAGCATTTATCGGTGCCTGGTTCCGGTCTCTCATTCGGGCTATTGCTTCTTGAAGTTTCAGCGACCGCACCGCGGGATAGTCATCCGAGTAGGTCTGGCCATAATCCTGAACATCGATAAGCATTTCAGGGTCGATAGCCACAGCTTCATGCAGCATATCGACTGATGTTGTGGCCGGTCGCCCAGTTGACCATGGTCTATCCCGTAAAAGCATGACTTTGCCTCCATAGCCATGCCCAAGCCACACATCAAGGTCTCCAAGATTGACAGCCATGAAGTCACCTTCTTGAGGATTACGTCCTGTTTGGGCTGCCTGCCCATGGCGTAAGATGTGAGCTCCCTGCGGGGCAAGATGTGAGTAGTAGGTGTTGGGGTACAATGTATCCGCCGCCTCATAGGTGTGCAAGAGTAAAGCCGCTCTCGGGTCTCTAAACAAGCGAGTTTGTTGATCATTGACAAATGACATCCTGTCAAAAATAAGCTTTGGCTCTGGCTCCAATTTGACAAGCCGCGGAGGTGTGATGGGACTCCATGGTGGGGGAGACAACGGCGAGAATTGTGGAGAGTGCTCCTGAACCTTAGGAGTTCTGGGAGGTATCGCAAGATCCATGGTCACGTATGGATGTCTGTGATTGGCATCCATGCAGCTACGGCCTTGACTCCCTGTGAGATGTATGGGCGGTGAGACTATGGTAGCCTCACGGCTGGCAAGGTGTGCGAACTAATCGGACTCTAACTCAGCCCAACAGACGACGGCATGAAGCAGGTTCAGTGGTCAATGAGACGGATTTAAAGATTAATTATGCCGTGATATTGTACAATTGTTGGCAGTCTCATCCATGGTGAAAGAATTGGATACATCGTTGGAAACGCCCTGGCAACTTGGACGCTTGCAGCCTTGAGGCGTTTATGGCTTACGTAATCCAACAAATCGACACGTGACGGAGCAACATGCGACCGACTGCTTTTGGTGACGAAGAATCCGAGAATGGGCAAAGATGCATACAGCACTTTGGTTCTGATACCAGGTCGTTTCTTACAGCCGGATTCAAGGGGCTGCTTCTTGAAACGTAAAGTGTTGAGAGCCTACCTTAATGGAAAAAGCGAGATATTACAGACAATGTCGTGTTGGTGAGATGGGATTGTTCTTGAAGGAAGAGTATTAAATTCGTCAGGTTCAGTATCAGGAATTCTACAAACAATCGTTCCATAAGCAATTTAGAGTCCAGACTTTGTTTGTTGTTGCCTTTCTGGTTACTCTTCAAATTGCATTGGGTGCCCGGATCTGATCTTTGAGCACCAAATATAGCACAAAATACCACAAAACCTGTCACATACGACCATAGATTGAAGAGAAAAGGGCATCCCGTCCGCTCTGCCAAACTCAAGCTTCAAATCGGTGGATTAGTAGTTGGGTGGGTGACCACCAGCGAATACCCACTGTTGTATGTTTTTTAGTATTCTTTTTTGGTCCGCTCACGTCATAGTGGGGAGAGTAAGGTGGTTGATATGCTTAAAAATTCTACATGCTTCTGGCAGTCAACTCTGGACACTTACTTTCAGCTTCAAATCCTGTCGCCGCAGGGCCCAAGAACTTTCTATGAAAAATGACAGCCTTGAGGCATTCCCCGAGTCCCCACTAAATTATGAACTGGATTGAGTCTCCACAGAAAAGTTTGTTCTTGTTGATATCTCCCTGTTGGGAGCTTTGACATTTCTACGTCGAAGACCAGCAAATCGCTTACTTTGGAAAGTGAGGACTCGTATTTCCGCCTTGGATAACCTGACATTTGGAGGACTGGTTCGAAATGACGTTCTTGAGGCTCTTGTACATGATGAGATTGTTAATAGTAACAACTCGGTCGGTAGGGAGTTCGAGGACGCTGAGCTTGGTGCCGTTGCGTGAGGCTGTCGTCAAGATCGTGAGGGTGAAGAAAATGCCGAAATATGCTATGGAATGATACTGAGAGAGACAAAACTGGTCACAATCAATGACTATACAATACTGAGATGGAGAAAAAAATGCTTTGCCATTGAATAATTGCCCGAAGGTAGCTTTGTAAAAGTTGGACCTTACAGAAGCACGGTTGTAGGTTTTATCGATCTCGGCGCCCGGTTTCTGGATAGTGACAGCATCTAAATTAACCTTCTTTGGGATGTACTTCTCAGCGTTACTAATCAAGAACATTGGTTGGAAAAGCTGAAGGTAATGATTAAACCGAAGATATGTCTCTGCCCCTCTTTGTGACTTTGAAATCAACCACCAGTGATATACATTCAACAATTAGGTGGGTTTGCGGTTCTGCCAGATTCAGTAGCTCCTGAGCTATACACCAAGAGCCTGTTAACCAAAACAAACATTCAGGTTACGCGAGCTCAGAAAAGGGGGGCACAGATGACGTCCACGTGATGACCAACAACTGCCGATGACGGACTGAGCCAAAGTATATTTCTAAAGTATATTTCCCAACGCTCCCTGAAGACTTTGATCTCTCATCTCATCTCCTTTGGATTCCTACAGTCAAACATACCATTCTTCGCGGACATATCTTACGCTGAGTTGAGGAAGAAAGCAGTTCAAGTCAGCACCGCTTACATCTGTGACCAAGCAACATCTTACCATACCCGGAGTTAAAAATTATCAAGGATCTGGAAAGACCTTAAAAATTATTTCATTCGGTGATTTCGCTCGGAGATTTTCTTCCTTCACTTTTATTTGGCTCTCATCTCGAACTTCAGCCTCACTCCCATCCCCCCGTCATTCTACATATCTTTCCACACACCAACCAGCCAATCTCAAAATGCAACTTCCACTCACACTCTCGCTCGTTCTCGCCCTCACTACCTTCCCCATCTCAACCACCGCATCATCCAACAACGCATCAGTCTGCTACGGTACCCCCCTCCCACCACTTCCTCCCTCAACCGCAACCGTAAACCGCACGATCCCCTGGGGAACGCCATCTTTCACGCTCCCAAACGGCACCCTGTGCTGCGATTCTCTGACTCAAGTCCGAGCCGGCATCAATGTGATAAATGCACAGCTGGTTGAGTTGCTGGCGCAACGAGCGGCGTATGTGAGGGAGGCGACGAGATTTAAGGCAACGTTGGATAGTATATTCTCCCTTTCTTCATTTTTCTCCTTTCCTATCAGCTTTAGATATATAAGTCGGCTCTCGTTGTCAGTTCGTGGGGAGAGGATGGGAATATGAGATAGAGCATTAGATGAGTGGTTCAAGTTGCTCATGCTGACACAAAAATTCTAGCGGTCGATGTCCCAGCCAGAAATGTAGAAGTCATTGAAGGGGCTGTGAATGCTTCTAGAACGACGAATCCGAGATTACCAGAGACTATTGCGAGGGCTGTTTTCGAGGCAATTATCAATGCTAGTGTGCCTTTTGAGAGATGTGTGTTTGGGGAGTTTGAAGAAGGGGGATGTGGTGGGGAATGAGAATTCTTTAATAGGAGAGGAAAATCCTTTAGAGGGCCTTAAGACAGTCAGCAGAAGGGGAAAGCTTCACCAGTATTTTCAGGGGACAGGGATATTTAAAATAATTTAGAACTTAAGCAAAAGTATATACACTACAATAAACTAAAACGAATCGCTGATGCAAGTAGAGAGATCATTATTATCGTATCATACACCTCTATCCTTTCCACCTAATCTATTCCCTTTGTTTTCCTCCTCCCAGACGACTTCTATGACGACCTCCGCTTGATGAACCTGGCCCTAGGTTTCTTCGGTGGTAGACTGGCTCGCTTCAAAGCTTTCGCTTCCTTCGTCGTCCGCTTGCCGATATCCCATCCCCAGGACCGTAGCATCTTGACCACTTTCGGTGTCACGGCTGCTGTGAGAGGGACACGAACGAAGATGAAGGACTTGTGGATTGCGTAGGCGAGTGCGAGTGTTGTTGCTAGACCTGTGGAAGGTGTTAGCCATGGCCTGACTTGAAGGTATCTTTTTTGCGGTAGATATGTTGAGGGGGAAGAGGGTAGCAAAAAAAAGTGGATTGTGGAGATCGTGCAGCACTTTGTATCAAATGAACTTGAGAAGGAGGCTTATTAGTAACTTACTGGCATCCTTTTTATTCTTCTCTGTTGCTTCTTCTACGCCCCAACCTGCCATTTCAACCGCATCACTGACTACATCATCGCCTGTGAATTCCTGCTCGGCTTTCTTCATTGAGGCACGCCATTCGTGCCAGAAATTCTCGACAGAGTCGGGAATTAGCTTTTTGACATTCGTTACAATGATTTCTTCCCAATGACCTAGCGTAAATCAGTCAGTGGAAGTTCCAAGACATTGTAGGCCTTGGAAAGACAGTGAGAGGAGATTTGCACTGTCCGGTCCGGAGGCATTGAAGCTGGTATCCAGTCACGGGGCAATCTCTCGGGTTTCCCTGAATCTAGAGTAGGCCCCATTGATCCCAGCGCCATGATCGCAAGAAATCCACGTTCGGTGTATTTCTGTGTCTCATCTAACATGCAGCCTTGCAATGTCGTTCGCATATACTCCCGCTGCTTCAGACATTGTAGATGAAGCTGTGACATCTTCCAAAGGTATATTGCCAAGCTACTTCCTCAAACTTGCTGATTCGTCCGCTGATCGGATGGCATCTACCAAAAGAGGTTTCGTAGAGGATCCAAGGATATCCAGAACTTTCAATGGGCATTGTGCAGCTTTCGATGTCTGTCCCAATATTGCTTCCACATTGCTTCCATTCCAGTTTCCAGTTATCATGAGCATGCCAATCCAGTCGTTCCCCTCATATAAGGTATGTCGCTATCCAAATCCAGTTTTCCGAGTTTGCTTCCAATTCCCTAATACCAGACACTGCAAACTCCTGGTGGGGAAAGAATAATGGAAATTCCCAACTCACCAATTCTCTCTGTTCCCAAATACTTCACCAGCAAGTAGCAAAACGGAAAATCCGCCGCACTCAGCAGAAAGTATACTCCAACAGCAGACCACCCATATTCCCTACTCAGCTTCTTCAGTCGTCCTCCTAGCGTCGTTGGCTCCGCTTCCGCTGCCGCCGCCGCTCCATCTGCAGATCCTAGATTCGGTGTCGGATTTGGGGAAACTGGTTTACCGTTCCGTCTTGCACGAGAATTATGTAGAAATCGGATGGAGTTACGCAGGCGTTGGAGGAGTGTAGGATTTCGGAGGGAGGGTCGACCGTGGGAGGAGAATGTGAAGCCCGTTGACGAGGAGGTCTTGCTTGATGCCCGGGCGGTGTTTGTAAAGGATCTTTGGGCGAGAGAGCGGAGAGGCGTGTTTATCTGGAGATTTGAGGGTCGGAAGGCGGTTCTGCTGGCTAATGGAAACCGTAGAGCTCCTCGAGTTGTTGCGGCGGAGAAGGTTGTTCGTAACATCTTGTTGAGGCGGGGTAGCTATCTTGCGATGGCAGATCTGGCAGCTATTGCCTTCTTCAAATTCGCAGATTTGCATCCAACAGCTCAATGTAGCGCCTCCTCGAATCCTCCAACGCCTTCAAACGAGTGAGATCCTTCCGTTAAGTCCGTCTTTGAACGATCCGGCTCGTCCGCAGACTCCTGAACCCAGAGAAACGCTGTCTTCTCCCTAACACTGTCCACAATAGTACACGCTTTAGTAGGAATAACTTGAAGGACTAAATGTCCATTATCGTGGTCGTACTTATCGATGCGCGGATTGTTGTGGTCTGAGGATGCTCGAAAATTGTTGTTCGCGGAGCCCACTTCCTGGCATTCCAGGTTAGTGGTAGGCAGGGGCAGCTTCTGCACGGTGATGCAAGTGGGTTTGGAAGCTTCTTTACGGTGGACGACAGCCGCACTTTTCGCCCTGCAACGGCTGCTCTGTTGACTTCACTCCAATGTGACGCTGCTTTTCGAGCAGTTGGACACTGTTCAGGGTAGCGAGAACTTCAAAGAAAATAGCCGTCACAGTGCACATCTTCAAGTCAACAACAACTCGACGAAAACAACTTCCTCCGGACAAATCATTCTGAACAACAATATACCTCTCGAAAGATTCCTGAATTTTGCTACAAACATCAAAGACGTCTCTTTGATCACGCACGAAAATATATACAATGAAATTCAGTACAAAACTTCCCCTCCACCTCAAGCAATATTCTGCCACGAGCTTCAACCTTGCGCCTAGATATATGCTGTGTCCACCCAGGAAGTGTAACTGCTTCCCAAAATTGACGAAATAGTAACGGCAGAGCTCAGCTTCGTGGAAAAGCTTGCACGAGTTCCAGAAGCTCCAGCGCCGGTGTTCCCATATTCCTGGAAGGTAACAGACCCGGTGCGAGGATCATCGGTGTTCCAAACTTTCCATCCAGCCCCATTGATGATAGATCCAAGCACAGTATTCTGAACGACAACTCTGGCATACTCCCTCCATGGACGTCCAAGGTAAACGGTTCCCGTCCCTGCCGTCGAGCTTGCTGACTTGTCGATGGTTGATTTGTTGATTACGTAGTATGAGGGATCTGAGGATGAGGCCCGTCCGCTGGCAGTCACTGCTCCAGCAGCAGAGACGCGGATGTCAGACCTGGTGATCCAAGCCACCGCGTGTTGGCCAAAGATGAAGTCAACAGCTCCTTCGATGTAGCACTTTCCGTATACTTGGTTGCCGGTATTGGCCAAAAGAGTGTCTTGGTATCCATAGAGACCGACACCATAGTATCCTTGCTGGGTCCCGTACGCAGACAAAGCAATGGCTTGCGAGCCTTTTCCGTAACTGTTTTCGATGTTGATGTTGTAAAAGGCCGAGTTCGCGGCATCGTTAATGACCGTGCCAGTGGATTTGTCGTTCTCAGCTCCACTTGCAAGACTTGAGCTGTGGGTGATGGTGACTACATTGGAAGTGTAACTGCTTGTATCTGTGGTGTAGCCATAGATCTTGAGAGAAGCTTTTCGTGCCGGTATTTTGACTTGTTCCTTGTAAGTGCCAGCCAGGATGAAGATGCTCTGAGCAGTGGTCGATGTTGTGCTCAAAGAGTCGATTGCTGCTTGGATCTAAGATAGTCAGTCAAAGCTCTCATGTTCAGTTTGCTTCAAGTACAGTAGAATATTGCCCCCCGGATCCGACAGTAATAGCACCAGCAGGAGCTGTTGTCCGCCCAGCAGCCAGCACCGCTGTCACAAAAGTACTTAGAGAAAGAATGAAACGCATGATTGCTTTTGAGCGAATTGTATGTGGTAAGCTTGGAGAGGCGTCACTCGAAGAAAGTGACTGGCTAAGGAAAAATGGGAGGAGCGGGATGATTTATCGACTTTATAGTATAAGAGTAGATGAGTAGGGTCTACCCTTCGGCAGAAATTGGTTGCCAAAGACTTGATGTGGAAAATTGTCTACCGACATCATGCAGGCAACCAAGCCTAGTAACTCGTAGTGGAAGGATGACCACCCTTGACCACAGCTTCTTGGGGCACTTTTCCGAGTTCTCTGGAGTCTGGGGTCTTACAATTCCACCTCTCGCATTCCATGTTCCTGGTCGTCCACCTGGCTAGGCCGCGGAACGATATATCGACATTGATCCACGGTAGAAGCATATAAGCGACTGGATCAGTGGGACTTTGCCCCACGGTTACGACAGTCTAGCCATCTGACCAAAGATATTCGAAACTTTGAACACTTTACTAGAGTCGTGTATTCGTATGCGACAAGGGTGGCACAGATATTGTGCGTTTGTTTCGAGGATCACGGAAATCCCAGAAAGCTTATCTCTTGATCCTGGAATGCCACCAATGAAGACACAGCAAGCAGACAATCGAATAATCCGATATGAATAGACTTCAGCAGTATCGAAGATGAGATGACTTCTACTGTAGATCTTCCGGGAAGCTTTGGTACCTGAAGACCATTCTGGACTTCTGGCAAATCGAAGGAGACCTTGTCCCTGTGATCGTGTAGCAAGCATTTCCATGGCCAAATTTTGCCAGAGCCCATGCTCACACGAGTAATCTATATGGTGCGAAGATGTGAACTAATTGGATCTCGTCGCTGGTCGAGGTGCTTTGTCGTCGAGATGTCAACCATCTACGAGCTAGCTAGCCAGTGCGGATCAAAAAGCTTGAGCATGAGAAGCAATCTTGTCGTAACATTGCTTCGCAACTTGAACCAAACTCCCAGAGCGATTCATGGTCCATCGACGCGATTTCCATATTATTTAAAGCAGATGAAGCTTTTACGGAGTCCGAAATGAGGATATTTTGTTAATTTGAGGAAAATTAGGAGTCTGCGTTCCAACTTCCATGGGAACCCACCAATCACAAGCGAAATTGCTTCCCCCATGACTTTGATCGCTTCACTGTTGTTGAAACTTTCCAGTTTGATCAATTCGAAACGAACGGACTTCAACACCTCCTCTTTCAGTTCTCCACCAACAGTCCTTCACTGCCTCTCGAAAGTTCGCGGTCTTGCCAGCCATGATTAAAAAGGAGCTTGCCACTAATCCACATATGGACTTCAGCTGGCACTTACGAAGTTATGGTCATCTGCCCGAACATTTGTAACAACAGACTCAAGTTCAGCACTGCTCATCCACGCATTTTGATCTGGCATCTGACAATACCAATAAAGGCAAGCTTTTCCAGACTTCCATGCTCAGTAAAAGCCGCTGTCTGTCGTCCACAAAAATGGGACACTTGCTATATGATCGACAGCTCAAATATCATACCCGAGGATGAGTGGAAAGGTTAACCTAAGTAGATAGGAGAAGAAGTCTATTTTGTTTAAATATCTCGAGATACTTCAGAAGAAATCGTTTTTGGTCCTCTTATCTTTCTCATCCAAGCTTGCACAACTCTCTCTTCTCACCTTGCTTCTCACATTCCGTGTACCTTCAGCTCCCCTTGCTTAGACTGCCAATCATTCAACGTGGTTCAATTACTTTCTTCGGTTGAACTGGTCTCAGCGAAGCATCTCTAGTCTTCGCTATTCCCATGCCAAAGGCAAAGGGGAAGACAACAGCAACCTCTGTCCCGTTGCCCGATGTCGGATTCAGCACCAACATTGTTATCTCCCAGCCGCCTTTAAGAACCAAGATGATTGCTTAGCGATCAATTCGGGAACCGGTATCACTTTCACTGGTGGATCTTGCTTCGGAAGTATGGTTTGAGCATTGGTTCCGTAGGTGAACGAACAGACAATGACGTCTCTGACGTAAACGATAACTCATTCACAGTAACTGACCACAGACCACAGGATGGTAATGAACACGACTACAAGGATAGTTCTCCAGCCGGCAAACCCACTGACTGCGTACCCATCACGAACTTTACCATCTCGGCATGAAGGGAACAGTCAAGTCTGATGCTACCAACATTTACATCCCCTCTGTCTCATGCTCAGGCTGGACACCGACTGACGCGGCTGTTACTGGAAGTAAATCCAGCAGAGGATACACCGGCATGCCATCAGATACTTCTTGCTAAGAAAATACTAAGTAGACGGACGAACTGGAACTGGCAGAAAAAGCGACAATAGCAGAGACTCCATGCAGCCATTCAGCTCTGCTACTTGACAGCGGGTTATGATGGATTCGGCTGGGCGAGCACTTGCTTGCTGGTTACCTGCCCTTCTGCTGTATATACTATTTACCCAAAAGCGTGGTCTCATAGAGAGGCAGTAGCATAAACAGAAATGCTTTCACACCATGTGGGCCAAAGACCATATCGTGAAGGTATCAAGTCACAACACCAGAAAAGGAAAACAGGAGCAAAATGCACCTTGATAGTCCCCTTATAAACAAGAATCCACTTGTCTAGCTCTTTCAGTATACTGGCAATACTTGAACAAACATGTGTCCAACAGCTCGCACTCCCAGCTGAATGTGTCTTTCCCAGGCCCAACGTGCAAAGAGAAACCGTGAACGGACCGAATGCAAACCCTCTGAACGCCATCTATGCACCATGCCAATCCCCCCCAAAAAACACCCGAATACCGTCCGATTTACGCCGAATCATACAATCGTAACCTTTTTAACAACCATCTCTACTCCCATCCACTCACCACAAACCTACTTCTCCTTCGCCGCGCCCTTAACCTTCGGCATCCTCTCATACGCATTCGGACTCCTCTTCCTCACACTCCCCTCTCCACTCCCATCCCCCTGCCCCTTATTCTTTCCATGCCCATGCCCATGCCCACACCCATTCCCATTCTCATTCCCCTTCCTCTTCCCCCTTCCAGCCCCACCTCCAACCGGCCTCGCACTCCCATCATCGCCACTATCACTCTCGCTTCCACTATCCGACGACGAGCTCTCATCACTACTCTCATCGATCCCCTTCGGCGCATGGTAGATACAGCACACTTTGCTCTTCTTCCTGCCGAGGCCCTCATTGTCCACTACGTCTTCCGCCCATTTTATGCGCCGGCGCGTGCTGCCTCTTTCGCTGTCTAGGGGCGCGCCGCGGAGGTGGAGGACCGCTTGGGTTCGTGTCTGAGTTTGCGTTTGAGTTCTTGTCGTGCTGGAGGTTTGAGGCGCGGTTTGTAGGAGTTGGGTTTGTTGGCCCACTGGGGCGCGCAAGGTGGTCGCCATTGTGGTGCGGTGAGTTCTATATTGTAAAGACGGGTAGGTCTTGCAGATTTTGAGACTCTAGAAGTAGAATGGGTTGGAGCTCTTATGTCCTGGAGGTCGAAGAGTAGTGGTGTTGTCCTTATTTCGGATTTGTGAGCGAGCCAGTGAGCGAGATGTCCGGCCTTTTTGTCCCGCTACGCAATAATCCACCTGCAGGCTCTCGCGTATTGTCGTGCCTCGGAGCCGGTCGCAGGAAATATCTCCAGCAGCTGGTTCCTTTGGGAAGAAGCTGCAGTGTCGAAAAGTTGCGTGTGTGGAAATTTATTGAGTGGTGGTGTGTTTGAGGCTTGAATTTTGGATGTTGCCCCACGTCAGTCATGGAAGGCGAGTTTGGGTCCGAACGAGGGGCAACTTACAGTGTCACGTTTTACTTTCAGGGAGGCGAGTTTGTTTTCTTTCATATCCAGGTACCTTAGCAAGCGACGAATCCGAGCAGGTTCTACTTCAGACTTTCTTACACTTATATGTCACTACAATATACATCACTACTATTGGTGAGCGACAGTCGCTGAGTTCAACCCATTCACATGTCCATTTTCATTTCAGGACATGGTAAGTCATAATTTAAGCGTTCTTAACCAACTAACAAAATCAGAAGCATGTTTGTTCAAAGAGCAAGGCCGCGAAGGAAAGTTCTGGGTCATTTCATAATAACTCTTATACCTCGTATGTCGCATATTCGCGCCTTCGTTATTTCCAAGACGGCCCAAATTAGACAAGCATAAATAAGCCCATCACCGAGACCACACATATTCCCAGCCCCCTTTCCCATCCGATCCTTCCAGCACCTCCAGGACTCGCTTTCTGCAAAACCGCCGTCCTACTTGGCCCAACCGACGAACAACTCGCAGTACCACATCCCCATCCACTAGGACAGCAATTGCCCCCAACACTCGCGGCACAAGTCTCCCAGCCCGAGGCACAGGTTCCAGTTGGAGTTGCTACAGTAGCTGCCGCGCCGACAGGGACAACGACCGTGACGCCGCTGCTGATTATCGTTGTTGAGCTTGTGGGCGGACAGGACGTTTTCTCGCAGTTGCGGCCTGTGCGGCAGCAGCCTCCTTCATAGTAGGCTTCGCAGGCGTAGAAGCCTGTTGGACATGTCGTTGGGCCGGCTTCGGTGGTTGTGGAGGTAGAAGTGGTAGTGCCGCTCGTGGGTCGGATGGGGATAACGCCTGTTGCTGAGGTTGTGGTTGTGATGCTTACAGATGTTGATGTTGAGGGTATTGAGGAGGAAGATGATGGTGCACATGAACTGAGAGCGCAGACTCGGTCGGTCGGACAGCAACCACCTCCCAAACTCGCTGGACAAGCTTGGACGTTCAGAGGACAGGCTGTAGAAGAGGTTGATGTTACTGTACTGACAGCTGTACTGGTATGTGTGACTGAAGAAGCTGTAACTGTGAAAGTCCGAGTAATGACTGTAGTCACTACTGCAGGAGGATCCATTGCACCTAGATATAGTCAGCATAGAAACACATAAAGAGAAAGGTATCCTTACAGCCACCCGCTACACAACTAAACCCTGGTATACAACACCCTCCACCCAATATAGACGGACACGGCGTGTTTGGCGCATCGCACTGAGTGACAGCTCCAGCACATTGTGCCCCAGCTGGACAGCATCCAACAACACCTAATCCGGTGTCCGGGATACTGAAACACACTTCATCCGTTGCGCAGCAACTCGTAGGTGACATAAGCATGGAACAGCTATTGGTCCCAGTCGGACAAGTGAAATCCCTAGCCTGAAGTGCTGCCAAAACTCTAGCAGCATCACGACCTCTTACCAAATCCCTAGCCTTCAAATCCTCAGCTCCAGCGGTATTCTCTGTATGTAGTAAAAATGGGGGCATAAACTGCAAAACCGTACTCTCATTCCCTTGCAGTCCATCCTTTTGCAAAGAACTATCTCTCCTCAACACAGAACTCTCACTCCTCGTCTCCAACAGTCCCTTCTGTTCTAGCTCCCCCTCGAACTGCCAATACTCCATATAAAACTTCTCTCCCTCATCATCGCTCATTTTCATAACGCCCACCGGCTTCCTTCCCAGCCGTATATGCTCTTCTATAGCTTCGAGGTCGCGGCGCCGGGAAGGCGGATCCTCGGGCCAGAACTTGACATGGGGAGGGAGGTTGTAGGGCCATTGTGCCGTGTTTTCTGATTGCGACGGTGCTTTTGTGTCTGAGTCTGGGTTTGAGGAGGTGTGGGCGCTGGTGTGCGAGACTATGAGGAGGAGGATTGATGTTGGGAGGGAGAGGATGCTGGGTGTGAGGCGCATGGTTGGTGGTTTGAGGAAGACGAGGCTGTAGAGCCTGATATCGTATCGAAGAGACAAGATCAGCGTTGCAATGCGACTGGCATTCTATCGAGGAATGAAAATTCAAGCTTCAGGCAAAATAGACGGAGAATATCCAAGACATGTCTAAAGTGAAAGAAAGAAAGGAAAAGACCAGGAGTTGAAGCTCTGGACTTGGTTATTGGCGGGGTGGCTGGGATGCAAGTCAAGATCAAGCAAGATTTTGGGCCGTCATCAAACCATGTGGCTGGAAGCTTGCCAGCTGTCTCGGACCCGTTACAAAGGGCCATTGTTTACTTAACAGCTTCCGTACCCTCGAATGGCAAGAAGGGAAAAATAAGAAAAATGAAACCTAGCAATCTCAAGCAAGGGCCATCAGACTTGAAGTAATGCAGAAACAAAAACTGGAGATACCGAGGAAGGAGTCTCACAGCAATGCAAGCACTCAAGGACCCCTGCCATCGCCAAGGCCAGATCATCAGCTGATTTCGCGACTTGCTCATCGCGGATCCACCATCATTCAGCTTCACTCCATCCCCTCTCCAGCTCCTCCTTCCAGCAAAATACCATACCACACCATGTAAAGCCCAGTTCAATACTTACTCAACTGCAAGAAACATGCCACGAACAGACGAAGCAGAAGCCTTCTTCCACGCCGTCTACAGCGCCATCCAAGAGATCCCCCAAGGCAAAGTAACAAGTTACGGCCATATCGCCAAATTGATCGGAACGCGTAAGCGGGACCAGCTCCCAACTTTTTTTGACGGAGAATACCCGTGGACCCCTACCTAACCCCTCTCCAGAACAATTTTTTTTTGATATCTACCTATTCGGGAAACTGACTACTGACCACAATCCAGCCCAACGACCCCGCCAAGTTGGAGTCTGTCTCAAACACCTCTCCAATGACCCAACCTCCCGCTACTACAACGGCAATGTCCCCTGGCAGCGAGTGATCAATTCAAAAGGGATAATCTCACCTCGGTAAGTTATCTCAGTTGTGTTTTCTCTGGATTATATAATGATGAGGGTTCAGAGGCCATCCATCAGGAGCAGCGAACCAAGCACTTGTGCTGCAAGGCGAAGGCGTGACGGTTAATACGGGCAGTTTGGGGGAGTTGATGGTTGATTTCGGGGAGTTTGGCTGGTTCCCGAGACAGCTACCGAGTGACGTTGCGGCAGGGATACCGCCTGATAGTGATTCGGAGGATGATGAATGAGGTTAAAAACGGAGGAATACCAATGTTGGTTAAAGGCCATCTACGCCGTTACCTAGTTACTTGTCACGAATCACGAGGAATGAAGCCAGACGTATGGGTTTGTGAAAAGTGATTGTAGACCTAAGGCTAGGGGATACAACATCATAAGAGCAGTTATTGAAAGGCCCTTCTGACCACCTTGTCACCACCCCCTTTCCACAAGAAGTCTTCGATAAATCCATAATCCATCCATCCCTAACGACCTCCAACCCATCATCTGCCAGGCTGATCAGCTACCACTGCACTTAGCTCTCGGTTCTCTCGTAGAGGTTCGAGGAGTGCTATGGTCCCTCCCTTCCTCCCTAGGCTGCAGTTGGAGTGCGAATTTTGTGTCCAGACTCATTGTGAGCAGTTCGTGAGATGATCGTTAGGTAACCTCTGCTGAGAAAATATATCAGATCTCTCCACGAAAGTTACTATCAATGTCCACACTTCAGCAAAAATGTAGAACGCACCAATTGCGCTCAGTCGGTGTGAGAACTTGTCAAATCCAATGCCACGACAGTTGTCAGGGCGACCAATCCAAGCAATGGCCGACGATCCTCTATGAATGTTGCAGATCTAGATATGCAGCCAAACCTCGACGGGCATGAAGTGATATTCTTAAGATGCTGTTAACACGTTGATGCAAAGCATCGAAGCCGTGTTATATGTCGAGAAAGAGAGGCGGGGCCGCTCATTTAGACTCTTCATTCCCCTCCGACGTACGTGCTTGGGGTCCAGTAGGGATCTGGTTATTTGCCGGGCCATTCTGGTGTTGACCATGGGGTTGAAAGTTCTTATTGTAGTTGCCATTGGAGTGGTTGTTCCGGTGCTGTTGCTGCGGGCCAAATTGGTGCATCTGCTGCGGACTGGTTCCAAATTGGTTTGGGCCACCACCATAACCTCTCATTCCCACTACAGGCTGTTAGTTTGATCAGAAAGGGTATTGGCTGGGTACACTTACTGTTTGGGGGAGGTTGTTGATTGTAACCCTGGGCGGTATTTACATACTGAGGACCTGGGCTCATGCCTGGGTTCATGCCCGGATTCATACCATACATCGGTGGCGGGGGTTGATGACCTTGTTGAGATCCCTGATTCATCATCATTGCACCTCCTCGGCCAGGGCTTGGAAATCCATTAACACCTGGCATTTGTGGAGGCATACCGTTAGTCGGTGGCATGAACCCTCCTTGATTGCCTTGAGGAAACATTTGGGCCGATCCAACCCCAGGTGGAATACCTTGGGAGGTCATGAACATGCCGCTCGGGTTTGGCATCATGATTGGGCCCATAGGACCTGGCTGTGGCATATATTGATGGCTGTTTGACATCGAACGAAACTGCTGCTGCATTGGTGGACCATTCGGAAAAGGCATCATTTGTGGGTTGTAGGCCATCTGTGCATTTTGGTTCATTGGCGATTGGTACTGCATTTGAGTATGTTGCATACGAGGGGATGCGAATGACTGTGCAGAGTGAGAGGGCATCATTCTGTGGTCGTCGTGACCATTGAAGGGTTGAGCTGGACCATGAGGCATTTGGTTACCATGAAGGTTCATAGGTGCTTGTCGAGGGGATTGGCGGACAGCTGGGTTGTGAACGTTCTGCTGCAAGTGGAATGGAAGCTGGTGCTGGTGAGGAACTTGCGGAATAGCGTGGGGTGGAGCAGCAGGAGAAATAGTATGTGCTGGGAATGGTGCCAGCTCGAACATCCTAGCATAGGTCATATGGATAGCTGAATCAGGCTTATCACCTGGGAGTGCTGTCTTCCAAAGCACAGGAGTTTCGTAAGCTGGCTTCAACCCACCAGTCAACGACCAATTCTTTTCTGGCGCTGGCTTGATGGTCTTGATATGATCCAATGAGTTGAACTTCGCCTTGAAAGAAGGACGTTCTGACTCAGGAATAGGTTTGCGTCGGAGAAGAGAACGTGTGATGGGCGCTGGAGGGGCAGCATTGACAGTCGATCTAGGACTGGAAACATTGCTCTGATTGTTGACGGGGTTGAACGAAGCTGCATGAGGACTAGGACGGAATTCACCAATTGTTGGGTTCAATCTAGCTCCTTGTGCGCTTGTAACTCCACTTGAGCGACGAGAGAAATTTGAATCCCCATTTGCAGGGCCAGTTGGAGGTTGTCTTGCCTCATGGGCTGGAATCGGATTGGGCGGAGATGGGCCGACCTTATTCTGATCCAGGCTTCTCAATCGGCCTCCAAGGCCAGGCGCGGGACGGTTTTGCTGGGCAGAAGGTTGCGGGGCCTGGGACGATCCTCTGTATGCGCCTTGTTGTGCGAAGCCAGAGTTGCGAGGAGGGTTTTGACGTGAAGGGACGTTGGCAGGAGATGTGCCATGAGTGGCAGCAACCGTACGCTGAGGCGCTCGCATGTCAACTGGTGGCGGGATTGGCTTCACTCCTTCAGAAGGATTAGCCTTGTTCTCCTCCGCATTGCGCTTTGCCTTTTCTTGGATCTCTTTCTGCTTCGCGGGATCCTTGGCGATAATTGGTACAAGATCTGATGGAACAGGAGTTGTGAGCTTGAAGCTGTCAGCAAACTTCTTCAGGTCGTTTAATTTGATCTCCTTGTCATTTCGAGCTCTGGACTGGCGAACAGCCTCAACGTTCTTGCGTTGCTGAGCAGCAAAACCTTTGAATGCACTCGCGACATCGCGCTCAACAGTTGCTGTAGCATTGGGAACACCATCGGCCTTAACCTGAGGAGAAGCAGTTCGACTTGACAGGCCTGCAGCCGCTGCAGGTGCTTTTGGTTCAGGGGTGGCAGCAACACTGGACTCGGTAGTGGTGGGAGGTGTAGAAACTTCTGCTTTGGAAGTCTTAGGGACTGCTGGGGCCGCCGGAGCCTTTCCCTTGTCAGCAACAGGCTTGTCGGGACGAGCAAGCTGTGAAGAGATAATAGCAGGGTCTACAGGAGCTCCGCTGACAGTAGATGATCCAGTGGGCGCTCTTCTGGCAGGAGGAGTATATCTGTTGTTGTTCGATGAGGTCAAAGGAGGAAAGTCCTGCTGTCTGCGAACACCACTATACCTAGGCTAATGTTAGAACATAACTCTAGTATTTGAGATTGAATCAACTTACTTGTCTTCCTCGTCAACACCATTCTCTTCTCCAGCCAAATTATCCACAATACGCTCCTCAGCAACATGAGAATTATTTGCAGCACTACGCTCAATCTCTCTCGCCTTCCGCTCAGCCTCAGCAAGGCGTTGCTTGTACTGTGGATGCTTCTTATTGATGGTCGTTGTATAGATATTCTCATCGTAGTCAGTCTTGACACCGAACCGGCGCTCGTTCTCCTCGAATTGATCCCACGCGCCGCCGCCCGAGTTGTTCATTCTGCCCGATTCCAATGAGCCGAGAGTATCTGGAGGGCCATCTGGAACCCATCTCTGTAACGGCCGCTCTCCTTGAGTTCGGTTGCCAGAGATTGCAGTATCTGTGCGAAAAGAGCTGGCATTGCCTGTGGTCTGGTTAGTGAGATAGAAGATTGGCGATGACCTGGACCAACCATTCTGTCTACCCTCATTCTTGCCCGCCCCAGTCATGTCCTTTCGCTGGAAAGACATGTTGGATTGTGAGCTTTTGGTTGTGTCGTTTGGTGTGTCGGTCTTCTTTCCTGGTTGTACCATATTCACAGCGTTGCCAGCTGAGTGTGTATGCGGATTGTACTTGACGTACAAGATTTCGTTTAATGTACTTGGGAATCTGCGCAATCGCTAAATTAGCACAATTCTGAAAAATGTTGTGGGCTGCCAAAGGTGAGGTCGTATGGGGTGAGGCTGCATGGAACGATGATTGCGGCCGACCAGGGCGCGGTGTGACCCCAATGTGGTAATCTCTGCTCATAAGGCCGAGGAGGCCTCTCTTACCTTTTGATTGACAAATTAATCTGGGCAGGTCACCAGTGATGGACAGTCGCGCCAACGTTGGATGTTGGCACGAGGATCGGCGACGAAGTCCCTAGCTTGCGAGACAAGCTGTGTACTGCAAAGAAACCAGTCTGCAAAGCGATCGTGTTAGCATCCGCGCAACAATGGCGTCTCTGAAGTGGCAGACTCGTTGTGGATAAAAGAATATGCGAAGTTGAAAAGTGGTAGCTCGCAGCTCCGGAGCGTCTGTGCCAAAGGAGGTTGGGTTGGATCAGGAAGTCTCACCTTAGTAGATTGGGATTGCGAAGACCCAGCTGGTCTATCCTTCGCACGACCGCGACCGCGAATGCCAAAGGAGAATATGATCGCAGATCAGGACGAGTCTGCCGCAGATTGATGGCGAGCAGAGGTGATGGTGAATGGGATCGAGCTGGGGAAATCGAAGGAAGGCAGGGCGGCGTAGGGCGGCCGAGAAGCGATGATGCGCAAGTTCAAAATTAACCTGAAGGACAAAACAGCGCTTGACGACGGTGGAAGAGAAACAAGAACACTCCGTGCCTGGTGCACACTCAAGCCATCAACCTCCGAGAGCAACAACAGATGCAGGATGGGGGAAGGGAGAGGAGAAGAGAGAGAAAAGGAGGAAGATGAGGGAGGATTGAGAGTCTAGTCGTAGTCTTCGACTGTGTCTCGACAAGTTGGAGTGGGAAGATTGTAGAAGTGTCGTTCCGAGAGGGACGGACGGTTGGCTAGTGGTAGCTGGGCCGCGCACCGTAAGTGGTCGCAACTCACCACGCACCCTTGCAAAATTCGGGAGTGCTACACCCCTTCCGGAGTGAAGAGGAGAGCGAGGAGAGCTCGTGTGGGTGCGTGCGCGCGCGGGTTTGGTTTGAAGCAGTCGAGGCAGTCAGGCAGTGAACCCTAAGGAAGGGAAGGGCAGCTCGGGGCAGGAAGGATTGCAGAGAAAGTCAATATCAATAGTGGAAGCCGATATCGATACTCGGGTTGATGGGTCCAAGGAAGTCAATTGAGGTACTCGGCTCCCAGGTGAGGATGGCCGTGGGGTGTCGTCCCTTTTGATCAATGGGCGCGCTTTGAATAAGAGCAATAATCGCCCTGGAAGAAGGATTGATATTCTGTTCTGTTCTGTTCTGACCAAATTATGGGTTGTGCCAAGGCGTGTAGAGTAATCAGGAGGGCCGAGGAGGGGGTCTTGTCTCTACCTCCGTAGGGGAGGGTCGTTCTCAACAAAGAGAGCACCAGCACCAGCACCAGCTGCGACTTGTGCGCTCGAGTACCGGCACTACTCTATCTAGCCTGGTCCCGAAAAAGCACTGTTAAGCGCAATCCAGCGCACCTGCAATTGCACAATTGCCGTAGCCGTCGCTATCTTGTTGTTGCAAGTAAATTTAGGTAGCAGCAGTGACAATGATAATGATGATAATGATAATAACAATAATAGTACTACGACGCTCTGGTTTCATGACTACCTAGTCCACGAGAGCGCGCTTTGTTCACTGCTACGCCTGCAGCTTCCTTACCCTGCCCTAAACTCTACGTTGTTCCAGAGGTACAAAGCCTGGATGGATTTCTATTTCTATTTCTATTTCTATTTCTATTTCTATTTCTATTTCTATTTCTATTTCTATTTCTATTTCTATTTCTATTTCTATTTCTATTTCTATTTCCATTTCGATACCTAAGTATGGCTATGTCACTGATTCATCCCATGGCATTGCGCCTGCCCCCAATAACAATACGAACTGGAAGTGCCCCAAAATACTCGGACAATGCAGCATTGGCAGCTTGAGGACAAAGAAGATGAAGTTCGCAGTCATTCGTTTCAATAATCTAAATCAGAAGCCCCCAGAAGTTCTAAATGAGGATCTGCAGCCTGGGAATAGCTTATGAATTCCACATTTCGCGATACATAGCATTAATTCCTTGCTCAGTGCGTCGCCGGCAGATAGAAACAGCCGCGTCCGGTTTGGGGCCAGATCCCAACCAGCGGCGGCGCGTCTTTCCTACACCCCCGGATTTTGTAGATCATTGGCGTCCTTCTAAGCAAAAGCCAGACGGGGCATCGACAAAAGACGGCAGGAACTACAGCGGCTGACTGCCTGGACTCGAGCCAATCGTTCATTCGACTCTACTTGAGTTCATCCAATAAAGACAGCAAGATAGTACGATATAGACCACAACCATCCCACTTTTGAAACGCATAACACGGGCACGATATGGTGTTAGTGAACTTGATGTGCGACTGGAGTTCACATACCTCGGGATGGAGCTGGAGAGAATGTGGAGAACGTCCATTACGGCCAAGTCAATCCGCAAATCGGTGTGCACGTTCAGATCGAGTGTTGACATATATCTAGATACGCACTATATTCCAATACTTCGTGGCTGTTGCAACTTCCGAGTTCTCCAATTTTTCGAGCGGCTCGAATTTCAGGCTTCTTCGTCAACACATCATTGATATCAGAAGATATTTTCAACGCTCTCAAAGTTAATGAATAAGCTATTGAGCAAATTGCCAACCACGGAAGACCCGTGAAACTTACAACTACTGATGGTCCTGCGGAATTATTGTGTGTCCCGAGGAGAACATCTACAGCTCCACTCATGTATCACACTCTCCCCGCCACCAGGCTTTCTCATTACATCGGGTTGAAACATGGCCACCCATTGCTAATCCCAGTCAAATAGACTCCGAATCGTACAACAGCCAGTGGTACCCGATGTACAAAATGGGCTTGACGAAAAATCCGTAGGTCCATGTCACCACCGAACTTGAGATTCGCATCAAAGAAACCTGCCCTTGTCAGCAGTAAGCATCGATTACTCAAGCCTAGATAGCGATGCAAATCCTCCATACAGGTAAAGGAGGTAGTAATGGATGAAATTCAGTAAATTGTCCTGAGTCCGACTACTGAGGACAAAGCAGTGGTACCAGAAGTGCTCCTGTGAGAACATGCTGAAGTTGCTCTCCAGAGCATTTAAAGACTTCTGGAAGGTTGCCTCATTTGGATTGAGTAGAACCAGGAGGACTTACTACGCAGGCATGTGCAAGACATAGCGTAGTCAACAACACAAAATTATAGTCGTCATACTAAAGAAGCCTTGATCAACAGCATCCCTATCGTCTTGTTCCCTTGTCTGCTTGTCTGCTTGGACCATATTTATCCAAGTTGCCGGTGATTTCCCCAGAACTGGTCTGCGTTCAAAACCTTGCACCTCGCTAAAGAACCCGCTCCGTCCTACGGCTACGGCAAGCACCAGGAGTCGACCGCGCAGGGGCAGACATCCATCCCAAATCTGATACGAAGAGTCAAGTGAGTGAGACTTGAAAACACTCCGAACACCATCTCTGACTCTCATCTATTTTGCTCCATCTACAACCCTACACACTTCGAGGGAGCTTTCGACAGATGTCGCTATGATTATTTGCTAGATCTATGCAAACACCTCTGCTGCAGCAATCAGCGATGCAGGCGCCGCCAACCTCACAACGATCGATTCAACGACGGTCTCCTGCCGCAGACCCAGGACCTCCTCCGAACGTGCCAGCTCGATCTATGTCTCCAGGGCCTGGTGCTCAGCCGCGGACGTCCTCTGCCTCTGGGAAATCGATATCAAACGGAAGTAGGAGACAGAATGTGAGTACTGAGTTGGAGCGCATTACGCCGCTCAGAAGACGATTAGCTGGTCTCGTACCTTCATACTCAACCGAAAACTGACATTTGCTCTCTCCCAGGCTGCTCCATCACCTCAAACTAGTCAAAATGCTCCTCCTCTGTCCCAAATCGAAAAGAGCGTCACTCATCTCCTAGTAGCTACAAAACAGCTTCTCGAAACCCTCACACAATGGTCTCGCCACCAAGCAACCGACGCGCAAGTCTCAGATGTCTATGTGCGCCTAGGTTACGAGTTTAATATAGCCTGCAGAGCTTTTACTGCTATTAATGTCGATACCTCAGATCTGGGAAATGTCCCTGAGCTTCTGCGCCATATACTGGAATCCACACTCAGCCAAGAGGCCAGCGTGGAGAGCTTGGAGAAGTACCTACCGAGGATACGGGACATTATTATAAATTTACTCCACGGGCTGAAACGGAAACAGCAGAAATTGCGGCAGAAGCAGGCTAGGGAAAGCACGAGTACAAATGGCGATGCTTCTGTGCCCAGAGCCAGCAGTATCAGCAGCGTGGGAAGCGCCAATACTGGGCTCACGACGCTCCTGGACCAGGGAATACAGAATAACTTCCGAAGAGAAGATGGGGCCCCAGACAATAGGGACAGTATGAGCCAAATTGAGGCCTCGGTCCCTCCAAGAATGTCTTCTGCATCTTCAAGCAGGAGAGTTGTTCCCGAACGAGATCAATCCAGAGCGTCTATTTCCTCCTCGAGTCAGTCTTCACTTTCCAGTACAACAATGCAGAATATGCCAGTGCTCCCACCTTATCCAGCGGAGGGACAAGGGACTCAGCAGCCATCTGGGCCAGAAGAACTCAGTGTTGACAATTTTCCACCACCACCTCCGCCACCGAAACAACAGAATGCTCTTGCAGCCCTACAGCGAGGTGGGGATCTTGAGAGGAGAGCGTCGAGGCGATATTCTGCGTACCAGATTTCAAAACACCTGGGAGCGTCTCCCAATGGTGTACCTATGCTTCCACCTCCTCAGAACTCGCCTATACCAAACAGAGGACGAAATGATGCTCGGGAGTCAATGCGAGCTGTTCAAAATAGAGGAGATCAGAGGCATGTTCGACAACAGTCAAACCGTCTAAATGTGGATGTTTCACCAGCTCGAGTTCCAAGCAGGATATCAGAGGAGCCTTCGCCAGGCCCTCCTGTATTACCACAACCAGCGGATGCTGCTGCAGATGATAGCCCGCTTGTCAAAACTCCAGATGACAAGAAAAGGCAACCGATAGAGTTTGATGCGCCGAGCGCAACTTTACAAGGCCCACCTTCCGATTCTCTTATGACACTGCCTATACAACATCCAGACGAAATCAAATCGCAACGTCCAGATACACCTCAAGATCAAAGGCCTGTAGCTGCTGCACAACAAACACCGCCACGCTCGTCTCAGGACCGAAATTTTACTCCCGACCTGTCTCCACCGCCTGGTAAGGAATTGACTGTATTTTTGCAATACAAGACCAAAGTCAAGAAATTTGTGTTTGCGGATGGATACAATGATTTGTCAATGGCGAGATTACAACTCGCTTTTATCGAGAAGTTCGCCTGGAACACTCATAATAATGGCGTCGATTTGCCTGAGATATATATTCAGGACCCAGTGTCAGGCGTTCGTCACGAACTCGAAGATCTCGCTGATATCAAGGATCGGTCGGTATTGGTACTTAATATTGAGGTACTGGACGAAGTCAAGCGCCATATTGACGAGGGTCTTGGGGGGATTAGGAAAATGGTCGAAGGCGTCAAAATTGCAGTTGATGACCAACAAGCCACCATCCAACGTGTCTCAGATCGCCAACAAGATGCAGCAAAGGAGATGGCTAAATTAGCAAGCGTACCTCCTACGTCATCAAGAGTATCGTACATTGACAATCAAAAGTCAAATGCGCCACTTATCAGCCCGTCGAAATTCAAGACCGCAGACCAGATCAACGAACTTCATGGCATACGCCGAGATCTCGCCGTCATTCGACAGGTGTACTCCGAATTCCAATCCGACGTTCAGAACTCCATGTCTCTCATTCGTCAAAAGGCTTCTTCTGTCAAGACTGTGGCTGCAAAGACTGCTATTCCAGACATGAAAGGCGATTCAGGCCGAGCATACGTCAACTCTGGCAAGAAAAATCTCAACGAAGATTCAGACAAACTGGTTGGCCAAGTCGACGACCTGCAAGATATCGTTGAGGACCTTCGAAAGGACGTCGTCCTTCGCGGTGTTCGTCCTCTTCCGCGACAACTTGAAACTGTCGCCAAAGACATATCACAGGCCACCATGGAGCTCAAGAAGATGCAAGATTTCTTGAAGCGTGAGCGACCTGTATGGACTAAGATCTGGGAGAAGGAGCTCGAGACTGTCTGCAATGACAGGGAGGAGCTCACTATGCAAGAAGATCTTGCTGCGGATCTTCAAGACGATCTCGAGAAAGCCGCTCAAACTTTTGCTCTGGTTGAGCAAGCGACTAAGGAGCAGATGAAGGATATCCCCGGGTCTTCAAACGCAGCCCGTGTACTCTCTCGAGGACTGAACCACGTCATTGCAGCCGATCCATCCGTAGCGAAAGAAGGCGTTCTGGGTGAAGTCCGAGCATTACAACCCAACCACGAGAATCGACTCGAAGCCATTGAGCGTGCTGAGAAGTTACGCCAGAAAGAACTCGAGAGTCGACGTGGTGGCGAGTTCCAGAAAGAACTAGGCTCGTTTGTGGAAGAGGGCAAGCTAAAGAAAGCTGGTGGCTTTGAAGAGGTCGAGAGAGCGAGGAAGCTCAAGGATGAGCGGATACGGAAAGAAGTTTGGGAAAGGCAGAATGGCATGACACAAGCTGATGCCATTGCTGCTGAGCCCGCCGAAGAAGCCGCGCCAGAAGATGGCGACGGGGAAGAAGAGAAGAAGGCAGACGATGAAGCACCGTCTGATATTTGAGCTCAGAAGGGACCGTAACCTCTTTAACAACGCCGATGCTTCGCTGCTTGACGGCTCTGACGTTGGCGGACCTACTATTTCTTCATAATTGCTCTTTGCTGCTACCAAGCGAGCGATGATACATATGTTTCACGAGTTACCACTTCATAAGCAACTGGGATGTCCAATTTTGCCTTCCCCGTTTTCCGGCCTCGATTCCGAGTCTCAGCATGGCGTTTTTTCCGGACCGATCGATCAGTCAGGGTGCATTTCTGTCTCTCCATTTCTGTTTCTTACAGCAGGTAGGGTATCTTACCCTGCCTTGCCTTTTCTCGTTTTGCTTCACGTACACACATACTATTTGTAAGATATGGATATGGATATGAATGGGAGGCAGATGGATGAATGAATCTATTAGGCGAGGCGAGGCGAGGCGAGGTGAGGTAGGGTAGGAGAAAGGGGATGGTCTAAGGGGGAAGTAAATGTCGATTCAAGAGCTGTAGGATGGACAGGGATGGGATGGTATGGTACGATTCAGATGAGGAGCCATTGCGATGGGGTTCTTGTTTATTTACATCTAACATATGCATAAGCATGAAGCGAGTGTGGAGGATGGGTTATACATACCTACATGCGTGCATGTATGCCTGTCCGACTTTTGCTTCTACGTACACTACCTAGGGACTACGCTACTTCTTGATGGTAGATTGATAAGTAGATAGTGCAGTGTGGTGCGGTGTCGTGTGGTGCGATGTGTCGTTTAACCTTTTTCCTGGTGGTTGTCGTGTGATGAGGATGAGAATGGGAATTGAAAGCTTGAAATCGTTGGGACACTATGTTCTAGACATGTTGCGTGACTTTAACTTTGTGCTTTGTGATTATTTTTTGTGTTTGTGTTTCGTGATGTCCATTTGCAATTAGGAGGATGTGTGATCAGAACTACAATAACTACTTCCGCACTGAATTGAGGGTTGATGGGTAGGTGGTAGGAATATGGGCATGTGGGCATGGACTATTTTCCAACTCGGTTGAGGTAATGTACCTTTTACATGTCAACTCATGACATGCATTGACCACGAGACTGAAATATTACGAATAGAGGGTTTTAGATAGGCCAGTGTCTCTGGCAGCGTTCACATTGAATTCACGAAGAAAGGATGCTATGCCTAAAAGAATAGATTTTGCACCGGACTCTGCCAATGAAGACCTATCTCGCTTTCCATGGGACTCAGAACGCCATAATATCACATCACAAGCAAGGTTGTCAAAACAAGCAAAATGACAGTATCATAAATATCCATTCTCGAATCCTATGTTTCTAAAGAGGCCTAGATACAATGCATGTATGTATGTAGGTATGTGAGAGAAGAATAGTGTTGCCCTCCGTCTGGCTGTTCCTACTTCCACCAACGAGTAAAAAAGGTCGAATGAAATGAATATCTCCACTGCCAAAAACATATGCCCCTTCCCATCTCGCTACTCAACTCCTGTCTTCTCTTCTTGAAGCGGCTTCACTCATTCTGTGGGTATCCATCTGTGCGTATTTCCCTCCACCCAACATCGATCAACCAACTGATTGGAAGAAGCCGACCTTGGAAAGCAAAAGCAATGCGACGCAAAAGCAGACGTGGAAAGGCATGATCCAATCCCATAGCAGCAAAACCAAGAGGGAATCAAATAAGCAAGCAAGAAACTCCTTCTCCAATGAGTAGTACCATGCCATACCAGGCAGGCCCTCTATCCGTACCACCAAAAAACGCCAAAAGGACAGATGAAACTGAATCCCAGAAGGCGTCGAGGACCAGCTCAAGCCATTTTCCACCGAGATTCTCCAAAGAGATCGATCAGTGCTTCCCATCCATGAGCCCGTAGCTACTCACTCTCTCGTGGCCAGGCTTGACACTATCTTCCACACTTCGATAGCCCACAGCGCCAAACTTCTCTTTCTGTGGCTCGTCTGTCCGGTACAATTCTCCGTTACTCTTCGTAGGATATATCGAGCTAACGGGCGCGCCGAAAGCCGGGAACTTGCTCATGTCACCTCTATTCGGGGAGCGAGGGGACATAAGCGCTCTGTTGTCGCCGGTGAAACTCGGCCCGCCTTCAGCTCGGGTCTTGTCACGGCCTAGAAGGCCGAAAAGCACGCGACCAAGGCCGATGAGAACGATGAGGACGTAGACGCCGATGAGGGCGAGTGAGATGAAGGCTTCTTCCTTGATGGCTTCTTGGAGCTTGAGCGAGACTTTGAGGACGGCGCTGGTGATGTCGTCGCTTGCTACGCTGCCGGGGGAGGAGAGGAAGGAGTCGGTGGAGTCGGAGTCTGATGCTACGCTTGCGGCTGCGCCGAGGGAGAAGACGTCTGGTTGGAAGAGAGGGAAGTCGACGTGGGCGTGGTCTGAAACCCAGGTAAGACCCTTTTGGATACCGGCGATCTTGAGCCCAATCAAGCAGTTGAGGACTTCCTTGATGGGGTCGTAGAGAATGGTACCGCCAAAGGTTGTGTTCAAGGCCTTGCCCATCTCATCCGTGAAGGTGTTGAGGGTACCATTCACGGCGGATGTTGTAGTATTGACCCAGCCGAAAACATCGCTATTGATCTCCTTGTTGGTGCTTGCGATTACTTCGTTGGCAGATCTTGACCAGGCGGTAGAAGCGTTGTTGAGTGCTAGCACCACGGTACCAGTGAAATTACCCACCTCGGTTGCAAGGGCAGGTACTTCCCTCTCCACAACTTTGAGGACGATGTATTGACAGAGACAGCTGAAAAGACCAGCGAAGCCAAGGGCAAGGACGAACAATGCTGGAAGAGTTGTGGCGTACGCAACGAACCAGCGCGCGAGGACCTGACGCTTGGTCGAACTGAACTTTGAGGATAGCTTGATACCAGCAGTTGTCGTGTAAGGTCTCGAGGCGATGTAGATGACATCCAGGGGATCGAATGCATTCTTCTGGAGCATGATAGATCGCTGTTGCATTTGTCGCCATCTCCAGATCTCTCTGTAAGCCATTGGGATGCAGACGGCAACAGCCAGGATCGAAAGAACTGCAAGAAAGATAATCTTGGACTTCTTGACAACCTTAATGAGGCCGTCAAAGAAGTTGTCGATGGCGGGACTGTCAGAGCAGAATGTCAAAGCTTCCTTTTGCGCGACCGGGAAGACGGACTTGTCGAATTTGTATGCGACCATGGATTCGTTCATGAGCTTCTTGACCTCCTGGAATGGAAAGCGGATAACGTTGTCGGTGAAGTTTTGAACTTGCTCGAAATTGGGGATTGAAGCATTGAGCTTGGCGAGGTCTCCATCCAGGGCATTCGTATCGAGCTTAATGGAGTTCAATTTGTCAATGGAAGAAGTCAGATCGATCTTCGGAGGGTCTGTAGAGCTCCCAAAGATACCGCCAATGTTGATGTCGCTGAGGAATGAGTTGAAGCCCTTCTCGAAGTCTCCGATCTCACTTGTCATGCCGCTGGTGATATCGCCAATAGTCTTGTTGACGAAGTCACCAACTTTTTCGATCAGATCGAGAGCGACGTGTAAGCTTCCAGAGACAGCCAAAGTGACAAGGCACAGGTAGGTAGAGGTCATCATATGAATGACAAAGAGAACAATTTCTTCCACGGCAGTGACAGACAAGAGAAGCATGCTCATTAATCCGTTTACTGCGCTCGTGACTCCGTCAGCAGCGAGAGCGTTCACACCCTCGGAGAGGTAATGAGGCATGGATGCCATCGCGCTGCCGACCTTCTCCACGCTCGTGCATGCTGATAATGCTTCTGACTTGGCGCTGGTAATGTCATGGTCAAGATCCTTGGTGGCAAGGAGGAGTCGACAAATGATAAGGATAAGGAGGACTGTCCACCGATTGATCCATATTTGCGATAAGCGTGCTCGAAGACCTAGGTATGGCGTGTAGTAGGGCGTGGTATTGGGAGGAGCGGAATAGTTGGGCGGCCAGTCTCGCAGCTCATTGTCACCAGCGTTGAGAGTTGATGGCACGGCGGGAAAGTCTTGACTTGGCTGATTTCTTGCTGAAGACATTTCGGTATGTGATGCGAGGAACCGTCTAAGTCCAGCCAGAGGCAACATCTTAGTATGTGTGTACGTGAAGTCTTTGCAGACGATGTCTAGTGTTCGTAGATGTTGAGAAAGAAAAATTGTTTGGGATTTTGTGAGACAGAATTAAGTGCTTGTGACTGTATACAGAAATTCGTCGAGGATGAGTGATGGAAATATTCCCAGAATAAGACTCGTGATTGAACAATAGTCACTACTATTGTCTTCGGTTGTAGGCAAATTGTATGAAAAATTATTATTGTAGTGTAATGACAATAGGAAAAAAAATTGTATGAACGGGTCAAGGGTGAATGGCAGAATCTTGAGAACTTAAGAAAGTGGGGGAACAACATACACTTAAAGCACAAAATAAGCGCAAAGAACTCGCATAAACGAGTAGAACCCGAAACAAGGGATCCTTTATTTCTGATTCCGAAGTACACTGTCAGGCGCCAATACTCGCGGTTTGGCGTGGATTCGATATCCTTTGTTGTGGTAGCCGCAGTCCAAGAATAGCTCCTTTGACGAGGGCGCCTCACAGCCAATCGATTCTGCGACAGGCGATCCCGCGCAGGCGGCTCTTGAGGTGTTCGAGAATAAAGTGAATTTAGGTAGATGGGACGATAGGGTAGTGTATTTTAGTTTCACTTAAGGGTGATCGTGTTCGTAGGTAAGACCGGTGGTGGTTGATGCTCCATAAAATTGACTTGCAGCGAAGTGATACGAGTGGAGTGAAGTTCGGATGAATCTGATATCAGAAGAATTGGCTATGGATGAACAGGACCTCGGGAGGCGACGATCATATATGATAACCAGATCACGACGCGATCTTCTTTCTCTCTTTCTCTTCTCGGCTTGCAAGGGGACACCGTGATGGAGCAGTGCAGGTGCAGGTAGGTACAGGTACAGGTACTGCAGTGGAGGTTGACTTGGTGGTGCCCATCTTCCCAAGAGAAGTCGCCTCCCGGCGATGGGGTGGTGACCTTCTTTATCCGCGAATGGAGGCAGGCACAACGCCTCCTGACGCCATCGAAGCCATTCAGAAGTCAAAGAACTCCTTTACCGAGGGAGGCTGTGCCTGGCAGGCCTGCAATGTGTGTCCATTTTGTGGATTCGTGGCTGCATTGCCCTGACTTGGTGAAGGTTAATCGTGCAGCACAGCACAGCTGGCAAAGATCCAGAGTGGGATGTTGGAATTTGGCCGTTGGGCTGGGCTGGGCTGGGGTGGTTCGGGTGGTTGGCCCAGAGGTTCCACCAATCCAACACCCGGCGAATCACCCGCGCTCGCTTCAGCCTGTCAACATCAGGGTCCAGTTCAAAAACCGGTCTTGCATCCTTGCAAGCCAACGTTCTTTCAACCTCCACCATCCACTCCTCCACTCAGCTCCACCTCCATCATCGAACACAGAAATTTTCGATGTTGATCTGGGGAGGCACTGCTGAAGTTTGCCCGGACCAGAGTAGGGCCAGCCATTGTGACTCAGTTGAACTGGAGTCTGCACGAGGGAGGAGGGATACTCTTGGTTCAAACCGCAGCGAAAATTACTGCATGTGTTTCAGAAATTGCCTTTCGCTTGGGTTTGATTCGCGGACGACCATTCAGTCGACTTCCTCCAAGCGCCGTGCCACGGGGTCACTTGAAGCCGGGCTGGCATCGATGAGCTTCGAGTCGTTTGGGTCACATTTATTCTGGGTCGATTCTGAAGCAGACGACAAGTGCCAAAGTCTGCGCGGCAAGAGATGAGTCGCGCCAAACGAGGCCAGTATACTCTAGCCGCCCATGTGGATGGGCCAAACACCCCTTTGCTGTTCCATATAGAAGGATAATAAGAACACTAAAAATGTATATATCTAGGCATCATCGCAAAATCACAAATCAATGAAGGTAGTAAGCGTCCCAAGCTTGCATACCTTGCGACATGGTTCCATTCTTGATACTCAAGTCTCGCTAATAAAAGTCTTGACATCGCCAACCGTCGTTCTCGCCATCTTCTTTAAGAAGGTCCTCCTATCCGCCTCGCGATACTTGTCCCAACTATCCAATCCCTCTTTCGCTTGAATGCTTAGAGTCTCATATCCTTGTTTGATCACACCTGCAACTTGTGCACTCGTAAGATGCTTTCCTCGTCTGGATGCGCCGTCTTCCAAGAGTTGATTGTAGTGTGTGCTGACACTAATCAACGTATCTATCGAGCTCGTCGGTCGTTTCCCCAGGTCGTAACTGTCTCTGAATTTCACCAAGTTCTCGCCTGTTTCTACTAGCTTGTAGAACAGATCGTCGTACGCCGCTGGTGTCGGCAGGAAGGACTCGCCTGCTGAAAGCGACAAGGCGATCAGATTGACGAGATCGTCAAGAAGAGTTTCGATATGCATTGAGCTCTTCAAATCCGCTTGGTAGGTGGTCAGGAAGCGAACAAGGGACAGGAGTGACCTGAATAACTCTGACCAATGGTAGTTGAGCCGTGTTCGAGATCTCGACAGATGAGATATGATTCTCAATATAATTCCAACACAGACAATGTAAAGCTCCACATCTAGACGCCGCCGTAAATTGTGGTTAATTCCATCAATCATCGTATCCAGGAGGCTCGCTGCAAGCACTCTGTCACCACGAACCAAAGGTAAATATGGTGATCTTTGTCGACATAGCCGAACTGGCATTTTGCTTTCATCGCTACATATCCGTTTGCAAAGGACTTGGTCTTCTATCAGCAACCGTATGATGAGTAGATTGAGATGTGAGTATTGCGTATTTCTCAAAGACGTATGAGCATGTTGTAGCAGATATGATGTGAGTGAAATGAAGCTGCTGATAGGAGCTTCAAGGCCCTTTTCGGCTGGTAAAGAGACAAAATTGAAGCAGAATAGTTTGTTTGCATGTGCAAAGTCATATGTTGCAAGCAGAACAGCTGCTTCGCTTCCAGGACTGCGTTTGTTAGTAGAAAACGCGCCATAGGATCGTCTTACTCACAGTTTCGAAAACATTTCTTTCGCAACTTCAGGATCAATAACTGGGGCCACAGGCTTCGCGCCCCCTGGAGCAATGGCACCCAATCCAATCAGGCTCAGAGTACCACTGATTGACCATCCCTCTGGCAGATCCTCTTGAACAGCCACATATTTGCTTCGGGAATTCGAGCCCGTTTGTCCCACAGATCGTATTATCTTCTGTATTGTGCCTTCATTCACAAAATCATCAAGTCGTAATCTGTAAGGGTTCTGAAATTCGAATTTGTTGTAATTGGCAAGGAGGCCGAGGAGGGTAAAGGGTTCGAATGCGCGGGAAGTGGTATCTGAATCTTGAATATACTACTTCTGTCAGCTTCATCATGATTGAGGCCTCGAGAGTTCTTACTTTCATGAGAGAAGGGAATAAATCGCGATGGGTGAAGTAAGAGAGCAGGCTCGTCTGGTATGCACCCGATACGACCGACAAAGCGACCTCAATTGCCTTTTGCCGAATATCCACTGCAATATATTAGCAGAGCCCCGAGACAATTGAACATGTCGCACTTACAGCTTCTGCCAGTCCTTATTGTGACGTCCAGCGCAGCAACAAAGTCCGTGAAAACAGCATCTACCTCATCCAACCCTGCCAGGACATTTATTATATCTGAGCTCGCATTGGTATACTTCTTCGAGAGGACCGAGGTGAGGAAAGCTGTGATGGTCTAGGTTATCAGCCTCGTCCTGCAGTAACGGAGGTGTCGCGTCTTACATCGAGAGCATGCGCATCTGCTGGAGCACTTCCTGCTTTGACGCGTCCTACCGCTCTAGTAAACAGCTGTCGAGTTTGCACCTGATTCCTAATCAGTTCCCCATATTCTTCTCGTTCATCTCAAGCCCCGTACCTGCAGATGCAATAAGTCGTCTGGACTCAATTCTCCAATCAGTTTCTGCAGAGTCGCTTTGTCCGGCTTCAGCAGAAAGAATTCCTTCCAGTATCCCTCTGTCTTCTCATGATCTTCTTCATCCTATCCAAAACTTAGTTTATATCCCCTGCCAGATACAGAGAATCTCCCCACCTTGAAGAGCTCCTCGTACAGAGCAACCACTTTTTGTTGAAAGACTTCGGGGCGGGCTTGCTGGGTGAGAGGAGAGGGCTCCATACTTCACCTCATAGCAGCAGGGCGATCTTTGGATATACCAGCAGGCAATGCGCAAATCCGTCTCGGGAAGCTTTTGGTGTTCAGTTTCAGCAGTCGGCTTGAACTCTCGCGTGGCCTCCTGCCTCGTCAGCCCGAATGTCGCTCCAATAAAGATCCCAGCAAGGGTTTGTGAGTGATCGGCACTAAGCGGCCGCTCGGGTAGTATGGGCTGCTCCTCTGGCGCGACAAGCGGAAGCGGAAGAGGCAACACCAGGCTTGAGGAGCTCCTCACGATCCAAGACCTAAATTATTCCTATGCTTCGCGGAAATGCTATTTAGTTCTTATCAGATTTCCACCTCATCTTATTCCACAGTTCTATTTACGTTGAAGTTGTCTTTCTGAGTAAATCCAGCGAAGAACTGCTTATGAATCACTGCTCGGTGATTGGTTGGCTGGACCCGTATTGAAGCTCAAGGTTGGCTGACATCCTTGAATCGCCCCATTTCAAAGCAGCCTCATCTTTCGACACACCTCTTCTCGCTCGACATCCCACCACTCCCTCTCCCTCAAACAACTCCCTACGCCTCACAGTCACGATGTCTGTACAGAGAATAGTATCACCATTGGCATCGCCAGCCAGCTTCGTCTTCCGCTTCGCCTCCTCCCCATCAAACCTGCGACCATGCCCTCACATGCTACGAACCTTCTCTTCCTCCCAGTCTCTACAGGCTTCCTCGAAGCGAAAAATGCAAACAAGCACAGCATACACGCCATACTCTCTAGAGCCCCAACCTCCTCTTCCTCGAAACTCCGGCATCCCAGATACATCGATCGCAGGATCCATCCCGCAAGTCAACGAAACCAGGCCACCCAGACACACAAAACAGTTTGAAATCACGTTAGAACGTCCTGCAGAAGAGAAGACCAGCATCAGCGTCACAGAGCAGGAAGCACAGATATCTCGCCCGACAACGACAGCGACATCAGCAGCGACGGCGGCACCGGAAAAACCCCGCGCAAAGCCTCGGCCCAAGTTGCGAGCTCGAAAAGCTGCAATGAAGCTCACGCCTGGGGCTGTCAATCAATTAAGAGAGTTGCTGAATCAACCAGAGCCGAAGCTCATCAAGGTTGGAGTGCGGAATCGTGGCTGTAGTGGGTTGGCGTACCACCTGGAGTACGTGGAGAAGCCCGGCATGTTTGACGAAGAGGTGGAACAGGATGGCGTGAAGGTGCTTATAGACAGCAAGGCGCTGTTCAGTATAATTGGAAGTGAGATGGACTGGGTTGAAGAAAAGCTCAATCAGAGATTTGTTTTCACCAACCCGAACATAAGTATGCTCCCAAAAATCAACCAGTACCAAACAGAGCTAACCATTCCACAGAGGAACAATGCGGTTGCGGCGAATCCTTTATGGTATAATGGCACGACTTCCTTTCCTTTCACGTATTATAGATTCGACTTTACGGCATAGCATAGGCATAGGACGGCGTTTCTGGGAGGGAGTCTGGATACCAGCATCGGCACTAGAAGGCATAGATGCAGCAGAATGAAACATGTACAACCACATTGAACTTAAACTGGTTTTCCTTGCAAACTAGACGTTGCAGTCTATCAGTCACACTATGGCCATTCTCCCATGTCCCTAGAATGCAATTATTTCATTCACAGCATCTTCTTCATCCCCTCGCCACCTTATCCTCAATCTCCACCCTTCAAAACACCCCAGGAGAATAATCCACCACCCTAACATTCTGTATAATATCCTTCAAGCTCCTTACAAACTCCAAATGCGCAGGGTCTTCCTCAAGGTAATATCTCCTATCCTCCTCATTTCTAAAATGCGATACGAAGGCATGCGAGAATGCTCCCTACATCACCATTAATTAGTCTCCTTCTTCCCAACACCAATGGGCGAGCATTGGGCGAGTGAGGGGGAAGGATGGAAAAGGGATGGAAAAGGGTGAGTACTACTTGGTGTCCCTCTGGAGAGTTATCTCTTCCGCCTGTGCTGTCTAGGATATATGGTTCTTTGGTGGTGGGATGGACGCAGTTCTGGCGGAGGGCTAGCATGCGTTTGCAAACCTATGTGAAATTCAATCAGTGACTATCCTCCCTCGCCCTTCGATAATCTCTATTGACGTCTCGAGACAACAAAGCTGGAGCCTGTGTGCTGCTCAGTGTCGAGGTCGCGAGGTCAGAGAACCCCGCCATACCCCTCTATTTCGGTGGTAGTGGGGGAAGATAAATGAGACGAGACGTACATCATGAATAACCTCACTCTCAGTCGAAGGCTTGAATTCGAAGAGCACGATGTGTACAATGGCCATGGTTTCTTATTGCTGGTACTTGTGGATGTGCATGCTGCGTAGGTTGGTCCTTATGTGTAGAGTAGTAAAACATAACGTTCCTCTGCATCGGGGAAGATGCTCGCATGAGCTGAGGATGTCATATGATGATTAATAACCAGAATGCAGAGCTGATTTCTGCGTCTGGTGGATGAAAAGGGTCTACAATATCTTGGACTTAAGTCGAACATACGGTTATTCTATTTACTTCTGTCAATTGCATGTTTTGCTTCAATCATTAGACCTTTGAGATGCGAAAGTCTGATGTTGATCTCTTGATGGTGGGGTTGTTCGAGACTCTGGCTCTCCCTGCGAGCCGCTACGTGAAATGGACGCAATCGAAAATTACTGTATGTCAACATCAGATGAAACAAAAATTCCAGATTAGATTTCAAAAAAAATGGCTTTTAGTCTGATTGATCACAGCTTCAATGATGGCAGTACAGATCAAAGATGTAGGTAGAAACGTTACTTGCATTTCTCCTTCCCGTCCACTTCTATTTCTTCTGACTCAGTCGGCGAAGTCTTGGCTGCCCCTCAATTGCACATGCTGTACATATTTTGAGCTTCATTCCCAAAAACATACAAGATTTCAAATTCCCCATTCTTACCAATTCACATCTCCAACACAAACATACAGCACACTACACTCCAACAACCAAGTTCCCTGAACCTCAGTACTAAACAAACAAAATGGCAAACCCCCGAACAGAGTACGTACCTTCCCTTCCCTCCCCTCTCCCTCCCCCTCCCCCACCATCCACCCCAAATAGCACCCAAACCTCCCCCTCCCAATTCCAATACATACACGATATCTAACCCCCCTCCTCCACCTCCAGCTTCCCCCCCATCCGCGCCTGCCTCTTCGACATGGACGGCCTCCTCATCAACACCGAAGACATCTACACCCTCTGCCACAACATCCTACTAGCACGCTACTCCTCGGGCCCCATGACCTGGGACATAAAGTCGCAACTGCAAGGCCGGCCCGCCGCGCAGAGCATCGCCCTCCTCCTCGCACACTTCAACCTCACCTCCAAAGTCGACATCGGCACTTATACGTCCGAGCTGCATGCCATTCAGGACGAGGAGTTCCGCAAGGCGGCGCCACTGCCGGGTGTAGAGAGGTTGCTGAAGCAGCTCGAGACGGCGAGGACGGTCTCAAGTGGGAAGAAAGTCCATGTCGCGCTCGCGACGAGTAGTGGAGAGGGACATTTCAGGATAAAAACGGATCACATCCTAGAGCTCTTCTCAATCTTTACTTCCGAGCGGAGGATTCTAGGGGATGATGTCCGTATCCCAAAAGGAAGGGGGAAGCCGAGTCCGGATATCTATCTCGTTGCGTTGAATGCTATAAATGATAGTTTGGAGGCTGGAGAGGAGAAGATTAGGCCGGAGGAGTGCTTGGTGTTTGAGGATGGGATTCCGGGGGTTGTGGCTGGGCGGAGGGCTGGGATGAGGGTTGTGTGGTGTCCGCATGAGGGATTGGCTGGGCTTTGGGTTGGCAGGGAGGGGGAGGTTCTTGCGGGGAGAGGGGAGGGTAGTGAGATTGATCCCGAACAGTTGGGCGTTGTGGGAGATGGATGGGGTGAGCAGAGGAAGACCCTTGAGGACTTTCCGTGGGAGAAGTATGGGGTTGTCACTAGTGTCTAGTGGGAGATGAAATTTGTTGATGCCATTTGCCCAGTAAAGAGCAATAACTTGAAGATAAATATATTCGCAATGAAGGGGACCTTTAGCGCAAAGGCGATGGATTGATTAGATTCCATTGATTGGTACGCTCGCTACCAGTCGCTAAAATAACTGAAAGTAAACAGTGGCAAACAAAGTTCAAACCCGCTTTTCACGCACTCTTCTTTACCAACACGCTACACATCCACAACCCCATTTACCAACTTATTCATCAAATAAAATCACGCCCAATCATCGCCTCCACGCCAATACTCACGATCATTGACATAACAGCTATCATAATCCGGAATATGCAATCCCGAGCGACGGAGATCATCCTCAATTCCCGGCCACTGGTCTCTAGTGAACAGTGTAGACCATCTTGCCAGCTGCAAGTCTGCATCTAGTCCATCATCGTATTCCGAATATTGATAGTCGTTAGTCTCATCGTCATCATCATTGTCCGAGTCTGGCGGTAGTTCCAGGACTTCCGTATTATCTGCAGGAGCCGGACCTCCGCAGCGAAATAAAGGAAGCGCGAAGAACATGATCAGGAGTATTATAATACCAACAACAACCGGGCCTGTAATCGGGTTGATGATCGAGCCAGCGGAAATCTGTGGATGAGTCGAAAGGACTGGAGAGGGATTGCAAGGGGTGTTGCGAGGATCAGTCCTGTGGTCGAGTCCGCAGTCGACCTCATTTGGCATGTTTCTATCTGCGAACTTCCTGTCTAGAACCCACTGAAAAGGGGAATAATCTTGGAGTCTTGCTTCTTTCAATGAACGGCCACCTGGTCGTTGCAATTGGTAGGCTTCTCTCAGAGTTTGTCGTTCCTGCGAAAGATATTTGTCACGGTCCGCCTCAACACGGTCTAACCATTCCCAATAGGCGTCCCAATAGTCTCTGCGAACTACTGGCTTCGCCTCAGATATCTGTCCAGATTGAACGTCTGGGTGGATGGTTACGGGGCCGATACTGGGAGTTAGGACTTGCACCGTGCTGGTGATCTTTGACGCTTCGTTATGATTGATCTCGACAACCTCGCTCTGATCAAGGATATCTCTCTTCCGGAGCTCAACATGATTCATCTTGCTGTTTGGATATTTAATCGGGGTATTTGTTGGCGTCGGAGCCGACTGACCAGGAACAGCAGTTGATACTGTTGACACCGTGAGCTCGGTGAAAGAGCTTGGAAAAACTATGAGATCAAATCGGGACCATTGATCTGACGTGCTAGTTGGAGGAATGAACGACTGGGCCGAATGTGTTGGGCTGATTTGACTTGCCGCTTCGTGAACAGAAGGGAAATTTGGATCTACAGTTCCGAATTTTCTGACACTTGCACTCGTTGCGGTCTGACTAGAAATCTCAACAGACAGCGAGGTCGGCGTGGGATCGTCCTTGTACCGCGTTACGAGTTCGTAGCTCACCCGACAGGTGATGGTCTTTGGAAGTTTATATCCATGGGTACGAGAGGCAACCTCCCATTGACGACTGTTGGGGTTGCAATGGATGACCTTCCTCTGCTGAGCCAGCAAATTTTTCGGTCCGCGGTCTGATGATCCGTCCAGAACCGTTTCGCCAGCTATGGAAGAAGCATTTTGGTACGACATACCTCGACGACCACCGAGGTCTTCCAGCGTACGTGTCAATCCCTCAAGAAATGTACTTCCGCCCCCACTGCGAGATTCAGAGACCGGAGATTGTACTATCTCGGTCTGGTCTGCAAGCTTTCCCTCTACATCTCCTTGTTGATGGTCTGCCTTGTTGGTACGCCATTCGCCTATCCCTGTGATGAAAACTCGGGCGATTCTATAATAGAAATTTAGTATGCTCTGGCAGCCAAGCTCTCTGTCTAACATGAACTGCTCGACTTCATCCCTACTCATTGTAGAAAGCAGATTTCGATTGTCCTCTCGCACTTTACTTCTGAACTTCTGCCGCAAGAGGAGTTTATACAAATCCACCCACGAGTCTTGAAGGCGTTCGAACTCTGCTGCATCCATTATTTTGTCGCCATAGCAGTATTCTGCATCAACAGGCAGCGGCACCCCTAACGCTTTGTGACAGGAGCATGTCGGGACATGTCCTTTGATGTCGATTTCGCACTCGATAGGACCGGCATTGTATAGGTGTGCCATAATTTGCTGCTCAATATCTCCACCTAAAGAACCAAAGTCGAAAGTCCAAAGAGGGAACTCGAACGTATTTCCGTGCGTGAAGTATTCCCCGTGAGTCGTCCCAAAGCAGATCAGAGTACCTCTCTCTCAACACGAAAAGACAACCAAAAACTGCACCGAAGCAATAGCGAACGTAAGCGAGTATGAGCGAGCGTATGCGGAATGGGTGTAGAAATGTGCGATGAAAATGGTCATGCTGTTGATGGTTGCAAGAAAACAAAAATAAAAAAGAGAAGAGAAGGAAGGGAGTTAACAAACGAATGGCGCTCTCAAATCCTTGCTCTCTTTCCCAACAAAGCAGGAACGATATAACATTTCCCATGATTCTAAAGAGGCAGGTAGCAGAAGGGAAGAACGACGCGTGAGATCCATTCTAGAGCATGTCATGGCTGTTTAGAGGACGGAAATGATGACAAGTCTGAGATTAGAGAAAAATAAACTGATATGGAGGGAAAGTGTTGAAGGAATTAATGTGAGATTTAAGCGAGGATGGGGAAGAAAGGTAAACAAATACTGACATTTCTTCTCTTGAGAAAGGCACAGGTTTACCGCTCGTTAGGGAGTCAAGTGCGAGAGGCAAGAGCATATCGAAGGTGCTCTTAATTCATCTAGCCAGTCACGACTGCAAGGAGAGAAAGCCCCAAGGCTGAAATGAAAACGGACGCATCAATAATAGTCTATGGTACACGCCGTGCCATGTTGTCCGCCTTCCTCTAGTAGGAGGCAATTTATCTATCCATCCATCCATCCACACCCCCAAAAACGCGCGCGCTGAGTTGATTGATTATGTACTTTATGAGCCTCGAATGCGCAATCAACAGCAACATCCAAAGGCCATGCATGCAAAAACCCCAGTTCCTCTTTCTGTACACCGTCTCGTCCGCCTGCACCAATTCCACCCGAGGAAGTGAAATCCTTAGCCTGCCCCATTCCCATGCCCAAACACAATGAAATTTTTTTTATTCCCTTCGATACTAGGTTTGTGGTGTATGGATCCACGGTGTTGGGTTTGGTTGTGGTCCGAGTTATGGTGAGAGGCCTAAGTAGCCAAATATGCGATTCACGTGTCCATTATACAGGAGTCAAAACCACGCCATTCCAATGCAGAAAATCGCTCTACGCACAGCCGGCTGCCGAGTTCGGTGCTGAGGCGAGTGTTGAGCAGCAAAATATACAAATAACACCAGCCCCATAGGATCGACATAGACACTCGATCAGGCAGAACGCCAATTAAGCCCATTCATTAATGTTCGTAACCGGCTCCACGCTGCCAAGGACTAGAGGATGTCAGTTATGAGCATGGACATGGAAGTTTGGAGTTATTACCTGGCATTATTGTTGTTTCTGAATCCCGCAGGACTTGCAGTATGTTGTGATCTATATGCCGCTGAAAGGTTCGAGTTTGACGAATCGCGGTATGGGCTGGGCGATGGCCCTGGTCTACCACCCATCAAAGGAACATCGCTCATGTTACGATTAACGTTCTCATACATCCCACGATTGTTATCCTGGTAGTTTGGTGGAGGACCACGACCGGCTGGGAACAGTGGAACAGATGGGTCTACTGGAGAATGAGGAGGCTCTCTATATGCTGCTCCGGAGTTGGCAGTGGAGGGAGGAAGTGGCTGGTTGGCTGGGTTTCTCATCGAATCGGAAGACCATGAATCATTATCATCGTCCAAGTCAAGGTTGTGCTTGTTGTAGTTGCCACTCTTGTCGCCTCGTGCAGTGGCTCCCAAAGCATCCAACTCAGTAGTCAACTGAGTTTGCGACTTGATGAAGGATGCACGGTCATCGCTCATTGGCTGGTATCGGCTGTCTGGGTTCTTTCTGATGAAAGCATAGACCGTGGCAATCAAGACCAGAATCAAGAGGACCAGAGAGAATGCTGCGTTCAGAATGAAAAATACAACTCCCACAACGCCAGTCACTATGCCTGGCTGGTTGAAGACATCCGTGAAGATGAGAAGGAAGACGGCGTTGACAAAGTTGACGGCACAGATAGCGATATTGAAACTGTTAGTGCTCTTGTCCATCCATGGTCGAATAACGCTGGCTCCAATCAAGATGATCGCCTCGATAAGCAACAATGCAATAGCCTGAACGGTTCCGGAGTTTTGGCCGAAAGCGATGAACATTCCCTTGACAACAATGTAGGCCAAAGTCGGGAGGATGAAGTAGTACGCAGTAGCTCTGAATTGAACGTATAGAAATCCCCACTTGTTGAGAGAAGCCGGGTCAGAGTAGAGGATATATGCTGGGTTCTTGTGCATCTCCTCGGATCGCTTTGCGATGCGGATCACCTTGAGAGCGGCCCAGGCTAAGGTTCCAGTCATGCCGAAGAAGAAGAAAATGGCCAAAACAACCTCGGCGGGTGAATCGATCTGGGTAAATTCCCACAAGCACAGAATGGTCATCTGAGGGTACCCGATGAGAACCATACGGAACATGATACCCTTCAAGACGGTGAACCAGCCATTACGGAAATCCTCGAATTTGTCACTCTTCATCCATTTTGATCGCACTGCAAGTTCGCAAAAACCCTTGAACAGGGAGACGAAGATGATGGTGAATGCGATGAAAATACAGAAGAAAGCGAGACCGGTCAAGAAAAGGTTTGTTGCTTCAATACCGGCACGGAATGCAACTCTCTTAATTCCCTTGACGACGTAGGTTCCAGAAGCAGTTTCGGTGGCACGCTTGCTCAAGTTGTGGGCATGGGTGAGAAGTCTGATGGTTTCGTCAACTGATCGCTTGTTTATCTCAGTACTGGTTGACCTCTTCTTGAGGACCTGAACAGATGTCGTGGTGAGACTGTTGAGAAGAGTACCTGGGGTTCCTCCAGTTGACTTTTGATACCAGGTAGCGATAGTTTGCATGAAGCTGACCCGGATAATACCCATGGTCCACTGAAAGTTCTGGGTCCATGATTGAACGATAGGTGGGAGAGGAACCGCGGTCAATCCAACAATGGCCTGGGCCTGGAAGTATCCAAAGAGAGACAGTGCGTTCGACGCCACGTGTGCTGCAGTATTCGAGTGACCTAATCCGGATGTGACGGCTGAAGCTACGAGAGCCATACCAGCAATTACAGCAGTCGCCCATGAAACACCCTTCTGATCAACGGATTGCCCATTAGAAAGATTTGCCTCCACGCAAGCCAAACTGACATCAGGGTTGGATGTTGCATTGATATGAATCTTGACGTTGGCATCTAGATCGGGGACACCGAAAGCGATTCCGGGAATTTGGCTGACAGCATCTTCGTCCAGCACCAAGTTTGATTGAATATCGATCTGGCCAGTAGACATGGGGCACATTCCAGCCAAGTCCATGTTACATGGGTCGAGTGTTTGCTTCAAGAACCGGTATCCATAGGCAAAGACCTCAATTCCAAAGGAGACATTGCCCTGAATTGAAGAAACACCGACAACATCGAATGTAAGGGTTCTGTTATTCGGTGTGAAGACGACATTGAACAGACTTGCTGTGAAACTAGAATTATCTTGGCAGGTGTTGAGGGACTTTGACTCGATTAATCTGACAGCGGAGGCACCGGAGAAGAGGGAGAGCAGGGAGAGGATAGAGATGAAAGGCGAAAGTAATGTCGAGGACCGCATGATTGCGAGGATATATTGACGGAAACCGTCGCGGCGTGTAGGGAGAGTTTGTCTTGCCCGGAACTCCTGAACTGGTCGTGGAGTCTTTGGTACCCGGGAAGTGTCGAGCCTCCTCCTTTAGTTCTTGGTCGCACCCTTCTGTTCAAGGCAATTGTTCTTATTTATTTGTCGTGAATCCTTTGAACGGGTGGTTGACTGTGCCTGCGAGTTCCTGAACGGGCTGCAGGTTGAACGATGAGTGGTAGCGAGCGGCGTGGAACGATTGTATCGAAGAGGTCGTTGTTGGGAGAAGGGGAGGGAGGATCGCAGAGGGATTGTGAGGGTTCCAGCTCACGGTAACGAGTGATATTGCGAGAGATAGATGGCGGAGTATTCGGACGAGACGAACGAGAGATGTCGACCGTGGTGGTGTAGTGTTGATGGGGGGGGGGGGGGGGGGGGGGGGGGGGGGGGGTATCGAAGTTGTTGATAACGAAAAGAAAGGAAGGGGGTTGCGAGAGGGACAGGATGCAGGATGGGAATGGAATGGAATGCAGTCAAACCGGACTGGCTGGCTGGCTGGCTGGCTGGCTGGCTGGGCTGAGTGGTGCAGATGGCAGGAAGGACTGCAGTGTGCAGTCTCGCAGTGCAGTGCAGGTAGATGGATGGACTGGCTGGCTGGGCGGCGAGACGAGGAGACGGGGACTGGGGGACTTGGGCGAGACTACTTGACATTGACACTGGCAGACTGGCATTGGGCACTGGGAGGGGAGATAGGAGGTCTCGCGTGGACCGAGTGAAGCCAGGGGTCGGCAGTAGAGCAGGAGACCTCGGGACGTGCGTGGGCGTGGCGGAGCATTCAGCTAATCTCCTGGTCCGCCCAATCAATGCCCTGCCCCCTGGCCTGTTCCAGCTTGGCGCAAATAACTTTAAACTGATCTAAGTATTGCGCGGCGCTAGAGACACGCCCCTGCGGATGTTCTCGCCCAACCAACCATCCATCCTTCCATCCATCTGTGATCTTCAGATCCGGTTCCTCCTCAAAATAACCCTGGATATGCCCCTGAATCCAGCCGAGCCAGCTCACTGGACCGCAGTCAGGTAAATAAAGGGATCCCTTGATAAATACATATTTCTCGAATAGCTCTGCAAGCAAAGATTGACATCAGCCTCCTCACATGTAGAGAATGTCCTTACAGGGAAAACAAAGTCATACTCGTCAGCACTCGCGCTCAGGTCCCTGCCATCACAGAGTTTTCCATATCTCAAGCCCTTGGCCATCCATTGCCACTGCTGGCATTCCAGCCTCCAAGGACCTTACAAGAAGACCAAGTGACGCACCCAAGATCTCACCAGAAACCACTGACTTCATTATCTCATCGACAACGGCCGCTACCCACTGAATGAAGCTGCCGAATTCTCCGCGCCAAACCAAACCCTTTCTGCCCTGCAAACTCAGCAAGTGGGAATGGATGTGTGGTCTTCCGTGAGCCTGTAACACGTCACGTCTGGTGCTGGGCAGAAGGCGCTGAAAGGAGTCAAATAATCTCCTTTCTTTCCGGTAAACAATTGACCCTTTGCACTGCCTCCTCGACAAGATTATACAAGACAATTGAAGAATCAGGAGCCTCGTATCTCAAATAACGATCTTCTCCAGAGCTATTTTTCCAACCCTCGAGTCACTGAAGTAAGACATCTGCGCCCAACAGGACGAGGACCTTCGCGTACTTCCAGCGTATTCGCTCCAGAACGCGACAGGCGGACTCCAAGGGGCCCAGGAACCTTCCAAACGTCCAAACCCCAGAGTTAATTTCACTAGTCTGAAATCCAGCTCATCCCATCCCATATTATCCCCAGACACGATTCAGTGTGTGCAATCCTCAATCTCTACTTTTCTAGTTCATACCGAAGTTTCCTTTCGGGCCAGTACTCACTAACTTTTAGATTGACCCAGTAAGGTTTAAAGTTCAAAAGACAGCGGAACGGTACTTGAACTCCCTCTTATTCATCCCTATCTTGCAGTCTCACGATGAGGTTATCTCCTGTGCGTACCGCAAATTAATCCAAACTTTCTGCTCTCCTCCATCAACACCTGACCACAAACGCATGAAATCCATCAGCCACTCACTCATAATCAGACAAGGTTTCCCTTCTGCAAGTATCCCCGATAAACGTCCAACCGTCCAACCGTGCCCTTCAAACCGCCCGCCCGAAGGTCATGAAGCAACTGCTGTGTCAAGTCTCGGCCCCATCTCGACAACCGTGGTCAACACTGCGAAGTCCGCGACGAATCATCTTTTCTCCCACGGCTCTGGCGACAAAATAAGGTCCCGCGCGGTCTCCGATTTCTGCTGAAGATTGAAAAGCTTCTCCAATTCTTCTTTGCACGTCATGTCATGTCACGCAGGTTGTTTGGAGATCTTTTTTCGTCTGGACTTGATCGTCGAATGTTAATCTTGAACTCCCTATTTTTAGACCTTGGTCACGAGTGTAGATCATGTGATGGCTTATTTGACATTATAAAGACCTGACATGCAGAGAAGCAAGAGAGAAGCATTTTCTGTAGCTCTAGAACATCACAATTTCTGTTGATGTTTATCTTGTGGTTGGAGTAAACAAAGATCCAGTGGTATCTTGGCATCGACCCAAATCCTGCATCTGACATGCACAGGCAAGCCAATAAGAAGCAAGTCTCGGTAAAGCCTCACAACTCCAACATCATCAAAAATAACAAATCATGAGAAAGAGTTTCAATAAGATGCAAACCAGAAGGCAGCATCTTGTAAACACAATAACGTAAATATCGAAATATGTAGAGACCAAAAGCCCCGAGTAATTCACGTACCAGACAAAACTCCTTACCGAACCCTCCGTAACTTACCGATAACAAACCCTCAACCTCAAATCTCACCTTCACGATCCTTCCCTTCCCTCCTCCTCTCATCCCCATGTAAGCCACCCAACCACCACAACCATGCCATCCAAACTCCGACCAAACTCCCTGTCGCATCTGTCACGATGTCTACGGACATCTCATCCACGACCCCAATCACGATTCTTCTCTTCAACCCCGCGAAGAACCACAGATGGCGTGTACGGTGAACTAACAGCCATGCGGACGCGGACTCCCTTCATCGAAGCTTTTCGCAAGCAGCAAGCTGGGGAGAACCCATCGCTGGCGGTGCCGACTGCTATTCATGAGCGGGATATATCGCCAAAGAGCCCCAAGGAGAGCTTCACGCGGGTTGTAAGTCATCACGTGCTCATATTTATACTTATATCCTCTGCCATATACCTGTTCATGGGGACAAGAATTGGGGTTTCTGGATCCTAGTCATCTTTTTCTACGGTTCCATGAGCTATCAGTTTCTAGAATGAGTATTGACATTTCCCAGATCCTCCCACTAGCCCGCGACCCCTGGCTGCTAGACAGCTACATCAACAGCTCAGGACACATCCGTCTAGGAACGATATTCATGGATCTCGACGCCCTCGCCGGCGTAATCGCCTACAAGCACACAGGCGACTCCGTAATGACCGTCACCGCTGCCGTCGACCGAATCACGCTCAAACATCCATTGAGCGAGATCTGTGATCTAGAGTTGAGTGGACAGGTCAGTTTTGCTACTGGGAGGAGTAGTATGGAGATCTCGATTCAGGTTGCGAAGGCGGCGAAGGAGGGGGAGAAGAGAAGCGAGGAGGATGTGCTTCTTACTTGTGCGTTTACTATGGTATGTTTTCATTCGAGTAGAGGACCTGGCTTGAGGTAGAGAGATGAAAGTGGCGTTTGCTTATGGAAGATAGGTCTCGTTGGATCCAACGACTAAGAAGCCTGTTGCTATCAGTCCTCTCATCACTGAGACTCCAGAAGAGAAATCTATGTTTGCTCAAGGGTACGGTACTTTTATTTAATCTCAAATGTCGCAAGGCTTTTCCTGTCAGAGGACTACTTTTCGCTGCCGAAGGCAACCGACTGCTGGATGTATATGTGCTAATTCATTTACAGAGAAGCAAACTATGCCCGGAAGAAGTCAGCCGCAGCTCTGGCCTTACGAAAGCAAACCCCCAAGTAAGTCTAACCCCCTGCCCTCTCCTCCCAAAATATCAACTAACACACATACCCACAGCGACGAAGAATCCGACCTAATCCACCAAATCTGGCTCACCCAACAAGACTACCACAACCCCAACACGCCCACCCGGAAACCCGCCTCCGCACTCTACATGCGCAACACGACCATCCAAACCGTGCAGATCATGCAGCCGCAATACCGCAACCGCCACAACTTCATGATCTTCGGCGGCTTCCTCCTGAAATCCACCTTCGAGCTAGCCTTCACCTGCGCCTCCTCCATCTCACACACCCGCCCCACATTCCTCTCCCTCGACCCCTCCGTATTCGAGAATCCCGTCCCTGTAGGCTCAGTGCTGTACCTGACTGCCACGGTGGCGTACTCGGATAGTGAGCTGGTGGAGGATGGCTCGCTGCATAAGATGAGTCCGGAGGGGAGCAGCCGGATTCAGATCCGGGTTGATAGTAAGGTGAGGGATATTGAGCATGGGGAGACGAAGCCGACGGGGACGTTTAATTATACGTTTGAGGTGAAGAGGGATGTGAGGATTGTGCCTGAGACGTATGGTCAGTTTATGATGTTTCTGGATGCGAGGAGGAGGTGTAGGCTTGTGGGGGAGAGTGTGGATGGTGCGGGGGATGGGAAGGGAGGTGGGGTTTTGGAGTAGGTCGGTTGGTGTGAGAGGTTGTGATGTGGAGCATGTAATGCTTGGGGACATTAGGACAGAAGAGAGACTGCATTGTATGTGGGCCTGGCGAGGACCAATCGTCTAATTTGGAAAGAAAAGTTGTGTACAGAAGCAATCTTGAAGTAGCATACATGCTATTATACGCATTCAGCTTGACAACAACTATTCCTGTAGGACTTGATAAACAGAAAAATAAAAACATGACCTGAATTGTACTTTAGAAAATTGTTTTCTTCTCTTATGTGGGAGTGTCAAGTTTAAAAACATCATGCTCCCCCGTAGGACCGACTTACTTGTTTTGATATCTAAGCGAGACGAAACCGACTACTATCCCGTCAAGCCTGTGCCTCAGCCACTTACTACACCATGGAACTCATCACGGCCGAGACCTATCTATTTCCATAGACATACAGCTTCATACCAGTAGATTCTGCATGACCGATCTTATCCCTTGGGACAGGGCATATCAACGATACCCTTGTCAGAGAAAGATCTTCGCGAGTAATAGTTGGTTCCCCTCTGTGAAGCTGCTGAGTTCCCGAAGGTTGAAAGGGGAACCGACCATTAGTGGAACTACACTGGGTATTATGTTCATTTTGTAGAGTTTATATGACGCCAATCTTCTCTCCGTACAAAGTCTATGCAATCATCATGCAACATTAAACTAATTACACCGAGTACACCTCCAATCCCAGACCAGAAGTATCCAATGTCAAGGGCAAGGCCCGTAGACCGCCTCTAGAAAGAAGAGCTTTTTCCTCAGTTAAACACCCGCTCATGCACCAGCCAATCGACCCCGTAGAAGCCATGTCCAACCGAACACCTTCTCATAGTCAGCAGCCCCCCCCCCCCCCCCCCCCCCCCTCCCCCCACCCAAGAAGCCAATCAATAAAACTCATTAAAATCCCACGGCCTACTCGCCTTCCTCGCATCATCGCCATGCTTATAAGCCCCAGTTAACTCTTCCTCATCAACACCGCAATGCATCTCCCCATCTCTGCCCACAAACCACCCTAACCCATACGTCTTCCCCACTTTAGCCAGCTTCCTCACCATCTCATCATTATTCATCTTCTCCGTGCCAACGAAATCATACAACATCTTACTCTGATGGATGAAAGCGAGAATGGAAGCGATGGTGTTAGGCTGGCGCGGGAGAAATGGGTGTCGACGCCGGGAGTAAACGAGTGTTGCGACGAGACACAGGAAGGTGATTATGAAGATCGCCAGGCCGAAGGAGAGCCAGAAAGAGAGGAAGGTTTCTTCGCCGGCAGTATCGTGAGAGGCTCGGCGGTCGTGTGTCGAATCTGGTCCATCAGACCCGGAACCTGGCCCGCCCTTGGTGAAGTTCATGCCGGACACGTTGGCGAAGGATGTCGAGCAAATGGTGAGGATTTCGGCGAATACGGAGCCGAGACCTACGAGGCCAACGAGGAAGTGTCCGTTGGCGAAGGCGCGGATGGGCATCCATCCGAAGGCCATGCCAGTGTAGTCTAGAGTGAGGGTTTTGGGGGAGGCGTGGCGTTTGGAGAGGATGTAGAAGGGCTCGATCATGCGGACGTCGGTCTCGAGTGTGCCCCAGGCGAGCTTGATGCAGACGGCAAGTGCGGTCAAGAACCATGGGACTTTTGTTGTGAGGGGATTTGCGGCGTGGACGAACAAGATGATGGGGATGAGGATCATGAAGAGGAACATGCCGATGACGAAGGGGATACCGGCCACAAGCCTAAGCATGAGAGGGTGAGGGTTTTCTTGTCGGGTTTGCTGATCGTATTTGTCCTTCTCTTCTTGTGTGAGAGGAACTTTGTCTTCTGGAGCAAGCGAAGAGTTCCTAAGCGAGTATCGGTGAGATTTGAGTGTTTGATGAATTAGTTCGGGCGTTGCCGTGTCCATATTCTTGAAGTCCATCAAAATATGACTTCGGTTAGCCATGGCTGCGATGCCAGCAATCCCCTTGACATCCGCTACAAGACCAGATGGCCTAGTTCCAAGTTGCCAAACGAGGAATGACCCCAGTCCTGCAATGAGGACTAGAATACCACTGAGTACACGAGACAAGATTGCGTTGATGACGATCTCTTGCTCGTCCTTGAATTCGGGTTGATCCGATCTTTGGCTCTTCTTAAGCTCTATTGAAGCAGCTTGAAGCGTGGGGACAAGCGATACTGCCATGAGTGTTGCAAGCGACGAGACGGCAACTGCATAGTGCTTGTATGTCAACGCTCTGATTGGTCGGAGAAAATTGAAGAAAGTGATGTAGTCGACCTGCATCACGTTAGTTTGTGCCTCGCTAATACACATATGATAACTCACATTGATCGACTCGGCAGCTAGTGCTCCCCCCTGCCTGGAGAGCTGGTAATATGCTTCCAACCGTTTAACCTCAAAGTCTGTCACTTGCCACAGAACACCGAATGAGACAGCGACCAACGTCGGAAGATATTTGAACGTGAAGTAACTCCACGTGCTTAGGTTTGACGCGGAAGTGAAAGTATAGATGGCGCCTTTCTGGAGCAGGTATTCTTGTGCGCCAGCCAGAACCACCGAAATAACAATAAGCGCACTTATGTACGGCCATCTCATCGAAAATGGCTTCCAATTATCCTGCGGGTAGAAGACTTCCACTGTCGCGACCGGGATGGTGTTTTTACGGGTTCCTGTCTGGTTTTCGATTTGGTCAAAGTTGACAGACGCAGAACTGTCGCCAGCGAATGAGCTGATATCAACTGTTGGTTCTTCAACAATGACCTCAATGATCTCCCCGCGCTTGTTCGCTTCAATCTGACCTAGTTCTCGTACCGTTTGCTTCCTTGACAGCCCAGGACTCCGCTTGAATGATGGACTCCGGAATGACATCCCCCGTGATAAGCCTCCTGGCGTCTTGGGAGTTGGCGGTACATTCGCGTACAGATCCGTACTCCTAATGGTAGTATCTGGCTTCCATCCAGCACCTAAGCCTCCAGTAAGAATACCCGCAGCTTCTTGTCGATTGACTTCTTTGAGTTGCTGCTCATTTTGCGGAGGTCCAAGAAATGAGGAGACGTCGAAACTCATGGGCGAGAGAACGCTTGCTCCTACATCCTCTTCATCCACGGATGCATAGCCTGTTTTGTGACTAGCCATGCCCATCGGCATTGCAGCTCCTAAAAGACTCATATCAATCTCCTCTCCTTCATGAATCGTGCCATGTTTCGTATTGATTAAAGAACTACTCGATCCAGTCCTTCTGCTTGAAAAGCGCCTCGATGATCGCGTAGATTTGCTTGGTCCTACATTCGGACTTGATATGGGCTCATAAGACTGTGAATTTCGAAATATGTTGAATCCCGACCTTATGGTTGGCGAGGGGGTACCAACACGTAGCGTCTCTGGAAGCATTTCTGACAGTCTGCTATGACTTCTGGCTCTCTCAGATGGCGATGCAACTCCCGAACTCCCACCAGACGATATCTGAACTCGGCTGATATCCACTTCATCTCTCGAAACCGATCTCGGGTGCTCTGAAGATGGTGAAGGTAGCGAGACAACAGAATCCCTATGATCAGGCTGATAACCACCCAACGAACTAACATCTGATAACGACGACCCCTGATGCCTCAAGTCTGGTCTCCTGGGATCGGAACCGCCCCACGGGTAGGGGTAGCCATCGCCGGAACCAGAATTGGCCATGCCCTAACGAAGCTATTCTGTTACTCCAACTCAAGATATATATCCAAGGCAACGGATGATGCGAACTTGTAACGAATGTAAGAACTGCCAAGACGATGTCAGAACAGGCAGCACTGAAATAACTCCAAGAGATTCGAAGGATTCGGACTTGGATTACCCAGCGCAATTCAATCGCCCCGCGCACCTGAACCTGCCAGCGACTGACTACCAGTCCTGGAGGGAAGCCTAGATGTCTCTCTCAACACCCGCTTCAATCAAGATGTTGTTCCTCCGCGACTATCGCCCCTCCCTATGACTCTGTACTGTGTCCGGATTGTGTCACCGTCGCTCGACGTCTGCAAACGCGGCACACTGCCAGGTTGTTGGTTCGCGCGCCGGTAGGGCTCCGCGGCAAGGCTGATCGCATACGCGCTTCAGTGAGGCAGATGAAACAACAAGAATGCGAATTAGATAAAAGAGAAATCGCAAGATGAAGCTATCGATCGAAAGACGAAGAAAAGGACTTATTCGAAACCGAAGCAGAAAAGAGATGACGGCGACACCATGACGGCGCGCTGGGGATCAAATGAACCCGATTCTCAGCCCTGGCCAAGAAAAGCCCCCAAAACCCTTGCGCCAGTCCAGCCGCAAGGTCTCAAAATAGCCCGACCAGCGGGCTCGTCTCTCGACATCGAATCAACGCGCTGCTACTTCGTTGCTTTGAAATTCTGGGTGTAGACTGTGAGGCCCGGTGCAGGCGGTCTTGGTCTTGGTCTTGCTCTTGTCCTGTAAGGCTGACGATTGACGGATGTCGATGTCATCAGTGGATTGTCAGGATGCTCGCTCCACGCGGGTCTCTCTGAGGTCGATAAGTTAACACAACACAACCGCTTGGCGGCGGTATGATATGCAGGGTTAAGGAGTTGACGATGCTAACAGCTCCCGAGAGCTCATTTTGAGTGATGACTAACAGGGGGTTGAAACAGACGATCTCAACTTTAAAGAAAGTGAAAATCAACGACTTCCTTGATCCTGCCTGCTTGTAATGTTGAGTTGGATGCATTCATTTGAAGTATACTGAATCAGCTGTCGTGAAAAGCCAGTTTTGGTGCCACAGAATGCAAACAGACGGTGGCAAGCAAAGGTCAAGTTGAAAGGACTGAAAGCGTCGAGTACAGCACCGTCCCTACTGTGGCCGAGAAAGGAAGGATAAGGAGCCGAGTTTACCTCATAAGATACAGATGACAACCAGGACTTACATCAGAAATAGGGAATCGGTTCAAGTAACTTGGACTTCACGGCATGGTAGGGAGTTCAAGAAGATTTGTTTGCTACAAGCAATTTCTTTGATTAAGTACCTACCTAGGTAATCCCTCCGAGTCTCAGTAGGGACTGTTTTCATACGCCCTTCTTCCCACACACAGGTATTAACAGAACCTATTAGAAAGGTTTTATCTGTCCAGTAGAACAAGAAACGAAAGACAAAAGAAACGCTCAAACGAAAAGACCCTGTTCGACGAGGCTATCAACATCTCCACCGGCCGCCCTGACAGCCCTCAGCGCAGCCTGGGACAGCTTCCTCCTCTTATCAAGAGCCTCTTTCTCCCTCCTCGCCTTCGTCTTCGAGGAGCCACTCGGCGCAACACCCGTCAGGATCTTCCTGCTGTCACTGGGTGTGTAGTTGACAAAGTCGACGGCACCTGTATTCGGTGTCCTGGGGGTCGACTGCTTACTTGTCTTGGGCGTCTTTCGCTTCCGGACGCTGAAGCCTGCCGGCGTTGAGCAGCTAGGGGAGGGTGATTCGGAGTCGCTGGATCCTGAACGACTCTTACGTATGGGACTGGACTGTTGGGGATGCCTTGACTGGGCGTGGTGGGAGGCTTGCCGGTTATGGTTTGGACGTTGGTGGTGGTGTTGTTGGTGATGTTGTTGTGGGTGCTGATGGTGCTGTTGCTGGTGGGGCTGAGAGTGAGGGGTGGGGAAATAGCCTTGCGGCGGGAGCATGGGCGGAGAGCTCAAGACGAAGGATTGCTGGGCGGATGTGTCGGGCATTTGGATCATAAGTCCGTTTGGAATGCCTGAAGCATTGTATCCCATCTCGTTGTTGTCGAATGCGAGATCATTCTGCAGCTGCAATGCGAGACTTTTGGTTGCTCGCTGAGGATTGGTTTGGAAGTTATTTGGGGATGGCTGAGCCAAGGGTGCTGTCGCAGCATGATTCCACCAGATTGGAGGATCTATCTCGGGGTACAGCGTCGAGTTTCCATATGTGTTGAAGTCGGGAGAGCCTGGCAGTTGTGACCAAGATGAAGAAGCATGTGGAGCTTGAGGCGTGACTGGGAACAGTGCACTATCCAAACGTAGTTGTTGACTCGTCTGTCGCGAAGGAAAGCGGTCTAACGTCGGAGTCGAAAGCGGCGTATCATATGGCGTTGGACGGACGAAGTGCTGTGTTAGGGCGTGTTTGTATGACATGCCGTCCAGAAGCTCTCCATTTTGATCATCGTATGCGTCCGAGAATTGTAGCACATCTGGAACTCTGGCAGAGGAGCGTGGCGACAGCGGCGCATCATCCTGTTCGAAGTCGAAGTTGAACTTCGCAGCGTCCAGATCAAGCTTCTGACCCCAGAGGTCGAAGCTGTTGTTGTTTTGATTGCTATTTTGCATCATGGCTGGGATCGACTTTGCTTTTCTGATGGGACTTCGAAGTGCGCTTTTATCGAGGCTCGAGGCTCCTCTATTGAAGGTCCTTGACAAAGACCCCACAATGCGGTTCTTTCTTCGCAATGTAGATACTGGGACTTGTGTCGGCGAGGTCGGAAGAGATGTTTGGGTGTGTGCCGGGAGTTGAGGAGAATCTAAGTAGATGCCTTCGAGGCTGAGCAGCTCACTGTCAGACGCGGCTCTTCCTGAAGCGCAGAATTGGTCGGTTGAAGTTGAGTATGAGGCTTTTAGAGTTCGCTGCTCCATCGCCCAAGATTCGCCTTGCCGTGAATCCTCAAGGGCAACAACACGCTTCCTTTTGTCGTCAGTGGAGGTCAGTGATGCATCTTCGAAGTGGCTTTTTGCTCTTTTCATTAGGGTCGATTCTGGTAGTGGGTAGTCACCAGTCTCAGCTTCGGCAGGGCTGAAAGTGAGAAACTGGTCAAAGAAGTCACTGCCGAGCTCCTCGTAGCCTTGCACATACATATCGGGGATCTTATCGGCCGAGTGGGAGGCAACGGCGGAGAATGGCATAGTGAGTCAGGGCTGATGTGAATGAGAGGTTTAGTTTCAAAAAGTATATCCCGATGTCTTCCCAGTGTGGATCAGTGATGAGATAGTCTATGTAAGAAAGGAGTCTGGTTCGAAATCTGAGACAGCAAAAGCTACGAAGCTGTCCGAGAGGAGATACTTATGTACCGATCGTATCCATCGAAATCCAACCAGCTATCTGCAATATAGTGCGATATTCCGCCCACAATAGGGAATGGAATGCGGGTGTCTCTGAAGGGAGGATCTTCCCCACACGTGATAGTCAATGATTGGTCCGTGGAGCAAAGAAAGGGACAGTCCTTTGACCAGCCATCGCAATGTCTGCAACTCTGAAAGGGGCCGGAACATTGGGATTGTGGGTGATGTGTGGTGGGGTTGTGGAATGCCGCCTATCGTGTCGCATTCCTTCCATCACGGCGCAACCCAGCGTGCCCATGTAGCAACACCACGATCCTCAATTCCAACATCGGCAAAACAAAGAACGACGGCAGAGTTAACGAGGGTAGTCAAGAACTTAGGGAGCGTAGGCCGAGCAACACCTTGTATGCCAGTGATCTCTGCACCAACTTGAGGCATCCCACAGGGGTCACACCATCCATCACCACATCAAAGGTGGCTGGCAGGAACAATGAAACCTAGATTCCAGAGATGCTACTGAGATGCCAAGACCTACCTTCATTGTGGTAATCCTCTCGAGTCTTTGAGTTGATGGAATGCGACACGCCACACAAAGACTCGCAGAGAAAAATTCGCACATTGTAACGTCCAGCCACCATAGAGATGCAAACGGAATAGAAGTGGCGCTGAATCACGATTCGAAGTGGATATTCTATTCTATCGAGGTGCAGCAGTCGGTGGATCCTGCCGGGTTCCTGCATCTGATGCAGTGATGCAGTGAAGTTATGCAGGTACACATCACATCTGCACACTATACTGCAGTTGTAACACAGTGTTCACAATGACAGGAATATGACATAATTACGCATGATTAAGGATTTGATTTTATGATAGGGCAGCAGATCTTCGTTAATCACTGCACTAAAGTATAACCAAAGGATGCAGATTTGATAACAAAGAGATACAAATTCATTGCATGGAATCTAGAACAAAGCAAAGAAAACCAGTCAGTAATCAAGTGGCGGAGGGGGTGTAAGAGGGCGAAGTCCTCCTTCTCGTCTAGCTGTCTCCCAAGTTGCCAGGTCAAAAGTGTAAAGCACACTGGCTTCGGGTGGGTTTCTTTTCATCCAGCGATCTCCTGGGCTTTCCAGAGGCTCAAGTTTAAGACTCCTCATCATGGCTTGAAGGCCTGTGTTAGCAGCCTTGGTCTCAAGCAAAAGCTGTTTTCGATAAAGACTCTTGAATGCATGCTTGAATACTGCATAAAAAGCCTCTTTGTCATAACCCTGACCAGCATGCCGCCAGTGAATACAACCTGCAATGATGCTTATTTTCCCCTCTGAGTCTGGGGCATTAAGTTCGATATCTCCAATCAACTCCCCACCTTCCACGTCCATACCGGCTGTAGGATTGTCCCTCTTGAGAACAATCATGAATTTAATCTGCTTGCGGGCCGAACACTCTCGCAAAATATGCTCCAGGAGATCGTCGCCTTTCATGTGGGGGTTTTCTCTAGCACCGAATACATTATTGTTGGGGTCGCCGTGTATCTGTTCATATGCACGGAGATCTCTAATCACGCCCGCTGGATTTAGTGGACCCACTTCTGTTGGCATTGGGTCAAAACTTCGTAACGTGAGGCGAGGAGTTTCGATGAACCAAGAATTTCTCGCTCGGATCGGCACAATGAAGTCACGGTCCATTTTGAGCTTGATGAGATCAAAATTGACAGTCGATTCTTGGGGTTGGATATCCTGTCCGCAGTCAAGTCGATTTCTTGTTACCCGAACAATGACTATGGCGCCAGCAAAGAGGAGGAAGAAGAAGCAGAGGGACTTGTTTAAATCCTCTTTCTCTTCCTCATGAAGCATAGGAGTGCAATCAAAAGCCTTTGTTGACTGTGAGTTGGAAAAGAAAACAACATCACAGCTGTTTGCCATGTGAGTGTGAATGAGTCCTTGACTCCAGGTATCTGGTACTTGAAAGACATCTCCGAATTGTCGCTCAGCTCATGTTCGGTTACGCAAAATCAGAATGGGCTGAAAGAAAGATAAGGTTCAAGGCCCGAACAAAGACCACAAGATTAAAACCAGAACGCGGAGAACAAAATTCGAGCTGGAGAGTTTGGGGGTTCAGGAAAGTGTGGGACTACCACTGGTCCAGAATAGATATAATTAAGCAGGAATTTTGGAGTAGGGGCGAACAGCCAAGGAGAACAAAGGTAAGGAAAGGAATATTCTCTGCATTTTGACTCCTACTGCTATTGTCACAATAGAATTCTAAATCAACCACGCTATTCGCCCAAATGCCATAACGATGCAGTATATACTCATACAGAAACTATCATGTCACTTCTTTCCCTTTCCTTTCGCCTTGGGCTTGGCCTTTGCCTTTTTAGGCTTGGCATCTTCAGAATCCTCTTCTTCGTCGTCATCATCCTTCTTTGCAGCCTTCTTCTTTGGCGCTTTCTTTGCAGGTGCCTTCTTGGTCTTCGGTTGCTTGATGTACTTGTCTTTCTTCAGATCAGTTTCATCGTCGTCATCTTTGACTTCGGCAACCTCCACTTCGTCTACTTCCTCTTCGAAAGCTTCCTCAAGATCTGGTGCTTGCTTCGTCGCCTTTGCAGGTGCTATGACATTACTTGCCTTCATAAATGGCAAAGGATGAGTCCGGGCGTTATACCTAGCCGAGTTGATCAGTGCAGTTCCAAAAGGGAGCCATGGTGTACTTACTGTCTGGTGAACGATGCTTTTGTCTGGGTCTCCAAATGGACTTTCTCCTGCTCTTGGGGTCCCAGTCCAAGCTCCATGATATTGTCAAAGTCATCTCTAGTAAGGAAGTAGCTGTCCATCAAGTCGATGACTTCTTCCACACAGTCCTTGCCCTCAACCTCGAGTCTCCTTATCATCTGGGTCCAGAGCATAGGGAGGTACTGTTGGCGAATCTCATGACGATCTCCAGATGTTCGCAATCGCATGTGCGACTGGATCTCCTTCACAAATCGGCTAAGCTTTCCGAGCTTACTGTTGTTGCCTAACCATTTTGTGAAAGCTGTCTGGCCAGTCATAAGTCCGGCTGCAAAGGACGCAGGCCGCACAGCACTGAAGACGGCGTGTGTTGGCATTAGACTCCATTGTTGCTGGGAACCGTGGATCATCCTGTCTACCAAGTCTCCATCACTAATGCTTTCTGCTGCTTGGTCCGCGAGCTGTAATGCCTTTAGGCGTGCTTCTCGGGGATTGAGATTGGAAGCAAGCGTAGGTTTGGTACTGAGGTAATTCTCTTGGATCATCAAGTAGCTAAACTCATGATCATTAAAGTAGAGCTCGATCTTGTCATTTAGTGTAGCTTTGCTGGAGGGAGCGAACATGCCTCCGCCAAGTAACTTGTGACAGATATCCCAGGGTTTCAGGACAACATGCTTCTCCCAAGCTTTGGACATAGCCTTACTTTGGTCGAAATCCATGGTATTTTGATCAATCTTTGCTGTGGATATCATGTTGATGATTTGCCGAATATCCTTGTTGCTACCCTCGATAAGCGCCTCAATCACTGGCATAGGTAGCTTCAGACCTTCTCTGTGACAAATTGTGGCAATACGTGATCTCACTTGGTCGCTAGTTGGTCGTCTAAATGGCATGTCGAAGGCGACATAATCGAATGGCTTCATTTTTTGTAGCCTTCTTTCATTGCAGATCAGGATCATGGGAATGTCGGTTGTCTTACAAACTTTTGCAAGAGCTCCAACACCTCCACGGTCTCCGGCAGACATTCCATCAACCTCATCCATGATCAGAACAATTTTCTTTTTCTGTAGGTCGACATCCTTGCCATCGCCAGCGAAGTATCCGCGCAGAGATGTATTGTTCAATACCTCGTGGAGCCCAGCTTCGACCATCTTCTTGCTTCGAGTATCGCTTGCATTGCTTTCGATGATGTCGTATCCAGATAACTTGGCAGCCAGGTGGGCAGCAGTTGTCTTTCCAATACCAGGAGGACCGTGGATCATAATAGCTCGAAAGCCACCAAGTCCATCGGGACCCTTGTGTTGGAAGTTGTACTTGTGGGCTTTTGGCCAGCCTCTCAGCCACTCGCCAATTTGCTCTACAGCCTTTTTGTTGCCGCAGATCTGGTTGAGTGAAGTTGGTGCGTACTTGGTTGTCCACAGCTGCGAACTTGGGTCGATCTTGCGCACTGGGGAAGCAGCTTGAGTTCCCTTCAATTTGGCGAGTTTCTGGGCCTCCTTTTCAGCCCTTTCGACCTCGGCAGCCTTTCTCTTCTCTTCTCTCTCCATCTCCTCTGCTTCTTTCTTGATCTTTTCCATTTCTGCCTTCTTTTTCTCCATATTTTTCTCGGCAGCTTTCCCATCTCCGCCATTGGCTGGCAAAACACTGATGAGTGCGAACAAACCATCTTCATTGATTGTCTTGATTTTCATATCATGAATTTTTCGAAGCTTACTTGGTCCAGCATCATTTCCCAGCACAACAAAGCTTGTCTTGCTACTTGGAGCGCCAGTGACTTTGCCTCCGTAGCGTTTGACAAGCTCTTGTCCTTCCTCTCTTGATAGTGTCTCGAGAAGTCCTGTAAAGACGAAAGTCATACCTGCTAGACAGTTTTCTTGGCCCGTTGGTATGTCTTTTGATCCTGCCGCTGGTGGAGGTCCCGCATTTCCACCACCACCAGCACCCTTTCTCCAGTCAAATTTTGCGTCCGGGTCTTTCGGAGGAGGCGTAGGTGCTCGAATGGTCGGAATGTTGTCCAGAATGGCCTGTAAAGCCGCACTTTCAGGCTCAACTTCCTTGGTCTTTCTGGGAGCCCGGGCTTTCTTCGCAGGAGGTTGTTTTGCGGATTTAACCTTGAAGGCCTTATTAGCAGGCTTAATATCGTCCTCTTCCGAATCCGATTCCAGATCCACCGACTTTCTCTTCTTGCTTCCAGCCTTCGGCGCTGATTTGTCGATAACCATGGCATCGTCACTGTCATTTACCAGAGTAATTGAGTCTGCATCCTTCATCTCGACATCTTCCTTCTTCGTCTTGGCCGGTGATTGCTTTCCCTTCGTGGTTGTCCTCTTTGGCTGAATGACAGGCTCATCGTCACTGTGTATTTCAACATATCCATCATCTTTCCGTTTGCCAGATTTTTTTACATCTGCTGCGAAGATGTCGTCCGACGCATCATCACCAGCGTCCAGAAAAGCAAACTCGTCATCATCCTGCAGCTCGCTGTATGACGTGTTTGTCTTCTTCTTGCGTGCAGATGATCGGCTTCCATTTTCGACTTTTGGAGCTGCCTTTGCCTTCACAGGGGTAGACTTGGGTTTAGGCTTGGAGCTGGAGGCAAAATAGTCTGCTGTGCTAGTTTCTTCGCCCTTCAGAGATTCCTTCTTTCTAGAAGACTGTTAGCAGTTATGCGTCTAGAACCAGGTCATAGATCTTACACAGGCTTCTTCGCAGTGGGCTTTGGGGTTGCCTTTTTGGGTCTACTAATGTGAGCAAGTGAAAGTAGGTAGAGGAATGCATTCATACGGCTCCTCCTCATCATCACTATCTTCAATGACTTTCCGGCTTTCTGTAGCTAATCAGTAGGCCGATAGCCATCGAAGATACTGTGGAACTAACTGCTTCTTTTCTTCTTGGAATCATCTTCCTTCTTGGTCTCCTTCTCACGAATAGGCGTTGCTGTCTTGCCCCCAAAAAAGCTCCGAATATCCGCAGGCATATTGACAGTCTATGTCCAACTCAATACTCCAGTCCTGATATCAGTACAAAGTAGCCTTTATCGATCAAAATCTCATGGTGCTGTGGAGGAATCGTTGTTGGAAGATTTTGGCTCGACATTGATGATGCCTTGACGCGACTGATTACACGAGAAAGCGCGACCGTGCCCGTGCACCAGGCAGTTTAATTGATTTTGGCCCGAAACATGAGGCAGAAGCGAGGCATCAACATCTGAATGTCCCAAAGAAATCTCGAGACTGGAGAGTTTCATTCAGAAGCCAAGTTATTTCACAACCATGAAGCTCCGAAATGTGTCGAGCTTAACTGCTCATCTCGGCAGGCTCTCAATAGCCTCAACGCCTTTGCGGCCAGTCAGTGCAGCTCTAATCGCTTCGTCCAACCAGGCAGCTCCATCTCCAAATGCCTCATTTCTCCGCCGTCCTTTCTCGAGTACAACAGCCCGTGCTGGGAATTGGCTGCTCCCTACGATGCCAGAGAAGAAGCGTTCGCGGAAAGGTCGACCTCGTGTGCCAACGGGAGGTTCAGCAAGAGGAACGACGATGGTTTGGGGCGACTATGGGTTAAGGATGGCAGATCACCATCGCCGGGTTAGCGCATCACAATTGAAGATTGGAGAGGATGCTATAAAAGTTCGACTAAAGGGAATGCGTTACCGGTTGTACAAGAGAGTCTGTGCAAGTATCGGTGTGTATAGCAGTGGTAATGAGGTATGTTATGGTCTGTCGGGGATCGAGAGAGCTTGATCTAATGTATTTGCAGGTCCGTATGGGAAAGGGAAAGGGAAGTTTCGATCATTGGGCGTCCAGAATTGCTGTTAGCAAGGTCATCTTCGAGTTGAAAGGAGATATTCACGAGCAAGTAGCGAGGGATGCTTTCCGAATAGCAGGGAACAAGATGCCTGGTCAGTACCTCTCAGCATTGAGTCTTGTAAGGAATAACACTGACAGTGGGATCATAGGAATGTACGAGTTCGTAAAGAAAGGAGATCCACCAGTTGTAGGAATTACAAAGTTGGATGGGGTTACTTTGGCGGAGCTCAAGAGGCCCAGAAGGAAGGTTCCTCTGCCTATGCCAGGTGCTGGAGCAGCGGAAACAAGCTCAACTACCATACCTACATCTACACCGCCAGAAGCGTAATCTTCTCACAGTAGATCATGTATAAAGTGTACAATACGAGAGCCAAATAATATGGCTTCAAGATCAGACACCAGGAGTTAGAGACTCGCATGTGAAAGTTACTTGGAAACCACTTGTCTGGAAACATGCCCCTCGTGAAGCATTTAAAGAAATGGTGTGCACAGTTGTAGATGCTTTTACTACACCAAGCTATATGATTCATGAACGACCTTCCTGCCCGACGCCCGCTACCATGCCCGTTTCCCATTTCCATGCCCATAAACGCCACGCCCAAATCAGAGAAACACCTACAGCTCCCCCAGAGTTGACCCCTCTCTAATCCATATCTGACTCATCCGCAACAGCTTGAGTCTCTTTCAGAATCTAGTCATGTTAGTCTTGCCACACACCTGACAAACACGATCAACCAACATCGTCCAATTTCTGCTTCAGAATTGCCAGCATATTCTCTTTGATCACCAAGGTCTGATCATCAAGCTCTTCAACAATGAAAGCGTGATCTCCGGCATCGATCTTGACAATGATGGACTTGATAGATGGGTCGCACTCCACCAGGACACCTGATTTGATAACGTTAATATATACTGCACAACAGGACAGTCTACTTTTGGTGGGGAAATTCTGGGTTTTCCTTACCTCTGATAGCTCTCGGCATCTTGATCCTTTGGTATGTGTTCAAGTTGTAGAAGGGATCTTTGTATTGATCTTGGGGAAGCAGGATCTAGAGCCGTAGAGGTCGATGTCGATCTTGATTGTCTTGTTTTCCACTCGGTAGAAGGCTGAAGCGGCATTCTTAGCTTGCTCGCAAGGTCTGTTTACAGGGATGGCAGTTTAAGTTCTCACTGTCCATTCCATCGAATGAGGGATTGAGGGGCAGCCATTTCACCCCAAGCTTTTGCCATCCCGGCACATCCGAAGTTTGGGGTTCTCAAATGATCGAATGACGATGAGGGATTGAAAGTGCCGTGCTGATAAATGACTGAGCAAAATTCGCCTGCTTGATTCATCCATTCTCACTACGATGATAAAATCCTGGTTTTGGTTCTCTTCTATCTCTGCTCATTCTCACATTTGTTTCTGTTTCACGTCAAACATCGGGGAACTTCATCTTCGAGTCGCCTTGTTCTCCATGGACTTGACGAAACGCTAATGAAGCTCTCCAAGCCCAGCCCATAGCACCAGGATTGAGCTCTGCTTCATAAGCTCTCGCCTTTCCAATAACTCTTAACACTCTACGAAATATACAGATAGACGAACATGGCCTCGAGAAGGAGGAAAAATTGCTTGTGCTTCCGTTCTCTCCATTTATCCTCCGCGGTGCTCTTTCTCTCGACGATTCTCCCCTCCTCCTCCTTCGCACAGATCACAGACCCCGCATCCTCGAGCCCCTCGAACTTCGCAACTTCACTCAGTTCCAGTACACTCCAAACATCAACGACATCCAATGCCTCTCCCTCACCCACGCAAAGCGCCTCTCCCGCATCATCATCGTCGTCTGCAGGAGACAACAACGATGGCCGCAACACCGCTGGCATGTTCAACTACTACTTCATAATCGTCGCTGTTGTTGTAGTCCTCTTCGTACTAACCATGCTCTACATTGGCAAACGCAAGAAGCAAAAAGCCGCCATTATGCGATCCAACTCGCAGCGCGCACTTGCAGAAGATGTCGAAGGACTCCGCAATCGATTTGGCATGGGGAGAGGCGCAATGCGAAGGGCTCATGCTGGTGGTTTGGGATCCGGAGAGGGGCGCGGTGCGGCTTGGTTGGATGAGAGGACCGAGGGGTTGAATGAGAGGGGAGAGGCGCCGCCGCCTTATAGACCCGGATCGAAACCACCGAGTTTAAGAAGCAATGATGGAGTTGCTGTTATGGAGGTTTCCGGAGACTCGAGACCCGGGAGTGGGCAGCCGGTGGAGATGAATACGATTGAGCGACCGACCCCGACACTGGGACAGGACCCGCCGGGATATCATGAGGAGACGAATAGAAATGAGAATAGGAATAATGGGGGAACCGAAAGCTGGGCTGATTTGGAGATGACGAGGCCGGCCCCTGTTGTGACTGCTCCGCCTAGGAGGGATACATCTACGGAGTAGATGTGACACGTTTTGACGACATGATGTACAACTGGACATATGAGATGGGGCATATGGGAACGGGCATATCGGAGTACATACTGGATGGAATATTTGGGTACATATTAATGATTTCGGAAGGTTAGCCAGGCGCTGGATTTGGATTTGGTAGGTATTTATGGTTTACTACAAAATGTAACAACAACATTATGGAAATGACATATGTATACAAAATAATAGCCATCCATAAAGCTCTCAAACTTCCTGGCGTTCGGAATTGAGAATTGTGTCATAACCTGAGTCCATCCATGACAATTCCACTTCCACTTTCTTATATCCCTCACCATCCTCCCGTCGACGATTCATTCAAGCGAGAATGAAGTTTCTCTCTACTCGCTCAATTTCAGTAACAAACATTCTTACCTCCTCGAGATCCACCGCTTCCTAGAGAATGCCCTCCACTACGAGTCCCTCCACTCCTACTGCCGCTCCACTTCCGCAGCTTGTGCGAGTTGCACATGAAGATCAAGAAGAACTCGAACTGCTTTTTCCAAATTCCTCTCACAGCTTGGTAACATAAGATCAGAGAAACGAGCCTCAATTTGAGATGCCGAGAAAGCTATCAGCTGATCATTTCTCGCTGTGTAAATAAAACCCTACGTAAATGAATACTCGGAAGGTCGTACATACCATATCATCACAGCTAATCGAGTCTCACTCTTTAACAGTATTTAATTCGAGTGTTCATCAGACTCTTAGCATTATCCAGTCCCTCCGAACCTATTCCAGCTTTCTTCCTTGGCATCTCCTTCTCACCTTCCCCCAAAACAAATCAACAAACAAACTCGCTTAGCAACTTCCGCCGCCCCCCTTTCTAGCCCCCTTTGGGGACATATCAGCCGAGAATTTTAAGAAAGCCCGGCATGTTAAGGATAGAGACACGAGTGAATCTAGAGTTAATGTGACTCACACTGCAGTCTGCAAGCTTGAGTCTGGGGCCGGGATGGTAAGAGCTTGACGGGAAAGGGTGGAGAATTCTACAGTAGGAGTTATGGTAGCGGCGGGATTGCAGCGGGATTGGAGCGGGCTTAGAATAAGCTGTGGAACGGAGCTAGTTCTGCAAGTTGTGAGCTTCGTTACTGGCTACAGGTGGTCTGCCAATTGTGAGGGTTGGAAGAGCTTGGTAGAGCTTGGTGGCATACATATGTAGAGTAATCATTGCGTGGCGGATCATGGCGCCTGTGCTTCGATTGAAATCAGATTTAAGCTTGAACAGATCATCAGGGTCACGACGAAATAGACACCCAAAAGTGGTTGAAAGTGCGGCTTTTGTATATCTCCAACTCTTTAATGTCGTTCATCTAGTTGAACCTTCTAATCATCTCTGCAGGCTTGTTGCCCAAAATCTCATCAATCTCGGCCATAATCTCGGGTGTCAACTTTTCAATCGCATTGAGCGACTTAACACTATCGTAAATCTGCTCTGGGCGACTTGCTCCAGTAATAGCAGAACTGACATTCTTGTTCTTCAAGACCCAAGCCATAGCCAGCGAAGCTTGCGTAATGCCTAGCTTGTCAGCAACAGGCTTGAGCTTTGCCACGATCTCGATATCTTTCTTCCAGCTCTCGTCGCCGAATCGCTTGTTCATGCCAATAACGAATGGGTCGTTGCTGCTTCCCAGGCGGGAATCCTTGGGGATTCCGTCGTTGTACTTTCCGGTAAGAATACCGATCTTGAGAGGCGAGAAGATGGTGAGTCCCAGTCCAGTCTCCTCATAAAGGTGTGCAAACTCGGTCTCGACTTTTGTGCGCGCAAGCATGTTGTATTGAGGCTGTTCCATGACCGGGCCGATCAGGTTCAACTTATCGGCGTAGCGCCATGCTGTTGCGATCTCGTCTGCGTTCCACTCAGATGTGCCCCAGTAGAAAGCCTTGCCTGTGTTAATCAGATAGTTGAATGCGCGGACTGTCTCTTCGATGGGCGTGTAGCGGTCTGGGCGATGTGCGTAGATCAAATCAACGTATTCGAGACCGAGACGTTCGAGTGCGTTGTTCGTGCCTTCGATTATGTGTTTTCGTGAGAGGCCAACGTTGTTGACTGGGTTCTCGCCGTGGGAAGCTCCCCAGTTGATCTGCAAATTGTCAATTGGCGAATTTGAAAGATTTTGGGGAATAGGAAAGGTTATACCTTGGTGGAAATAACAAGATCGTTGCGTTTCCAGCCAAACTTCTTGATTGCCTGGCCCATCACGCGCTCGGACTCTCCCCCGCTGTACCCCTCAGCACAATCGAAGAAGTTGATCCCAACATCGTATGCTGCCTTCATGCAGGCGAAAGTGTTGTCTTTTCGAAATGAGCCTTTGCTTCTAAACGAGCTTCTCATTACTTACCACTCTCAACGTGGCCACCGTATGTGAGCCATCCTCCCAGAGAGATGGCAGAAACCTGTAGACCTGAGCGGCCGAGGAATCTGTATTGCATCTTTGGAAGACCTTCTGGAGGAGACATCTTGAAAATAGGGGTATATGTATATGTTTGTAACGTTGACAATGGGCTTGTTCTTGCAATTGGAATGGCACAAAGAAAAAAGTAGACAGAGGAAAATGACCTACCTTTATGTCCTATGGCGCAATTGGCATTGCGGGGTTCATTTTGCCCCTCTGACCCAAGAGTGGGAGAGCTCTTTGAAAGCTGCAGGGAACAACCACAGACAAGACTTTGTAAACACGGGGAGGAGTCACCAACACGGGTCGAGACATTGGAGATATGCTCGCTGAAATGTAACTCAGTGATGATGTCAAGCTTTAATGTGCGTTTTGTCCAATAACTCACAGCGAAAGTCATGCCAGGGGTCTTTTGTTCAAGCTCCTTCTCGGGGCAACAGGCCCCGCGACATTTCCAGAGACAACTGAATTTGTCAGGAGTCAGGACGCCGTTCCAGCGCAGTGCTTAGGCGGATGGAGGCTTCCTCCCTGGCCCTGGGCGTGGAGGCGCTCGAGCCACAAACAAAATATGGACCTTGAAAGGAAACCTCGAATTGTGACTGGCTGGCACAATCTTAGCTCTCCCTTGTAATCTTTTGTGGTAAAATTGACGACACTTCCTCAGGAGCTTTCTCCTCTAAAGTTAACTTGCAACTTTCAACTGTGATGGAGAAGTTGTGGTTCAGTGCCATGACAGCAATAGCTGAAAGCGGGAGTAGCTCCTGAAGCACGGTAATGAGTGCCGCTCCATAGACCCAACATTCCAGACTTTCCTGCTCTGGCCCTTTTGGCATTTGCCGTATATGGGGGCGTTTCCTTTTCGTGCCTGTTCTTGAGAAGCCCAGAGGGTTCCTCGCGACAGCATCCTTCAACGTTCGGGGCACGTCTTTGTCTTTACTGAAAAATCGACTTTGTTCTCAGATTCCCATACTATATTGGAGGGGCAGACAAATGGAATGTTTTAAGTGTACATCTCTTTCTGCCACAGCTTTATGCTGAAGTCTCGGGTGCACCTCCCCTATTCTCATACGGGGGACACGCCACTACTTTTCTCGTAGGAAGCTGCCACTGGAACAGAATTCATTGTTGAATCATGCCTGAAGATTCCTAGGGCCTCGACTACAAGCTAAAGAGGAGAAGTCAAGCCCAAAAATTTCCTTGCTTTCTTGATGGCTTAACATTTCTTAATGTATTTTAAAAAGAAAGGAAATTTTTCAATCGAAATATATTCCAACCTTTGTGATGTCTCTTTGGAATTGAAGCTGGCGGCAGTCTTCAGTCTTGTGTTCTTGGTCCCTCCCTGACGTCTTCGACCAAGGACTAAACATCTGGGCGAGGGCATAATGTCCTGGCGCACACATAACATCTGCAGGCATGGACAGAGTTGACAGACTTCTGGATCTATAGCCAAGTAGATTGGATCCTTTAACTGGTGTGCAACAACGCTTTCTGGTTCGTAGGAGCTTCAGACTCTTGACCGCTTCCAGCTGTTCGTTTCCTCACTCCAATAGGAGCAGCTGAGCAATTGCTCGCAGTACTTGGGCGAGCTTGGAACACTAGTTCCAGGATCCAATCCTTCCAAGAAAGAACTCACAGATCTTGTCAGCCAATTGTTCATCCCCTGGCTCTATCCAAGCACATATCAGCGCCTTACTCGAGTGTTATGCTTCCGATCACGCCACACCATATGTAAAGTGCGACGCTAAGCTCTGAATCTAAGACTACCAATGGCTATCCATCTTTTTAAAAGCAGTCAGCGACAGCCAAAGATGCGAGAGCCGTATGCTAGTGTTGAAATTGGCCACCTGATTCGTCTGCGCAAATTTGCTGGTGGTAGGAGAGGATTCTTGAGTGTGTTTATGTGCCTTGTTCATTCTCATGACTTCTTGGATGATTCGCTGCATGCTTCTGCTGCTACATGTGGGAATTGTGTAGTGTGTTGCTGATCTTGTCGAGCCTCGTGTTGATCTGCTCTGTTCTTTCCATGCCATCTCTACGTTCCATCTCTCCCTCATCGATGTCTCTGGAAGGCGGCTTCATAGAGATAGGGTAGGTTGCAAGACCTGTCCGTTATCAGCGACTTGCACTCGCAATCTAGGCTTCAAGCCAGCATGCCAGCGATGTATATCGTTCAGATTTTGCATGACTTACTGAGATTCTTCTTGGCATAACTAAGTCACGGCATGGATAGATCCAGTGTTGCCGTGAGTGCTGTCGCAAACCCCTAGGTCTCCGCGTTGTCTTATTGTCATGGATTTTCCACATGCAATTGCATGTACACACTCATCCTTCTTGGATTAATCACTACATACAAACATATGTATTAATCTATAAATATACATAAGCATACCTATGCCCATCAAGAAGCAGTCTTTTTCTCACCTTGCCCTATTCTGCCAAAGTGAATAGTTAGGCGATGGGAGAATGGACCGCATGACGCTAGAGGAGAAAGCAATAGCAGGTTCCTTCCCAGCCAGAGGTCAGGCAACTTCTGCTCGCTTACGGTCTACAAAAGCTCCCGCTGCTTCGTTTCCCACAACCATTCTTCTTCTACCCTTCAATCCCACCCTCAAGATCCTCACCGTTATCTCGTGAGTCCTTCGCGAGGTAAGTATCGAAGAAGTACAATCTGTTAATTGTAAGTTGCTCCCCTTCCGCCTTCCTCCACGTCCTCGGCCCCCTCTCCCAGCCTGGCGCGCAAATCCTCGTCTCCACTTGAGATTCGCGGTATCCTTGAGCACAGCACAGCACGATATCTTCTCCTTTTCTCTTCCTCCCCCTTGGTCTGCCAGGAGAGCGTCTAGTTCCCTGTGACGTGTTTCACCCTCTACCTGTTCGTCGCGCTCCCAACCTTGGTCTGTTTACTTTGGGTTAATCAACACGTCTTGTCAATAAACACGTTCTTCCCACACACTTTATCTTACGATTTCCACCACGTTTCTCCCATCACACCTGGTATCATCTCCCCTCACTTTCTAGGAGCGGCCGCATTCTCTATTGACTGGCAAATCTTCTTCACGTGGTCGAACTCTCTTCTCCTCAATCACTTTCACCTTCCCGCAAGATTATTTCATCTTATCACAGCGCTAACCATATCTCATTTCCGCAGACGGATAACCAGTCTTCTCTTGCAACAACGCTCAGGTCAAGATGTCTTGGGACACTCATGCGGCTGGTGGTGGTGGTGGTGGTGGTTGGGACGCCGGACCTGCTACGACCTTCAATGATCCTACCAATGGTTCTTTCGGCGATGGCGGTAACAATGCTGGTGGTGCCTTTGATGGTAATGGTTTCGGCGGCGGTGATGCCTTCGGTGACTCTGGTGGCGGTGGAGGTGGTCCTTCGGGAGGCTGCTTCAATTGTGGTCAGGAGGGGTAATTTTGTCCAAGTAATATCTTGATAATGTGCTGATCGGCTGCTAGACACATGAAGGGTGACTGCCCAAACCCAGCCAAGCCTCGTCCATGCTTCAACTGTGGTCAAGAAGGGTATGTACCGTACCTACCATTCCAATTTCATCGCATTGTCTTAGGACATTAAGCTAAACGCGATATTTCCAGACACACCAGCAAGGAGTGCACAAATGAAGCTGTTCCTCGAGAATTCTCTGGCACCTGTCGAATCTGCGAGAAGGTCGGCCACCGTGCTACCGATTGCCCAGACAAGCCTCCCTCAATTTGTAAAAACTGCTGCGAGGAAGGACATGAAGTAAGTAACCTCATTGATACGTCATACTCAGACTCTAAGTCGTGTGGTAGATCGTTGGTTGCAAGAATCCCCGCAAGATCGACCGCAGCGACATCAAGGACGTCTCGGGTGAGGTCGCCTGGCAGATGATCAAGCAAGCCGTTTCTGAACGCGAGCTTGACGATGTCAAGGATTCCGTCGACATGTATGTCAAGGCATGCCCCGATGTTACTTACGTCCAACTCGAGGAAGCCTTCCGCACCCAAGAAGTTCCTATCTATCTCATTGCCATTGAGAAGGAGCTGAGCTCCACTTACACCAACATGGACCTACAAGGTAACCTTGGCAAGAAGTATTCTATCTCCTGGCGTTGGTCCGATAAGCCCCGTGCTCCCAAGGAGATGGAAATTTGGCCAACAACCCCAGAGGAGAACCTTGAGCGATTGGCTGATGCAGGTCAACCAATTGATTGCAAGATGCCGAAATGCTCAAACTGCGATGAGCTTGGTCATACTCAGGTTCGTTCAAGTGCCCTTGATCCCTCGGTGAAACCAAATACTAAAGAGATCGCAGAAATCTTGCCCTGAAGAGAAGATGGAGAAGGACCGCGCACAAGTGCAGTGCTACAACTGTGATCAGATTGGACACCGTGTTCGTGATTGTATGTTCTCTCGTCACGCATTAACAAAGTATTAGCTAACCATACATAGGCCCAGTCCCTCGCCCTGACAAGTTCGCCTGCCGAAATTGCAAGAAGTCCGGTCACAGGTATGGCAGTCACAACTTTGGAAGTTATTTTATGTGCTAACACTGTTACCAGCTCCAAGGAGTGCCCAGAGCCTCGCTCTGCTGAAGGTGTTGAATGCAAGAAATGTAATGAAGGTAAGTCTTGCTCAACATATACACACAGAGAACATGCACTAAGGAGCCAATAGTGGGCCATTTTAGCCGTGACTGCCCTCAGGGAGGCGGAGGTGGTATGTGCCACAATTGCGGAGAGACTGGCCATCGAAAGCAGGATTGTACCAACGAAAAGGTACTTATCTGCCGCAATTGCGATGGTATTGGTCATATGAGCAAGGAATGCCCTCAACCAAAGGATTGGTCTCGTGTCAAGTGCTCGAATTGCAACGAGATGGGCCATACCAAAGGTAAGCCTGTCTACAAGCAACTAGTAAAATAGTATTAATATTGAATAGTCAAATGCACCCAACCTCCAAAGGATGAAGGTGGCAATACTGGTTTCGGGGGCGACGGCTTCGGAGGAGGGGACAGTGGTTTCTCCAACAATGCTGATGCCTTCGGCTCAGGTGATAGCGGCTTTGCTGCTGCTACTACTGGCGACGATTACAATGGGGGAAGTGGTGGAGGCGGTGCATGGTAAAGGAGTTACCTAAATTGGACTTCGTCTCTGTCAACTTTCTATTTGGATGACAGACAATGGGTCGGTGTTCATTAGTTGGGTTCTGCTCGTTGGCTCATCTTTTGATCATAGATGACGGGTTGCTTTACCTTATCTGCTTCTTATCTTGCGAGTTTGCTACCAAAATGGTGGATATGCACAGGACAACAAATGTTTGAGCTAGCTAGATACTTTGTCTCTCAGCAATTAGCATAAACGAAAGTCCTGCATACTAGCGACCAACCTTTTTTTCCTCCTACCGAAACTGTGAATTAGCAGCCTCTGGACCCCTGAACAGAGTCTGTCTCCTCATACCTTGGCATGCTAGGTATATGGCTGGATGTTGTTGTGGTTCTTGTGACACTGAACGTCAACTTGGAAACTTGTTGCCCGGATTCCCTCATCTGGCATGCCTCAGATGCCGAGTTACGTATTCTCATCTCCAGCATGCTTTCACGTAAGGCAAACTGCTCAAATCTAAATTTGCGGTACAGTGTTAAAACACTTAACAACATGCCATATTTTCATTTAGTTCATAACGGCACGAAAGCCGAGTATCCCTGTATGTTCACCCCCCTTTTATACTTAGCCGAAGATGGGGTTCCTCAAAACATGGCGTGCGGCATCCCCGTTCTGGAAACCCGAAGGGGAGAAGAGCTTGGCTGGGGCGAGTTTCCCCGCCTTTGACGTCCTGACGGGCAAGCAGCAACGAAAACCGGACGCCCTTCCGACGGGAGTTATTCATAGTCTAAATACGCCACCAAACTACTCCCAGATGCAAATCAAATGAATGTCAAGCTTGATGCTAAGATATTCTGACTTGGACTTTTGGTACGAATATTCCAGGTCGATCCTTCACTACGGATTACAAGCGGGTTGGTGTCTGGAGGCTTTCTTTCCTCGTTGCCATGCGAAAGCGCTATATAACCGGAACGAGTCAGTTCGAGATGTGTACCTGTGGAGACAGGCTAGGATTATTCTTCTGTGGGGAAGAGGATGGAGAAGCAATGGAGGGAAGTTTGTTTGGTGCATGGAGTAGGGGTCATGTCTGGCGGGAGGTATTCCGTCACACTTGACTAGGTGATCTGCTCTCGGAATATACCAATGTGTACAAGCGCTGCTTGTGGAAACGGTCTTCTCATTCGAATAAGAGATCCATGGCTTCCCAACTGGTTGTTGACAGATATTTCAGACTACTCTTATTCTTGACATTGTGTCAAATACTTCTCATTATCCTACTATCCTCCACTTTTGAACACCGGGTTTATATTTCGCTGTGGTTTTATTTTTTGCTTCGAGCAAAGAGTCGTCATGTTTGGGGGCGGGAGATACTTCGGCCTTCGTGGTCAGAAGTTGACTCTGGCTATCAATATCATTGCTGGTCTTGACTTCCTGTAAGTACTCCATTCGCTCTCAAAGCATTGTATTACTCTCAAGTCTTTCCATATTACCAACCAACTTTGGGACGATGAAATCACAAAGCTGTCAACATTGTCACGAAACCAGCTAACCATCATCCAGCCTCTTCGGTTACGATCAAGGTGTCATGGGAGGGCTTCTCACCCTCGGAAGTTGGGTCAAACAGTTCCCCGAAATCGATACAGTAAACAACTCAGGCAACACGCATATCTCTACCATCCAAGGTATTTCCGTTGCCAGTTACAATGTCGGCTGTTTCGTCGGTGCCGTCATCACCATTTTCATCGGAGACATCCTCGGCAGAAGGAAGATGATTTTCTTGGGCTCGTCGATCATGATTGTCGGTGCCGTTCTGCAAGCTTCTGCATTCACTCTGGCACATTTGATTGTCGGAAGAATCATTACTGGATTTGGGAATGGAATGAATACCTCGACGGTTCCTACCTGGGCATCTGAGACGTCGAAGTCGCATGTAAGAAGACCGAACATCATGCTGTGGAGATCTTTAGAGCATCTCGCTTACTTGGTATCTAGAAACGCGGGAAGATGGTCATGGTCGAAGGAGCTATGATTACGGGAGGGATAGCACTAAGTTACTGGATCGACTTTGGGTTCTCTTTCCTCGAGCCCAGCAGTGTGTCGTGGCGATTCCCTATTGCATTCCAGATCGTTTTCGCGGTCCTGTTACTCATTTTCATCATGGAACTTCCGGAGTCCCCTCGAGTAAGTTAGGCCGTAAAGAAATGATTGAGGAGTGTGCTGACTTGATTTCTTCAGTGGCTCATCCTCAAGGGAAACGAAGCCGAAGCTACATCTGTCATTTCGGCCTTAGCAGACCTTCCAGCCGACGACCAACTCGTTAAGGTCGAGTTCACCATGATCAAAGACACCGTCCTCGAAATGAAAGAACATGGATGGGCGGACCTCTTTACCATGGGACCGGAACGGCAATTCCACCGCGTTGTTCTAGGTTACGTGAACCAAGTGTTTCAACAGATCAGCGGAATAAACCTGATTACTTACTATGCCGCAACCATTTACGAAGAATACATTGGTCTCGGAGGAACAACAGCTCGCATCCTCGCCGCAGCGAACGGAACCGAGTACTTCCTCGCATCCTGGATCGCCGTCTACACCATCGAGCGGTTCGGCCGTCGGCAGCTCATGCTCTTTGGCGCAGCAGGTATGTCAGGATCCATGGCCTTGCTGGCTGGCATGAACTACATGTCTCAAGTCAACCGGGGTGGTTCGGCACCTGGTATTATCTCAGCCGTCATGCTCTTCGTCTTCAATACGTTCTTCGCTATCGGTTGGCTGGGTATGACTTGGCTGTATCCGGCTGAGATTGTGCCTCTGAAAATCAGAGCTCCTGCCAATGGGTTGAGCACGAGTGCGAATTGGGCATTTAATTTCATGGTTGTTATGATTACGCCGGTTTCGTTTACATCGATTGGGTATCAGACTTATATCATCTTTGCGGTCATGTAAGCTTCATTCCATTGCCTTCTTTTCCTTCATCCCAAGTTCAAAATCGCATGACAATGACTGACGTTCGATTTTCAAATAGCAACGCATTCATCTTTCCTGTAGTCTACTTCTTCTACCCCGAGACAGCGTATCGCTCTCTTGAAGAAATCGACACGATATTCCGCAAGACGACGAAGGGATGGAGGGGCTGGCTCGATGTCGTGAAGACTGCGAGGAATAAGCCGTTGATATATGGGAAGCATGGGGAGTTGTTGGTCGATTATGTTAATACGGAGGAGCATGCTGAGAGGGTGGGGAGCGTGGCGCATCAGGGTGGTGTAAAGGGTGGGGAGGTGAGAGGGTTGGAAAATGGTAATGGGAGTGGTAATGGGAGTCAGGAGTCGAGTGTGTTGGAGAAGGGAAGTGGTCAGGTATAGTGAGGAACGAAGTGGATGTGAAGAGATTGGTGATGATCCCAAGACGGGCGCGAAATGAGGATTATCTCCAGCACTTTCAAAATGATTTGGCCATGTCAGCTGGAGTCGCTTGTAAGGCTACATAGAAGGATTACGACAGTATGTCGACTAAACCTATATGAATTAGATACTTGTCGAGTTTGGATATGATACGCTGCAGTTTTGGCAGATGTGTTGTACCGAGAAAATCATTGTTGACAATCGATCTAAGGTTTACCGAACTCGAAAAGAAAGTTTGTGTACAACTGGTAGTTTGAAAGACGATATGTCATGCCATAAACGGCGACAGCAGTTTTCATGTACATCATTATTTACATAACTCATTCTATAGCTTTTCGAACCTTGGTTTCGTCTTCTTGATGCCCGACAACATCGCCTTTGAAACATCTTCCGTCTGAATCGCCGCACTATTCCAAACACCCGTGTACCTCAACGAGCTCGCAACTGTATGATCCCTCGCGTGATTCAACAGTTCCTTTGTACTCTGCACCGCCACGGGGCTCTTACTAGCCAATAGCTCTCCCATCTTCAACGCAGTCTCTACAGCCTTCTCCTTATTCTCAAGCACCTGGCTGACGAAACCGACTCGGTAGGCTTCTTCTGCGCCGAAGACTCGCGCCGTGAGGCATACATCCTTGACCCAAGAGTGATTGCCGACGATTTTGGGGAGCCGAGTCAGTGTACCTATGTCGGCGGCGAGGCCGATGTCGACTTCTTTTACGGCGAATTTTACATCTGATGTGCAGATTCGGATATCGGCGCAGGTGGACATATCGATTGCGAGGCCGAACGAGAAGCCGTGGAGGACGCAGATTACGGCTGTATTCTGAATTAGCTTTTGAGTTTACAGATGTGATAATCCATCCTTGTCATGAATGAATGGATATCAAATGAAGCAGGAAAAGGTAATTGGTAGGCAAAGTAAATAGAGATGAACATACGCTTCTCGCACTTTTCAATACTACTAACACAATCCTGGAACTCTTGCACATATCTTTTTATCCCTACTGCCACTCTCGCTGCATCGGGCTGTCCCTCCTGCTGTTTCAAGACTCCTTCTTGACTGGCAGCTTGTACGTCTAGTCCAGCTGTGAAAGCCTTCTCGCCTGCGCCGGAGAAGATGATGGCGCGAACGTCGGGGCTGAGTGATAGGGTGTCGAAGACTGTCTTCATTTCGAACCACATTTCTTCGTGGTAGGCGTTTAGTTTCGAGGGTCTGTTGATCTGGACGTGTGCTACATTGGGAAGTGGCGTGGAAACCAGGAAGTACTTGTAGCTGGGAGACGCCATTGTGAAATATGGTGGGGTTGGGGAGGGGTATTGAGATGCTGGTATGTGGAAATGATGCTCTTGAACGTATGAAGACTGGAGGATTTTGGGTTTATTGATGCTTCGATGTCCTATTCTAAAAATTCTTATGATGCAGAATGCAGAATTGTAAAACGGGTACAAAATGCAAGCTTCGATGTTGTTAGAATAATCCGGGGTAAGCAACCGAGCAGCCTTTCTGAGCCGAGGCATGTGAGCCTTGCGTATGTAAGCAGCACATGATCTCAGGTCACGAGGGAGGCTGGTTCCTATTTACTGGCCAAGCGGGCTTCCCCCCTGTTCTTTACCTCAGCTGTTTCATGTCTGTGGAAAGTACTAAGTGTGGTGGTTCAACGTTCGGGTGCGGAGGTAACAGCGGTGAAGTTAGGCGCCCTAGGGTGTATCGTTAGCTGTTGTGGCTGCTGCAAGACTCTCTCGGAGAAGCCGCCAAGCGAGGACATTCGGGGAGGTAAAGTTCGAAATATCTGTGAGGCGCACCCCTTCAACTTTCTCGAGTTGTGTCCAGCGGGATTGGTTGGTTTACGAAGGGTGAGACGTTTCTCTCTTTCGTGGATTGATCAAACTTCAAAGCGTCTGTGTGACTTGGACAACAGAACCCAGCTTGTACAACAGAAGGCCACGGTAAGGTTCCTCGCAAGCACTTCTTGTTCAGGACGGACTTCCACAACCTCAGTGAGACTTTTGATACACAACCGCTTTCGGTAACCAACCGAATGTAAATACTCGCCGGGGCAAAGGTTCTTCCGATTGTCTGATAATGATTGGTTTTCGTAGCCGGCGTCCACCTTTGTCCTCCCCAAAACCAACAACATCGTCAGCTCGTCAAGGGTCAGGAATGATATGTGGCCATCACTAATGGCTCAAAAGGGCTTTTTTGTATCGGCTATCGGATGAAATCGAAACGAGTGCGAAATTGGCAAACAAGGCGAGCGGTGGAAGCATATTATCAAAAGCCACCGTGAACCTCACCGCCGAATAAAGCAATCAAGGAGTGGATAAAAGTACTTTTTGTGTATCTGCTACCTCCGTAAACCATCGTGTCCGATAATGATCTGCACATCCGCCTGGGCAATTTGCCCACGGAGGTAGATCTGCGACCGGAAGAGTCACTCCCCTTCCCCCCTTCCTCCATGATGGTCGCGAGAGATACGGTACTTAGATAGCCTCGCATCTTCGAGGGCTTGCATGGAAATCGTGCTTGCGTCCTCCTATGAAGCAGACTGCCAGGATATCACCCACCATGAGCTTAGAGCGCCAATCATGACTAGGGCGTCGACATCGGCACAACGCCGCAGCCGACGGGGTGTGGTTCATGGAGGGGGTTGTTTCTCAGTTCGGGCGTAATAAGTGGTCCAAGACTGCAACGACAATTCGTTGGCTTTGCATGTGCGATGGTTTGACGTATTCCATTGCCAAGTCCCCGAGCCGCAGTCTGCAACAGTAGAAGAAGTGCAGATACGCGGCTTTCTGTGAGTCGAGTTGCCCTCTTCACTTCAAGAACCGCCGGCGGCTTTGCATTTGAAAGGTCGTGATCGATTCCGGTGTTATATGCGCCATTCCATGTAGTTTCAACGGCTGTTCCCCTCTAGATGTTTTAGAAGCATTGGGTCTCTTGGCTTTTGTCTTGGTCCACTCACTGACACGCTGCCCCTCCATAAAGCCAGCAAAAAAGCTTCTTTGGGCGTTTATGCTCAATTGTCCAGAAGGGCAATCGACGATTAAAAAGCCGTATCGAGTAACGTGCAGCTTGCTGCTCGTCCACTGCACTGCACTGCGGTCGACGGCGACGGCGTTCCCTATCCCTGTCTGCCATGCCCATGCCCTGCTCTACCCTGCCTTGCCCTGGTCTGCCATCAAACTTCTGAAAACCTTCCCCTCCGCTCCCCTCCGCGCCCCTCCCCTACCCTCCCCGGCCCTGCCTCAGTGCCTGTCCTGACTTTTGACTTTCTTAAGATGCATCTGCCTCTCTCCTCCTGCTGCAGACAGATGTCGGACAGTCAACTCATCACTGCATCATCGTGGCCCAGATGAGGACCAGTAACCGACCTACAGAATCGAACAACCATGCCGTGTGACAGCTTGCTCTCTCTGCGATTCTGGCGGCTGTTTTGAACTGGCTCTCGAGGCCCCATGCATGCAGATAAATAAGGATTCAGATCACAATTTATCTTCTGTAAGCCCGCATCGTCCCCAATTAAAGTCGCGTGGGCATCACAGATCTTCCCTGAACTTCCGTATTATCCTTGCGCCTGCAGCCGGCCGCAGATAGACGGCTCTTAAAATACATCTTGGACTGCCTCGTGAAATGCTTACTGATGTTTGCCCTCCAGTTCACCAGAGATGTTCCAAATCGATGCTCAAAGCCTGCCTTTTGTGCAGACCCGCTCGGCGCTGCTGGTCCTCGATCTTCAAAACGACTTCGTCGGCCCCGATGCGACTTTGCCCGTCGAAAAACCTCCAGGTTACCTCGATAAGGTAGTAGGACTTGTTCCTGATTTCCGAGCTACAGGCAATGTGATATGGATTCGAAGTTGCTTCCAGGCCTCGCGGCCAGTCAATGAACCCTATGGAGAGAGCGAGAGCGTTGTGACGGACATCGAGTTGAACTTGGCAAAGCGAGGAGATAATAATAATTTGGGGAAGTCTGGAGAACATGTTCCACAGCCAGAGGATGACTTGGAGAAGAAAGAAACCAATGGACATGCAGTAGAGAGTGGCGCATTACTGGCTCTGGAGGAGGAGGATGACCCAATTACGGAAACATATCTCACAGTCAAACCGGGCAAACTCCCGCAAGTTGTTTTAGCCATGTCCCCGAACACGAATCTTGTTCAGGTGGTTTTGAATGCTATGGATGCAACAAAAGATCTAATATTTCAAAAGACGTGGTACTCTGCCTTCAGAGATGGAAGTCTCGTGCAGATACTACGGGCCAAGTTTGTGACGGAGATATTCATATGTGGGGCTCTGACGAATATAAGTGTCTTTGCAACTGCTATGGATGCAGCACGACATGGCTATGCTATCACCATTGTTGAGGATTGTCTCGGGTACCGGAGCAAGGAGAGGCATGACGAGGCCCTTCGTCGACTGATTGAATTTACTGGCTGCGATGTTATATCAAGTGAGGTGCTGGCACAAGAACTGCAAGAGAAAGCGAAAAAGCAGCCACCCCCTAGGACTAATCAGCCACGGCCAGGACAGAAGGGAACCAATTCTACACTCGAGCAGTTGATGTCCAGTCTCAGTTTGAAAAAGGACAGATCGGCAGGGAAACAGAAAGCCTCGAATTCTACTGGAGCGTCTCCAATTGTGGCTGCGGAAAGTGCTGGAAGCTCTCAGCGGGCTGAGAGCAATGACTCAGAAGATCTTCAACTCCCTTCAAAGGCAGCTGAACCAGAGAAGAAGCGCGACAGAGTCAGACAGAAAATAAGAACTCGTCGACGTCCATCAAACCCGCCGAAGCCAGCAGAAAGAGAACCTGGAGCTGCAGCACCTTTGTCTGAAAGAGGTCACGTGTCAACCACAGCAACACTGGAGGCGGCGACAAAAGCTCTTGAGGACTTACCCAAAACGGCAAACGAGACAGAAGATACGCCCGCAAAGAAAGAAGATATAGAGTCACCAAGTCGTGAGATGAAGTCAGAAGACCCAGCAATGGCCAAGCTCACAGCATCAATGGGTGCCATCGCCGTACATCCTGACTACGTAGTTGAGGCTGATCAAGAGTCTTCTAGCGAGGATGGATCATCTCTTCTATGTGAAGGTGACACGACGATCATTAAGAATCTTTTAGATGATGAGCTTGCCGACGACATTTTCGAAAAGATTCGCGATGAGGTACAATGGCAGAAGATGTCCCACCAAGGGGGGGAAGTCCCACGCCTGGTAGCCGTTCAAGGCTCAGTTGCCGATGATGGCAGCATTCCGGTGTATCGCCATCCAGCAGATGAATCGCCACCTTTATTACCATTCTCATCAACCGTCTCACTCATCCAGAAACAAGTCGAGAAGCATCTTGGACACCAAGTCAACCACGTCTTGATCCAATTCTATCGAAATGGATCAGACTACATCTCGGAGCATAGTGACAAGACCTTGGATATTGTTCCAGAGACGTTCATTGCTAATGTCAGTCTCGGTGCCCAAAGAACGATGGTCTTCCGAACCAAGAGACAGAAGGGAAGTGAGCCTGCCACCGATGTTGTAGCGCCTAGAAAAGCAGCAAGAGCTGGGCTGCCTCACAACTCAATGTGCAAAATGGGCTTAGTCACAAACATGCGCTGGCTACATGGCATTCGGCAGGATAAGAGGTTGGCTAGTGAGAAGATGGCAGAGGAACTAGCTTATCAAGGTGGTCGTATCTCTTTGACTTTCAGGCTCATTGGAACATATCTCGATAAGGATCAGCAGAAGATCTGGGGCCAAGGCGCTGTCGCTAAGACCAAGGAGAAGGCCAAGGCTGTCATCAATGGGAACACCCCTGAAGCCGAAATGATGCTCAAAGCTTTTGGCAAAGAAAATCAATCAACGGAGTTTGACTGGAAGGCATCTTACGGGGATGGCTTCGATGTCCTGCATATCTCCAATGCCCGAAAGCTGTTTCTGTCTGGAGATGCGACCGCAGATCTCCGTGTTAAGCTATACCTTGCTGAGCTGAATATCGAATGGACCGAGGGCAAGCTCTCACCTCCATTTACATGGAAGGACGGAAGTTCGCATCATGGCGCACCAGATATCCCAGAAAGCCTGCCCGTCAAGTTCGTCGACAACGACCTCAGCAAAACTACTGTCACAGGTGACCTAGCAATCATGCTCTACCTTGACGCAGTCTACGGCTCAAAATGCAATAGCCCACCCAAATCCCAAGTCGATATCGGTCGCCAGTTTACCCGCCTCCAGCAATCCGTCGCCTTGCAAAAGAGATGGCGAGCCCAACCCTTCAATGTCAAGCCCTTTCAGCACGAGCTCAAGAGTTGGGAAGCCTACGCTCGTGAGGCGCCGTATATTGCAGGCTCTACTATCTCTGTGACAGATTTTGCGGTCTTTGCTATTTTTGAGGAGATACGCAATGAGTGGAAGAATGCGGAGGGTGTGCATAATGTTGTGGCGTGGTATTTTAGGATTAGGTACAGGGAAAGTGTGATGAAGGTGATGGGCCGACTGGACGAGCCCGCTAGACAAAGACAGGCGGCGTTGGCGTCGTATCCAGATGTTAAGAAGTGGGATGATGACAGTGAGTAGGTGTAGCTAAAAGTGAAGTCAGTACTGCCTTTTTGGAGATGCAGAAAGGACATGCCTCTAGATCATGAGACGCTCTGTGACGGGAAGCAGATGGAGACCTCCAATACGGTGGCCCTTGGTGTGGAACAGCAGGGCTGGATCATGATGCGCATGGAAGCGAAGTGTCGAAGATGTCTGCTCTCACTTCTGATCTGCTAGTGTTGAGATTATTCTGCAAAGGATAGTTATCACGCAGCTCATGTCTTGCATTTATAGATGGACAGTAAAAGCATTTTTAATGACAAAGCCAATAATTCTCACCATCTCGAAGTTGTGGCGTGACTCCAATACTTCTCGATAGGTAGCAAACACTAGCCAGCTGGATCACCATCAGTATGGTAACTCCTTCGTCAAAGCTCCACACATGCTCTCGATACCTCAAAACTCATAGCAGCATTCATCTTTCCTTCATCACCGCCACACAAACCCACCTCTCCCACCACCGGCACTAACATCCACAGCTCTCCAACCCCTCTGGTCAACAACCTCCGCCCTCCGTCCTCTTTCCCCCCAAAATACCTCCTCAACACTAACTCCCTCGCCAAATTTCCCTACGCTCTCCCTTTCAACCCTCAGCCATCCCCTCCATCCTAAATTGATATCTCCGCCAACGCCACCATTCACAATAACACCAAGCCATTCCCGGCCGTGACTGCGGTGCGAGCCGTAGAGCATGTACGATTCTATGCTGGCGAGTGTGGCGGCGAGGTTCGATTTAGTGGGACGGAAGACGTGGATGTGTTGGAGATCAGCTTTTTGAAGGAATTTTTCTTCGGGGTGTTGATTTCCTGGTTGTGGTTTTGAGGATGAGGAGGTTGATGATTGGTTCAGGAGGTGTGATGGCGAGAAGCGTCCTGTGAGGTCTACCAGTGCGATGGTTCCATTGAGGTGAGATGGGGAAACCAGGTGGATCAGGATGTGGTGGAGGAGAGGGAGGGTACGGCCTGTGATGGAGAGTTTGCCGCCGTGGGTTTGCCAGATAGAGTCGAGGTCTGGTATCCCAGTCCGGGACAGGTTGGGGATGAGGGCTGCGCGGAGGTTTTTGAGGAGCTGAGACTGGTGTAAGCAAGATATCGAGATGGGTAGATAGGAGAATATAAGCAAGTGAGGGAAGTAGGTAGGTGATTGGAAGTAGATAGGTACCTGAGATAGGTACCTACCTACCTACCTATAGGTAAGGTAGAATGGGATATGCATGTGACTTTCATGTGACCTTTCAGGAAACGGAGGTTGATCAGAGGGTGAGAGAATTTGAAAACAAATTGGTAGACTTACATCTTCCAAACTCCCTTCTTCAGCAGCTATCTCTCTCAATAGTCTCGCGCCGTGGACCTCAGTGGATGATATCATCGTTGCCATCTTCTCCCCATCGCCGGTCACTTCGCTTTCCCTCCTCAACTTTTCAACCCGTCTCAATTCAAACACAAATTCGATGCTCCCAAGACCACACCTCCTCAATCACAATCCACCACAATCATGGCACCCTTCGTCGAAGTCTTCCCGGCTTCAGAACTCCCCCTTCGCTCACAGATCAATGCGCGAGGCAAAGCACGTAAAGATTTCCACGGTGACTTGAAAGGCTGTGAGTTGCTGGAAATGTTGCAGTATGAATGCGAGGTGGAGAAACCCGTTACGAGGGAGAGTGTTACGAGGTGTTGGCCTGTGGAGAGGTTGTTTAGACGGTGAGTTTGCACGTGGAAGCTTGAGGTGCTGTTTTGGTGGTGAGCAGCAGGTGGGAAGGGAGGCTGAAATGTGATGACATGGAATGAGGCTGACTGGCGATGAACTAGGTGTGCGGATCGGCGGGGAACTTTTATGGTTGAGACCACTGCTTGGGAGGGCAAAAAGAAAGGGACGCGTGTATGAATTGTTATGTTGCTCAGAATCTAGGTCTTTCTGGGGAGTTTCGGAGTCGGGCAGCCTCGTGGTCAAGTTTGCTGTTTTGGTAATTTTACTTATCACATGGCAATGGAGTTGCAAATGTTTGATGTTACAATGGGCCCTCGCCCATTTCAAGTCACTTTCTACGACTTGAGTAGAAACATACAAAATATTACAACAGTCTCCGCTGGCCCAATCCAGCTCTGGCGCATTTGGCTCCGATGCAAATGCAATACCCCCTTGGAATCGATGGTCCCGAACGCCGTGCTTTCATGCATCCAAAGCCCAACTCCAAAGCAAAAGTTCATATGTCATAGCCCCTCCAGTACCACTGGAGTATGCTTCTTCTTCACGACAGCCCCTTTCCTGTAGAAACTCCGGTCTGCATTGACGATCAGACCTCGGTCATTGTCGTCCACGCTTTCTCTGGCTGATGCTTGCACCTCGCTCGTTACCAGCTTCCCCATTGTCCTTTCCCACATCTCATGTCTCTCTTTGCTCTTTGGGTCTTTGCTCGCTGCCTTCTTCACGTCTTTCTCTTTCCCTGCCTTGGCCACCTTCGTCAACCGCCGCAGCGCTTCCTCGCTCTGCCTAGCAACCTTGGCAGCCTCCTCTCTGACCCTCCTTGGATCTGTCTGGCGCCCGTTTTCCTTATCCGTCCACTTATACGTGTGTTTACTGGGAAATGAGGGGAACCGAGTTGGGATATATGGTTTCAACTTCTTGTCTGATTCACCACTTAGGGCATCTCCCAACAGATTCTCCAAGGCAGGCGGAATTAGTTCTGTAGGAGGCGCAGGCTCGAGCTGTATCAGCAACTTGTCTTTAGGTATGGGTGGCTTGAGATGAGGTTCTATTGATGCCATTGGGATGTCGAACTCGGAGAGGGCGTATTTAAAGTCTAGAGGGGTTGGAAGGGACCGTCGAGCATTGAGCATCGAGGACGTAACCTTGGAAAGGAAATGCTCCGCATCTAAAGAGAGTCAGTATATAGACACTGCTAGCAGTTCGATACACTAACAGACATCGACTTCAGAACAAAAGGCTTCCAGTGCTTCTGGAGAAGCGCCTGTAAAACCAACATGCTCCAAGGCCAAGGCAACTGAGCGCGATAACAGCTGGTGTGGATCGTCATCGAACATTGTGATGCTCTGTGCTTTTGCGTCGAAGTGTTCTTCTGGCGGAGGTTTTCCAGGCATGCTAATCTCTACCCGTCTCCTCTTCGAGGTTGGTTCTTCTGAGACACTATCATCGCTCTGAGAGGGGGAGGATCGCTTCTTTGAGATGGAGATGGGGGAGATGGGCGCCATCGTCGAAAATAGTAGAATTGGTGTGGTTGACGCAAAGACCTCAGAGGAAGAACTCGATGCTTTCCATACTCCACAGCCCCAGGTTGTAAGTCCTAGCGTTGAAATTCACTTCCAGATTTCCTCCTTGTCGCAATTCATGGTTCGCGCCTTCAGGTCTCGAGCTGGAGTGAATCGACTGCTCCTGCAGAGTGGTCAGTGCACAGTCACGTGGATATTAGTGCCGAACCAAATCATGCGATCTCCAACCTCAGTCGAGAGCTCCTTTGAAAGACATACGAGCAAGAAACACAATTGAGAGCTTTCCCCCAAGAGTTCACCAATCCTACGAAATGGCAATCAGACCAATTACCGGAGTAAGTAATGTGCACGCTCGGAAAGCTGCTGGATCAATCTGCAGCTCCTGGAGGCTCCGAGATCATCGACTGACTTCTAATTCAGATGCTCCGAAGGGGCCTCGTCCTTGATCTCAGCGTCGCTTTCGGTGAGTAATATACGATTGATGGACTGGAATTATGGACGTGTGTTGGTTTGGATTTCGGGGGTCTTGGGGCATTAGGGCTGTTTAATTGGCAATACGGAAGAACACGGACTGATCATTGAAATAGGTCTCGGAACATCGTTCGGATACGCCTTCTGGTATGAGTCGCAAGCTCTAAAATCTTCTTGAATATATAGCAGCTAACAAGGCATTTAGGTACGGATATCACGTCCCAGCGGTCGCCAAGCGAGACGCATACTACTCGAAATTGGAGGACCAGAGAGCAGCCAATGCCGCGGCATAGATTGGATTGAAGTGATAGATGGGTCAATGGGCAAGATTGTGAGAGGAAGCATGAATAGGATTGAGATTCATGGAGGGGATGATTGCGGGGTATAGAGGGATATCAAGCTGTAAATTACCAACATCGACGGACCTCTGGCAATGCATCCCGTTTCTGAGCCCGGCTATTTCCGAATAATTATTTGGAATTGCTGCCGTCGTGCAGAGTCTAATTCTGATGAGGTGAAGGGCTGCTGCGAACTTCTATGTTCTTAAGCTAGGGCAAGTTAGGTGACAGTGGATGAGAAATTGTTTTACTTCCACGGAAAGTCTTCGAGAAATCAGTGAGGGAACAAATCATATTGGCAAGGTATGTTGACTCAAATTCTTCCTTCCTTTAGGGACTCTACGAGCACTTGTTACGGCCTAGGCCTAGCAGGTAGCTGGATATGGTTTTTCTATGTCTTTGCGCAGGTATCGATTTTCATGAGCTGTATTGCTTCACATCTGATATCCTCGACAAGGTCCTCTTCAACTTTGGACCCAATGGAGGGCGAAAGACCTGCTCCGTGGTATTAAGGATAAACTAGTCATAACAGCATCTCATTGTATAGCTTGAAATCTGAATATTCTGTGGCGTTAGATTACCTCGGGGTCAGAACTGGCCCATCAGAGTAGCATACTTTCCGTTTCTCATGTTTAGCTTATGGCCGGAGAGCTCATCCAGATGCTCCAAACCATACGCGTTACTTGTGCCTGTGTCTCCAAAACAGCTCAGACCATCGGGGTGTAATTTCGAGTCAAAGCAGGACCAATTCTACAGATTGTGGCCGGACAAAGACGTCTTTTCCGAATTGATCTACCAGAATGCATCGGCTCATCTTGTCTGCGTACATATGTAAAGTTCTGTACATTCCCTTCTTGCAATTGAAAGTTCTCCATGCGGCATAAGACTGACTTGTATTCTCGATTCCTTTGGTCTCCGTATACCGACTAAAGCGAGCACCCCAGGGACACTCCTTTCATACACTCCAGTTATCTTTTACGATTGAGGAACTTTCATATCACCATTTCACTAAAGAATTAAGCAGTGCAGTTTCATAAACAGTCAGCTATTTGGGGGTCGAATCAGTTGCCGCTTTAACTTTCCGCCGCAGTCCACACTAGCGCCATTTGCCCCGTTCGCTTAATCCCACAGCCCGTAATTCTCAAGATACTCTTCTTCAACCTCCTCGTCGCAACTTCGATTGAGCAACGACCACAGAATCCCTCAAGATGACCGAGCAACTCATTCTCAAGGGCACCCTTGAGGGCCACACCGGATGGGTTACGTCCCTCGCAACCTCGCTCGAGAATCCAAACCTGTCAGTGAACCCCCGCGAAATCCCCAGCTTCAAATTTCCACCATTTCTTAAATTCCAATCACCATAATCAACAGCTTTAATTCTAACAAAACACAGCTTGCTCTCCGGATCTCGCGACAAGACCCTCATTCAATGGAACCTTACCCGTGACGAGAGCTCCTACGGATACCCAAAGCGATCTCTTCACGGTCACAGCCACATTGTGTCGGATGTTGTAAGTGGTGGGACAGAATGGACGGCAGACGCTTTTACTGAGACTATTTCTTCAGGTCATCTCCTCTGACGGCGCCTACGCTCTCTCTGCCTCTTGGGATAAGACTCTCCGCCTGTGGGAGCTTTCCACCGGTACCACCACCCGCCGATTTGTCGGACACACCAACGATGTTCTCTCTGTCTCTTTCTCCGCCGACAACAGACAAATCGTTTCTGGATCCCGCGACCGCACAATCAAGCTCTGGAACACTCTCGGTGACTGCAAGTTCACTATCACCGAGAAGGGACACGCCGATTGGGTTTCTTGCGTTCGATTCAGCCCTAACCCCCAAAACCCAGTTATTGTCAGCAGTGGATGGGACAAGCTCGTTAAGGTAAGGAATATTCCCTTCAGCGATCCAAATAAGGATGTGCGAGATTCATATGATGCTACGCAACTTAAAAAGTATTTGCTACTTCAGAGCCTGGGAGACCAGGCCATGAGACAAACCTCACCATATGCTCTGATAAAAGAATCTAGCGCATCCTTATTCGAAGCGCACATATCTGTCATAAAGATCTAGCTAACCTCGTATGATCAGGTTTGGGAGCTCTCTTCCTGCAGACTACAAACCGACCATATCGGACACACCGGTTACATCAACACCGTTACCATCTCTCCTGACGGATCTCTTTGCGCTTCAGGTGGCAAGGACGGAACTACCATGCTCTGGGACTTGAACGAGTCGAAGCACCTTTACTCCTTGAACGCCGGTGATGAGATCCACGCCCTTGTTTTCTCCCCCAACAGATACTGGCTCTGCGCCGCCACCTCCAGCAGCATCATCATCTTCGACTTGGAGAAGAAGAGCAAGGTTGATGAGTTGAAGCCAGAGTTCCAGGCCGTTGGCAAGAAGAGCAGAGAACCAGAGTGTGTCAGCTTGGCATGGAGCGGAGATGGACAGACTTTGTTCGCCGGTTACACCGACAACATCATTCGCGCTTGGGGTGTTATGTCGAGAGCGTAGGGAGTTTGATTGATTGCATGGTACGGGGGTCACGGTTGGGAGACATCGTGGGCTTTTGCGAATATTTGCCATTTGGCAGGTTGTACTCCAGAACTTGGCATCATGAACATGAGCTCAGTCAAAAATAGAAATCAAAAAAATGATCGTACTTGATGTTAGCATTGTGAAAGGACGAATCAATGGCTCACCGTGTCGTGGAGACGTTCTCAGCTCCTATAGTCGTCTCGGCAAGGTCAGCATCAATATCCTTCCGTTATCTTGTTCCCTTGGCTGAAAAGTCTGGATTCGTGGAGAGGGCTTGGCTCAAGTCTGGGCACGTGGGGATGACGTTTAAAGAGTCTTCGGAGTTAACGTGGAGAGATTCTTCTGGCTTGAACTTTGTTCTTAGCACGAACAACCAACGCAACTACCGCAGGACTAAACCTCCGGATCAACACTATTTCGAGCTACCACTCACTTGTGGCCTGATGATAGGCCAAGCCAATATGCAATCTGCGTTCAAGACTTTCAGCCTTGGACAGACTGGGCCTACGTAGCCGAGCCAAGTACTGGGCTCAACAACATGGGATAAATATATGATCATGTTGTCGCCGCGCCTGTTGCTGGCAGCTCAGACATCTTTACGCTTATCTCATCTCACCCAGAAATGGCTGAAGACAATTTTCTGTCAGAAAAGGAAATAACTGCATTCATCAACGACCTCGACAAGAACAACAATGGCCACATTGAATACGACGAGGTAGAATTCAAACTCGATCAAGTTCACAAAGAACTTGCGCCCGAAGCCAAACCCCATAATCTTCACTACAAGGAAAAAGATGAGGCGCAAATGCACCGCCGACACGCGTTCCTCAGGAGTGTGATTGGAACGGACAAGAATCAAATTGGTCGCGATGATTTCGCGAATATTGTCAGAGGATGGAAGGTCCCTTCCATGGAACCCGACAAGAAAGCCGAAGATGAGCACAAAGAATTCATGAAGGAAATGGGTATTGGGAGGAAAATCCGGGCTTGGTGGTCTGTTCGAGGGCCTGAGGTGTTGTTTGTTGGAATGGTAGTAGGCATGCAAATCGCATTCGGAACATGGCAATGCGTGAAGTACGTTACACAAATGCAGTACAGACATGTGAGTCTCTCAGAATAAACTTCGTCTAAGTATATCTGACGATTGTATTCAGGCATTCGGATGGGGTGTAGTAATGGCGAAGACTTCGGCCGGAATTCTGTGTAAGTCGCGTCCGCTCATGATTCCATTCCATCAACTGACAAAGTAGATCCTACTTTATTCTTCCTTATCCTTTCTATGTCCAGATACATCTCCACGTTCGCTAGGAAATCATACTACTTGTCACGGTTTATCAATTGGGATCTATCACAGAGCTTCCATATAATACTAAGCATTGTGGCCATTGGTTTTGCCTCATTACATGCCATTGGACATTTAACTGGGTATGGCTCATAGCGCACAACTTGGAATTTTTGTCTGACCAAAATTATAGGTCCTTCCTGTATGGCAGTAGACCAGCCCAGCAAGATAACGTAGCAGCTGTACTTGGCCCGGATGCTGTTCCTAAACCATACCGAGGCTTTGTTGCTACCATTCCTGGTTGGACTGGCATTACTGCTCTCGGCCTCTTCTATGTCTTGGCTCTGCTAAGTATGCCTATGGTCAGGAAGAAGAGCTATGAGATTTTCCAGCTTGGCCAGTGAGTATTCTCTATTATCCCTGTTTCCATTTGAGATCGATGTGCTGGGGTGTTTTGTGGCGCTCTCCAGCTCAGGAAATATCCTGAGCTAGTTCTTGAACTTTCATTATTCGTTGAAGAGACAACACTAACTCTCAAACTCCCCAGTCTTCTCATGTTCCCAATCATCGGTCTCCTCTGCGCTCATGGAACAAAGGCGTTTCTCCAATTTCCGATGCTGGGTTATTGGCTGGCTCTGCCAACTCTCCTGGTGTTGATCGAGCGAGGGACTCGAATCGTGAACGGATTCCTTCATATGCCAGCAAAGATTGAGATTCTGGATGCCGACACTGTTGCGATAACAGTCACAGTACCGAACTATCGATGGTGGCCATATAAAGCTGGTCAATACGTCTTCCTTCAAGTCCCTAAGATATCAATATTTCAGTGGCATCCCTTCACAGTATCTACGTGTATCGGCAATGAGATGCAACTTCACATCAAGACGGATGGGGATTGGACTTCGAAGCTCCGAGATTTTGCAAAGGATGGACCATCACAGATACAAATTGGTGTGGATGGCCCCTTTGGAGCACCTGCCCAACGATTCTACGACTTCGATCAAGCAATCGTTCTTGGAAGCGGAATTGGTGTCACTCCCTTCAGTGGGATCCTGGCAGACATGCAAGCCAGAGATGAACATTTACATACCCATGGCCACTCTGACGCGAATTCGGAAGAAAACGAGAAGGGACCAGTCGGATATCGGAAGGGTCGATTCAGGAGAGTAGACTTCCACTGGATTGTTAAGGACAGAAATTACCTTCTAGTAAGTATCAATCCCGCTACTTGATTCTTAACAATAGATCAAGATAAATACTAACAGGTCATCAGTGGTTCTCCGACCTCTTAAACCAAGTATCAAGATCAGCGAGCCTGCACGAACACGACCCACATCCCCACCTCGACGTCAACATCTTCACCCACGTCACGCAAAAGCGTAAGAATCTCTCAACTCACATATTTCGTTTTCTACTCGAATGTCATCGGACAGAAGAACATCCCGCATCGCCTCTCACTGGTCTGCTGAACAAGACGCACTTTGGACGGCCTGACCTGGCGAAAATCATGGATGAGCATTATGAGAGCATGCTTGAGTGGTACAAGGAGATGAGCAAAAAGGGCATCCATATCAAGAAGAGGAAGGTGGGTGTCTTTTTCTGTGGTGCGCCACCGATTGGATATGAGCTTGCGGATCGATGCCAGATTTTGACGAGGAGGGCCAGGGAGGACAAGAGTTACATTGAGTATCACTTTATGATGGAAGTGTTTGGATAGTCTGTTCTATTTTCTAGTAGCGTACGGTGCAACACAGCAATTAAAAGAAATATCACCTTTGAATCTTCATCTCGGAGGCCTGCTGCCCATCGATTTGTGTGACTGTTGACGTGCACGGGCGCTTTCGCTTATGGAGCCGAACCCCTTAATCTGCCCACTGTAGCACAACAACAGCTTCTCAAATCAAAGAAGGTCTGAGCCAACTTGTCACCCAGTTTCCCGACGACCTGACCTTCAAATTACACATTGGTTCGCTTCGCTGAGCACATTTTTTCGTTCTACGCTTGGCTCCCCCACTGTCCAATGTCCAGAATGCCATCATCTCATCAACAGCGTCGTTCATCGGGAAAATCACTGTTTGTCACGAGCGATTACAAGCCTTCCAAGAACTCCTTCCTCTGCTCATGATAAGTAATGAGTTTTCCGGCGTAAAATAGTACTGCCAGGATCATCGGGTCATGGGACCAGGAGGCATTGTTGGCGAAACAGATACCGCAAATCTGCACAGCATGCCATGTTGGACTTTCCAGAGACGAAATTGGCTGGGTAATGGGAGGCTTGCTCTGCAATAACATTATTGAGATGCCGTGGTACACTACGGCGCCAAACATATCCGAGCGGCATGTGTAAAGAATGAGTAGGAAGGAGAGCGGAGGAGTGCTGAATCCTAACAAACTAATCACGCACACTTTCCAGCTTGAGAAAGCTGTGGATGCGCTGCATCTCTGCTCCTATGTAGCACTCGGAAGCATAAAAATACAAGTGGTGGGTAATCAGGACATCGAGTTGTGAACTAATGAAGGGTATTATGCTTACTGAAGGAACGAGCCGGTTTTGACCTTTTACATGACACATTACCTGGACTAAGGTAGTATAGTTGTGTTATGTCAGGCATAGATAGCAACAAATAGCACTCAGAATCTATAGTATCATGAACAACAGAACTTTAAATAGATGTTGTTATTGATTGCTGGCGGCGCTAACCAGGAACGGTTCCATTTTTTTCAGGTACTTGATCCGCTACTTCTATCAACACTCTCCTGTACGCTCGCATCGGAAATATTGCATCATCCACTACCTCTAGGATCAGATGATATGTTTGTGCTCCCCATCTGTGCACTTTCTCTGGGTTCAATGGGAATGCAATTCCTTCGTCCCTGCCCGGAATTTGAACAGAGATCTTTTCAAACTTCCTCTTCCCACTAGATTCATCTTGGAGTTGAAGCTCTGGTACCTGAAAGCCGACTGTCCACTGCGTGGCGGATGGTTCCCTATAATGTAGCCACTTAAAGCTCAGGGAATCAGAAGAATCTGGATCCCAACTCTGCGAAGCATCGAGGTAGACTTTTTGGCCAAACCCAGCCTTGATGTGCAAAGCATCGAGTCCTGAGTCTCCGTTAAGAACCACGACGGGAGCGTGATTTGCGTTCTTGAATTCATTGCTGAGTGTCCATTGCATACGTGCTGCAAAGTCACCTTGGTATGCATGCCTCCAACGCCAAATTGTCGCCTGACTTCCGATGTGCATGTTTCCATCCTGACCACGAACCAAATCAGCAACATCACCGTAGTGTCTATTTCCACTCATACCAGTGAGATCAGAGAGGTTATACCGACCTCCCCACCCACCCCATTCAGGCTGACAGGGATCTGTAAGTCCATTTTGGATGAGACTTAGAAAGGTCGGAGTATCGCCTTCGGGAATAAAGACTGGATTTGGGTATGCTTCTTTGCCATAAGGGCCAATCTGTATGTACTTCTTCAGCCATTCTGATGTAACGAGACTGGTATCCGGTCCTCCTGGGTTGAAATGATAATATGTTTCTCCAGAAATACCCGTCCATGCAGCGAGACCATAGGCATTCCAACCATGAACAGAGGCGATGTAGAATATCCCGGGGAAATTTAACCTGATCCAAGGGCCAGCGTCGTCTTGGTCTGAAATGGCATACACTCGAAGCTTGGCTGTAAATTCTGCAACTTCAGCTTCTGATCTCGATTTTTGTACTTCGAGAAGAGCTTGGGCAAGAACATTGGCACCACCCCAGATCAGAATCCAAATGTGACCCTCTATCTCAGTTATTGCGTCCACAGCTGAGATGAGGAGCTCCGTGCCTTCGTTCAGTGGCCCACGTGCTCCGGTCATTCCGTATTCTGAGATCCCCTCACGAACCAACTGGCGCAGCGTATCAGTTGCCGGGTACTGACGAGTAGGAGGAACATGAACATTCAGGTGTGCCTCAACGGATGCATAAGCATTGAGGATCTGATGGATCTGCTCTTTGTGTGTTGAGTTCTGTTGCCAAAAAGAGGTTGTAGCAACGAGTCCATCGACGTGGAACTCATTGGCATAAAGCAAAAACCGCGTGAGAGACTCTGCATCGTCGGGCTCGTTGCAAATATCTGTCAGTACGATAATATGTGGCTTGCTTTTGAATGCTGGAATATCTTGGAAGGAAAATGGCATGATGTGTCCAGGTTCGGAGAGCTGCGAAAATACAAACAACTCAAAATCTCTTCACAGATCAAAAGTTGGAGAGATCGGTTAAATGTGGAGGATATTGAATCTGCCTGTCGGCCCGCGACTGATTAATGAATATTTGTATCATTCTTCCCGCTCTTCTGATGAAGAAGAATGGAGACTGTGCGCGCCAAAGCGAGGCAGGGACGGCTCAGGTGGGGGATCTTCGGTGAATTACCCCGCGCTTTGGGGAAGACTGAAAAGCATCCACATGCTTCGACTCTGACCCAGCCAGGTTTGCCGTGATCAAGCCGTTAAGCAGCTTTAGGCTCGATGGCTGATTGCGCCAGAAAAGTCCCCTAATCATGTGCCTGCCTAACATTGTCAACTTCTACCTAGTGATGGACATCGAAAAAGAGTAAAGTCACGGGTGATACACGTGATCTTATCACAGCACAGGTACCTGCCTAGGTATTCCTGCTTTCAGGGCATGGAAAGGTTACAAAGAATCGGGGATCCCATGGACCCTGAAAATTTCAAGCAAACAGCAAAGATGTTGGTCGACGGAAGGCCAGAAATACCACCACGGGCGCTTAATCCAACGAGGGAGGGGTAGACGTCGAAGTGCATTGGCTGGAATGCATCATGGAGTTCTGACCCGGACAAATAGTCGGGATTATGCCAAGAACTTCCCTTCGCTGTACTGATGAGGTTGTGATTCTTGTTGTGAATGATCTTTGCGGATGAGCGAAGAATTAGAGTCTGTCGGCACCAATTTATTCCTTTCTCTGGCTCCACGATGCTCAAGGCATGGTAGAGTCTCGCAATTTTGGAGTAAGCCAAAATCACAAAAGACAGTGACTGGGCCTTTTCCCTCGCTTCAGGTCAGACATATTAGGACGTTGATTGTCTTCAATCCCAGTCCTTCGCACTTTCAGCGGCGAATTCAAGAATCAGAATCCAGGAACTAAGATTTCATCTTTCTGTCTGTCTGTCTCCTCAACACGCAAGCATCCTTGTCTACAGGGAAACACATTTAGAGCTCTTGATTTACAAATTCTGGAGTGAAGGTGGCAGATCTGTGTGTACCTTGTCAAAAATAGCCGCCCTTACCGAGTATCCTGACAGCTTTACGGTCTTTCAGTGGTATCGCTAGACTTCAAGTAATCCTTGATCCTTCCTGGAAATATCCTTGCACCATTCCTGGTTCATTCTGGACCCACCCCTGAAATTTGTTCCTGTCCATCTCTGTACGCTGCGTACGGATTCCCAAAAGATGATCAATGCTGCTGGGGTCCGGCAACCCTTCTTTGCCCTGCTTTAACGCCCAGACATCCTTGAATTCGATCCTTGTCCTCTCTAAACATCCTTGGGTTCAATCCTTGTCTTTTCTTCCCATCCTTACAAGGCTTGAATGCGGCTAAAATGCTTGGTATGCCAAAGATGCAGTAGATTCTGCCCAGACGGAAGTTTGTTAAAGTGGTACTGCACCTTCGAAAAGAGCGAGAATGCAGCTAGTCCCTGGACATGCAAAGAGCGCAGTAGTGTCAAGTCTTCTCAGACAGGCTCAGACACTGAGAGCTTCGTCTGCTTGTACCATGCTCTGCAAGGATAGTATTGTGGTGTGGGAGTCAACAAGCCACCAACAAAACCCGCTGATTCTCGCTTCTGATTCGCTCAATTGGCGAACCGTCTAGCCTTGGCGGGGTGTTCGCGCAACGATTTTCCAGATCTCAATTCTAGGATCTCAGTTCTGGGATTCTGTCTTCACGATCCCAGACTCTTGGCTACGAGATCTTGAAGTTTGCTTTCTCGAAGTGTAGAAATGATGGCGGACATAAGGTGTATGTGGGTTTCGAGTGCATTTTATCGACATCCAGAACAGGACCTTCTCGAGTATATAAACGGCAAGATGTTTCGAGGAGAGTCAAAAATTTCTCATTCAATACGTACACCAAGTCATCTCTGAGCCTCAGACAACCTCGAATCACCATCTGAAAACGTGCGTGACCACTACCTCAATATGAGCACTGTAGGTCTTTCCCGAATTACCAGTCCCTGGCATCAGCTCTACTCGTTGGCCTCTATCGTAGAGGCTTGGGTTTCTAGAATCAAACTCATGGACTCAGATCTCCTCCCAGTCATCCTTTGTTTAATGCCAGTGGAGATGCTGACAAGTGCTCACTAGGATCCTAGCTCTGCCATTACCACTCCAAACGACAGATACATTGATGATCATGACAACCAAGTCTTCTTATCATCTGTCCCAACATTGGAATCGACCAACTCGGCCGGATATCAGATGACAAATACACCGAAAGATGATTCTCAACCATACCCAAGTCTCCCCAATCACGACGAACAGGTTTTGGATGCCGTTCTGGCGGGTGAGGAAATCAGCTTGGACGATAGCCAGCCTCCAACAGATAGGCAGTACTTGGAAACGATGATGGATGAACACAATGTCGTCTTGGGCGATTTCCAGTGGATCATCGACGAAGTCCATGGACCATACTTTGTGGACTACGCTCTTTTGGTTGACATAATCGACGCACTGAAGATGATCAACTTCGAAAGATGCACCCCGGAAGACGCCATCCTACTGTACGCACATGGAATTGAGGCGATTGTGAATCAAATCAAAATACCGGGCAAGTACTCAATTGTGACTGTCAATGGAGAAGGTGGGATCATGGTTAATTGGCATCAACTGCCAGCGTTGGAATAGTAATTGAGACTAGTATCACATAGCTTGTAGAGCTTTGAGTGGCAGTGTCTAATTGTTCATGGAGGAGAATTCAAATACTGGGAAAGTTGATTTGGGTGGAATCGGCGGATAATGTAAAAATTCATCTGGAACTCGACTCATTCCTCTTGGATCAAAGTCATTATGAATATCAGATTTGTGACCATGCTTCCTCGCTGAAATGACATCGACGGGTGACTTAAGGCACAATGTAAGCGTGATCATTCCAAAACCTCATTTCAAGGAGAAGAAGGGGCAGAAGGGGTTGCTTCAAGGTCTTCTTCTGTCCAGCACTCCTTCCTGTTTATTTTTACGACTGTAGAGGCTTTTCTGTCGAGATCGAAATTATGAGTTGTTTCTGAGTGCTGGTGTAGTCAATGCTGATGCTTGCGCTTCTCTGCTTTGCAGAGCTCGGAGAGTTACGTAAAGTTGGAGAGGTTAATGCCAACTCACAAGAACTCCTTGAGATTCAAGAGTGGCTCGTATTCTTCCTTCCTTCCAAGTATCTCCACTGGGAACAAGAGCTCAACATTCAACGTGCCAGGTTATTCCTGTACGAGACCTTCGCCCCCTTTCCCGGAAGTATACTCCTTGAAGTTATCATGCCAAGTTCAGACATATCAGTATTCAAACCCAACTTCAACACTTATTTGCTACTCGTCATTCCAAAAAATATCCTCGTGTGCGAGCGGCACGTTTCTAATTTTAAGCAATATTCTACAGCCAATATAAAGCAAGCAAGGCGGGAATGGCGTGTACAGGCTTTCTAAGGTACCATTTTGGTGGGGTGCACGTGCTAGCCCACCACTTGCGGGGGGCTTGGTCATGAACCTTATGAATCAATCGTAGGACCCGAGAAGTTGCGATGAACAAATATAATTTCTCTTGCTACTTATGTATGCGTTCTAATCGTTTGGCCAAGTAACCCGAGGCCGAAGCGGATCTGAACCTCTGCAGGACTGGAAGGGTATTTTCTAGCTGAGATTGCATAGTAGAGAAGAGTAGTCAGTATCTGAGCACATTCCATTGAGAGTTGTGGATAAGACGAATACATTCAGCGGGGTTTTAGCTGTGATACCTAAGAAAGATGAGAGCTGTTGTTCCAATGCTACGAAAGTATTATCTTTCCAGATATTACAGCAGTTTCAATAACTAGTTAGAAACCACGGGCTTCGCCCCGCCCTCATCAAAATCGATTTCCCCCCCCCTCTCTGAAAACCTACCTACCTGTATCTCTACGAAAAGCGATTATAAAACACTATAACTTCATAGAAATAAACTAGAACACTAATAAACTAACTTACAAGTTTCCTAGTTTTAATTAAATATCTAGTTGTAAAGTTATTAATTGATTAAGCTGCACAGGATTTACAGCTTAAAATTCAAGAGGTAGCCTAAGGTAGTTTGTGCGTAAGGCAAGCTGAAGGAACAAATATTTGAAGTTCTAAAGAAATCAGATTAATTCTATTAATATAACGCTACAGATAAAAACAAATTATTAAATTGAATTAAAATATATTAATCTTAAATTCCCTAAGATATCTAAGTGTTATATTAAAAGGTAGTTGTGATACAGGTAGGTAGGACTTAGAGAGGGGGGTGGAAAAAGATTTGGATGAGGGTGGAATTTCAGCCCCGCGGTTTCTCACTAGTTATTGAAACAGCTGTAAGCGAGGCTTGGCACTTGAGACGACATGCTTCATCAGCAAAAAGTACTGGCCAGACCATGTTGAGAGGTTAACATTATATGCAAGCAACGCAAGGACGACTTTGGATAATCCAAGTTATCTCTAAGCTTATGGCTAGGGTAATGGAAGAACTCGAGATATAATCATGAAACACTATTGTTACAGAAGTCTTCGGGTCTCGAGGCAGGTGATTAATTGCTCTCTGCCTTGAGGAGACTGTTTTACTTGACTGAGGAGATTGCGGAAATTGCAAATCATGATAAGGAATTGAATTGACTCCTAACTCCAGAGAGCTCATCAAGACAACGGTCTAATTATTCTCCCATGTATTTCGTCACAGCCAGCTAGGGCCAGACTTCTAATTTTGACCTCATCTCACCTTCATCGTCAACCATTACCATTCAAACCGCTTCCTTGGGAGTTTTCGTTAAAAGAATTCCGCCGTGATAATGAACGTCTCCATACATTTATGTTACATGCCAGCAGAATTAAAAGAACTGAAAAAGGACTGTATAACCTTCAGCAACAATTTTTTGCACGTATTTTTTGAAATGATTTTGGTCCTTGCCCATCTAATCGCCTCCCGGGGTCAAAACACGCCATACTCGACCATGAACAAAACACCGGTCGTAAACGTCTATCGCGGACTTTGAATACCGAATGGATGCCGTAAGAATGAAAATGCATGTTGAACGAGAAAGTAGCACAGAGAGATATGGCCTTTACTCCTGGTCTACTCTGACTGAGATCGAAGGGCGGGAAGATACCGGGGTTGGTTGTTGAATTGGCGGCACGGGATAGGGGTAGCCATTCGCATTGATTCCAGTTGGTACATAATGATACTCGCGGTCGTTGACTAGACGGCCGCCACCACTTGACTGAGATGGATGAGATCCATCTCCAGTCGAGTTTTGGCTGCTGTGTGAACCTCGCTTTGATCCTTCACTGACGTGGCCGTATGAAGAGTCACCCGAGGACTCATTAGCGCACAGTCCCTCAGTACTAGTCGGTGTATACATGTCCCTCTGCTGGCTCATAGACATCGATGGCTGTGATCCGTAAGCCATATGCGACGAAGAGAGGGGCTCCGGACTTGTACTTGGCATCGGGAGATAGCCTGTCGATATGGAAGAATTGTCGGAGACTGTTTCGCCGTTGTTATTCTTGTTGCCCCTAATCATGCTGTAATCTGAGAATGAATGTGATTGTGATTGCAGTGTTGCCGCCGATGGAAGGCTGTCAGATGATCGAAAGAAAGGACCAATTTGTGTCTGGCGATTGCTCGAAGGTGGGACCGGAGGCAGCATGCGATCAACACTGGTGTTGACTAGGGGCGGAGGTAGTGTTGCGCTCATCCCATTCACCGAACCGTGCTTCGACTCGGAGTTCATGTTTCCTCGAAGGGGGTAGCCGTGGAAAGGCAGCTGATTGTGAGTGTAGGGTGTGTTGGACTGCTCAATGAATAAGGGAGCCTTGGGCATGAGTGAGCCTGGGGCTGGGGCTGGTGTCCAGCCTCTTCCAGAAGACGATGTGGCGATGTAGTTGGAAGAAAAGCTCAAATGATCATTTCCCATGAGCGGTCCTTGAAGGCCATAATCTGCGGGCTCCTCACTGAAATCACCGTATGACATATGGTAGTATGGTTTGACCATGTAGGGATATGAGGGCAACGAACTGTTCCGGTACTGATAATTGTCAAGAGGAATTGAAGCAGACTGAGAGGCGAAAGAGTGAGACCCAAAGGGTATCATTCCGGTGCGGCAATTGATTCGGGAGGCTGCACTACCTGAAGAGTCAAAGTCGTATGTCGCACACTCGTTTTTCATCTGAGCGGGTTCTGACGAAACCTACAGACAAAGTCAGCACGATATGTGTATCCAGATATGTCAGAGTACTTACTCTCAGAAACTGACATTGGTCATTGCCGGCATTTTTACAGTTTGAACATGGACCGCCGGCATCGCCACTGCACCGAATCTTCCTCTTCCGGCATCGACCACACTGTATGCTCATCAGTAATGATTCAGATTCAAGGCGTCGTGCATAGGACTGACGGCAACCGGAATTCTGCTTCTCGGGCGTGAGTTTGATTCACTTTCAGGCGACTGGCCGACAGTGCGAGACTCGTGAGGTGATGGGTGATGGCTTCGCGCTCCTGGAAAAACTCCATGACTTGCCACCGCTGGAAACTCGCGGTCATGACTGATGGGGTAGCTGGGTCCTCTTGTGTTGAATCGACGAAAACTAGTAGTATCCTCTTCTCCTTGGAAGTCGCTGTACGGCGGAGCTACTTGAACCATCTATTCCAAACGCATTGTCAGTCCCACAAGGAACACATACATACGACCGTCAAATACAGCATACATACCTTATCAGACTTTTATTAAAGCCCTAGAGGAACATTGAGCTACGAAAGAGAAATGGAGAGAGCAACTTCTGTGTGGTAAACGAGTGTGTTGATGCGAAGGATCTTGGTTTTCAACCCAGGGAATGTCGCCAGAGGAGTGACCAGATCATAGGCCAGAGGCAAGCAGGCAGGGTATTATACCTGTGACACCTCTAACAAGTTTGCTTAAATTTTAGTTGATCAAGAAGATGATGTAAAATAAATATTCTAGTAAGATATGACAGACTTGGAGAAGGGACATCGGATATGCCAGCCTTGCACTCTCTCTTATGCTACGGGAAGCTGCAGCACTTAGGATTATTTTTTTGCATGGCTAATACCGATCAGGCCACTGATCCACCCTTGTGTCGGCACATCTGGCAGACTGGCCCTGTCTAACCTGGCTGCAGGGTCTCGACGAGACCTCTACATATTGAGTCTCGCTGGATAGACTGAGACTTGTGGAAACACCCCATGTCGAGTGGAATTTCAAGTGTTGGGTATCTTGAGACTGTTTCGTTTGATGAAACTCGGCATCCTTGGGGACAAAGATATCGAATTTCTGACCGGGGATGGCACCTGTAAGCCTGCTAGTAATAACTACCAGCCAGAAACTGAAGCTTGGCACATCTTCGCCGCTTTGGGATTGTGAGTATGCCACAAACCGAACTTGGCCATCATCCTCTTTCTGAGAGTGACAGCCGTCCCCCACCTGCGGAGAATTTCGTCCTGAGGAGATTTTGTTCGTTCTGGCCAAAGCAGAATGTTACGTGATGTGACAGAAAACTGACAAGTCGCCCAGTGGCATGAGGTAGCAAACAACCACAACAGAGACTGTTCGTTCCAACGGTGATGGTGCAACGGAGCAAACGTACGCATGTAGCACATCTAAGCACCTCGAAATGCTGATTGAAGCAAAACTATGATGCTACTTGAAAACATTCGAGAGCACCCCGAAAAAGATGCAAATATGCAGGAGACTTCCAACGCATGCAATTCAGCATATCTTATGCACACAGGAACGGCCGAGAGCCTTGCTGAGTTCCAGGAATGCTATTTAAACCAAACGACCATCTCCTCCATAGATGGAAGCTCCAGGTTATGTTCTTGACCGCTTCTCGTCCTTTAACTTAGATCACAGAGTGCAGAACGTCAAACCTGCCCCTAACCAGAGCGCAATCTAACAGCATACACTCGATCCTGTCAAGCAAACCTTGCTCTATCGCATTTGGACGATCGACCAATCAGCTCGGTCCTGATGCCAATCTGCTTTGTGTTTGTCTGGAACGTTGCGAAGCTAGCTAGCCATTTTGCAGCACCGATACACTTGCGATCCAAGTCTCAGCACGAATTAATGCTGTAGAACCTCTGATGCATACTGATCGGTCGTCCGGTGGCCAGGAGGACATTGGTGGGAGTAAAGCTACCTCGATAAGCGATTCCAATCAGACACAATGCAGGCTGCAAGGAAAACACCGCAAGTTTCTGGATTCTGGACTTTCGAGAATGTGGAGGACCGACTCTCGCTGACTGCACTGTTTGTGGGGGTCAAATTGAGTAAGGGGGTGGCCTGTTACAGAATTTCTGCATCGGTACTAGCTGTAGTGGATTTCTGCCACCCCAGGTACCACGTACTACGGATATAAAGGAAGTTTCTCTGTTCATGTCAGTGCCCCGCTGGAGTCCAGTCCTTTTGAACTGAGCCACTAGGCTCTGTGTGTCATGTGCCAGATGGCACTTGCAGATAAGTGTTTTTAAGTTCACCTCGAAGTAAGGCACTCGAAACCATATACAGTGTCAGGGAAGTCTGAACAGCAGCTGCATCCTCCCTGAAATTTGGCATGTATAATTTCTTTGGAGTTGGATGTTGTCATAACTTTGCTGTGCACGACAGGACGATGGCATACTTAGGTCATGTAAAGTCAACAGGAAATATCTCACCGACATGCATCTACTGAACACGAGACCAACGCCGGTGTGACAGTTTGAAAATAACGCTTTCAATTGCAGGCCATGGTGTCTACGAAGCTCCCTAAATTACGATTCAGCCCCAACTTGGACGAACACAGGGCACTCTCAGGTCATATCTTGTTAGATACTTTGCATTTATCATGAACAGCAATGGGAAACATCCAAGATCAGGGGCATGGGACAACTATGTCTTGATACCACTGCCTCATCGAGAGAGATTGTAAATCATGCTTATGAGAAAGATTTGGAGATAAGAAATGCGGCGTCTTCTCGGTCAATCCAGAGATGTTGGTCTACCTGTGTGATACAGAACTGCAGTGGCAGCTGCGGGCGAATCGCATTGGCAGAGCAACAGGGCATGGGGTGAGGGACAGACACACGACATGGGGACGCCGGAATCGTCTCCCCGTCTCCTGAAGAATCTAAACTCTAGCTTCCTCTCACAGTCAGATCTTAAATTCTGTGGCGCACACGTGGGATATACGGACAGTTGCAAGATTTATTGGGCTTGGCTACTCCCTGACAAAGGAGACATCTTTCTCTCACCAGCCAAGCTGCAGCCACCCGTCAGCTTCAGACAGCTTTACATCTATTGGTCTTTAAACTTCCGTTGACCAGGCTCTCGTGAGGTGTGGGGGAAATTCTGTATGCTGTGTCCAGGAGATCTGTACACACATTAGCATTCAGTCCTCAGTGCAGCAGGTCGCAGAAATGGGAGCTTGAGAACATTCCATTCTCTTCTTCAGATAGCAGAAAAAGAGCGGTGTTGACACGACCAATCGTTGGACGTGACGAATCGCACGTAGCACGCCGTCGAGAAGTGTAAAAAGGACACTATGAGGAGGCCCTGGCCTTTACAGGCCGAGAAGAGGACCGTCAACAAGCACCTAAGGTAGCACCATTCCATCGTCCGAAGAAATGACCCTGCTGAGAAACTACACGCCCGATCATGGCGCCCAGATCTCGGGAGATTCCCTCAGGGATGAAGCTTGATGGCGATCGGGGCCTTGCTGCTGAAGGCATAAATTCCTGGTAAGTACACGTGAAATATAGGCAACTAATGTTTCCTAGACTCGAGATGATAATTGGAATAGAATAAAGGTCACGGAAGTAGGATGCTGGAATAGCTTTGATGTATCTCAGTCGAAGAGTGGACAGCCAGATATGAAGCCGAGTATTTCTTCGAGTTCGTCCTAACATTTTCAGCACTGTTTGAGGTTATCCGGATGTGCTTAATGACAATCAGAAAGCGCTTATAAGTAGCGGATTTCCGTCAGACGTGCGACCCGAGTGGTTCATGACAATTGGAAGTCCTTGACGAAGATCTTCGAGTGAAGTTATTGAAGCATTTTAGTACATCAAATGAGATGGCTAATCTGGGCTGAAAATGATCGTGGTCAAAGGCGCCAAGAAGTTCTGAAGGAGGTATCCTTCGTATGGTGTGGTTGCGGTACAGTACAGTACTGTAGCTTCGGCGCTAGCGAAGCTTAAAGTTTAACAGGACAGTATCACGACCTCACTAACTACACACAATTGACGTCGAGTCGCAACAGAACCAGGAAACTTCAAACTCTTCATGTAGCCCTCGATCCGCCAACAGCAATGAGTGTCCTCCTCGAAACCTCGGCCGGCGACATCGTCATCGACCTCCTCACAGACTACTCCCCCAAGCTCTGCGAAAAGTAAGCTCCTGCCACTCCAGGCTCGTCCCTCAACCAACCCAATAACTCCCTACAGAAATACGTGAAGAAACCAATACTAAGATCTTATTCCCCTCTCCTAGCTTCCTGAAGCTGTGCAAGATCAAATACTACAACTTCTCGCCGATCCACAGTGTACAGAAGAACTTCTCCTTCCAGACCGGTGACCCCCTAGGCCCCTTCTCCAAAGACAGCGATGGCGGCTCCTCGATATGGGGTGTGGTCGATGGGCCTGCGAAACGGACATTCCCAGCGAATTTCCACCCCAAATTGAAGCATGCGGAGAGAGGGACAGTGAGCATGGCCACGGCTCAATCGACAAGGGATCCGGAGGAGAGACTTGCTGGCAGCCAGTTCATAATTACTCTAGGCGACGACCTGGACTTTTTGGATGGAAAGGCAGCGATATTTGGGAAAGTTGTGGAGGGATTTGATGCGTTGGAGAAGATCAATGATGCGTTTTGCGACGAAAAGGGTCGGCCATTGGTGGATATACGAATCAAGCATACAGTTATACTGGACGACCCCTACGATGATCCCAAAGGACTTATGGAGCCACCTGAGAGCCCTCTACCTTCTAAGGCGCAACTAGCTACTGTACGGATTGGAGAGGACGATAAGCTGGACGATGAATTAGATCCCGAAGCAGTAGAGAAGCAGCGACGAGAGAGAGAGGCAAGAGCACAAGCTCTGACCCTGGAAATGGTTGGAGATCTGCCATTCGCAGAGGTTAAACCACCGGAAAACGTACTTTTCGTGTGCAAGCTCAACCCAGTGACAACGGATGAGGATCTCGAGTTGATCTTCAGTCGGTTCGGCAAGATCCTCTCCTGCGAAGTCATCCGCGACAAGCGCACCGGTGACTCTCTTCAATACTCCTTTATCGAATATGAGGACCAGACGTCCTGCGAACAAGCATATTTCAAGATGCAAGGCGTTCTGATTGACGACCACCGTATCCATGTCGATTTCTCGCAATCAGTGTCTAAACTGAGCGATACGTGGCGGACGGCTACAAATTCGAAGCGGAGACATGGCGGGGGTGGATTCGGTGGTGTCAGTGGCCTGGAGAAGAGAAGGCAGTATAAAGTCGAAGGTAGGGAGAGGAGAGACAGATATGGCATGGTGTACGATGAGGACGAGCTGCGGAGGAGACATGAAAGGGAAGGGAAGTCTAGCGCGGATACGAGGGAGAGAAGTAGATCGAGAAGCCCGCAAAGGGATAAGGGGTACGACCGGAGGGGAAGCAGAGGCGATGATAGCTATAGAGGAGGCCGAGACCGAGATCGTGATCGATATGATAGTCGTGGCGGAAGCAGTCGGAGCGAGAAGAGAGATGATAGCTACAGACGAAGATAAGAATATTTGCATGGCATGAAATAAAAATAAAGCTCCGCAATATCGTAAACCCAATTGTTGTTCTGCAATTAAGCCCAAAATTCAATGTCATGCTTTATTTTGGCGACACATCACGCATGTACAGTTTGATCGAAGTAGTTGGGCGGATAGAACCCAGTAGGTCATGGCGTTTTAATTCTCCACAGCAGTGATCTTCTTCGCCAAACAAAGTTCTAGTCGAAGAACCGGAAATTTGAGTAAATGTCAAGTGCACGCTACTTGATGGGCTAAGGTTTGGATCAACAATTTCACTTCAATAGTGGCTTCTCGTGAGAGAGGCTGGCAAGACGGCCTCTAGATTTTAAATGCATCTATTGGAACTTGTACTTGTACATGGCAGCACAGTCCAGCAATTCAGCATTTTTAAAGCAAGTGCCGGTATAACAGACAGACAATGCAAGCATTTACCAGTAATAAACTAGGCAAGTGTTGGCACATAATATGTACCACACTTCTTCTTTTCCATGCAATCTCCCACGTAGCATTCTCAATACTTAATTGTAGACTCAGATCCCAGACCCATGACATATCTTACGCCCATCAGAATACCCGAAGTTCTGAATACACCCTCGCGCTCTGCTTTCGTGGTTCTACACATGTTTTCCGAAGATCGGTCATATTTCAGTCCGGCTACTCCTGCACTATTGCTCTCGTCAACATATGACAGAACCGAGTCTTGGCAGAGCTTTGTTGGTCTCCACGGTCGATTGGTCTCATCTCTGCGTTGACGCTGTCGCGAGACTTTTAGTTCGGAAGTGATTTTCTCTCCTGGAGATGAATCCTCAAGTGGAGATGGTATAAGTTGTCGAGCAGTAGAATTTGTGCTCGAAACTTCAGGGCTTGTCAGGTCATGTGTTGTCTTGATAGGCCGATTGGCATTTGGTGTTGTTGTATATATATCAGAGCGCAACACTCGATTGCTGCTGGGAGACTCATGCTGAAGTCGCTCAGAAGGAAGGATCCTAGTTTCTTTGATCGACGGAGCAGGTGACGGGACAGCGGGCGAACTCAACACTTCGGCCAAAAGTCGACCGCTGGGGGTCTGGCTCTCCTCGTTACTCTTTTGGGGTGTGAAATTGATCATTGGAGCCATAGCTATGGCCGAGATATCGGTAACTTCTTGCATGGCCCTGGTCGCGGCTCTTGTGCGGGGAGGATCCGGGGCTTGAGTCGTAGGGAATGTGCCGCTTCTTGGAGTAGGGGTTTTCAGGCCTGTCGACGTTTCGCTGTACGATCTGTATGCATTTGCAAGACCGGGTTGGATTGTGAGACCTGGCTTGGCCCTACTTTGCCTATTGTTTGGTGTTTGCGGCTCGGTAGGAGTGTCACTGGATGCTTTCGTTTTGAGTTTCATGACTGGAGGCTTCTTCGCGCTGGGTTTCTGATTGCTTGTGACAGATCGAGCATTATTGGATGATCTCGCTTCAGGACCAGCAATGGTGTCTCGAATGTTGTTCTCAGAGTGTCCAGATTGTCTGATGAATTTGTCGGGAAGAAGCTGGCCAGGGCTTGGAGCAGATATTGTTATCGCGTTTTCAGTGTTATTAGAACTCCCTGGCCCAGCCATTCCGTCATGCCCATTCTGACGATTAATAGAAAGGTCTTTAATAGCTTCTGTCTCAAAGGTTGTGTTGATGTTCGCCACTTCTATTGCTTTATTAGGTGTGTGAAGGCGATTCTCTTTACAATACGTAGAAGTGGTAGCGGAAGAAGTTGTAGACGAGGGGCGGACATTCTCTTTCTTGGCTGCTGGAGGAGTTGAAACGTTGGGAAATGACTTAGAAGTACTGGATAGTACAGCTTCCATGACATCATTGTTCATATACTCTCGCGTTGGGACGGAGTTAACAACCTCAGTAAGTCTCTTGAAATCGGTCACAGAGCCCATCTTCCGAATTCCTTGTTCGGCTTCGACAGCTTGGGCGGGACTATTATGGGCCGACCTCTGTGTTTTGAGAACATCATTATGTATCGTGGAGCTAGCGTCGATACTTGGTGAAGCTGTGTCCAGAGGCTTCGAACTCCTCAGAATTCGACCAATCGAATTGGGAGTTGGGAATCTATCTGCAGCAGCAGATTGAATGTGGTCTCTAATATGTCGTACCGTCGATGTCTTTGGCAACTCTGGAGAAACAACGGCCACCTTGTCCGCGGAATGCACTCTCTCTCTTTCTCTGGGCATTTCATCAAACCGAAGGCCTTTGATGATAAACATTCTCTCATTTTCAATCCTGGCAGTGAGACGTGGATTGCTTGAAGACGTTGATTGCGGCTTGATCTGCTGTCTTGTTGTGGAATTGCGAGTTGTTCTAGAATTGCCCTTTTCCACAAATGAATTGCCAAACGATGTATGAGCATTGGCCGTGGGCTTGTGGGGTTCCCTGTATAATACCAGATTAGTATGTGCTACAATGCTCGCATTCTGACTTGACCTCGGATATCCCAAGGAAGGAAAATGCGGGCTCTCCTGGAACTTACAATAGGCTATCCAGCTCTCTAGCAGACAAAGGATTTCTCTGTCTAGGCTTCCTCGTCATAATGCCAGTTTGCTGTTCTGTGCTATTTAGTTCATCTGTTGGTGCATGGGAACCCGAACTGATTACGACATGAGGAAACGGGTCGCTCCTGGTGGATACCGATGCATTGGGAGCCGTTTGTGACTTCGAAGAAGTACTCGAGACATTTCGAGACTTAGATCTACTGCTAGAAACCTTTGTTTTTGGAGCCTCTGCGGACGATGCCTCGAGTGATGCCCTCTTCCTCTTCGTACTTCTGGGTTCGTCTCCAGTGCCATCCAAGCCAAAGTCTACATTTCTATAACATTGAGTCGCTTCAGTGCAAGGGAGTTGGCGTACTGGCGGAGTTAGCCCACGCATCGAACTCAAAGACCCTGACCTGGTTTCATAATAATAATCTCCAGTTCCATCAAGTCCAGGTAAGCTTCTTCTTGGACCAGGTACAGTTGACCCAGCCTCACGCTGAGACTTGATTCGTTGTCGTTGAGCGGGTGGTTTCCGAACATCATCAACTGGTTCTTGGCTGCCGCGGATTGTTGTGGCAAGTGTACTAGCAGAAAGAGGACTACTCGTGGAGCCAACCGAGGTCCTTGAACGAGTGGAGTGGCTAGGAGGTTCGATATGGCAAACAGGACTGATTTCTGCGACTTCTACTGGTGGCGGAGTTGGACCACGGTATCTCTTCTGGGGAACGTGCTTGGGTAGTTTTGACATCGTAGGCGGTGGCTGGACAACACGAGGTTGTGGTAGGTCCAAGGTCTTCCCTATTTCTGAGACATGTTCCGAGTTGCGGAGGTGAGAGACTGACGGTGGGACATTGAATGCCAGTGCTTGAAAAGATTGGCTTCTCTCGAAAAGTCCATCGTGACCTCCAGCACAGACAGCTTCTGGCACGTTCGTGACAGATAATTGACTACTGATAGGTAGTTCTGTCATTGCCGCTCGCGAACTTGTGACTCTTGGACGAGTTCCAGCCGAACGAGCTCTTTTGGGAGTTCGTGCAGTCCGGTCCTGATTATCCTCGCTTTGAAATGAGGCAATCATCTTGCTCAGGCTTGTCTGGCTTAACTCTTTTGGAACAACGAAAAGCTTGTTGTCAAGACCACACCGACCCTCAGTTAATTTTCTCTGTGGTTCAAGAAGGAACTTGTATGGATGAATGATCGACTTTCCTAATCCAACAATGACCTGCAGAGAAATTGGTAAGCCTTTTTCCTACCAGGAGACATTGAGCGCAGATGTCATTTCACCCCTCCAGATATTACAAGGTTCTCTGAAAACCTTGCTTCTACTGCTCCCAAAACACTCAAGTGTGGGAATGGCTCAGTTGTCACACACTGCTGAGTACCGTAGATGGGGTTGTAGATGGGGTTGTTGGAGGTATTGGTAGGTACTCACATCTATTACACCTATGTTCACGCCACTATCACCGAGCAGCCAAGCCTTCTTGGGAATAGACGTCTCTGAGAGCGCCTCGAGGTACTCTCCCAACGGGTTCCTGAACATATCGAACTTCCCATCTCTTCCCCACTCGTCGGCTTCATTGAGAAGATTCTGGTTGATCTTTGCGAATCTAGCTTCTGCGGTAGCCATAGATTGCGACTCATAGTCATTTGCTACACCATGAGGCATTGGGTTGAGTATCCACGGAACCTCGAGCGTATTTCCGACTCGCCGACCAGATACGGATGGGTGGCCACCTTCTGTTTTTTGTCCACTGTTGAAAGTATTCCATCGAAATACTCTAGAATATACAAACTCCCCATTGTAGAAGACGCTGATGCAGATATCCTCTGGCGTTTTTGTGACTATGGAGTGCATGAATGATTCTTTGGACAGGTCAATTTGTAACTTGAGGGCCTTGGGACTTGTAATTGGTTTGCGAATGGCATTCTTAGTTAGAATGGGGGGGACAAAGAGACGACGAGGTTTGCTGGGCTTATTATTGCGCTTCGTAACTGTATCAATTGTGCCTGTAAAATCAGATGCAACGTTCAAGTACTAGAGGTGTACAACACACACCTGGTTCTGCAATGCCGCTCGCAGTGCTGCCGATGCCAGTTTCTTGAGGGCTTGGTTCGAACATGGATGAATCTATGCTCGAAAGACTTGATTCATGGTCTGGTTCTATCGTATCGTTCGTTGGGGCTCCGGCAAAAGGCGATCTGAGTGCAAGACCTGCAGACTCTGCCGTTCCTATGGTTGCAGGTAAATTGACGCGTCCAGATTTCGTGGCAGGAGTAACTGCATCGCCAGTATTGACTGCGGCGGTGGGAGAGAACAGATCCTGGCCAGCGTTCACAAGGTAAAATGGGACACTTCCGGGGCCGAGAAAGTCAAGAGTTGTGTCGTTAAACGCGTCCTCTCTGATACGTTCGACCTCGCAGCCGCTGGAAGCATCTCCTAAGCCTGAGATATCCTGACGCGCATCAGCCTCCCACATGTAGAGAGAGACGGTGGTGCGCAGAGGGCCATATGTTGGCATCGTGGTCACGATCGATTGATACGCTGCATTGGTGTGGGTGTTGCTGAAGGGGTGGAATGGACTTTACAGAATGTTGTTTAGTCGATGGCAAGGTTTGAAGGAAGAAAACGAGAAGACAATGACAAACGCGGCTCACCTTGCGATTGGCACTTCCTGACCTGATATGTTGACCAAAACGGAAGTCGCGAGGGCGGACGCGGAGGTCAAATTACGCAGGGTCGAAATAGGCGAGGATAAACATGCATCTCCCAGAATGTCTCTTTCAGTCTTGGGACAATGAAAGCACATGATTGTTTGTTCCCACAACTTCACACTAAAACACAAAATAGTTCCTAATATCCTAATATACTGAAAGATCATCAGGCCTATGCTCGGATATCAGAATCATTGCTTGGAAGTTATCTGACGAACCTATATTTGTCGTGGCTCTGCCTAGATTTCCAAGTGTCGGCCACATCCTTACAAAGGTTTGATTTACAAGGACCAGGACATGAGGGTAGGATTTTCGCGGTATGCACCTGGTCTTTTTTTTTACCCCTCGTAAGCACTGAAACTTATTTAGGATTTCTGAGAAGCCTGTTACCATGGCCCAGGACAGTAGGAGCAACCGCAAAATCAGCTGGACGGGTCAACTGCAAATGCATCCCCGGTATCAAGAGCCGCTCCCAATTCCACGATTGTCATCTCGTAAACCTTTGCGATATCCATCTCCCACTTTCCATCTGCAGCATCCCCCCACGTGCTCGTCTCTCCATCAGTCTCCATCTCCGTACCGCTCTCATCATCGGCGTCCTCTTCTATCTCTGTACCCATGACATCCACGATTAGCACTCTCGCGGAGTCTACTAACCCTTTACATCTAACCATATCAGTCTTGGTCAACCCAGCCTTTTTGCCTCCTGAGAAGCCCGGCAAGATCTCTCCAGTGACGCTGTCCTCGCCCTTCAACAAGCTGGAGAAAGCGTGATCCAGTTTACGGATAAGAGCAAAAGTAGCCTTAGGTGCTGCTGGAAAGGCAGAAGTATAAGTGTTCACTGCTAGGGCAGTATTCAACAAGTAGGGAATTTGAAGACTTGCTATCATTGGTGCAAGTTAGCTATCAGAGCATCATCGACAATAGCCGAGATCAGACGGGGTAGAACAGATATCAAAGGTTCAAAACATACGGGTTCCAGATAGCCAAACGACATCAACGATATCTGCCAGATCCTTTGCGACCTCGCTCATGTGAACATAGCCTTTTATGTCGTCGCCCTCCTCCATCGGCTGAAACTTCTTCGCATACCGTCTCGAGACATTGAGCAATCTCGCCTCAAGATATCTTCTCGCAGCATCTTCTTTCGCCGAACCATGCCGCAGAGGATTTGCCCTCGGATGAGGCAAATTTGAGGCAGTGGACGAGGTAGAGTAGTTGCTGGGCGCGGGCGAGGGAAGAGATGGTGGGAGGAAACCTCCTGCTTCTTGGGATGGAATCTCAGCCATTGTTGAGATTATTGGGTGTGTCAAGAAGACGCTCCATAATACCAATGGCTTATAGCAAGATGTAATCTTCTCTGCTCATGGAAAGTGGTGAATGAGTGCCTCGAATGAATCAGCACAAAGGGGTGATGTCGTACCCCTGCAGTCACGTGGATCATCACATCCCTGCAGAATTGCCAAAAAGTTCAAGCAAGCTCCAACTCCCATCTCCGACCAAGAGCCTTGAATAACAGCTTTGACATCAACCTCCACACGATCAACAACTCACGACTCTCATACTCACGACAAGCTCGTCTCTCATATCTGCAAAATGGCACCGAAGCGCGTACAAATCGCACAAGCTGACGCTCGCCGCCCAGCACCAAAGGGATATATCTCCAATGTCTACAATACCCTGACCTCGCCCGAGAACGCCAGCGTTGTAAGAAGTGTAGCTATGTTCGGAGTAAGCCCACCTCTATCCTCTGCCATATCTCGTTGCCGCTCAGCTAGGACGCTTTGAATCTACGGCGCCCTTTGATAGCCAAGCGGGATGGCGATACAGAAAAAATGTGGAATTGAAAGGATTTTACTGACGATGCTTCTCAGGCTGCGGTTGCCTTCTTCTCGAGTTCTTGGAGCGAATTTATTCTTCCGCCGTAAGTTTCACTGCCGTCCTATTAGGAGGATTTGACTAACAAGCTTCCACAGCTTGTAAAGGGGCCTTGATTTGGGGATACGTTATGGATTGAGGATCGACAACGTTGTGCGAATAGCATTGGGATGGAGTGTAGGAATTGTATTATATGGCAGAGCAAGCGGCTACTCGGAAGTCCAGAGAAAGACAGGTTTATCGAGGAACTTGTTATAGAGGGGTCCGGAGGCATCAATGGCGTTCGACATATCAATGGAACTCAACTTTGTAAACACATGCTTAAAAGTCAGGCGAACTACACTCAGATATCACTCACGAACGAATCAGTTGAGATGAATTGAAAAGGACTATATCCTTGCGAGCTATCAAATACATTCAGACGTCAGTCTGCCAATATTGCTACATGTGGTAATCCCAACCTGACCCATAATGTCGTGACTCCTGCGCCAAATTCCTTTCAGCACCCCAAGTTAATCCCAAATTAATGTTGGCTCCACTCAATGCTATCCAGCGGAATGCCATCTTGTACAAGCTCCCAAAGCGGGCTCAGCTCTCTCAAGAAAGTCACCCGCTCCTTGACCGCCTTCAACACGTAATCAATCTCACTCTCGGTCGTAAATCGTCCAATACCAAATCTGATACTGCTGTGTGCATTCTCGTCACTGCTGCCCAGTGCACGTAAAACATAGCTAGGTTCCAAGGATGCTGAAGTGCAAGCACTGCCCGATGAGAGAGCAATATCCTTCAGAGCCATCAGAAGAGACTCGCCCTCGACGTAGGAGAAGGATACGTTGACGCAGCCAGGATAGAACCGCTCTGGATCGCCGTTTTGGGAAGTGTGCTCGAGTGACAGTAGGCCTTTAAGCAACTTGTCCGAGAGCATCTTTACTCGTTTAGAGTCATACTTCGCACATATTAGCTTTGATCAGAAATACTATATGAAAAGTGCGGAAGTAAACGAATCTTTGTCAGAAAAGGTACTGTGTGTCGTCAAGGAAGCCTCAACTTGCAAGCAAGGAAGTCACTAGGAAAGCCATGCATATGTAATAGTAGATCATCACGCAAGATAACAGTAAAGAAATAAGGCCAATACTCACAGACATCTCCTCCTTCGCAATACGGCAAGCCTCTCCAAATCCCACGACTAAGGCAGGAGCCAATGTGCCACTTCGTAAACCTCTCTCTTGACCACCTCCACTAATGATCGGATCGATCCTTACACGAGGCCGTCTTCGGACATAGCATGCACCCATTCCCTTAGGTCCGTAAATTTTGTGCGAAGATATGGACATTAGGTCAATGTTCATCTTGTTGACATCCATCGGGATCTTGCCGACTGCTTGAGCGCCGTCGGTGTGGAAGAAGACCTTGTTCGCTCTGCAGAGCTTTCCTATTTCTTCTAACGGTTGAATCACACCGATCTCGTTGTTGACCGACATGATGCTGACAATCGCGGTATCTGGTCGGATGGCCTTCTCAAGCTCCGCAAGATCAATCAGACCACTGGATGCCACTGGAAGGTAGGTAACATCAAATCCTTCAGTCTCCAAATGACGGCAACTGTCCAAAACACATTTGTGTTCAGTCTGAGATGTGATGATGTGCTTCTTCTTCTTTCCACCTCTGCCAAAGAATCGTGCAACACCTTTGATGCTCATATTATTGCTCTCGGTGGCGCCACTGGTAAAGATGATTTCCTTTGGGTCGGCGCCAATAAGATTTGCTACATGCTCTCGAGCCTGTTCAACGGCTTTGTCGGTTTCCCATCCATAAGCGTGCGTTCTCGAGTGGGGGTTTCCATAAAGTCCGGCGTAGAACGGAAGCATTGCATCAAGTACACGAGGATCCAGAGGTGTGGTAGCTTGCATATCAAGGTATATGGGTCGTTGGCCTTCATCCATAACCGTAGCTTGCTTCAGGATACCTTCAAAAAGTCGAATGTTAGGAAAATCAATCAGCACATGAGGATTACGTACCTGCTATGGGACTCATCATTGCATCTGCGTTTACTGCCGTGCCTGGAACAATCTGGTTTTCTGGAAGCTTTCCTGTCTCTGCAAAGAAAGCCTTCTGATCTGCTCGAATAGCAGTGTTGACGCTGACTTGGGCACTGTCTTTCGAGGTTGTCGACACATGCCTGAGATTCTTGTGCGAAGAAATGCCAGCTGAACCCCTCAAGAGCCCAGATGTTAAAGCTGATTGCTTCTTGCATAGGCGCGAGGCCTGCCGCAATGAAGTGGAAGCTATGCTCGACATATTGTTGATCGAATTGCAACAGTTCAATGTAGAGGAGCTCGAAAGCTGCAGAAGGCGAATTGTTTCTGGAAATGGATTTTTGGAGTCACTGGTGCTTAGTCATCCATTTCCGGCCGCTTGTGTGGCCAGTGCAGTCATCGTGCATGTGGAGGTCAGATCAACAATCACAGAGCCAGCCAAAACTGACGACCTACGGCGGCACACCTCGGGATTTCTTGCTTCTCAATAGAAGCAGCTTTGCAAATATTATCGAGGAAGTTTCAAGACGTTATTTTTCTTAGGCTGCAAGCACTGCCAAGAATACATACGTGCCGCCCAGCTCAGCCACACAGACATCAGGTTCCTCCTTCGTCATCCAACCCACCCCACTACATCACGAACTCTCTTCAACATTAACAACAGCAACAACAGCAATAAACACTACATCGCGCACGATTGTTTTCATTGTTCTCGTCATTCTGCGAGTGGAAATGTCATTCAAGGGGTTTCAGAAGTCGGTGGTACGCGTAAGTGGTCTTTGGAACTCCCACATGCCCAGCTACATCCTCAACACCCAGCTACATCTTCAATGCCAGCTATATCCTCAACTGACAACTGTTTCTGAAGACTCCGCAACTTATTAAGCAACGCTTTAGTATCGGAGATACTACGAAAGATGCGGTTTATATCGACAGCGAACGGCGCTTCAGTGAGCTGGAAAAGGAGACCGAGAAATTGCGATCCGAGTGAGTTTCTGCTCAGCTGCAGCCCACCTGTCTTCCAGACAGTGACGGCAAAGCATAAAGATGAATATTGAAATAGATTTGCAGGTCTAAGAAGTACTTCGAATCGATTCAAGGTATGATTTCGCATCAAATCGAATTCTCCCAGGCCATCGCCGAAATCTACAAGCCTATATCTGGTAGGATGTCCGACCCAGACTCTGCGATTCCAGAGGGGAATCCTGAAGGCATTCGAGCATGTGAGGAATACGAGGTGATCTGTCGGGACTTACTGGCTACCCTTCAGCCTGAACTGGAAATGATCGAGACCAGAGTCATCCGGCCGGCACAAGAGTTGTTGGAGATTATCAAAGTCATAAGGAAGTCTACCACAAAACGGCAACATAAGCAGCTCGACTATGACAGACATCGCGCAACTCTTAAGAAACTCCAGGATAAGAAGGAGAAGACTTTGAAGGACGAGAAGGCCATGTATAAAGCTGAGAACGATGTTGAGCAAGCCACACAAGAGTTCAACTACTTCAACGACTTGCTAAAGGAGGAGCTCCCCAAACTATTCGCCCTTGAACGCGAGTTTATCCGCCCGTTGTTCCAGTCTTTCTACTACATGCAGCTGAATGTCTTTTATACCCTCCACGAGAAAATGCAAGGTTGCGATATCGGATATTTCAACCTCCAAATGGATGTGGAGGAAGGGTTTGAGGCGGCGCGGGGAGACATCCAGGAAAGAGCAGAAGCCCTGTCTATTGTAAAATTCAAGACAACCGGTGCGAAGCGTCCTCCTGGAAGACTTGGTCCTGGCTCGAAGCTTGCCCTCGAAGGCAAGAGTTCTCCCAAACTCATTGGAGCTGCTCCAAAGCGGCAATCATTGACGGCGTCAACTGAAGAAGAGAACCCACCTCCGCCATACTCTTCCAACTCACTATCACCTACGTACGGTGGTGACGAGAAGACCTCGGTGGTTCGCGCCAATTCTACAGCGACAAGTCCATCGTGGGGCTCTGCGGCGAAAGCAAAGGGACCCGCCCCACCACCACCGAAGCCAAAGCCATCGCGGCTCAGCGGTGCTCCTACTGCTGAGACTGTGACCGCACTCTACGATTATGAGGCTCAGGCTGAGGGAGATTTGAGTTTCACCACTGGTGATGTGATTGAGATTGTGACCAGGACTAACAACGAAAATGAGTGGTGGATTGGCAAGGTCAAGGGAAAGCAAGGCCAGTTTCCAGGTTAGTTGGCTGTTTTTGCACGAGTACTGAAAGTTGTACTTGATCTTGTACTGACTCTTGTGATCTAGGAAACTATGTGAAATTAAACTAGGTCGGTTAGAGCGGATATACCATTGATGAGTGCACGGATTAGTGACGAGGGTGTCGAGTGGACAGAGCCGACGAGGCTCTCTTACTTTTTGATAATGCGGCAAGAGGTGTCTGGGGCTGTTGGAGGGTTTGCATTGATTCGGAGCAAGGATAAAGTGCATTGTACCTAATGAAAATCAGTGATCATACCAGTCATTCCTCTTATCTCTTTAGATCTAGACAAACAGTTTGCTCTGCGGTCTCTTCTGCAGAATACGGAGCAATGCGGGAAGAGACGAGGGTTGGCATCCTATGGGTGGATGCAATATTAATCACCTGGGAACTCAACGTATGCAAGGCATTAGAGGCCATACAGAACCCGAACCGCATTCAACAATTTCTCCACCCCTGCTGCATACCTGCAATGTGTTGGCACAACACCAAAATGGGACAAGGCAATACGAGGCAAAACGAGGCAACCTGGGGTCCGCAGGCAATCTGCCATCTCACCCCACCAGTTTGCAACAGGCGGAAGAGCCTCAACCCTATCCCACGACATCGCTGATAAACATATAACAGTCAACCCCATCCCCCCAAATCTCCACTTTACTTTTTTTCCTTTGCAAGTCTGCCGCTGGGGAGAGATTGTGTCCAGGTGACTTGCCTCATATGCGCGGCAAGTAGTACCTGCAAGTTTTGTCCTTGCATACTGTCCTGCATGTTTTCTTCTCCCACACTCATTGCAGTCGGGCGTAAGTTATCATGAGGCATGCACCAAATCGAGAAATCGGTCTCGCTTAATTTGTCCAGACGACTCGGAGGCTCGCCCAGCAGAACGACGCCCCGTTTACACCATAGCCGACAGGAAACCGAGAGCCATGGAGAACAAAATCCGGAACGGTTGCTTAGTGGGTGGTAGCAACGAGTCCTACTTTGTGTTGTTGTCAATGGAGGCTGTTACCCTATCGAAAGTAAGGCGCAAACCTTCGTTACTGTTGCCGAATGGCATGTCGTGGCTGATTATTGCATTGAACCTAGAGCTCGTGCTGCCCCTCACTTTATCCCATTGGTTCAAGTTGTGATTTCAAGTTATGACTTTTGCATATTTTCCAAAGAATAATTCTCTGATTGGTAACTTGTTAAGGTATGCAAGAAAAGCGAGGTCCATAAATCCCTCAGCTCGCCCGACTCGTTACAATGCACAATAAACCAAAACAAGGAAACAATGGACGCTGTCAAAGAATCTCCCCGCTCTTGTCTCTCGGCCGATCCATCCCAAAGTACAATCCAAGTCCTATGTCGCGATACATGGCGGCCTCCCGCCATACCCATGTTCTACGCCCGAGACCCCCACGAATATCGTAGGTAGCTGGGCTTTCGCAGACATCGATAGTTGAATATCCAGCACTGAAATGGACCGTGGGTCGACTGGGGCCAGCAACTGCCTTTCCTTTCCCTTTGACATCGATGCTCACCGTCCTATCGGCTTCATACACGTCAACATAGGTACCCTCCTGCTGTCCCTCCAACCCCTCTATCCAATGTACAGAGTCAGAAGGAGCGTGGTGACCAGTTGCGCGACCATCAATATGCGGCCCTTCACCCACACCCTTTTGCTTCTTCGTAGATGATTCTGACAGTCCGCCCCACTGCTTAACTCCTGCCAGCTTGATGGAAGGATCAAAGCCCACGAAGATAAGAGCTTGCGGCTGGTCACAACCTCCTGTGACGTAAACGAGACTTCTCTCATCAGCCGTGCCTTCGACATTACCCAAATGGGATGGAGGGTTCATGAGCCTGTAGATAGCATCGATGTGTTCGTCTGGCTCATGTAGTTTTTGAGCTTTGGGCCAGTATGTAATTGGCGGGACTCGGTACATCTCTCCAAGTGCGATATTGAGATCAGGATGGGGTCTGCGGATAAGGTTCGTCACAGGATCGCGAAGGACCGGGCCGATTCGTCGGGTTCCTGCTCTCAGCCGGAGGCGTTGTTTGCCCTGCCAATCGTCTGGATGGGGGTCGTCCACAAGGTCGAGGTGCGTACTGCAAGGCGTAAAATAAGCTCGAATTCGAGACTTTGCCAGCGTATGGGTCGGATATGTAGATCCGTCATTGCCTGGGTGTGTTCGTTCTGGGCGTCTATTGGGGGCGTTCATATGATGTGGATGATCGTCCTTCTGTAGCAAGCGAAGTAAAGGAATATTGGGGAGGTCTGAGACGTCCTGCTCGTCAGACTCAGTGGCTGTTGGTTCCACACCTGTAGGAGCAGCTGTTGAAGAGCTCGAAGATATCATTGCATCTACTTCGGTCGACGATGACGCTTGCGCCTGATCTGATGAAGCCGCCGGTGCCCAAGAGGAGATCGTCGGGAGAACAAAGTTTTGAGCTTGCGGCGAATCCGGTACGATAGACGAATCCTCACCATGGTCTTTCACTGGAAACACGATGTCTGTCGTGTAATAAGTCCGCTGGCTCGTGCTGCATCCCAAGTACCATTCCTTTCGAGCCTCCACGATCTTGAGCTCCCCAGTGCTCTCATCTTCGTCTAAACTTAAGCTGGTCCATCGGTCGTCGATGGGTCCTTCTTGATGTTGCCTCCGCCACATGCTTTTGTTCTCCGTCTTTTCCAATAACATAGGAGAATCCAAAAGAAACCGAACACAATGATAGAAAGAGGTCCAATCAATCTCCTCCACTTCAAAGGAAGTCTGGTTAGAAAGTGCATAAAATGAATTTCTGTACAGTTCGAAGCAAATTGTGGAGCCAATCTCCGAGCCTACCATGTCTGGCAAATGTACCTTGTGATCGAACCACTTCCTCGTCTTGTATTCGTAGCCGCAGATGACCCATTTCTTGTACCCATCGGTTCCAAGTTCTGAATGCGTGCCGTAGTAGAGGTACTGTGAATTGTGCCGGACAAAAATCTTGTCCGTTGACTCTAATTCATGCGTCACCAATATCCTCATGGTTTCGACATGGAACGCTATCAGCCATACTGGCGAGTCTTCGTCAGAAGCATCATAGATACAGGATAAGATACCGTCCGAATAATACAGACATTTAAAAGTGCCTGTATTGTTGTCACCGATATCCGAAAGTGCTTCTGTGAGTAAGCTCGGAATGCTGACTACGAATTCTTCTTGGGCTGAACGGTGCAAGTCCAAAATTCGTATTCGGTCATCCAGCGTGTAACACAAGATACCTCTGCGATAAATATACGCGTCACAGAAGCCGATGGTGGCAACAGTGAAAGGATAGGCAGACGTAATGGCTTCTCTCCTCTTTGCTGCAATTCGGAGAGCTCGGGCATTACCGCCACCATTCTTCACCGCTTCTTGGGCTTCTTTAGAATACTTGATCTTCGTCTAATGTCTGTCAGCAGCTGAATCCACTACATCTGACCGATTAGGCATCACAGGTGCATAACATCGGAATACACACTTGAACGAATGATTTACAGATCCGCTCCTCTTTGAGAAGGAATAGAAAATGTCTGCTGGCCCGTCCGAGGTTGAAGACATCATCGAAGCTGAGACTATCTGCAACGTTTGCGAGTACTTCGTAGGGTAAACTCGTCAAGCGGCACATGAGACCCCGAAACAACAGGATCTGATTCTCCTGAATATCGTAGAATATGTCAGTTATGCAAGCAATGCGATGGTTCCAATTCTTGTCAAGAACAGTATCATTGTGAAGGCGTGAGGATATATGGCGCACCTTTTCTGAAGCTGTGCTCGTATGAAACGTTCATTGGTGGAGAGATATTGGAGAGAGCAAGGCGCAGAGATGCAGAGCAACATTCTGAGGACGGACTTGCATGTTGAGCTGTGGGACTTATAACAACAATGATGAAAACGAGAAGCCTTGCGTTCACTTGAGCCGCAGCTCCACAATTTTATTATACACTTGTGGGCGAATCCGGCATCCATGGATGTTTTCGCGACGGAAGGGGTTTAGAGTAGCGTTCTGGATAAAATTGACATGGAGTCATGGAGTTGTTCTTCGGCATTTTGCATTTTCGAGCTATGCCTAGTAGGGGCCGATGTCTGAAATGCTAATTCAATTGCCCGCGAATTTGCAAGATCATTTCCTATTCGCGGGCTGCATGTCGCAGAGCTGCGCGGAGCCTCATCAATTGCAGGGCTTGCTGCTAGAGGCAGCCTCGGCTCGCCAGAGCCTGATACAGTAATCTGGCCTCCCGACAAAACGATAAGTCATTTGGGAGATCTCCTATTATGTAGAAAAACGTGTCTGTACTGCGAAAACGCTCCCTTATGATGCTATCGGGTGATGAATGCACAACGTGGACAGTTTTCTGCCATTGTGCATTGTGTACTTTGGGTGCTCTTGTGCTCTCAGACGACGAGATATTAGGTGTGTGCACTGTGCGCGACCACTAGGGGGCGCAGCACAGCCCCCCTGGTTGCAGTCCACTCAGCAGCAAACTCAAAGGAGGGCATCAGCAGAGCCGCATTTTTCAAGTATGAAGCGAGGCCCCTCTTTCGAAAATTCGGTCACTATCAGTTTGAAGCGCGCCATGAAATTATAAATTGGCTGCCCAACAAAATATTAAACAGGCACCTATTAAAACGAGACCCCTTCAAACTCCATTCCAGCACTCGTGGACGACAGATCCGCTGGAATGCTCTGCACCCGAAAAAGCCGCCAGAACACCACAGCTTCTAAGAAGCAGGGCGTACGGCAAGAGGTGCAGCTGTTTGACATGCGTGTCTTCGTGTCTCTGAGGTATTTTGCCCCGCTCATACAGCATCGGCACTTCTCACCAATTGAACCTGGCAGCCATCTGATGCTCGATCGAGAGACTGCTAAACTTCTTCGCGAGTCAGCCTTCGTCGCTGTTCAAGCCTGCCTAGGTAACGGGGTTGACTTCCCCGGTAGACTTGAGAACATGTGCTAAGGTCTTCACCAAACGATGCGGGGTAAAGAAGGACTACAGCAAACTCAGGAAACCCTCCCGCGAGCCACCTGTGAAGTAAAGGACATCTAGACCGACGAAACACAAAATGAAACATGGGTGGAATGCAACCATAAAGTAAGAACAGCATGCAATGACCAACATTTGAATACAACCAACGCCCGGCTTAGCAGCAACGAGTTAAGCCCTCATCACACAACACGACACAACTACCCACTCGTAAGGCAGAAAATTGAGGGGCATGATAGTGGAAATTGAAATCAAAAGCCCACGCTGCTGAACGGCTCAATAGATCCTCTGCAAGCCATGATAACCGATTTGGAGCGAGCCTCACAGATTGGGATCCGTATAAGCCGAAGGTTTGTTGCTCTCTTCATCTATCAATTGTAGGCGACAGCCGTATGATAATTACATACCTTTTTCGTCTTCTTGCTCTTTTGTTCGAAGCTTGCGTCCTGCGTGTGCTTTCAACGACGGCGCAAGCACTTGAGCTGAATCAAAAGCGATTGAAGGAGGGAAGGAAGCATATGTTATACGAATGATGGATTGTCATACAGATCCAAGGGGGTTTGGAACAGATGCCGACCTGACTCATCCGAATTCTGGACGAGGGAAGGCAACAGTAGTAATGGTTGGTCCACTCCTTCACGGCGTCACCGAAACCTTACCCCTTTCGGTGGCGCGCATCAAGTCACCAAGATGCGCCTCACCATTAGCAAAGTATCTGCAATAGCAGTATCATGTTTCGTATCGAGTTGTCAACACCACCAGAGGGTTTTCAGGGAGAGTAAACATAAGAGAGACGCTAGTCTCTCAAGACTAACCTATCTCGCATATTCTCCGGCAAATCATCGGGATCCGTGGGGACCGACCTCGATGTTCTCCCCGGCGCTATCAAAGAGTTCTACTTTCAAGAACTACAATGAGGGACTGCGTATTTGTACTCTTCATGTAAACGAGCTCAAGTCTTGTTAATCTAGAATCTATCTCTCGCTCTCTTAACTGCTCGAGTGTGCGTCAATGGATTGGCGGGAAAGGCGACTAAACCACCGACCACACATTTCCCCTACGTGGAGCTTCAGGTATAGACAAGCCATCCTGTAACTTGTAATCTAGCTGAAGGATGAGCATGGAGAAATTCAAGCACTTCCTCTCAGGAAGAAAGCAAGATGTCACGTCCTCGCCGCCATATCTCCTATCAATCAGGTCCTCCAAAAGCTTCATATTAATAACCATCTGCATTGCGGTCTTCACCGATGTATTTCTATATGGAATCATAGTGCCCGTCATTCCATTCGCCTTGGCATCACGAGCTTCAGTTCCGCAGTCTTCAGTTCAATCATACGTATCGATTCTACTCGCCGTATATGGAGCGGCACTGTTGGTGGCATCTCCTTTAGCAGGGTGGTATGCAGACAGGTCATCGTCTAGGCGACTGCCTTTGCTAATAGGGTTGCTTGCGTTAGCTGGTGCAACATTGATTCTGTGTAAGTACCGAGACAGTCTGAAAATTTCCATCCCGTATGTCCTAGGACTCTACGGAAGAGTCTTATCCACATCGCAATGAACTGCCGACCTGGCACTTACTAAATGTTTTGTGATTTAGGCTTGGCTCGAACAATTGCTTTGCTTATTCTCGGCCGTATCCTTCAGGGCATCAGTGCAGCTATTGTGTGGACTGTTGGTCAAGCCCTACTTGTAGATACTGTAGGCCAGAAAGACATAGGCCAAATCTTGGGCTATGTCAGTATCAGTATGAGCGTTGGTATTTTGCTTGCTCCATTGCTAGGCGGCATAGTATATGAGCGAGCAGGATACTATCCGGTCTTCTACATGGCATTTGGGCTCATTGCCCTAGATGTTCTGCTCCGAATGGTGTTGATCGAGAAGAAAATTGCGCGGCAATGGTTAAAGGACGAGGTTTCTAATTGTGAAACTGCAACGAGCCCAGTTGACCTCTGCCAAGACGGGGAGAAGCTTGTGACTGCCTTTACAAACCAACACCAAAGTTCTCAACACACCGAGAAGATAGGAGAGGGTAAGCTGGATCTCTCCAATAATGCCATTATTGGAGGGGAATTGACGTCAAAGGACATCGGTCCCGATGTTGTCGAGCAGGCGGCTGCCTTAGGGTGGACAAATCCCGACGATCGCAAGATCCCTGAGACTCAAATAACTCCCACAACAACAAGGAAATCAACAAAATGGCCACCAGTGTTTACTCTCTTGAAGTCCCGGCGTCTACTGACGCCACTCTGGTGAGTGCTTTCCGGCGTTATTGTCGTACTCAAAATATGACACTTCCACAATCCTTTGGGGAAACGAGTGATGCTGACTACGGTATATATCTGTAGGGGTTGGATTGTTCAAGGGTCGCAAATGACGGCTTTCGATTCCGTCATACCGCTTTACGTTCAGCACACATTCGGGTGGAACTCAACAGGCGCAGGTCTGGTCTTCCTGGCCATCATGATACCAGGCTTTGCGGCTCCGCTCGTTGGTTGGGCGTCTGACAAGTAGTGAGTATTTACGAAGAATAATTTTACCCTTTTCAGGTTGTTTGAGGCTGTATGGCATATGTCCTACATCGAGACAACATCGCGGTTTCCAGGCTCTTGAACCACTGCGGTAGAAAGAAGATGCTAACTTTGAGCTCCTCCACAGCGGACCACGATGGCTGACAGTCAGCGGATTCATGCTTGCAGTTCCGTTCTGGGTGCTGTTACGTCTCGTCACACATGACAGCCTCGGACAGAAAGTGCTGTTGTGCGCACTCCTCTTTCTAATCGGTATCACGCTGACGTTGGTGAACGCCCCTCTCATGGCGGAAATCACTTATGTCATAGAGGCCAAGGAGAGGGAGAGACCAGGGAGGTTTGGTCCGAGTGGCGCTTATGCTCAAGCTTACGGTCTATTCGTCACAGCATTTGCGGCGGGTTCGTTGATAGGACCGCTGTGGTCTGGCTATGTGGTTGAGTCTGCGGGCTGGGGGACGATGGCTTGGTCACTTGGGCTCTTTGGTGTGTCTGGGGCGATCCCGTGCCTTATATGGACTGGAGGCTTGATTACAGAGGTCAATGCCAAGAGTGGTGAAGAGCGAGCGATAGGGAAAGGAGCCTTGGGAAATTTGAATGCGGCTCTGCGAGCTGAAAATGATGTCGTGTGATATATCGAGAGGCTTGGACAGGAGAGACCCCACCAACAGGCATACGACGCAATTTATTGGTGAAAGAGGAGCCTGAATAGGTAAGTACATACTCACAGATTATCGGTTTGAATATAGTCACATTTTGATGCCGCTCAATCAGAAAATTCTTGTTACATTGCTTTCATATGGCTATGTCAAGAATGGTATCAATGCATTTAGCATGTCTTTCGTCCATGTCTCTTCTTCTGTATCGCCGACTATGGTATCAAGTTGTTCTGTGAAAGTGTCAGCTTCATTCTTACTAGCAGTTCAAGAGAGACATACGTTGTATCGTGGCTTTTACCACCGCCAAAGACTCATCTCGGTCAGCAAGAAGGCTCTGAATCTTCTTCTTGGCACCATCATCTTCGGCAACCAGCCAAGCTAAAACAACGTCAATAGTCTGCAGGCAAAACAAGCCCGCATCCAGGCGCCGTCCCAACCACTCATCCGCCATTTCTTCCCTCTCCTCTGCATCCATCTTGACCTGCTCAGCTCTGATGTCCTTGTCGACAGCATCCAGCCTCGTCGCATAATCCCTCCTCAGCTTGACAAGCTTTCCCAGTTTCTCGTACTCCTTTTCCACAAATTTCGCTAGTGTTCGTATTCTTCCTGCAGAATTCGCAGGCAGTAGCCTCAACAGCGAAGAGAAGATTCCCAGCAAGTGCTCCGTCGTCTGACCATCTTGCTTTTTCATGAACATGCCAAAGACAACCTTTAATCCTGCTGCCTCGACCAGCTTTTCGCATACTTCCGCGCCACTCTGGCCACCCAAAGCGTGGTCAATCAATCGCAGTGCCCTGGATTTGCTCATCTTGCCTTCCTTGATCATGATAAGACACAACTCGACACCTTCAGCCTCAACGAATTTTTGCTTTCCTTCGGGTTCGTCCACAACACAGGTGAGCGCATCGAAAATATTCTCCACGAACTCTTCCTCCTCGGTTCCTTTCAGGGGGTCTCGCTTGCGGTAAGCAGCCAAGATTTGTAGTAGCAGATCAACACCATCCAGCTCGGAGAGTTTCCGCCGATTGATTGGTGAGGACTGTAACATAATGGCGAGAACTTCCGCAGCATATTGTTTGTTTTGCGACACGGGTGATTCCTTTTTTGGTATCCGACCCAACAACCATTTCAGCACCGTTGTATCTTGTCCAATCTTCTCTGCCAGTGATGTCCTTGATGCCATATTCTCCAGAACACTCAGTGCATGGTAAATTCCACTGCGATCGGACTCATTTGACTCGTTGAACCTTGCGAAGTTCGAAACCAGTAGGTCCATTAAATCGGCTTCGACCATAGCATCCACGATTTCATTCCACTGCTCCTGCTCAGCCTCAACATCTTCGTCCGTCAACTCGCTGATGATTTCCACTGCATCAATCGCAATGTCTGTATTCTCGTGTGCCAGTAGTCCCACCAAGCTGGCCACGCAACCAAGCTTCGCAAATTCTCCGTACAGCTCTGGGTGTTCAGTCAAGATACTCAACGCCTTAATATCCGCATCTAAGTCTGCCTCACTACCCATAAACTTCTGGGGGTCGCCTTCAAACTTCGCTCGTAGCTCCGCATTCTTTGAGATCTTCTTCTCGAAATTGAGCGCCAGTTTCCGCAGCCAAGCTGAATCAATCTTTTCTGGAGCGATCTCCGCGGGTTCTTGTCCATCCATGTAATCTAATATCTCGTTCTCTTCTTGTGTAACTCCGCCGCCAAAGAACCGTCCCTCCTCATCGTCTGGTATATCTGGACCGTAGTCTTCTTGGTCGTCGGGTGGTGCAGCGGGGCCAGCTTCCATATCGTCGTCCTCATCTACGACGGCTGCTTGCTTGCCATTGCTCTTCGCATGGCCATTCGAGGCAAGTTTCGCGGATTTGTATATCTCATCTGGGACCGTTAGGAGGGTGTGGCTTGGAAGAGGGTTTATGGAGCTAACTTGGGTCTCGAGATGCTTCTAGTTTTCTTTTGTTGCTGGGAAGGGCTGGCTTCTGGGTAATTGTCAGTCCTGGGTCCCATATTCGCGCCGGTCTGCTTCCATACCTTGAATAAATCATCAAGGCTCGACATTGTTTACTCTGGATGGCTGAAGACCAGATTGCTTTTCGCGTTGTCCAATGTTTCTGATTATGGAAATGTCGAAGTTTATTGTAGGTCACAAATTGATACACGCAGATTTCTGCCAGAACCGCGTCCAAGAATAATCTATCGGAGTTGCGTTATTACTTCATTTCAAGTTCCAAAAGCCTCTTGTTCGGTTTGGGGGTCCTGAAGCTCTAAGATTTCGGCCTAAGGCAACGAAATACGTTGATCACGTGCATTTCTTTCCTCTTGACATCTTTTAGGCACAAAGTAGTAACCAGTATAAGCCAAGATATTCGGGAGAGAATACATTAAAACTCTATATATTTCGTTCAACGTTGGTTAATCAGTCAAACTTGAACTGCTTCACGTCTGTTCCTCGACACGCTCCGACTTAGACCTTGCTCAGCATCTTGGAACACGACAATTCTCAATATCAATTGACCAACACATCCCAGAATAGAGAGAAAGCATGAATACATCCACTTTCACGAAACAGATCAAATACAACCCATATCTTCAATTTCTAACTCCGTAAAAGCCACGGTCCAGACAGCTAGACTCGCAATATCCGCCCTCTGTGTTTTCTTTACTGATCTCTAAGCGAGCCTCTCTAAACTCCACGGATCTATAATAAGAAAAGTCCGCTTGAATGGAATCATAGCTAGAACGCCATGAAAGTAGGTTTCACGTTGAAATGCGTGGAGGAGGTCATATGGGCCGTGGATTTTGTGGAATTTGGGGAGTTTGGCGCTGCAGATTGCGAATTGATGAATCAAACACAATGCAAGTGGTTGTACAGACTGCATCGTCAACATCGGATTTACGGGTGTTGAGAGTCCGTTGATCGGGAATTCTGTCCATGACATTGGGTTACTATCGTACGCTCCATGGTATTGATATTATTACGGAGTTTAGGATATTGAAGATATCGCAAGATCAAGATGAAAGGCATGAGAGAGAGATATAAGAGGCAACGAAAAGCAAACCTTTTCATCACCATCACTCAACTCATTATCACAATCTCAGTATCTTCGCATCATATCGATATCCAAGCTACTCTTCGGCATAAAATAAAGCATCAACAACTCCAACGCAATCACTCTCAAGATGACAGCCAATATGAACACCATTCTCATCCTAGGTGCCACATCCGGCCTAGGCGAAGCCTTCGCCCGTTACTTCCACTCCAAGGGCAAAAAGGTCATCGCCTCTGGTCGTCGCCTCAACCGTCTCGAAGCCCTCAAATCCGAACTCGCCGGTCTAGAAACTGTGCAATTCGACATCTCGGACATCCCATCCATCGAAGGGAACCTTACGAACATCTTTACCGCCTACCCAGACATTGACAGCATCTTCGTCATTGCTGGGAAGCAAGAGATTGGACAGTTCACCGATCCATAGACTACAAGTGCGGAGGGTATTGTATCGGAGATCGCGACGAACCTGACGGCACCATTGTGTATTGCCAGGGTTGCAGTGCCGTATTTGTTGGGGTTGGGGAGACCGGCAACTTTTCTGACCGTTACTGTAAGTGTATCTTGCCAACTCGTGAATTCGAAAAGAGAACCAGTCCTGATATCACACAGTCCGGGCTAGCATTCATCCCACTCCCAGCCTAGCCAGTCTACAACGCCACCAAAGCCGGTCTCCACCTCTTCAACGTGACGTTACGGACTCAACTCACTGGTACCAACGTCGAAATGATCGAGCTTGCTCCACCATACGTGGACACTGAACTCGATGCAAAGAATCGGGACACGCTTGTCGGGATGCAGGGTGGTGAGGGTAAAGCCGTGAAGCCTATGCCATTGAAGGAGTATATGGAGGCCACGACAGCTGCGCTTGAAAAGGGTGGAGACAAGGAGATCGCGACTGGGTTCTCAGCTATGGGTGTCAATGCTTGGAGAGGTGCATTCCAGCCCATTCTTGACCAGTTTGGATTTTTGGGATAAGAGGTGGAGAGATTCTGGAAGTGGAGAAATGTGTATCAAGCACTAATCGTGCTAAATTTCATTGCTTCGTATTTTAGCTTTCAAGCAGATCTAGATTTGGTATATGTCTAAACATTATTGTTCCTTGCACCAATATAGGAAGCAAAATTCCATTTGACGTCCACAGGAGGTATAAATCCTTGATTATATTGAGCGTCAAGTTGCCCAGCAACATCCTCGTGCTGCAACTGGCCTGCGAGGAATTGATCCCAGCCATTCTGTTATGGTTATTAGCTTCGCTTCAACAATCACATAGCTGCGACTAACCCAGTCAAAATCAGTTGGTGCGGTCAAATCGCTGCTGAATACGTCTAGGAAGTTGTCTTGCATCAGGGTATTGCTGTTCGAGGCCGGCTCCTCGGCAGGCACGCCCAGACCAACACAGTTAGTGAAGTACGTATTATTCCGCAAAGAGTCAACGTTTTGATTGTTCTGGCTGGTTCGTGTGAAGGCTGGCGGGACAGGCGCAAAAGCTTGAGGAGCAGGTGGGCCAGCCGTTGTACTACCATTGGACATGAACTTCTTAGACAGCTTCTCGAGCACTGCGGTGAGTACTTTTACGGCGCGCTTGGCGTCCCTGCAGTCATTCACAATTTCCATCCAGATGGCTCGAGATCGCTTGATAGCGTCGAGCTTCTGTTCTGGTGTCATGACGCATTCTGGTACTTCTTCACTCATCAGATCCAGGCAGATTATCATAGCTGCGAGGAGGAAGTCGTGATTTGTGATCGAGAAGTGGTACCTGGATTCGAAGAGCGAGGCATCAGTGGACGATTCTGCAACTTCAGTTGCAGAGGAAGGTCAAATGTTGGGGTCGGAGGGGGACAGTATCCATAAATCTGTGCTCACCACTTCATCTTGCTCATACAGCCACCTGGTACAGTAGCTTGATACATTGTGGCCTGAAGCTCAAGCATAGCAATGGCAGAGCCTAGCGAGCTCTTCCGCGAATAGAACCATTGACCGTTCTGTGGTGTGTCGGAGGGTGACGAGTCCCAGTATTTCCGATGTAGTATGCAAACTGATTTATGCCAGAAACACTCCAAGATGAACTTTTCCATGATGCGTGAGCGAAGGTCATTCTTCATTTCGTCCAATGTTCCAAACTGCAAATGCGGTGGGATCATCTGGTGTATTTCCAAGAGCTTCAAATCCAGTTTCAGAACTTTCTCATATGGTTGAGGCTCAATAATATGAACGAACTCAATGACTTCGCCATAACATCTCATGAGCCGATACTTGATGACTTGGTAACACACTTCGGTATCTATTGTCAGGGGGCGGGGTGGAGGCAGTTCTGTCATGTCCTCGTACAGTTCCTCTTCATACAAGTTCAGCGGTGCCCGCGTATCACTTTCTGCATACCTCATAGCTTTTGGAAGTCCAAGCTGTACTGACCAAAGGAGTCTGAGAACATTTCAGCATTGTGGTTTAGTTCTTGAGACTTCAGATATCTCGATTGTAGGTCGGTAACGCAGCTGACTTACTCATGTTGGTTGACGGCACTCCATATACGGCGTCGCATCTCAGCTTGGAAGACAGAGATACCCGGCATCTGGGAGGGATCTCGATGGTAGCCTTGCTGAAGGGCTATCCGCATCATCATTCCAGAAATGATTGAGGTGCCCAAATCACCATCCGAGTCGCTGTTGTACTCTGCAAAAGAGTGCAGATCTAAGGTCTCGATCATGAAATCAGTCTGTAGAGGTCAGCAGGATGCAAATAACTTAATGAGAAAAATAGCTGTGTCGGTTTTAGTCGAATACGTACTGGCCTTGTAAGATCTGCCATGACTAAACACTGAACAGTGAGAATTCTGTATAGCTCCGCTAATTCGGGAGCGGTTTCTTCGTACTCGTGGGGTATTTCGTTGGCCCTTGTGTAAGATTGCATTGCGAGGCAGAATATTGAATACAGCAGTCCTATCCTAAACAACGACTTAGTTTCAGTATTTCACATACAAACGAAGGTTGACGCATTCGGACGATTTTTCGGATCATTGTCAGCGTTTGAATTCCTACCAAATAATACTGGTCTTATCTGGGTTGGCCCAATGTTGGCTATACTGCATCGACATTAGGGTTTGAAAGAATCCAGCTGATAACAAAACATGCCTGTCTCAAAAATGTGCTTTTGTGAAGAACATCTGTCCAAACTCAGCCTTGCTCGAACAAGAGCCGCGACCAACTCACATCTAGCAGGGATGCAAGGATTGTACGAATCAAAGAATTGCAGTAGGAGCTTATCTGCAGCCTCTCTAGGAGGAAGAGACTGCATTATAGTAGATCGGTCAGGAGGTGGGGTCAATCCAGCCAGAAGACCAGGTCGATGCGCTTTCGTTGGTCGGTCACTTCCCAGCCGGCAGGCAAATAGTTCGATCTTATCATTGTCCTCGCTCCAGGCTTCTTTCATCCCTCCAATCTCGTTTAGTATCGCATCCCAAGCTGTGCTCCTCGTATCATTTGAAATTCGTTGAGGCCCAGCCACAGTGGTCACTTTTACTGCATCGGGTTCGGGTCCTCCCTCTCCTTTGGTGTCACTAGATATCATGGATAATATGGAACTCTCGAGACGATTCAAACGTTTCCGCATCTCTTCTGCATCAGATCGAGGATTCGGGTGTCCAGAGTTCTTCTTGTCGGATTTCTCTGCATAGGTACATGAAACCGCATTGGACTCTCCTCTCACAACGCAGTTCTGACATGGTCGCTCTCGATTGCACTTCAACCTAGATACAGGTAAATACACAGTCCACAAAGAGTACAGATGAATACAAGTGGAATCAATGGCGAGACTCCGACATACTTCCTAACTCGGCAAGCCACTGTAAACAAATGCCGAAATTAGCATGTATGGCTCTAGAGAAAGGCTAGGTCAAAACTTGCCGCAAGACAACGGCACCCTTCTTCGAGTGAGTCGGCCTGGTCGCTGGTTAACTCGTTTAGGAGCCTCCATTGTGTGGTACGTTCAGAGGGTCACGATCTGGACAAAATATGATGTTCTCCACGGAGATAGCAAGAAGTCCATGGGAAGTGGATTCAAGGACATAAGCTGTCAGCGCGAATAGACGCGGCCGCGCCAAGATGTGACAAATGCGCCTGAGCCCTTAGGTAGGTAGGTATACGTATACCTAGGTATTTCAGGAACGCGGGCTGATGCACGTGTGGGTAGCAAGGGGGAGACGCTTAATCTCATTCCTGCTCCTATGAAAGCAGCCCAATCTCATCTTTTTGAAAAGCTCCAAGCTTCAAGCACGCGAAAGGGAAAGAGAACAGCCTCAGAAGACCAACGAAGAAAATCCCCGTACTTTGACCAGGCGAGGTCAAAACATCGGCATCTCGGAGTCTTGCCCAGGATCCTCGCCTCCCTGTACTAGCCTAGCCTAGCCCGGCCTAGTCAAAGGGCGAAGCCCTATAAGAGGTCGACCACTTCGACCGCCGTTCCGGCGGAACCAGGTCTCGCATCAAGACGAGAGTGAGGATGAAGACGAGGCTGCGAATCGCATTCCATTGCTTACGAATTCAAAGAGTGGACTGCAAAAGTCCCTTGTTCGCACTCTGCCTTCATGTGCAATTTTCCTCTGCTTGAAACACCCGCTGTTATCGAAGCCAAGCTACACTGGAATATCAATTTTAGATTGAAGCCTCGATATAACTGAATCCTTTGTTGGTAGAGACATCATTGACAGTTTCGTTCGCGTGCACTCGTTTGGGAATTATTTACTCTGCAATCACGATACGCACAAGGCTGCACGCACTGCACATCTCCCCAGACTTGCAGATGGTTGAACACGACATGATGTCTGGCCCGCCGAGCGCCGAGGGCGAGAACCTCAACCGGCGGAAAAGGGTTCGCAAAGGTACTCGTAGTTGCTGGGAATGTAAGCACTCTTCATCCCATTTCTCTCATACTTCCTTTATCATCGTCGTATCCTGGTGGAATCTATGCACCGCGTGCAACGAGCCACAAGATTTGAAGCATGGTCATCTAACTCGAAGTAAAGGCAAGAGAAGAAAGGTCCGCTGTCAGTTGAGCTCTGAAGATGTCCCTGTATGCTCGGGATGCTTGTCGCGGGGAACGACTTGTCTCAGTCAGGAATATCCGGAGGAGCGCGAACCTTCCAACCATGGAAATCAAGTTGGAGAGAGACTTGGACGCATGGAAGCTCTTCTAGAGACTCTGCTGGCAAAAGTGTCCGCCTATGAAGAGGAGGAAGAGGCTCAGAAGATGATGACCCCAGAGTCTATTGGCAACGATGTCCTCAGTCCCTTTGCAACCTCTGGATCCGATGCCACGAGTAGTACACCTCTCATTACCATATTCGACAGCCCAATACTAGGTCGACGGGACAACTCAGTATCCCATACTCCGGCGTCCCAATCGACGAAGTCCTCATCGTGCAGGCCCCCTAAGGACGAGAGAATTCGCCAAATTCTTCTTGATCTACTACCGCCGCAGCATGAGACAAATTCAATTGTACGCTCGAGTTCTTCTTGGTTTCTAGTCCATGCCCTTGAGAATCGAGCAACTTCCAAATGCGACTCTGTCAGCTCGGCGACGTCGAAACTATCCGAGCTGTCTAGGGCACATCCAACAAAGATTGCCCGTACTTTAATGTTCATTGCTGTCTGTCTCCAGCAGCTTGATCCCGAGTTTGACAAGTCAAAGTTGCATCTCTTTCCAACTGTTGAGGCGAGGATGGAGAAAATGATCATCACTGTTCAAGGACTTATAACATCCGATGATGAGCTTGTTAGTACTGTCAACGGCTTGGAAACTTTGGTGCTTTTGGGCGCTTTTCATATCAATGCAGGTAGGTTCCCCAATCATTCCTCGGTGTTTCAGCGGCAACGGCGAAGGTCGTGGGTAACCAAAGGGTAACTTATGATACTGACTTTCACAACTAGGTAATCCACGACGGGCTTGGATGACTTTCCGAAGAGCAATGAACATCGGCCAGCTAATGGGAATACATAAACCAGAGACAAGTATCGAAGGAGGGTGGGATATGTGGCTACAGATGACACAAGGTGATCGTTACCTGGTAAGTTGCCGTGGCTGTCCCGTCTTACTCCTCTTATGATACCTATGTTGTTCTAAAACACCAAATAGTCACTCCTCCTTGGTCTTCCTGCAGGCGCCAACGATCCAATCTACAAGCCTGATGAGACATTTGATAACCCTGCTACCGACAAAGATTGCCTCTTCACCAGAAAGATGTGCGATCTGTCGTCGCGCATTATTGAGAGAAACGAAGCATCCGGTACCCACGCATATGCAACTACGCAAGAAATCGATGAGGGTCTTGATCGTCTAGCCAAAGAGATGCCCGCAAGCTGGTGGGCGATTCCAGATATTGTTGAAAATGACAGGAGTCATGGAGCCGCCCTCACTTTCGACAGACTTATGGCCCAAGTCTGGTTCTTCCAACGTACGTCCCATCTCCGATATTTCAGATCTCGCAAATTCAGAACGAGTCATCAGAGCTGGCAAAGAACTTTGCAATGTCGCATACTAATTCGTTTTTGTAGTTGAGGCACTCTTACATTTGCCATTCATGCTGAAGTCAGAGCGCCGCTTTGAATACAGTAAATTCAGCTGTTTGAAGGCTTCGAGAGAGGTGCTGTGGAGGTATCTGGCGCTCCGGAGTGCCGAAAATAAGTCGTTCTGCTGCAAGATCATCGATTTCGGTGCACTTACTGCTTCGGTAACACTTTTCCTTGGCCTTTTGGAACCAGTGACCGGGATCGAATCACCAGAACGGAAAAGCGACAGGAATCTGATCCAAACGGTTCTCGAATCCATGGAGGAGCTCTCTCAGGGCGGCAAAGACGTTGTTGCAACGCAGAGCGTGAATGTGATCAAGTCTCTCTTGGCAATCGACGACGCTTCAGGTCGTAACACTGGAAATCTCAAGCTCACAATCCCATACTTTGGTACGATAAGCATCATCCGCCCCCACAAAATATCACAAGGCAGTCTCTCCGCTCCGCAATATATTCCGCAGCAACAGCCTCCAAATGAAGAAGGTCAAATCAACCCACAACATCAATTACAAACGCTTACAATAAACCAAAATTCGGCTCAACAGAACTGGGCCACTCAAAATTTCGTCCCTATGACTTCCAGTCAGCAAAATCCTATGAACCTGCCGCACGTTTCTTTCACCAGCAGTCAATTCCCTGAAGTTGGCCCCGAGCAGCAGATTGAGGATTGGGGATTACCTGTGGAGATGGACACGCTTTTCTTTGACAGCCTACTGAATACTGATATCGAAGGAAATTGGATCTTTTGATTTGGCGAAAGGCGTTGCACTCATGTGGGGATCCCGAAGGTCGGCTGGTGTTTTGCTTACGCCTGTATGATAGTCTAGATTCGGCTCGGCCATTATCAAAGGGGCGTTCTCGGAAATAAAAGAATTGATGGCGGCTGGAACCATGATAATGATATCCGGAATTTCAAGTGCACGGCTATGAGGTGTTTCGATTACTGACAGCATCTGATGCAAACAAGTAAGTCGCTTCCTCGGAGATTCGCCGGGAGAGAATGCCTGCACCTAAGGACAAATAGACAGTACTGTTGAGAGTGACAAGGCTGATCTTGGGAATGCTTCAAAGTCAGAATGCACAGTCAAATCATCTAACATCAGCTTTCTAATCATAAATACACATTATCTAGACCCGGTGGCTATAAGTCTACTCATCCCAACTTCAACAACTTCTTACAAGTTCCGAAGTTCCATGTACACCTCTCGAACACACCTACGCAGGACCCATTACTTCAAACCCTTCCATCCCCGGCAGACTCGAATTCCTCCACCTTCCCCAAATTCTCCAACCTCCCACCCTGAATCCGCACTCAGATCTGGCTCCATACCCCCATATCTGGTATCATGCACCCAAAATCCCCCTCTTCAATATCAAGATCAGACAACACACGCTTAATACCGTTCCACCGACTCTACGCACTTGTCGCGAAGTCCGGTTCTCGCTCCTGCACCATCCATCACTAGCTGCTTCGAAGCAGCCAACGTACAAACTCTGTACAATGGGTGTCAAGAGCCTAAAATTCTGTATATCAATCTTGAGAGGGATCGTTGATGCTGAGCTTGGATAATATGGCGATCTGTTCTGTTCTTGTTACGAGTCGTGATCCAGCAGCTCAGTATTATGGAAGAGAAAGAGACTGGAAGATTTTACTCCAAATCTCAGTAATACTTACCGATTATTCAATCCTGGAGATCCGACATTTGCAATTTTGCAGAGATGGGACTTGATGGCGTGGGAGGAGTTGCTGTTGCGAACGCCGCCATATTATGCGGGGTGGAGAAATCGGTTGGTGTAAGAGAGGGGACTGGGTCGAGGTTTGAATGGAAACCGGTAAGAATAAGGAGAGAAGACTAGAATAGTAGTAGGAGGAGGCTCGCTGAAGAGGCAAAGAAACCTGGGGGGGGACAGTCTGGATCTTCAGGGTTGCTGAGATGGAGTCTGTTGGATGAGTGATACAGATGGAGAGTCTTGACTACATGCCTATGCTGCGCCATGAGCCACGAATCCCGTAGTCGAAACATGCTCACAGAGCTTTCGATACAAAGCTGGGACTCGGTGATTGTAAAATGGGCTTGATAGCTGATGTTTGATGCCTCGGCGCTTATTTCCTGCTCTAAACTTTGGAAGCTAACATCCGTTATGTGTTTTGAAAGATGGGAAGTCAGTCATCTCGCACCCGCTTCTCGTCTGGAAGTTGTACTCTTTGATATCTGCCGTGAATTTGAGAGGTTGAAGGTTGGCTGTTCAGCGCTCGATTATTACTTGGCTTCACGGCAGTTTTATTCTGGAGCTTGGCTCAGGACTCGCTTCTTGTTTATATTCTTGGCGCGCCCCCTTTTCTATGTCCCGTCTGAATAAGCGAGGTCTTATTTCGTTGTGAATTCGGACTTGAGCACACGATCTGCCAGGATGTTACTGCCGAATTTATCTGCCATCTAAATGCATTATCATTGAGCATGGGGAGCATGGACTTTGTGGTTTTTATCCGCCAGTGACCCAGAAGTCTGGTCCTGCATCTGATCCTTGACCCACTTGGCTCCGCAAATATGCCATACAAGCTAAGACGAAGCCACCAAGTAGTGACTTTGTAACGACATACCTCAGCTGACTTAGATGTACTCTCCAGCCCAAAGGTAATCGGCAGATATTTCGGCAATTTTATCTTCTCCTTGATTGAGAGAGTAGAAGGCCTGAAAAGCACAAGCGAGCCTGGGTCGATTGCAAGAAGGCCTGCACAAAACAATCAGGACAACCATATCAATTGTATCTCAATTATATCTCAATACTGTCGTTCCAAACTTAAAGAGCCAAGACATCAGATTAAATAATGTTACATGCCGTTGAGCTCTGCAGTGTGTTCGTTTCCGTTCTATTGGTATATCTAAAACACCAGCAGCTATTACCCCGCGCGGAATCGGAAAACCCCCAGAAACACACCAACGGCAGCCACATCATCCCCATGAACTCCAGACCCCCTGTTTCCCATGCCTCCAAGCAAATGACAGAGACAGCCCCTGACAGCGCAGCTCGCTACCATCCTAGGCCAAGCTTTTATCTAGCACCCAGGAAAACCCACTTCTCCACGTTTCTCCAGGCTCTCAAATCAAGTAGATCCGCAATCTCGTGGCAGGCCTTTCCTTTGTGAGAAAACGCCCCGGATTATCTACAGGGGAGCAAAGAATGGTCTCGGAGGAAAGAGGCTACTTCAGTAGATAGACACACTGCTGAACTGCCGTGTTGTGATTCCGCGTTGAAACCTTAGGGTGATGCGATGGTTGTGGAGAGTCCCCGGAATGAGGTCGGAACAAGGTTTACTGCTGGGATGCTTGTTCGTGTGGAGCTAGACGTCAACAGCATCTAGGCCACACGTAAGTCTTCTTAAGCTTGTGTTTTCCCTCGTGGCGAGTTGAAGGGATCGACTCCTCTACTGAGAACATCTTACCAACTCTCGAGACAAACTTGGTGGCGCGGGTAACAACGAAATTTCATCATGGATCAGAACCTCGACCCCAATGTAAGAAGATGCGTGTAGATGGCCAGATACAAAGAATACTGACGTAATTGCCTGCAGACCTTGAGGGAGTTGGAGAGAGAGTTGGGGACAGAGATATATCCTGGAACGGAGATTATGACTGATGTGGGGTCCCACCACTTCGTCAGAGCTGGCACTGGAGGGAATTCAGTCCTCGTTCCTCAACCCTCGGATGACAAGCATGACCCTTTGAATTGGAGCCCTATGTGGAAGGGCTTCACGATCTTCTGTGCGACTCTGGTCTCGTTCGCACAAGGGTTCGGTCCATTGGCGCTGGTAAGTTTCCTAGAGCAATGGAGCGAGCAAAACATACTGATGGTCTTGAAGGCGCCTATGTTTGGTGACTACATCCAAGCTTTTGATTCGAATCTCGCAGATGTTGTCCAGTTCACTGGGATTGCGATTCTAGTGCTTGGGTTTAGCAACTTCATTTGGTGGGTGAAGCAGTGAAGCGAAGCGCAAAGTCTTACTAACAGCCCCAGGGTGCCAATCCAGACCTGTTTTGGCAGACGTCCAGTCATGATCATATCCACTTTGATTTGCTTCGGGAGTAGCATCTGGAGAGCAAAGGCCAATTCGTACAGCAGCTTCATGGGTGCTTGCGTGTAAGTACATCTCACATCTTCATCCGAGTTGTTTCGTGAAACTGACTTAGCCATTCAGCTTGAACGGAATTGGAGCCGGACCTGCAGAAACGATTCAACCTACCATCATCGCAGATGTGATTTTCCTGCACGATCGTGGGAAGCACAATACATTGTACTTCGCAGTATACTTTGGATCCCTCATGGTCAGGTCCTTCGGTCAAGGTCGATGTCCATCTGCTAATATAATGCTCAGGTCGGTCCCATTATCTCTGGTCCCATGGCTGAGAACCTCGGGTGGAGGAGCTTTTGGTGGCTGAATGCTGGACTCCTGGGATTTGCTGCTGTCTGCTGCATCTTCCTCTTCCCTGAAACAAAGTACCACCGCCCATTCGTTCCAGTACAAAGCATGGTGTCGACATCTCCTGGTCTCAAGTCTGGATCGATGGAGGAAGTCGAGACTACTTTGCCTCAGCACCACCTGGGTACCTCGGCCACAGATCACGCCGACCCAGAGAAAGCGGCGCCCGTTCAATCCAACTCCCAAGTTGCAGGCTCTAATCTCGGCCATGCACTCACTCACGAAGACCCGTGGCTTGGCCGAGGCTCGCCTTCCAAACAGCAATGGAAACTCATGCAACCATACGAAGGAAACTTCTTATTGGAATTGTGGATGCCATGGAAGCTTTTCGCGTTCCCGATCGTCCAATTCTCATCCTTCGTCGTCTCGTGGACAGCATCCTCTTTCCTTACGTTGAACTTAACGCAGTCTCAGGCTTTTGCTGCTCCGCCTTATAATTTCAGCAGTGCAAAGATTGGGTTCTTCAACTTTGCGATCTTGATCGGTGCATTCATTGGCCTCTTCACAGCTGGTCCCCTGAGCGATTTCATTGCTGCCAGGTTGACGAAAAGGAACAACGGTATCAGAGAGCCGGAAATGAGATTGTTGACTATGGTCCCGTATGTCATCATAATGATCATCGGCAATGTCGTTACTGCTATTGGATACGAGAAGGGTTGGAATTGGAAGGTAGGCTGAAGCCCCAAGTTCCCATAACTGAAGACTAACATAGATTAGGTAATCGTTGTCATTGGATACTCCTGTGCCGGTATTCAAGTTGCAGCACTTCCCGCAATATCTTCAACATATTCCGTCGATTCGTATAAACCAGTCGCCGGTTCCATCTTTGTTGCCATCACGGTGAACAAGAACGTTTGGGGATACGGCTTCTCGAAGTTCATCACGCCATGGATCATCAAGTCGGGATATATCCCACCCATTATGACCAATATGGCCTTGATAACCTTCTTCTGTTGCACCGGAATCATTTTCTGGTTCTATGGAAAGACATTCAGGAAGTGGACCAGAAATTCCAAGGTACACAGCATGTAAAGGATGAATATTGAGAGGAGAGCAAAGATCAGTGGACATTGAATCTAATGAAGGATGAGGGCGATGACAAAGAAATGAATGTACCAGAGGAATTCTTGTAAAGTAGAGCAGGTTTCTGAACCTAAATAAATGAGCCAAGATCAAGCGCAAAATATTCCAGAGACACGCCACATCCCTTGTCATGTACTCGACAGACGCATTTGCAAGCAATGATGTGACAGGAGAGGCTCAGGAGGTTGATCATTCTATGCAATAACTTTGACAAAAAATAAAGATACACCTTCCCTTCGTTTCTCCTGAACAACGTCAAAAAGAAAATCGATCAAGCCAGCCTAGCCTTGAAGCTACCCGCTCGTTCAATGTCATTGTCTCCATCAAGGAACATATCCACGTGCGCCGCGAAGAGTTCCGCATATTGGTACAGAAAGCCATGACCCGCATTTGGGTAGATGTGCAAATGGGCATGCGGGAGTAGCTGGGCTAGCTCGAAGCTGTTTGGCGTCGGAATCAGAAGATCATTGTCGCCATTGGCAACAAAGATCGGCATCTTGAGCTCCTGAATACGCTCGTACGGATTGTCCGGACTGGACACACTGAACTTTGAAAAGGCTTCGGTCTGGCGCTTTGCAAGTACTGGGCTGAGATGCGGTGCACGATCGTCTGTTCGAGTGAAGATGCGATTCCATGATGCTTCGGCGGCGTCCCTTCCATGTTGAGTGGGATTGAAGAAGGACCGTTCGAATGCTGCTTTAAATTCTTCTTCCGTAGTAGAGTGGGCGAGCTCGTAGAAGAGTTTACGAGGTCCAAGAATTGTGTTGGGAGTTCGGCTAGTTCGTGTACCAGCGAGGATGAGTCTACGGATTTTCTCTGGCGCTGCAAGTGCAACATGCTGGGCCGCACCACCTCCCATGGAGAATCCTAGGAGGTCGATTTGCTGTATGTCCAGTGCGTTCAATAGAGCAATGACGTGGGTAGCCCAGCCATGTAGAGTGGTTGGGATCTCTCCCTCGCTTTTTCCAATGCCCGCATTGTCAAGCAAGATGATAGGCCTTGATTTTGCCAGAGCGTTTATGAGAGCAGGATCCCAGAAGTCCATATTTCCTCTGCCCGGTTTGTTCTTCATCAGTTTCTTCAATTTGAAAAAGGTATATGGTTCAGGTTGTATGTGTTGTCAGGAACAATCTTCCCTCCTTGGCATATTTGGACGTGAAGTCACGTACCGGAAGTGCATCAGCATCACCAGCGGGGTGCCATACATCAGTCCAAGCTGCCGGTATGCAAGCTTTGTGCCGTTTGCAAGTATAAACTTCGTCACAGTGGTCTGTTGAGTACTCATTGTGGCGTAACTAGAAGCTGGATTCCTCCAAATGTTCTTGTGATTAAGTAACAATCAGTCGCCAGACAGTCCATGTGCGAGGCGGCCCTTCTTATGTACAAAATCACAATTGGGCATTCCCGCGCTTGGACGCTAGCAGTTGATCTTTCGAACATCCCATATGCAAACCAAGAACATAGGTGGGATTGACTTGTGTCAGCCCAAGTCTTGAGGAGCCTGAGCCCAGCAGTATAACTTCACAGTCGTCCGCTTTGGGCGAAACTAAACGATTCGGGAAATCACCAAACAGTGCTTGTGCATTAGCGTGGCTCCACTAGCATCTCCCTTCATGACGGGATTCGTGGAGCTGCATAGGCTACGTCAGAGCCAGCCAATCCGAGCTTCTGCTCACCTAAGCAGTTCTCCATGACTTTTCTCAGACTCCTGGGCATCTCGAGAAAGGCGCAAAGGCTCTCAGACTCAAACTAGACCTGGAGATCTGAATGCACAACTTGCTCAACATTACTCGAAAAGAATAATCATCAAGTATGGAGGGAATCAATGTACTTGTTCCGGCAACTCCAATGGTTATGGTGCAGAGGATGACTGTTGCTGCACCAGCATCAACCAACACCCGTCCCCATGCAGAAGTTGTATAGTATATGTCTCCCGTCGGAGGAATCATATCGAGCTCAATCAATCACTCGTGGAAGCCACAGTACAAGTTTGTTAATTCCAAAAAGTACAATAAAAGGAAAGCTCCTACAATACGCCATCATTACACAAGACGCGAATCGGACGTGTGGTGGAGATGGAATCGTCATGCAGCTACATCTTCAGACAAAATTTCGAGAGTAACATTGTCCATAAACCCATCGGTGCCACTAAGCATTGGGTCATCAACGGCACTCTCGACATTCCACTATCCTCTGAACATGCAACCTAAGACACATGCCCTATTGGAGCAGTACCTTACACACGCAGCGAATAGAATGTATCCAATACGGTCTTGCTTCAAAAATAGTCCTTTCCGATCACCTCGGTGGTTTCACTTTGCAGTAAACGATGCTGCCATGCTTTACGGAGTCTTGTTTGCTGGAGCGGTGTATTTGGCATTGCTCCAAGGCAAGAGAGAAACAATGGATACAATGTACTACGAGAACGAAGCAATATCGATTCTTCAAAAACGTCTCGAGACCTCAAGTTCGGCCTTTGATGATGCAACTCTAGGGACAATATCATGCCTTGCCCTAGGCGAGGTAACCACCCTGTCCGACAATTTCCAGGTATGAAACTTCGCTGAAACTAGTACTTCAGGCAATACTGGGGAATCAACAGCATTGGACCATACATATGCGAGGTATCCAACATATGATGAAACTGAGAGGGGGGGTGGCATCTCTTCCTTCCTTCCTTCGAGCAAAGCTGCACCGGTAATTGTTCCTGCCTCATAGTTTTCTATATCCTGACGTAAACAGGGTGGATGTAACGGGTGCAATCAACTACGCAGAAAGACCATATCTCGATTTTGTCCTAACGGATCGATATGGTCGAGTCTTCCACTTGAGATCCTCCAAAAGATAGCCACTGAAATGACGGAATTACTAACCATGAGTGAGGTTCACCCCTCTCTGGTGACAACGTTGACCAACTTGGCATACTTCACTATTGCCATTAAAGAAAACAAATCGAAGCGAATGGGCTTCCTCGACCCGATCATTTTCACAGAAGATCTGCATGGGATCCAGCACAACCTCCTCTCTTTCTCCACACTTCTACCTGCCTTTGACAACCCCGCATCCAAGGTTGACAAAGCACTCGGATTCGGTGCCTTGTTATACACGAAATCAATACTCCAAGAGTTCCCGAACTCAGTGACAGGCCCATCGATCCTGCTTGCGCGGCTCCAAGAGTCACTGAGCGAGATCGAGTTCTCGGAATCTGTTGTTCCTCTGCTCGCTTGGCTTTCTTTGATCGGTGGTGTGTTGTCAACGGGGGAGGGAAGAGAGTGGTTCGTTGCTCGCTTGCGGATGTTGATGGCAACCAATCGGACAACTTCCTTTCAGGAGTTGGCAGGGGGCATGAACAGGTTATTGTGCCTGCGAAATGTCTTCGAAAATGCATACGAGGATAGTTGGCTGGAAGGTGTGAATAAGGCGGGGTCGAACCTTGGTGGGAAACGATAGGGAATCACCCATACCTGGAGCCGCCTTGTTGCTTCGGCCAAGTGGGAGACTGTCTGTGTCGCCAACTACTGGTGTTAAGTGATTGCTGTATTCATTATTACGAGGAACCCAACCACTTCTCTTGAGGCAGTATAGGAGTACCAGTTGCCATCTAGACTTGGACGTGTTGAACTTCCAATCTTCCCATCTTCCCATGATACTATTGCATTGCACCGTCAAGTCTTTGTCCATCAAGGTTGGTGATACAAACCTGCTGATAGCCCTTATCCGGCGAACTGCAATTCTAATATACTCTCTGCATACTGCCGAGAACCGCAGATCTTGCTTTTCAATGACTCCAGAATAAGACGCATCCAGACTTTCGGAAGCGCAGGGCTGCACAGGTACCAAGTTCTCAAGAAGACTGGGCAGACGAGGCAGTCAGGCATCAGATGGAGGAAAAAGCAAACGCGGTCATCTGCAGCTCACATCCCGTGCAAATTTCCTGATCTCGATCGATCTCGTCAGATGTCAGTCATTGGGCACCTCGAGACGTGGCCGTGCCACAAAGGAGGACGAGGATCGTCATTTGGCGGTGGCTTTACGGAACATCCAGGCCGTGTGGCCATCGACTGAAACGTTTTCTGTGCGATGAGAGCACCTTTGATTCGTGGGACTGCCATTCTGTTAATAATTGATCGTCCTAAACCCTGTTTCTGGGACAAAGTCAGATTCCCGCTTGCGAGGTCTGCTGTGGCTGATGTACGCCAAGTTTCGTGGAAGCGGCGTCATGGCTCAACGCTACCCGCCTGTCAAGTGGACCCTCCCTGGCTCCTTAAGAAAATCCTGGCTTCTGCCAACCTTCATGGGCAGCCAAGTAGACTGATTGGATTACCCTGACCTGATAAACAAGTAGTCAAGCCACATGGTCCAGTTATTCTTCCCAGTCTCGAGCTGCCGAGCTGCCCTGGCCCTGACCTGTGCCTGCGTGAAGTTCAAGCAAGGCGGGCCCTACAGGAGCGAACCTCCGCCTTTGATGTCATGCTAATTGAGCCTCCCATATCAACTTCCTCGAGACCGTCTTTCATCCATCATTCTTACCTGAACTGTCTCATACCAAGCACTCTTTACTTAAAAGAACGTCTCACCTCAACCAAACTCAACCATATCTCCTTCCTTTCGAAATCCATACATGGTTTCGATACTGACGACAACCCCACCAACACTGCAACGCAAAACATATATCACTTGATCGTTAGCAAGACTGAACAGACCAGTATGATGAATTCTAGCCAGAAGTCTCCAGAGAGAGCATTTGCTCTCCAGAAATACCTCCTCTTGCACTCGCAACACGATGCATTGCAGAAGCACCTCAATGGCATCTCAGCCACGAGCCCAACAAGCTCAACCTCACCAACACGATCTCCTTCCCGCTCCCGCTTCTCATCTTTCTCTTCCTCGTCAGAGGCCAATACCGCACCATTTCTCGTATCAAATCCCACAGAAATCACTCCACACCACCGCCGAAGCGGCAGCATGCCTCGTCATCACCAGCGTCCTCCATTCAGGACACGCAGATCTTCACTGCCGACTGTCTTTGACGAGAGCATTCTGGGAGAGATCGAGGAGGATGAGAACAAACTGAAGGATGTCAACTTGCAAATCAAGAGCACGTTGACGGAGTTGTTGAATTGCGAGAGTGTTCGCAGTGACAGGAAGTACCGGATGTGGGTACAGAGCAGACTGATGGATGCTGAGAAGGAGTTGAAGGGCTCAAGGACCAGGAGTTGTGATAGAAGACGCAGTGAGGACCTGGGAGGAATGATGTTTTAATGAAAGCATGACGTCGATATGGGAGATGTTGAGCAGGACGTGGAAGGACATATGGCGAAGGAACGCTGGCGTTTGGTTGTACCAACATTGCTGGATGCTTTTGCGGGCGACATTAGACTTTTGTACTGTACTGTATTAGATACCCCAGACTGTTTACTCAGCAGCATGTTAGTTCAATTCATAATGAATTATGACCTCCATTATTCTACTTCTATGCCTTTTCAACTTGAAATTTAGCTTTGCCTCCGTCAGCAAGCAGTATTTATCAGTTTCGCATTCGTCGCATTCACCTAATTTACGCCCGTACAAAGTTCACGGGGTTCCGCCCCCGGAAGCCAAATACCCGGCACTATCATCGGCGAGGCGCAGTCCTATTATACAAGGTCGTCCCAATTTCAGTTCTCTCATCACCATGCCACCAAAGTCTTCTTTTTAACTCCGCCTCCTACCACAACTCACCGCATTCGCGCCCTGAGAATGCGATGAAGCTATCACGAGATGGCCTGAAAGGGCATAGTGTCCACCCACGTGAGTTTCCGGTAGTGAGTTTCACATGTCAGTGCTCATTCAGAGTTCGCAAAGCTTCTGCAAGTCGCAGCGCTACGATGATACAGCCCACGTTTGAGAGGTCGAGATCAGACGCACCAAGACGTCTATGGCAGAAACCCCGAATTAGACTGTCGCATGAGTAGAGCACATCCCATCAACTGCTTCACCGCATGTTATTTGCCTTTCTGTATATATTATCATTTGTTTCCTTTCCTTTTCCCCTCATTTCCATTGTTTCTTACCCAGATACCCCAGAAGCATTGCACATACAGTAGACTTGCTTTTAATTTGAGAAAAATATTTAATCATGTCGGAGAAACTACCACCTCAGCAGAAGAGCGCTTTCTTTTCTTTCATCAAGGTTTGTACTTGTCTCCTGACATATTGAACTCAATTCTTCAGCGATTGCAACTGGTCACTGACGATGTTCTGCAGTCCCTCGCAACATTCAAAGGAGATCTGGCATCCCTAACAGCGCCACCCTTCCTCTTATCCTCGCAGTCGATCGTCGAATTCTCAGCATATTGGGCGGAACAACCATCATTATTCGTTGCGCCAGCAAGCGAGCCAGATCCAGAGAAACGTGCGTTGCTGGTGTTGAAATGGTTCCTGAGTACGCTGAAAGAACAACATAATAATAAGGACGAACATGGGAAGAAGAAGCGGATGAAGCCATTGAATCCCTTCCTAGGAGAGCTGTTCTTAGGGAAATGGGTTGATAATTCAGGAACCACACAACTTGTTGCTGAGCAAGTTAGGTAGGTTACCACGATCATTGGAGAAGATGTCTGCTAATGAAACCAGCCATCATCCGCCGATCACAGCATGTAATATCTGGAATGACGAACACGGGGTCAGGCTCGCAGGCCATGTTGCCCCAAAGGCCTCCTTCTCAACGACAGTCCACATAGACCGAAAGGGCTACTCGATATACCACATCGACAAGTACAACGAAGACTACCTAATAACAATGCCAAAAGTTCATATCGAGGGTATAATGACCGGGTCCCTCTCTCCTGAGCTCAGTGGCACAACGTACATTCGAAGTTCTTCTGGATACACTGCAAAGATAAACTACTCGAGTAAAGGTTGGATGAGTGGGAAGAGCAACTCCTTCGTTGCAAGTCTATACCACGATGATCATGAGAAGGATCCACTCTACACGATCGATGGGCAGTGGAGTGGACAGTTCACGATAAAGAAAGCGGCCACGCAAGAAATCATCGAGAAATTCTGCACCAGCTTGATACCAAAAACACCACTCATAGTCGCGCCAATCGAGAAACAGCATCCTCTAGAGTCGCGACGGGCGTGGCGAAAAGTGGTAGACGGGATCGAGCAAGGCGACATCTTTACCGTTGGACAGGAAAAATCGAAATTAGAAAACGAGCAACGAGAGATGCGGAAAAGAGAGAAAGCTGAAGGACGAGAGTTTCAGAGGAGGTACTTCTCGAAGATGAAAGACGACCCATTGGCAGAAAGGCTAGCTGAAGGAATCAAGGGGCCGACGTCAATAAAAGGTGACATGGATGGACATCATAGGATCTGGAAATTTGATGAGCAGAAGTACAAGAGGGTGCAGCAGAGTTTGAGAAATGGGAGTAGGAGTCCTATGAGGCCGCGATTTGATTCTGGAATTGGTGGTATTCTTGTGGACAAGGTTGAATAGGTTCGCTGTCCTTCTTTCTTCCAGCGTGGTGTTCGGTGACTTATGGATTTGATTTTGGCTCCAATAGAAAGTGTAGAGATAGACATGTGTTCCGAACAGAGTTTGATGATGCCTTTGGCCCCGGGAATGGTGAAGCAAGTGACCTTCTTCACATGTGAGTCAAGGAATCTTCATCGTTGGTACTGTATCACTCAATCCCGAGCCACGGTTGCATCACAAAGTGCATCATATGCGACGTCGAAATTTCGAGACATTCAGCCAAAACAAAAGACGAAAATGACGCAAACCTCCCCTCCAAGAGTCCAAAGAAGATTCCCGCAGCCTAAACACGCGATCGTGATCCTGCAGGGATGCAGTCCACCAACCAGACAGCAGATCAGGCGCTTCAGCCACTCACAAGCGAGATATTGACGCAAGGCTACCGAATGACATCATAGGGCTGCTCAACATTCACGAGGCAGGAACGAGAACGAGGAGCTTCACAACTTGCTTATCTATATAAAGAAGGCTTGTCGTCGACCTTGAAAGCTTCATTCCATAACAGCAACAGCTCAAGTCTTCTCCTACCACCAAGAAACTCAACCACAAGAACCAAACAAACAAAACAAACCCGCAAACATGTCTGACAAGAACACCTCCACCCTCCAAAGCTACGTCGACAGCGCCACCGGTGCTGTCCAATCTGCTTTGGGCAGCTTGACTGGAAGTACCTCTGATCAGGTAAGATAGATCCTCTTCTTACATCTTCCCCTCATGTCAGCACAGACTAACAACATCAACAGAACGTCGGCGAGGCAAAGAAAGCCAAAGCAGACCTCGAACACGAGGCTTCCCAAGCTACCCTCAAAGTCGGCAACCTTTCTGCATCCTCCTCAGGAGCAGTCACCAAGGATGACCCCAAGAGAACTGAGGGATCGTGGAACCAGACTGTTGGATCTGCCAAGGAGGCTGTCGGAGGCCTAGTTGGTAACGAGGTTGATATTCCCTGCCCTGATTACTGAGTTGGAGAAAGCCGAGGCTAACCTTTCAAACCAGTCTCTCAAGCAAGCTGGCGCCCGTCAAAATGCTGAAGGCAAGGCCCAAGAAGCCGAAGGACAACTCACCGATCTCGGTACTGGTATCGGAAACCGCGTCTCTGGTGCCGTTGGTGGAGCGGTTGCTGGTCTCACTGGTGACCGCGAAGCTCAGTTGAAGGCTCAAGAGCAACACGATATTGGCAAGACCCAACAACGTGGTGCTGAGCATGATATTCAGAAGCAGAATTCTTAAGTGGATGGTACTGGTAAATGATGGTAATGGGTGTATGATAATAAGATCCATGGATGGAGGAACGGTTGGGAGGACGGAAGTGATAGCGATGGTCTTTGCATGGTTTTAATGGAGCTCACTTGAGTCCATAATTGCGAGTTTGTTTTGATACCACGAATGAATACCCCTCTATGCGAAAGCTTTGTGTCTTCTCTGTGATGTTGTGAGAACTCCCTGGTACTTGGTGACCCATAATATAGGAACGCGGAAAGCGGCCCGACCACTAACTCCCGCCTTCGATCCGAGTCGCGCGGCGGTACGACATGCAACAAAGATTTCGAAGCCCCACGATGTCCTAGTTATACCACTTAGGTACCGCAGCTGGTGTTTACATGTAGCAAAATCAAATATCAACCTCCACGATCTCACGATGTCCCGACCTCACTCCGCAACATCGGCAACCTTCAACTTCTCGTGCCGAATATTCTAAGCACAGGAAGCTCGGCGTCATGAATGAGGCTTTGCACCCGTATGCGAGAAGTGTTCAATGGGTTGGGGGCAGGGAGTTCATGTCGATCGCTAGCTGCGAGGATGGTTCTGGAGAGGAAGGCAGCACGTTGTTATTGAGCGGCCATAAGCGAGATGCGTACTGCGGACGTGAAAAGCAGATCAAAGGTGAAAGAAGCTATTTAAAGGACCAAAAGAGGAGGAACACGGAAGTCAACAGAAAGCGACCCGTGTGAATGTCATGGATATTGTTAATCTCCGGTAGGATTCGATTGTGATTCGACGAGAGCACGCCGCAACCTTCAAATGGCAATGTTACTTGCCCAGCTCAGCACATTCACAAACCACGTAGTCACGGTCAAGTCAAGCAGAGAGAAAAGGTGGATACAGCTGCTTAGCTCGAACATGCCATGTGAACGGAGATACAAACAGGCTATCTAATTATCATGTCCTTCGGATATGCACGATGCTGATTTCAAGATTCGGTCGTTCACGGCGGATTCCTTATGACCACTCGTATTCGGCTTTACTTGTTAAACGAAATTCCCCAGCGTAGATAGGCAATTACCCCTGAGTTACAGTGGGGTAGAGTCGCCGGGCACTGTCACTACATCCGAGATCGTGGACATGATACCCGGAGATGGTCCCCCCCCCCCGAAAATCCGGTTATATCCGTTGGAAAACGAGATTAACGCTTGGTTCCAGGCGGCATTGGAGAAATTTGAATATCCAGGCACTCGAGTTCAGGACTAATATTCCCTCCCCGTTCTAATTGTTAGGCGCTGTTAAATTATACACTTGCTGCTTTTGCAATCCAGCTTGTCACAAGCAATACGGTGGCCTGGTTCTAATTATCAGAATTTCGACTACTAGCCGGTCCACCTCCTGTTTTGCTCGGGGCTCGCGTATAGTAGACCTGTGATTTTGAGAAACAGTGGTCGAAATATTCAAGTAGTTGTTTGCTTAAAAAGCGCTAGAGAATGAAACCGGGGGCTGTCAGTTGTGATTAGTTGGAGGGAAGACTATTGTAACTCACTTGATCTGTTTTCGCCGGGCAGAATGCTTGTGATAAGCAGAAAGCATTTGTTTGGAATAATATAATCTATTAAGTTTTTAAAGTAATGTGGAGTGCCATCGCTATAGTAATACTTCTATGCCTGAAAATGCTCCCATAGAAAACCTTCCGCCTGTACTTGAGAATTTGATGTCCCGCTCCAAAATATTTCGCCGCCTAACGCCATGGAACAAAAAGAAAAATTGGTATAAAACAGACATTCAATTCCCCACGGTACCTCAAGCGGCACCGCCCGGCTGTACCTTGCCCTTCAAGTTTGTCCACTTGCTGCATAGTGAGAAGATTACTGCAATACCAGCGCTGGCGATCGCGATGGCGTACGCGGCTTGGAGGCCCTTCATGTATGATGTGACGATGTCAGGTACGACATCTGCTGGGAAGTGATCCCGGATCTCCGTCACACCAACAACGAGAACATCAGCTGGGGTTGTGGATGGAGCATACTTTAGGATACTGCTTTGCAAGACGTTCGAGAGAGCGACTTGACCGGCGGAGACGAAGAATGCACCTCCGATTGTTTGCGCAAATAGGATCATAGCTGTGACTGAGGAAAGATCCTCAGGTTTCGAGACAGCTTGGCCGATGATGATGGGAACTTGCAGACACAGACCAATACCAATACCAGAAAGAGCCTGGTAACCGATCCATGCCGAGGACGAGGAGTGTGTGTTCAGAGTGTAGAGAAGTCCAGAGCCAATTGTTGCGATAGCGCTTCCTCCAATCATCCAAGGAACAGCAACACCAAATGCTGAGATCATGCCACCAGAGATAATTGTGGTAATGGTACATCCCAAAATCAGTGGCAAATTGCGGACACCAGAGTCGGATGCAGAGACTCCACTGACGACTTGGAAGTAGATTGGGAGGTTGTAGAGAAGGAGGAAGAAGCCACCTGCGAGGAAGAAGATGAAGACCATCCCACTCCAGATATGGCGGTCCTTGAGAAGGCGTGGCACGATCATGGCACGCTCCCCTTGGTACCATTCAATGACAACCCAAACAGCAAGAATGAGAACGAAGCCGACGAGCGTCCCGATCACTTCTGAAGAGTCCCAGCTTTTGGTTTGCCCTCCCCATTGAAGAGCAAGAATGTAGCATATGATGGCTCCCATGATGACGAACGAACCGGGCATATCCATTTGCAGGAACTTCTCCTTGAGGGTAGCTTTGACCGGGACGGCTTGGGCTGGTGTGGTGAAGAAGAACAGGATGATGGCGGCTGAAACTCCGCCAATTGGCAAATTGATGTAGAAACACCATCTCCACGTAGTATTCTCAGCAAAGACACCTCCGAGGAGAGGACCGATGACACTGGCGATACCGTATGCTGCTCCCATGAGTCCGGTAAAGGCTGCTCGCTTAGATGGTCTAGCCGAGAAAGCAATAATAGTGTAGGCACCCGATGCAATACCAGCTCCACCAACTCCAGCAATGGCTCTTCCAACAATAAGTGCTGTACTATTGGGCGCCACACCGCAGATGAGAGATCCGAGCTCGAAAATGAAGATGGCGATTAGGAAGGTTGTCTTCAACGGGAAGTACTTGTAGCCCTTTCCCCAGGTCGATTGAAAGGCTCCCACGGTGAGGAAGAAGGCAGAGCCATACCAGCCAACTAGGTCAAGTCCAGCGAATTCGTCGGTGATTTTCGGAATGGCTGTAGCGACTATAGTCATATCCAGAGATACCTTGTACAGGTTAGCATCATGTTCAAAGTACTGAGAAGTGCTGGGGACATACAAGGAAGATACTGAGAAGCAACGCAACCACGATCATGGCCATACGATAGCCGTCTGGATATTCCCCTTCATCGTCGTCTCCTCCTTGGACAGCTGGAGCATCCCTGATCGAATCATCTTCTTTATCTGTTGGTGATTCGTCGAAGCTACCATTCGCTTCGAGCTTCTCTTTGTTGAGTGATCCAGGTGGAGTAGGGGAAACGCTCCTGCCAACTTCTTTCTCCCCAGCAAGCGTTTCGGCTCGAGAATCCATTGCTGTAAAGTGTGAATAAATTTCAATAATGATCCGGAGAAGTAGGATACCAGGAGAGTATGGGCTCCAGATATGAATGGGAGAAGTAGAGATACCAGGAAAGTATGGACCTCAGGTATGAATGGACAGAGGAAGATGAAATGCACTGCACGAAATCTTATGAAAGCACGGAGGAGCGAATACTTATAAGAGAAGGGTTTGACACAAAACGAAGACAGGGGTTAAGTTTGACCAGGCAGCTTTGCGCTGGTGGAAAGTCGTAGTTCACCAGTGTTTGGGCCCATAGTGGATCACGACCATTCCAATGGACCTGTTACAAAGCCCTATGGTCTAAAGACGTGCTGACATGCTGCCCAGCAAAGGAGATAAAGTTGTTGCTCCGCCGTCAGCAAGCCAGCCTCAACCGTAACACGACGAAAGACGGACATGCAGCAACGTAAACACCGACAGGGGTCCACGGCTACGCGAGCCTACTGTAATTTGCGGCAGTGATTCATCGAGCAAGGGGCTGGGCACCATGATTCTGGTTAGCTCTGGTTCAGAGTAAGCACGTTCGCCGTGCTCGGCGGTGATGAGTGCTGGGTGAGCGCGAATGGCTCCAAATGAGTCGAATGCGCTTTGTCATCCCCGTATCAAGCCAGCCTTCGGCAGACGGTCGATTTCGGCCGAATATACGAGCAGGGCAGGGTTTTGCAGCCGCATCTGCACCAACCGGAAATACATTCCCAAACGACGGGCTATATCCAGGTCTTGGAATGTCTCCGACTGGACTTGTATTATTAATGCTGCATTTTGATGCGAGTACGAAGGACCGCCGAAGAAGACAGATGAATATTTATTGCGTGGGAAACCCGTGGATGATGAAAACCCAGCAAGGGGGGGGGGTATTCTCCCGTCAGGATCTGCAGGGACTGGCCTTGGCACAGCCAATATCGATACCATCAACCTGGAAGCAATCTACTGGTCTCACTCAACGTACAAAGACAGTAACCATTTCGCTGGCTAAATTCCAAGGTACTCCGCGGCCTGGGTTTTACGCCAAGGTAACGGATACCGCGAGAAATTTACCCCAAATGGTATATCCTATTCATTCCGAAGGCGGTCCGATTCCTTACGTCAGGTCGTCAGCTTATCTCCAAGCATGCCAGAGGTGTGGTTACGATACGTCGATGTAAGTGTTAATCGCTTGTATCCAATCATTCCCGAATGCACGAATTATCACTGGCTAGAAGAATCTCGGGTTTCGATTTCGGGTCCAGGTGAAGCGGTGAAACGTCTTCTGCAGCTTACGGTCGTCCTCCTCTCATTTGTCATCTGATATATTCTTCCGACGCTCATACCGAGACTGTGTCGATAGGGTTTGTCCTTCGAGATCACGATAAAGGTCATGTGCGACTGGCTCGGAAGATATGCAGCTTTTTAATTCCTCAAGCATTTCAGTTTCGGGTGCTTCCGCCCCGTTGCGGTATCATTTTGGTCCGCCGCGCATTGCGAGATCCAAGAAAATAATTACAAGGTATCAGCGCGATGTGCAAGGCAAAGGATGTGCTCATACATGAATGTTCACAAGTTATAGCTGCGTTGTGGTCATTTTTGGATCAAGTGTGCAGAAAGCCCCGTCAGGTACGTTGGCGCTGAAGATTTCCACTTTGGTCAAAGCCAGAGAAGTGCATGTCCTCAAAACGTCAGAGAACATCATCTCTTTGAACTGATTCCGTACACTTGTCATCATAGATGCGGGGTATTCTGACAAAAGTCAATTTAAGCCCTCCCTGTGGACATCTCGTTCCTTCAGATCCCACCAGTAGTGCTGAGTGAGACGACTATCGAGATAGAGCTAAGGCCTCGAAACAATCAATCCAGGTTAATTTGTTGTTTTTTCACGATCGTACGAGATACGATTTTCTATCTTTCGGAGTTCGTATTTAAGTTTAAACGGCTTTCCTGGAGAATTCGCCAGACAGCTTGCGGAGTGGAGTTTTGGCGATGATGTAAGTGATCAACTTTTCCGATATAACTTACACACATGTAGTACTTTCTGCTCTCTGCACATCGTCTTGTTTTGTTTGGTGGATCTAGTGTGATAAGATGCAGCTAGTACACACTTTCTCTTGCAAATGAACGATCAGGGTGTGATAGTTGTGGATCAACTAAAACTCTACCGACGCCAAACAACAGCCGTAGACACTAACTATTCAGAAAATAGACAAACTAATAACCCAATGATCCATCTCAAATAAGCCGCACAAGACGTCAACGAGGCGTCATGCGACCATACAACAGGTTTAACAATACGTGCTACGAGCGAGGCCTGCAGACCTGTCGAAGGACATGTAAAGGCCCTTGAAGGAGATACCATGCCTGAGATACGCAGATCATCTACCTCACCCAAGACGATTCGGAGCCGCTTGTGATTATGGAGGTTATTGGTGGAGAAGAGGAGCGAGGGGACGGGGAGTGTGATAGGTTTTATGGGCATGAGGGGGATGGGAGGCATGGGAGTGAGGAATCAGTATGGCGGTATGTGCAATAAAGGCGAGATAGAGCAAGGTCAAGCTGAATAATATGTGGGTGGGATGAAGTCATCAATGGAATGGATGCGGGAGCAGGACTTCCATTTGGAGAAGGTGGCTTTGGCGGAGGATGCTTTGCTGGACGGGTTGGAGGTGGTATACCAGGTATGGAACAGTAGGCATTCTGTGGAGGCAGAATCACCTGAGCCTTTGGGGGACAAGGCTTTGGTGGAGGTATGCAGGGCATGAGCCAGGAACGCCGGGGGTGTTGAGGTAGACTCGTCAAGCTCTGGGAGCGACGACGACACTGCAAAGTCATAAGGGAATCACAACACATCTCGGAATTATTTACATGTCGTTCTCAAAGATCCAATCCAGGAACGAGTGGAGTTCCAGGGTACTTGGCACAAGAGTGACATAGGAGGCTGGCTCGAGTCTTCTTGGGATGGGAACAAGTCAAGGCGCGCTGAAGAAAAGTGTTGACATTATTCACTTGCCAAAAATGCGATTTTGACAGTAACGACTCATTTTCTCAAGTTGATCATTAATCACAGTTGTGGTTATCGAATACGAATCTGATATCTGGGTAAGTTGATAGCCAACGTGAACTGTAAATATATGTTCGGTTAAGCGAGGTGACTCTAACAAATACGGATAGCGCAACAGAAACATGGAAGTCATTGACATTATTATAATTTCCCACTAACAAAATACCAAAGCAGTCATTCCTAATAATACAAAAACTGTTGCAGTATCGAAAAGTAACGAATCCAAATAAAATATCGGTAGCGCAAGCCTGCTTGACCATCAAACAACCATCTTTTCGAACATTTCAATCAAACTCTCTTGGTAGGATCGGATTGCTTCTCTTCGTTGAAGCTAGTAGGATGGTGCTCGACAGATTCGGGCTCATAGAGATTTTCTTTCTCGACGTTCTGTCTGAATAGATACTTTCTGAAGAAGTAAATGAACTGCCTGCCTCCGTACGCAGCATGGTCGCGAGACCTAACCGAGAAGACTTGATCCAATTCTTCGAGAGTTTTGCCTTTAGTCTCAGGAACGAAAAACAAAACTCCAGTAAAACCAATTAAGTTCCAGACAGCGTACCAAGCGAAAGCTCCCTGGGGCTTGAAAGCCTTCAACAACGATGGCCACGTGACTGCCAGAATGAAGTTGAAGAACCATGTCGTGGCTGTGGCGAGGGACATTCCTTGAGCTCGGATATAGAGAGGATATGCTTCAGCAGAGTACGTAAATGGAACAGGGCCTTCTCCAGGAGAGTAGACCATTCCAAAAAGGTACAGTCCAAGAGCGACACACGCAACCCTGGCAGTTGAATCTGCTGGAATCCAAAAACTAAACCCAGCGAAGAACAAGCAGAGACTCATCAACGGGAAAGTCGTGAGCAGTAGATTTCTTCGTCCAAAGGTATCAATGGTATAGACAGCGGGTATAGCGACTACGAAACTGTCAGCGCGTTGTAATGGCACAGAATTGGATCCGGTAAGCGCCGTCATGCTGGTCGATCCTAGTCAGACTTCTACCACTTACAAAGGAAATTGATAACACCCCAGCCCATAGAGGCTCCAAGAGCACTCATTTCAGAGAGATCCGCATCGAGGAATATTTGAGACGAGTAGTAAGCGATAACATTCACGCCACAGAACTAAACGGCTTGTTAGAAGTTGCTTGTACAAACAACAAAATCATCTTACCTGTTGCATAAACATGACGATTTCAGAAGCTTGCATAGCTCTTCGATTACGTGGAACGGTGAACATCTCTTTCACTTTGCTTTGCCCCAGCTTCATGCTCTCTTTCTCAGCCTCGAGGAGAGTGTGCATGTAAAAGATGTCTCGGGCGGCTTGGACTTTGTTGTACCGGAGCTTACACATGGACTTGTAAGCTTTCGCGTGGCGTGCTTTACTCATATACCAGCGGGGTGATTCGGGACACATGAAGACGAAGCAAACGACGATGATTGCTGGAAAGCACGCTGAGCCCATCATCAATCTCCAGTTTAGACCGGTGATTCCCGGAACATCCTGGACCTTATAAAAGGCCAAATCGGCAGCATAACCAACCATGATTCCGAAAGCGGTCCACATTTGCCATTGCATCACCAGAGCACCCCGAATTTGTGGTGGAGAACACTCTGCAGCATACATTGGAACCGTCGCACTCTTCGGTCCAATTCCGAAGCCGAGAGCAAATCTGGCGATGAACATATGCCACCATGTGTTGGTAAAGGCTTGCCAAAGACAAGCAATAGCACTGATTACACAGGTAATAAACTAATCAGGTAACCGTCAGCGATGCTTATGATATACAAGGACATGTTGTATGTCCTTGTCTCGAAGACGACATAACCTTACAACAGTACCACGACGGCCGAAGAAATTATTCAAGGGAATAGTCATCCAGCTTAGATATTGTCAGCGCTGTAGAAGTCAAGATCTTGGAATCAGGTATTCGAGACGTGCCTGAGCAGATCCCTCAAAAAATAAAAATACAGTTAAGCAAAGTACTTACCACCCGATGACTGCGCAGCACAGATACGGCGCGGAATTTGTCAGACCGATGAGCCATGTCTGCCTTGAGCTTGTCTTGTCGCCAATACCAAACCGCTTGCTATAAAAAATTTGAGCGCCATTAACCACGGTCTCGTCTGGATGAATGTCAGCAGGGTACTTCAAGGTTGAGACGGTGGAATAACTTACCCATTCCTTGCACAGCAGCGCATATGCTACAGAGAACAATCACCAGGAACAATTTGGTTGGTTGGTTCCACTTGCGAGTAATCTCGGCCTCCAGAATTGTTCTCTCCTCGTCAGTGAGCCCTGGAACCTCTGCATGGCGGTTGGGATCTTTAGCCAGGATTGCTCCGAGTCTGAAGGCCCGGATATCTTCCTCGTCTCCCATCTCGTTTGTCCTGACATACTCCTCTCCTTTGGCCTCCAGTTCAGCATTAGAGAAGCCAGCAAGTGGATTAGCTATCTTCGCGTTTATATTTGCTCGAAGCCTGTCCGGGTCCAGCTTCTCGAGGCCGGCATCAGACTTTCGCTGGGCCGTGCCATTCTCGACGTGAGTCTCGCCAGACTCAGTGCTGATCTTACCAGGATCCTGGGCTGAGGAGGCCATGGTGAAAGAGATACTTGGTTCTTGAATCGAAATATGTACACAAAAAAATGATAAGTGGAGCACTTTTGAGCCTTTTCAAGCAAAGCGAATAATCATTAAGATTCTGCACAGAATCTTACAGTAGGAGAGTAGGAAGGGAATAGAGAGCTTTATCTTTGCCAAGTTGCCATGAACGAACAAGCATTACAAGCATTTGCGTCAGTCGATCGACACTTCTTTGTAACGTTTGAACATTGGTAGGAACCGTTTGGGGACCATCACCCCGCCTTCTTGTCATGTCAACAAATGATGTGATTGGACTGAATGCAAGTTCGTGGCAGAGGCGGCACAGGATCTAGTGCCTAAATAGTAGCTTGACCAGACGCAAAACTTAATCTTCTCGATATGCGATTGCGAACGATCCAAGTGGCCAAATGTAGTAGATTGGATCTCGTTTAAGAAGAACACAGCATTCATGGCTATCTATCCTCATCTGCACAGTCAAGATCCAAACATGAGATATCCTCTTCTGAAAAGTATTCCCGTGTTTCTGCCTTCGACGATGCGACTTACTGCAGAAGAAGCAGATTGAGAGCCGTCGCCCAGAGTAATGGTGGATCTACGTCACCCTGCAACTTTGTGGCTTGTGGCTGTCCCAGGATCTCGATTGAAATGGAGGTGGGCCGTAGCTTTTGAAGGGATCACAAGAGCAGTAGTTGCTGGCTTGGCTTCAGTTTATGCCGATGGATGGACGGCTCGCTTAACCACCAGCTGTGTTGTGTTCGTGATGAAGGCGCTGATCGAACTGCAGAGTGACGTAAATCTGACTGACATCTAAACCGCGAGCAGAACCCATGCCCAGATGCTCGCTTCCACGCCAATAACAACAAAAAAGCACTTGAGTGATTGCAAGTAATTCCTAAAGCTGATACACATCAGAGAAGTAGTCAATGAATAGTTCATATCACTGCTCGACGAGTGTTTGCAGGCCTCAAATTCGAACTAAACTCGATCTCACAGCTGGGAAGAGAGTTTGGTCACCTGACAAAACCGTTCCATCTACTGTCTAATCCTCGTTTGTTCTCTAGCACATTTGGAAACCAACATCACCTCCACATTGCGACACCATAAATGATAGATTTCTGGCAAGAGAGTGCTTGGGGAACACAAAGTTGGTTACACTGCACCATCACGCTTCGGAGTTACAATTTGGCGCTACCGTGACACCGGAAGTCTTCGAGCCTCAGCCCTCAGAAGTTGTGCCTCCTACCTCTATCACTTGGGCTTCATGCAATGTAAGAAGAAAGAGCGAGGACTTTCCGTCTGATTTACATGACACCTGAGAGTAGAGTCTTCCTCTAGTTCTTCGAGTAGAATAGGTCAACATTGTGTACCGAAAGCAGGAGACAGCAAGGTGTGGGCATTACTTGAGTTCAGCACGGCCAACATCTCCACCAAAACTTTCTACCACGTTGTTCTTTGCATGCATGCAATTTGCTTTTCTTGTTGGCTCCTTAATTTATATGATGGATTCGATCGATCGATCGGAAACACTACACTATGGAGGGCTCGTTGGACAGGCTCAATCTTTGGGCTGTGCATTTTTATTTCCTTTGACCTCAAAAGCCATGTTGGTCTTTAGAACTTTCGCATTGGATATATGCGCCATCAATGATAAAGCTATGAGCAGCTGGTCAAGCCACGATGCAAACAAATCATTCGTAGTACGAATAGCTTCTTGGTCACTCATCTCATTTTTAGTGACTCTTTCAACTCTCAAGCAGCTTGTACGGTCCTTCCCTTAGCTGCGCATAGAGTAATCGTCTTGTATATGAAATATATATTAGACAGAAGGTATGCCAACAAAAATTCTGTTATTACCTTTGACTCTTGTTCGCAAATGGAAAGTTCAGACGAGCTATAGACCATTTTGGCTTTTGTGTTGTCTGCAGACTATCGTTTCCGGTTTTCAGGCAACTGTTGGCGCCAACAGACTTCCTTTTTATTCCGAACTCGGCTAGTTGGCTAAATTTCAGTTGATTGGTTCATCTACTGAAGATAAATAATTATCTAAAGTGATGGATATCCCTATTCACTTCTCCCTCTTCTCATGTTCTCTTTTACTCACCCACTCAACTTTCCCAGACTCTCAAATCACAAGTAACAACACTATCAAGATGCTTTGTGCATCATTCTCTATCATGATCACTGCTTTGTCCATCTTAGGTTTGACCCTCACTGCGTCTGCCTTTCCTGGCATGACAGCAAGAAGCGTCAAAACCCGGCAAGCTGTACCACCCGTCCCACTTCCACTCTCCCAAGTTGAAGGAAACTGTGGCATCGTTCCTTGCACCACTTTCAACGCTGCTGATCAGCTCGTTGACGTTCGCCCGGGTACTCCACACCAATTCGTTCCCCCAGGTCCAAATGACAAGAGGTACGTTCTACTTCGTCGAGTTTCCACATTTCCTAGAAACTCGGGGTCTGCAAATGACTCCTGGGAAAGGTGATGAGGGCCGTATGCTGAATTAAGACTGTAGAGGACCTTGTCCTGGACTCAATGCTGCTGCTAACCATAATTTCATTCCTCACAATGGTATCGGTACCGTCGCTCAGTGTAAGTCAACTACTCCCTCGTATCCGCATCCTGAAACTGATATGTTGCTGGTGCAGTCAGTGCTGGCCTTGAAGAAGCTTACAACTTTACACCTGAACTCGGTACTGTTCTAGCTACGATAGAAATTGTTTTGACTGGAGATCCTGTTGCAGGTACTTGGTCCATCGGAGGTCCATATCCTGCAAGTCTCCTGGAAGGTCTACTCTCGAGCCCACAGGGTCTTTCCTTCTCTCACAATGTCTACGAGACAGATACTTCCATGACTCGTGTCAGTGTATCTCTCCTTCAATAAACATACGCTGATGATCCTTCCAGGCCGATGCTTACATGAACAATGGTGATGCACACCACCTTCAAATGGACCGATTCATGGCACTCTACAACCGCGCTGAGCTCTACACCCTCGATATCGTTCGCCAGCACAACAAGGACATGCGCGAATGGTCCGTTCAAAATAATCCATACTATTTCTCAGCTGTCAGTAGCCTGTCTTGGTCTTATATGATACATTTTGACATCGTCTAGCCTTTTGCTGGTCTCGTCAGCCCAATCGCACATTCGATCCCCCCTCTTTGCTTCAGCAATGTATGTTTGACTTATCCCCTCTTTCAACTCATAGCAATTACTGACTGCAACAGCACTCGGAAACCAATATCCAAGGATACCTGGATAGAACCATTCTCAAATCTTTCTTCGGCGTCAGTGGTCCAGAAAACGCACTCGTCTACACGCCGGGTCACGAACGTATTCCCCTCAATTGGTACCGACGGCCATCTAACAATAAGCTTGGACTCGTAAACGGATTGGTGAGTTTTTGCTGCCATTCTCTAATCTGCCAGCTAACAGCGACAGGCCGATCTAGCTGTAACTGCTACCCGGTTCCCCGAACTCATCTCCATTGGCGGCAACACAGGCACAGTCAACTCATTCGTCGGACTCAATCCTGCGGATGTAACTGGTGGCGTCTTCAACGCGACCAATCTCCTGCGAGGTAACAACCTGGCTTGCTTCCTGCTTCAGGCAATCCAAGCTGCGACACCTTCCTTACTTTCGGGTCTCGTCAGCGCTCTTGGTCTTTCAAGTGCTCTGGACTTGTTGAACAATGTCATCAATCCGGTCAAGTCAACTATGGCCTGTCCATTGATGACAACTTTCGACACTGGAGCTTTCGCTCAGTTCCCTGGTGCTAGCTACCATCCGCTTTCCTAGGTGAATTTCGCCCTTTTGAGTTGGCTGGATATAGCGAGTTACATTTGTTCTGGTTGGAGACTAATCTGCTGCGAATGACGGTGATGGGAGGGTCGTTGAGAGCTTGCGGGTGTCTTTCGGTAATCTGGCAGTTCTTGCTATGATAATATTTCTCGATCAAGCCTTTTCCAGTCCCTAATGGAACTTTTCTTGACACTCTTCTGATCACCAAATTGAAACCCTTTGGTGGACAAGATAAACCCTAACCCGAGGCAGCTCGGCTGTAATGAGAGAACGGTTGGTCTCCTTCTACCAAGTCACAACTACTCCTTCCAATACCAACATCTCGCTGTCAATCATCTACACAATTCTTAAGTTAGTTTCTGGCTTATCTCACAGGAAACCTTAAACAAGCTCGGCCACGCCGTGTCTTTGCTGAGTCCTCGACTTAATCACGACCACAAGCATCAAACCCCTCATCTCAATCTTGTCTCCGAGCCCGCTACGCCAATGTACGTTGAAACTTCAGAGAGACTTGAGTAAACACAACTGCTTGTATTAGGTGTAGTTTGATAAAAGAGTCACTGAAGTTCGGCTGCGTCGTATATAATATACAGACTAGTTCAGTTTGCGGTAGTCCAAAGAGCCAAGGCATGTGTCGCCTGTTCCGAGCTTTAAAATACCCCCGAGTTGTCTACGGAAGACGTCGCAAGAGATTTCTCTACAGATACACCATCTAATCATTCTGAGGCCCTAATCATTTCCCAGGAAGTGCGCTATAGCAATATTTTTCAAGGCTTCTGGGCTCTTGTTTTCATGGAGATGCTAAGCGAGATCCCCAAATAATGGGGGTTCTTATTAGTGCTCTCATTTTCAAGCTTTTTTACATTTATCAACAAGCAATTGATGAAAGCCTTACTATCAGAATCCTCAGAAGTAGAGCAGCAGTTTCCATGCCAAGCAATGCTAATTGATGGCACACATGAGTGACGACTAAAGACCGATATAAATAGAACAGCAGTAAGCGAAATTCTTGGCGATATGGCTGAAACGCGTCACTCTTTTCTCATCGCCATGTTCGTCCCCTCAACTGCCACGAATCTCGCCCCCAAGCCAGTGGATAGGCAGAATTCACAATTCAGCTTTGTAAGATTTGCCGATTGATGAGCAGACCAGACTCGGTGCCCCCGATCGTGCCCCCGATCAATGAGTGTCTTTTACCTTCATACTCGCACCGTAAGCTCGGAACCGTCGCAGCGACTTCCCCCTTTCCGGAAACACGCTTCGACAACCAACTACCAGTGTTGCCGAGAGTCAGGTAGTTTACATACGAAAAAGCGAACCGGCAGGCAACTTCATCATACAGAGGTCACTAACCCTGGAAACAATACGTCAAAAGACATGGCATTGTTCATCCTAACCCGTTAAGAGACCTGTCTCATGAGCCTCATGCTGATGTTATCGGAAATCCTTTGTGCTTCTGGCAGCTGCGCAAGGTTCAGCTACCGAGCAAATGCGAGTTGAACGACTATCCTAAGCCTCGTTCGCGTCATCAGCAAGGCTTGCGTAACGGGCGATGCTGAAGTCAACATGAGATATATAATACTAGGCACGGTTGAATGTCGAATTCTTCTTCTATATTTTTAATCTTTCCTATCTGTCAACTCTTTCGGCAAATCATCCTCCTTTATCTCTGACTTTAGCATCATTCGCACCCTCACTTCACCACCTCGGTCACAAAACACTCCAGAGTAACCATGCAGATCAAGAACATCTTCGTCCTAGCTCTTGCCTCCTTTGCAGTGGTATGTTTGATCATAAGCATCACCTGAATTGCATCTAACAATTCCTCCAGGCAGATATCTTCGACACGATTTCAGATGGATTCAATGACATTGGAGACAACATCGAAAGCGTGTTCAACGATATCACTTCAGACGGAAGTGATTTCTGGTCATCGATCAGGAGCGAAGCTTCCTCAGTCGCCTCTTCATATTCGTCAGGTGCGACACCCTACCTCACTATACACCCCATTCCCATTTTCTCTTCCTCACGTCAACATCAATTCCACCTCCTCAGATACAGTCTTCAATGGCAGAGTCGTACTAACAAAACTCTCCTCAGAATTCTCTCAGTTCACAGCAACCGCCAGTCTCGGTCCTGAAGCAACATCCTACATCAAGTCCCTCGAATCCGCTGCCTCTTCTCGCATCGCCAGCATAAGTAGTGTCGCACGCACACACACAGCAACCAATACTGGAGCAGTAGCCGTAGCTGCAACAACTATCACGACAACAAATGCTGCTGGTCAGACTATTACTAGCACGAGCATGAGCACTGGCGGCGCTGCATTGCCAACTGGTGCTGTTGGTGCGATGCTGTTTGGAGGGGCAGCCATCTTTGCAGCTGCGTTGTAGGAGGAAGTGTCCGCGGATGAGGTAGGCTGATCATGAGGGGAGTAAAGATTTGGTAAATATAAAATTGAAACTTGATTCAGAAGGGTTTTTACATATTTCGGGCGTTGTCTGAGGCGTTTGTATCATTTTGCAGGTTAGAAACGAGATATCAGATTGAATTAAAGCAGTGCTTTGTCCACACTACCTTTCGAGCACCTTCTGGAGACTCAACTATCGCATATCCTTGTTTCACGAGCCTTCGCATGTACGAGGAGTCATACAAATGATGTGTCTCAATTGGCTCCCTGACCGTCCGACGATCAAGAAAGACCGACCGTTCATTCCTTACAGAACCAGACTTACCCCTCTCATAATTCGGTCTTTAGATATTCTTACCCAGGACATCCCTTCAAGACTCAACCCGATATCATTATCATTATCGATATTGAAGCTTGGGCCCAAAAACCCCTCCACAAGGACCACATCAAACCCCCAAAATTCCACCTCGAAAGCCCACATCAACAATAACAAAACTATCATATACCAACTACTCCCGTTAGAAAGGTAAACAAAGAGACCCCTAAAATCTAAGTCCCACATCGTCCGCAGATCGTATCAGACGTTCGAAGCCTCACATTCCAGAAGCATTGTTGACAACCCGAAACCTACCTCTCCTTCCGTTTGAATATTCGTCAGCGGATATGCGGATACGTGGATATACTTCTACTTCTACTTCCTCACATCAGTAACCGAGGAGGTCCTAGCAACCAGTCAACCATCTCGGACGATTGCCAGTCTTAGCAAGACACCTCATCACCAACAGTCACATGTCCTATATCCTCCCCCACCACATTCAAGCCTGAAAAGAGTTGGGGTAAACAAAAACAACAACTCATCTGTACCGGTCCTCAGCTAACCCAACCCCAGCTCTGATTATTCCCTCTCCTCCCACTACAAGAATGGACCAAAAACCCTAAAGCCTGAACTAATCGCATTCAGAATGGAAGTCCCGAAAAAACAATCATGCATAAACTCCACCACCCCACTTCTTCAGCCCTGTCCATTCAAGCGGTCAAGGAACACCCCCAAACACGTTCGTCCCGTTGACGAGGTTACCCCCTCCCTATGCTTGCTTTCCCCACTGCACTGCACTGCACTGCACCGAGCGGAGGCTAGACACGTGTACATCATAACATCGATAATAGTACGCGAATGCAGATCCATAATTCTGCATAACAAACGCACAGATTCGGATGTGAAAAGCGAGGAGAGGAGAGTAAACAGAAGAGGTGCTTGCAAGGACAGGAGGAGTCACGGCCAGCTCATCATTTGGAGAGAACATATTTATGATGTGAAGGGAGGTTGGGCTGAAATGGAATTGGCGTTTGTGCCAATAATCGATTGATACATACATATCTGACTGATCAGCAGCTCATTCATCCATCCAGCCACCCATGACCTCCACTTCCACACAAAAATCTAAATACACGGACGAGATCTCTCAAATTTAGCCCTTCCCTTGCCTCCTTCCCCTCTCCTCTTCGATTAATCAACCAAGTCTCCACTTCTCGTGCCTGCCAGCAGAGCTCGCCAGCACCACGCCTCATCCACATCGCTCCATCCATCCACACAAACCCAAGAAACCAAACCACAGATGATGATAGCGATAAACACTCTAGGCAACACGGATCAATCGCGGTCCAAGAATCGATCCATAAAATACCAGGGACCGATCCCTGGAACTTATATTTCGAATAGTATACATACATTCGGCTCCCGGTTCCCAGTACCTAGGACATAGAAACACAGATGACCGACCGAACCGAACCGAAACCCTCGCCCCATAGATAATGAAAGATAATGTGGTAGTGCAATGTGCAGTAAGTAGCCATGAAACAACCCCTGGGGATATGTGATATGTGCTAGTTTATATTTTCCAACCAGGATGAGTTACCAGATGACCCTATCCTCGCTGGCATTAATGTGCTTGAGCGCCCATAAGGAAAAACATCGGACAGACAAATATGTGTTACAAAGGAAACTTTTGTATAGTTCTGCGCGTGCGCGTGAAAATTTCGCTGTGAAGCAGTCTTGCTGACCAATCTCTTCTCCTTTCTCTCTCTCAATCAAATCAAACCTCAAACAAAATATCGAATATCGTGCAGTCTATAGGGGGTATTTTGAAGACAAAGTAAACAACCGAAAGGATCGCATCTATGGCGAGATATTTCCGTGTTCGGGTATGAAAATATAACAAACAATGAAAATGTGCTTGCCTCTGAGTAGAGGGGCATTTGACGCCGGAAATGTACACGCTAACCCCGGTTGGTGAAGAAACACCCTTCCAGACCGATGCTAACAAACGAGCGTACGAAAATGATCAAAGGTATTGCCTCCCAAAAATCCTCAACACCATGCAATGTAAATGCTACCAGAAAGCTTTTCCTCCGTATGTTACAGGTTGACAACGCATCCTATGCGGGTCTTAAAATCGACTCGAGGCTGCAAAAATGCTAGCTGCTGCTGAAGCAGCCCATTCATTTTCCTCATAGTCGTATGGTGGCGTTGAAGATTGTTTATAGCTTGTCGGTGCCTTGGAAGGAGTCACTTGATGAATGCCCTGACCAAAGAGAACAGCATTGCCGCTAGCCGATGGCGATGGCGTTGGGTATGGATTCGACAGGGCCACATTACTCGTCGACTGATGTAGAGGTTGTCTGGCATCGTTCTGAATCGAGTTCCTATCCAATTTCTTCATTGCCTTGTGAGTACTTGACAAGACCTCGTCGAGTAGCTCATCCTCTTCGTCAGGAGTTTCGTATTGCCGCACTCCTCCAGGTACTTGAGACCGTCGTGTCCTGCTCGATACCGGCCCTCCAACACCCCGTAAATTGTCTACAGATCTAGGCTGCTGAGGAAGGGAGTGATGTCTCTTCAGAACACTGTTGGGGCTTATCATGTGATTTGGTGGTGTAGGTGCAGCCCCCTGCTGCGGCGAGTCTAGGTTCTGCTGCACATTCCGCAGCGCTTTGTCCAATGCGTCGTATGTATCAATCTTTTGAACAGGACTAGGCATCTGGGCAGGATCAACAATCATTGAAGATCTGTTGCTAGCCCATGGACCACAGCCAGCTTGAGCTTCGATGTCCATCGACTTTGGCGACATCGGAGTCGTTGACTGACGTCCTGAAAATCTTCTCGCGCGTTTCCTGAGGTGTGAGAAGAAGCTCTCCTTTTGTCCACTAGGAGGAGAAGCCAGTCCAGTGTTACCATTCAAAGCAGCTTCAGCCTGTTGTCTGTGGATATCAGCGTAGTGATTGTTCGACGAAGCAACTGAGAGTTGTCGACCAATCTTCTTCGCTACCTTACCATCCATATTGGATTGTCGTTGGCCGTTGGACGCGTAGGCATCACTGTACGACGGCGTTCTGCTGCTAGCTTGTGCAGTGACCGCATCTGACAACGGTGAGATAGGCTTGATCGTGGGGAGAATCGGCATGGGAGCGACATTGGAAGGGCCATTGTTCCACGTTTGCCTCTTTCCAGGTTGAGGTCGTGTCTTGGTCACCTGAACATCGGTAGCAGCATGCACTGGTGACGGTCGAGGAGCGACATTTTCCTTCCCAACTGGTGGCGGCGTTGCAATGCTGTCGGACCGGCCGATCAAGGATTTCCTAAACCAGGATGACTTTGAGGATGATGTGGGTGCAATATCTGTCGAGTCCTTCGAGCCACGGTAGCTCAGGTCAGAATGTTTTCTGCCAAGCATCTTCGAAGCCGATGACTTTGGTCTCAATGGGTCAACAGCATCGGTGAAAAACTCGTGCGCAAGTGCTTGTGTGGAAGTTGGTCGACTCTTCGGATCCCACATCAAACACCACGTGACGAAATTGCTGAGGGACGCTGGCCATTGTGGTGATTGAAGGATCGTATCCATGGCATGAGGGGCCATCTTTGGGAACGAGAATCCAAGTTTCCCTGCGAGACGGGTACCTTCCCTCCAATCTCCACCACCGACTCTGGATCCGGCTTTGTTGTACCAATGCCCGGGGCTACCCATTATCTCACATACTCTCCAAACTTGGTCGACTTCGTTTCCTCCAGGGAACAATGGCTTCAAAGTAGCAATTTCAACTGCCATCGCACCGATGGCCCAGATATCGACGGGTGCTGAGTACTCTCCTGCTCGCAATAATACCTCTGGTGCACGGTACCATCTAGTTGAGACATAGGTCGTGTAGGCGAGTTTCGAGTGGGTCTCTCTAGCAAGTCCAAAGTCGGCAATCTTAACAGTGTACGCCGGTGGTGTTGAGGGAGGAGTGACCATTGCTGAGTATCGTCGGAATGAATTGCCCGAATCTTGTTGTGCAGATGTAGAGACGAGGATATTCTCTGGTTTGATGTCGCGATGGAAGAAATGATGTGCATGAATGTGTTCCAAACCTTGCATAATTTGGAAAAGGATGCTTTTGACACTGCCAACGTCTAAGCATTTATGTTCTCGAGCCTTCATCAGCTGATAAAGGTTCCCATCCATGTACTCCATGGCAATATGGAGTTTCTTTGTGAATGGGTCGAGGAATATGTCCAGCGCCGGGACGAGATGTTGATGAGGCGGAAGAGTCCTCAGAAATACGACTTCTCGAAGCTCTAAACATGGCTGAAATGATTCGAAATTCTTCTTCATCGTCTTGATGGCAATCTGAAACAACTTGTCAGTTCCCATTCGAGGCTTGACCACGCAATTATGCTTACCACAGTGCCTCTTCGTGCAACGCTGGCACCTGCTCCACGCACTCGAGCAAGAACCACACTGCCGAAGCTGCCATCTCCTATATCCTTCAAAACCTCAAATCGGTCCTCTAACGCCTGACCCTGTCCAGGTTGTGGTGTCGAAGACCCTCGATGTGTGAGATCGTATGCTACTGTCATGATTGCTGTTCGAGGGTGTCGCGAAGTTGGGTTGGAAAGGAGGTTGGTGTTGTGGTCAACGGCAGTCCTAGCGAAACATTGAAGTCAGCCACAGCACACAGGAGTACATACAAAGAAGAGTGTCTGAAACACGTACCTGGGATTGCCGTTGGAAGCTCTTTGAGAAGAGCTTGCTGTAGTCACCGGTGCATTCAGGCGATGTCGACAAGCTGAAGAAGCGTAACAGACCGAACGTTAGTATCGATGAGGGTTTAAGGTAGCGAATGTGTGATTGGTGTCGACTTGTCGATTGAGAGAACGTGCGAAGTGTCGAGAAGGATGTTGAAAAAGGGTTCCTCCAGAAAGGAGCAAGAAGTACAGGAGTAGGCAGGGCCAGGACTGGCAGGGTCTAGGAACGGCCGTTACCAGGAAGTCGGAGGTGGGTCTGGGTCAAGCTCGACGCTTGCTCGTGGCCGATCACAACAGGATGGCTTCCGCGAGCTTTTGGCTAGCGTGATTTATCGAAAGGGGGAGCAGAGCCTGAGCCTGAGACTGAGCAGAAGAGGAGCCCGTTGTGGGGGTTGGTGGCTGCGCTGCGCGGGTGTCGTATGGCGCATGAGGTGGTCGAAAAACGCATGAACCAGACCGCGAAACTGCAGGCTTCACCGCTGGGTTCTCTTGCTCGGACAACGTGAGAGGGAGTGGGAGAGGATGATGGATGATGCTTCTCGAAGCCAGCGCCCAGGAGCCTTTGCAGCCCTTTAGATCTCGGGCATGAAAAGGGGACGGGGGGAAGGTCGGTGCTAATTTCGCTTGCTGGTCCAGCACAGGGCAGACACGACAGGGCAGGCCCTCCCAATCTGCGAAGTGCGCACGTTGAGTTTGAGGGTGCCGAGATAGGTACGATAGTTAATTGATTGCGACTGCCCTGGAGACTGTCGAGCACCGCGGGGCAGCGATAATGAAGCTGTTGCTGCTAGAGCTGGCAGCAGTCGAGTCGCAATAGTTGCGCGGCGGACAGACCAGAGGCTCGGAGCAGGCGGCTTTCGTTTTTCGTTTCTTGCTTGTTGTGATGCCAGCGAAGCAGCTGAAGCTTAACTTATTCGATACCACACGAGACTCAGGCAGTGGCGGGTGAATAGGTAGGGACAAGACGTCCTGTAAAGGGAACGAGTGCGGAGAAGGAGGGAATCGGAGTCAGACAGAGAGATTTCAAGTAGGTATTAAAGAGAGTCGGGGGGTTTGATTATTGCGCGTGGAGAGTGAGAAAAATGAGGGAGGGAGGGTTGTTAAGGTTCGAGTTGGAATGTTCCCTGGGCAGCAGCAGCAACAGCCTGTGGCCAGGAGCCAGGCCAGGGACGCAGGGACGCAAGGCGAAGTGAGGGAGGAAGGGAGGAAGGGAGGATCGCGGGATTGGTGGTGACTGGTGACGGTAGTTGTTCAGTAACTTCGTAAGGCAACGGTAAGGTAAGGCAAGGCAAGGCAAGGTAAGGTAAGGTAGGACAGGAACGACCACGAATAATCTCAACACGCCGTTAGTTGGCATGGCAAGCTCGAGTGCGCCTGGTCTTCCGATTCTACGTCTGGCAATATCTACGTTTCTATTCACCCATTTCACGCGGGCAGTGTTGAGGAAGAAACGGGCCTGGCTTGGAATGCATGCAACGCGCCGCGGTGTATGGCGTGAATAATAATGCTACTACTGCACTGCGCTGCTGAGTGAGAGCAGGGCGAGCACGAGCGATCCAATGCCTACTGCGATGTCTAACAACTCTTACAGTTACTGGCTCAAATAGTACTTCAAAAAGGCAATCACTATTTCGCTCGCATCTCCGACCTCTCAGCCCCCGAACTACAGCTTTCCGTATCTTTCACTGGTCCAGCCGGATAACCATGGACTGGTGTTGCGTACACGTTTCTTTCTTCCCTGCTTTGACCTGCTTGAGAACAATAATTCTGCAATGATGAGCTGCAGCTTCGTCACAGCGGGCTGCGGATTCTCGGGGCCCACGAGTACCAGAATGCATTTAACATCCCATGGCACGACGACTATTACAGCATCTTCAGCATCTGCTTTTTCCATTTCTCTCGTCAACCTGGTCACCACCGTAGCAGGTCACAGCAATGTCCTTCCAGAATTGACCCGGTGTTGCAGTGTGTTCCCATGTATCACTTCTATTCGTGGTTGAGGCTGTGAGGGCGCAATATTGGTAAATGGTACTTACTCGTGCAGGCACTCGTCCGTGTTACCACAAGGAAACTAATTTCAAAAGCGGTGCTGAGGGGGTAAGACCACAAGAATTCATGTGCCTACTCTGGGATATGAACCTTGTTTCTTTGTGGCACTGGTGACAATGCACGCTGTACAGACATTTTTAAGGCCTGAAAGGGTGATCGAGCTGGCCATGTGGAAGTCCAGTGGTGCTGATGACTTATTTTGACTACAAATAGAAATAGTATGCCCCGTAAATCTGCCGTAAATCGAATAAAGGCATCCCCTTCGCCGTCGTTTCTGTTTCGCTCTGTCAATGCAAGGTCGTCCGAGTGTGATTTCTCGGCCTCGAATAGCCTCTTGGGGCTGTTGCTTTGGCCTCACTCAATACTTCGTTCCTGATATCGAAGGATCGGCGCCAGCACTGTGCAGTGTGCACCCATAATTCGTGCATTGAATTCAAATCCGAATTTTGAGTTTCGCACACACACCCGGGGCCGCCGTCTTCTGGGGCCGAAATTTGAAGATCCAAAGGCAAGCCGTGCTGGCTTTTCCTGAAGCAATCTCTGAATCCAACAGCCTGAACGAACGAACGAACTGGACGGGCACGAGTCACGAATCTCCCCTAATTTGCTGGCCGTCTTTGCCCTGAGCCTGAGCCTGAGCCTGAGCCCTCATTCGTGATGCCCTCGTCTCCCGTCCATGTCCACTTGCCATCGGCCCATCGCCACAGTGGCCCAGCTGTGTCGTGTCTCTTCTCGCGCCTGGGAGATCTGGGTTTCTCCCCACTGCCTCTTCCCACCGGGTTGGTCCGCCGCCCCTTTTCCCATCACCCATCACCCATCACCCACCTGGGCACCAGTAGTAGTGCCATCGCCCATCACCCATCACACTTTGATTTCCCGGCACCGTTTCGTCCTAGTGGCGCTGGCCAGCCCCTGTCTGTTCCTGACGCTCCCATTTGGTACCTGACCAACTGGCACTAACTAACAGGGGGAAGGGCCGGCTCGCATTTGGCTTCACTGACGGGCCTAAATATTAATGGACCAAGTTTCATGACGTGAAGGTGGGAAGGAAACTTTGGCTCTCCGGACTGGCTGCCGCCATCATCATGCAAATGCACTGCTCCTCAATCGAAACCGCCAGAAAGCTTTAGCTGACCCTTCCATCAAAGACGGGACGAGCTCAGTGACAGTGGGCCGCGGTCGCAGTGAAGTGCCAGTGCCAAATAATGTCTGCAGAGTCCAGACACCTTCCGACTTCTGCCCCCCCGATCGTAATCGAGTGAGTGGCTGGATTCAAATGCTCCGTGCGCGTTGATTGGCTCACCTCGTGAACGCCCTGGCAGCAATCCCAGGAATTTGCCAACTCTGCATGAGTCAAAACGTTGACCCTTGGGAGTCCGACCCAAACTGTCAATTGAATGACGACGATCAGATGGATGGGTGTTGGTGTTTCACTCTGCTCCCACTGGGTGGGTTGTGTTCTGGAACCCTTTGAAGCGGGAAGCGGAAGGGCTCCGAGGCGAGAGACATCGCCAACGCACTGCACTGCACTGCACTGCACATCAACTTGGGGCCGGCCCTCGACGCTCATCAATCGATAGCGGCGTGGTCAGACAATGGGACGATGAGGGGCAGTTCGTCCAAGTGTCTGCTGATTTCTTCTTCTGATGAACACCAGCAAAATTGAAACTCAGCACTTTGTATCATCTGAATCAGGTTCTGTGGGGAATGCTGGCCAGAATCAATCGTCAAGTGACGGCCAACTCATTCCAGTCCTGAAGATCACGTCAACATTGAGCCGATAAAAGCTTTTCAACCAAAACGGAGCGTCACTCAATAGCGGAGGAATCGTTCAACAAAATTTGCAATTTATTTTGAGGATTCTCGTTCGCTTCCAGCGCGCAGGGGAAAAACTCAGAGCTTCGAACGAGATACGAGCCTGCTTTGGCTCGGCCTCGACCGTTGCAGCCATCAACTGAGAAGTCTCACAAGGTTCAGCTTATCTGATTATGACTAGAGAATGTTCAAATGCACGAACAGCCGCCGAGGACAGTGAGCGTTTATGTACTGGCGTGGGAATGGACGAAAAATTTCCCCTCGATGTGGAGAAGGTTTTGCCTTTACTTAATTCCTTCAGATTGTCAACAAAAGAGACTCTTTCTCGTAAATCGTATTACATCTCAGTAGAAGAAATTTATCAATTTCGCGTCTTCGATCTCTGCTTTGCTATCTTGGTTTAAATACAGACTCTCGCAAATACCTGTTGCTTCTGCAACAGGGACAATAAGAAATGATTCAGGCACACTGGAGCTTGTTTGTTGAACAAGGAAAACATATTACCAGTTTAACGCTCAAGCTCAATTGCAGTAGAAGGCATTGAAACATTTGGCTTTGGATCCACGAGTACTTGAAGCTGAGATTCATCTGCATACCATTCTCTCCGCATGGACGGAAAGCTGGTATTTCTGGCAACCGAGAACACCCCAGACCACCTCCCTTAGGACTTTCTTATCTCCGCAAAACAATAACAATGCGCTGAGAAAAGCTGAGAGTTATGCTTAGACCCTATTCGAACGTCCTTATCAAACGTTATGACTTGTCAATCAGGTATTAGCGAAATACTTATTGTTTAGGTGGAATTGCGGTTCGGCCAGAAATCGGCCGTTCCACAGTCCTGTGTAGAGCCATCTCCTCCACGGCATAACGTTCTGAAGTCTAGGCGAGAATTCCGGAAAGCATTTTAACCTTGATTTGAAGAATAATCTACAATGAATAGTGTAGTAGCTGGGATGATTAGAGCTGACTATCCTCGTGTTGAGGCTGGAATGAAATGTTCTCAGATTGGATTCAGTCTACTTGGGCAAATGCCAGATAGATCTCTATGCTAAAGCCGCCTATAGGTGGAGCGTTGTTATAATGACCTCTTGTGTGCAGTGATTAGTATCTCTGATCGCGGGCGTGGTAGTCTTTGAGTGCTTCGTCTCTATGCTTTACTTTTCTGGACAATGTTATTCTTTGACGAGTCTGATAGGAACTGACCCAACTTGAGCCTGAATTACGGAACACTCACCTTGCTTAAATTGCTTCTCAAAAGTATTCATACCGAGTGCTAAGCTCCCGTTGGAAGTTCTGAAGCATGAGGGTGAGAGTGTCCGAAAATGCCAAGAGATTTGTCCGATTGAGGCAAATGTGTTGGTTGTGGATGGGTGTGTAGTCCCGTATATTCGGTCTTAGACCCCTCTCGAGTCTGTTGCCTAGGTACCTAGGTACCTACCTATCTTGCCTACTTTACCTAGAGGTGAATTGGCTTTGCCACGTGGAGATGGGAAAGAGCACTAAGGTAGATACCTACCTAACGAAGAAAGAAGGAGCAGCTTCAACACCTCGCTAAAGGTCTACAAAAGGAACCTTCTCCAGACCTCTTCTTCTCAACATCAATAACAACAAGCAATTCTTCTCCCCTTCTCTTCAATCAACAGCACTGCAACTCACTGCACCTTCAATAGTTCAAACACTTTGAAGGCTCTAACACCAACGTGTTCTTGCCATCTCCCATCGTTCTCCAACCACTCATTGAATTCTCCAGACTGCACACCTCGGTCAATATCAATCGATCTTCCCACTTCCCTCAAGGCGTCTAGAACAACTTCTACAAAGTTGTCACATCACCAATCGGCCAAATACCTATCGAGGCTGATCAAACATTGTAAGTTTCCCTTCATTCTCGTCCACCTCTTCTATAAACGCGTGCTCGAACCTGAGTAGCTTCCCTTCACAAACTTCAACTCCTTCAACTCTTTACCGCTCTCACAATAATCACCACTTCATTGGATTTCATCGTCGCATTCGTACTGGGCTTCTGCCAGCAATGCTTTTCAGGTTCCCCACGCACCATAGCGCCGACTTTAGCCAACTTCAACGTTAACATCAGCTCACCTCTATCTAGTCACCAGAATCTCCACAAAACTGACTAATTCGACCAGCACCAAGTCGCCAACATGCCTCCCCCATCTCAGATCACTTCAGAGCAGTACGTAACACTATCTATGTTATTTCACATATTCTCATGCTAAGGTCACTCTAGGAGACGTGCTGTCCCTCACCTTCCTAAGTGAGTCTCGCAGATCCACCATCTGTAGCTATACTGACCCGATTTAAGATACCTGTGTCGCGTTTGCGAAAAGTGGAAGGAGCCTGCCAGCTTCTCAAATAAGGAGTTGGGTACCTACGCAAATAAAGTTGCCTGTGGCAATCGATTGAATGGAGTCACTGCCAAGTTGAGATGCCGTAGCTGCGCTGGCGGTGCTCTGACCGAGAAGTTCTGTGAAGGCCCTTGCAAGACCTGGAAGGATCTACAAAAGTTCAGCAGATCCGCAAGATCAAATGGTGGCTCCCAGGTACGTGTTGTGCCTTTCAGTATATTTCAAAGCTCCTGGATTGACTCCTTTGTAGTGTTGTATGACTTGCGTTCTCTGGAGGGAAACCCAGGAGCCTGGTATGGTCACCCAAGCCCCTCCAACGGGAGATAACATCAACGGTGGGGATGAGGATGATGACAACTGGACCCCTGGTGCAACGACTTATTCCGACCCAGAGGCTGGTGAATCCGACTCCGACTATGAGGACTACGGCCGTACTGTAAGTAGCATCATTCCTTCAGCGCTAGACAAAGCTAACTTGACTCAGACAACCTCAAATGCGGGCAGTAGGGCAAGCAATGTCCCAGCACCTGTCCCTGGTACTAGACAAACTCCATCCGTCGCCACCAGCTCCGTCGGTCCTCGTCAGCATATCACCGTTCCATACGACTCCCTGGCGACATTGTCTCTCAATGGCACAAACACAACCAGCAACCCCGGAACGGGACACACCATAGCCACAGCAAATCTTCCAACTCCCAATATGTCTGGTGTCGGTACCCGAATCGCTCCTGGCTCTACTTTGATGTCAGGATCTGGTGTAGCTTCCGGCTCTCGGAACACTGCGACCCAGAGAAGCTTCGACATTCGGTCACAGTCCTCCGCTAGGTGAGTATCATCTTCATCCTCTCGGGGCCTTGACAAAAGAGAAAGAAGACTTAAGTGCTAATGATCGCAATAGCAATCCATATGAAACTGTATCTGGCACTCCGGGTTGGGGTGCTATGGATGCTCGTCGTAGAGACCCGGCCACTCAACGTCCAAACCCAGCCACCTTCACAGGCTGGGACAATAGAGGCCAACCACACATCCAACAAAGATTCCCATCTGAATCCGGCTCCCAAACCCAACAATCGACCTCTGCTTCTGCCACTAGTGCCCTTCCAGCTGCCACGGTTCCTGGTCCAACACGCAACTCCAACTGGGCCAGACCTGTTGGATCACGAGGCGCTCAGCGAACCATGCCTCCACCAGACGGAATTCGCTCAGGAAATGCTGGTCGTGGACCAATCTCAAGACCATTGGCCGAGTCAAGATCTGAGGATGATTCTGACACCAGTGACGATTTAAACCACATGTGAGAAATCACTGGCGTTGAATCTCCCTCTACTATTATTTGTATTTATTCTTCGAGGTCAATCCCCCCCAACACCCGCTCGGGTCATCAACTGCTCTCATATCCCAAATCGAGGTCAAATCTTGAAGGATGAACAAACGTTCGTCCTGTGAGAAATACATGAAATTTAACTGGTCTCATGGATCATGAAATCGAAAATTTCCATATTCTTCTTGCCCCCAGGCGGTGTTAGAGTGTTTAAGGACAATCCCGATACCTCATGGGTAGTCCACACTCTATTGCTGGAGGCTGGGAGCGACGTTTTCACTCGGAATGATGGTTTACAAACTTGCTCACATTAGATAGTCCATGAATACAAATCGTTGTTTTTCAATACAGATTCCAAGCTGATCTTAGTGGCCTGAATCACTATCGACTGCTTTTCTAGTCGCGGCTTCACATTCTCTCAAGAGCGAAGTCCGTATCCAGTAAGGCTGGATTTTGAGAGACTTATTATCCCAGGAACCTTATAATAACAAGGTCTTCAATATGCATGTCTGCACACCTCTAGAACTGGCATCATTCCAAGATAGCACAAGGCGGGCGAACCTCTTCACCGAGTAAGTGAACGAGCCAGCTACTCGGTCTTCTTCAACACCCTTATCGCAAAAACAAAACAAACAAAACAAAACAGTACAGATCCAGGATCGATCACCTCACCAATCGCCGGACCGCACCCCGCATGAAAGACACAGGGCATTCCTTTGATCTTTTCTGCAGTCTCATCCACTCGACACACTTCCAAAATTTCAAGGCTGGAGATAGATATTCCCCTAACTACGTTACGGACATTTCTTTCCAGTCTCGCACGTGACAATACACTCGTGTAGACAGCACAGCAATGCAGGTCACATCAAACGCTCATGTCAGTCCTGCAAGTCCGCAAGTCCCCCTTGGCCGTTCCTGGCTACAGCACGAGTTACTGCACCTTTACAGTTCAGCCTAGATAGAAAGTCCATAGGGCAGGCAGTTCGTCCGCAGTGAAAGTGACGAATCAGATGTGGCTATGAATGTACTAAATATACCAACCTTGGGACTCTCCTCTGGAGTAACGGCTGGCCTGACCAGTGACCCGTCGACATGCCTTTGAGTTTCATCCCGCGCGGCGAGCGCCCGTCTGCGGTGGGTGGGAAGTGCAGTACTGTAGTCTGCGAGTTGGAAGCTGCGTCATGGACCACTCCGGCTTGATAGGAAGACATGTGGTTGTGGATCTGGGATGCAGAGCTAAAAGGAGACTGTGGCTGAAATGCCCTTATTCGTTGCCTTGTGTGACTTGAGATTATACAGCCACTCATACCTCACCAATCACAGGCATTTGTTTCGAAACGAGGGATGTCGGAACAGCACTTGTTCCTGTTCAGAAGGTGGTCAAATGCGCCTGATGGACGGATCTGCACTGGATGATTTGCTGACGTCTTCGGTGCTCGGTGCGGAGGACGGGCCTTGTTTGAGGGGGCGGCCCGTCCATCAGACGCCGTCTGATAGGTACATTTTCTGGTTCCGTGGTGCTGGGCTGGTGCTGATGCTGGTAATGCGATGATGGCTGTGGTGCGCTTGGGTTGACTGCACCAGCTGTCTACATTAGAAGACTAGAGACTTGGTCCAAGCAATGGGAACGCTGTATGCAGGCCAGGATATGCGACATCGACAGTTCGCGCTAGAAGGCTGCCTCGGATCGTCCCAGAGGTCCAGAAAAGAGTGGAGTGGAATGGAGTGGATTGACAGAATTCCAGCAATCGCAAGGCTGGACTTTGCCGGACTTCTACTGGTGCTGATGCTGATGCTGATGCTGGTGCTCGTTGAAGTTGGGGGAGGTGGTGCTAGCGAGAGCTTGGTTTGGTTTTGATAGCATCATAGGATTCATAGCCCTCCCTCGGTTGATATCCCCCGCTCCAACTTGAATTGAGTACTGTACATCGTCATCATGAAATCTCAACAGGAACCATTGACCCGACCCCCTTAATTCGATGCTCTGGTCATGAGATGAGATGAGATGAGCTTGATGAGCTCGCCGTTGAACCGAAAACGTTTGCGGAGCTATCGAGTGTCATCCCCTCATTATCCGTTCCATACCGGATTCCGGACGTAGAGTAGTAGCAGCAGTACCAGAGCCAGAGTAGGAGACGGGTAATCACGAATCTGCAGCAGCTGCTGCACCGCGTACTGCAGTCAATTTGCAGGTAGGTGTCTATGAGATCGCGCCCGGCTTGGGCGACCTTTGGCCTTGACCTTCCCTTCTACCAGTCCCAGGGGTGCCACTGTCAGGGTGTGCCTTGCCTTGCTCAGCTCTCGTTGGTTGTCCAGGAGGAAGTAAGGTTAAGTGGTTACTCGAGTACGCTTCTGACAACACTCCACCACTCCACCACTCCACCACCACTCCGACAGAACCCTGACTTCTCTGATATCTGAATCCTTCAACACCCACACTGCTGTGCACTGTCCAATCCATTACAAACCCAAGTCACACTGCTCAAAGACCTCTGATCATCCTCGAATCTCGTGTCGCGCAAACTGCAGCAGAACTTCAACAAGCAAACAAAGACCGCACCTGCCAGAAGAACAATCTTCCTTGCCCTGCGACCCAACCCAATCCAACCCAACCCAACGAACTTTGCCTCCCGAGCTCGACAAACAACCCCCGATTGATGAGGTGACGGAAACACCCAGCCTCGCCCACACCATGGCTTACGATGCCTACGGTCGTCCACTGCGAAGCAATGGGGAGCCTGACTACTTCGATCCCCTGGATGCGTCCGCAGCAACGGATTACACAAATCACAGCAGTAGTAGCCAGCATTACTACGAAGGCAGCGAGCCTCGAGACTCTTACCACCATATCCACCATCGAGAACCTACAAATCCTCGCAGACGCGAATCCCCTCCTGTAGGCGGCAAGATGCCTTCTGCTGCAGATCGCGGAGACCAGCTTCCAGTTGGCCCAGAAGGGGTTTCCCCGGAACTCATAGCTGCTATCACGGAAAAAGTAAAGAGAGAAGGTATGCTGTTCCCACTGCTGCCAAGTCCAGGTGCCAGCCTTGTATGATACTAAATCCATTGTGCAGTTTTCGAGCAGTTGAAGCAAACAGGTAGTGTCGACCTACCGTCCCAAGATCCGCACATGCAAAGAGCAGCATCGACAAAGTCCAGCTCAACATCATCCCCGCCCCCAACTGCAAGAAGAGTTTATACACCTCCGTCTCCTATACATACTGGTCGACAGACACACACACAAACTTTTGCGCCGCCTCCTACGGATCCAATGCGATCACATCCAGGCAGTCCGTTAGAAGAGCCTCTGGGAGGAAATCGTTTTGCAGATCGTGGACCACCACCTCCAAGCAGTCCCGATAAACCATCAGGAGTTCGCTTTTCTGACCGTAGTGCGGCTGCTCGGCCTGCAGGAAACAGAACATATTCAACTACGGAACTCTCGACTATTGATCAGAAATGGGGAAGGCTATTTGAGAATGATGGAAAGCCCACGCAAAGATTAGGACAATTCTTAAGAGGATTGGCAAATCATATTGTGAGCTCTCTTTGGCATGCCTAAAATAATTGGAGCTAATCTGAACATAGATTGAGGAGTTCCCTGCCAAGAAGTCCATTGTTGTGACTCCTACCAAAATGGCAGCCTACTACGCTGCACATACTTTGGACAAAGAGCCCCATCCCTTACTGAGTAAGGTTTCTTCAAGTAAACAATTTAGGACTTGTGCTAATGGTTTTAGCAATCTTCCGAGCACATTCAAACGAGCACATCTCTCGCTTATATCAAGACCTAGGCTGCCAACATCACCTAGTCCAAGAAGATTCTCATTCGGCACCACTAATTCCAGCTCTTACTCCTGTTGGATTTGCTCACTGGATGACCATCAACATTCTCGCTTACCCAGAGGAAGAGTCCGAGAGATTGGCAAAAGTCGTCGTTGCCATGCCTATCGATGCAGATGGTGACCTAGTTGATGGCAAACCAGAACGCCTTCCAAAGCAGATCTCAAGACATCTTCTTCCAGAAAGAGAAGACCGCTCTTATAGAAAGCTTTTGGATTCTTCTATCGAGAATTTCCTGGATGACCTAGGCTCAACAAGTAGAAGGAAGGCTTCAATCACAAGTCCGCCTCTCAGCCGTCATTCTTCGTCTACAACTCGGCCACGATCTGGAAGCCCTCCTCCACGAGGTTCATCCTCGACAGCTCGGTCATACGGGCCTGTACCGGTTGAACTCCACCAGGCACGTACATCTCCAACCACATCTAAGGCACAACCTATTGAGCGGGAGAGAAAGCCTTATGGTGGTGTTCCATCTGTATCCGAAACATCGAGCAATGAAGAAGGCGTTAAGATCGAACGAGACCGACAACCTTACACAGCCCAGCCAGGAAGTGGCAAGAACCACATCGAAAATCTCAACCCTCCTTCATCAGGTCGTCCAGCCCGTGCAAACTCAACGAGCAGTCGATCCTCCGCTCGTGAGCAATCCGAACAAGCAGACCTGCGCCACGTCCGCACGAACAGCAGCACCAGTCAAAATCGTTATCCACCCCGAGCCGGAACTCGTCGAAGCAGCTCTCCGCCTTTCAAGAGTTTCAGCCAATCCACCCCTGACGACTTGCACTCTGCATCCTCTAAATACGGAGCTAATGCTTCCTCTTCAACATCAAGCTTCGCCACAAACCCCTCCTCAACATTCAGTCCTTCTTCCCGCGGTTCCGACCCTGTCTTCCCACCTCCACCCTCAGGACCTCCACCAGTTGACATCCACCGACGTTCTCGAGACGAACGCCAGTACCGCCGTGGCACGGAAGACGAGTCGCACTTCACTGGAGAGTTTAATAGTCCCCGCGATGCAGAGAAGTGGGATCGGTATCAAGATGCTGCCAGGAGCGATGAACGCTTCGGTGGCTACGAGCGTGGATCCGTGTCGGTTGATCCGAGGGACCGAGGTGCTCCCCTTGAGGAGTGGTATCGCGAGAAGGGCCATGGAGCGGAATATGATGGGTTGCCTCGACGTTATTGATGAACTGAAGGAAGTTGAATTTTGATTTGAAAGAGTTGTAAACGGGATTGCATGCTGGGAACACTTTTGTGCGGAATGAGAAGGCCATAAATGGCATACTAGCGATAATTGTTTGACCCCTTTTGATATGATACCTGAGCGATAAAGCAGCGATACGATACGATATGTTACGATACCAAGTTTGTTGTTCTTTTCTAGGATAGATACCATATTATTGCTTCTGCTTCTTTTCTTACCTTGCTTCTGCTTCCTGTCGAATCCATGTACTCTCCTTCTCAACTGCCCCTACTTTTATTCTTTACTATTATCAGGAGGCAGATTGTACGAATATCGACTTTTGGGAGAGATTGCAACAAACAGACAGACAGAAAGACGGATTGGAGTTATCACAGAGCTGGCTTTGCTTATTTTTCTACTTATTTCCTGTCGACACGGGAGGAGAAAGAGGCATATTATTACTACGTTTCCATTTCTTGCTTATTAGGGACTTTCAGTCGTCACTCGCTGAGCAGACCGTATGGGCGGGTGGGGTGGTCTTTGTACTTTATCTTGTACTCGAGTCCATTGACTGGTCAATGAAAATGCTTGAAATGACAAGACAAAGCGAATATCATACTCAGAGGTCTTTCTACGCTACGATCTATTGTTGCTTATGTCTATGAAGGATGGAGGGTGTTATTCGTGCATTCATGAATCAGTGTCCCAAAACCCACAAGTGGCATACATAGTAATACCCGAATATAACGCACTCCACCCACGCAAACTCCATGAACCCAACCAGAAGACGCCTCTAACCATCTCGTATGCTCTTGCAAACCCGGCAAATTCATCGCTGAATATGTCATCCAATGTCGTCAGTCACTCAAGCATCATCCATCTCGACATCCCCCACATCTCCGTTCATCCTAACACCGCTGCCCTCCTCCTCCTCATCGTCTTCGTCCCCACCGACTGTTATCTCTCCCTCTCCCTGTAACTCCAGCATATCAACACCTTCCATCTTTTCCGCCTTCAGGATCCTAACAGCCTCCTCCGCAGCTCTCGTCTCAACCTCAACAACACTTACCCCATCAATAACACTTACTACCTCCCTGTCACCAACAAACACCTTGCAAGCCAATCTCTTCACCTTCTCCGAACCTTCACTCTCTCCACTTTCAACAACAACAGGAGCCAGAGCAACCACATACTTCACTCTCTGCGTGTCTGCCAGCATACCCAGCTCCTCTTTCGGATTCAAGACCTGGACATCCTCATCCAACATCCTACGCATGATCTTAAAGATCCCAATACGCTCGACGAGCTGGTTGCACGTCTCGAACGAGCCAGAATCGATCCAGACAGCTGCAATAAGACTCTCCACAATATCAGAATAAAACTTCTGAGCTTGAAGCCTAGCGAGCAAGGCCCAGGGGTAGTGAGTACCCGTTTCTAAAGCACCGCGGATATTGGGCCCGATGATTGCGTGACGGAGAGAGGTAGCGTGCTGCTCAGTGCCGATGTGAGGACTAGTGTGGCGCATGAACTGCCAGAGGGCAAGCTTGGTAGTCTTGTGGATCTCTGTGATTTGAGGTGAGTTTCCGTCGATTTCTGCGAGAAGATCCACAAGGTCTTGCTCGATGAATAACTCCATACATAGGTATGCGAGGACGTCAGCGTTGACGAGAGCTGTGCGCATGAGATGCATTTTGATGTGAGAGAGTTTGTAATCCCACAGCTTTGTGACGACCAGGTGGTCAAGGATTGCGTCCCCAAGGAACTCGAGTCGTTCGAGGGATGCCGAGCCAGAATTGCATGACGCATGTGTTATTGCCTCAAGAAGAAGTCCCTTGTTCTGGAATGAGTATCCAAGAAGTGCCTCCAAAGGCTGCAGAGTAGGAGGAAGTTGGACATCTGGTGTTCGCTGAAACAAAGTATCTCTGCGAACTTCGAGTGACTCCCACTGCCAGTCCTGGCGTGGGAGGAACGTCTGTAAGCAAGCTAGAGCGTTTGGAATTCCACCCTCAAGCATAGCTACTCCAATGAGCGATTCAACAACATCAGCAGGAATTTTGGAAGACATCTCTCTTTCCCCATCGGTAGCCATCTTCAAGGCATCATCAACATAAAGTGGCCGCCATTGATGCCCATTGAACTGTTTTGTAATGATAAATCTGTCCAAACCAGACTTCGTAGCAGCAGTGTATAGACTCGAGTTACTGACGATTCGGCCTTTCATTTCTGATAGATATCCTTCATGCCAAAGCGGGTATTGAGCCATGAGCTGCACTGATGTACACATCTTGAGGACAGTGTCTCCAAAGAATTCCAGACATTGGTAGTTAGTTTCACCACCGGCGCTGGATGCGGTGATAGCAGTAGCAACAAGATTGAGATCCAAATTCTGGATCTCTTTCAGGATCGTATTGCATAGTAAAGAAGCAAGGAGATACTTTTCATAGTGGTTCATAACCACTGGAATCAGCCGACCAAATTGGTAATATTTGAAAGGCATGTCATCCACTGTACATCTGGTTAGTGGTACCACGGTGGAATATGGCTTGCTTGATTGACTGCGTGGCTCTGGCAGTCTTTGCACGAAGTTTGAACGTCGAGGTACCTTGATAAGCGAGAGGTGCGGCGTGTTCGGGGCTTCTTCATAGCCCTTGTACGGGCTTTGTACAAGCTCGATGTCTGGCTTCGTGGGAAGAAGTTCTCGGAAAGTATAAGCTGAGAAAGGCTCCAACTTGTCTCTGATCAGGCCACAACCGGGATGAAACTTTGAAGATTGTACAGTTTGCCTGCCCATCAAATATGACAAGTCTTCACCAGGCACGGAAAACTCAACGACGTGTGGAACCTGTCTGATTTGAAATCTGGAGCCAAATGCAGACTGCAGAAGTGCCCAAGTGTCCGACTTCGTTGGCGCTTTCAAGATTTCCGCAGTTGTGTGCAATGAGAGCTCCGTAGTAGAGTCCCATTGGACCTTCAAAGGGGGCAGCTGGGGAATCGGTACTGGAAGTATCATTGAAATCTCTAGAACCTCGGAGACGATTGTCGCTTGATGCACCTCTGCAGGATTATTTTTCCATTCCTTTGCAACCTCGACCCACGGATTCAGTTGCTCTCGGACCTTCACTAGCGAGGCTCGGGTATCGGTTGGTGAAGTTCTCAATTCAGTGAGGAGATCGTCATGAGTAAGAGTCGGCAGTAAATGATCGTTGACGAGTTTGGCCGAATAGAGTGCAAGGTATGCTTGGAAAGCAGCATCCTTCATAGCGTTCTTCTCAGTTTTCCATGGTAATCTGCTCTCTGTAACCCTAACACTGTGATCGACACAAAGTGGTAAAGTTACCTTGGCTCGGATGTCATCACCCAGCTGGGTGCAAAGGAACTCCGGTCGAGGATCAACATAAGCAGTTCGTGGTAGTTTCGCACAGAAGTGGTACAGATGTTGGATGGCATTATCCAAATCCAGTAGAGCTTGCGTTTCTGCCACTTGAAACTTCAAAGTTTCGACACCAGCCTCATCGGCATCCTCGAGCATCAGCTCTTCCTGCAGGGTACGCATTTCGTCCTCATACATTTGCCTCATGTCTGCCTCGAGCTGTTGCCAGCCCACAATCTTGTCGCTATCCGAGTGCATGAGAATGAGCTTGGAATCTCGGTGTCTCGCACGGCCCCGTCTCTGTACGAACGACTTGAGGTTTGCCGGTGGTTGAAAGGATATGACAGCATTGCAGGCAGGAACATCTATGCCCTCTTCTAAGACAGTAGTTGCGATAGCCAGATTGATCTTGCCAGACTTGAATTTTGAGATGGTATGCTTCTGTTCCCCAACATCCACAAGTTCGGATATGTTACGGGAGCGTTGGGAGTGTCCGGATGTCCCAACGATAGTCCCGATATTGAACTTGCCACATAGCGATGGATGCACCGAAAGCACGTGTGCCAATACTGAGGTAGAAGCCCTCTCCTATGATGTGAATAGACGTCAGAATATTTGCGTCATTATGCAAGGACTGCTGTTATCATACCTGAACGAAGATGATACCTTGAAAGGTAGTGGGTTCTTGCAGAAGCACCTCAACCAGCTTGTCAACTTTGTCGCTCACTGAGCCTAGATCTTCAAATCCGAGACTAGAACGCTGGGTCGTCTCGACTCCTGACAATACTCTGGCGAGATACTGCTTTTCAGGGCCTTCAATATCCCATATATTGCCATGCTTCTGGGATCCCGTCGCGGCTTTTCTGATTTTCTCAACGACCCTATTCATGAGGTCATTATTTGGATGATGCATTTGAGAAATTAAGTCAAAGGGAAGCAAACATACTGTGCGATATAGTAATCTGCGGCCCACGTCCCCAATTCTTCGTTGATCTTGCTTGCTGTGCTATGAAATGATTTAACTTGATTTGAGCACCAGGTCTTACCAGTCATTCGGACTTTATCCGCCTTTGCCCGGCCTTTCTCTGAATTGTCTTTCAGCAAACTTAAAAAAGAAGGGTCTTCCATGATATTCATATCAACAAATGCTTTTTTAAGACTGGCGAGTGACTTCGAAGGTGTAAAAGTCGTTGCTGCTTGGTAAGATATCTGCAACAGTACTGGCAGCTTTACTTCGAGTCGGAGTTCCGCGCGATGTTTGCTCGGAGTTCGGCATATAGAATCCATCACTTTCTCAATTTCAATCAGAGAGCGCGGATTCGATCGCATGACTGGAGAGGCGGTGAGTCCCAAAATATGGGGAAGTGATTGACCGGAGATTTTGCGTGGATGGTAGAAGTCGGACATGATCTTCGCTCCAGGATGTCTGCCGACACAATTGTGTACTTCTAGATTAGCATACGTTGACAACTCATTCGTGACATATGGTATACCTTCGTCAAAAACGATCAGAGGAAGAGACTCCATAGGCACGAAACCATTGCTGAGAGCTTCCAGCAAGATTTGATATGTTGAGATAACGATCCGGACATTCTTCAGAATAGCATCCCATTGCTTTTGTTCGGACCATCTGTCGACATTGTCTGCCCCAGAAAGGAATCTTGATTGGACCTGAGCGATTTGAGTAGAAATGTAATTGTATTGTTGTTCGCAAAGAGTAACGGTTGGAGCAAGAAACCATATGATCTGGAACTTTTAGTACAACGTGTGTTACATAGCCAGTTGAGGAGTTTAACTGACCTGATGCGATGGAATTCGTTCAAGTTCATGCTGCATGCGCATAACTGCGCTTTAATTAGTTAGCTTAAAATTCCTAGAAGGATTCTACTCAAGTCTCTGCATTGAAGCCATTCTTTGGTCCCTGCCGTCATCTCCACAACAAGATGTCCAAGTACACTTCTAGGATCTTACATATTGAGTCTGCCAATCACAACAACTCAAGAGATAATAGAAGAGAGAGCTTCATATAATATGTAGAAGCGGGTTGAACTTACATATGCGTCTTCCCCGAACCAGTATCCATCTGCTCGATAAATCAGCACTCGACCCACCAAACTCCTCTTAGCATATCCTTTAAACTACTCACGGCAACGATAATATTCCTCCTCAGACTCTCCTCCAACATCTCTTTCTGATACGGCCTCGGCTTGATAACTGGTGGCCCATCCTGAATAACGAGTGACTTGAGACTGTCGCTGTCTCTGAGGAACGCATCGATATCGCTAATTTCTTCTTGAACTTGGGGAGCTCTGATCTCTACTTCGGCGACTGTTGCCGAGATCGGGAGTTTGGAAATAACTTGCTCTTTCTGAGTGATGAAGCCCGGAGAGGGAGAGGGCAGGAAGGTTGCTCTGAGGTCTTCCATGATGACGTTGGGCCCGGAGGTTCGTCGTGGCAGAGATGTAGCAAACAACGAGTAGAAATCAAGCAAAGCAAATGCAAAATGCAAGAAGCAAAAAGCAGAGCGAAGAGGAAGAAGGAAAAATCGAAATCAACGCATTCTATTTGCAAAGCTCTCGCAGTTGTCCGTTGTAGATAAATTCTCAATGATGGAAAGCAAATTGAAGTTGACAAGGCTCGTTGATGAACTTCTGTGGAAAGCTGGAGGATGCAGGCGTGACCTTCTCGCTCCTGCCGCTAGGGACCCTGCGGCCTCCCGCGTTCAAACAAATAAGCGTACGAACGGAGCAGAACAACCATAAGAATCAAGATTGAGGTGGAGACTTAAAAGAGAGTCATGATGGAGTTGAGGCGAGTTGGGGTTGTCACACCTCAAGACTGGAGATTAGACCAGTGTTGGGTCTGCAAGGGCCGGGCCGAGAACCTGGACGAGGCGGGCAGGCGGGAGCCTGGTCTAGGTTAGCTGCGGAGTATTGTGAAATCTACATCAAAACAACGACAAAGCTTGGACAGCTTTACTTCCACTTTACTATTCAGTCTTTAAAATCGCATTGACAGTCAGAAACTACCCTCGAAATGCCACCAAGACCCCCACCACCCCGCTTAACACATTTCCTCGCCATACCCCTCGTGACACCAATATCCCGACCCCAACTCCAGCACTCTATCTTACAGTTCAAGGATAAAGTCACGCAGCCAAATATAGCTTCCTTAGCAGATGGGATTCCAGAGCAAGCTATCAGACCTATTGGGACCCTGCATTTGACGCTTGGTGTGATGAGTCTTACGACCCCAGAGAAGGTAGAAGGAGTGTTAAGCCTGTTGAAGTCCTTGGAGTTTGTGGGTGTGAAAGCCTCAAATTCTCGAGCTCAAAATGTTGGGGATGATGTAGATCCAGTACCAAATCCAAGTGGACATTGGGATTCTCAATCTGGTGGGAAGGACAAGTCTATTCCGTCAAACTCAGCCTCTCAAGAGAAAGGAAAAGGCAAAGGAGATAAAGCAGAGAGGGAAGGGCGTCCACCACCCCTCTATATCACACTCCAAGGTCTTCAAAGTATGCACGACCCCTCAAAGACTTCCGTTTTGTATACCGCGCCTCTAGACCCCGATTTACGCCTCTACCGGTTCTGTGTTAAGCTACGAGAAGTGTTTAAGGACTTTTTGGTGGGGGAGCAGAGGCCGCTGCTGTTGCATGCTACGGTTGCCAACACAGTTTATGTTAAAGGAAGAGGGACTGGACGTGGTAGAAGGGATGGAGGGAGAGCTAGAGGTGGGAGGACTGCAGGAGAAGGAAGGGGGAAAGAGAGATTGGTGCTAGATGCACGGGAGTTGCTTGGGGATTGGGAAGATTTCGTCTGGATGAAGGATGTGAGGGTTGAGAAAGTTGCGGTGTTGAGGATGGGTGCTAAGGTTGGGGAGAGTGGAGAGGAGGAATATGAGGTTGAAGGGGAGGTGGATATGCCGACTTGAAGGAAATTGTCTGTGAAGAGAAGGATGCGCAAGAGAATTGATGTCACGTTAGGGAGTGGAATGCTTTGAGCACAGGGCTCTTGGACTACATTAATTTGTTGAATATCAGGTGCTGAGCTGAAGTTGGAGGCGTGTGGAACACCAGAGTCATGAAGCAGTTCAAGGGTCATTCATTGAGTTATGAGATTGCGGGCATACAAAGGCGAGAAGGTGAAATGCTCAAGCTACATGTGCAGAATCTTGTGACGTAAAAAGTGGCAGCAAGAGCAAAAAGATTTATAGGAGTGCTTTCCAAAGTAGTTCAGCTATGTGCTGGCAAAGTATATTTCGGGGAACCGGAATGAATCTACGAAAAGAGCAGAAGCTATCAAGCATGAACAAGCGGGGTAGGGAATAAAGTTCAATACGTAGAAATTGAATGTCAACAAAGGTAGCGGACCTGGTTAAGCTTTCTTTTGAGTAGTGTAGATCATTTCTTGTTCTCCTTCTTATAGTCCTGTCGAGTAACGGTTGTCACATAGGTCATAAATCAGGCGAGATGACAATATCTTTAAAATCAAAATGGTTCTGCGTTTCGCCCGGAAGGCCTCTTCCCCCGTACTTCACTTGCAGGTACAAGATATCGTCCCTCGTCATCATCCTGCTTACTAGCTCAAGTACCGTAGTAACCTTGGGCAGAGAAAAACCTGTCTTGAAAAGCACAACAACGAAAAGAAGCAGAAAGAATTTCAAGCCAAAGAAACAACAACCATATGCCAATGCCGTGAATGGAAACTCATGCCAGGAACGCCAAATGGAGCATTTGTCGTAAGAGAAGATCACTGCTCGACCCGTGTGAAGCTTCAATGTCGCAAACCAGGCAAGGAAAGAAAACTCCAACAGCAAAATTTTGTTGTCCGCGCCATCAGCTGCTTCCTTCCCTCTCCTGGCTGCGAGAACGTGGCACAATGCCAATCCGTTTCTTCGTTGATCATGCGTCCCTCCCACTTCAGCTGCCGTAGAACTTCTTCAGGACTTTCTCGACCTCGGCATATTCCTCCTTGACGGTCACCAGTGTATCCTTACATCTCTCCAAGCATTTGTCCTCGTCTGGTTCGTCCTCAGTTCCTTCATCGTCTTTCTTCTGTCCGTAGTGCTGGATCTTCTCGCAGCTGTCCTTAACCTTTGTCAAACCAAGTGTGGCGGATGAACCCTTCAGGAAATGACCAAGCGACGAAAGTGTTGCGAGATCCTTCTTCTCTCTACCAAGATGCAGTTGTCAGCTCCTTCTCGCACAGTGGAAAGCTATGTGCCCGTGTCCTACTCACAGTGCGTCATCCATTTTCTTGAACGTCTGCTCAGCTTGTTCAAAGAAGCTGAACACAATCGATCTGCTGAACTCCCGGTCATCCTCATCATCGTCCATCTCCAGGATTTGCTCGAAGGTCAAGGCATCAATGCTGTCGCCGAGATCTGGCAGGCCGACGGAACCCTCCTCACTCTGTTTGCGCCTGGTCAGCTCTTGTTTCTAGGGAGGGGTAGCGGGATCAGTAACATCAGAAACATCAGAAACACTCACTGGGTCCTCGGGCTCATGACGTGTGTTAGCTGTTGCTTCGGGCATGTTGAGGCAGGTGTTGGTCTCGAAGGATTTGGTGGGACCGAAAGAGTGTATTTGTTCAAGGAGGCCGTGCTTTGCTTTGCTTTGCTTTGGCTCTTGTCTGCCGTTGAGGTTTGGATCAAACAGACGGGAAGCACAACAAAAGTGAAGGTGGGTAAACAGGTCGTAGTGGGGTTGAGTGATCGGCGCCGGTGTGCGGGCGAAAAAGAAATGGGTCCAGTCCAGGTTCCAGATCCAGCTTCGCTACTCGAGCAAGCAAACAACCTACCTAAGTATGTTTTGTCCCAAGCTGTCAGAGCCAAATTCGGTAAAGTAAGGAAAGACAGCGCCGAAAGGGAAGGTGGTTGCATTGAAGTCACTAGGTAAGATGATAGAGAAGTGATAGCAGATGCTGAAACATGGAGGGAGGTTTATGGTCTAATAGCCGCGCTTTATTGCGGCAGTTTTAACTTCGAGCTGGTTTATGATTATACGGCACAGCTCGACCTCGCTCCATTGAGCGCGCCGAGGGTGGGATTCCAGATAATAGAAGGCCTTAGGATGATTCTATAGCTGTCTAGGTAGGAGGGGCTGAAAAGAGGGGAATCTTGGGACAAGCTGGTCGGGGCCGCACGCATGCACAAGCTTAGGTAGGTGTACTTTCTTTCCGTACTGTGAAGCTTGAGACTATGAAGGTCCCTGGATCTTTCTGATTGCTGGCACGCAAGTACAAGGATATGAAATTGAGTGCAATGCAGTGCAGCACAAAGGGTAGGTCAGATGAGAATGTCTACTGGATGTTTGTATCAGATAAAAGACCCTTTCTCCAGGTTAATCCGGAAGGAAAGTTTTTCAGAATGAGGGCTGTGTGTGTGTCTCTGTCTTGCTTACTAGGGGGTTGGGCTTGAGTAGGTATCGCTTCATTCATGCGCCAGCCAGCCTCTTTTTTTCACTTCCTTCTTTCTTTACCTCCACCGCAACAGACCCCACCTCAACTCGGAATGAAATCACACACTTCACCTTACTCTCTGTCTTTCTCCTCCCCTTGCTCGCCAGCCAATCCCTCCATATGCATTAACCCTTGCTGCTTGCTTCATGAAGTTCGAGATCATGGGGACAAGCTGCAGCCAGCGTGCAGGTTGCGCAGGTATGCTGCACTCTGGCAGATGGGGGCACCCAATTACGGAATGACCTCTTCTCTATCTCATGCCATCCCATCTCCTCGCATCCACAGCCAGCGGGAGACTTATCCGACTAACTTGTCAGGGTCTGGGTGGACACATCTACAGTGGCTACGCTGTGTACTGTATGTGGGTGGGTGGTTTACAGCCGGGTAAAGGTTGGGAGTCTTGGCCATACATACACTACCCACTGCGACAGCCAGCTGAAGTAATTTCCAGTATCGTGATCGTATGCGGGATGGTGAGCTGAGCGAGCCCGCGGGTGTGACTTTGACTTCAGGTTTGCCCTTGAACTCTGCCTCTGCCTTTGACTGGCCTTCAGACGCTTCGATTATTTCATTATTTCAATAATACTGTAAGTAGTTAATCAAGCGCGAAGCCTCTTTTCCTCGAAAAAGCTCATCGCATGCCGGCCAAGGCACAATGACGCACCGTGCACGTCAGTCTGCATACGGCCGCGCCGTTCCTAGCCAATGCGCACCCCTGCTGCGAGCGCCTCTTTCGCACCCAAGGCCCTGTCTGGCGACGCATCTTAAACCTCCTGTCACCGCGCGCGCAGAGTCCAGACCTCTAGCTATATATACTCAACCACAACAGTAATATTATGTTATGTGACTATGGTGGCAGTCAGGGATCAGCGTTGAGCACGTTGAGCATTCAGCATTCAGCATTCAGCATTGCATTGCATTGCCAGTCACCTATCGACACGATCCATCGGCCTGGAGCAGGAGAAAAGTGCTACCCAGGAGCTTGTCAAGTGCTGGTTTCCGAGCCTCGCCAGAGGAAAAGGACACCAACAGCACGATGCCTGTTCCGTGAAGGCATCCGACGTCTGAGCCGCCAACCACAGCTATCAATTGGGCGCAGGACGCAAGTCGCAAGAGGGGTGGAGGGTGTTCCGCTGAGGGCTCGGAGCACCAGTCTCTGCAGTGCGGGTGCGAGAGAGGCCCTAGCCGAATGTGATGAACCCCTCCTGGATCCCCTCTACCACTCTCCCCAGCCTTGCTCACTGGCTAGAAACGATGTTCTTCGACAGTCCAGGCCCATCCTTCGTCTCACCACCCCAACCAACCCAGTTTATGGCACCTTTCCCCAGCAAGAAATGTGCCACCACGAAAGTTGCTGCCCGAAGCGTCGACTACGCGAGGCCGTCTATACTCCTTGCTCGACACCTTGGCCTAGCAGCCCCTGCGTCCTTGGAATGGCCTCATTCCCATGATTCTATCCCACGACGCGGACTCGGTGTTTACTGCGTAACACAGGATCAAGCGATCGTTCATCTTGTCGGGTCAGACCGATGCGAGCAAGGGACCTTGACAGTGCAGCATAGAACCGGATGCCCGTTTAGATGGGCCCACTACACAACCAAATCATGGTCGCACAGTGGTGACGTTGATGTGCATGGAAACCGTTTTCTGCACGCGAGAAAATAGGGTATGGTGAGAAGACTCTGCCGATTACTCAGCTGTCGTGCTTTCATGCCCAATTCGAGGATTTCACCGTCGGCCGTGCTCATGGCCGAGGAGGAGAGTTTCTCAAAACTGCTGGAAAGCTGCACATGGACGGCTCGTACCTTCACGGCAGATGAGCAAGGTTCGGACTTTATGTACTGGCACAGGATACGATGTCCTGCATCTGATCTGCGATACTTGTCAGCTGGAGAAAATGCTTCTGCGCTTTCAAGTCTCGTTCTGGACCGTCAACGAGATGATTCTGGTGCCGAGGACGGCTTACATTTGCACATACTTCGCTAAGCACAGCTACAAACCCTTCGAACCCCCTCATCCACAGGCGTTTCAAGTATTTTCACTCGCTTTCAGCCAAGGGTTGACCTCCCTCGCCGTCTCATGCACGCCAAGTAAAATTTTGACAAGTTGAGTAGGTAGGCTTTCATTCCTTCTGCTATGAGTTTACGGAACCAACGCACCTCATCGAAATGTTTGGACGCTCTAGAGGCTACCGATGAAGCGCGGTCAGAGAATTCAAGGCGTATGACTTCTGGAAACGGTTGTCTCGCCTATGTATCTGTCACAGACCTTGCCCACTGTCAAATGCGCTCTCTGATTCTCGCAATCGGCTTAGGCGATAGTGTATCACTGATGGACACCTTCAAACCATTAAAGAACAAATTTCAATCTAACAGCCAGAAACTGAACTGTTGATCATACCACCATGGTGGTTCATGAGCGCAGAATATTTATGTCAACAATGAAAGGACATGACCGCTTACTCGGCCACATGTCGCTATATTCACTAATCGAATTCGATGCAGCATTACTATGGAAGGTAACTACACCAGCACTCCGTACCACAGGTGAAGGGCCTTTCCTGTACCGACTGCAGTCGAGTTAGAACGCATACGCATGCACATGCTTTACATACCGGCCAATTACAAGTGGTGACGAGCCTGCGGACCTTCCCCCGGTTTGCCTTTGGTAGTGACCAATACCACAGCCTATCCCATACTCTCAGGAAACCTGCCTCGGAGCATAGCTGCGCTGGGTAGTTGGCACTGTTACCTAAGCAGTCTCGGTGTACTGGCCAGTTCAGGAAACAAGGAACTCTAAGTGGGTTCGTTGGTGAGACTAATCCTCTGGTTGTGATTTATGCTTTCTCTCTTGCCTCTTCGATTCATGATATATGCTGTCCGTACAGGCAAGCTGCAGTGCAGAAGTTCGCGAAGTTACTTTGTAGCAAGATCCGGTTCCATGTACTACATCTGAGTGACTGATCTCATCACTTTGTAAGTACTTTGAGTGAAGAGAAGTTCTGAGTTTCGCCAGTAGGACCAGCCGGCGGGGTTGTATTGGTATGCAGTCCAAGGTTTGCCTTTCCAGTCTCAGTAACCGCAAAAATGGTCTAGGCCAAATGCTAAACTACCAACTGTCTATGATCCGTGTCTCCTAGGTCTGTATTGAGCTAATACACCTGGAAATATCCGGCAATAAAACGTTGAACCAAAGCTCGTTACCATACTGACGGGAACTACTGTGCTAAGGCAATACCCGGATTGGATATAATCGGTAATAATTGCGATCTTTGACAAATAGTTCCCATTCAAATCCCGTAGTCCGGATGTAGGTTGTACAGTTCAACTAGTGCTGGGTTCATGATGATATGGACAAAACAATAACAAAACCTTACTTCATTCGATTTTCCGAATATTGCACATGAGTTCGCATTCAACTTTCTACACGAAGTATGCTCATTCGGCTACTATGATAGCCTTTAAACAGTGAGACCACATAGTTAATTTAAGGCCACGGAACCACACCCTTGAAAGGCTGTTATGTTGTCAAGACAAATGCGGGGTCCACCGCCAAGCACGAGCCTGCCACAACCTCCTCGATGCAAGAGTAGTCTAGGGATTTCCTGGCATTCGAGACGATTTCATTGGTAATTAAAAGCCATTTTCGCGGGGTAGATCAATAATACGTAGTTTTTTCGGGCTATTGCTCAGCATTTTGAGAATATTTGGTGCCTTGTTGAGAGCCAGTTGTTGCATGCCACTAGCAAATTGCTGCGGGGTTTATCATAGGGCCGCTGGAGGGGCAGTATATATTGATCTGTCTGGTCTGCTTCAAGGTCACAACATTTCACATCAACATCCGATATTATTCGGTACCATAAAAATTCACACTTTACCCTAAACTTGTCATTAACGATGGCAAACACAAAGACTGTCCGGGTTCCCCACTTAGGTGGTATCGATGCTGCGTAAGAAAACACCGTCCTTGAAGCTATTGAAAGTCACGATTACTGACCTCCACAACCAGATACCAAATGCCTCATCCATATGACCCTTCCAAGCCAACGCTAGTTCTTGCCAATTCTTTCACCACATCTTCAGAGCTCTACCGTCAACAATACGCAAACAAGGCTTTAACTTCTGCGATGAACCTCCTAGCAATCGAGCTCCTCGGCCACGGCCAAACCCGCACCAAATCCGAGAACTTCACCTACTGGGATTCAGCCATCATGAACATCCAAGTTCTATCCGCCCTTGGGATCAAGAAAGCCTTCGTCCTCGGCACCAGTCAAGGCGGCTGGATCACTGTTCGCATGGCCCTCCTTGCCCCCGACGTGATCGAGGGGATTATCCCACTCGGTACTTCTCTCGACTACGAGTCTGAACGGACACGCGAGTTGGGATGCTGGGACGGACCATCTGATCTCACACCCTCCATCAAGGAGTGGACGACCAATCAAGCCACGCCGGATTTCGAACCCACTTCAGACTACTGCAATTTCCTCATCGATATCGGCTTTGGCAAGAATTGCGACAGATCAGTCCGAGATTTCTGGGTCAAGACTATCAAGGGCAATTACCAGGGTGACGATGGCCGGAGAAGAATCCGTATGGCGGCCATTAATTTGAAAGAGAGAGATGGGCTGCATAGTAGGCTGTCGGATGTGAAGTGCCCTGTTTTATGGCTGCATGGTACAGATGATGTTGTGTATAGCGCGGCAAATGCACAGGAAGAGATCAAGCTGTTCACGAATTCCAAGGATGCCAAATTAGTCACGGTTAAGAATGGGCAGCATTTCTTGTCGGCTTCTCATCCTGCCGTAAGTGTTCCTTGAAGCTTTGTTTACGTTACCCCTGAATTCCTCGCTAATTCTCGAATAGGAGGTTGACCAGGCTTTGATCGATTTTGTTGGAAAGTGGGCCAATAAGCACATCTAGGTATCAATACATATCTAAGCGTGGGGTTTCTTGTAAATTAGATCATCACACCTCTTGTGTAGATTCAAACAGAAATATGACTGCTCTCTAAGTGGGCGCCTTCCACTGTTTTTACGCGACTCATGGCTAACGTCCTAATTATTCGAGAAGATTAACTTCCATGGACCAATATCAGCTTTAGACTGTCTTCTAAGCTTCAGTGACATTTGATGTGTATATACATTTGCCACTTGACCAACAAAATAAGAGCTCAGAGGCGAAATGTCAGCCCAGTACCCACGTGACTTTGTAAATACTTCTTGCAATATTGAGTTTGCTGATGAATCCTTTTCCCTTGAATGAAAAAAATCACAAATCATACCGATCAAATATACGAGCCTTCATGTACTGAAGCCCCCGAGGTATCCGAAGTCAGATATCCACCCCGCACACACAGCCTCACAGCCTCGTACACTCAGCCTCGAAGCGAGTCCATCCATCTGATTTGCCTGCCAGGCACCGACAAACGACCCCTCCATCCTTCAAACAAATACCTCTTTGCTTACCTACCTACCACATCCCCAATTCCTTCCCAACAATGCACCCAATACCTCCTCCCTCACCATGAGTACGCACGAGAAAAAGGTCCCCCGGGCCTCAAACCTCCGCACCAACAAATCCCCCATCGCAACCCCGCCTCGCGCCGCCCTCCACGGCCGATCGAAGACAGACCACTCCACACAGCAACAAGTCACATCCGACAATGCATCTACGAAATCCGGTCGAGAAGGCAGCGGTGCAGTCAGCGGCGGAGGAGCAGACACCACATCCACCTCACCCGCATCCGAAGTCGAAGACAGCGCCTCCATATCCTCAATCTCCATCTCCCTCCCCAATCACAGCCGCGAGATCCTGCACGAAAAGGACCGCAAGATCGCCGACCTCGAACGCGAGCTCTCGGTGATGGAATCTGAATTCTCGGCGGAACTCACAACCCTCTCTCACAAACTGACCAACGAATCGGAAACCGTGCAGTTCTGGCAGCAGAAACACTCCTCTCTCAACCAGACGTTCCTGCAAACGGACACCGATCTGCGCTTACTTAAACAAGAAATCGCGGGGTTTGCGGAGGCCAGAGAGGAAAGGGATCGGGATATCAAGACGAGGATTTCGAGTCTGATATTGGATCGGGATGCGTTTAGAGAGGCGTATAATGAGGCGATGGGCGAGGTGAGGGGGAAAGAGGAGATGGTTAGGTTGTTGCAGGGGCAGGTGCGGGGGTTGAAGAGTTGGGTTAGCAGTAGTAGTAAGGTTGGAGAACAGGTTAGTGATGAGGTTTTTGGAGAGGAGATGAGGAGGTTGGGAAATGGGTTGCAGAATTGGGTCATTACGCACTTTAGGAGGGTGAGGATTGGTAAGTTTTTGTGCTTTCATCGGGCTCTTTCTTACTGTCTACTTCTGAGATTGCAAGTATCGTCTCAGTCAGTCATTGGGAATGATATGGAGATTAGAGTTGGGATGTGACAACCAAGTGGTTGTGTACATTTAAATGGAGTCAGGCAATCATGAAGCCTGGGACCTTCAAGTGAGGATCTGATTGTAGCCTGCTTCGGGTATGGAAGTCTCTTTGGATACTACTTAATGATTAAATCTCGAGAGATGCAATCGTAACCGGACACTAAAACGTGTATATACAATACGTATTCTTTGGACGTCCAAATAGTTTTGTGACCTTGAAGCATTTGCTCATTGAGAATATCTGATGCACTGAAAGTAGCTGGGATAAAGAGGCGAGGTCAGTCACTGGAATTGAATGAGAACATTCTCAGACATCCCACCAAGATCCGAGTTTCCAAGCAACTCAAATCTCATAAAATTTCAAGCAAAAGCAGACTCACGTCTCATATGAAGTTTATAAAAGTCTTTTCTTTCAACTTTCTCTTACGTCTTCAATACACACAACACAAAACATCGGCTAATACGCAGCTAGACACATCCAAAGCCCCCGACAGCACCCTCTCAAGCCTCGAGCACCTTGTCCCAGCCTACGAGTCGCTCGCCTCATCCTCCAAGATCCACCTCATTCAATCCCTCGTCTCACAACTCCTCGTCACGCACGTCTTCTCAGCATACTTTATAGGTCTAGCTCCCGAGCAGGCAAACGAGTTAGCGAATGTGGAGAAGACTTTGAGTAATTTCGGTATGTGCACATGTCCCAGTCCTACTCCCATGTTTTCTGGCTTCCAGATGGGTTTGCTTGGTCAATCAAGCTAAATGACTTATGAAATAGGTTCAGCAGAAAGCATGAATCAATGGCGCTCAACAACGCTCTCAATCCTGCGCAAAGAGTCACAAAAGCTGCAACCCTCAACCACAGCTGTAATAGACGACATAGTCTCGCAAGTAAACAATATCATGGACGGCATCAGTGATACCAAACACACCGAAGGGCGAGACCAGGCACTACGGAGCATGATCGGCAGCTCGATCGAACTCTCGCGGCAGCTGCGTGTGCAAAAAGCCGCGTACAGCATAATGATGCCAAGAATCGTCGATTATCAGAAGACGATGTTCGATGCTGATAGCATGGAAGACATTGGTGGAGAAGACGAGGATAGTTTAAGTGATCGGGAGATCAAATGCGTGACTTTCCCAGGAATAGTGAAAGCTGGGGATGAAAATGGGGAAAAAAGCCATCTGAGAAACGTGGTGGCGAAGATTAGAGTGCTTTGTGCACCTGATTGACAGGCATCTTCTGGTATTGTTTGAGGAGGAAATTATACCCACCAGACTTGAGATTTGTCAGAGCTAGAAAAGGTCTGAAATGGATCTGGACTTGTGACAAGGCGGCGTCGTCGTCTATATCCTAATCTCTACAGCATTTGAAGATCGCTTTGATGCCGAGTAGGATATTCTGCCGAAATTGAACACTTACGTGCAGCCTTTGTAGGCTAGTAAGTGCCATCGTATTCATCCCGTTGCAAACTTGCAGGTGACGTTGCGACTACTCGCGAACGTACTGGCACCCCCGCCATCCACCAGCGCAGGTGCATGTTTCACGGGTAAGAGTCAGGCCATGATGGAGGCTCTGCGGTACATGAGGTGTGGCACACCTGTGAGTTTATTGGTGCCGCTGTTGCAGCAGAAGTGGAGGACAAGCATCTGGAGTGAGTGCTCGTTCTTCCACATTTGGGTTACAGGCTTCACTCGGGCCAGATACTACCTAATTCATGGCACATTCAAACGAGTATCACGAAATGATCCTCCGGGGATGCCGTGATCTGGCGCGACAAAATGCTGCAGAGGTGTATTAGCTGTTACGAACTGAATATGAGGACCCTTGTCGTTCGTCCTGCAACAAACCGGACATATAACCTTATCTGGAGAGATTGATGTACCTCATTCTGTCAACACCATAGACAAGGAGAGCAAACGGCGCTAGCAGGACAGGTGACAAGTGTAGGAACCCGATGGCATATCAAAATAGGCCATTCCGAATTTCCAAACCCGAGTCCGTAGTTCATCTCCTCCAAGATCCTGCAAGACGTGCATAGAACGTCGCTCAACATCTTCACGTAACAGAAAGTGTATCTCCTGACTATTTGCTTCCTGTCGTGGCCGGCCAGAAAAGGTGTCGGCATAGTCTGGAATATCGTCCATTGGAGGACATTTCAGACCAGAGCAGAGCAACGTCCTAGAACTTGATTTCCAATCCAAAAGATCACGGCCAGTTTCATGCAGCTTTCAGGTAGCGGTGTGCAGAACAGCTAGGCCAGTGCTCTTTGTTTGCCATTCAGTGCAGAAGACACCAATTGCCTCGTTGCCTCGCGCATCTCGAGCTGCCAGTGACAATAGAGTCTCGGACAGCCACACGGATGCGGTTCTCCCGAATGTTCTGAGCAGGGACTCTCCGTAGATTGTACATAGCGTTCTTCCAGAGATTACTTACTCAAGCTCTTCGCCAATTCCTGCTCTCTGTCATAGGATGTGAGAACCGTGGTTGTGGAGAGGAGGGCGAGTGCTGTATCGTGCAGTACGACACGGATGCTTGAAGGTACGTTTCTAATCCTGAGCATAGTACTACCTGAAAGATGCATATCTTTCGAAAAAATAAAATCGACCGTATCCGGACAAATGAGGTCCTCGAAACAGCGTTAACACAACTATTGAGTCTGGCTGGAATGGGGCCAGATGAGACTTGGACACCTGCCTGGAGCCGCTAAAGCCCTGGACTGGTAGAATAACTCAACCCGTAATGATGAACTGGCAGCAGTACTGTAAGCTAATTCAGAGCATCCATATGCTTATCCTTGCATGTGCGTGCAGCATGGAAATGGCGATCGATGCGCTGGCTGAATGAAGTAGTTTCTTCGGGTCGCTGCCATATCTGAAATACCTTTAAGTATCTCGCTCGGCCTTAGAGACCGATCACCATCATCATCTTTTGCCCGAAAAATTCGACAGTGCACATCCAATTCTTCGAATACCTCGTCCCTGATTCCCGATCTTTTCCTGGTGTTGGCCTCCCCCACATCCTGCTCCTGCACGCAAGCGAGAAGGTGGCAGGCCGCGTCTCTCCAACCTTGCTGCGATCCAGCTTGACAGCCAGAGGAGTCACCAACCAAATACATCAGTGTCGAAGCTCTCAGGATCTTCGGCACCCAGCTGTCGACAGGTCTCGACGGCCTTCGCCGAAGACTTTGATCCCTTCGTGATAGTTTTGAGCTTTGTATCTCCTGGAAACGTACCTCTTGACGCTGATCTTATCTCCTCGCACCCCGCACTCCTCTCCAACTTCTTTTCCATCACCCGCTGGCCACGGCGGCGAACACAACACGACAGTTTCGTTTAGAAGCTGTCATGAGTAACGGCGTAGAAGATTTCTTGGAGGAGTACGGCAGAAACGGTCGCAGACGGGCAATACCAGGACATTCACTGCTACCGTTCGATGTGCCTTCTCGTCCCCCAGCGGGAGCGTATCGCCGTTCCTCGACGACCATCGCTAGGCCAACCTTGAGTAACATTTCTGCTCTAAGTGGCTCAAGCAGAAGTGGTGACAGTGATTCTGCGAGTCGAAGGTCTTCGACCTCAACAGCTCGGTCGACTGCTCCTTCCATTCCACTCTTCGGAACTCCTCCGTGGCACGACCAACGCGGCATGGACCCGAACGACTTCGACTATGATCTTCCATGCGAGTTCGTAATGCTAGAATGTGGCATAAGTTTCCCTCCAGAGAGGTACGAGGACTGGATTGCCCATTCGTTATCACATTTCCTCGGCAACGATCCTCCGTCGTCTACCGTCTGCATTTTCTGCGACGACTCAACGGCGTACGTCCACGATCAGAACCCGTTTCGAACGTGGAGGGCTAGGATGATACACATTGGTCGTCATCATCAAGAAAATCGAGGGATAGTGGGACCTCGCCCAGATCACTTCCTGATCAAACACCTGAAACAATGCGGGCTCATAGCCGACGAAGACTATGAACATAGCATGTCCTACACGGAAAGGCAGCCATGCGATAACTTGGTAGAGTACGGCTTCCAGACTCCAGAGATGAAGGAGCGCGAACGCAAGAATGCGAAGCCAGCTGGCGGAAAACACGATATGAGGAGAGAACAACGTCAGATGAGACAAGAGGGAGCGAAGGGAATAGGTGGAAGAAGTACTTACAAGTCATCAAAGCGGTCGAGAAATCCTGAAGTATATTATGAGCCCAGATCATAATCGGATCCGTGTCACAAGCGTCTTAGCCCAGGTCCCTCGCCCCGTTGACATCGCGAGAGCGATGACCATAAGATCTCATTCCAACATCCAAACAAAACACTCTTCTCTCTTCTGCCCGCGGAATGGTTGGGTCCATACATATACTTCTGGCATGATGACCCATCGTCGCTGTGGCTGAGCAGCTTATCACTGGTGGCAAGAGTGGCAACGTCTCGGCGACTCCGGTGTCGCGTTCCACTTTGGAGCTTTTACTTTCTTTTTCAGTCTTGAAGAAATAATTTCTGGTTGTCTGTTACAACTTTTTTTGTGCATAATGACGGGTATTACCGAGTGTTTGGGTTTGGCGCCAGGAACGGGGCGACGCGAGGCAGAAAGCATCCTGGCTGGGAGTCTGCCTCACTTGCGGGAAAATGGTCCGACCGCTGACATGTGCAACAATTTGGGACGATACTGTAGTGTGATTTCGGTTACTTAGTGATCATAATGTTCGCTTATGTTTGGCTCGGTGTTGGTATTTCGGACCGAGTTTGCCTGGTAGCGAAGTGACGATTTCATATACCCCCTTCTTGGAAATAGCTTTTCTTTCGGTTCGAGCGAGGCGTTATGCTTTATACTTCACCAGGATGACAGACTAAAAGCTAGAATCATTAGCATGGGTTTGAATGAATCACACATCTCCACTTTAACACGTCGTCGATTGCTACTTGCCGATTGCCTTCTTGTAACTGTGTAAACTCGAGTTTTTCTTCTGGCCCTACCTGACGGGAAGCAGTAGTGAATCATCAGATTCGATATATTAGACCCTCTAGAATAAACCTATGAGCCCAAAGGTGTCCGACGGTCCGGGAGGCTAGTTTGAGGACGGTACACAGCACATCATCGTTGGGCTTCGCATACCACATTGGGTAGCAATAAGAGCAGGTGCAACCCAATATGAGCCACCGTCGCTTCCCAACGTTGTTCCTCCTACACATTCTCGCAACACCAAAAATCTTTATGAGGTGAAATGGCTTATACTATTGTGCCAATAAGTGCGATAATGAGAAATGTGGCGAACCGGACTGGGTATTTATTTTCTTCCGTCTGGCTGACGACCTGAACGATGCTTCCATTCTGCGAGCTGAGCTCAACCAACCAAAGTGCCAAAATCCAAAGTTCATCTTCTCCTGCTTTGAAGGACTAGGAGTCATCAGTGTTATTGGATGTAAAAAAGTGTGAATGTGGAGTCACGCTGCTTGCCTGCATAGCCTCGACTAGGTGCCAGGGGCGAACCAGTCAGTGGATCCAGAAGCACTTCATCTTGTGGCTCTTGGAACGAGTGTTATAAGTCGCTGATTCACAGTATCCCAGGGTTCATGATGATCTGACAGTATTGTCTCGTTCAAATGATGCTTTTGGAGCTCGAGAATGTGACTGTGCCGCAGAGATCAGGCAGACTGCTCACCACTCACTTGCTCATCAAACTTGCTTACTTGAAGCGATTGGATATAGAAATTCAAGTATAAAGTGCAAGTTGAACAGTCTCAAATTCTTGGATTGGACTAGATGCACACATTTAAGATCTCCGAACACCGGACTCTACATGAAAATGATTGGGGGTGCTTTCGCCTAAACTTGTCTTCCCATGTGAAGAAATGCGAAGGAGGAGATTCACATGCATATATCACGCATGTCACATGTTATGACTAGCTTTTAGTGAGCATAAACAGTGTGGAAAGAACAAGTTGAGCATGTCCTTCGACGAAAGTATTGGCATCCAGTACCAACGTGACATGTTGCGAAACGGTCTTGAGACTATAAGCCCCAATAGAACCACTATTGACCTCGTCATTCACTTTGTATGGGATCTCGGCGACCAACCTGAATGAGCTCTCCGTCGTTAAGTCTCAAAATCTTGGAATGGCACTTTGGTAATATTACAGCCCTCGAAATCGTTGCCTTTCCACCACATGGCCTTGTCCACCAATGATCACAATATCGGGAAGGACAATCACATGCGGAAAAGACGAGATGATGTGATGAAATTTCCCAATGAAGCGGTCAAGATGGGCTTGTGCATGATATCGGTCAGAACCCGCCTTGCGGCGGTGAAGAGAACAGACAAGACTATGCACCAAGCCTGCCGATCTCGCAGTATTAGAAAGAAACCGAAATATGTCTAGGGCATGTTTAATGTACTCCTCCAGAATATGTATGTGCGGTCTATTGCGCGTTCGATACCGCCGAAATGAATTCCTTGCTATGGCGTCCACATGTGTACTTTCACTTGCCACATGGACCGGTGCTCGAGAGGTTAACGAGATGGAAAATATAAATAGGACCCGCTCCATGATAACTACAGCGGCTGTTTCGCTACTCCTGTGTATATAATCGATATGAGACAAAGTTGTGTGCCTCCATTTCGCTGCCCATCTAGCAAGAGGTGGCCTCACAGAATTGCCTCTCTCAACACTCATGCGAAAACTAGATAAAACGCACCCATGATATCTACCGTTCTCAATGAAACTCCGCCTCCACTCGTCCGTACCTAAATCCGTCAACTTTCAACTCAAAGGCCAGCCCACTCTCAACCACCATCTCCAGCGTAAAGTCCAGATTGTCAAACTCGACTCCCCTCGTCGTTGTCAGCCTTGTGAAGAGGCTCTTTGGTACGGCAGCCAGATCAGTCGTGAGCGTGCAGACATTCACTAGGTCTCGGGAGTAGGCACTGGGGGGCTCGCCGTCGGCGTCTGAGGCGATCAGGTCATCTGAGACGACGAGAGACTGGCCCGGTCTGGTAGGTTTTAGCTTTGTGAAGTCTCAATGGTGAGCTTGCTGAGGGGATACTTACCGAAAGTTACGAGTATAGTGGAAGCTAATAGGAGTTGCTGCACTCAGAGTTTCTCCCTCTATCGGATAGTCAGTGTGAGTCTGAAGGTGCACAGAGGTTTACTTACTGGTAATATGCCATTGCATCCTGTCACTGACCATCCACCGCTCCCAGAGAGGACTCCAATATCTCTCGCTGACCTGATGTTTATCCTCGTCATAAACGGTAGCATACGAAGTACCGTAATGCATTCTCGCTTTCCGAGAGACAACCATACTTCCCTCAAGCCCTCTCAATACTGCTCCTCGAACTACTGCCGTCCATGCATTGACAGGTTGCATGACCTCAACTGATCCATTCGTAATAAGTGCTGTTGCTTGGGCGTGTGTCGGCCGCTCGCTGTATGGAGGTGGTGCCGCCGTATTAAAATGTGACTTCAACCGTGTGAACAGATAATTACTTTGGCCAAAACCACCGACAAGGACTATTCCGCTGACAATACCGCCTTTCTGTCTTATCCCATCGACTTGCCCTTGTACGAGCTCACATACTTCCTTGACCACCGGCTCAAATATCTCCTTGATTTGAGGGGCTGTCATGACTAGGAAGCCGCAATCTAGACCAGCTTCCTCGTCATCTGGTAGACCAGGAAAAGGAACATTGACTTCGGCATGCTCTTCCTCGTTGAAGTTACGCTTAACGAACTCTTCCCAGTATCTCAACCCCATTTGCCAACATTTGCCCTTCTTCAGCTTCATCTCATCGAATCTAGCATGGCCAATGCGGTTTCGAACATGTTCTTCAAATCGATAGTTCAAGAATGCACTTCCGCACAAGCCTCCCGTTCCTACTGCTGATTCCTCGACTCGTAGGGGCTTGAGTGATATGATCTTGTAAGCGATCAAATCTACAGTCCCACCACCGGCGTCACAAACAACAAAATTATCGCCTGCACTTAGGTGATTTGGCTGGATGGCTTTGAGGGTATAGACTGCAGCTGCCTCGGGCTCACTGATCATCTGAATGTCGGATTTGGATCCCATCCCAGCTTTCTCTGCAGCCAACAGTGTAGTGTTCTTCGCTGCATCGGACCAGACAGCAGGACATGTGAGTACGAACTCGACTTTCGTCGAAGCCATGAAAGATTCTCCATATCGCCTGGTGAGAGTCTCCATGGTATGGTTGTACACCTGAGTGAGGTAGTCACTGACGGCATCTACGACATTTTTGTTGAATTTCTTCAACTGTGCGGCAGTTTCCAATGGACTGACGTAGAAAGGTAGCTTTTGTGACCGGTCAAGGAAGAGCTTGATACACCGAAGTCTGGATTCTTCGGGTCTGAATTGAAAGCCCCATTTAATCGTCGGGTCGGTTCCATCTGGCGAGCCAGGAGGATAGTCGTATGCTATTTCCGTGGGGACTTTGTCCGATGTGATTCCGTTTCCTCCAGGCCAGGTTTTGATGATTTCAACATCGTCTGGCGTCGACGTGTAGACAGCAGCAACACTGTTCAAAGGGCTAGTTAGCTTATTGCTATGGCTGGGCTAGCACGACATCAACAGGATTTTTGTACTAAACAGTTTGACAACACCCGGCCCCGGACATGGCTTTAGCGCAGGGCCAGAGCCAGAACATCCTCTAAGTAGTCGTAATGTTCCGAAACAAAGGCGTTTTGGTTGTCTTGAATGTGGCACCGCAAGTCCGCCTTGACCAGTTTCAAGTAATGCCATTGAATGACTGGGACATAACTCACCCAGAATAAGTAGTACCAAAATCCAGTCCAACGATCAACCGGTCATTGAGAGGAGCAGGCTCTCGGACAGGTCCAGCAATAGCTTCGGTCGAGGAAGTTGGGGTGTAATTCGTGAAGTGGTTTCTACTCTCGTCATTCCGCCTATTGGCAGGCCGGAGAGGAAGACTGAGGTTCATGGTTATTGAGTACGTCTGAAATGAGCGTCAACGATCGTAGCCATAGGCTGTGGATGTCAATTCGCTTCAATTCCAGGGAATCGAAAGTCAATTGAGTCGCTAGATCCTTGGTCTATTCAATTGCCTATCACACCATCACATCCGACAAACACGACTCGTCCTCACCAGCAAGAACTCGAGGGCCAAGGATGATTTTCTGAGAGATTGAGAGTTTTGCAGCAGAATCAAGGATAGCTGTGGCTTGTGTAGTTATATCAAAGAGCAGAAAGATCCTGCCAACTACGTATAACCAGAGTTGGACTGATACAGAGAGATAACACGGAAGGGACAATAGACCTGATAAACAAAGACCTTGTCCTGGGTAAGGGAAACAAGAGGGCTGGTCGATCCGTACTAATTGATACCGGTCCCTGCAGGAGCAGAATGTCGTAGCCTGACCGTAGGCAACCTTCCCAGGACTCGGGGCTGCGACTCGGGACCCTTGGCGTCAATAATACGGCACAGTGAGTCGTCAGCTAGCAAGGCAAGCGTGCGATGATTCAGGAATGATGAGGCAGGAATGATCTGACAAGTTTTCCAGGTATGTACTTGTTGGACAAGATACCAGTATTGGAATGACCGAGTCCATCAAACAGTACCTAAGGTATTCAGTTGATGTTTGTCCAAAGATGCTGACAGAGAACGGATTTAGGCCAACGAAGCTAATCCATTCTCCAATCCGCCAGGCCGAGTAGTGGGGGCTTAGGCGAGGCGGCTGGGTGGCTGTGCTCGGCGTGGTACAAAACAAACACCATGATTTACGGACTTCAAAGAACCTCAACCAACCAACGTGTAGAGAGTCCGTTTCATGGTCTCGGTCAAGGATGGAATTGTGGGCATCTGGATTCAACGCTTGGGGTCAGCTTGACTTCTCTGGAGAAAAGGGTCTGGATTCCAGGGATCATAACACTTTCCGGAGTGTCTTCGAAGACAAGCATATTGAGATCGTACGAACAAGCCTTTCGGCTACCTTGAGTAAGTAGAATGGATGTTTTTGCCATATCATATCTCAGAGGAAAAGCTTCACCCGACAGCCTTGGTGGTTGGCATCAACAATACCCACCTAGGTAGGTACCTACCCTCCGTAGGTAAGGTAGCTGAGTTGACGATACGCCACGTGACTGGGTTCTTTCCCCCTTCCAACTATGCCATGTTCCGTTCTGGTCGTTGGGGTTAATGGGAGAGTGATAACTTAGCCTCAATGATATCTGCTTCTTTGTTCTGTCAAAATTAAAGCTCTGTGGAAGCGAGACGTGCTAACATCTCACAGTACGGACCACAAACGGACTCGTTACGGCCGGCACTCCTGACGAACTAATTTCCCTCTGTATGGACAAACAAGATTGCTTTGCAAATCTAGCTCTAGCAGGGAATGGCCAACTAGCGGGTAAAGCAAATACTGTCTGAAGTGAACCGCAGTCTAATGCCTCACAGAATTCACACCTACCTCCTCAACGAGATATTCATCCTTCCAAGACTTCCAGAGCAAAGATGGGAAGGATCTCAATGTCCAGGAAGAGCTACAACACATTGAAGCAAACCAAACGACGTTTACAGCTCTTTCCAAGGATGGTGGGAAGGTGTACACATGGGGAGATGGACGGTACCCTAATTGTCTAGGTCGAGAAGTGTCAAGCGAATGGTTAGCATCCCCAAACCAAGTTCTGAGCTTGCAGCTAAACACATCCAGCCCAGCAAATGTCCCAAGCATCGTTGAAGATCTAGTCGAGCTCCCTGGGGGAGGTATCAGGAAGATTTCGTCTGGCGGATATGTCACAGCTGCTTTAACAGAGGACAATGATCTGTACGTTTGGGGTGGAAGGGCAGGTCAAAAGGCGACTTTAGAAGGTCTTGGGGGCAGCCCGATGCCGGTCGATTTAGATGGTGAGGATATTTGGGATGTTTCTGTTGGTATGAATCATATGCTTGTAGTAACTATGAACCGCAAGCTGTTTGTGGTTGGTGAGGGTGGGAATGGCCAACTGGGCTTAGAGGTGAAGGAGCTAGAGGATTGGAAGGAGGTGAAACTGCCTCTGAGGGAAGGGCAGACAATCACCAGTGTCCACGCTGGATACAAGAACTCTTTCGTCATGGTAGAGAATTTCCCTTGAAGAAAAGGTGGTTGGTATCTCGTGTCCTTCATTTTGTCTTCTCATGCCATTCTATAATACACAGATGCTCTGAATGCGCAACGAAAATGACCCTGCATTGCAAAAGAAAAGGATCATAGATTCGTAAGGTAATCCTCGATCTCTTGCGGTGTCAACTTTCTGAATCTTGGCCCTTGCGCTCCCTCAACTCCCTCAAGACCAAGTAAGTGGTGTGCTGGTGGTCCAACAATACCTATAAATATTAGCAATGCAATCCAGCTTCCAGGGAGGAAGAACTTACCAATCTCCACAGTCTCGCCGTTCATCTCACCCTCGATAGTCTCCTTTAATGTCAACAGAGCAATATGGACGGCATCCTCCAACTCCAAACCCTCAGTGTATCTCTTCTCCAAGAACGTCTTTGCAGAAGTAGCACTCTTGCCAATAGCGGTTGCTTTCCATGGGAAGTAGCTTCCACTTGGATCGACCTGGTACAACATAGGTCCGCCCTTCAGAGTGCCACCAGTCTTGCCCGATACCTTCTTCTCGTCCGGGTGTGTATCAGCAGTCGCAGCATCCTCCGACTCTGGCTCGATACCCTCGTCCCATCCAGCAATCAGCAGACTGACACCGTAAGGCCGCACACCTCCTGATTGCGTAGCCTCCTGCATGACTCTTGCTACATCTTGCACTAATATTCTCGTTGGAGGGTATTCGTTATAGATTCTCTTATAGCCGGTGTGTGAGACTTTGCGCGCCTTGTCGACCAATACTCTGTAATCTGGGCCCATACCGGAGTAGACCATGCCGATGTTTGGGGTGATGAGGCTGACTTTTGACAGCGAAGGAGGATCGATGAGGGGGGATGATGACTTCTTTTCTGTAGCCAGGACAATTCCGTTCGTAGCTTTAGTTGCATCAGTATAGCTTCTTGGAGCTTCCATCATCCACATTGAAGCCTACCTTTGATTCCAAGCGCAGTGACACCTTGATTGACAGCATTCAATGCATACTCTGTGTACATGAAGTTAGCTTCCTAGCTGCATAGAGAGCGGAAGGTGAGGACGCGCGCGATCCAGATCCTGCGACTTGAGAGGAACGAACCTATTTGTACAAGTTTCCCACTGTTGACAGTTAGTACCGTGCACACTATTTGCAAGAACTCGCCATAATGCGCATTGTGGAAGCTATGGACTTGGAGCTTTACCTTGGACTGAATGTTGTCAACGAGAAGGAATATCTGTCCGCCATGATGCCTGTCTATCTAGGAAGTTCCTCTGCTGTAATGTCGAAATTAGAATCGAAACGCAAACTGGTGCAGAGTTCTGAAGTCTTTGGGGAGGAAATAATGGAGCTGTTGTTGTAAATGAAGCTCAAAGCTAAGGGAAGGCTTCCAGGACGCGAGTGCCTGCCCTGGGCGGCCGTGTCAGGCTAAAGTTGGAGCCTGAGGAAGGCACACACTCCAGCTTCGTTCGTTCGTTCGGCAAAGCGGTGCAACATTGACTTCAACCACCAACCGAATGGCGGCGGAGCACTTGCTCATCTTTGTCGTTCTGGAACTCGCAGAAGCCACATCTCACCTTTCACTGAAGCTCCTAACACCTCGGCGACAAGGAGCTCTCTTCTACTTAACTAATGCCTCACCACTGATCGTTTCTAGGAGCTCCAGAGCTGCTTGCGAAGCTTTTTTAATGCCTACATAGCTGTTCGGCCTCACCAGCTACAAAGCTACCATCATGTCTGTTCCCTATGAGACCCGAGCCAACTGGTCTTGGCCTGATTCTACGGAAGATGTGGTGAAAGATGAACTCGATGCTGCATCTGCGCCAGGAGTCTTTGCAGAGGAAGTCCCAGAAGGCGATGTGGAAACTTCTTCTGAAGATTTTGAACAGCATACTCCACCTCCGACCCCACCACCTCAAAGACACTATGCCACTCGAACATGCAGGATATGTCTAGAGGAGGTACCTCCAACTCTTGAACCTCTCACTGGAGGTGTATCCTCAATGCTCCATCCAGCACCCAAGGTGTCATACATATCTGCTGATCCTAGCTCTGGCCGGTTGATCAGGCCGTGCAAATGTCGAGGCTCCCAGAAGTATGTCCACGAAGGCTGTTTACAGGAGTGGAGGCATTCAGATCCATCCTACGGTCGACGAAATTTCTGGGAATGTCCTACTTGTAAATACCAATACCGTTTGGAAAGGATGCGATGGAGTCGACTGATCACAAGCACCCTGACGCAAATCGCGATCACCTTCTTGATTATGGTCACCACTGTCTTCATTTTTGGCTTCGTGGCGGATCCTATTATCAGTCTGTACCTCGACCCATACGACACCATTACATCATTGCCTTCTGGGGGAACAGCATTGCTACTTGAAGACGAGGATGCCTCATGGCTCGAACACTTTCTAAAAGGCTTGGCATCACTTGGGCTACTTGGTTTTGTGAAAGTGTTCTTTGCTATGTCTCCGTGGCATTGGTGGAATCTCAGACAAACCGGGCTCGTTGGAGGAGGTGGTCGAAGAAGGGCAGGGGGAGCAAACGGGCGAGACAGGCTTGCTGATATCTCATGGACCGTTGTCATTATAGGCGTGATTACTTTCTTAGCAGTAAGTTCTATTATATAGAAGGGTGAGTGGGTGCTAACAAGTTCCTAGGCCGTGTGGACATGGGTACGAGCCTGGACAGCGAGAACTCTCGACGCTGCTGGTGACCGAGTCGCTGATGTTCAAGGTGACGATGAACCTGAAGAGCTCGATGAGCCTCCACCTGCTCAAGCAGCGACGGCTGCTGAAGCTAGGGCGGCTGAAGAAACAGCTACAGCCTCGGAGAACACAGAATCCGAAAGCCGAAAATCCCAGTAGTCCAGACTGCATTGACATTGTCTTCAGTGCAACATGTTAGGATAGTTTTGTACATACAAGCTTCACCTTCATAGCGTATTGATCTCAGACTACGTCCCTTCCGCAGTCCATAGTGACATACAATCCATTACATTGCACACAACTTAAGCTGCCACGAGTTCCTCTCCAAGTAGGGTGTCAGCTAGTCTGTGTGCATAGATATACCGCTCTGCTGGAGCCTCGAAACTTGAGCGTCTTGTTCTCGTCTCACTACCGGCGACCGCGAGCTCAGTCAACACTCTGTCGATATGCCACTTTTCTTTCTATGGGATTGTTGGTGCTGTTTCTTCTGCTTCGGCGCCTTTGCTTATAAGAGAATTCAGAGACCGATGAGTTGATACATTTCTGACCTTGAATCGAACCAATGCTGCGTCACTGGCATGGTTAGATAGCAGTTGTTCATTTCCCGAGCATCCGAATATAATATGAATTTTGCTTAGTAAAAGAAACCATGAATGCTCCTTTCTTGTCTTCCTCGAATGTCCTTGAATTTATCGTATTGCTGTATCTGTATCTGTTTGTTCATTTGACGCGCACACTTCAGAGGAAACACGCTGTCGTAAATACTCTGTCTTTGAGGAATTACTAAGTTCTGAGGTTCTTCCTTGTTGCATTTAATATATTAATAGGACGTAGCACAATCTCCATTGATGGTGGCGCTTCTATCCTTTTTATCTTCTTAACATCTTCCTTATTACCCTAGATACATGCTATTTTAAACACTATACCATTTCTAGCGTGCTATGTTTGATAAGGGTGATATGAAGTTGCTTAGGAAGATATACTTAATGTTGATCATTGTGCATTGAGACAAGGTGTATTTTATGCAAGTCCTCCATCGTCACCTTCCAGGGATACTCGGTAGACTTTGATACCCTCGCCAAAGGGATAGATCCTATCGGCTGTTTCTGCTCAGTATTGGTTCATATTAATGAGGAGTGAAAGTCCACCTTCGCAAGTGGATCCCATCTGATCGGCGCTTGGCAATCAAATGTCGACCCGATACTTGTGCTGTCACGAGCTTCGGGTTCCTGTCTCTCTTATTCTGGTGCCTTTCCTGTGTCCTTGATGTTTCCTTCAACTGAATTTGATGCTTGAATGAATTGCAGTTTTGCAAGATGCTGCTGAAATTGTCAGACCATACTTGAGATGTAAGGAAGCTTACCATACCTTCAATTTCATGCGAACTCTGGCGCATAAATATCGTGCTATGGTGTCGCGCTCGGCAAGCGTTGAGCCTGTGCGAACAACTCTGATTGGAGTTCCGGAATGTGCACGGCTGATGGAAAGAATACTATGCCTACCCGAATCAAATCTTTCCTCTCGTCATGATTTGGATTTTCTGGCAGGCTCCACAGCGTAAGGACAATCTGCTCAGTATCTACGGCATAACCCTTTTCCTACTGACGAGTAAGCACTTCCGTTTTTCAATTATGTGGCTGAATCATCACCAGCTTGAGCATACCTGTGTGAAAGTATGTATAACATATGACGGCGTTTTTCAATGTGAGCGGCAGAGCTTCTTGGCTCGCTGCTCGAATGAAATCTCTGCTACATCCTTGAGGATGCCGTATATCAAGAACGTGATCTCTGCTCTCGACTCGCGCAAATCTAGGTGGCCGACAACCATGGCAAGTTCCTCGTGAGAAACACCAAGTTCTGCATGTATCGAGAAGCACTCGCTTAATGAGGGGAAAGCAACATGGATATAAGGTTTGTCACTTCTTGTGTATGATCAACTTGAGCAGACTTTATACTCATCAGAATAATCTTGTCTGCGACTTATTACTTCTTACATGTAAGAGCCATGGTGCGTAGGGACTTATTACTACCACCAACAATTCATTCAGTGTGCCAGACAATTTCGTCTAAGGCCTTATTCCATACACAAACCCTCTAACTCGCCATCCCACCGCCCATTAACCTTAAGAGACTCCATCTCGAAATTATATCCTACATTCATATCCGGTGCCAATATGACTATGTGGAAGCATCGTCAGCAAATGGCTGCAACGGCGAATCCAGTCTTGCAACCGGTCCTTCCACGGCTTTAAACTTGTTCCTACTCTCACGACCTCTGACGATGGAAGCGGCAACCCGAGATCCCACCTCGTCCTCCATTTTCAGCAGCTTTGGCTCCGTTGAAGAATTGCTGTCTCCTCCCCAGATACCACCAAACACTACTACCTTGAGCGCCATGTGCTTCTTCATGCGTCTGAAGATCCTGTTCCATCCCAAGGCACTACCCGCTAACCACATGTTGTGCCATTTGATGACTTTCAATGTGCTGGAATGCCGTCTGAGGAAATCACTGATTCCGGCTTCGCTGGTCGTTACGACGGTAAGCTCTAAAGTATGAAGACATGGCCAGGTCATGCCCTCTGAGATGCGTTCCCAGACCACAGGGACGTTCATAAGGCGTTGCAAAAGTACAGCCTTAGGGACGGTGTCGGCATCATCGAACGTCAGTCGGAGTGTCTCCAGTCCTTTCGCGGATCTCAATGCTTTTCCCAATTGTACATGTCTTGCTTTCACAACATCCTGTTCGGACCAATCATCGTAATCTGGCTCCAGGACTAAGTCAATGTGTCGCAGGTACGTGAAAGCTCCAAAGTGAAGATCGAGCGGCGAATCATTGAAGAATGACCAGTGGATTCGATGCGCACTTAGCGTTTCAAGGGGAGTGGGCAGAGTTGCCGCTGCGAGAAGAAGCGATCCTAGACTTCTTGTTCCTGTTTCCTCATCATCGCTGATTTCTCCTCCATCCATCATCAAGCCTGGTATGGCCATAGTAGCCTCGTATGCTTTCGCCATAGTCTGGGACGGACACCCATATTCCGAGCTCATCTCGATTTTCCTCAAGATAGGAAACCTAGGTAAAGCTTGCGCTAAAACCGCAAAATCGTAGTTGGTCCTCTTCATATGCATTTGCGTGTCCAGCAAAGGCTTGTATGATTTCCAAGCATTTGCGATAATCTCTTCATTGTCCATCGGGGTACGGCCTCCTAGCTCTTCAATCTCCAGTACGTTTGACCTGAACTCTGTAAACATTACTTCTTCCAGGAAGCGCACTTCGTAGAATATGCTTGTGACGTATCGGCGCAAAGACACATGGTGCGAGATATTGAGGAGGTTCTGGAAGGACTTGTAGCTAAACATTACATGTAAAGATCCCACCAGAGGCTTCTCTCCTATTGATGCAGCAGAGCGACATGTTCTACGGAAGTTGCACAGGCTCGGCTGAGGCATGACATCGCAGATGATTAGGAGGATTTCGACAGGAAGTACCTGCATTATCGACTTTCTTTCGCCATTTGCCGCCGCCATGGTCAAGTTGCGAGAGAACTTGTGGATGTAAAAGGGAAATCCTCACAATGTCGAAGACCCCTTCCAGTACTTGGCAGTTCAGGAAACGATATCCCCTCGCTCCAGAACTCTGAACAAATGAGAAGGAAACTTTCTTTGCCAATACACCTCTGAATCCAAGGGTCCTTATGGGATTTTTATCAACGTTCCTTGTAGATTGATGCGAAGAGAAATCAGACGATTAATGTCCATGTGAAGTTTCAAGAGGCTTGCAGGGTGTTGCTTCCGCTCGGAGACGCGTCCAGATTCGCGATGGGATGGATGCAGGGTCCTTGAAAAAGTGGAGATGAAATTGCGTCAGAACGTGCTGCTTGTCCAGGGCCTTTCTGCTGCAGGTGACGGGATGGATGATCTTTCGCCGCCAAAGACGAGTTTGAAGGTTGAGATTGTGAGACGAGAAAGAGGAAAGAAGAGGATGGAGTTGGCAAGAGAGATGCACGCGACGCAGTTACTCAGCCATTATTTGGTTCGGACTGTTTGGGAGACCCACGATGGGTTAGCACTAGCTTGCTGCAGCCCTACAGCACTCACTCGAATGACTGGACGGGGTAGCCTGGATGAATTCCCGATCTGTATCAATATTCATGTGAGACCCGCATATTTCGTTGCTACCGCCTTCCTAGAAGAAAAAGCAATGGCATGAATGTAGCACGACGTCGCTGGCACTCGAAAACAGGGTTATTAGTTGAAGGAGAAAAGACATTCGGTTGCCAAGATGACCAGATTTGATTCATGTGGTATCCAGTCCAGCAACATGGCGGTATTCTGCTCATCGACAAGCTTTATTTTATAAGCCGTAGCATGTATTGTTGTTGTTGAGACGAAAGCAGAAAAGGTTGAGCCTTATCTTCTAGGATGATTAGGTTCAACCAGTCGCAACAGGGTGAAAAGACGGGACGATAACCCCCAAAACACATGCAACACGCAAGCGAGGCGACAAGAGTTCATATCACGAGTCAAATGGAGTACATTTCAAAATATGCTCTCATGCTCTGCAATAATAGAAGCAATTCGAGATCAAGTCCGCCAGTTGGTCAAGTTGATATCCTTTCGTGTATTGAGCATTTTCCATACTCCCAATTCCAAGCAAATCCTCTTCACATCTTGGACGCCTACCACCCTTCAATGCCCTCCCAATATCAGTATGTACAAATATGTCCTTTCGTCTGTCTCAAAACAAAGATGCTTATCCAACATTTACACTTCGCCGCCGTCGCCCTTGAAGAATCCATGGTGTCCAGAGGCGCCTCTACCCTCGTTGATCATGCTCTCCGCGTCACCAACTTGCTTGCGTTCGCTGACTTCTCTGGTATGACGCAGTTTGAGATTCATCTGCTTTTGCCACAACATCCTCGTCAATCCTTGAGACGGTGTCGAGTTAGATGGAAAACCCACACCGCCCCTCATGACTGCTGATTGTTATTGCAGGGGTTCCGAGGAACTCGACAGACGGTTAAGATGAAGATATACGTCTGTTCCGTAGCTATAAACCGATTAGCCTGATATAGAATACTGTATGTACCTTGCACTTACCCCTCCATACTGATCAACTTCAAATCTCCTCCAAAATAGCGCGCATACAGTCTCGATATGGGTAACCCGTACCCGAATCCAGCCATAGGCGCTTTGAAATCACTTTTATCAAAATCCGGATCTAAACTAGGCGTTGTATCCACAGTAGTGTACATATAAGTCCAGACGAGAGGGATGGCACTGCGCGGAATTCCACCACCTTCGTCTGAGATTTTGATGGTGATGTCTTCCTTTCCTTCTGCTACCACGACTTTGGTCACTGGGAATTCGTCCTTGTCTTGTCCATGTGTCTCGACCACCGCTCGCAGGGAGTTCTTCAATGTCTCGAAGAGCATGTGTGATAGATGTCCTGGAACGTACATGAAGTTGAGATTTGGAGGGCACACGAGCTGGACTTTAGGCGCATCGAATAGTCCATAGTGGTCTTCGCAAACGAATCGAGCATTCTCAATAGCTTCTTGGGCCAGATCCCGAACATTGGTCTTCGTGCAAATTATTCCCACATATGTTGGGTCTTTGTTGTGACTCTGATCCGTCAACGCGATATGCTGTCCGATCAACATTCGGATCCCAATTCGTGACATATAAAACCGGTCCAAAAATGATTGAATGTTATTGTCGATCTGCATGCGTTGCCGTTTGCGCTTATATTCCAAGATACCCTGTGCAACAGTCGTTACAACACCATCGTGCCGCCGTTTAATGGTATTCAAGGTATCCGCAAATCTTTGATTGTAGTCATGGAGCTCAGGTGGCCAGTCGGTACTATCCTCCACAGTTGCAAAGTAGCGTCTTGCCGATGCAGCTCCCTTCTTTGAGTCTCCTCCATTACCATTCCCATTTCCATTTTGTTGCCAAGGCGAAGAGGTGTACTGGCCTTTCTCTACGCTCGGGTTCTGTGTGGCTTCCGTGAGGATTTTGGAGGATCTGCCATGGTGCTTAGAAGGTTTCATGAGTCGGTCTCGTACATCTTTCGAAAGTTGCGGTCGTGGGAGTGTTGTTATCTCCTGTATCACATGTCAGCAACCAAAAATCATGATATCTGCGGGAACGGAGACGAGCATTACCTCGAAAGACTGTGCATACCAGTCTTGGACTCTCTTTATTGATGGCATCTCATTCAATCCATCTGGCAGATCTCCAAGCTCTTGTACTCTGTGGGCGAGTCGTATTGGCAGCTCTTCGGACAAGAATTGAGAGGCACGAAAAAGGGTTCCTAGTGTGCCAGCAGAGTCAGCAAAACCTGTCAAGTATATGCTTGGTAATACAATGTAGTAGAACACTCACCTGTTGATGGCCGCTCGCCGAATTGGACCATCTGTCTTAAGCTCACGCCGGTTGCAGGGAAGCCAGAGTAGTGCTTGATGGTATCCATCAACCTCTCAGACTTCTTCCACGACATCTTGTAGACTGATGTTGGCCCTCAGGCCTATGAATGGTATACAAAGCTCGGTCGACACTGGATTGCCTTCTCTGCCATGAGATGAGCACGCTGTCTGCTGTTCCCCGCGTCTCCGAGGTAATGAAGCTAGGATTGGAGGAGCCGTCTGCCGAGGTGGATTGGGATTTCAATTGCTGCTGGTATGGAGCGAGGTGCAAAGAATTGGAAAGGTAGATTGACGTTGACCTGGGCAATTGAACAAGGTGCGGGAAAGGTGAAAGCGAAGAATAATAAGAGCAAGTCAAAAGGCTTCGACGACACACGACAGTCGATGAATCACAGCTTTAGCACATTGCTAAGGACGAGGGGATCGGTTCCAGCCAGTGCGGGGCGTCGACTTGCAGGGGGAAAGGAACTTCATGACTAGGCGCAATGGGGAGGGAGGTGTAAAGGTATGTAGGTACACGCCATTTAATTGCTCCAAAGCTTACATGTCGTAAATAATTTCTATCTAAAGGGAGACTTACCTTCAATTGTGACCTTTCTATGCTTTGTCTGTATTCAATTCCCTCTCCCACCGCTTCACGATGCCTTGAATGCTCGGCTTTGTTTTCTTCACCGTGCCTCGAACGTCGCTTGAGCTCTCAGCTGATATGCTGCTAGATTAAGCTAATCAGCCCCAACCCCAACCCCATACCTAAGGTATGCCCATGTGAACCTCGGGCATGAATTTATCTCGGCTTAGTCGTCCGGATTGCGGAGCATTGCGGGAGTTGGCTTCTGGAGACTTCGCTCCATAAACTGCCGAAAACAACAGCGGGCGCAATGGATGTTGTGAGGATGAATCGATGTTCACTTCTTTGCTCTCTGCGAACGGCAATAATGTTTGCTTCTCGTTGGCACCTCGCCTTCTTATTATTGAGTTTCATTTGTTCGAACGATATCCGCGGATGATGATGGCTCGGAAGATTACAGATTTCACACACGGTGTGTGAACCGTGTGTGAAATCTGTAGAGGTGTCTCGCCCAAGGAAGCGGGAATGTTTATGCCACTGGAAGATGGAGAAGACTCAAAAGCAAGGACTCTGTCCATGATCCGACTCTCGGTATTGTCACATTTATCTTTACTCGTTCCAAACAACACCCTTGGACAGTAGAATGCAGGCATGCAAATGGGAGGCACAATAGCCTAAGCGAGTTCATACCAGACAAACTCAATTATGGAACGAATGCGAACTCATGCTGCGTCACATTGTTACATACCTTCCCCACTTCCAGGTGTTCAATCAGCTATTACTTCACACAAGCCGATTTATCGTCTTTTTCTCGTTCGTCTGAAAAGTTTTGAAGCAGGTTCGGGACGTGTACATCAGAGGAGGAAGGCACCATCCACCAAGTTATTAAAAACAGGGGAACTGAACAGCTTCCAGAGGCCACAACTCTTTTCACTCAAGAAAGATTTTCCGAATCCTTAAGACAAATATCGTGAAATATGGGTCTCGCTCCACGGCTCGCGACCTCATGGGCCTCCATGAAGCTCGACACGCGAAACCTCCCCTCTTCTCGAGCTTCTATCCTGCGCCTGGTGTTGCTCATTCTCTTCTTCTGCTGTGGCGCCTACGTCCTCTTACTACCGGTCTCGATCATGGTCCACTCGATGTCTGTACGCCACACCAAGCAGCCCTTGATTCTTGAGCCTGGAGAAGAGTGAGTCGACAGCTCTCTCTCCGGTGGTCAAGAACTCATAGGCGTGCTTGTAGTGCGATCAAACATTTTGTTGGCAGTCGAGAATGTGGCATTTTGCAAAATGATTTGTATACTGCGCCATGGCCGTTGAATCCTAAAATCAGCCCGTTTTGTGGCAAGAGAGCTACTCTTTTGGAGGCGATGAGTGGTGGTGGGAGATACGGGTTTGATGAGCCATTTGTTGGTAAAGGTACGTTCACGCATACGTTCCATAAAGCAGAAGCTACAGCTGATACGATCTGGACAGGATGCACGTACAGATGGTTTTCAACTCCTGAAATATGTATGATTGTCGGGCGCTTCAATGCAATCACTTTCGTCGGAGATGATCTGGCACAATCCATCTATGCCGCTTTCAACATACTGCTACGTGAGGATCTCGCGCTTGGTGGCCTTCAACAGTGGATCATGAGCGACGAGGACAAGACAAAGTGTAGATGTCACAACCAGTTCCTTGACATCAAATGTCAGCGGTTCGCTATCAACACTAGCGAGGATGCGAAGAAAAACGAAGGTGGAGATCGGAAAGGGAGTCCCTACTATTGTAATGGTATGTCACAAGAACTCCCCGGAATGTATCCTTGAGCTGAGAAAAAAGACACACCTCACGCCTATATAACCGTCAAGAGCGTACCATCAGCTCCAGAATCCCAGGCTGCTTTCAAAGATCTCACCTATGGCAAATCAAATCCATGGCAACCGTCACCTATGATTTTCTCTTTCGGCCACGGTTCCGCTTTCGATACAGGTATAGCCACCCGATCGATGGATGAATGGGTCACACTTGCCACAGGAGCCGAACGTAATATCCCCATGCTCTTTCTGGGTGCCCCAGCATTTGGACTCGGCAAAAAACCGAATTTGGCTCCCAAGAACGGAAACCTGGTGGTCTGGGATTTTCATACTGAGATGGTGCCGGTAGCAAGGGAGAAGCACTTTGATGTTTTGAGCATGTATAATTTAACATTGCAGGCCTCGTCGGCAGATGGAGAGAAGTTTGGCGAAGAGGTAGCATTGGTTCAGGCTATGATGATTGTGAATTGGTTGAGCAAGCTGGAGACTTCTTGACTTTGATAAGCATATGGATGAGGTTCAAAATACCAGAGCATATCACTTCCAAGAAATTGCTCGTCGCAAGAGGTAAACAGTAAGATAGTAAACTTAGAATCCTCATGAGCTAGAGAGATACACGAATTGAAACATAATTCTCAACCGGAACTCCACCCTTCAAAATGCCAACAAATGCCAATCTAAACGCCGCATACCAGCCGAATACACGACTACTAGGCTTTGTACAGGGTATCCAAGAACCCACTAGCAAGCTCAACCACCACGCTCTTGTTTGGCAAGCTTCCGGCAACACCATACAGTGCAGCACTGTCACCCAAGCTCTTCCCCTTGGCTCCTTTACCTTCCACGATCCTAACACGTTCCTTCTCCTTCTCGCCTTCCACAACAGCCTCCAAGTCAGAAACGAGCTTCTCCCAGACCTTGACGATAGGTAGAGTGACAGCGACGTGAATAGCCGGTGGACTCTGCAAGGAGTTCAAGTGCCATCCCTTAGCAGACATCGCATCGGCAATATCATACACATCCAGCGTCTTCGAGTTAAAAGCAACAACGGATACCAAGGGGTGACCTAGGACTTCCAGGTCGCTATTCAGAGCAGGATTATGCTCGATAGCATCGACGATCTTCTTTGTCGCTCCAACAATCTCCGAACATGACTTGATATATCCTAACTCGCCTACGCTCATCAAACTAGCCCAGCATCCAGCAATCAGAGCACCGGGTCTAGAGCCCGCAATTGAGGGAGAGGCGTACACGCCACCAGACCAGTCAGGTGAGATGAAGTACTGGTAGCTCCTGAGTTTCTCGTTCCGGTACAAACAAGTTGAATTCCCCTTGGGTGCGAATCCGTATTTATGTGTATCGCAACTGATACTCGTCACACCCTTGAGTCTGAAATCGAATAGCTCCGTTTCAAAGCCTGCTTTCTCGAGGAAGGGGACGAGGAAGGAACCCAAGCAGCAGTCAACGTGTAGCGGGATCTTGCGTTTGAGAGCGAGCTTGGAGAGGGAAGTTATGTCGTCGATTATGCCATGAGGGAAGTTAGGGGCCGAGCCGACGAGAAGAACGGTGTTGCTATTGATGAGGCGGGCTACAGAGGGGATGTGTACTTGGTAAGAGGGTGCTGGACAGGCAACTAGGTGGATCTTGATGCCGAAGTATTCGCCTGCTTTACGGAAGGCTGTGTGGCCTGTCTCTGGTAGAATCCTTGAAAGAATGTCAGTAAAATAGATCGAATGCTGTGATAAAAGAGCTTACATCTCTGGCTCTGTGACACCTCTCTCTGCATATGCCTTATTCCTGGCACTCAAGCATGCCATCAAGATAGACTCTGTTCCTCCACTGGTTGTCACACCTGCTGATCCACCGGGAGCGTTGAACATAGCCAAAACCATCGACACAATTTCCGCCTCCATCTTTCTTACACCAGGGAAGACATCAGGGTGAATAGGGTTCGCCACAGTGAACTTCCCAAACGCCTCAGTCTGCAATTTGATCAAGGAGTCTCCTCCATGATAAACTGCTCCAGAAACGAATCCATCCTCCCATCTCGTGTGGTCCATGTTAGCCAGTGTTTCCAGCTCCCTCAGCACCGTCTCCTCCGACCATCCTTCTTTTGGTAGTGTCAGATATCGTACAATGCCGGGTCCGGACGGCACAAGCTTCCCTTGTAACTTCGTGACTGCTTCGGAGACCTGCTTCTGGACTTGCGATCGGACGCCTGGCGCGCGGAGGAAGAGGCCGTATGCGTATCGCCTGAGGGCAATATATGTATCTGCGAACGTGCCGAACAATCCACGTCCCTTAAGCTTCAGTAAACCCTTCCTCGTCCATCTTAACAGAAACAGGAAGAATATGAGGTTGCGGAATCTGTAGAGATCTGCAATTAGCTATCTGCCCATCAATTCATGGAAGTAACTTACAAGTCGATGTTGAGAGACAACAGTTGACCACTCGATCCAGCCTTCTTGATCGCGAAGCTGTTGCGCAAGCTCGTGGATAAACTCGAAGTGCCCGGCATTTTGTACTCGTCTCGTCTTCTTGGTATGCAGACGGGAAGGATTGGGAAATGGAGGCTGAACGAAGCTTAATATGTGCCTCTGCCTTGACCCGGTCCGTTTCGAAATGGAGAGGTTGCAATCTTTACTTGGTTACAAAGGTTCCTATCGCACTCGCTTGAGATGACTTGGTCTTGCCGAGGTGCAAAGCACATGCTAGCAAGGCAATTGCTACTTAATAGGCAGTTGAGGACCCTTTTGAAGTCCACTTTTGTTCTACTACACGGAACGATTTACCAATTCCAATTCAGACTTGGTTCTGCGGATCTGGAGTTTGGCCGTTAGAGTGGCGGATATGGCGTTGTGGAGGGTCCAAAAAGAGACACCTCGTGGATTCTCGCAGCATTGGTTGGCTGGACATGGATTCGGCTCAACACCCCGCGGGAGGGGCAAGTCTGCAACCTCCATGCCACTGAAATGGAAAACTGCCGGGCCAGATTTTGAAAAGAGCCTTGACAACCTTCTAGAATATACAAAGTCGATATGCAACGTATAACTGTACTACCGAGGTAAGTTCCTGTCATTTTAATTATATAATCTTCAAGATGCAGCTTGGACCTCAGGCAAAAGGACAAATAATTGATGCATGGTGATGCAATTTAGGACAAACTACCTTAGACTCCCTAATCTTGCCACTTTATAACTATCAATTGTCCAATCCCTGGACACTCTATACAAAAGAGAGTGGCGTCAACATTTACCTTTGTGAGGTAGCTGATTCTACTTTCTCTACTTCAACCTTCAAGATACTTTGTTTGCTTCAGACCTGCAATATATTTGGCTCCCTGATCTCCTTCATATTCCTTTCCAATCGAACAACAGTGCCATTGACTGTGATGGTATGTGAACATAATGTACAGTACAAGAGAAGCAACAAAATTGCACTCCCACATATTTCATCGCTGCAAACGCCAGTTCTAGAAGGGCATCCTTGCCCAATGCAGATGCTCATGCAAAGATTATACACACATGCGAGACACAGTGTCTCATGTCGTCTGTCCCTAAACGCCGGAACGCCATCCTCGATCTTCCTATGCCAACTGTCGTTGGGGTTTCTTCGTAGATCGTAGATCATTAGGACTCCCTACCATCCATTCTAGTTGTGTGAATATCGGACAAGAATTGAAATGAGGTTATCGTTGGCGGAATGCTGTCCGCCATTGCTTTGAGAATGGTTCTGCCTCTCCCTCACAGCTTCGCCCGACTCCATCACACCCTGTAAAACGGATGACGAAATCCCCATCTTTGTACGTCCCCTCTGGTGAGGCAAGCTCTCTCTTGCTGTATGCATTCAATGCCCTTTGCGGTACTAGGGCCAGTCTCGAAAGAATCGTTGGGTGCCATTGCACGATATGTTCCTTTTGGCCCATTAGTATTTCTAGTAACCGATATGGAATTTGTTCCACTTACCAGAGCGTGCGTATCTGCCTTCTGGAAGTTGTAAGATCTGTACAGCGGATCAAACCACGTATCCAGAAAAAACTTGCTCCAATCCCCTTTTCGAATTACGAAGCTACCCTGCGATAGTCCGTCCTTGTCCTGGGTAAGGACAAAATCGATGTTGGCTCCTTTCAGATGTGGGAAAGTCTTGATAACACTGTCAGGGGGCACAATTGGCTGATCCCTGATCATCAAGCTCTCCAGTTTCTTCGGATTCATGACCTCTCCCTCCAAAGTCATGTCTGGGTTCATTATGAGGGAGTTCTGGTCCAGGTACCAGACGTAGGTTGTGTGCGGAAACTTGGTCAAGGCGTGTCGAACCGCAGGAACCTTCGACCAAGAGGCAGGGGAACCGCCCAAATCGTAATCTGTAACTGTTGGGAAGAAAGTGGTGTAGCCTAGTTCCAGTCAGCTATTCTGCCTTGCATGTTTCGTTCCAACAGTATATACCATGTTTCTTCGCGTATTCTATCCTGTTATCCTTGATATTGTTTAAGTACTCCTTGCTGTAGAGTTCCGGGTTCAGAACCGTCACAATAACTACCGGCGGCGTCCCAGACGGTATCCTCTCTGAGCCTCCAAATATCTGGGAGAGTATGAATATGAATGCACCGACTGCGCAAGCACATAAGGCGATGGCTTGCACTCTACTCCTCCGCACCATCGGGAAACGTGTCGATCGAGTCGCATACGGTGGAGGATTCGAGGATTTCCTCAGAGGCAGCGCCATGTGCATCTCGAGGTGAAGAGGGCCGTTGGCACCTCAGCAGTCGCTATCCAGCAGTGTAGTAGGGAGGAGACCTCCGATGCCGATGTTGTCGAGGATGGTGTTGGAGATGTAAATCTGGTCAAAACCCTCCTCTTCTTGCCCTCCTGTTTCCCTCCTTCGTATATGCAGCTCAGCGCTTCGCAGGAGAATTGGTCAGCGGCCAAGTCACCGATTGAAGGACTATCTGTCGGACTGTGGAATGGACTGAGGGTGGCCGACTTCTTGCGACTCAGAAAAGAATGTCCTGGTGGAGACGCTGTGATACGAAACGAAATGAACGACTTCAAATTATTGTACAGTTTGGCTTTCATGATTAGTTGGGCCTAGCGCACTGGGTGCGTGCTGGGGCTGGTCTTGGTCCCTTCAAGAATTTGGCCAATGAAGGGGCCTGTTTCAGCTCGGCTGTCAAGATAAGGATCAAAGGGGGGATGACCAAATTTCAAACAACTGCTGTGCTTATTCCAATGAAGAACAGATATCCATCTACCTCACATGAATCAATGCTGGACAGGAAAAGTCTCAAGTGCCGTTAGAGCCCCATCACGTCAAACACCTTTAACAGCCGAAATCCCTAATCTACTTGATCCTCTGGTGAGTCGGCTAGCGGACCGGTCTTTGGTAGCGTGCAGAAGCCTTTAAAATCCCCGGAGGAATGTCTGGCATTTACCGTCAATAGTCTCGAATAAGCCCACAATTATGAAAGTGTAAAGACTCGCATCTACCCAGGTAAGAATTGACGTCTCGGTAGGTGGTCGGCCTTGTTTAGATTCCCTCTTTTCTATTTTCATAAGAACATCGTAAAGTATTCCCATTCCATTATGACATCTCTACTTATCCAGTAGGTAGCTATCCTCATGCGATCTACATTTAGTAAATATACTTTCACTTCTGTCAAAGCTATTCCTAGTAATCTTGAACAATAAGCTCAGAATGATTACACAAAGACTAGTCGCCGAGGCCCCTGCTCGTACTCATCCCTCCTCCATTCTACCCTTTTCATACCACCCGCTTACTGTAAACTGCAAGGCAAGCTAAATCTTAGTCTGAATTGTTTTTGTATTATGTTCTCATTTCTCCACCTTTCTATGTACTCAACCTTTCTCACAACTTAAAGGAGGAAGGTGATCTATACAATGCAGTGTATCCAATACCAGTACCCAATCCTATCCTATGCGTCCGTCTGTCCCCGTCTATAATATCATCAGATCAAGCATTCGTCTAGTCATGCCGGTCCTTTCCTTGTTGTGCATCGCAACTCCACACTATGCAATAAAACAAACTCCTCCAGAGCATAATTAACGAGAACTAAATCCAAATCCTGTCGAGGCGAGTGCCGTTCACTCCGTAGCTCGAGCAGGATGGAAAAACAGAGTGTAGAAATCAAAAATACAAGTGACGCCTCCCAGATGCCTGCCGGTCCCGAAAAGGTGATGCATGAAAAAGGCGAAAAGTTTACAAACGCCAACTCCATTTTCGCAATGCTATGAAGTGGACTCCGCGCCGATGTATGTTTTCTCGAAAAAAGTCAAAAGAGTTTTAGCGCCGTTTTCTGCCGCCTTCTATGTTTCTTTTTGCGCATGTCGTTCGTTTCGGAAATCGAGTCTGGGGTATAATATAGTAGTAGAAAATCAATTTGTACAGGTTATGCTGGTATGTACTGCCTCAGGAGAGGTTCTCAAGCTGTGCAACCGTTCACAAGAGTGTTGGTTGGCCATTTGTAATCCGTGTCTTTCCACAATGTAAGGTTTGGGTTTGCGTCTAGACGTTCTGTTAGCTTTCATGCCATGTCATCATGTCAGGACGAGCACTTACAAGGTTCCGGGTGTTGTCTGATATATTCTGTCGTCTCATAGCCCTCCGGGTCACAAGTTACAGACTCCGAACCTTCTTCCTGGTAGATTCGAATATAATCGATCCTCATGGTTGCTGGCATCAACTTGGCCAGATTCGGCAAGAAGACTGTAGCGAAACTATTGGACATGCCGAAATTCATGATGATAGACATAGGCTCTTCTGGGACGGTTCTTTGACCAATGTTACCGTTTGGCCTGAGGGACCTGTGATCTACTTTGTAGGTGTAGTCATTGCCCACGAACCAAGATACATCGCCTTTCGCCCCAGGAGTGTATTCAAAACCATAGGTCTGATATGCATTACCATCATACCACTCGTTGTTGAGCCAGGTCACTGCAGACAATGCTTCCTGGTACGGCCCACCACGATAGACATTCATTCCCGTCACAGAATGGTCATAAATTTCCATATAGTCGTAGTCTGGCTGATAGAAGATATCAAATGGAGCGATTTGCAGGGACTGTGACGCTGTGCCTGTAGCCCCATCATACTGTCCAGGGCCCATAAATCCAGAACTGGCTTCAATAGCATCGATTTCGGGCGAAGAGCGAGAGACACCGGGATTGGGGTGGTCCTGGCCCTTGCATGTACATGCTGGCAATCGCATTCCAGGCAGTAAGCTGAGTCCATCTGGAGAACTCTGGTTTGCGGTGATTCCAGCATCACACTTGTTCTCATAGCTGTAGGGCCACATCCCATCCGTAGTCGCCGGGTATCCAGGCCGACCAAGATTGCCCATGGCCCAGAAACCCGGCCAAAAACCTTGAATGTCCCCACGACCAGGCAGAGATATACTTGCTTCAAGTCGTCCCCCCTTAAAACAAAGTTTGTTCCACGACTGAACCATTCCTGAGCGGTAGTTGAGATTGTGATTTTGGAAGGCGTCGAATTTCAAGTTGAGGGTACCATTTGCGGTACTCACAGCGTCTGGGTCGTACCATTCGAGATCCTGGGTGACACCATACCATATATCAACACCTTGAAAGTATGGATCGTCGCCGTCGTAAAAAGTCCGCCCATCCGTGTTGAATTCATCAGAGAACTATGAAATTAGCTTTCACATTTAGAGAAGGAACTTTAAGCATACCGTGAGCTTCAGCTTCTTCCCGTCATTGGAAGTCACCGTCTTTGCCGAATCAGGTGTATCCGGGTCGATGAGCCCCACTCTTTGGTTTTTCAGTAGAGGGAATTTATCTGACAAGCAATCCGGATCCGTTTTGCAAGTATCGGTCGGTACTCCCACAACTTGGCGAGCAAAAGTCCTTCAGCAAGTTAGTGATGTAATGTATTGACATAGGAAATCCATACAAGACTGGATATCCAATAAACAGCACCAATAGCCCAAGTGTCACAATCAACAAGCCCCCCACATTCGTCAGGCCTCTTTTCGACCATATATCGCACTTGTCTCGCTTATTATCGTCTGGACCAGGATTGTGCAGCCAGTCGTCCTTCTCTACGTCTTCTGGAAAGAGCAATAATCCTGCAGAGGGCATAATGTTGTACTTCTCTGATACTGTCTGCGTATTGACATTATCATCGTCGCTGCCAGCTCGCGAAGGAGCTCTCGAATCGTCGAAAGGAGAAGCGAACGGAGACCCAAAGGGCGCATGTCTACTATCTCGATGACTTGGAGCTTCCGAACCCCAACTCGTCCTCCGTGACGACATTGCTGACTCTGATCTCGAGGGACCTGGGGAATCTTGATATCTTGGTCTTGACCGCGAAGAAGGTGGTAATAATAAGGAGTCGGTTGATTCGAGTCCTCCTGTTCCATATATCGCATTTGGTGGTCCAACTGGGAGTCGAGACGTCTGACTTGTTCCAGGTCGCGCCTGCGGTAGCAGATTCCTTGATAATCCTGGCGTTCCTGGAGTATGAGCCGATCCGGGACTTTCTGACCGCATCTTGTCTAGCAGATCTCCTCCACTGCCAGAGTTAACCGTTATATGAAGTGGCCTCTTTGGTTGCAACCCATCTGGAGCCATAGCGATCTAACAAGGAAATAAGTACAAAGTATGCTATTCAGTGTCCTGCCAGCATAAAGTTTGTTGGTGTTGAATATCCAAAAGTGATTGGTGGTTCCCTTTTGGGATAGTATCAAAGGTCACAGACTAAGCATAATATAACTCGCTGCGCTGTAATACTATGTTCTCTTCCCTCAAGTAATCTGGTTACTGCGGAGTTCTATGACGGCGACAATTGTTGAGCGGAAGCGCGAAGGTAAGGACGTTCCGAGGAAGGAGAATGGCTTTGAAAGGAAGAATGAACCAGTCCAGGTATTCTGCGAGGTAAACGAATGTCAAGGAGTCGAATCAAGGTGAATCCGAGGCCAGAGAGAGAGCGTGAGGAAATCGGTGCGCAGAGAGGCAAGTTTGAAGGACTCGAACCGCAAGATCAAAGGCAAGAGAGTGTGAATAACCGGCAGATTGAAAACTGTTGGCAAAGGCCCAGTTCAAGCTCAGTTCAAGTTTTGAACTGGGTCGGGCAGGCATGTCCTATCCTGTTTCCTTACAGCCAAGCGAGCGTTGGTTACTGGGATTCGTGAGGATAAACAGGGGTAGACGCCGTATGTGTGTGTGGTGAATGGGGAACAAGGCCCTCCCAAGCGTTGCTGCAGATGGAATTTTCGCTCGACCGTGACTGTGAGACGCTCCGTGAGTCTTTTCCCTAGGGGGCTGGCAGTTTACCCCTTAAAATTTCGGTCCCGTTTGTGGGTTGCCGTTGTTGTCGCTGTTGTTGATGTTGATGTTGACGAAAAACAAGAGGTTTAGCTGGAGATTGTCCGTCTTAGCAGATCGGCTTGGAAGGCGTAAGTGGTGCTCAGGTACGCGGCAGGACACGGCGCGGCGCAGGGCAGGGCAGGGCAGGGCAGTTGAGGGTCTGGCTCAGGTTTGCTGCTGCTAGCTCAGGGGAAAGCAGGAGCCGGTATCCAGAGCCCACTGTATTGGAGATCGAAAAGGAAGTGAATAAAGAGGGAGAAGCACAAAGCGCTTGAGTTGGATAGCTACCACAATTGGATATGGCCAGATACTTACTCGTAGGACATTCTGATACCTCTTCACACCCATGCACCCAATTCTCCCATCTTTCTCCCCATCAACAGCATTCTATTTCGCCTCTCTGCTCTGTACAGTAGTTTGTTGGTATCTATTTAGTTGATCAACAGTCTTGCGTGTTGTTCGATCCCATTGGCTGCCACACAATTGAGCCTGTCAGGTTCTTGTTCTTCAACACGCTACATGCTCTGTGCTGTGCTATTCTTGGCCCTCGCCTCCTTTCCCGGCCTCCCCTTCCTCTCCCTATCGCAGAGCGCGGGCGGCGTCCAACCGAACAATCCCGCCCCGGCAGTCAGTCAGTCTCTCGGAGATGACGACAATCACCCGCAGAAAGAAGTGGTCTGGAAGTCTTGGGATCTCAAAAAAGGGTGCATGGGTTTGAGCATACTCGTACTGTAGGTAGGACCGAGCGAGGCGTTCACGCCAAACAAAGAGTCAGCCAAGACTGGAAAAACTTTCAATACTGGCTTTACGATGTCAACAAGGCTCACCCTACCAACAAAACCATGCCTCACTCCGTACTTCTACGTCAAGACGTTAGGACGAACAAGCATCTGAACGGGAAGCATACTTAAGTTTACCTACCAACTCAAAATGAAGCGAGCCACGTGAGAAAATGCAAAATCTTCAAACACTAGCTGTTGGAGATCAAGTGGATCATAACCACCATTTATATATCTTACTTGAAGATCGGAACGCCAAGCATGCAGGAAGCAGTTTATTTCTGTCGCGGCTTGACAGGTCGCAAAGTGGCTGCGGGTTTCCTGTCTGCCGAAGTTCTGGAGGTGGATTGGAAAAGCTGAGGCTGGCTTGGACTCTTTGTTCTTGCTCGCTCTCTCCGATTCTCGGTACCGAAGGTAGACATGATGTGATAGCTAGGGGTTCGAGCCCGGGAATGGTTTCTGTGATTCAGATGAATTTATGGGTTCGGAGCAGAATGCATGTTGAAAACATGAAACATGGACTTGCCGTTGATTTGAGGAGAAGGAATAGGGGATGGAGTAACGACGGAATGTTTGCAAGATGAGATGGTGACGGTGGTTGAGGACAATGCTGGGACTAGTGACCCAGTGTGATGAATCCAGAAGGAGTAGAACTAGTAGATAATTCAAGACACCCATAGGACCGGACAAGAGAAACCAAGATCTAATGCCAGACTCCACTTGAGAATCCAAGCACTGGACATTGCTTGACCTGACGGATGTCGAAAAGTTGCACATCTAGTCTCCTTGTGAATGCTGATATGGAATATGCATAACTTATGGGAGTATCGTCCTAAGGCTATGAAGTAAAGCTTGGAAGTGTCGTATGTCTCTTAAGCCACTTGCATGGTAAGAAGCCAACACTTTCCAGCTCTTCTGCCTGCCATCAATGTGTTAGAATTAACTGTAGCAAGCAACTACTCCCTCGCAGTCCATCATCAGTCATACTCCTTCCAATGCCTCCAGAAGTCTCCATCTTGTCTCCTAACTCTCAATAGCCAAAGCCTTAACACCCACCAACTGACCTCCCTCAACTCCAACAATCCAATACTCCACCCTCGAACCATCCTTCGCAACTCTATAAACCCTCACGTCACTCCCCTTAACCGCCTCTCTCGTAGCATCCACCACATCCTTATATTGTCCCTGCGTATCCCACTCACCCACATCCAGGATCTGAACATCTGCTTCGTTGGGCTTTGGGTGGTTGATTAATTTGGCGAATGTAGCTGCAAGACAGAAGTATTAGCATAGCTCCAAACAAATACGTAAGGGGAAAGCAAGAGAGATTCAGCATACCCTCATCAGGTAACCCCTTCCCATCCAACTTCAACGCGACACCCACAAAGGGCTCATCAGCATCACTGACATAAAACGCCTCTCCCTTCCCAAGCACCTTCTCAATCACCTCTGGGACCTTCACACCCTTCTCTGTAGCCTTGAATTCCATCTTCCCATTTCCACTCCCTTGTGTCTTCGCAACGCCTTCATTGGGATCCTTATTCGCCTTGTCGAGAAATGACATGTAGTCTTCGTCTGTAGCCATTTTTGCGGGAGTGGTGGTACTAAAGAAATGGCGTTCAGCTCGTGCTATCTGCGAGCTCAAGCTCAAACTCAATTCTCTCCCCTTTGGGGGGGTACGGAGAGGAGACGGGAATGATAGAAATCGCGAGCTGCTCACGCAGTACCCTGACCCGATGTCACAACGTGGTTTCCCTTCGACTCTCCTTCCCGCACGGGAGTTGAAGCCGCCGGTGCGGCTGTAGGTATTGGAGGTGGCGAGGTAGCTAGATGTTCGTGCGCAAGCCCTTCTCGCACGCGTGGTGGCGTGGGATCGAATGGTTGCTCGTGGTGGTCTTGCAGACCTGTACCTATGCTAATCGTCGGAGCTGAAGCTTTGGTAGCTGCTGGTGCGGGCGACTTCGTCGTTGATTGAGAGGATTGGGGAGTTTTGTGATGACTCTTTGCAATTCTTAGACAGGAGATAAGAATGCCCATAGCATTTTTGTCGAATTTGCTGTGTTGTTGTGGTTTGTTGAGGGAGATGCTTGTTAGAAGGTGGGAACACAAGGGAAGCTACAGGTGGGATGGGACGTGCGTGATGACGAAGGTGGTGATGTGGTGCGGGGGACGAAATTCAAGGTAGGGAATAATAAAAAGAAAATTTAGGATCTATAATGCCAGCTATTTTCACACATCACAGTCCGAGTACGGGGGGTTTGGTGTTACAGGTGGTTCAAGTTATTACTTTTGACATGTCTCATAGAATTCTTGTTCTATTTCATGCCTCCTTGGGTGATCATCAAAGAGCAGAAGATGCCATGTAACCCCCTACACCAAATTGAAAAGCCCGGAAGAAAAAGCAAACCAAATCCCTTAAGCAGCTGGTTGAATGCCCTTCTTGAGCGTACCCAAGAAAGCGTGCTTCTCTGCAGGAGTCTGGTAGGCACCGTGACCGAACTTTGAGGAGGTATCGATCCATTTGAGGTCGACCTTCTCCAATGCCTTTCTTGAGGTGTGGACGAACATGGACTTGCGGAGAGTCATGACACGCTTCTTGACACCAGGAACGGAACCCTTGACGATAATGAAGTCGTTCTTGACCTCACCATAGCGGACAAAGCCACCCATACTGCAAATAATTAGCTTGGCTATGATAGTTACGAATATGTTACTCACGGAGTGATTTGCTTCTTGGAGACATCAAACTCGGTAGCGGCGTTACCCTCATCATCACCCTTTCCAATACGGTAGACCTTGTGGTTGGTCGAGGTACGGTGGTGGTATCCGTCTTGACCGGCACGGGCCACAGTCCATTGGACGTGGGAAGGATGCCAGGCACCAATACAAGCAACCTTTCGGAGACCCTTGTGTGTCTTTCTCGGAAGCTTCTTGGTTCCCCATCTGCTGGTGACACCAGAGAAACCGTGACCCTTGGTGACAGCGATAACATCGATCATCTCATCCTGCTCGAAGATGGAGCTGATCTCGACTGGCTTCTCGAAGAGACCGTTACCGAACTCGACCTTGTCAGCGATGCTTCCACCGTTGATTTGAATTTCCATCAAGTGGGCCTTCTTTTGCTTGAGAGGGGTCTTGCGGATCTGGGTGTGGGCGAGGACACGGACGACGGTGCAGTACTTCTTGATGCGCTCGAGTTCACGAGTGATGGAAGATCCAGAGCTCTCGGAGTGCTTCTTGGCGTACTTGGTGAAAGCCTTCTTCTTGCTTCTGTACCAGTTCTTGTAGAATCGGCGCTTTACCTCATCGCTCAAGTGCTCAGCCCAGACGGTAGTAAGGGATCGGAGTCCTCGAGGAGTTTCGATGTAACCAACTAGACCAACAACGATCACCTAAAAAGATGTTAGCCATAGGCATAAGCCAAGAGGGCTGCGTTGTTCGTACCGGTGGTGTCTCAATGACAGTGACTGCCTCCACAACCTCCTTCTTGTGTGATTTCGCGCCAGGACGGTCGAGATCGCGGACGATGGTGGTCATACCAGCCTTGTAGCCCATGGTGGCAGTAAGGTGCACAGGCTTCTTTGGGTCATCCTTGGGGAAGCTGGTTGCAGTTGCGAGGTCAGCGACTGATCCACGAAGCATGAAGCGCAAAATTGAGGTCGACAACGCAGAAATCTAATATGGAATTGAAAGCTTGGAATTGCAACTCACCTCTTGACCTTTCCTCTATGGCGGGCAGCTCTCTTGCGAGGCAAGAAGGCAAGAGAGCCGTGTCTGGGTGCCTCGAATTTTCTGTGAGACATGTTTACTGACCCTGAGATAGGAAATCTGGAGGTTAGTAAGGTCGAATGTCTCGAAAAGAGGGATGCGCGTTGAGTATTGCGCTGGTGTTGAGGTTCAAAAACGAGGGCGAAGAAGTTCGCGAGGTTTAGATAATTTGATTTGTGCGTGAGCTAACTATGTTGAGTCTAGCACAATTTGACACGTGACTAACCTGAAGCGTCACCCCCGATTTGGAGGCTTTTTGAGCAATACATGTGTTGGTGAAGTACAAAGCAATATATTACGTCCTCAGCCTGGAACTAGATGAATGCGACTTTATGGAAGAGTCGGCCAGTCGTTTTTTCCGTAAGACTTCAATCTTGCATAATTCGTTGTGCCCAGGGAGATGTGATGATGTGCATTTCGTTGATGAGCTCGAGACAGATCATTTTTTCCCAAGAAGCCCCCAGCCCATTCTCTAAAAAGCCATCGGTACCTAGCATCGTGGCCCACGTTCATGATCTCATTGACGATAGAGTCTAATTCGAAGAAAGCGTAGAAATAGCAGGTATGGTTCCTGCCAAAAACGGAAGGAACGTGTCAAGCACCGCTGGAACGATCGCCGAAGTAGTTGCTAACAACTTTCAACCCCCCATTTGATAACAGCCAGATGTCCTGGAAAATATCCATGACATATTCATGTGTGCATATCCCACTTCCTCGTTGATCCAAATGCTTTCTGCTCATGAGCTGGGCTTGATGAAGTGCATTCAGAGAACCTTAATTATGAGTGCCGCATTTTCACTACAGAATGCCCCAGGAAATATCGTAAAGATAGAAATACCAAACCGTACAAGACAGCTACCCGCTTCGAGGAAAGGCCAAGTCATTCGTGAGCCAATGTTCTTTCTGCTAATTCCATAATTTGGTGTGTGTCCTTGTAACATTGCAGCACCCACAGTCTTCGTGGTTTGACATACCTATGACTGAAGACACTTGAAGACACCTCCACAATCATTTCATAAGTCCTCAAACATCCGAACGACATTGGTATCATTAATCACTCCAGGTTTTAGATTATACAACCTTATTACAACTTCCATGTCCTTCGCGTCGCTTAGACGTGTAAAAACGCAAAAGTCTTATAAGAAGACACACCACTGTGCTGCACAGTGTCTGCTAATGCCCACGGATTGTCGAGAGCATCAGCGATTTCTCGATAGCAATATTGAGGCTATGTTCCCCGGATATGAGGATACATACAACCTGTGATAAAGCCAGAGAGTACATGTTGACTGTATCTCCACAGCTTTCGAGATCCATCTACAAGCCGAGACAAAGCCAAAGTCGTGGGAATGAGAAATGCTCATTCTGTGGTGATTTTGGCACAGGATGTAAAAATCATTGATATATATAAGTTCGTTGTTGCTGGAGAATTAAGTTTTGAATGATAAGGGATTTAAATCGTTCCTAATCGTTTGGCAGCAGCTCTTGTCAAAAACGGAAGGACGACTTGGTTGCCACACACTTAGTCTTCCACATCTGGGACTTGGGGACTTATTCTGTGATTGCTTTTGATTCGGTGTCGCCATTGAATTATATTACATTAGAACTTTTATCTTCGTAGCGAACGTCCCATCAGTCCCTTCAGTTCAGTGAATCAATCCTACCTGCTCGGTGCGTATACACACCTCAATGTTCCCATTTTCTTTGCAAGACATAACTGCTACTTTCATCAGTGCACTAGGAAAGTGGAAATCTAGGTAGCAGGGTCGCAAAAATTAATGGCTTTGTTGTCTCTTGCCTGCTTGCTTCACCCACAAACCAGCCATCTCAAGGTCAGTCGGGCAATGCTTCTCGAGCGATTTTTGGATGTGATGCACCACCAGTTGCAAGCACCACAAGCCAAAGTATATCATTGAAAGACAGGGTGAAGAGATATATGATGGCTTACAGTATTGTCTTCAGTCTGACATACTGTTCACTACATGAAGTGGTGGTGGGGAACCAGGGGACATCCAAACCGGAACATCTTTAATCTCCCCTCCAAAATCAATGTCCAAAGTTACTTCAGACACTCAGTCTTTAAGAGGACCATGTTCTCAAATATAATCCACAAGCAACAAAGTATACAAAAAACCCGGTTGAATAATCAATCTTTACACTAAAGCTTATCTCAAGAGCATTGAAGCACTTCTACAGAATTCATCAACAGTCATCACGAACAAAAGAGATCCCCACTATATAACTAAACCTCCACCTTTGGTTGTCCATTTGTAACGCCGTTCACATGCCCGTTCGGACCAGTTGGAGAGGCCGTTTTAGCCTCCCCGGAAGCCGAACCCGGTCCGGATGCTGTGACTGATGCAATGCCACCCTTCTTGTCCTCATCGGCTTCATCATCATAATCCTCATCAACATCCATCTTTCGTGCTGCACGTTCCGGCTCCCCAGCTGGCGGTGGGGGAGGCGGTGGAATCTCAGCTCGTTCTCTCTCCCGTTGCTCTCGCTCTCGCTGTTCCCTATCACGTTGCTCTCTTTCACGCTGCTCTCTCTCTTCGCTTGAGTAGTCCTTTGGCGCAGGTGGAGGGGGTGGCGGGGGTAGCTCATGAACTGGAGTATGAACAGATGGTGGACCCTGCTGCATCGGTGGCAAATGGTTTTGGGGCAGGGCGTGAGTCGGAGGATGGTGTGCAGCTTCAGAGGGGTGATAGTTCTCGTTGGCTCTACGCTGTTCCTCGACCCGACGTTGGTCCTCAGAACGTCGCTGATCCTCACGACGTTGATCATCCATGCGTCTCTGATCCTCCGCACGGCGAGCTTCGGAAGAGCTACGGCGGAAACTTTCGCGGGGTGGGGTGGAAGGACGGCGATGATGCATGTCATCCAAACGAGCACGGTTCTCATCTGAAGCCGGTTTCTTCATCGATGTGTCCTCCTCCCATTCACGCATCCTTTTAGGCCCAACGGACCCAGGCCTATCTCCATTCCGCTCTGCAGCAGCGGCTTCAGCAGCAGCCAAAGCAGAGGCTGGAGCAGGAGCACCACCCTCAATACCACCAGGATTAGAAATATCTGGATGGTGAGGGTATTGTTGTTGCTGTTGGTGTGGGTACCCGGATTTTGGCGAAGGCATACGATTATCCAGAATGGGTCGCACTTCCGGTCGAGGACTGGTACCTCGGCCGAACGGTGGGAGAGATCCAGGGCCGGAACCGTTCATGTTAGCTTGAGCAGGAGGTAAGACTGAAGCGCCTGGGCCAGCATAATTGGGATTCGAGACACGTTGAGGGGGCGGAGGTGGCGGTCCAGGAGGCTGCGAGAGACCGGGACCAGGATAAGGACCCATTGCTGCATGATGATCACGAGGAGGTGTGCGACGACCACTTGGGCCACTTGGTCCTCCTGGAGATGGTCCTGGAGGCAACCTTGATTCAAAAGGTCTCATCTGCTCTGGCTGCCTTGGGCTTTGAGCACGTGGAGGCGGCGGGATCGGGCCAGGGCCTCGAGCTTGGTCTCTTTGGTCGTACGGATTTCCAGGATGCGGTGGTGGGTTAATTTCAGCGAGTCGGCCCCAGCCGTTGGCAGGCGGGCCAAGTGGAGGGCCTGGAGGAGGAGGTTGAGGAGCAGAATTTCCCCATTGTGGCCCTGGAGGACCAGTAGCGCCGGTTGCTTGGTAAGCTTGAGGATGTACATCTTGGGGCAGAGGAGCGCTGGTTTGTACTGGAAGTCCGTTGGTCTGTCCACTACGAAGTAATTGAAGCCGTGCTTTAATGTGCACATTTGAAGGATCAAGTTCAGCTGCACGCTGGTATGCATCGAGCGCGTCGTTGATCTGATTGTTGCAAGATTCGTACTAGAACCGATGGTTAGTTGCTGTGCAAACGAACTTGGCTTAAGATGAGCCAACTTACCAGAGTCCCCAAGTCGTACCAGACCTCGGAAATGTACGGGTTCAGGCGTATCGCGCGGGAATATGCATCAAGTGCATCTCGGTACTGGTTGATCTGGTAATACAAGACGCCAATCGAGCACCAGAATGTTGGGTTACGTCCGTCGCGGTAGACCGCTTGCTGATATGCCTCGTACGCCTTTGGGTACTTCTGTTGTGACATGTAGCATCGTCCAAGCAGATACCAGCTTTGCGCATCATTTTGATCTGCCACGTGTTAGTGTGTGGAATGTCAGAGTGATCAAAATGAAGAGTCCTACCTGAGCCGACAGACTTCTCCAGGTACTCAATTGCTTGCTCCTGACTGCTGAAACTGTTGCTTTGCTGGTGATGCAACCAGCCAAGTTGCTGTAGGACCTTTGCATGATTTGGATCACGGTCGAGAACACGCCTGTATGCCAGTTTCGCGTTGTCGTACTAAAACGGTTGTCAAATTAACATCTTCGTCGGCAGAGATCTACCTACGTCTTTCTGTTGTTCATGGACATGGCCGATTTGGAACCAGATATCCTCTTCGGTCAAAGGAGTTGGCGGGACTGAGACGATGTACCGGAAACACTATTCAAGTCAGCTGTCTGGGAAACATCACCAGCCTTCGCTTCGATTTTCGTACCTCAAGACTCTGTTGATATTTCTGTTGCTGCTTGTAAATTATGCCAAGACGGAAATAGATTTCGTTGGCCTTTTCGAAGTCTGGCTGCATGCGCATCACTTGGGAGAATGCTTCTTCAGCATGCTCAAGAGATCCATAGCGGTCATAAAGAATCCCGATGCCATACCACAATTTAGGTTCCTACAGTACATTAACAACGGTACCGAGATATCGGGTCGATAAGGCTAACCTTCGGATCCCTCAAATGGTAAAGCGCTTGTTGGTAAGCCGAATATGCTTGTTGCAAATCGTCCATCATCAGATAGCAATGACCTTGAAGGTTAGCAGAGGAAAATTGAAAATGTTCAGGCAGCACTTACCAAGACTTCCCCAGACTTCGCCATTATTGACTTCGAGTTTCAGTATACTTTGAAGGTACTCAACAGCTTTGTGGAACTGCTCTTGTGTTCGAAGGATGCAGCTTATGGCGTTCATTGCTGGGATAGATCTAGGATTGGCGCGGAGGGCATGTTCGTAAGCCGCGATAGCCTCGTCAAGATTGTTGAGAAGTTCCGCGAAGCTCCCTGAGATATTGTTAGTGCGCTCACTGATGGTTGGAGATAAGTGGCTGTACCAATCTGCATCCAAACCGCTTCATTGATACCGGCGATTTGTTGCATGGCGGGTGTGAAGTGCTGCTGATGTTGAGCCATCCCTGGCGGAGGCGGACCACCTGCCTGGCCATGATGCATTTGCATTCCTCCAGGAGGGGAAGGATGATGGGTTGCCATCGTTGAGATCAAGGCTCGGTCGGGGGACGCGGTATTGCTTTGGCTTTGGGCTGCGACCAAGAAGTATTCGAGCTACCTTTCCAGGAGGCTCTTGCTCAACAGGCTCTCCAATTAATCTATCCTGATGAATTATAGAGGGTTTAGATCTCAAGATGCGACAGCGGTAAGTGCTGGTAGGGCGAAGGTTGAGCTCTCCAGAAGGTGAGCTTTGGAGGCGCGGAGGTGTGCTGTGGCAACGGAGCTGTCAACACGCTCCTATGATGCAGACAGAATGCGCAGACTTCGGGAGTGCCGCCTCGTCCCTGGTCAGTAATTACAGCAGATATTGATGCTCAGGTGAAATGTTGGAAGCGCCGACGAGGTTCAAAGCTGTCGCGAAAGCTGCGATGCAGAATGAAGTGATGTTGCCAGCAGGGCCCGACAGACGCAGACACAGGCAGAGTGAAGCAGAACAGAGCAGAGTTGAGTTGAGGAGAGAGGAGAAGGGCAGGACGGACAGGGCAAGAAAACGGCACCGCCATTCGTGATGAACTCACCTCAGACAGCCAAAAACTTACCGAACCCGCACTTGCCCGTTGGGATTCCATGCGGGTCCGCCACCCCTGTTGCAAGCGCAGATGCATCCCTGCCGCTGGATTACGCCAGAGAGGGGGGGATAATTGTGAATATCGAGGGCCTTGGCAGAGCAATCTAGACCTCAACGGGCATATGATTCAGCCAGATCCTGACAGCTGTGGATCCATGTCTCCCCTAGTCCCTCCCTCGTCCGCGCCGCACTTGCAAGGCCCCCGCAGCTTCCACAAAAACACATGCGAGCGAAGGTTAAACTGCTTCTGACCGACAGCCGGGGGGAGAGGGAGAAGGGAAGGAGAAGGGGGGCAGGAGCGGGTTGGCGCCGAGCTTCTGTCTGGGCACAGTCGGACGACACGGAATGCAATTGGCAATTGGCCTCGTCCAATAATGACCACGACCCGTCGCCTTCCCCTTCTTCTTCTTCTTCTTCTTCTTCTTCTTCTTCTTCTTCCCCCTTCGACTCAGTCCATCCTCTCCTCTCTACCACCACTCTGCTCTGGCTTCTGGCTCTGACAGATCATGGCAAATCTGCTCCAGCTCGTGCTCCAGCTCCAGCTCCACTACTGACCGACCTACCTTTATCCTCCAGTCAAGTCAACTCCTGATATGACATAGGAGGAGATCAACCTGCCTGAAATTTAGATTTACCTATACCTTCACTACAGTACTGTACGTTGCATTACATTATTATTGCCGAAGGACCCCTCTCCCCAGTCCAGTTTCCCTCCCGCCATCCTCCACCACCCATCATGGCATCAGTACTGTACTGTACTGCAGTAGTCCGGGCCAACGCCCTCCTGTCACGAGTAATAAGCCGTGAGCCGCCCTTGATCTGACCTGGCTTTGGGCTTTGCCTAGCTCGATGTCACCCGGGTGCTGAAGCCTTGGGTGATGAAATCTACCCAGCCATCCAGTTCCAGCGGAGCCAGCTTGATTAAAACGGCGCGGCGCCAGCTAACCTTTGTGCGGGTTAGGTCTCGGTCGGGGCCAGATGGGCCGTCAGGGATGAGCACGGAGTGTGGCTGATCGCTGCTGATTAACTTAGCGCAGCATTCTTCTGGACACCAACACAGATTCATCGAGAAGAGGTACAGATCCTCGTACGTGCGCTTGAGTTTGAAACTTCCAAGATCTCGATGGCAGGAAGCTCGATAAAAGATACATAACAGTGAAGAATGACAGCCTGAAGACGAATACGTTATCTGCTTGTCATGCAACCCGAGACTTCAACTTTTCACCAGTTAGGTCGAGGACTGGTGATGGAAACAATTACCGTTGTTTCACAAGACCAGTAGCCTCACCATCGCCCGCTTGAGTTTGGCAGAGACATAGTTCGATTCTCGCCAAATAGGCTTTGCATTATCCTGCCTCCTTCTCACCAGGTGCAAGAGAGACTTGCTCTCCGCGACAGTCATTTTTGAACTGTTCATTGTCGACATTTGGCTGATGGATGTACGGTTGACGAGATTCGTGTTTCAAAGGATAATCTTGTGATATTGGTCTAAAGCAATATCAGCAGACGCCTAAAAGTACCTGTCGTTGTTTCGGAAGCCAAGATGCACCTCAGCTCGTTTCTTTCAGATCTCACCAAGCCAAGGGGCGCACAACAGAGATCCGTGTGGAGGGAATGATAATGCGTTCCTCCTGTCACACAACATGAAAGTTCGTCGACTCGTCTCCTGTAGGCTCGTAACCGCAACCTAGACCGTTTCTTCCAAGCGGGCCCTGTTGCATTTGGTCGGTCAGTAAAAGCTTCGGCTTCTTTCCCAAGCACGTAGGGCAGTATGCTGGTCAATTCATCAAGATCGGACTGTGAATAGCCCTCTCCATTGCTCTCCATTGCTCACCGTCGCAAAAACGCGTCCCACAAGTTGCTATTTTTATGCCCCCCAGAAAGAAATATAATACAGTATTTGGCCAACTGGATGGCAGCTTGTAACTTACATTATCTCTCCAGACATCTTGTTATCTACAGGGGACGAGTTCCCCGCACCCACCCAGACTCTGCACGAACGAGCGTGAGCGGCCCGTCGTACGCCTTAAATTGAAACCGATCGACCATCTGGTTGGAAAAGCAAAAGTCAAAATCTCAAAAAGAGGCAGCGACATAGCCGCTATTACTGGTCATCTTCCTTGAACATCCAAATCGGCCAAATCCCTTTCTGTGAATGGCGTCGTATCGCCGAGCACTGTCCCCCGTCCTCGCAGGTCCTTTCGCCCAAGCAAACCTTCGTCACTGCACCGATTCTACTAATGCCATCATGCATCAATGTACTAGAAGACGCCTTGGAACTTTCTCCACAGAGACTCTTACGGTATTTCTTGCGTCGCCAGGCATAACCTCCCTGCCCGGCCTGTCTCAGCCATGCACAAGCAAGCCTTCAACACCCTTCCAGTCGACGAGATGCTGTCTCTGGTTCTAATGAAAAGGCGTGGCTGATGCTTGGCGCACTCTGAAACTTATTTTAGCCGAGCCATCTTGTCGTACGATGCAAAGAGAGCGTCTGTGCAAAGAAAGACTGCTCGTGATCTCAGAATTCCTGGGTAAATGCCGACAAAGCACCAGAATACCCATACGTAGAGGAGTGGACTCCATCAACATTCGATTATAGGATTATGTTCTTCCATACTCTACATTCTCGTTTTCTGGACATCTTCCCAGGATCCGAACCATGGGAAGTCCCTTGTAATCACGTGATATTCAGCTGGAGCCCGTGGAGTGGCGCCTTCGAGGAAGCCCGCCGTTCCAAAAGCAAATAAATCTCTTATCTAAAGACTGTCCAACGAGCTTCGGATCAGCACTGCAGAATATACATACCCCGAGGCAAGCCCCCAGTATTGAAGAGTGCTGGCAGCCAATTGCCACTAGACGACCAGGAAACGTTCCCATACAAGTGCACACTTCGAGGGAATGGCCGCGGCGCCACTGACCAAGTGGCATGGCATTTTTATTTTAACTTCCTAACGAATGGACCTCGTCCAACAGCAAGACAGAAGGGAGGAAATGTTTCTTCCGGCTGCCCTTGTTCATTCCATTATGACAGGTCTGATGATTCATCCAGCCACAAGAGCCAGCAACCGGCCTCGAGCCGGCCTGGCATCTTCGTCTCCCCCACGAAGCAAAATTACGCTTGAGGACTAGATTTGGGTGTCAGATCGGCAGCTCGCACATGCAGCTAGCCGAGGATGAGCTTACCGCTGCTCTCGCCCACCTCTCTCCTGCAAACAGCCCAAAGCCTCACGATGCATGCTCGGAGAGCCGATCTGAGGAGGCGGGCGCCTTGGCATATTAGTCTCGGTTCCAGTCAAGCCTTTTTTTTCCCTCTTTGACACCGTTCCCGAGGAAAGACCCACCACACCCCATCTCCATCAGATTAAGCTCCGTCCTGTCGAGGTCTGGTAATAATCTCCTCACTCAAACTCAGAAAGCACCCAGGACAAACGACATGCAGCATGGAAAGCCATAGACTTCTGCACCAGAATTGCGACCAATAGCATGGTAAAAGCCACTCGTACCACTAGTTGCGCCGAACTCTCAGGAGAACGTGGATTGTACCTATGTTCGTGCTGAGCCACGAACAACCTCCTTTGGCGGAGCATCGTCTCGAACGACGCCACGAATCATGACATGAGACTGGAGATCTGAAAGTTTCGAATATCTGTAACTCTAGATTTTGGACCTTTGCTACAGTAATAAGAGGTCGAAGAGATGGGATGAAATGAAACTTGTTTCTGAAATGATCTGGAAAGGTGAGACGCCTGGCTGATCGACTATTTGACTGTCTCATCACGTGACGTATTAAATATGGTGTATGGTGATGCGTGCTTTTGGAAATCGCAGTCGAAGATGTCGCGGCCTGGAGTTTGTGACTTTTTGAGGTGAATCTGGGGTGTAGTTGGGGCAGAGTTCAGTTGACAGAAACCTGGGAAGATTCCGTGATAGCCGCCGGAACTCAATGGTAGGTAGTATATGGTCAAATCGAGGACCAGCACATTGGTAAAGTCCGTAGCTTCGGTATCGTTGCTGGATCAGACATGTCTCCACGTCGACGCATGAGGAAGTCTATGACGAAGCTTCTTTCAGATGCCTCTTGCCAGGTAGCAATATGCTTGGGATCACATGGTATCAGGGTATGCCGAATGAGGAGCCAGCGGATACAATATATCACGAATCTCACGAATTTCGCTTGCAACTTTGGTTGGCCACTTCTCAAGAGAGGATACTTAGCTTAATATGCGTTTGCCTGCTTCTTTTGCGCGTGTTATGTTCTAAATAGGTCTGATCGTGTACGGATTCTGACATGACATCCGTGACCGAGCATTTGGGTTACTTCAACGAAGAATGTTGAGCCGAGACTTGGGGATACCTATCAAGAAGTCCACCATGTAACACCAGTTGTCACAAGCCGACAACTTCGGCATTCGACCCTCGTAAGCTCCAAATGTCTTTTCCTGCATATGGATATTCAAGACCCTCCCCATTCTCTCCGTGATAACTCCAAGACTCTAAATCGTGCACGGGCCATTCAATGTGACAACCCAAATAAATTAAGCTCGAAGCGGAAGAGAGCAAGTCAACTTAAATTTTCATTATTGTCGAGTCGTTTCCGTGCGGGACGGGGCCTAGACACAATAATCCAGGCCAGCTAGACAAGAAGGTTCGGCCTATCGTTCTATTCTCATGCGCGGCAGCCAACGGTACGCCTGTCTTTGAACGATGATGACCTGGACTACTGGACTTGGCTTGATTCTCCCTTGTCCTGGAACATGGAGATGAAGACTTGTGGTAGGAATTATTGGCATGATAGACAGCCCGCCATGTCGTCCTTACCTAATAATTGCTCTTGATATCGCCTTCCATTCTACAGTACACAAGACAACCGGCAACTGTTGCCTCATCGCGAAGCTGGCATAAACTTAAATTTACCTACCCGTCTACCTGCCCTGCGTTGCCCTATGTTTCATTTCATGCGCAGTCAGTCGGTGTGAGCCGTCAAATTCTTCCGCACCACGAATCCACTCCGCTTCTCCGGCTCCGCTATTTTTCTCTCCGCTACCAGATTTCGAGGTGAGGTTCGCCTCAGGAGTCAGGAATCAGGATGTGCTACAAGCCACGCGACCCTGCAAATCCAATCCCACCCAATCCAATCCAATGCATGCATCCATCTCGTCCCCGTCCCTTCCCTTGCCTTCGCATCCCGACAATCCAAAATCTAAATCCAATCCCGTTCCGGCTCATCATCATCCTTCTTGCAAACGCATTGCGAACTAGATATTTAGCAGTAACTGAAGATGACAGCCGGGCAAAGTCCTGAAGCCGGACTAATGTAACTCCAGATCACTGGCACACAGATTTGACACCAGAAAAACACAGGCCGACATCACATCACGACCAAGAAAACAGGACTTGGGAGGACCCCACAGAACGCACAGCATACCTAGGTGTCGCTCTGCCACCCCAGCGCCGTTTGTACCGGCCCTAGCAGAATCTACGGCACCTGCGAACTGGCATTTGTTGCCCTCACCTGTAGCTTACTGCAGTGATCTGAGTATGTGTCATCCTAACAACAGCACTAAAGAAAGCACAGTGCAGTGTTCACCCGCGCCACCCCACGCGGTTATTCTGAAGTTCTCCTGGGGAAGCATCAACGTCCTCGACTCGAGAGGCAGAGCAGACCAGCAGACAACGAAGCACAGCACAGCACAGCACAGCACACACCTGCAGCCTTCAATCATCCTCCTGCACATCAAGCATCCCCAGCCGGCCCTGGAGGGACCCCCGTTTCGTAATTCAAGCACAGCAGGCTGGCATCTGGTGGCATCGTGCAAGCCCTGGCCAGGGGCCACAGGCGTCGATCTCGCTGTAATTGGATCTTTTGCGGCGGGCTCCATCGCCGGCGCACCCCCAGCCCAGCCCATGCCAGGCCCTGGTCTCTGGTCTCTGCTCCCTGTCACTGGTTACGCAGAGGCGCTCCCCTGTCTGCAACTGTATCCGCTTCCACGCCCACGCCCACGCCCATTCTACTGTACAGTACCAGTAGCCCAGCCGAGCCAAGATAGGGCCCTCTGGATGCGCTAGAGCCCTAGGGGAAAGACTAATGCTAAGGCTAAGCCTACCCTATCCTACCCTACCTAGCATCTGTTCTCCACAATCACAATCCGGCACCACGTCTACTTTCGTCTGGTCGATTTGGACTTGCCTGGCGTTCCATTCCTCATCTCGAACCCTCCAAGTTCAACATCGACACCATTACCATTACCATTACCATCACCGCCCCAGCCTCAACCTCAACCTCAACCACCTCAGCACCCAGCACCAGCATCGTCCCACGGCGACGCATCGCCGCCCGTACTGCAGCGCGTACTCCGCTGTGCGCAACAATGGCTAAGGAGGTCCTGGATTCCAACAGGATTAACTATCTCATCTGGCGGTACGTGTTTCCTCGTGATCCACTCAATCGGGTTGGGTTTTCAGGTACAGGACTGCCGTCGCTAACGTGAGAATGTGCTTGCCTCACAGGTATCTCGTAGAATCAGGTTGGTATCCCGACTCAGGAGCTCTTCTGCCCTCTATGAGAGAACTAATCACCCCCTTCTAGACTACAAAGAGACTGCTGTTCGGCTTCAGCAGGAGTGGAACATTCAAGATCCGCAACAGCTTTCATTCGCACCCCATGTCACGAATCATGCACTAGTGGCGGTTTTGAACAGAGGACTGCTGTACAATGTCCAGGAACGCGAGCTCACACAGGTATGTTACAGCTGGCCGTGGAGCACTCACTAATCATGGCCTTGGGCGGCGCAACTGACGACGTCGACAGCTTCCAGAGCCCCCTCGCGATGTTCCTGCCCCTGCATCTGGATTTTTCGGGCCTTTAATGCCAGCATCGCCGCCAGCCGAAGCTGAAGAAGATCATGAAAATCTCAGAAAACGGCAACTTGACAACGATCAACCCCAACATCCGCCAGGACCACCAGGGAAGCGACCCCGGCTCAGCAATGGCTACGAAAATGGAAATGGGAACGGGACTGCATTCGAGCCAACTCCTATGGATGTCGACGATGATCAGAACGGTGACGAGAACGCCTATCCGTCGCCCGAGCAGCTCCCCTCACCTGTCGTGGCCACGATCGGACCGGAACAGGGCACTCAGGTCGAGAAGGTCAACGAACTCTCGACCGAAACGATCTTCCTCGAGCTCTCAGAGGACCCTTCGTCCAAAAACGTTGTTCTCCTCCAATGCGAGTTCAGTCCACGTGATCCGTCGCTCTTGGCAGCTGCCGGCACCGACGCCCTCGCCCGCATGTGGAGCCTCTCGCGAATCAGCCCGGACTCAACTTCTGGTTCCGAAAGCCCCGGTAAGGCTACGTATGCGCCTCATCAAAATCTTCTTGACGACGGTGTATCTCCGAATACTACTGTCACTGGCCTGGCATGGTCATCTAATGGCGCAGTCATTGCAGTATCAAGTGAGCCAATCGAAGATGGCACCGCAAGAATTGAATTCTGGCATTCTGACGGAATGCCGCTGGCTACGTTCAATGGATTTGATTCACCAGTCATCTGTCTTCGATGGAATCCTTCAAATACATCTTGTCTAGCACTTTCTCCACAGGAAGATGTCAAGGAAGATACCAAGAATGCTGTTATAACTGTTATGCACCCTGCTCTCGAGAGTATGGTCAAGTATCATATCCCAAATCACAATCTTCACGACCAACCACTAGAAGCCAGCTGGACAGGAGATGCAGAGTTTTTTGTTTGCGGTGGTAACATTCTTCAAGAGTTCCTCTGTGTCGAAAATGTTATTACCCCAGGAAGAAAGTTTGAGACTGCACAAGGGGAAGTGCTTTCCAAGATTACATATGATCCACGATCACATCTACTTGCTACCGCAAGTGATTCAGGCACTATATCCGTAGGTTCTTCGTTTTTTTGGCTTGCTGTTTTGTTCATAATCGCTGACTTCAAAGTAGATTTGGGATCAATCTGGGCAATGCAGATCGTTCAATGCACACCAAGGCTTGATAACATCTTTAATATGGCAGCCTCTTCAAACTCCTCTTGGACCAGCGGATGAAACAGAACGATATCTCGCATCGGCCGGAGAGGACGGTGCAATCAGTATATGGAACGTTCGATCGTCAGATACGAAATCAAAATCATCAATGACCATGGGATCAGCAGTTGTCGCCCTCGCCTTCACCCCAGACGGGGCATTCATTGCTGGCGGTACCAACGAGCGAATACTCATCTGGAAAGCAGACGACGTCAATCTGCCGCGTGCAACATGGACGCGAGGAGACGAGTTGGGATGGAGAACACCGCAATCTCACGATTCTGGATCAGACGAACAACAAGAGGATCAATTCTCTTTGTGCTGGGATGCTGATGGGCAGAAACTTGCATACGGAGTGAATAGTCGCGTACGTCTACCATATTTTCCATGAGAATTGTTATACTAACGCTACATAGTTGGCAGTGATAAATTTCCGACGATGAGCACAAGATCGGATCAAGCTATTAAAGTTTTGTTTGTTATAGACTTAGCATTTGAAAATGCAACACACGATCGACAGTATTCAGGTCCTACGAGCCATACCTAGGCCGGACAAGCAATATGACTGCATGGTATTATACCCATCTGCACACCAATACTACCGCATCCTGTAAGGGCTGCAACCAGTAAGTGCACAGCGAACACCGATCCGCGACCCAGTGTGGGACTATAGGAAGATCGAAGCGAAGACCAGGAACAGACCTATATTGTAGAGTAGGGAAGGAACGATGTTTGAACGGTTCAATAGCCATCTTGTAGTATAACGAGGCACGCGGGCGTTGGATAGGATTGGGAGCGCACGCCATACCTCGATACCACAAAATGGGTGGGCACATAGTTTTGGCGTATAGATATGTGGTTTTGACAGCAATGCGAATTGGTAAACAACTGAAAGTCTCAACACTACAACAATAGTGCACAGGTTTCTCACATCTTCTATTGCTGGAAACCTGACGAAGCCGTGATCTATTCCCAAGCCATCTTCCTCGTATCCAATCTCTTTCCATCACCCTTCTTCACATTAGAGACTTTCTTTCCCGTATCCCATCTCAACATCGTAAAAGAATGCCTTCCGAATTTGTACTTTCCCTCGCCATCCCACTTACTCTCCACGATTCCCACTTCCTGCTTGTCCCCCTCATTGACGACCTTGACATCCTTCCCGGTCACAGTATAAACCTCGACATTCTTCCCCGCACCAATCAATTCCGTCTCGAAGTCCTCCGTCTCGCTAACATTCACGACAGCCAGACTTAGAATGCCTTCTTCATTGACAGAAGCGCTGACATCCAACCAGCTCGCTCCTTGATCAAGCACATTCTGTAGCCACTTCGGCTCTGTAACTCCGTCGTACGCACCACCGCTAACATGCACACCAACCGTCCAACCACGCATGTACTTGCTGAAGAGCAGGAGCGGCCACCAAGTCGTCTGCTTGGAAATCCCATCTTTTGTCGTCATCAACGGGCTGATAACATTGACGCTCTGTGCAATATTCGCCATTCCCACCCACTTACTCTGCCTGACGAACACATTCAGCCAAACGGCCACGCCCAGAGCATCAGACAGTGTGTACAGCTCTTCGGCTCCTTCCTCTCCTGGAGCACGAATCGGATCCCAAACATTCCACTCATCGAAACAGATAGTCGTTCTGGGTACACTAGGAGGGATATTCTTCTCTATCCTCGCAATATCAATCAGCGCTGCCGCTGTCTCGATAGCTCTCTCAGCAGAAAGAGGAGCGATGGCATTGGGGATGTGCTCTTTAGAAGCGGTGTAAGCGTGGATACTATGCATGTCCACGAACTGGATGCACTCTTTCAAGACCTCGTGATCCCAGGATGCGACGCCTGTCTCGCCACAGAGGATCAGGCAGAGGGATGGATCGAGCAGTTTGAGGGCTTTGGCCCACTGGGCGGCTTGTTTAGCGTAATCTGCTGAAGTCATCTGGCCGACTTGCCACGGTCCCCACATCTGTTTTGATTCTCTGATCAGCAAGTGTTCGTCAAGCATCGAACAAACTGCATGGACTCACCTCGTTTCCTAGAGCCCAGTACTTGATATTATACGGCTCTTCATGGCCATTCTTCCGTCGAAGATTGGCATAATACGTATTCTTCGTTCCATTGCAATACTCCACCCACGCGAGCGCCTCATCTAGGGTCCCTGTCCCAAAATTCAGAGCAAAGTATGGCTCAACCCTCTTCTCCCTCCCCTCACTCAGCACACTCAACCAGTGCATGAACTCATCCGTTCCTACACCAGTCACACGCATCAGCACTGGGCCCCATCCTCAAAAGTCACGATGTGCAATCAAATCTTACCGAACTCATTTGTCTCTGTCCCTAACCAAGCCAGCTCCGGTCGAGAAGGTCTATTTTCTCTAGGTCCCACGCCGTCGAGCCAGTGGTAGGTGGCTACAAAGTTGCCTCCTGGGTAGCGGATCACGGGAATGTCGAGTTCACGGAGAGCTGTAAGGACATCTTTCCGGTAGCCGTATTCATCTGAGAGAGGGTTTCCCGGGTCGTAGATGCCGCCGTAGATACAACGGCCCATATGCCTATATGAACAGTCAGCACGTGAAAGAATGTAGAAATGAATAATGTTATTATGCAGCACATGAAAGAATGCCTGTGGTCGTGATCCGCACGTTTCTCTCGATACTTTCGCCGACAGCTTACACGAAGCAATCCCCAAACATGTGAGCAGGTGGGAAGTGCTTTATCTTTTATCACTAGATGGGCTGATATGTCTAAATAGAAAGCACGCTAGAGCTTCTTCTGGCAATAGCCAACCTGGAATTGGAGAAAATTTTGAGGGATATTGAAAGTAGCATACTCCATGAACCCGCCATAGATATTTGGATCTGAACATATTATCAGCTCGATGACCACCCCACTTCTGAAATTCTGCACATTTACCTATTTTTGAAAGCCTCCTGTTCACATCAATGCTAATGGAAGGGGTCTCGCCCTCAGGTATTCTCGTGAAAGTCGTCATTTTGTTTCAATACTTTGGACTTGCAAATATGATGTATGAATTAGAAGCAGCTCAGCCTTTGGGAAAGGCTTCTTTCCAGGCGGAACGCACACATGACAATCATCCTGCGGCTGACTCAAAAACACTTCACGATACCTAGTTGGAATTATGGACATCAAGTCCACAATCCACGTCCCTGCCCACTTCCACTCAAATATCCTGGAGTCAACATTGATTGGAGCGCGTATATCTCCTTGGAACATAGCGTCTTGGAAATGCTGTCCCCTCAGTGACGGGATTTCTATTCACCGCCAGTAAGCGAGCAAAACTCCCACCTCCACCTTTCCCCACGCAAACAGACCAACCACCTTCGTTCTCGGTCTATCCCACCGGTAGCAATCCTCGCCATCTGGGACAACATCGTTGTTTTCTGACCGAGGTCTGCAGGGTAAAAAAGGCCGTGACCTGGTTTTGGTAGGGGTGGTACGAAAACCATGTTCATATTTCCATATGCGTTCCAATGGGAGACTTCTGTTGTATTGCTCACAGAAAGGTTCTTATGAGCTTGAAATGACAGGCCAATGGAGCATGCTTGACAGCTGTGTTTCGTGGAGCTGCCCGTGTACATGGAGCTACCCCAGTCTTCCCCCGCATGGGACGATTGTCCAGGTTTACTGATTGATGATCGATTATTGCCTGGACCTGCATTCCATGGAAGTGCATATAAGGTGTCCATCATTTCCCAGTTGAAATTTTTTCTAATATTCCCAATTCCTTGGAGAACTGCCTGTACTGCAAGTTTATATTGTGTCAGTCGCAAACATGGTTCTCAAGCCAAAGGTCTATCAGGTATGGATCGAAAGACACTCTTCAATTTGATAGCTACTAATGTGAGTAGTTTCTGGTGGGTGTCTTTGCATCTATGGGATCTATCCTCTTTGGATACGATCTTGGTGTTATTGCTTCGGTGTAAGTAGAATCTGCATGTTCGAAGTTTACTCGCTAACTCGCTCAACAGCATCGCAGCCTCAAACTTCAAGGAATACTTCAACAACCCATCCACCACCCAAACGTAGGGCTTCCTCAATGTCAACAAAGACTCTTCTGACATGATAAAGTGGAATTGTAGTTTCCTTCTTCACGGGCGGAGCTTTTTGCGGTGCTGGACTCGCTGGTCCCAGTGGAGATAGACTTGGTCGCAGATGGACAATCACAATCGGATCTATTATCTACCTTCTGGGTGGAGCTCTTCAGACTGGAGCAACTACTTTCCACATGATGTGGGCTGGAAGATGGCTAGCAGGCGTAGGAGTTGGTTTCCTTGTCATGATTATCCCCTTATACCAATCTGAGATTGCTCATCCTTCCATCCGGTAAGAATCCCCAGATTCTGTACAAGGCAGTTACTAATAAATAACAGTGGCACAATCACGAGTTTACAACAGTTCATGTTGGGCCTTGGAGCTTTCATCGCTGGCTGGATCTCATATGGAACATTCGTTGGCCTCTCGAACCAAGCTCAATGGCGTCTGCCACTTGCAATCCAGATGATCCCAGCTATCGTTCTCGGAGCGTTGATCTTCTTGTTCCCAGAGTCTCCACGTGTAAGTACATCCTACTAGGTATCATTTCATCTCGCTAATAGTTTGCTAGTGGCTCATCGACCATGGCCGACCTGACGAAGGTCTCAAGACGCTGGCTCGCCTGCACTCGAACGGAAACGAATCAGATCCCTGGGTGCGCGCCGAATTTGATCAGATCCAGGACAGCATTACACACGAGCACGAGCACGAAGCCAAGTCATACATGGAACTCCTCACCAACCGGTCTTCTTTCAGACGTCTCCTTATCGCCTGTGCTCTACAAGCGTCAATCCAAATGACGGGTGTCTCAGCTATTCAGTACTACAGTGTTGATATCTATGGCTCTATTGGAATCAGCGGTTCGAATGCTTTGAAATACCAAGCGATCAATAATATCATTGCGTTGGTTGGAGAGGCATGTTGTATTTTGTTTGTTGACAAACTTGGTCGTCGAAGACCATTAATTGGCGGTAATCTTCTGAACATGGTAAGCTGCCGCGTTCACGTTTCCCGCCACGGATTCTAATCAAACTATAGGTTTGTTTCCTCATTGCCTGTATCTTGATCGCCAAATTCCCAGCCGGATCAAGCAACAACAAGTCCGCCTCGTGGGGATTCATCATGATGTAAGCACTTACCCCCTAGCCACTCGCTTAAGCTCAGGGCAAAACAACAACTAACCCAATACAGGACCTGGCTCTACAACTTCTCCTTCTCCGCTACCTGTGGTCCCCTCTCATGGGTCATTCCCGCCGAAATCTTCGACACCCGCACCCGCTCAAAGGGGGTGTCCATCGCCACCATGGTGTCCTTCGCCTTCAATACACTCATCGGACAAGTTACCGGCACAGCGATGGAGAACATCGGATACCGGTACTACTACGTATTCATCATCTGCAACTTCACAAACGCGCTGTTCTTCTACCTATTCCTGCCAGAGACGAAGAACTTGCCACTTGAGGAGATGAATTACTTGTTCACGAATGCGCCGTTTTTGGTTGCATTCCATGACAAGAAGCTCTATCAAGCGAACTATGCGGGCGATTTGGAGAGGCGGGCGTTGGAGATTCAGGAGAAGAATGCGATTACTGGGCACCATGAGGAGCATATTGATGAGAAGTAGATTGTACGGATGACTGTAAGAGAGGATATTACGAGTGGTTAAGTCGTAGCTTCGCATTAGCCGAAATGAAATGTTGATGCCAACACTTCAGCCGTCCTTCGTTCTCCAAGACAATTGAGGTGGACGTAAAGCGAATCTCACAGCCCTTTCCTTCTTTGCCGCAGCTTTGATTGCTTTTAATCCAAGGGTCAAATGTCCTATCGCATTTGTTCCCGCAAGAGCAACATAGGCTTGAGTAATACATATTATATGGTACTAAACTACACGGATGGCCAAAGTCACAAAAATCTAACAGGGGATTGAATCCCATGAATCAAAAATATTTGGACAAAACAGTCTAGACACAGATCCACCCATTCCCTTTCCGTACCTTAATATACAATACTTTATTTTCTCGTTTGCTGAGAAAATAATATCCCCTTAAGTAAATAGCCCGCCTTCGCAAAGCGGCAGTACACATTACCAAGTCCAAGTTGCGCGTTTTGTTGACATTTCACTGCATAGGATGGTTCCATTTATGTGGTGTTTTTCTAAAGTTATGAGCAATGGCGAAGTCGCAACTATACTATATCAAAGTTTACATAGTATTTTTTGTTATACGAAGATCTTCTTATTGTGCTTGTTAGCATGTAGTTCCCAGCAATAGAGGACAGGAGTGGATGTGACTACATTTGAATTCCTGTTCTTCTAAACGACAGTCAACTACATAGCCTGGATATCTCGTGCGCAGCGATTTCATAGTTGACCGACCACGGCGTTGAATCGAAATAAACAAATGAAAAAGACAAAGTCTGAATTTCGAGTAACCGAGGTGCTTCTCTTGGGAAGAAAAGCCAGTCGAGATCATTTATTGGAGCATATGTATTGCAGCTGCAAAAATCTTAATCATAAATGATGCGATATCTCTGAAATCCAATATGAACGTCTCTAGGTATTGTCACACTTACTGTACTGCTTTGTGTCGTCGCTGTGTTGAATAGCACGTCTCTAGGTATTGTCACACTTACTGTACTGCTTTGTGTCGTCGCTGTGTTGAATAGCGGCGTGTTATTTACCTTCTGGCGCCTCAAAATTGGTGGACATCCCTTCAGGTTGAGACAGTTGAGAGGGAATACAACGCGACCGAAATATACAGTTTTATTCATACATTAAGCTACTAGAAGCTACCTACTGATCAGTCTGGAAGACTGGAGGCATGAATGCCATTCCTAGTTGAAAGTCAGATCAAGTCCCATACGGTCAAAAAACATCACATACCTTTACCACCAGTTCCGCTAACGCTCTGCGCAAGACCCTCACCCTTCACACCCACCTCAGCCTCATGAATGCCCCCAGCTGACCTCGAAATCACATGTCTTCTCAACATAGCCAAAACCTCACTATTTCTCCATCTAGCCGGCACAGGTCTATACGCAGGCTTGAACGTGCCGACCGTCTGCGCCCACTCGCCACTCTTTGGCGAAACAGGAGATTTTGTCTCCTTTCCTGCAGCATTGAGTGTTGCGCCTTGCGGACCAACTCCAGCTCCTTCAGCAGTCTCTTGTGAAGTAGGTGTGGGCTCCTGTGTAGCCCAGTAATAGATATCCCAGTCATTCTCGTCGAGGAAGATATCCAGTTGTGCCATTTGCGCAGGTGTCATTTCCCTCAGATGTGCTTCTGCGAATGTTGACATCAGGAGGTCGCTCTCGAGCGTACCTCGTTTCCGGCATTGATCTGCGTCCCAAGAATATGTGTCAGAACTTCGATGTTTGTGCAAAATATTCAGGAAGGGAACTCATACACAATAATCTCGCACGCATAGTATTGGCATCCTCGCCCGTCCTCCTCAGCGGCTCAACCTTGAACTTTGCTCCCTCCATCTCTCCCACGCCCATCTCAGCATTTGGTCCACTCTCGGGCTCACCAGCCTGCGTTCCTCCCGTCATCCTTTCTGTATTCTCTGGAACCGAGTCCTTCGGCACGAAATCAGGCGCAATGGACGAGATCAGCTCGGGCGGGGCTTTCTGTGCTCCGACAGAGGGCATCTCATTCGCAATTGTTGAATTGGTGTTTGTCATATGTGGATTGAGCGGTTTAGAGGATTGAATCTTCCGATGTTGCTCGGTTCCTTCGTGAGATTGAGCGTTTCCTGGCCCAGCGAAGAGGCGTGTAGAGGTGGATATTGGGCGGGCAAATGCCATTGAAGGCCTCGCACGGCGCATGGCTAGTCGTATGGAAGACATGGTTGTCCTATATATTTTCAAGCGTGATGTTGCTTATTTTGTACGAGTCGTCCGACGTTGAAGCTTCATTTTCGTCAAAATCTGGGGAAGCCGAGGATCGCCTGCGTCATCATTTGTGCACGTGATTAGCAAGTTACTTTTCTGGTTTGTTCATTGGCTGTATATTGTAATGGCCGATTCGCGTAGATTTGCTCACTAAACTTCCGTTTGATTTTCCAGCTTTGTCTGAAATTGTGATTTGTCTCTGGCGTGAGCCTGCTTTCCGGTCTTTAGCGAAGCGGACAATTGCATATCAACATCCCCACGGACACCAATAATGCGAATGACAGATACATACCGCTAAAGCGAGGAACTCGTCACATGTTTTTATGAGTTAGATGGAAAGAATGAGTGGTAAAAGAAGTGGACGGCCAAAGGGTTCGAATACACGTATTGCATCTTTAGTCGAATTAGACCCTAATGCTTTAATCAGGAGAAAAGGCTCCAAAGGAGGATATTGAGCATATTCAGCTACTAAGCTAGGACTGATATCCGCAGATTGCCCATTTCCATACAGTTAAAAGTAGCCTTCACACCGGCTTCTCAATAATCCTCAATAGATTCAAGCTCACCTAGCTCATCTTCAGCAAAATGGGACACATGATCTATATTCTTTCTCTTTTGCCCTGCGATAAAGTCTTCCTCATCATTTCTGGATCCTTGTTCCATGTAGAGCGGCACCTCGTCTCTCGCAACATCCACGTTAGAGTTTCTTCCAATGAATGGTTTGGGTTTAGTGAACAAGACTTTCTGCGGACGTTTGTGTGGGTAGCTGTAATCACTGCACGATAAAGACGACGGCGATCTCGCGTGGATTGCTGTTGAAGTCTGAGCGTGTCCATAACTTGACGATGAGACTGGCCCGTTGGATGCATACATGCTGGTTCTTCTATCTCGTGTAGGAGAACTGATGAAAGAGTTTGGTTGAGCTAAAGAGTGTTCCCTACTGTTGTCAGTTGATTGTGGTCGTTGAGATGACTCGGGCTGAGCAGAGGACTGAGAGTGAAAGGTATTCAACACTTTCTGGCCCGAGGACGGATTTCCAATGATTGAAGAGTGGCCAGGCGCTTTTGTACAGGGATTACTGTGTTCAGCCGTGCTACAATCTGGTGACATGACTTCGTCGCTTCTTCCGAATACGAACTTTCTCCAGAGTTCATCAGGATCTCCGGCTTGAGAGGCCGGGTGAGGTGCTGGCATCGCAAGGTCTGGTACCCTTACAACTGCACCATGGGGAGACAAAAGCGAAACTCTTATGTCTGTAGAGTCCTTTTCGCCATTTCTGGATGTGCAGTGGACCATACTCGCTTCGGCGTTCTGTGAGTGCGCTGCAATTTCCATTGACTTCATAGTGAGATCGCCATCTTCGCCTAGTACACTCACTTCGTCCTGGCTTGCTGAGTTCCCTTGGCTGGATTCTTCCGAGCCATCACCTGATACTACCTCCTGGACCTGATCAGGATCATCTGGAGCCTCCAGCTCAGATGAGTATGCATCTTCATCGGGAATAAATCTGGTTGGTGGTCGCATGGGAGGTGCCATGCTTGGTCCAGGACTTATCCATCCATCTCCTAGAAGACCTTCAGATGACTGTTCATCGTCGTCTTCACCAGCACCTTCGGCTACCACCCAACTTCGCCAAATCTCATCTTGATGTTGTTGTGAGCTAGAGACCGCGGATTTTAGCTTTCCTAGCTGCGCTAAATTACTCTCAGCCAGCTGTGATGACCCCTCTTGAAGGAGCACCGATCTCTTGGAAGTTCGTGGTTTGGGATGGTGCATAGGGGCCGACGATGACGAAAATATCTCTTGTCCAGGATGCAGGTTTCGGCGGAGATTGACGTCCGGAGCTGCTTTGCGACTTGAACGATCCGAAGACTTGTCACCAGATTCTGAGCTGCCTTGAAAGTTCTGTTGTAACTTCGCAAGGGAGTCTTCAGTCACTCCAGCCCATCCTTGGTCCTGCTCTTGTTCTTCATCCCATCCTGGAAGATCATCCTGGCTTGAGAGTGCCAGTAGCGAGTGGGAACGTCGGGTTGCCTCGTAAAGACGGCAGTGCGAAGTCGCTCTTGAAGACGCTAAAAGAAGGCTTTCGGTTCTTCTAGAATTTTCGTACTGGTCCCTAGTGTGTCCATCGTGTAAGACGCCCCTAGAGCTTCCACTATCCAACAGCAACATCTCTGACGAAACTGCTCGAGAACTTCTCTTTCCGCTGGTTGATGCACCATAACGCCGTCCCGTACTCGAGCTAACACCAGGTGGGACTTTCCTGCCGCCGATAAAGATTCGGACATCCGGTGCTATGGGCTGGCTTCCTTCCATATGTTGTCCACCACGGAATTCGTATTGGTGCGATCGATTCCTTGCAGGGAAAGGAGACTCGATCTGGGACTGCGCGGAACGGTATCTTGCTCGATGCTGTTCATTGACTTTCCTTCTCCTACCAATATCTTTCCCGTCCTTGACAGATCCGTACACGAGCTCCAATGGTTTCTGTCTGGTGACACCGACCCAGTCTCCCCTTCGAAGTAACCTTCTCCTGATTTCTGAAAGCGGCTCCTTCACCGTTTTTCCCTCTGATACACTCGCCATATCTGACTCAGACACCCCAGCATTGTGCTTTCGCTTTATCGGGCGTGGGGGAGGAGTTGCACCGTATAGGTCATCTTCTGGAGCCTGACTTGGGTTTCTTTTCAGAGGAGCTGGTCGCCGGCGTTGACTACTTTCGCAGTCTCGAGATTTGGAAGCACGCCTTTCAGGTACTGGATGGAGAAGAAGCTGTGCTGATTCGAGACTGTCTCGAGGTCGCCGAGCTCCATCATCGCATTTGACAGCCGAGCCTTGTACAGCGGGGGAGAGATACTGGTCGAGGCGCTCGCGATCCCTAACATCGATACCAAAGACTGAAAATCTGACGGGAGAGTTCTTGTTGTTTAAGCTTCCGTTGCGAAGGTTCTGCTGTACTCTTGCAAAATGTGCTTTCTGACGCTGCTGCGCGGTGCTCTTGCGATTGGTTGATGAGTGCCGTTGAAGGCGTCCTTCGGTCCAGTTCATCGCATTGGTTGCAGAAAGAGATATTGAGATTCACACCGTGAAGACGAGGGAAGGTATGCAGGTATGCGGCGTTGAAATGTCAGAAGAAGAAGTTATACCATCGATGGAGGGAACAATGCCTGAATGGGAAGGAAGTCAAGCGATCGGTTACCGACCAGAAATGGCCCGACGACGTTGAACATTTCCCGAACATGAAATAAAGATTCTGGGGAAGAAAATTCGAGAATTGCGGGGTCCTCTCCGATGAATTCAGTTACGCCATTTGTACAAATAAAAAAATAGCAAGCGACAGCCATAATTGGATCACTGTACCAAGTGGCAAGCATGTCCACTCTTCGGTGGCTTTCCCAAATCACCGCCGTGATACCACCTAACGGCCACTTTATAGCCCAAGAAAACATTTAATCTTTCGGACCCTGACTTGAGTCTTCTATCAATAGATCCGAAGGTGAATTAGGAAATTATATGACATGCACATACAAGAAACTAGGGCATTCACCTGAACGAGTATGCAAAGTCCCGGTGTGAGAAGCAGCTGGCACTCTGTACGACACATGGCTGGTGCACCATGCCGCAGCATATTATCTCATAAGTAAGCAATCGAGAAGCAGGATCAGACCTCTTACATCCAGCTCGGGTGCAGACGTGTAGAAGTTACCTTCGTGTCGCTGATGTGAAGCTGCAACCTGTGACGAATTTGAGTGGAGGGTGGACATCTGAGATTGCATTCCCGGAGATTTCCGTCAAGGCTTTTAAGTATTCAAGTGCATACCCTTATGAAGCAGCAGCCTATTTGGACTTTGGTATGAATAATATTCGCAAGAGCCCGAAATCCTTCAAGACTGTGAAAAAGCAGAACATGAAGCTTCAAAGAAGTCGAATCCGATTCTGATCCAAGCCATTAGTCATCCCTACTGACTAATATCTTGTCCAGCCCGAGGACCCCGCCATCTCGGCTCCCGTCGGGCAAACTTGTGATTCTAATAAATAGTTAAATAGACACTTCGCCAACATCTGATCAGTGATCTCACAGGTGGTGTGGTGGTACGTTCTACCCCTTCATCCCCCATCAAATCATGAACTACAATCTAACATGGTTTCCAGTAATGGTAGCACGTGACGTTGTGGTATTCCTCTCAGGAATTTCATGCTGACCCGTTTCAATCTGGGTTCGATTCCCAGCACCGCCAGATATCAAGTATGTCTGGATTGAAAGTTAAGATGGTTTAACTCCATCAAGCTTGTCGCTTTCTTTTTTGATGTTTTTATGACACTGTCTCGTCAGCAAAATGCTGAGAGGAAGGACCTTCTGTTTGTGTGATATGACGCCGCCCCTCGGTGCACTTTTGACTCTTTTGTGGCCCGATTTCTCGGTTAGCCTCTCGCATATTTGTCCTCCGCTGCAAAGGCACCTTTTTGTTTACCTTACTGTCCATCCATTGCATTCTCCCTTACTTTTCAACAAGGGTCGCCTAGTTCTGAAGTTTCCGTTTCTTTGTGAACTCATTGTAAGTCGTCGTGTAGAATGTTAATTACTTGTAAACGACCTTTCATTTCAAGTACCAAATAATATTTCGAAGCGCTACTCATCCGGGTATCATGCCGCAAACCAATCGATCTATCCCAAACGCCTTTTTACGAACTCTAGCCAAATCCCCAAATCCTCCGCCACCTCCAGCATTCTCGCCAAATCCTTCGCAGTCATACCCTTTCCCCTATCTCCAGCCTCCCTTAGCAAACTCTCATACACAACCTCTACAGCTCCATTCAGATTGATTTCAAAAGTTACTTCCACCGTAACTTTCTTGAACGGGAAATTGGTCCTGAGGCGGAGATGCGGTTGTGTGGTGAGACTTACATCCATGGTCTTAACGTTGATCGAGATCCCGGACATGAAATCTGCGAATTGAGCTCTTTTGCTGTGGATTTCTGTCTTCTGCGGTGGCTTTGATGGCGGTTGAGATTTGGAGCCAAAGCTTTTGCTGAGGAGTGTGGATAGGAAGGCGTATTGACGGAGGGCTGGCAACATCTGTACCAGCTGTCTGGGATGGGAGAAAGGTAGCTCTGTCAACGTGCGACCATAATCGATCTTATCGATCCACAAGTCGCTTCTATGAACAACTGTACTCTTCTCTCCATCCTTTGAATAGACTGTCACTTTGGACTCTCTTGTGATCCGGCGACCGTCAGTATGCACTTCATCCTCCGGCTTACGAGGAAACATAAGTTCGTCAAATGTAGTCGTCGCATAATGGTCAATCGGGGCACTTGTCGAGTCATAAATCTGGGTCGCCAACATATATGGCACAACAAGCGGAGGATCGAACTTGGCGACGAACATGACTTCCGGGAACTTTTGATCTGTGGTTCCTTCCACGCCATCTATAGCATCCGGTTTGGGAGCATCCGCAGACGGAAGCATCGTATTATCAGGATCTAACCAGTCCAGCACAGGTCCATTATCCGGTTCTAGTAGCATATCCTCGACTGTAGCATTTGCCTTTTGTATGTCTGCCGATATCCAATGTTCGGAAACGCGTATCGGCGTGAAGTTCAGACCTGGCAGTGGAGCACAATCAACAAGTAGCGACCATGTCTTTTCCTCCTTGTTGCTGGATAACTTCCGTTTCTCCTGCCAGTAGTCCAGACTCATACCCAATCGATCTCTTGTGTGCATGATCGGCTTTCCACTTTTCGTACACATCGCCGTCTTGATAACGTATGCATCGTCCTTCTCAGCCATCTCCTGCGTCTCCTTCAGCCTCTCCACCTCCCATAAATGCAATCTCTCCACACTCTCAAATATCCCCGCAATTGCCTCATGACAATTCAGACCAGGGATGACACTGAGTTTATCCAAAGTTGCCAGAATCTCCAGATTTGCGGCAAAGCGGTCCAACTTCTTCGTCAACGGACTTTCATGTGTCTGGCATTGCACGTCCCGCAATAATATGTCTTCGGCCTTGTTCGAATGCCTGGTAACAATCTCCGGCGACTCGGGAAACGACAAAGCAACTTTCTGCACAACGTTGCGATCGAAAGTTATGTCCAAAGCCAGCGCTTTCCCAGCTATAATCAATAACCTCGGAGCTCCAGGCGGCGTCGAATCCCACATACACTCGAAGCCCAGTCGCAAACCCAATCGTTCGACACCTTCTCCACTGAGGCGACCTTTACTGACCTGGGAGTATTGCCGTCAGCATTTGCCTGGTATCCAATCTGCAGAAGTCGTGCTAAGCTCATACCTTCAAAATATCCATAACCTGCCCCAGCCTCCTCTTCCTCTCGTCCTCATCCGCTCTCGCACCCCCCAAGTGTCCCAGACTGACCCCTCCAACCGGCGTGCCCATTCCCCCAGGAAGGCCCTCAAGCCCCAGCTCCAGCCCAGGCACGCCCAGGGCCATGGCCGCAGAAGGACTGTCATAGCCCACCCCAAACGACGAATTGGTGGGGTGGCCACCACCCGGGTACCCGTACATGGTATTGGAGTTCGCTGGGGATTTCTTGACTTGCTGGGGAGAGGGCATGACCGAACGGGGACCATGAGGTGAGAATGCCGGATGGCTGGGATGATTCGAGGCTGAGAAGGGCGTAGAGACTGGCGGTGTTGCGACGGCTTGGCCAGCGCCAGGCTTACTTGCTGTCGGTGTCGCCATTGTGAGAGCTATGCAATGACAAAATTTGTTTCAAAAGCAGTCGACACAAGCAGTCGGGTGTTGTGTTGCCAGCTCTTGAAGTTCGTGAAGGATGAGGCTGGAAGCTGCAGGTACAGGTGCTAAGCGGCCGCTCAGTGTACCAATCGACGCTAAAATCCACCTCCTCCCGTTGTTGTTGCTAACCGAGTGTCAACATGCATTGATTTGTTGCTGTCAAAAGTGGTTTGATAGATTCTGCTTGAGAAGAACAAAAGGGGAGTAAGCCGCTTGCTTGTATGGCGTCAGAATAAATACCAGTCTCCGGTCCAATGTCTCATAGGTCTGAAGAGAAGTTACGAAACTACCTAGTCACGGGAGCTTCGACACGCGTACGAGCCATACCTACCAAGGTACTTTGGAAAAGGCATCAATGCCTGTGGGCTATGAGATACTAGAAGCTTGGCTGATATAATTTGATAATAGAAACGCGTAATGATACAGTTGCCACCGACTGATGTTCTCCATCATAAGCATGTAGTAAGTGCTCCGAGAGACTGCTCATCATCATAATTCTGATCATACTCTCACGCCATAGCCACATATCTGGTGGCCCAGGCAACATCATATCTCCTCAAAAGTACTCTGATGGACCAAGTTTTTTTTGAAGATCTCCTCGTGGCGTGGCTCGGAAACATTTGTCGCGAGCCATGTCGAAACCGCATCCTTCAAGGCGACTGAAGCGATACGTCAATGGAATCAGTTGAAGAGCTGTGGGATGATACAAGGGACGGCTGTCTAGGGAAACTCAAACCAGCAGCGTGACCAAACTTCTCTTCCATCGCCTTCTTCTCCTTTTGGTACAGCAACAGAACTTCCAGTCTTTGCTGTATTTTGGTTGCAACGTTCTTCTCTTTTGTAGGCTTAGGGAGTGGCTTCTTCGTTCCAGTTTTTGGATACTTCGCGGTAAACTTGTCCAGGACCTGAGTTGCCCAGGCAGGTTCAAGAGTTGTCGCAGTGCGGCCAGGTTCAGTCTCATTGGGTATCACGTTGACTGGTAAACGTTTTACGCGATCGTTGTAATCTTTGTCACGTTGAATGGGAGGGTTGGGGAACTGCTCATGCTGAGCTGGAACTGTAGGAAATGGCACCATGGGTACAGTATACCAGTCAGGAGACGTAGCTGGGTTGGGGTTGGTATTTGGCTGAAAACTGAACCCAGCATACGGTGCGAAGAAGCCCAATGGAATCATGGGGTGGGCCTGGGCCAAATGCTGATGTTGCGTTGTCGGAAAACCTACCATCCATGAAGGAGGGAGAATTGGCTGGTTGTCCAGGGGTACTCTTGGTTGCTGAGCCAGAGTTGGAGTCGGTAGAGCATACACTGGATCCAAACGAGCATCCAGGAATGGTTCTTGCGAGTTGTAGATGCCGCCTGACTGATCATTGGCTTCTTGGCTTGGAAGGACTGAGTATGGTGGTGCAGTCTTGATCCAGATGGGCTCGATAATCTCTTTGTCAACTATTGATGGGGCTTTACGTGTTCGCAGTGCAGGTGGGATGTATTTGTTGGGTTTAACCAGGTCATGACTATTGAATCCGGAATTCTTCGCATCTTCGCTTGTATGAGGTCGCTTGCGTTGAACATTTAACGGCCATTTACCTCCCTGAGGAATGTTCTCTTTATTTTCCTTATTCTCCTTCTGAGGAAAGAATCGAGCTTTCTCAGGAGCGAAGTTTCGATAGACGGGGGCTTCAGGGTTCAGTCCCTTCGCCGTCGACCTGGTATTGTTGTGGTCTGGTGAGGTGGAAGTTGTTGTTTGATTGTGCTCCACATTCTGTTCGCCCAAGGGGAATCTTGTCTTTTTGCGCCTTATTACCGTAGTATCATCACTGCTGTCAACAGTCTTAAGAGCCTCCAAGAGCTGTTGCAGAATACGCCTGTCCGCCTTCTTCAAATCTGCAGCGATCCGATTCAAATTGTCAAGACTATTTTCCAAATCCTTTGTAGGCTCTTCCAGCTTCCGGTCTGGCAGGATTTGATATGCATGATCCTCGCTTTGCTTCGGTTTGTTGGTGATATGAGCGAGCGGACCACAAGCGACGATTGCTGGATCCCATTTGACGGACTTGATCTCGGATCTACGAGAGGCACGGCCACGTTCTCGTCGTCTCAGAAAGGACCTCATTCTCGACTCGAGATCGTCTCCACTTAACTCGCAATCAGCATGAAAAGGCGAGTCACCGATCCGAGTGGTGATATCCATTTCATCACCAGAAGATATATCAGGGCTGTTGGGCGCAGTAAAAGCATCTTCATGTAAGGATGCAGGTTTTGGAATCGGTGTCAACGTCCAATCAGAACCCTCCTCGGAATGACCAGATAGCTTACGCCTCATAACGATAGAGTCTTGCTTCAAGACTCTATGACCCGCTCTGATGGATGGAGGCGTTCTTGTAAGTACCTGTTGATGCTGCCCAGCCTTGTTATTCTTGACAGGTTGTAAGCTGTTTTCTCGGATGGTGGTTTTCGCTGTGGCTTGTGGATGAAGATCCTTCGTACCACTACCAGGTGTTGTTCGTAAAGATGTAAACGACTTCCTGGTACCTGGAGACGACTCCTTCCTAGATGGCGGAGTCTCTCGCAGGGTTCCAAACCCCTTCTTCGTATTATTTTGTGTCCGTAGTGTAATCCGGGGGGTTGCTTTGGATGTGGATGAGTTGGACTTGAGGACTACACGAGCTGGCTGACCTTTTGGTGTAGTCCTCTCGTTTCTATTCTCATTATTTCCCGACTTGCTGTGACCTCTAACTCTGCCCGTCTCCTGGTACTGTTCGTCTTGATCCATGTTACTTGTGAAAGATGTTTGCCGATGATGGCTGACTAGACAATTGACTCTTCTCGTCCTTCAAGAAGATGCTTGAAGAATGCTTGCCACAATGACTTCCACCAAGACGGCCTCCCGGAAACCGCCTTCACTTCGCAGGATGAGGGTCTCGTTCTATGGTCTACCAGGTGTTCGTCAGCCATCAATTTACTTTGTTCACTGAGCTTGTGAAAGCCCGAAAGCACAGTACATACATGAAATAACGTACTGCTTTTCTCTTCCCTGATTTGCTGCATAAGAGGAGACCCTAAGAACCTGGACCAATTCCGGTGCACACCAGAAGTTCTGCTCGTGTGCTTGCACTTGACAGCCGGAGTATAGCATGAAGCCAGGCGATTCGGAGGTGTTTTACTGTATGCTGGGATCTATCCAAGACGCTAAAGTCGATCTTCTGCGAGGAGAAGAATGGAAGCAAGTAGCAATGATGTGCTTGAAGATGAAACGATGGAGAAGAAGAGAGCAGAAATATGGAAGGAGATCTGGACTGACTTATTATGGGAGTAGAGACACAGAAAGGGAAGGAGCCCGAAGCGAAAACAATCTAAGGATTGAGAAAGAACGATCCAAAGTAGTACAGGATGCTTTGGAACAGTACAGAAGAGACTCGATTCTGCTATTTGACAATTTGACTAGATACGCTGCAAACTTTGCTCCAAACTTATACTCCATAATGGTTTTTATCCAGACACCACGAAATGAAGCAAAACTAAACATCATACGTCCTCCTACGCTGCTGCTGCATGAGTACCCAACCATTGTGCAAATGCGGCCTGTGTAAACATCAGCAATGGAAACCAAACAGAAGAATTGTGCCCTGTCGAAAATGCTTACAGGGTTCCTTGTCTGCATAAATACTGTACCGGGACCAGTGAACTTGCAAACCAGGCCTTCTCCAGATGACAGACCTGAGATAATACCACCAGATGCTACTCGCTCGAGAATATACTTTGTGTTCCACGCCACCAAGTGACCATTGTCAACAATATAGCGTTCACCATCCGCAAGCTGTAAGCGTTGTCAGCACAGTCCCTCTTCATCCTTACCGTAACAGGGATCTTAAACTCACATCCTTTCGAATGATAGCACCCAGACTCGTTATCCATAGAAGACCATTTCCACTTATTTTATACACGAACATGCCCTCACCTGAGAACATCGCCTTTCCAATACCCTGTCTCTTATATTCCTTGATCACACCCTGCGTGGAAGCCAAGAAGGCGTCACGACCGACGGACCACTGCTCATTACCTGACAGATGTATGTTCGTGATGTCACCAAGCGAGGGTGGAGCTAATAGTAGCTCTCCTGGACCGGTAAATGTTGAGTGTGTCATTTCACCTGACATGAGTAGTTTCTTCATAGAGAATTTGACCTGTCCCTTAAGAGTTATTGTTGGAGTCATGGCAATCATTGCACCTAAATTCTGTTAGATTTCCTAATTCTCCGTGAAGGAAGCTGCTTGATCGATCTTACCAGGTCGCACAGTCAATGGACAGCCCATTGCCAATTGGCAGGTGAGAATCGTGTTCGTATCTCTGTGGCTGATTCTATAACTTCCTCCATTGAATGTTCCCACATCATCTTGAGTGGTACTAACTCCTACGAAGTGTTCAGCAGCTGGAGCTCCATGGTCAAGGTTCGCGGTAGCACTAGTATCTAGAGCCGGCTTTTCAGGAGGATACTCCATGGACTGATGTGCGGAATGATGACCATAAGCTTGCTGTTGAGGCTGCTCATAGGGAGGAGAGGCAGGAGCTTGAGCCGGAGGCTGTTGGTAAGATGTGCGGTGGGAGAAATTTGGAGGGCTCTGGTAGTGCTGCTGCACTTGGGCTGGGACCTGCTGTGAAGGAGGGGATTGGTAGTGCTGCTGAACCTGAGGAGGGGTAGGCTGTGGTGGAGGTGGAGGGTAGGATCCTCCTTGAGGAGGAGTTCCTTGCTGTGGAGGTGGGGGATAGCTATAAGCATGGCTTGTTTGCGTTGGTGGCGGCGAGGAAGGAGGAGGAGCATATTGCTGCTGAGCTACAGAAAAATGAGTTGGATCATCTAGTTAGAGGACAATTGAAAGCCTACCTCCATTTCCACCTGGAGGAGCTTGGCAGATGTTAGCAAGCAAAGTTATGGAATTGGCAAGGCTGAGAGACTTACGAGGATAGTATCCGGACATTGTGCTGAAGGTCGAAGCTTTGCGAGAGCTCTAGATGATGAAACTCGAAGATATGAAGCTATTCAAAGCTTCGTTGGACTGATGACCAGCTGTCTGTTGGATTTCTCTTGGATCCCCGTCAGCTGCCGGACATTCTCAGCCTCGCTCACCCACCCCGCACTCTCCGGTTGCGCAAACGAAGCTGGTACTTCGATGCACTCAGACAATGAGAGGACTCACAGAAAACTATTTCTTCTGATGACCTATACTGATACGGGAAACAGTATGCGAACGCTCAACTGGAATGCTAAAGAAAGAAAGATGCTCAGAATGTTCGAAGGAAATGAAAGAAAGAGCTCTCAGCCACCTTCAGCTAAATCTCGCAGGCAGGCGGGGGATAAAGCTGCAAGCAACCCTTTAGCGCGGCCAGTCCAGTTCGAGTGGTCCTCGCCATGGTGGGGGCTGTGTCTATTTCCAGATTCCCAGCTTCCGGATATGGGCGTTCGAGGACATTATTGGCCAGCACTTGCTTTGCCAATGTGGTGTCCAATAGACCCGGCTTGTCTGGGTTGTATGTACCTACGGAATTGACGTTTGTAGGCGAGCGTGGGAGTGGCCTTTGGAGAGCCGGGCGCTTAGAAGCCAGGGCATTAGTTGACATGATATGACTTGGCGCGCTGGAACCCAGCTTGGGAATGGTGGATAGATTGGATTCCCGAGTTTTGGACAGGTGTTGATAGAAGCCATGTGCGTATACTAGAATTTTCGAGGAAACACCTTTTGTGTTTGGATAGAGGAAATAGGAATACGCCGTTTGCCAAGCAGCTTCAGGTTGGTGCGGCGCAGGATGTAAATGAAAGGGAAACCTTGTTTCAAGTTGTGCTGGTACCGCCGTATATTCTACATGGCCAGTCAGAGGACCAGCAGGTACAGTTCAAAGATATGCAGTGCGACCGTGCTTCATTCCTAATCTGCTTATTCTGTCCTGCATACTCTAACAGCTCATCTATGTACTTTTAGGAGATGCGCCAAATGCAGCTCTCGAGTCCATTCTGTCCAAGCCAAATGCTCAAAGATGCGTTCATGCCCTGCCATGAGATTCGTTGAATCATTAAAACATGAAGCCAATGCATGAACACATTATAGCCCACCGACAATCCTTTAGCCTTGTTGTCTGCGTCTCTTGCCAACCTGGGCAGAGAAACCGGTCTTGATAGCGGTAACACTGCGTCGGGAACCGCAGGAGTTGCAGGTAATGAAGTACAATCTGTTCTCCCCCTTGTTGAGCTCGGTATCTGGGGATCTGCAGGTTTTGCAGGTAACATATTCCACTGTATGTTGGTTAGTATACGATTTTTGTCAGAAAGGTACAACCACTCACTGATATATCTTCTCAGAACGTTCTCAATCTGCTTCTGTTGGAAACGACCCTTGATGACCAGACGTCTGCTACCGTCGACGGAACCGCTCGTACCCAACTCAGCAAACAGGTAAGATGTAACGTGCTCATCAGTTCTCTTCATACGCTTGCAGATCTCGGCGATGTTGGCGAAGATGGTCTTCTTGTTGCCTTCGCGCAGGCACTGTGGAGGTGGGATCTTGTAGCTTCTGGAGCCGCTTGAGGCGTGATCTGGGTTCTTCTGGGCGAGGAGGGTGAAGAATCGGGAGAGCAACTGTTCGTATGGGATTTTGACTTCCGAGTCGTGTTGCCAGATTCCGGTCCCCTTCTCCATATCGCCCTCATCGACGACCTTCTTTTCCGTGGCAGCTGCTGGAGCCTCGCCCTCCTCCTCGCCTTCGACGGTGAGCGCTGCGATCTTGGCGGCAAAATCGTCATCTCCTTCCTTGGGCTTCTTGCTCTTCTTCTTTTTCTTCATCGACGAGAGGTCCAGTCCGCCGTCCTCGGTAGCAGCCTCGCCACCTTCAGCATCCGCGTCTTCGGCCTTGGGCTTCTTGCTCTTCTTCTTCTTCATTCCCTTCAGCATATTTGCAACATCGTCGTCATTTGTAGGCTCGTCCGCGCCACCATCAGCACCTTGGACAGGGTCAGCAAATGCCCCAAGAGCCTGTGATAAAGGTGGCGTACTTGGTGAGTGCGACTGCGCCGTGTCCTTTGAATCGTCGTGTCCGTCCGCCATTGTGACTGCTCCGTTCTCGTCTACGATTGTTGTTCCTTCGCTGAATGCTACGGATTTGCGAGGTTTGCGGTCGTGGGTTGCGGGTTCCTGTGAGGGGGTGTTACAAAATTATTGTGGTAATGAGGATAAACCCGGTGGGGTTGTAAAACTTACAACATCCGCCATAATTACGGTTTGTGGAGACGTTCCTGATACCAAGTGAATAACGGGGAAATTTGAGTTTTGTTTTTGGAGTATGAGAGAAGTTGTGGCGCCTGTTCTGCGAATCTTGAGACCGTGATAAATCAATCGCACCAAAAGAACCCAAAGAATGACCATTGAGTCACGTCACGTTCTAGATACACGTGACAAGGCTAGCCCTTCTCCGAATCGGGAGCTTCAGGTGGATCCCTCTCAATGTCCCAAAGTTGATATCAACATCCAACAACGACTTGGTTCTCAGCACCTCATCCACTTTCGAATCACCCCTGCAACTACTCAATGTATCGGCGCTGCAGGCGGTAGCGCTTTCTGTGCTTCTCCAACCACCAAATCTAGAAATCCGAATCCAAGATGTCTACTTCTGATTCCTACATCATCCAAGACGCCTCTCCGGAATCTTCGAACGACCAAGATGAGATCGACTCCTTACCTTCGTCAATAGACAGCAGCGACCTGGATTCCGAGGAGGGAGACTCTGATGCGCAGAAGGAATGGGAAGCGAGTCTGCAGCAGCTGGAACTGGTCTTGACGATGGTGATTGTTCCATATGCTGGAAAATACTTTGGGCGGAAGTTCGCATATTGGAGTGAGTGACCATGCAAACAGCCCGTAGGATTCAATACTGATTGATTTGACTTTTAGGCTGGGCAAAGTATATGGAATGGATGTATCCGGTGGAAGTAAGAATCACAAGCTCCAAAACGTTCAAGGCCGCGGGAGCCGTTGAAGCGGCTGCGTCGATTTGAGCAGATTGGAAATGGACATGGTGGAATGAATAGAGAATAGATTCCAGAATACAGGGGACATGATGGGATATGGCATTGGGATGGCGTTCACGGTGTACGAGCAAATATTGTATAGAAGACGCTCATTGGGCATAGTACATACAGCAGTGATACAACTCTACAAGAGGCAATGGAATTGGTCGCATCATCCAAAAGCCGCACAATTCACGCTACGGCGATAGAAAGCTGTGATGCTTTGATACCATGTTCAAGTGAAACAGAAAGCCAAAGGGTATGTGCAAGTTGTGTGCCATCGTCTTGGAGGGGGCCAAGGACGTCAAATAAACTTGATGTTGTCAACAATTCTTGCTTGAGACACAGTGTTACTTCAAATTCCGGGCGATTTTGGGGGGATGGAAGTCGTGAAGGTTTTATACACTTCTACCAGGAATCGACAGATAATTGGAAACTATTATTCAACCTTCCTCATTATACTTATTTCCGAACCTCATACAGGTCATCCAACACGTCCCCTATATGTATACATTATTAGATATCGTCGTAAACAAACCAAGCGAGTCGTTGATTGCCATCCCAAACAGCCATGTTACAATCAATCACATAACGCCCTGCCAGCCTGCAGATATGCCACCCGTCCGCCCTCCCACCCCATAAGAGTCACCCAACGAGAAACCGACTCATTTTGTATATATCTTCCATTCCAAGACCGTAAATGCAAGATGTGGACCTGCACCTTTCATTAACTTGTCGAGATGCCTGCATCAGACTCCAAGACCTCCTGTTGAATCTGTTAGTCACTTTCGGGAAATGATTTACAGCAAGAATGGGCAGTCGAATCGCAAGATGCACATGCACAGGACGGACTGCTCACCATTTTTGCTCTAGACCTGGGACATTGTTGGCCCACCTTTGCGAATGCCACCACGGGGTCCTCTGAATGATGAACCGCCGCTTGTGAATCCAAGAATAGCCGATCCAAGGAATGCTGCAAATGCGAACCAGTAGAAAGCTGTACTAGCTTGCAGCTCGTGGCATCTCTTGGAGGGATTGTGAGATCCGTTTGTCAAGGCGTTAGAAGCGAGGTAGGACTATTACTTGTTAGCATAGTTCAGAGTGCTGGGTTCAGAGTCAGGATCATGGACTACTTACTTTGTTTCCGCAGCTGTGAACACCGAGACCAGCAGCCAAAACAATGCCGGCAATCACAGTGAGGAGCGTTGCGATAACATCGAGGATAGGGAGAACAATTCCGATAGCGAGACCTTCTTTAAAGGTAGCTGCGATGCCCCACAGGATTACGACCATGTCGAAGACAGACACGAAAATCGCATAGTTGATCTTGCTCGAGTTGCCCGCAAACGCTTCGGCAATAACATTGCCTACCAGAGCCAGAGTAAGGAAGATAAGGACGAATTGCACGGCTCGGAGGCCAATCTGCGGAACTGAAACCATTGTGAATGTGTGTTGGGATGCGGAGGTAATGAAGCTGAAGCAAATGTATAGCTGTCGGAAAAGGAGCTTTGGTGTTTTCCTGACGGATGAAGCTCGAGGAGGTGGCTTTGCCCTTTAATGCGCCCTGGGGGCGGTAGTGGTGGGTGACGGAGGGAACGGATGAGGAGGATGATCTCATGCGCTTATCCCGATAGCGATTGGCGGTCTTTAAAACTCGAGTCAATTCTGAATGATGCGCTGATCTTGGCCAACAGCCGGAGTCGCAGTAAGTTAGAGGCTTATTCTTCGGCTAGGATGGTTGTGCGAGAAGAGCAGAGTTTTCTTTGACTTAGGTTTGCAATCCAGGTTTCATGAGCTTGCGGGTTGCGTGTTGGGTCTTCTCACAGGTCGAACCACCGTCAAGTCAGCACAGGAGGTGGTGGGCTGTGAGCAAGGGATCTCCAGATGACCCAGCAACAACCTAGCACTTGAAGCGGGCGTTGGTGAAACAACACATCACAACATAACTTCCATTCGTAACGCTGCGCTGTGCTGCTTACGGTTCGAGCGCATGCCTTGCAACTGGCCAAAGTCGATTCCTATTTGGTACCATTCAGTACCTACCTTATTCCGTAGGTAAGGGTAAGGTACATGGGCTCGGCTTTGACGTTCCTTTCCGTCGGTACTTCGTACAGTATGAAATGTTTTCCTTGCTCATCGACAGCCGCCCAGAGCCGAGACTCGTCCCAAGGGAATCCACTCCTCCACTCCACTCCACTCCACTCCACTCCACAGGTCTCGCGCAAGGAAACACGCAGCGCAGGAATCGTCCAAGCTCAAGCTCAAGCTCCTGCAAATCCGGAGAAGGAGACGAGATCCTGACGTAGGCGGCTGAGAAGGGCCTCGAGATTCGAGAATCGAGATCAAAACAAACCCCAAGCAGCTAAATACTAAGGCTTAGCCTTCGGGTGCAGTCTCGACGAACTGCTCTACTGTACTGTAGCGCAATTGATCGGTTCATGTTTTAAAATTGCGCGGTCGACGGTGTTCTGGAAGAGTCTTGAGCGAAAGATATCCCTGCTGACTGGCTTCGATGATGCTGATTATTCGATTGGTCGCATGACGTGTTGATCATTGGATATTGTAAGGTACCTACCTAGGCTGTTGTTCTAAGGGTTCAAGCAGAGGCAGATGTAGGTACTGTACTGTACTGGGCTGTGCCACTGCCGGCTTCCATCCAACCGAATGCCGGGTGCCTGACATGTTGAAAGCGACGTGGCTTGGCCGCTTCCTCGCCTTCTGAACGTCATTATTGAGAACTTGAGGCGCACCCAAATTTCCACTACCGAATGCACATCCAATTTCTTTCATCTTCTAATTCTCCTAGGGCTCTCTCTGCCATCGGTCTTCGAGATCGGCGTTAAATGTTACTGCCATTGGGCTTGTAAGCGTTACATATGCACATCATTGACCGCATCTTCCCTTCATGCCGAACTTCTATCCACTAGCATGTGAAGGAGAGAATAAAAACGAGCAATTGTGTTGGGCTTTTATGTAAACTCGATTTCAGAAAGTTATCCAAGTGTGACACGTTCATAAGTTGAATGGAAGACTATGTATTCCAGAGCGATGGACTTCGAGGACACTACTGCCCTGTCTGCATCCTCCTTGTGCGCTCACATCCTTCACCACCAAACCCTTCAAGAATCATTACCAGGCTCTGGCCAGCCGTTTGACCCTCATCATATTCCTTCCAGCGAGTCTTATCCCTCACAAAAACATCCAATGTACACCTAGAGACCTCAAGCGCGACCGGCACAACCAACATAATCAGACACAGCACAAGAGGGAAACGAAGTTCATGAGTCGCATTTTGTAGCGGTGCGTTTGCAACATAGCTGACCCATGCCTGTAGAGTCATGTCAGCCAGCTCTTCCATTTCAGAATTGAGATCGATGGAGCTGTTTCACATACGGTAGCACACGACAAGATCACCTGCAAGCCAAAACACTCAACTTCACTGCCCTTCGGAACCATCTCCGAAAACAGAACGCGAAATACGGAATTGACGATTGAGCCAGAGATGTTGAATAGGAGACTCTGGGCGTAGAATTCCCAGCGATTCTGCGCAGAGAAGAAGACTTAGATGGATTGCTTACACCAGAACTGGTTCGACTTTTATGACAAGAGCATGTACATCGCTTACCTTAAAACCAAAATTGACGTTATCTGCGAAGCCAATGCATCCCCAGATTGGAATTATAAGGATAATAGCATATCCGATGACCAGCCCTGTTTAGAACACAAATCAGCAGTCATGTCTCCAGAAGATATCAGGACTGACAAAACAAGATTTGACAGCCTCCTCATTGCGGTTATACTCACAATGCTCAAGCTTAAACGGGGGTCTCCAAACCTGCAGTAAATAGAACGCCAATGTTGTAATCGCCCCAAGTATCGTAAATGCCATGTTATACAACGTATACTCCATCGTATCCGGCATCATCTGGACAAAAAACAGCTGTGCCGTCACACTGTTCAATGCAAACGACGTATCCACATAAATCGTATAACTCAGCAATAAAAACGCCATATTCTTCCTCCTACTAAGATCCCTCAACGGAGTAAATAGTTCCGCCCACCATGATTTCCAGTTCTCTTTGGGCTTGGCAGGTACGGCCGGAAGGCCGAGATGCATGACAAAAGAGCCAAGGACTGTGATGAAACCGATTATGGTGGTGACGAGGAGACCGGCGGATTGTTGATTGCTTGGAGAGGGAAGGGTCTTGTAAAGCATTATAACGAGCAGGAGGGCGAGGATTCCGCCGGAAGCAGTACCAAAAGCACCGAAGATGGACATTTTGAAGCCGTATTTGCGAGTTTTTGCTTCCTTGGACACACTTGCTCCGTCTCCACGCGAAACAGTAACATGTCCTGGTGTTTTGGACTCCTCGCTATATGACTGTTCGGTGCTGGGTATTTCGAAGACATCTTTTTCTGTTACGCTTCGCATGCAGTGTGGGATGAAAATGCAGAAGAGAACTGATAGTATGTAAGTGATCACTGCGTACATCACATACAAGGCCATCAGAGCGTTGAATGTAGCTGAGGATGTGTCGCGCAACCAGTACACGGGGATACAGACTGTGCCGAACGCGACGACGAAGATGGCTACCAGGGTACTCTTCCTCTCTATATACTCATCAGCACCAATATCTCTCGGTGAATTTAAAATCATGTGAGAACTTACTCCAGAAATCCGCATACGCAGCAGTGAATACTGCTGCCACCCCACCAAGGCCAAAACCAAGCGCATTTAGATACAGAATGACGGAATTCAGATCCAGCCTCTGGCTACCAAACGGCACCAGACAGTACGTCGTACATGGTAGACCGTTTGAGTCTGTACCGATCATATAGCCCACAACTTGAAGTTGGTAGATCACATATGTTCCGAAAAGTGTGAAAGGAAGGCCGATGAGAAAGAGGCCGAAGACGTAGGTGTTGAGCGCTGTGTCTTTCTTCCACCATGTGACGAGAGGAAACGCCATTTTGGTAGAAAGTAAGTATGGAAGATTGAGAAATATATAACCTTTGTACAGTTCAAATTTGGAAATGAAAAACGAAAGCAGAACCGCTGAGAAGAAAATCCGACGGTGCGATTATCCCGGATAAATTCAAACTATGTATGGCAGTGCAAGCAAACCTTTCCCTCCACTCGAGATCCAGATAATTGTAGCCATGAGCAGCTATGAGAAACTTTGAGCAAGTTAGGAAGTAATTTGAGGTAATGAGTCTGCAGCTGGAAAGGAGGATTGTATAAGTGGAAACTAGAAGGTGAGAGAATGCCAAGTGTGCAATCGGCATACAATCTAACCGAGTTTCTGTATATCCGCTTGATCGAACAGCGTGAACGAGGTCAATTGAATGCTGACTCCGATGGGATGTGTTCCTTTCTACTCTCAATCTACTCATTGCCTAAAGTATTTGTAAAGTTAAGTAGGACTTCTCCATTCGATAGTGTTGGAATTACATAGTACTTATAAATGACTCTACAGAAACCATCTGACAAACCTATACCTTACACTACTAACGCCTACAATTGAACAGGCGCTCTTGAATATTCGACAATATCTAAGAAATTTATTAAATTAGTCTAGGCATAAAGCTATATAGGAAAAATATATAAGATAAGACGGAATCTAACTTACAATTAGCAAAAAGTAGGCTTTGTTTACTCTTATAACTTTTAAAGCATAGATTACTATATATCTCTATTACCTGTTATATTAGCTAAATGAAGTTCAACAAGTGTACCTATGCCTCGTGGTCGTTCCAGAGTTTAGTAGTTCAACAAGGCTGTCAAATTTAGGTGGCCCGTGCTCCGAGTGTCCAGCCACGGTCAGTCCGGCATGTCAAAAGTAACAAACATCACACCTCACTTCAAGCTGTCCACAAGATTATTGTGCCTTGCCATTTATTGCGCTTGTGCTTGGAGCCTGCAAAGCTCTCTTATGCAACGCGACTTGTCATCTACCGAACTTCCTTGGACAAGGCGCTGTCCAAAAACGGTTGGCTGCGGCGCATCAATAACACGATCCACGCGAACCTGGCGGAGTAGTTCCAAACCTCACCTTTCAAAAAAGTTTGCGCCTTCCATCTCTCCCTCACAACGGCAAACAAGCCCAAATCCTACCCTCCAAGGCTACAAATCTCGCCTCTGTGCGCCTCTGACGACTACATGTCCTGAACGTCGACGATACTATGCGCTGCGACAGTGGGCGGTGATTGAGCGATAGGTGATAGAGCGCCTCAACTCGAATGAAGCCAAATGCCTTCTCAATCGCATCCCCAAGCACAATTTGTGCCTATATCGCCGGAGTTCGATCTGGCTGCACTGGTTGAGAGTACCGACAACTTCGACTATGTTACCAGACTCTCGACTGAGAAGCTCAAGGAGCACTCCATCCAGAGCTTCGAAGCCCTGATTTTGGCAGTTGTTATTCAGAGCGGGAAGCCCCTCGTGATCGAAGACTGGAGTGAGAGTCTACCTTCTTTGCTATTCAGTAAGGATTGGCTGGAGTCCAACCTGGGAACCAAACGTAAGTCGCTTCCACCAGAAGGAGATTCTTACTAACGTCAAACCTCTCAGCCGAGCAAGTGAGAGATATCCCTAATGAAATCAACATTCCCATGACCATGGGTCATTACTTGAGATCTATGGCACAGCTTGCGAACCAATTCACTAAAGACAACTTTCGCGATCCGAGACGCCAAAGACTGTACATGAAAGACATTGATTGTCCAGAAGGATGGGCCGACCATTTGAAGAACACCATACCTGAATGCGTTTACTACCTCAATGACTGCATCGAATCCAGAACCGGTGGAGATGGTGCAATACTCGAGCCGAATGAGTATAATCAAATGCGATACGGGAAAGGTGTTGCGCCAGCTGGCGATTTGATGAGCAGTCTTCCGCCAGAGATGAGAGCTCTCAACATGATGTGTTATATTGGCCATGAAGGTACCTACACTCCAACACATCGCGAGATGTGCGCCACTCTTGGCCACAACATCATGGTCGAAGCATCAGAAAATGAATGGCGGGAGAAGGAGGGTAGCTCGATTTGGTTCATGACGGAGACGAAGGAGCGCGAGGTTGTCTCTGAATACTTCCTATCGATGCTAGGTCACGATGTTGAGGTCGAGAAGCACTTTGCTCAAGTCAATGCCTGGAAGAAAGCACCATTCAATGTTTGGGTTGTTGAACAGAAAAAGGGCGATTTGATTCTCATACCACCACTTGCTCCCCATCAGGTCTGGAATCGAGGAACACGTACTATGAAAGCTGCTTGGAATCGTACAACTGTTGACACACTCGAGTTGGCCTTACATGAAGCGCTTCCTCGTGGTCGAATGGTTTGCAGAGATGAGCAGTACAAGTGCAAGGCTATAGTTTATTATACGCTTGTGAAGTATTACAGCTTACTCCAGCGGGATACTATCGAGCCAAAGATGTGGAAGTATGGCAGAATCAAACAGCTTCTAGAAGATTTTAAGCGACTATTCATGCTGTATCAAGAGATCTTGGTCAGTGAGATGTTCTCGCCAAAACTGCCCGAGGAAACAGACGTCGAAATGGTTCCGTTCGACTCGAATGTCACTTGCTCCTATTGTCGCCTGAACATCTTCAATAGGTTCCTTACCTGCAAGTCCTGCATTCTTTATGGAGACAAGGGGGAGGAGGACACCTACGACATCTGTATGGACTGCTACGCTATGGGCCGCTCATGTGCTTGTATCTCTGCGTTAAGCTGGGTAGAACAGTGGGACTGGAACCTGCTCGTCGACAACTACGAAACATGGCGTGGTGTAGTTGTCCAATTTGACGGTTACTTCGATACGATGAGATCGCCACAAGTTCTTGATGTTGCGAGAAAGCGATATGGCAAAAAGCCAATTGCAGAGGTTTGCCAAGAGCAGTTGAGACGTAGGCCTTGGACCGATATCACAAAGCCAAAGGAGCTCACCCCTGATATGTCGGATATTGAGCCGGAAGTTGACGACGAAGGACGCACCAAAACCAGAAAGGGAAAGAAAGGAGCTGCCAATCGACGAAACAGAATAGCACCGCAAAAGGGGAAAACTCATTCTTGCCACATCTGCTTCCATCAGGAATGGAACTGGAAGCTTGCGTTCTGCACAACATGCAACGCTGCCTATTGCTACGGAGTCCTGTGGCGCGCTTTTGACCTTATGCCTCAGACAGTTATGGAAGATAAAGACTGGCAGTGCCCGAAGTGTCTCAAGATTTGCTCTTGCTCAAAATGCCGGAAGGGTAATATCCAGAAGCCTTATCAACCTAAAGGAACACTTCTCGGACATGATACCCGGAAGGTTGCGGACTACCGAAGCGTAGAGAGTCTTGTAGACTTCTCCAGGACCAATCTGCAATGGCTACGAGATACCAATGCCGAGAACCCTCAAGATACTGGGCGAATGAAGAAACTCAAGGAGAAGGCAGAGGCTGAGAAGGCCCGTGTCGAACCAATTGACGATAGTTATCTTGGTACAGAAGGCGATCCATTCGCAACCGCAAATGCAGACACAGCTGCAGATGAGGCTGCAAACACAGCTCTTGAACAGCATGCAAGAGAGATGCAAGACATTGACCCATCACTCCGCGACCTCGCACCTGAAGATCCTACTGCCAATGGCAGTGGTGAATATCGAACGCCCTATGATCCTCCAGTGTTCACGCCCAACCCTAACGGTCATGATGATTATGCACTCAATGGCCACATGGGAGATGACCTCCAGAATCCCTGGATGGGAATGGATGGCCACTATGAATTCCACGATTATGACTCCGCCAATCCGCAGCCAGCAAGCTATCCATCTCGCCTGCTGGCACCTGTTCCCCCTATGATGTCTTCAACACCGACTCCCGTCCGTGGCACAACTCCAGCTCCTATGGCACCTCCCGAGCAGCCTGAGCCATCGTACCCGGATCCATCTCACGTCGGGCAAAACCGTATGATGGGCATCGGATACTATCAGCAAGGTGATGGCATCGATAGGATTGTCTACGACCCACCAAGCATGAACGATTCAATAGAAGAGTCGTCTCAGCAAACTCTTGCCCAGAATCCAAATTTGGCTCTCTCGGACCTCTTGGAACCCGCTCTATTACAGCCAGAAGTCAAGAAGCGCAAGCGGCACGGCGAGGACGACGAGGAAGAAGAGTTCTTCACATCCAAAAAGCAAAAGAAAGCAGCCAAGATCAAGAAGAATGGGGCGGATGCGAGTCAGGCGAATGAAGTGGCCGAAATTCCAAGACCAGAGAAGCGTCTACCTCGTCGTAGTGCCGGTCAACCAGGAATTTACACTGATTTGGGTGAAGACGCAATACCAATCGAGGAAGACGAAGAAAACCTCATTCCGAATTATAACACAGCTCCTTATAGTCGCAAACGCAAGACTGACCATCCAGAAGATGACCTAGAGCTCGCTGCTCAGGCTATGAGTAACATTACCAAACCCCTTACTAAGAGAGGTCGCCCGAAGGGCCCGAAGCCTTCCAAGGAACGTGTATCAAATACTATCAAGACACCTCGCAAGTCCGCTTGGCTGACACGTAAAGAGGCCAACGAAGCCGGGGCAGACGGTTCTGGTGATCTCCATGCAAAGAGAATTAGGCAAACAAGAAGTAATGGCGCAAGTGGTGGCTCAAGATCTAGCTCAGGAGCAATGGACGTACCATCCGACTCTGCTTCTGCGAGCGTTGTTGGCGACACTGCAGTCATCTCCAGCGATATTGATAGCGATAAGGACAGCCTCTTCGGAGACCAAGTCGTCCGAGATACTAGAGCTACCAAGAACCCACAAGTAGTCCACTTAAGCAGTCATGAGGAGAGCTCTCCCAAGCCACAGTCGACAACCAAAGCTGTGGATTCTGGCGATGAATCTGATTTTGCTCTACCATCAAAACCAACGCCTAAGCGACGAGGCAGACCTCCCCGACAAGCACGGGCTGATTCAGATACTGACAGTACCCAAGACAAGCCCACTCCTAAGCGCCGGGGTAGACCGCCAAAGAAAACCGTTTCTCAGGTCGTTCTTCGATCGCCTTCGCCAGTTGAGAAGCCTACCGCGCCGAAAATGCTTTCACTGAAGGAGAAACTTGCTCTGAAAGGAAAATCGTTTAAGATTGTTTCGAAGCCCGTGAAGACCACTGACAATGCGTCCGGGCCCTCTAGTGCCAGAAGCACTCCGTCAAACATGCATGGATCTGCCACGATGCCCAAGTCAATCTTGAAGCAGCCAGCTATTGTTATTCCCATTTCTTCGGAGGCAGCAAACAGCAAGCCTGTACCTGCAATTTCCAGTTCAGAGCATTCTCCGATTGCGACTCCAGCAGACTTGTCCAGCAGCAAGACTACCTCTATTTCCACAACCCTTCCACCCATCCCACCTCAACGCAAGGGCCCGACCGTTGTTCGTTTGATGAGTCCAGATTCAGAGTCATCGGAGGATGCGCGACCACCTTCAGATTCCTCAGGGTCCGATGATTCTTCTTCGGACGATGAGGAAATTCCAGCTGTTATTTCACCTAAGGCTGTTCGGGGGACTATGGCAGTCAGAGGGCGTGGTCGTCCACGAGGAAGACCCCCTGGAGTCAGGCTACGATAGTTGACTTGATTTGAGGATTTAAAAATTGGCTGAGGACTTCAAAGCTGGCTACCAATATATGGGATTTCGATTCGCGAGGATTACTGGTCGTAGGGTTAAGGAGTTGCAGTTTACTTACTTTTGCGCTTGAATTCATTGACATGACTATTTGAGAGTGTACCATACAGGGCGAAGGACAAGATGGGAATGGCATACATGCTTCATTGTACCGTCGAAGTCCATTAAGGACCAGGGGGTTACTTCCGCAGCGGTATGCCAAGCGATGATGAATACAGTAGAAAAGGGACTGAGTGTATGTATTTACACAATAAAACAACATATTCATAAATGCGATGTCTCGTCTTGACCTGTCATCAAAGTGTTTATGTCACCACAATAGTAGTGGCACTCGACTTCTGTACCATGACTGAAAGGTAATTGAGGGAATCAAAACTTATTTCTCATTTTAGCCGGAGACTCCACGCCAGAAGCAGAAGATGCTAATACACAACGCCTGCAATGTTGCAAGGTATCAATCACACCCCTTCATCCAAACATCACCTCGCTTAATACGTGCCCCTTTTCTTGAAGCTTCCACCCTGCTTCGGCTGACTTCCATACGCCCTCCTCCCTTGTGTCTTCTTATCCCTACTCATACTCGCACCCAATGTCAAATCCACTCTCGGCGGCGCACTGAACCCAAAGCTCTTCGCCACCTTCACCAAATCCAACTTGTGCACATCAAAGATCGTCCTCAAGCTATGGCTCGAGTACGCCTGCAAGTAGCTCCTGTACCCGTCCTTGGCGCTCTTGTTCAGGTAGTAGTTCTGGCTAATCAGTTTCTCGAGCTGCGATTGTACGTTTACGATCTTCTTGGCGGGGAAATCGAACTCGACAACCGGAACTCGTGCTGTTTTGAGATGGGCGAGAAATCCTACTTCGGACGGTTGCAGGAACATCAGGGATCGACCTTTGCCATTAGAGCCACGGGCTGTACGACCAACCCGGTGGATGTAGTCGCGAGGGTCATCAGGAGGATCGAATTGTACGATCCAGTCAACGGCCGGGATCTGGACATTGTTTAGCAGTGGTCCTTTTAGAAGAGTGGGAGGATGCATACATCTAATCCTCTCGCAGCAACATCAGTACAAATAAGAGTACCTTGCTTGGCATTAATGAATTCGAAAAAAGTGTTGGTACGTTTCTGTTGCTTCTGCTTGCCGTGAAGATCTAAAACCGGTAGGTCGATGTAATTGAGGAGTTCGGCGTAGTACTTCACACAAGCGCAACTTGAGAGGAAGACAATTACTTTCTTCTTCAGGTTGCGTTTGAGGAATGAGAATAGGAGAAGGAAGCGCTTGTCTTCGTCGCAGACGACGTATCCTTGCTCGAGACCTTCGACAGTGCTGTGTTCCTTTTGGTTGTCGACGTTTATATACAGGGGTCCAGCTCGGAGGGAGATTCTGGCCAAGTCCTCGACTTTGGTCGTTTGTGTTGCTGAGAACAGCATGGTTCTAGATTTCTGTATTAGCAGGGAAATCGCTATGCTTTCAGAATAAAACGGAAACATACTGCCTATCATTCTTTGGTAGGATCTTCACAATTTGTCTCATTTCATCCTCGAAACCAATCTCTAGAATTCTGTCTGCCTCATCGATAATCAAAGCTTTCAAATTCTTGAACACGAATCCTTGGGTGTTCTGTAAATGATCGAGAAGTCGGCCAGGTGTCGCCACAATCAGATTGACACCCTTCGCGAGCTTCTCAGCCTCCGCCCGTCGGTTTGCGCCTCCAATTACTATCCCATAGGTTTGAGAGTGGTGCGACATGAGTTCCTACACTACAATTAGTATCTTGCTGCTGAGATTCGCTGCCTCGTGCCTCGTATACGACGTACCCTAGCGACTCCGAAAATCTGAAGAGCCAATTCTCTCGTGGGAGAAACAATAATAATACCAGTTCCATTTCGAGGTTTGAACCGCAGCGCATTGAGCATCTCAATGGCAGGAATCAAGAAAGCCAGTGTTTTCCCAGAACCAGTCTTTGCAGCTCCCAGCACATCTCTTCCGGCCAGCAAAGGTGGTATTCCTCGTTGTTGGATCTCGGTCATGGTCTCAAACTTCATTTCCTCGATCGCTTTCATAGTCTTCTCCGACAGATTCAGTTCACTGAACTTCTTCGCTTGGACGCCAGTATCCGGTAACGAGAGGTTCTTTGCATCTGCCAATGCTCCTTCGGCCAGGTCTGCGGATCCATCTCCTAGGCCCTCTGCATCCTCGTTCTCCCATTGCGCATCGGCAGCTTCATCTGCTTCTGGAACAGCATCCTCGGCATCCTCGTTAGGTTTCTCCAGGACCACTTCTTCGTCGACAATCTCCTCCTCCTCCGCAGCCTTATGGGCCTTCTTGGCCTTCTTGGCCTTCTTCAGAGCCTTCTCCTCCTTGGACCGCTTCTTCTTCACCACAACATCGACTTCTTCTGGTGCGGGGCTGGAGCCATTCGTCACAACAACAGCTTCTTCCTTCTCAGATTTAGAGCTGCTATGCTTCCTCTTGCGCTTCTTGCTGTGTAGGTCGGCGGGGTCCATGATTTATGTGTTGAGTATCGAATGTGATTCTTGAATTTCGTCAACCTCCTGCTGCTCCAAAAACCTTTCGACCGAGAATAAATTTCGCGACCGATAGACTAGCCGAGAGGCGCTAACCTTATCTATCGCGTGATAAGCTCCCTGCGACAGCGAATACCTAGACTGGCACCAGTTTTGGGATGATGAGAGATAGATGCCCCAAAAGATTACTCAACAACATGCAGGAAGTCTGAATTAACATCGTATGATACCTTTCTTTAACACAGGTGTAAAGCAATTGCCTTTGTGCGATAATATCTAGACTCGCGGGCCTGGGATTCCTAGCCCTTTTGTGTGTTTTGAGTTGATCAGTGATGGAGTCAACACCTTGTTGGCATATTCTTTACATAAAGGCTGGGTTCGCTCCCTATCAAGAGGTCCTTTTCTCCTGTTTATCATCCATCTCTGCTCGAATAATCTTTCGCTGTCCTTCCGTATGTCATCTGTACCTATCTGTACTTATTATCAACTGATGCGCTCACTCACATCTCCATACTTCCGTATTTCATATGCTTCACTACCAGCAAACCAATCTACCGTCAGCTGTCAGAGACTCAAAGAGTTCTGACGATCTCACAGCTCATCTGAGAATCTTTCCTCACTTGGCTTGTTCCCATGCATCCTCGAGATCGAACCAGATCAATTACTTGTCATATCTCTTCCGCTCTTTCGGACAGACATGAGCTGCACAATATGGCGCCTGGCCACTTCTGGCATATGTCGACACCAGCTGTCAGAAGTTCTGAGCTCAACAAATGATGGCATATCATACTCCAGCACTTGCATTGGTGCATGTGAGGCCTTGGATATACTCCACAAGTTTGCCATTCGAAGATCTCTTACAGGCTGGCGGATGGTTTGAATGCCTCCCAGTGAGATGATGTAACTTGCCATCCAATACCGAAGGTAAACCATCAATTGGACCAAGCGAAAGCTACCCCTCAGCATGGAACCACCAATGCCATTAGCCAGAAAGAGTCGATTAGGTTCTTCTAAGAACTCTTTGCAAGACTTGAGGGCCATTGAAAGCCTTATTTAGACGTCACCATCGCTGACGTAGGTCCGCCAGTCGCGAAAGTCAGATAGTGGCATATAAAAAGTCATGCCAAAGTACTATCCTTCCTTCGAACCTCCATTTCAAGCAGAATAGTACCATTTTCGAATCAAGTTACCATGTCCACAAATCACGGTAGAAGCCATTGCGGCCAAACTGAATGGGATGTCAAGCTCAACGAGCGGGCCCATATCTTGGTATGATTTCCGAGGAGGTGTGCCACTCTACTAAATCCCGAAGTGCCACTTCGACACCTGCAAACAACTCGGTGGAGGATCATACTCTCTGCAGAATGTCATGACAAAAAACAACAGACACGTGAAGTGATGACTTGCTGATATGAGAGTGTGCGTGCAACGCCTCCTCTGAGTCATTTTTCTTGCCTCTGTGCTGTTCAGGTCACACACAGATATCGTTATTAGCTTAACGATCATGATATTCAACTGGGTTGTTTCACAAAATTACCGTCCAGGCATAAAATATGATAATCGAGTACCTGTAGAGGATGAATAACGATCAGCGACCTCTCGAGCGGTTATTGTGTTAATCGTGTATTTTGTCATTGCTTTTTTTCCAGGAGTTGCAAACAGCTCAGCAGAGACGTTGATACTCGCGGCCATGATTGCCCCTGAACATAAACCACCCGCCCTCCTAGTTTCGTAATATACCTTTCTATTTCTACAGCCGGTAATAACACATCGGTACTTGCCGTAGAAGTTGCCTGCCCCTGGGCCTGACTATGAATTATCGTCCAGGAAACTAGATGAGATGCTTTGATCTGTGATCTCGCGATTAGCAACATATCCTCAAGCATCCCCGGCTCCATTTCCAAGTACACATACCTGAAATACGCCCGCAAATAAATGACCTGCCACGCTCCCAATGCTACCAGCATGCCCATGGTACCAAAAGCAAACCACTTCACTCTGTTATTCGTGCTCTCATTCGTATCTCTGAGCTTCTGTTCGCGGGATCGTAAGTAGTCCATCTCGGCGACAATCTCAGCAACCATCTCCTCCATGCGCCTCAATTCGGTTTCGACCGGCTTCAGCTTCTCAGTTGCTTGAACAGCAGACCAATCCTTGGCATCCGCGCCAATGTCGATGTCGAGTTCGATATGACGGTATGGGTTTGATACTCCAGTAGCTGTACGCAGAATTATTTAGCATGCTGTTCTCTTCAACGTGGAGTTGTTGTCTATGGGCGTTGCTTACTGCCGGAGAAATGGTTCTCGAAGCATACATCAAATGATGCATCAGCGTGAGAAGTAAATGCCATTCTCTTCTCGCCCACTACGTCCTTCGGTCGTCCATATTCATTTCCAACCGCATCTTTGATCTGCAATTGTCCATCAGTCCCCTTCATTGAATGCCTCCGAACCAATTGCCCAAGCTACTCACATGCATATTAAGAATCATTCCATCGCCCTTCGAACCATCCACAGTAGCCGTGACTACAACCAAAGTGTCTTTCGCAACGAAATTCCGAATACATCTCGTCCCCCTTGTGTCCCCTTTACTGAAAGCCTCAATGTCGAACTTGAGCGCCTGCACGCAGGACAGGAAGAAGAGTACGCTGCAAAGCGTCCGCAGAATGGGTTGTGAAAATGCCATGCTGCTGGTTGAATGAGCCAGTATCGTGTGAGGTTGTGGAGGAAGAAGAAGCAGCTCCTCGCTCTGCTCTCACTACCAACTGGTCGCGTAGAGTGAAGTAGGGGGTTTTTAGAACGTGGCTCTTTTTGGTGCAAGGATGATGCTTTGCAGGGGTTCGCCAGTACTGCTTACATAAGTAAGTTTATTCGCTTCTCGAACTTCTGTGAAAGGCGGCGCAACTCGCGACCAGACGACAACCTGAACCCCACGACATCAAGCCAGACCTCATTCAAGATGCCCAAATGTAAGATAAAAACTCGCGATCAAAATCTGTGACATTGCTAACTTCTGCTTATAGTCTTCTGTAAGTCGTCCTCCGGCGCAAAGACCCAATACTTCTGTCCGAACGCCCAATAGCTCCAAGCACAAGACTGACCTCCACCCAGGTGATTATTGCGATGTGTACCTCACACACGATTCCATGAGCGTCCGCAAAGCTCACAACAGCGGTCGAAACCATCTGCGAAATGTAGTCGACTACTACCAACGTATGGAACCCTTTCCCAGACCCTTCAACCAATTAGCTAAATCCAGCTTTAGAAATCGGTCATGAGAAAGCCCAGTCTGTTATCGACTCCATCACCTCTTCGTACGCCGCAGAAGGCCAATCCTCGTCGAATCCAATGCTCGGTCAAAATCCAGGTGTACACGCTCCTCCTCCACCATTTCCCTTCCCAGGTGGTACGTATTATGCTCCTACACATGGCCTTGTACAAAGGGAACCAAACTAACCTCTGAGCCAGGCGTTCCACCACCACCCTTCGGTATGCCCGGTCTCCCTGGTATGCCTCCCATGCCAGGTATGCCCGGAATGCCCCCACCAAACGGCATGATCCCCCCTCCAGGCGGCCGAGGAATGCCTCCAATGCCACCATTTCCAGGCGGACTTCCATTCCCTCCACCAGGCGGTCTCCCTCCTAACTTTCAATTCCCGCCTCCTGGAGGTCTGCCCCCCAATTTCCAATTTCCTCCGCCGCCACAGGGTATGAATGGTCCACCAGGAGGACCGCCAGGTGGAGGACCTCCCGCTGGTGAGAGACGATAAGTTATGAAGATGCGAAAAGAGGAGTACGTTGAGATCTAGGAAAGGCATGTGTACGGGGATAGTGAGATGAGTCAACAAAAGCTCTACTCTGTTCCACACTACGAAGACAAGGTCGAGAACCGATAAGAGGATTGGTGGGATTGTGCACGGCGTTTTGGGGGCTCATAAGTGGCGTTCGATGGGTCGAAAATGTAATTTTAAGGCGATGACCACACAGATGGATCGATCTTTCTGCCGCCACCCTTGTAACTACCTCGTGATGATGGTATGAGAATGGAGACTGCAAAGTTCAGACTGACAAATAACTTCTTGCTTTCTGCTAGTTGCATTTGCGTGAATCAAAGCTCCCAGATTCGAGCAGGATCAAAAGGTTCTTGATACGTTTAATGAGTCTATCTTGTCACACATCGCAGTTCACAAGGCTCTGCAGTAGACCCAAGAACGACACGAGCATACTTTGACTTGACGAGAATCTCATACAAACAAAGAGCTGCTCTTCGTACACAATGAACTTATCATCTCAAAACGGCATTCTTGAATTCAATTCCTATGCCTGTTTTATGACCAATTATGCCCTATTATCGCACACAAAAGAGGGGAGATTCAATGATCGCTTCATCGATCTTTTCTTCCATGCTTCCAGCCCATCAATTAAACTTTCGCCTTCCCATCTTCCCCTATTATTCCAGCCTATGAAGGAAGTCTCGTATCTGTTGGGATTGAGTCGTACGAAGTTCGCTCAAGGAGAAGATGAGTCATAGCCGGGCTCCAGTCATGCAAACAAGAGGCTGCAGTTCCACAACAAGACAGCAGCAGTATTTTAGATACCAGGCGAAGAAGTCAGACGATTGAGGTACGAAAAATACTGTCGAGACGACGGAAACAAATCGTTCGGCCTTGGGTTACTTGCGTGCTCTCTTCCGGGTATTTCAACCGACCATCCTGAAAAAAATAATCAATCGCAGAAAGAATAACGCCATGCTCAATTGATCGCTCACGATGAAGTACCCTCACTCCACTCGCCAGTAATACCGTCCATGCCTTCATGTTGCGTCCCGGATGCCATTCAGTGTCCGTTGAGAAGTGTCAGTCAATAATCCTTCAAGGTCTAAGGGCTGTTTTGTCCTCCCATTCGTTGCCTCATCCCATCGTAGACCAGATCAGCTGTAGCTACCTGATTCTCATGATGCAAATTTGATTCGCTCAGTCAGCTTCTGCGAGCTGGATGATCAACTTGGATGCCAGATCCAGGAATGGGAATGGGGACGTGATATCCTTCTCCTCAAACAGCTGTCCTTCAGCGGTCTCATATCCTGCGCACTTGAAGTCGACTAGGTATACGTTAGGTTCCATTTCATAAAGTTGTATGTCGAGATGCATGACAACGTTATCGATCGGTTCCGCATTGGAGAATTTGGGTGGGGACGATTGGTCCTGGGAAGGAAGGGAGCCACCAGCACTGCTGAGAGAAGCTATTGATTGCCGCCGAAGGTCTAGAGAGGATGAGTGAGTGGATCCAGGAGGGATAATTCCAGGAGGATACATGCCATCTTTCTTCCACCGGACGCGGATTACCCAGGGGTCTGCGGGCAGTTTATATGTTGCATTTGGATCAATGCTACTGAATCGCATGTTGCCAGTGGAATCCTCGCCTTGGCTCATGGACTCGCTGTGGTGTAGAGACGCCCCACTGCCATTGGATACGAAGCTGTTGTTATTGGTTCTAGAACGATTAGCGACATCTTCAAACAGGCTTCTAGACGTACCTATCGTCGTCGCCGGATTCTCGTCGAGGAGCCCATTCATCATCGACTACCCACTCTGCGCCAAGCTTTTGAAGTGCTCTATAAATGCACCCAATTGCCTCAAGAGGTTGATTTCGTGACCGAATACCAAACTGCCACTTTGTGGGCTTGTTCTTCTTTTGAGGGACTGGAGTCATTCCAGCAGGCCGCTTACTAGCTTCATCTAGCTTGAGTTGACTGCGAGAATGGGGATTTAGACGTCGTGCTGTTTCAGCCTTCTCGGCATCTGTTTGAGCATGGGGCTCTTCGACTTCCGAATGAGCTGTTGACAATACGTTTCCAACATTTCTACCTGTACGTCGAGCCTCCATGTAATCTCGATGATATGCAGGTAAACTGCTGGGAAGGATACCGATTTTGCTCACATAGGGCCGGACTGATCTATCCGTTCCGATAGAGCTAGAGGAGCGGGGTGACATTGCATCAATGAGTGGGCTTGGACGGATAGGAAGTACAGCTGGACTGCCAGTGGGTTCCTTGACTATGGGTGATTCGGGCGGAGAGCCAATACCTCCTAGCTTAATGCCATCATTCCAAGCTGGTGGCGAGGGTACTTGAAATAGTAGTTGGCCTTTGTCGTCAGACAAGTTTGCTATTCATAGTCAGTATTCGATATATTTAAACCCTACACTTGCAAAGACACAGACATGGTTTCCTTGTCATGCTGGGAATACTCACGATTTGCTTGCATGAGCTTATTTTCTCGGACAATCAGATAGGCGTCCTTGATAGCAGATGGCTCTTCGGCTGCCAGAGCTTCCTGAACATCCTTGATACCATAACCCATAGTCTTACTGATCTTCTCGGTGACCTGGTCATGGAGCTTCTCCTGGACAGCCGGACTAGCATGAGGGGCAATAAGTTTCGGGGTGATAGCCTTGCTGGGATCCACACCAGTATCGAGAAACTCCTCAACGGGAGGCTGGAGGTATGCAGGTAGATTCTTCATGAACCATGGATCCAAGCGAATTTCCTCTATAGTAGCTCTGTGAACTGGGTTTACAGCCAACATCTTTTTGATCAACGCAGATGCACCAGAGCTCATGTAGTTGGGAACCACATAATGACCCTTGGCGATTTTCGCAAAGAGAGACGGGATATGTTCATCGTCGAATGGCAATCTTCCCACCAACAAGACATACAAGATTACCCCACAGCTCCATACGTCGACTTCAGGACCAGCGTATAATTTGCCGTTGATGACTTCTGGGGCTGCATAATTTGGACTCCCACAACTCGTCTTCAGAAAATTGCCATCTGTCATGATATTGCTCAATCCGAAGTCAGCAATCTTGACATTCAGGTTCTCGTCTAGGAGAAGGTTCTCAGGCTTGAGATCTCGGTGTACGATCTTGTGTCTGTGGCAGTATTCGACGGCGCATATGATCTGCTGGAAGAATCTCCTAGCTTCGTCCTCCTTCATCTTCCCGTTCTGAACGATATAGTCGAAGAGCTCCCCACCAGCATATTCGAGGACCATGATAATCTCGAGTTGGGTCTTGATCACCGTGTATCTGCGAGAACGTAATTAGCACTTCTCTCATCCCCTGCCAACGGAACACTTAGACATACAGCTTGATGATGTGAGGGTGTCTGAGCAATTGCAGGTATTCAATCTCCCGCTCCACCCGGCCAGCCATATCTCGACTGATCAACTTCTTCCTAGCAATAATCTTCAAGGCCACCTGCTGATTCGTAACACGATGGACAGCCAGCTTTACTTTTCCAAAGGAGCCTTCGCCGAGTGTACGAATGATCTGGTAGGCACCGATACGCTGCTCTGCCTTCTTCTGGGGCACAGGCTGCTCAACGGAACGGTGATTGTTGCCATTTGGACGGCGCGAGCTGGCATCGGGAGGCTTATTATTTGCGCGACGGTTTGCGGAGGGAGCAAGAGAGATCTCGAGCTCACCGTCTTCGTAGGCCCCGTGAGGCATCATTGCTGGGGGGGGGGGGGGGGGGCTGTTGTTGCTTTTGGGAGAGCCCGGGGATTTGATTGAGGGGTGGAAGAGCCGCCCCACCAACACTTCGTGGGCCGCCTGAGTTTCACGTCTTCAAGACTCTGAAAGGTGAGGTTGTATGATGATTCAAAGCGTGCTCACGAAATTATTGTAGGCATGCTGCTGCTGGGAGAGCCGGGAGAGGAGAGCGCGTTGGGTCCTCTGGTCTCACTTCTTGATATTGTGACGTTTTTGGGGTTGTCGTTGGGAGGTTCCAGAGGTGGGTGTCACAAAGAGCTGCGAGTTCGGTCAGGCTGTCAGTCCACTCCAGTAAGCGACGCTGTCTTGAACGTTCCAGGTTGACTCTTGACTTTGTGGGGTAATCGCTCATGAGCTAGTTGAGTAAATCACCAAGGCTTAGATTAGACATTCACGCTGTTCAGAAACTGATTCCTGTCGTATTATAAGACTTAACCTTGTCTGCTGACGAAGTGAAAACCAGAGATATAAGTAAGAGACTGTCCGTGATACGGGCGTATCTGATTGATTTGCATGGGTGAGTGTATGTACAGATCCTGAATGCCTCCGAAGCTGTTTTCAAATACCTTGACCCTTCGCAACTTCAACAATAAGTGAAGAAGAAATTCATGCATACAAAAAACATTCACTTTGCTATGAAACCAGCCGTGTCCCATGTCAATGTTCGGAGTCCAGAATATGTCCACTCCACTGCGTTCGGGTAGAAGCAATGAATTGGCTGGGATACTTCTCAATATCAAATACGAGTAAAGTCAAAAAGTAGTTTAAATCCACAACTCAACGACCCAAGAAGACTTCGTTTCATCCCGTATTTCAAACATACAATACCCTTCTACTCCTTTCTTGTCCCCATCAGGGCAAACTCCAAGTGACGTAAACACTCACGAATCTATGGATCCACGTATGCAGATGCGATCGATCATCGGTGTAACACTCCATCCTGATCCTTTCATTCTGGGTCATGTTTAAAGCGGAAAATTCGACCAATAACAAGGGGCTTGCTTTCAATACCTCCGGCCGTAATCATCTTTCCTCATCCACGACGGCTTTGTAGAGAGTGATGTCGGTTTTGTCCGTCCAGTCAACTCCTATGATATCATACAAAACCTTCTGTACTTGTTGCAGAGATGGATATCGTTCTAATCCAACTTATCTTACAGTCGACTCCTGGCAACAAGTCACTTGGCTACCTGAAAGCTTTCTTCTCTTCCTCCATCAACCGTTCGACCAACTTGCCCCTCAAGAAATCGCTCAGCCCCAATCTACTCACAGTCAGTAACCATCCACAACCTCAACCTCTTCAGCCAGTCGAAAGTCTTTCATGAAACCAGTAATTTCCAAGCCACCAAACAAAAGGAAATAAATGAAACTCACATCCCTTCCCTCGTAATCACTCTGTAGCTCCCACTCTCTTGCCAATTTCCTCGAGTCCCTCCTTCGCTCTCCACAAACTCCCCCCTCCCATCCACCTCCAAACTACCAAAGATATCTTCCGGCCACGCAATCCTCCCATAGTCAGGTGGCGCCCTCAAATCACTAACATGTACCCATCCGCCCTTCCCTCCTCCCCCAGCTCCACCCTGCGAACTCGCACCTCCCGCTCCAACACCAGCTTGTCCTCTCTTAGCCGCACCTCGTCCTCCTCTTCCACTCTGATTCTGCTGTGGGAAGAACATGCCGCCGGACCCTAACGCAGACCCAGAACTCGAGGCAAAAGCTGCAGCCTGGCCTTGTATATAGGGATCGGATGGGGCGTGGAGACGGAGGACATCGTAGAGAATGCGCATGAAGTGTGGGTTCTCTGTGACAGAGGTGGGTGTTGGAGGGAGGGCATTTGTTTCTCCAATTGCTAAGGAGGAGGTTGGAGGTTGGGTTGGGAGGAGGGTTAGGATGTGGGAAGATGGTGATGTAGGTGAGGGGAAAACATACTGTTGAGGGAGATGTTAGTAGATGTGAGGAATACTACGGCTTTTGTGAAGATAATGAGGAGAGAGGAAGTTGCTCTGGCGTTTATTTTAACCACGAAAGGCACTTACAATGTGTGGATTTGACTGAAGAGTTGATATTGACCGAATTGGCGTCTTGAGTGAGCAGCGGATTGCTGCTCTAGGCAGTATTGTGAAAAGCATGGTGGTGGAATCTGGGATGGATATTTTGTGCTTTAGAAACTCTGAAGCTTTGGGATTATTTTGGGACTTGGGAGCTTGGACTTCCTGCACGTCATCAATGCATGGCACGAGGCTGACAACGCTTTGAAGAAGGCTGTGACCCCTCAATTGAAGCCCCCAAGATCTTTAGATCATCGCCTTTTCCTCTCCGAGTAAACATAAAGTCCTAGAAGCCCTTCTATGTATGTCAGAATGAGGGAAACGATCAATAGTTGAGACACGTGACAGAACATAACGGTGAGTTTTAAATTTTGTATCGATTTGTATGCGCAGTTTACATGGCAACTCTGTAAACTAGAGAGCAGGCAGTAAAAACATCGCTTGCAGAAACGGGCAATCCCAAGGGCTTAGAAATCACTGCGCCAATCTGTACACGCCCAAACCCATCCAAACCAGTTTGAACACCTCTAAATCTACTCAACGGAACCATAGATCTAGATGAACGTTAGCTGGAGTTGATTTCATGGAGGGATCGAACTTACAGTCTCCATCATAATACCAGTAATTTGATAAGGATCGGCATTTGAAGCCGGTCGTCTATCCTCAAAGTAACCATATCCCTTGTGACCACATTCTCTGGGGATACGGATGGAGCAACCACGGTTGGCAACACCATAAGTGAAAGAATCGATGCTACCAGTCTCATGTCTGCCGGTGAGACGTAGAGTGTTGTCCTCTCCGTAAACTGCGATGTGCTCCTTGTGGCGACCCTCAAGCTTCTTGATAGCGGCTTCGATGTGCTTCATGCCACCAGGCTTGCGCATCTCCTCACTGGAGAAGTTGCTGTGAAGACCAGCTCCGTTCCAGTCACCTGGAATTGGCTTGGGGTGGAATGAGATCTTGGCACCAAACTCCTCAGCGATACGGTGAAGGAGGAAACGTGCGAGCCAGAGTTGATCGCCCACTGGTCCGATGTCAGAAAGATTCCAGAAGAAAGATACACACTACTCACACTCGATGCCCTCACAAGGACCAACCTGGAACTCCCATTGCGCTGGCATAACCTCGGCATTGGTACCAGAGATCTTGACACCAGCGAACAAGCAAGCCTTGTAATGAGCCTCAACGATATCTCTGCAGTAGACCTTGCCAGTTCCAACACCACAGTAGTATGGGCCTTGTGGGCCGGGGAAACCGCCTTGTGGCCAGCCGTATGGTCTGTCTAGTTGATCGAGAAGAGTGTACTCCTGCTCAAGACCAAACCACGGCTTATGCTCCTTGTGCGCCTCCATGAGCTTAGCACACTCATGGCGGTAGTTGTACTTGTTTGGGGTTCCGTCGGGGTCCCAGCACTCAGTGATAACCAAGATGTTGGGTGCGCCGCGGAATGGATCGGGGTAGATCGCGACGGGTCGGAGGTAGACGTCAGAGTTGTCGCCAGGGGCTTGGCCGGTCGACGATCCATCGAAATTCCACTCGGGGAGATCTTCAACCTTGAAAATACCGTTTTCTGGAACTTTGGTGAGGGTCTACAAGCACAGAATGTTAGATGTTGTCTAGAAATGACTCGCAGTGGCGCAATAGGCGGGATCTCACCTTTGACTTGGTACGGACACCACCAGAAGCATCAATCCAGATGTACCTTTCCGTCAATTAGAATGTAGATCTGGTATATCTCGATTCAAAATACTCACTCTGCCATAGCATTTCCCTTCTGGTCAAGGGACATGTATTTCAGGAGCTACACAATCGTCAGCCTGGTCTGGTCTGGTCGTGGCGGGGGGATTTCGGAGATCGGGAAATGGCTCACATTGGCAGTGTACGAGACGGTAGTAGAGCCTGCCATGTTTGCGATTTTGGGGGAGTAAAAATGGGGAGATTTGGTAGTGGGTAGTGATGCGAGGAGCAATGGTCAACAGACAGCGAGTCTTGTTGCGTTGAGAAAATAATGAAGAGAGAGAGGGAGAGGGTGGAAGAGCGAAGATCGGGACCTGGTTGACTTTATGGTTGAAAGAAAGCCCTCCGATAAGGATGGGGGGGGGGGGGGGGGGGGGGGGGGGGTCCTAGGTTCGGCTAAATAATCGTAGCGCGGGTGGGCTGGCGGCGGCGCTGGTGCTGCGTTCGTGGGTGGATGGCTTGGGGAAGCGGATGGGATGAGGTGGATGGAGACCAGGGGAGGGATGATGGATGTCCAATCTCAGTTGTGCTGACCAGGTAATTCTCGAGCAGAAGAAGCAATATTAATGCCAGAGCGTGGTGAGGTACATAATCTCGCTGCAAGGTTTCCTTTGCTTCTTACTACTACTAAGGTTAAGCGGCCTGGCATGATATCCCTCATTTCCAAAATTTCTTCGAGCACACGACAGCGTCCCTGACCAGCTTTTGCGGCAATTATCGCATCGGTCTGTGATGGCGTCGGAGAAGACTTCGTGGAAGTTTGCACCTTTGCACTTTGAATATGCAGTTGCTTGCAGAGACCCTCCTCTCCAGCCACGGCTTCCCGATTTGTCCCTCCCCCCAATGTGCATTTCAACCGGGTGTGCTGTGGATGTATGCAGCGAGCGAGGAAGGGAGGGAAACTTAGAGTTTTGTTCCTGCTTGCACTTTTTCCGTATGCGCACGCACGCATATAAAACTTAACAATCAATACTTGACTACAAAATATCACCACGGGCGGAAGGGAGCAAAGTGTCCGTCACTCAACTTACAGTAGGAGTGTCAATGTCGCCGGGCTCACTTGGGCTACCAACGGTAGGTAAAGGTAAAGGTAAAGGTAGGACACGATCGATCTTGAAGCCCAGCTCCGTTCTGGAATGAGGAGATCATCGCTGCGTCCGATACTCCTGTATGAACCACTCGAGATCAGCTTCCTATCCCAGCCACAGAAGACCATGATGTCGTCGTCGCCCAAGCATCAATCTTCAATCTTCACCAGCTATCATTGCCTATATCAGACAGACACATTCTAGCCCCCCTCCGGCCAGATACACAACCGTTCATCGACCCATCGTATCGTGAGGAGCTTGAGACATCGACATCCTCAACCTGCACGACGACCAACCTCACAACAGTTAAACAGTCGCACTGCGTCAGACAAGCCAGGGAAGTGCTGCCGGGTAGCCATTCACCGCAGCTCATCCTGCTCATCCTGCTCCTCTTGGTGCGCTTCCCCCACCATGTCATGCCAGCCCAAGCCATGCCATGCCATGCGGTGCGGTGCCTCACGCCAACAGCAACCGAAGCAACACTTCCATTTTCTTTTCGTCCGTCACTCTGCAAACAACTCCCGCGCGCCACGGAACAGCGAGCATTGTTGCTCTGTGTCTGCCGCCCACGCTTCTACTCCTTCCTCCCCGGCTTCTTTTGTTGAGATCTTCCCCGACATTTCACGGTCGAGCCGATGGCGGTGTCCAGCTCTTACAAATGGAAATGTTCTTACGGGACAATGGCAGAGATGCTCACGACGTCGTGGAGCCGTTCCACCAGTCGGCGGGCTGGCGGGGTAGAGTCCTGCCCTGGCTGGGTCTCCTGCTGCGCCCAGCCCGTGGCTTGGAGATAAGGGAAATGCAGGGGCCGGCACCCCGATTGAGCGCTGTCATTGGCCATATGAGTAACGACGTCTTGTAAAACCCGCCCGCCATGGAGACGGCCAATGAGAGACTGGGTGAGATATTGATCTTCAAATATATCTGGAAACCTGAAGGGATCCAGGACTTCGGGTCGCCGACACGTGACTGATTTGTTGTGTCCTTCCAGGTTCCCTTTTCATTCATTTCTCTGCCGTCTTTGCCCTCCCACAGTTGTTATTACTTTCCACTCAAATCTCGTCAGCTTCATGTCCGACGTATGTGTATTCCAGCGGTGTTTTGCTTGCTTCGTGATCATTTGACATTCTGTGTTCCGGGCTGGGCTTCCCGAGTGGACTTGGCACTACTACTCGTGTACAAGTGCTCTCATGAGTCAGAAATGTCCAAAAATACATTCCAAGAGTACGAGATCACGAAGCCCAACAGTTTGGCCTCGCATTGCTCAGACGAACAATATGCCTTGGTTTCTAGCTGCTGAACTTGTTTCACATGTCGTCTTTCGGATGCGGCAGGCATACTCTTTGTCATAAGATGACTGGCAAACGTCAGATGGTTATGGCTGTGTCAAGCAACTCGCCACCACAGGATCTTGGCATATAAAGCCCCTATCTGCGAGACACAGTTTCTCAAGGTTCAAATCGAGTATCGTGGTCGTCAGGGCAGAGCCACTTCCCAAGTTACCCCGCCATCAGAGCCACAGAACGGCCCACATATCAGCCCTATCACTATCCCCTGACGATCTCCAACGAGTAGAAGGTTGAGACTTCTCTCAATTCCTATGGAGTCCACGACTGCCGGATTCCATATTGCGGTTGTGCCGAATTGTCAGCCGGGCCTGGGATGTGAAACCTTGTGGTCCTCAGGTGTCAATGGTCAAGTTTGCGATTTTAGAAGAAGGCAACAAGGTCAAGATTTCTTTGAATATTACTCGATTGAGGTTTGTCTGCCTCTATATGTGCATACCATGCTGATGATCAATAAATGAGCCCATCTTCGTTGTTCCAGAAGCAATTGGAAGTCGACGCTGGTACGATTGGCTGCTGGAGAGATTTTCTTGACTCCATCTTTCCTGGATATAATTCCTGTATCAGCCTTGTTGTCGCCATTGCAATAGGCAACAGAATATGGGAAATACGTTGCAAATTCAATTGTGCCTTTGCCTTCGCTTTCTACTTCTCATTCGTTTCCGACATGCCCTCTTACTACCGCTCATGCGGACTACTGGCCCATTTTTAAGTTAGCATCTGAGAAGGGTGCCACAGCCCATTGTGAATCCTGATGCTGGGCATGAGAGCTTGTTGCTCTTGGGGGGACTACAAGCTTCCACTAGTCTTTGAACCATTCAGCTTGGGACATTACCCTCTTGTGATTCAGACATTTCATTAGCCGGGTGGTCAAGCTCGACGGTTTTTGAGTTGAATCATATTTAACGACAAGTCTCAAGCTATTTTCAGGGCATTCAGTGAAGCCCGACAGAACATTTGATAATTTTACTAGAGTTCCAATATCCGCTTCCAGTCCTTGGAATGTATGCAAGTGAGGCCGTAAAGATCTTACTCTCATTCCTCAGTCTGCTATCCGTAATTAGGTGACTTCCATTTTACTGTGTACGTACGTATCAAACCGAGCGAAAGATTTTGTCAACACTTGACGAACAAAATGTCAGCAACATGTGTTTTCTGAATTGGGGCTCAGATTTCTATTTAAATGCCCACCTGATTTCAACAACACTTTGAACAGCTAAGGTTTTACTTCTGTCAACATCTAGGATTGTCATGCTAAGTCACGGCGGAATCCTACTCCTCTGACAATTGATTTCCAAATTCTCATTGCTTAACTCCGAACTCCAGTGCTGCTAATCAAACCCAAACCCTGACACCTGAGCCACCACCATGACCATACCGCAACGGATTTCCTTCCGCGTCTCTAAATCAACGCGGTGATTTGAACCATGGGTATTTAAGACTCCGCGAACCTCCTGGCACAAGCCTATTGTACTGCTCCGTGAACTTTTTGCCTCCTGTTTCGACATGGAACTCGGCAGCACTGAGAGGTGGCCCCTGGTCTTCACGGGGGGGGGGTTTGTGCGTGCGCCGATTCCATGCATTGCGTTTGGAACAGCGACATTTCCAGCTGATTCGCCTTCCGTTCCGCCTCGCCCGAGTTCACCCAGACATGACCACTGAACCTGCTCTCGATTTGTCCACCCCACTCATTATCTGAACGCGTTACCACGAATTACATTATATTCGGAAGAAATCGGTTCTCTTTACTTACCGGCAGTGCTGTACACGAAAAAAGTCACTCTGCAGAGACCTTGGGAAGATTTTGGTCGCTTAAATGACTCGTTGGACTTGCCTACTGTTTGTTCGGATGGAGCCAATGACGAGCTATGGTGAAAATCAGTTAAATAAATGAAAAATAACAAAGCTTGACAGCAATGGACATCGCAGGGTGGAACAGCTCACCGAATGATAACAAACACCTTCTTCTGAGTGTCAGGAATGACAAAGACCGCATCATCTCCCACAACATGATTCTCCTCGGAGAACTGCTTCTGCAATACGTTGGCCATCGCTTGTCCGGTACTCTGCTTAACGTTCTTGTCGCACCACATGAACTCCACTGTCCTCGACGGGGTTGTTGTTCGATGGAGGTAGACGCCAAGCAAACGTTGGATCAGCCATATCACCTTCAGCGATATCAGCGTTGGGTAGAAGCACTCAAATGCCATTGGTTTGTTCGGGACTCGGACTTGTTGGCAGTTTTGGTGGTTGAATTGGGTGATGTGTGATGGGAGAAGATCAGCAGTTGCCGGGATATAAATATAACAAAGACGTCCAAAGAAGCCTTGGAAAAAAATTCTAGTGGTATCCAGAATAAGCATACAGGGATAATTCGCTTCGAGATCAAACGGTTTAGGAGAAAGAGGAAGTGAAAGGAGTGCGCATCGGCGAACAGAGAGGACGAAGAAGGAAGAGTGAAACCGAAGGAGAAATAAAGAAGCTGAGCCTGCAGAGACTTCTCGTCCTTTCCATTATACCACTTCAGGAAAATGCTGTCATAACCTCTTGGTTTTGACAGCATGAGGAGAAAGCTCTACTTCATTGTTCTGTCCCGTCATTTGATAAGAGAGCTTGAAATTATGTGTAGTTCTCGCAAATGGGCCAACCATCACGCCTAGCACACACGTCGGGAGATGATCTGCAGAGCTTCATATTTTGCACGATAGGATGGACCGATTGAAATCCAGAAGAACCAACAGCAAAAGGCTTGACCGCGACAGTTATCTTACCTGGAAATTTGAACAATTATAAAATGTTGGGCCAGATTTATACTAAGAAATGGTAAGTTTCTCGCTTAGGTGAGAGTGCAGCTGGACTTGTTGACTTCTCGCTTACGGGGTGCTGGCTAATCAGGATAAGGAGGCCCGGAATGGATGGGTTGAACAAAGACAGAACGTTTCAAACAAGTCACGCACTTGACACATCTTTTCAATTGGGTGGTCTGTTATGGCTCTGCTCCTTTGACATGACTATCCGTTCTACTCATAACACAATGAAATGTAATCTTAGTCCTCATGCAGATCCCGGCGCGCAATTGTCGATGTCTGAATTTGACCGTCAGATTCTCCGATGGCGCCAAGTGCATTATGATTTAATACCCCATTCTGATAGATCAAGTGCTATCTGTCACACTGTCAGTTCCTAGGCCAGTATTGAAATTGTGTCACTGTATCGACGTTCAGTACGTATTGTTGTAAGTCTGTGGGAAATGGTAGAAGATGTCGGCCATCATGTAGCCTGAAAAAGTTCAAGATCTTGTGCCATACAATATCCAAGCCTCCTCTTCTTTGGGTTCATACGAGCTCGCACTGTCCCCTGAAATGCACTCTTTCGGTGGTCATGTGGCCGTTTGCAATCAAGTGGAAATCTACATTCCGTAAATCGCGGGCTCTCACAAAGGGCTTCGTTTTTGAGTCCCCACCCCAAAGCAGATCTGGAATCCTGATAAAGATTTCTGGCTGTTCTGGGCCAATTCTCTTCACGATGGATGAATAATGCCACCACAACAAATGTTAGTAAGGATATTCATTAGAGTTGGTTTTGGGGTTGTGGGGGTTAATAAAGAAGTAAAGCTAAGACAGGAATGCTGATTTATTTTTGCGACAACATAAAAGGCGAGGAAGTCACTTGTTTCTTTGAAAATTTGGTTGATACTGGTAAACTTGACTTCACAGCTCAGGAGATTTCACTGTCTTTTATACCCCTGCCGGGACCGAACTCTGCTAACGCCTTACCCAACGGGATATCTGCCCTTTGTGAGTTTAGACTTCCTATCAACCTCAAGCCGATAGGTGGCTCATTCTCAATTCAAGCAATATCAAGTCCCGATGTCGAAACCACCCACTTTCCCTCATGACTCATGAAGAAAAAGCAGTGTCCATTATGATGACGAGGTTGAAGACTTATGGTCCTATGGATTTGGGGGGCTTCATCCCGTCACTCTGGGGAGTATCTTTAACAAGAGGTATACAGTGGTACATAAGCTGGGAAGTGGAGGACTCGCAACTGTCTGGTTGGTTTGGGACCAGCTAGATTGCCGTTACGTTTCCTTGAAAATCCTACGAGCGGATCAATTGGAAACATCCAGGGAGGTTCAGATTCATCAATATCTCGCCCGTCTGAACATCGACCTCGAAGAAAACTTCATTTGCCCTCTGTACGATCATTTCTTACACCAAGGCCCATATGGAATTCACATCTGTCTTGTTTTTCCCCTAGCAGGAAAAAGCGTTTGGGACGATGTCCAAACGTCTCTGCCCCAAACTGAGGAACAGACGATTGAACAGGCTCGACAATATGGCCGCCAACTCGCTCATGCTGTAGCACTTCTGCATTCTGTTGGCATCGCTCATGGATGTAAGCACCGCTATTCCCAATGATATCGTTGGCAAGAATTGCTGTACTTAATTTCGAATCAGACCTATCCCAATCCAATGTTCTCACCCAAATCTCAAAATGTCACTATGATTCTCTTGAAGAACTTTACAAGGTCATAGGCGAGCCTGAAAGAGTCAAAGCCACCCGTGGAAAGAAAACCGCTGATGAACGTGATACACTACATCTTGTTAGTTCCGCCGATCTATTGAACCTTCCGCGTACGGGCAAAGTCCTGGTCGTAGACTTTGGTTGTGCGTTCTTTATAGACTATCCTCCTACCGCTGGTGTAGGGATACCTATTGCGTACGCCGCACCAGAGATTCTTTATGAGAAGGTTGATGCAGAGGCTGCCTCGCCAGCTGTTGACCTCAGGGCCACTGGACGTCGCTTGTTCGAATGGTGCCGCGGACGACAGGTCTTCACTGGCTATAATCGAGAAGTCACATCCGCTGCCTCGCCAGCTGTTGACCTCTGGGCCATTGGATGTCTCTTATTCGAATGGTGCTGCGGACAAAAGCTCTTCACTGGCTATGCCCGAGAAACCATATCGGCTGAGTGGACTGTACTTCTGGGAAAGCTGCCTGAGCCATTCTGGGAAGAATTCTCAGGGCGGAAGAAACTCTTCGATGATCACGGAAAGTTGCGGCGGAATCAGAGCCTTCCTTATGTCCTGGAGGAGGTCACTGACATCTCACACTGGCTGAACAAATGCTGGGGTAAGCCAAGTGGGTACAGCAAAGAAATGTCTCGCTTTAATACACAGTCTATGCCGTGGTACCCTGATCACTGGCCAGCTCCACCTCGGATTCCGATATCAGTCAGCAGAGATATGACCAAAGAACGTAGTGTGGTCACACGAATCACGCCTGGCCTCTCTTATAAGACAACTACAACAAATCTTAATGATGAGTCCAATCACCTCAAACCTGACGACGAAAATCTCCAGGTCGAGATAGAAAATTCTCCTCTTGATGTCGGCGTTTCTACGCGAAGTCAACCCAAGAACATTATTGACACGCCTTTATCACGATGTGCTCCTACAAAAGCTCCTATACAACTTCCTCCTGGCGCTGCAGACTTCCACTGTCTTTTGAAGCAACTGCTTGTTTATGATCCGGACCAGCGGCTACCAGCGCTTATGGTCTTGCGACATCATTGGTTTTTGGACAACCCTAAACCATGCGAAGCTAAAGAAATAACTGCAACCCAGGGAGCAACAGACCCAACATCTGCTACTTCCAAGGAGGATGGACCTGAGCCGTCTGGATTAGAGGCTAGAATTCCCACCAGGTGGTCTTTGGCTTTTGACGAAGGGTCACAGAGATGGGAATACTTCCGAAAGCTTGAAGAGCCGATGTAATATAATAGTGAATGAAGGGGAACTTTCCAACTCGAAAATAGCGTGTGGTGGGTTTCACAACGAGCTCACTTACCTAGGTAAGGTAGGTAAGGTATTTGACATGTGATTGTCCAATTATATATTCATTCTCGTGACTCCAAGACCTCGCCATTTCCGAGACTTTCTCATTGACGTGTCTGTCTTATGATCATGGTCCTGTCCAGACCGCCATCTCATGAAGATTCAGAAACAACTTTCCTTGCCTTCCCTGCACCACTCTTCTCCCCCACAAAACATACTTACCCAGCCTCGCCAGCCTGCAGCCCAATGTTGACTCGATGGGATCGAGTAATACCAGTCGCTGCGGAAACAGCCTTATCGCGTTCCCTGTCCCGGCGATCTTATCTTACAGTATCTTGAAATCTGCGTGTCGATAACAGCAGCCGTAGCCTATCATGAGAGCTCGCTTCCAGGGCCAACAGCGGCAGCCTACTGTATGTTTTGTTTGCACCAGGGATGTTCTGATAAGGATTCATTATTATTGGTGACAGCCGCGGGCGCCGAGCTGGCTCGCCGTGCAACCATGACATTATTATCAACGTCAGGCTGGCGTGGGGTAACAACCAAGGCCGCATGCATACGATTTCTTGCAGTGCAGGAGCTTTGCCTTTGACTGGTCTAAGCTGTCTCCGAGCCCTTGGTAAGACCTTGGGACAGCTGCTTCTCCGCTAAATCCAGACTTGGAACACGCTTCTGGCTGTCTTGGCCACCTGATAACGGTCAGGGACATAGACAGACGTAGGGGGCCGATGGCCACAACATGCGACTCCTCCGTTTCTTCCTTGAGATTTTGCAAAAGGTTCTACATGCCATGCAGAGGCTGCAGCTCGTGATTACAGCGGTGCAAAGTACATGAAGATCGATTCCTCTGCCTGAAAAAAACTGCAAAGTATATAGCCCGTGCAAATGCCACCCTCTTCTCGAGATGAGGAATCAGATTCCAAAAGCTTCTCAGGAGGCAAACCCAGGTTCAGCAACTACTTTCGCCAGATATCGAGGAGCGATTTCTCGAACAAAGGGGAAAACGAACCTTTGCTATCAGGTCCGTCAACTCCTCGAAGGACTAGACGTCATAGTACCCACACAGTCGATCCTGCATTTAGACGAGGAAGTATCAGCTCAGAACACGGAATTGTACTTCACTCTTCTGACGAGTCCAACTTTTTCGACTTCATCATGGAGAAAGTCAGGGGTACAAAAGTGGCATATTGGGCCGACAGGGCGGCTGTAGAGAGCGAGCCTGGCTTGACGAATGCTCAGTTGATGCTACACAATCATGACTTGAAGCCTGGTATGTAAATGCCCTATGGGATATTGAGGGTATTTCTGATCATGACAGTTGAGGCGGAACGTCGACAATGGGGCCCTTGGAACTTCGTTGGCTTCTGGGTTGCAGATTCGTTCAACATCGTAGGTTTAATCTTGCTTAGAGCTGAAAGGACCAAGACTAATCAGCTTGTCAGAACACTTGGATGATATCTTCCTCGATGATCAGTGCCTCTAGTCTTTCTTGGTGGCAATCCTGGATTTGTGTCTGGCTGGGCTACACGTTTGCAGCCTGCTTCGTCTGCATGACTGGGCGAATTGGAGCAACCTACCACATTTCATTTCCCGTTGTATCTCGATCATCCTTCGGTATCTGGGGAGCTCTCTGGCCGGTATTCAACAGAGCTGCGATGGCATGCATTTGGTACGGAGTTCAAGCATGGATTGGAGGGAATTGCATCCGACTCATGATCTCATCAATCTGGCCATCCTATGAAAACATTCGCAATGGCATCCCCAAGTCTGGAACAAACACCCGCGATTTCGTCTCCTTTCTCATTTTCTGGCTTCTGTCTCTACCTGCTATCTGGTTTCCAGTCCACAAGATCAGACATCTGTTTACCGTTAAAGCTTATGTGGTGCCAACTGCGGGGATTGCATTCTTCATATGGGCTATCGTGCGAGCTAAGGGTATTGGACCGATTGTCAAGCAGCCAAACACGTCTCATGGATCCAAGCTGGCTTGGGGTATGGTCACAGGTATCATGTCTGCCATTTCAAACTTCGCTACCCTTATTGTGGTATGTAACCTTCCCCTCTCAGCACATTGAGGTCGACTGATTTTGCTGCAGAATGATCCCGACTTCGCCCGTTTCGCACGCAAGCCCAAAGATGCTTTCTGGTCCCAGCTCCTCACCATTCCCTGTGGCTTCGGTCTGACCTCGTTCATTGGAATCATCGTCTCCTCATCATCCACTGTCATCTTTAAAGGCGATCCAATCTGGAACCCTCTCGATCTTTTGCAGTCTTTCCTTGAAGAAGGCTCTTCTGGAAACCGCGCTGGTGTCTTTTTAATCGCGACTGCCTTCGCTCTAGCGCAACTCGGGACAAATATTGCAGCAAACTCGGTGTCAGCAGGGACAGACATGACAGCACTCCTTCCCCGCTACCTCAATATCCGTAGAGGTGGCTATATTTGTGCCATTGTTGGTCTTGTGATGTGTCCTTGGAATTTGCTCAAGGACGCCAACAAGTTCACTACTTATCTTTCAGCCTACTCCGTCTTCCTCTCTTCTATTGCTGGAGTGATCGTCATCGACTACTACTTTGTTCGCAGAGGTTTCCTGCAAGTCAAGGATCTCTACTCCGCCAAGAAGACCGGCCCATATTTTTTCACATACGGGGTACACTGGCGGGGTTATGTTGCCTACATTGCCGGAATTCTGATTAATATTGTAGGATTCGTCGGTGCCATTGGAAAGACAGTGCCGATAGGGGCCCAGTATATTTACAACCTGAATTTCTTCTGCGGATTTATCGTAGCTGGAAGTGTTTATTATTTGCTCTGTAAAGTCTTTCCGGTCCCGGCTACGAGTGATGTGTGGATGGAGGTTGGGGATCAGGTTGAGGATATGAGCTTCGCATATGATATTGGGAGTGATTATGGTGAGAACGATGGCGGGAAGACCGTGTTCAAAGAAGGTGCTGTTGATTCGATAGGGAAGAGAGGCTATGAGGTTTGAATTTTTGCAGTCCGGCATATTGATGGTCTAGGAGAGAGGCGTTTCTGGTAATTGCTGGTTGGGTTTATTCCCCCTTAGATCAGTGCATCTAGAACTCTTTAGAATTATACATATTGTTTATTTGCTACTCGAGCAGAGAATCATAAATACTACATCATCAAGCGAGATAACCATACCTCCCAAGAAAGACCTACTTCGCCTCAGTAGCTGAGGTGAAATTCGATTCCAAGCACTCGCTTCGCTTCGCATCCCGGCTCATATCAAACCAACCCCAGATTCCTTCCCAGGGATATCAATTGCCGAACCAATCTACCCCACACAAGTCAACCACCAGTACTGATCCCAATATGGATAAAACAAACATAACTTAATACACACGATATTTTACTAGCCCAAGCAGTCATCAGAAACACCTGCTAAGCACGCAAGATGACACGTCGGAGATCTACGTTCCGCGATTGCTGGCTCAAGCATGTCTTGTGCTTGAATACTTGAACATTTGAGTTTTGGTAGATACAAAACATCGAATCAATTGGCTTCTATACTTGAGGCTTAATGATGAGGTCTTGGGGTACTATACTACGGGGATGTTGGCGTGGTCATTAATTTCGAGTGTTGGATGGAAGGTGACTGCTTCGCCTGGATAGATAGCTGGTCAGAAAGTTCTATATATCTTGTCCCCGCCTCACACCTTCAGAGGGAGTCTTCATCTCTATCTTGTACTTTCAACTGAAGCTTCTTTGACATTCATTGAAATTTTCGTGTGAGAGAGTTCATCATGAAGCTTCAAATTACCTTTTCTTGTGCTGCGCTCCTGGGGATGGGATCTTGCCATACGATCTTCACTTCTTTGGTCACTGGAGGGACCACAAATGGTATGATATCGCTAGTATCTATCTTTGTGCTTGATGTACCTAACGATTTTAGGTGTTGGCGAAGGTGTCCGTGTGCCAAGTTATGATGGTGTAGGAAATTCTTTGGACAAATTCCACGGCATTTACTGACTGTCGTAGCCCATCACTAATGTTGCATCAAACGATATCGCTGTACGTACTAAAGGGAAAGATATTCTGAGTATTAAACGCTGACTTCGGATCCCAAGTGCAATGGAGGCCCAAACCCAACCCAATCGACCTCGAAAATACTCAATGTCGCAGCCGGCTCCACAGTCAAGGCCATATGGAGGCATACTCTTACGAGCTCAGGCTCTGATGTTGTCGACTCGAGCCATAAAGTACGATTGATGATGAGAGAGCAAGGAGAGGGATAGTGCTGATATACTTTGCAGGGACCGATCATGGCATATATGAAGAAAGTATCCAATGCTGCCACCGATCCGGGTTACGGAGCTGGGTGGTTCAAGATCCAGGAAGCTGGTCTTTCTTCCTGTAAGTTACTGCACTGCCCGAGTACATTCAGAGTACTGATATTGAACAAAGCCGGGAAATGGGCTGTGGACGATTTGGTAAGCCATGGTTGTCATGGATGAATCGGAAGTATTGGCTATTGGAACTAATGATGAATTATCTATTCTCAGATTGCAGCCCAAGGCCAACATTCTATCACGATACCATCTTGTATTGCCCCAGGGCAATACCTACTCCGTGCTGAGTTGATCGCTCTTCATGGTGGTATGTTATCCCCATTTCCCCAGTACTTAGATCTCCATGTACTGACAAAAGCCAAGCTGGATCTTCTGGTGGTGCTCAATTCTATGTAATTTCTCCCCATTCTCTACCAAATCTTCCTAGACTGAGGTTATAATAATAATTTTATCAGATGGAATGTGCACAGATCAACGTCACCGGTGGCACGGGTGCAAAAACCCCTGCCACTGTTAGCTTGCCTGGTGCTTACAAGGCGAACGATCCTGGAATCTTGGTCAACATTTATGGGAACCTGAAGAGCTATGTTATTCCTGGTAAGCAACTAATTCGAAATTACGTCCAATATGGGTAGTGGAGAGTGTGGGTTAGTCAGGGCTGACCTACTTGTGCAGGGCCTTCAGTGTTTACTTGCTAGATTCGGAGGCGAGATTCAGGTTTAAAGATCATCAGCAAGAAGGATTGAATGTTACAGAGCTGAAAAGAGGGGTAGAGGAGGTGTTTGAGTATTGTGACAAACTTCCAGTTTGAAATTAAATGTTTCGAGGAGAATTTTGAAAGTGACTTGTATCACATCCATTCTACTATACGAATTATGACATGTGGCTCAGAGTAAGGTATATCTCCTGGCTTGTTGACCAAAGTGAGAGTTCTGGTGAAGATCGTCAATTCAGAGACCAATCTCAAGAACCATGAACCGTGTTTGTCCAGGTCGTTTACGGTGTCGCATGTCTGTAAGGATTTGTGGTGAAATTTCACGTGATGTTTACATTAGGTGCTAACCAGGTGGGTGCTTTGCAAGGTAATCATTTAGGACTACGGCAGATCTAGTCAACCTTTGGCTCGGCCACTTCATTTTATTATGCCATTATCCATTAATTGTCTCTCTGGAGCAGTGCTTTTACTTGTGGTTCCAATTTGCGTCTCCAATCTATGCCTTAACCTGATGCTGCTCTTGACTATCGGCAGGGACTTCACAAACGAAACATCAGTTCAAGCTGGTAAAGCCACACTGTCAATATCTGCGACTTCACTTTTCCAGAACTTTGTCTTGAAAGTTTATTTTTCCAAAGGATAACTAAGGCTCAATTCAGCGGACCCACCAACGTCGATCTCATGTCTTTTAAAAGTTGAATCCTTCCAATTTATCCTCAAGAAAAATTCTTTGGACGATGATCCACTGTCCAACCCAGAAAGACCATGAAAACGTCGAGGTCACATTTTAGGACACGTCCTGGTGGTATTGGAAGCTAGACTCTGGACAAATCCAGAACTATTGCTCATCTATGCGGAAGTGATTTGTGTGAAACGATGAATTGCTGGGTCTCTTCTAAAATAACGAGTGACTTATTCTGAGACTCCCTATGTTGAGAATGACCGCTTTACAACGCGTTAGCTTAACAAGATGCCACCTCCGGGCCAGGGATCGTGTAACTGGTGAACTACACGAAGAATTAGTACATTTCCAGATAACTTCGGGTAGGGACAAACTAACATTCGTGTAAATGTTTGCAATGTATCCCGGATCAGTGGCCTTGAAAGCCCCGGGAATAGCAACCTTGGGACCCAGATCCTTGGATCCACCTCCAGTGATGGCAACTTGCGCGCATGAGACATAGAACTGTGGGAGTGCGGGATAAGGATTGTGGATAGCCATGCTCTGGATTCGAACGAGGTATTCCCCAGCTGAGATACAAGCCGGAATTGGAACTTCGTATGTTTCTATTCATGTTTAGCGATTACCATACCTTATTAGAAGTGGAGGTGAGAGAAATGGGACATACGCTTCAAGTCCCATTTCCCGCCTGGGAAAGTCGGGCCAATGTCTAAAATCTTGAACCACACGTTTCCTGAACCATCGAATGCGGCAGCAGTTGTAGGGGCTTTGGCCATGTATACAGAGACAGGTCCGTTATGGTAGACAGCTGTGTCACTAATAAACGCAATGGTGGACCCAGCTGCCAGAGTGACGGTTGAGGTGTTGAAACCAGTTTCAGCACCCACGTTGCAGGTAAGATCTGAGCTTGTGAGATCTAGTAGGGTCAGTAAGATCTATTGAGCTATCAATAGAGCAGATTGTTTTCTTACCGGTCACAGGCGAATTCCCATTAGTGTTCTTCCGGACATAGGTGTATGGGGGATTCTTTGTGCCACCAACAGCAAGGGACTGGAAAATATCTAAGGTGATGGTAAGATTCGGTATCAAAGAACTACGGGAGTTACTGAGACCTACAGTGAGCAGAAGCTTGCTGGCTAACAAGAGTTAGAATGGCGGAGCAAGTGGTAAATCCCTTCATGATGCAGTAGGAGAAAAATTGGAATCCGAACGAGTTGAGTATAAGTGACCAGAATACACTGGGTGTGGAAAGTACACTTAGTTTGACATGTAGGACAGAGAAGGGCGCCCTTCCACTGTTTTATACTTCGATCAACAAGGTTGTTGATGCAATTCGTCATCACAATTATCAGAAGTCTTCAACACATTATTGCAGCGCACTTCAAGTAAACAACGTAACCGTGATGATCTCGTTTCAGTTCAATGCAGACACCGTGAACAAAACCTGTCTCATTGAACATAACTTGGGGGATCAGTGAGAGTATCGATTCCTGTTTGGTAGGAAACAGTCTGCGCCAAGTATGGACAGTGTCAGATCTAAACTAATTATATCGCAGTGTTATTGACTTGGGCATGTTACAGACGAAGCCAACAACAGCAGACTTATCAATTATCTGTCTGCATGTAAAGTAATAAGTAACAGAAGATGATAATATCATGGCCAAATGTAAACCATTTAACCAAAAAGCAATACAGCATTTATGTGAAAGCAAAGTAGTTCAAGTACTAGCCTTCAAGAGTCATCACTCGACGTCGCTCCAACACCTCAAAGGTGAGAACTGATACCAATTATTATGAGTCTGTATGAGTCGGTCCAGGATCCCGAGTATTGACGGACCTCATAGATATATGGCAACTTAAGCCACTCGCTGGCTTGAAGTATGCCCAAGATTTGGTCATACTTCATGATTTCATCTGCCGGCCAACACCTCACATGGTAAGCGAGCGGGTAAATAGAGACTCACGTGGCAGAAGTAGCCTGGCACGGGGTCTACGGGCCGTCCCCTCATCTATCCTAGACGTCTTGGGAGCGACCTGGCTTGGTACTCGATCAAGCTCACACGTCGCCCCAGTTGGCAGTGGCATATGGCTGCCAGGAGAAAAGTCCTGGTGGCATTTAAAATCATTTAAGCGAGGGCTTACTTGTTGCCCCTTGATCATTTCGGATCTCGGCCACCGCTCCGGGTAATTTGTCCCCACAACATTCCTCCTCCGCAATCTAAACTTCCACAACATCTCAACTACCCCTCCCCCATTTCTTCTCCGCGTTATGTTGCGCTACTGCTGCAGGGCAAAGCAGGGCATGATGCCATCTTCGGATGTCTCTGCCTGTTCTGTACCAATCTATGCCTCCAATTTGGAGGCGAGCCAAACCATTACGGATACATCGCAAGGCCGATGCCTCTCCTTGATCAGGAGAGTCGTGAAGCGAGCGGAGAAGCGTTTTTCCCTAAGAGTATTGAGTTTGTTTCGTTTCGATTGCTATGATATGAATTTTTTCTGAGCATTAATATTCATGCTTAGTTTCAGGACCCAAAGTTTGGAAGCTAATTAATTCCTCGGCTTTATCTTCAAGGTCCACGCAGAAGATTTCGAGCCAGTAGTGGGCATTGAAGTCCAGTATTATCACAAGACATGATTTGATCACTTCTTTCGGATCATATGTTCCTAGATTCCGTACTCAGACAGGGACAAGACCCATCTTGGGTATAGTGGTGGGGTGCAGGGTGGTTTACAAGCCACCTCAAGATATCTCATTGGCAAGTGCGGCTCGCTCCTCAGTTCAGTGTTTCCCATAGTCTATGGAGAATGAGTGAATGACTAGGACTACTCGCGTCCTGTTCCGTCAATCTTCTCCACTTTGTCCCCTGCGATTTGGCGTTACTTTTCTCTCGTCCCATGTTCCCAAACTTAGTTCAGCTTGCAGCCAGTTGAATCTCAGGTGTTCCTGTAGAGTGGACCCTTGATCTTCACATCACCTTCAAACTCACTATTAGTTCTTGTACCTTCTCAGGCTATTCGGAACCTCAAATCAGTCGGCCGTGATGCTCCTCCGTTAGACTACGCTTGAAGTGGCGACCCGATGAAGCCACGGGTTGCTAGCTATATAAATGGTTCGAGGCTTTCTACTTTTTCTTTCGATTCATTCACAGCCATCCAACTTTCACATCATTCTTCAGATATGACAATCAAGAACGCTCTCTTCGCTGCTGCGGCACTTGTGTCGGCTGTCAGTGCTCAGTCCGGAGCATATGGACAATGTAAGTCGCAAATCCTCATCACGAATTGGTGAGTCTCTGACAGGCTTTAGGTGGTGGACAAGATTGGAAGGGATCTACGACCTGTATCTCTGGATATTATTGCAGTTTCGGTAACCAGTGGTATTCTCAATGTCTGCCTGGATCACCACCAGCTGGGACAACTTCAACGACTTCAGCGCCAGCAACAAGTCGGCCAACTAGTGGTAGTGGGACCACAACATCGAAGCCTGCTACTACTCCTGGAGGAACCCCGACAACCAGCATCCGTCCAGGGGGGACGACTGCCGCAGCCAGTGGAAATCCTTTCTCGGGAGTTGCTTTATACGTCAACCCATATTATGCCTCTGAAATCAGCGCATATGCCATTCCTTCGCTCACTGGAGCCATGGCAACCAAGGCCGCTGCAGTTGCGAAGACTCCTACTTTTGTCTGGCTCGACACTATGTCCAAAGTTCCTCTTATGGGTACTTTCCTTGCCAACATCCGAGCTTTGAACACTGCAGGTGCTAGCCCAAAGGTTGCTGGAACATTTGTCGTCTATGATCTGCCAGACCGGGATTGTGCCGCTCTTGCATCGAATGGAGAGTACTCAATCGCCAATGGAGGTGTTGCCAACTACAAGAAGTACATTGATGCCATCAAGGCTCTTCTTGTGACCTACTCAGATGTTAAGGTCATTCTCGTCATTGGTACGCCATATATACCATGGAGAACACATGAAACATCGCTGATAATACCTCAGAGCCTGACTCCCTAGCCAATCTTGTCACCAACATGAACGTCGCCAAGTGCTCTAATGCAGCTGCTGCCTACAAGGAATGTACAACTTATGCTATACAGCAACTGAACCTTCCCAATGTTGCCATGTATCTTGATGCTGGTCACGCTGGATGGCTGGGATGGCCCGCCAATATTGGACCTGCAGCAACCTTGTTTGGAGATCTCTACAAGGCAGCTGGCAGCCCCTCCCAGGTTCGAGGTCTGGCCACAAATGTTGCCAACTACAACGCCTGGAGCATTGCTACCTGCCCATCGTACACTCAAGGCCAAGCAGACTGCGATGAGCTTCGATACGTCACTAAGTTCGCACCTCTTCTTACTGCTGCCGGATTCCCAGCCCACTTCATCACTGATACTGGTAAGTTTGACCTCAAATGAATGTATGCAGTGGATCAACATCTAACCTGACATAGGTCGCAATGGAAAACAGCCAACCGGTCAACAACAATGGGGAGACTGGTGCAACATCAAAGGAACTGGCTTCGGCGTTCGCCCAACCACAGATACCGGAACTGCCATTGAGGACGCCTTTGTCTGGATCAAGCCCGGTGGAGAGGCTGATGTAAGTCGGAAGAACATTCTCTGGAGAATCAGCAAGGCTAACTTATGCAGGGAACTTCCAACAGCAGCGCTGTCAGATACGACGCTACTTGTGGCAGGGAGGCGGCTCTCCAGCCTGCACCAGAAGCTGGAACTTGGTTTGAGGCCTACTTTGAGCAACTGCTGACCAATGCCAACCCACCATTGTGAAGACCGGGCATATACTGTGCTTTGGTATAATATCTTATGAGTTGTGTTGAGAAAGGGAAGGGGACATATCTTTGACGATATACAAAACTTTGTACATACATTCTCTTCTAGTAAATACTACATCTAGCACATAGCACTTTTGTCCAGGGCATATTTCAGGTTGCAATTGACGTCCCCATGTGATCGCTCATTTTTCAAGAGAAGAGTGCTGAACGCAAGTGTGTGCTCAAAAAGGCGTGCTACATGCCAGAATGTATGGCGGTTAGATGGACTGGAGAGTACTGAATGATGCTTGAGTCCTTCTGAATCGGGCTTGAGGATGACAATCAACTGCGAGAATTGTTTGGCCAAATAACAAACCCTACCACGCTTTTATTGCTCTCAGTTCTCTGGTTTACTTTTAAGTGTAAATGAACGACTCTTCTTGCCTTGTAAAGACTCGGGCACTGCACTCATTCATGTGTTGTCAAATTATACTTCAGCGTGCCGCTTGTCGGCGAGCCTCAACACTACCCAACCCATATCTGCGGAACCGGTCAAGCCATATGACACATTTAAAGTCGGATATTTGGGCTATTCATTTTCTACTTGACTATTATGGTCTCTGAAAGATGTCCTAGCCTTGGAACCGGACTCCATTGCCCTGCTATGTATAGATCGACCCACAAAGACATTTCCCTCGAGGGCATCGAAGATACCAAGATACTCAGACTAATATCCATATATTAAACATCATGGAAGAATCATAACTCAGTGGCTGGAGTTCTCTTCTAGAGGCATTGGGCAGCCAGGATTCCCCACAGTTGCTGGGGTTTAAATTGTGGAGAATCAGCCTCGAGGAGCAGTACTCGACGATACTTTCAATTCTGCCAAAATGCTACTAAGATATCGGTCACGCATTTATGCTCAACTACCGGGATTGAAATACTCTCAAACATACTTCCTTCTGCCCATATTAATGTCGAGTATGGGGACTTGCTTATATCTCTGCCTCGCCCGTTCCAAGAGATGTTTCTGTACTCAAATCTGAGATGCTTGGATTTGGAATGCAGTCAACATTTCTTACTTTCATGGTTTACTAAACGCAGGAATTGGTCCACCTTGCTCTTAAGCGGACAACCCATAGCTAATCGAGCTCGAACAAGAAGCATCCTTTGAGACGTATGATTCACCGCAGACACGGGCCCAACAACCAGCGCTGGAACTAATTGAAAAGATACACCCATCAATGATACATTCACGGCAACAGAGCCACATCGAAATACATCTCCACCTTGCAATCATACAAGAAACAAGGCTCCAACGACTTTTTGGCTCGAGACCTGCACTTGACAGGGTGGTGAAATGGAACTCGGATGAGTGGAGGAAGGAGTAGGTTCTCAGACGGCAGCTACCATAAATGAGGGAAAGGAGTACTTCTATGTCACGGTCATGGGCACAGAACCGAATGCATTCAATCCAGCGTCTGAGCGTTTCTGGTCTGTTCCCTGTGAGTCTATCAATTGAGTTGCAATGATTGGTAAACTTGCTAATGACGATATTGTGAATCCCACTTCACAGAAGTGGAGTTCGGATAGCTCGTTAAACCACAAGTTCCCAGCAGATGAATGAAATTTACTTGTTAATGGAAACGAGATGGACAAGCAATAAACGCGACAGATCAAATATTTCACTATCACCCTCGCAGTCAATCAAGATGGAACTCAGACTTCATCGCAGATGGTCCATTCTCAGAAATACTTATTCATATGAGACGAGAGCTCGCTAACATCTTCCAAGTCAGCCATAAAATTGCCTTTCCCTTGACGTTGGTGCTCGAAGCGTCACATTCTATCAATCAACCAGGGCAGATCCTCTTGTACAGACCACAGGCTCGGTGTCCAACGGCACGTCATCTGTAAGATGGCTTTCCTCGCTTCCAGATCAGCCCTGACGTTTCCGATAGAATGGAGCAGATTTGCAGCTGTGCTTCCTACGATCACCAAGATCCGGTGATAGTGACGGCGGAGCTGAAGATTGGTATTTCAGCGGGGCGTATATTAAGAGCAGAACCTTGACCACGTCCGTTACGGGATCAGCATAGGACTATAGACCGTCAACGATATCGCCACTCATCAAAGGAACACGGATGGGCGGGAGGAAATCAGGGTAGACTTCAGATACCACCAAGGTACCTGCTTGAACCTTGATATTAGGCAGGCAGAATGTCCCTCCATCTCTTCATCTATTCCGCCACCAGACTCCTCCTGCTGCCCAAGCCGAGATCAATCTCGAGCATACAGCTGACCACCTCCATAATGTAGACGGAACAGTGCCATGTCGTCAACCTTGAGTATAAACACCTGCATGATCGAATCAGACGACCAAATATTCCTTTCCGTTGCCTTCGCCTGTCAGGGGCAGGCTTCTTACCCCGGACATCCTGCCGCCGACATTGCGGCATGTAAAGAGCCGGTGCGACGGACGGCTTTTCATTTGTGGCTTTGCTCTGGCACGATGAAGGAAGCATGGGTGCGGTATTGCCGGAGGAGTTGAGTCCGGAAAAACCTGGCTCTGCAGGGTGAGTGGCACGGAGGAACATTCTCAGGAACGGGATGGCATTGGAGGATCCAGGGGTTAGTGAGGCCAAGCGAGATGATGTTTCTGACGTGAACCCCTGAGCCCTGAATAATACCCCACAAATGAGCATTTTCTGGGGAAGTTTGGGTAGGCCTTTGATTTGTTCATATTGTGGATACTTTGACTGGAGTTACACGGCGAGGAAGGCCTGCTGAAAGCCTTGTTCGGAACCAGATCCGAGTTGGAAGCGTGTCTTTCGATTGTGACAACCACGGAATCTCCTTTCACAGTCAAGTGACACTGAGATGCTCATTTGGGATGCGATTCAGCTATTTCCTATGGCCAAGGAGGTTTTTCACCGCCTCACCTCAGCGACAGCGAAAAATGTAATAGCTCCAGAGCGGCCTCAGGGAAGTCCTGTTCTGAGGGTGTACAGCGGTCCACCGGTCCGCCAAGGTCGCTGTTCTGACCAAGCTAACAAGCATTTCAAAGAAGCATCGAATTTCTGTACATAACTTAGCATGCTAAAAAGCTTGTATAAATAAGGCTACCTTGCTGAGCTACTCATCTCCGTATCAAGAATTACCATCTGAAGCGAAGTGAAGCTCGAAATCTCATTCCCCAGCTCCACAATCAAGCATGAAGCTTTCATCAATTTCAAGCATTGCACTTGCTACTGCTGTCTCTGCCCAACAGACTCCATACGGACAATGTAACAAGCTCTCTCTTCTTTGTAGCCTAAGAGGCAGGGTATTTTGCTAATGATTGTAGGTGGTGGTATCGGTTGGAGTGGAGCCACGACTTGTACTGCTGGATGGACATGCAAATATGGGAATGAGTACTACTCTCAGTGTTTACCTGGAAATAATCCTCCTGGTGAGTAGATTGTGAACTCTTTTGTTAAGGGGAGACAACAGTTCAGATTGTATCAAGAAGTGCTGACGACCACTGTAGCAAGCTCGTCCTCGACTTCAAAGACTTCAACGACACTGTCAACAGTAATTTCATCTTCCGTTAAAACAACAACATCACCTACGAAGACAACAGCTAGTCCATCGACATCAGCATCAGCAACAGGAAAAGTCAAGTACGGTACGTAGCCAGTGACGGATCCTCGACCAAATAGAAGAAAATCTTCTAACACACCTGCTCCGTGACACAGCAGGAGTAAACATCGCCGGCTTCGACTTTGGCTGCGCTACCAACGGCGCCCAAACCCTCTACTCCGTCCAGCCTCCCCTTTCCTCTCTCGGTGGTCCCGACGGAATTGGCCAAATATCCCATTTCATCCGCGACGACCATATGAACATCTTCCGACTCCCAGTTGGCTGGCAGTACCTCGTCAACAACAATCTCGGCGGGCTACTCGACTCCACAAACTTCGGGAAATATGACCAGCTGGTGCAAGGCTGCTTAGCAAGTGGTGCGACATGCATTGTTGACATTCATAATTACGCGAGGTGGAATGGTGGGGTGATTGGACAGGATGGTCCGACAGAAGACCAGTTTGTGAATTTGTGGACGCAATTGGCGGGTAAGTATAAGGGAAGTGATAGAGTTGTTTTTGGATTGATGAATGAGCCGCATGATATTGACATTGGGAGGTGGGCCGTGACGGTGCAGGCTGTGGTGACGGCGATTAGGAATGCGGGAGCGACTGGGCAGATGCGTAGGTCAAATTCAAACTTGTAGTGTCTGTGTCTGACTGAATATAATTTAGTTCTCCTTCCAGGAAACGATTGGACTTCCGCAGGCGCCTTCATCTCCAACGGCTCCGGCGCAGCGCTGATAAAAGTCACGAATCCAGATGGCAGCACCACCGGGCTAATCTTCGATGTACATAAATACCTCGACAGCGATAATTCTGGCACGCATTCGGAATGCGTGACTGACAATGTTTCTGGAGCTTTCCAGCCACTTGCGACTTGGCTGAGAACGAATAAACGCCAGGCTATGCTGACAGAGACCGGAGGCGGAAATGTGGCGTCTTGTGTGCAATATATGTGTAGTCAGGTTGCATTCTTGAAGTGAGTTTCCAAAGACTGAGATTGGACTTTTCAGTGTGATGGTATGGGAGAGATGCTGATGAGTGAGTAGTGCGAATAGTGACGTGTATCTCGGATATGTGGGGTGGAGTGCTGGGTCTTTTGGTTCGTCTTATGGTATATCCCTTGAACTTACCAATGGCGTGAAACTAATAATATGATAGTTTTGACGGAGACGCCGAACGATAGTGGATCAAATTGGCAGGACACTCTACTCGTGAAGTCTTGCCTTGCCAGATAGGTGGGCAGATTGCAACAATGCACTTGCTAAGATAGAAGGTCCAAAAGACTGGAGGAAAATATTACATAACCTATTGTCGCTGTGAACATTATGATATAAGCACGGCGCAACATTGTAAGCTTACAAATATACATGCAGAGCAACAGAATATAGAAACAAAGAGGCAGACTTTTAGACCCTCGGAGATTGGTGACAGAACATCACTGAAGCAACATCAGCAGCATGAGATAGCAAAACAGATCGAAGCTTACCAAAACTCCAAGAACCTCCATTCCCATGGTATACGTTACAAACATCAATCCGAACCGACTCCGCACCAACTAAATTTTGACCACTCACTTCCCAAAGAAACTCGTAATCTTCTGACTCCCCTTATCTTTCCCAGTAGCCTTCGACGGACTGGCTGTATTGTTACTCGTAGCACTCCTTATCTTGCGAGTTGACTTCATTGAAGTGGCGCTCTTGCTCGGACTAGCAGAGGTTCTTGAAATCTTATTCGGCGGTTCGTCCGTTGTTGTCACATCGTCTGATTCTCGCTTGATGCCTTGTTTTGACTCTTCTTTTGGAACAGGAAGAGGCGCGTTGTCTTCTGTGCCACTGTGGTCGACTGTCTTGCGATCTTCTCCTTCTTCATGCTTGATTGGCGTCGAGGAATTCTCTGTCTTGGCATCATCTTTGACTACTGGTTTTTCCTCCGTGGATTCGGGCTTTGAGGAGTTTGATTCGCTTTTCGCTGCTCCTTTGGCAAAAAAATTCGCGATGTTGGACTTGTTCTCGCTACTCGCCACGGGGATGATGAAAGTAGGTGAATTATTGCCTACTTTGCCGACTTCCTTGCTAACTGCATAGACTTCAAGTTCGCCATCATAAGGTTTTAGCAAGCCCTGCAACTCTTTCGACCAATTATGCCTGCCTGGATCAAGCCAAGTCCTCATTTCTTCTGATCCATTTTCCAGAACCACAGGCATACGATCATGGAGGAATTTGAGTTGCTTGTTGGAGTCAGTAGTGATGATCGTGTAAGTGTAGTGCTTCTCGTCAGTTCCTGCATCGAATATTGGAGTCAGATACACCCAGAATTCCATCAGTTCGAATACATACCTTCATACTGCACACAATCCCACAACCCAGCAACACACATCAATTGCCCATCCTTCCTCTTTATAAAGTGCGGCACTTTCTCTTTCCCCTTCTTCAACCACTCATAAAAGCCCTGAAAAACAACAACACACCTCTTCTTCTGCTTCATGCTCGTCCACATGCCTTTGTTATCCAGTAACGAGTCGTCCCGACAGTTAATTGTCTTCATCATTGATCCGTAGTCGGGGTTACGTTTCGTCCAGAACGGGATGAGTCCCCATTTCATGGCCTGGAGTTTATACCGAACCTGACCTTCGGCAGCTGAAGAGGTGGGAGCTTCGTCGTGATTCGAACCTGCATCTACATCCTCCACTATTGATTCCTCCTCCACCCCGCCCTCCTTATGCTGTCTCGGTCCAGCTCCGTGGTCTGGCGTGTCCGCTCGATATACAAGACCATAGTATCCTGGTGCGAAATTGTAGCTTTGTCGAGGGGCATCGTCGGCGTCGTCTTCGGGCGCATCATAGACGGGCATCTGGGCATCTTCGAGGTAGGCGCGGACCTGCTGGGGCCGCTTCCGTATATGTTTTAATGGAGGGTTCTGCATAGATGGGAAGCAATGAGGGGTAAAGAGATGGGAACTTACCAGTGCCAATGCATACCGTCCGCACATTTCGTCGGCGTGACGTGTAAAGGATATTTGTGCTCTTACATTGCTTGCGAGGCAGAAAGGACGAGGATGAGGATGAGGATGAGGAGATCCCGCGTCTTGGTCGCGCTCTCAGGTGATCATGATCATGAACATGGACATGATTGGATGAAGTGTGACGTCACGTTACTGTAAATGCAGATTCTGGTTCACCAAACGAAGAAGACCTGATGCAGCGAAAAATCGAGTACGAGTACGTTTACTGCCCCCACCAAGTGAGTTCAAAGTTCCGCTACAACTTTCCATCCAGTGCCTTACTCATCTCATGTAGGTAGTATGGATCAACAAAGTCATTCCACCCCCTGGTCTAAATCGCCTCCCCCTCCCCCTCCCCCAAACAATACACTCACTACCCTACCCCGCCATCCCGCAATCTCGGAAAATCAACCTCCAAGCTCACCAGCCCAACCCTGCCAGCACTGTTGCACATCGCATTATCAGGGCATGATATTCTACGTTACGCTCATGCAAATATACCTCAAATAAGTAGGCAAGCTGTGCTGTTGCACATCGCTCTTTCATGCCATTGCAAGCTATATTGATAAGTTTCGTTGGGTGCCTCAAATTCGGCGGCCTGGAAACCTTCTCATGATTAAACACAGCATCAATGGTGGAGAAATACTTTGTTTGCACAGGAGGAACGTAGTCAAATAATGTAGAGTTTTGCAAATAGAAACAGCTTTCTTGTAAGGCATGATAGCATCATGCATGCCAGCTAGAGAGATTTAGGTATTAAGAATACAAACAGAATACGCCCACTCTTAGCCAGCCTTGCTCCCTGGGTATGTAGCCATCCATCCATCGCTGCCAGTTGATTTCCCTCCTACGCCCTGTTGCGATCCCAGGTGAATATACTGTCTCCCAAAGCAAGGTAAAAACTCCAGATGGTGCCCTGAACTCCATGCTTCGTACAAACTACTCGGAGTAGCTAGCTCATCCCTCCTTCTTAGCAAATAGCAAAAGTACGCCGATATACGCCGACCTTCATGGTCCCCATGGTTTATGCAAAGTGCCACCCCGCACCCGTCCATGCAGCTGAAACAAATGAAATGCTCCCAAGATGACGCTAAGCATGAGAACACAAAGTAGCGAGACAAGACAAGATAAGGATTTTTCCATCAATCGTCATCATCCTAAACTCGAAGGGTAAGTAGCTATTCAATAATCTGCCAGGATTTACTTCAAGGTGCAACTTACCAAACTGATGACCTCAACTACACGATTGGGGCGTGTCTCGCCCGACTGATGCAACGACAAGGAAGGTTTTCTTGGACCTTGATCATCACTGTCATCACTGTCGTTGGGGTCAGGTGGCGCCTTGCGCTTCTCAATTTTTGGACGCCAGTTGCCTTCTCCTCCCACCCAAATAGCCTTTACATCCAAGTTTCCTCGCGCTTCGAGTGTCTGTCTCACTGAAACCAGGAAATCGTCGATTTGAAGACTATATGGACGAGCATCTTTCCCACATAGTGGGCATTTCCAGACATCGATCATACATGGCTGCCCTGGTCTTTTTGGTTTGCTGTTCCTAGTCAAGAGGAAAGTCTCAAGATCGAAGCATTCTCGATGTAAACAGCTTACGCCACGGACTGGCGTATCGAATATGCGAGCCGTGAAAGGATCTGCGAGATCGATGGAGATATCACTGATTACCATGGCAATGTCGTCGTCCTCATCTATTGGGCCTGCAAGGCTTCTCTTGATCTTATCTAGGCTTGAAGTTGCGGATATTCGGTTCTTTCTCACCATGTCCAATATTTGGTCATGTTGAAGTATTTCCACTACCTCCACACCAAGGAAATAGCCGTGTTCCTTCATCTTGGTTCGCCCTCTGAGAATGGACAAGGAAATTTGACTTCTCATGTTTGGTCCAGGGAGTCGTACGAACGGAGTGATGTCAATTGCAAGATCTTTTCCATGATGATTTTTTCGTCTCAGCTCAAGGTGCTTCTTATTGATTGAAAGAGCTGCACCTTCAGGCCAAACTGTATCTTTTAAAACCCATTCGACGATTGAGCATTTGACTGCAGCCTGCTTCGCCTGGACACAACGAACTCGATACTGAAGTGTGCCGCGGTGGTACTGGCGGTCTGATATCTGCCCGTTGCTGTGAGGAATGTCCTGAGCAATCATTGCAAGTTCAGCTTCGGAAGGTCTAAAATCGAATTTCGAAAGTGGAGTAGAAATAGAGATTCTCGTTGGTGGCAAAGCAAAACCTCTGATAGCCTGATAATGTCTCAAGGAGGGACTGTCGGTCGGAATATTGGGAGGGGGTGGATCGGCAGCAACTAGGCGTGGACTTCGTAGGTGAGCCTGGTGAAGAGCTACTTGATCTGGAAGGGCAGGAAAAGCAGTATGCGTGAATCCAAAGGGAGGAACAATCGAACGTTGAAGCGGAGGCTTGTTTATGTACGCGTGCAGAGCAAGTTCGTTACCCATGGGCCTTCCAGGGCCTAACGCAGGTGGCCCGCTTATCCTGGGTGAGGGTCTCCCAGTCGGGGTACGTCGTCCAGTGCTGCTGACGCTGTTATTTCTGACATGAGGCTGCTGCGGATCGATGCTCTCGTTCCTTAATTGAGCGGCGCGATGCATTGCGAAAGCTTGCTGTTCTAGCTGCCGTTGTTGCTGTTGTCGCATCATGGCCGCATGCTGTATTTGTACAGAATGTTGCGGCCATGAACCTTGAGCAGGCTGATACTGCTGTGTTGAATATTGTGGCTGCTGCGGCTGTGGATATTGGGGTAGAAGCTGTTGTTGGTACTGTACTGTATTGACGTTACGATTGTAGACGTTCGGGTCAATATTGGAGCTCTGCTGTTGAACAGTTCCGTTGACAATGTATCCAGGATAACCTTGAGGGTATTGCGGATTTGACTGCACCGGAGCACCATTTCTACCAGAACCAGTAGATGGGAAGCCTTGTTGGACTGGCGAATTCATGGAGAGTCCTTGAAGTAACGTCGGGCTAGGAGTATCGAGATGCATTTGCTGTGAGCCAACGCTGGGAGGACGACCAGCGATGGAGGGATTAGGTGGGCCATTGGATGTTCTAAGGATCCCCTGATGATTCTGAGCCGCAGATTGCCAGGTAGTCGCAGGATCAGGGCCTGGCATGTCCTGCTGCCATGATGTTGGATGCGGAATACTGTTCGACTGTGGACGAGGAGCATTACTTGCAAGAACCGGCGTTGGTCCCCGTAGCAATGGACTACCAGAAATGGCCGTAGAAGATCGCCGCTGTATTACGTGGTTGTGTAGAGTCAAATACTCGTTGACCAGGGCAGTGTTGCGCTCTTGAACCTCCTTTGCTGTTGGCGGTCTCGCGGTATTGACTCGAGCCGACAATGCCTGGTGCTCCTGTTGATCTCTTCGGAAAAGATCTTCCATCCTGGTACCAACATCTTCGTCTCGAATACCAAGATTTCGGCGTGTTGCTGTGAAGACAACTGATTGCAACGTTGGAGATAATAATCCCAATCGACTTACGAGCTCATCCACCAATGGTGGATAACCTCGTTGCGTCCACTCTGTAGATAAAGAGACCCATTCAACCGTCAGCCGTTCAAGAAACACGCCTACATCCGTTATACTTTGGCGATAGACCTCTGAGACCACGAGCAGCTGGCCTAGCGGACCAGGGAATTGGGCGAACCAAATTTTATGTACCGGGGCCAGCTGATCGTTATCTCGGATTAAGGCTCCAAGAATTTTGAACGCAGCCTGCAATATATTGCTATTTGGATATCCAGGTATGATTATAACCTCTTGTTGATTTAAATCCCAAACACAAAACACTTGATGTAAAGCCACGTAGAACGGATCCTCGTTGCGGCACGCATCGGTGAGCAATGCAAATCGCGGCCGTTCTAGGCCGGTGTTCAGATTTTGTAACCCGCCAGCAGATGCTATGTGTTTCTCAATGAGGCTCACTCTGCCTTTGAGTGATGGCATGGCATTCACTTGAGTTCGTTGTCGCTTGTTTGGATTTGACGTCGTAGATGTACTTGGGCTAGGGTATGACATATTTGATTGTGCTAGATTTGGTGAACGGGCGTCTCCAACACGAGCAGCCGAAGATGTGTTGACCAGCCCCTCGTTCACGCAGTGTATAGTATCAACAGACACTTGTGATGCTTGTTGCATGCCGTCAAGGTTATTCGTTTGTTGTTGCGTACTTGCCGGGCGAGTTGATATACCAAGCCCTGAGACTGATGATATTCGAGGCGATGGAAGCGTGCGATATTGTGAAGTCGGAGTACCAAACTGGACAGGAGATGGTGCCGAAGCTTGTCTCGGAGAATTCAAGTCCTGGGATGTGTGCCTATTATCTTGCCTCTCTGACGGGAGAAGAACCGAGGAAGGTAGCGGAGGAATCTCCATGACTGTCTCGGGTATGTCGGTGAATGGTGGAGGGTTCGTGGATTGTCTTCGTGAATGATTTGGTGACCTACTCGAAGATGAGCCAGGCCCGGATGAAGAATCAAGAGGAGGGGCCCCTCCAGCCGGTTCTATGACGGGCTCGCTCGCGGCTTGTCGACTTGGAGTGAATGTGGTGGTAGAAGGAAATATGGGATCGCCGTTCCGTACTTCCTGGTGAGTATCGTTTCGTGGTCTGTTGATCGTGCTGTGTGCGAGTACAGGGCTCGCTTCGTCACTTGGTGCTGGAGAGGGCAGCACACTGGCTACGGATCTGATAGATGTGTCAGGATCTGCGTGATATACTCTAGGTATCGAGGAAGGCTTACTTCTGGGCCAACGTCGCTGGAAGAGCCGAGGCTTTCGATATGCTAGTACGAGGCGTTGGGCGAACTGGAGTTCCTGCTCCCATCATCCATGACTTCTGCCGGGACCCTCCAAATAGTGTGTTAAGTGTAGCATTCGAAGACTCCACGTCCCTCTCGGACAGAGCTGACTGTCCCTCTTTATCTGGCGGCCGGCGCATATCTCATGCCGATTGTCGAGCTGACTTTGGCATAGTTTTCATGTCCTTGAATACGCTTTCGTCCAAACTCAATTGTCCCAGTAATGATGATATGATGGTGATGGATGTACTGAGGTGTATAGTGAGCCCATATGATCGGATGGTGTTAATGAAGAGTAAGACACGGTGCGCCGGCAGAAAAGGCTTGACTTCGACGGCCGCTGGGAGATTCGTGCTCAACAAGTGTAATTCGCGAGTGATTAGGTTTTGCAGGCTTTATGGTGCGGCTATTCTTGGCGATGAAGCCTATTAATAAGGTAGAAGGCGACAAGAGAGTGTAAGAATGGACTAGGCGCAGAGGAACAGTCAGAGATTAGTGAGGATTGATATTGATGTGATGTGCCACCGGGTCCAAGGTACTGTTGAAGGTCGAAGGAAAGATCAGTATAATGTGGCTGTATGGACCGGAGTTGGCGTTGGAGTTGACCTATTCTGAAGAATAGCCTGCCTTGTCTGTCTTCCACGGAAACGGAATACACAGAGGTCAGCGTTGGGGTCAGGTCGAGGCTGGCGGAAAGCGTTTGCTGTTCTGATGAGAGGTGCAGTGCAAGTGGTGATGTTTGCGGCCTTGAGCGCTAAGGTAATTGAATGGGAGCCTCGTGGGACTGGGGGTAGTAAGGTAGGTGTTAGAGTGAGTGAGGGTGAGGGCATCAAAAGCAGCATGTAATGCGGGACAGCGCAACCTTGAACCTCTCGACCTCAACCTCGGAACCTGGCTGATCTGGGCTGGGTGGGCTGGGTGGGCTGGCTGTTTATTATACAGTAATGTCATCAGCGGACTAGAACATTACATTTCCACGTACCGACCTCAGGCAGGCACAGGCCCGTGGAATCACATTTGTTGTGTATTGAAATTGCTCAGACATTTAGCCATGGCTGCCTGTCAAATAAGTGATTCCTAGGTAGATTTTCAAAGGTCTCTATTGTGTCCAAGGAGAAATACGTCTACGTCTTCTTGTTTTGAAGTCATCGTTACCTTCCTTACCAACCGTTAAAGAACCAACCTAGGTACCTACCGACCTGTTGTTGGCCCACAACGATAGGTATAGATAGGTACAGCGAAACAACTCCGCCTGCCGCTTTTGATCATGCACTGCACGGCCGCCGGATTCACGCTGGACAGGGCAGGCTGGCAGGTAAGGTAAGACCGTAGGACAGGACGGGACTGGACTGGACTAGGTACTGGACAGGAACTGGCAACAAACACCTCAGTACTCTACTGTGTATCTATCTATGTAAAGGAGATGGGAGAGGCGGCCGGCCTGGTCAGAACTCAAATGCTCACTACTGTACTGTAATTCGGGATTGCATCAGCCAGCTACGAGTACCATACCATTCCATAACTTACCTTACGGACTACCAAGGTCAACTCCCCCAACCTAACCTAGGTAACCCAACCCCAACCCACCCAGACCCAGCCAACCAGCAAGACCCAACCAAGCCCATCTTGGAACAGGTCCAACCTCCTCTCCTCTCCACTGCTCTCTCCTCCATCTTGCCAGCAGCAGCAGCAGCAGCAGCAGCAGCAGCAGCAATTCTACGCTACCTGCATTGCGACTCACCTCACCCTCACCCTCACCCTCACCGATAAGCGCAGCACAACAAAGTGCCCACACATTCTTTCTCCACTCATCACGACGCCAGCAGCAAGGATCCCATCTGCACTTGAGTGTCTTCAGCTGAGTGGCGTTCAGCAACCCATGTGCTGCAGTGAATCGCGACAGCAAGACATCTGCTGGCTTCATGCAACGACATCCATCGTGTCTCCGCGATAATCGAGAACCGGCCCGGAGCGCATATTCATACTCCGAAAGGCCAGCACATTCCGCTGCGAAAGCTGCAGACTGCTGTAGTGCCTCCCTCGACAGCTTGAAATATATTTCCATTCCATCAGATGTTTCTGTCGTGAACTATATCGGCCCCTGGCGGAACGTCAGAAGTCAGTATTAAGGAAAGATGGCATCCCGACTGTCGATCGAGCCCCAGGGCCGACCAGAGCCAGGGCAGATTCTGATTGTAATTCGTACGTGGATGAGACCATACCTGGGCTAAATGCGATGCGTCTGGAAATATGCCAGAACACTGGCCCTTTTCATTGAACTGCAAGTAAAGGAGAAAAATGGCTGACATTCATCAAATGCAGACGATTTCTCAGCTCGAAGCTCGGACGAGCTGAGTTTAACGAAAGGCGATCGAGTTGAGCTAATCGAACGTGACGATGATTTCGGGGACGGCTGGTACCTGGGGCGGCACTTGATGAATGGGAATAGTGGATTGTTCCCTGAAGGTTAGTACAGACTATGCCTTGACACACGAATGCAGATTGACGGTCAATAGTCTACACCAGAATCGCTCCTCGAGGTCCCCCTTCATACCCCCCGATAAACACAGCTCCCCGACCGCATGTACCTGCATCCGATCCCGCGATACCAGCAACTATCCAGCAGTCGGTGGCTCCTATCCATGAGGACGATCCGACACCAACAGAGCCAAAAATGGCTTCCCCGACAATCGGTGTAGAACCATCATCACAATTAGGCCACAACGTTAGCGCTTCAGAGGTGTTGGACAAGCCGAGTATAAGTTCGCCTTTGGAGGCTCCCCAAGAACCCGAGATGATTGCGCAACCTCCAATATCTACAATGGGGACCGCTGGATCAAAGACAGCGCCACCGAAGACGGTCCTGACAGTTGCAATGGGACAATCGCACAGCGGATCAACCAGCGGACAAGACAGCCCAGTCATGAACGAAACTCTCAGTGTTATCGACGAGCATATTACTGATATGACTTCCCCACACCACACCGTAGCAGCACAAGATCGAAGAGCCACACACGGTGCGAATGATTCTGGTAGCGAATACAGCAGTCACCTAGACCAACGCATGTCATACATCAATGGCGAAGAGACCGATGAGGAGGAAGATCAAGTTCACTCGCGTCAGGATGTCGAAAGTTGGACGCCAGATCAAGTTGCGGAATATCTTTTCACATCAGGAGTTGAGACCAAGCACTGCGAAGTTTTCAGAGACCAGGAAATTACTGGAGATGTGCTGTTGGGAATGGATCAGACCTCAGTTTTCCTGAAGGAGTTCGATCTAGGCAGCGTTGGACGGAGATTGAAGACATGGCAGAAGATCAAGGTCCTCCAAGACGAAGTCAATGGGGAAAGCTCAACGAGACGGAACACTGCAACATACGGAAGCACCTATGGCAGCGATATTGGCTCAGACGACACTGGCAAACAACGCAGTCGTAGCATCACTTCTCCCACAGGTACGATGCTTCCCCGAATATCAAGTATGAACGAGAGAACAGAATCCCGCCAACATTCGCGCCTCTCTCAGCAGCACATACCGCGGACTGAGACTACTGCGTCTCCGATGACCTCCCCAATCTCACCCATGACACAGGACACTACACGACCCGTTGGGGACAAGAGACGACCGTCTGCTGCATCCATCCGTGATATGCACCATTCACGCCAAAGTTCGGTGAATGAGTATAGTACTCCTTCTATAATGGCCATGGCTTCTATGGGAGCAGGAGGAACCCCTCCACCAACTATTCAGGATGGGACCCATAAGAAGCAGCCTTCGTTTGATAGAAATTGGACCATGGGATCGGCAGCATCTCCTTCTATGCCTCTTCGTCCCTTATCGTCAGGAGGGATCAAAACTTTGGCTACAAACTCGTCGGATCAACTGGCACAAACAGTCACCCCGTCTACAGCTTTTGACTCGCTTGATCGAGGCTACTTTTCTGGTGGCGAGGTCGAGGGCCGTCAGAGGAATGTTTTGCGGAAAAAGGGAAGCACTGCAACCACTGCTCACTCGCGTAACTCAAGTTACACAGATGAGCAAAGGATGCGATCTGCCACTGCACATTCAAGGCATTCAAGATTTGGAAGTGTTGACTCTATTCGCGACTCAGCCCCTCCTTCGGCTGCTCAGAAATACTATGGCTTGGCCACAAATGGTCGTCGTCGTACTCCTTCGGAGAACTCTATCAATCCTCCGCCTCGACCAATGCCACCGCCGAAAGATGTGCATTCCCCCACTGTCACCAAACTCGAAGGCAACTCGTTTGAGAATAGCGCCTTGCCAAAATCTCCAGAAGTTCGCCAGGGCCGAGGTTCGGATTGGTTGTTGCCAGTAAAACCGATCTCATCCAAAACGTTTGGTCTGAGGGCCATCTCGGATGCCGTCACTGGCACCGAGAAATCTCGCTTAGCAGCAGCAGATTCCTTAGCTTCACCTGTGAAAGATTCTCCAATACAGTCGCCTTCACGAACAGGATCGAGCACTCCATCTGGTGGTCAGAGCTTCGATCTTGATTCCACGGATTCAAAAAGCGGAGCTGCGACACCGATGGCAACAGCTAACAAAGCCAGCAGGAAAAAGTCCAAAAAAGAGACCAGCGCATACACGCGTGGCTTAGAAAAGAAATCTCCAAAGGAACAGATGATTGGTGCCGACTATAGCGGATGGATGAGAAAGAGGGGCAGCAATATCATGTCTTCCTGGAAGCCACGTTTATTTGTCTTGAAGGGCCGCCGCTTGTCATACTACTACTCCGAGGATGACGACCAGGAGAAGGGCTTGATCGATATATCTTTCCACCGTGTCCTCCCTGCTGATGGTGATCGCCTGACTGGCATCTCCGCTGCAATCACAGGTGCCACGAACAGTCCTACGAGCCCCTCTGGATCGCAAACTGTTACTATGGCCGAGACAGCAGCAGCATCTGAGCCAGAATCGACTTTGAGTAAAAGCCCTGGTGATTCCATCTTCATTTTCAAGCTCGTCCCACCTCGGGCTGGTGCCGCCAGAGCGGTTACGTTTACCAAGCCTACCACGCATTATTTTGCCGTTCCGAATATCAAACAAGGACGACTTTGGATGGCAGCACTTATGAAAGCAACCATCGATCGAGACGATTCAACACCCGTCACAACCACCTACCAGCAAACTACTATCTCCCTCGCGAAGGCTCGGGCAATGCGTCATCGACCGCCTGCGCTTATGAACCTCGATGAGCATGTTGATGAGGAAGCTCTTAAGACCCCTGCCAGCGACAAGAACGGTTTGAACATCCAGGGCATCATCTATGATCGTGATCCGCAGGAAGGTGATAGCGGAGTCTCAGGGGTGTCAAAGTCTGAGGCGTTGGTCCCAGACAGTGGCAAGGGTGGATTGATGAACGGCGCCGACGATTCAGCTGCCCATGCTCCACGAACCGCATGAGAGTGGAGCTTTGGCGGCTGAGCAATTACATTTCTATGTTGATACTTCTCCGAACCCGACAAAAACAAACTTCTTTTTACTTAATCTTTTGGGGTACCTGGTTTAATACCTCGACCTGGCAGGACTGGTCTCGGGATGCGCCTCGGGAAAGGACAGGGTGGGGACTTTCGTCTCGTTCTCACATGCAAGATGGATCAATGCAATGTGACGGATACATGGATGGGAGAATGATGAAAGTGATGAGAGAGATGATAGCTTTTTCGAGCGACATACTTTACAGTACCTCTGTACCTTTTGTAGCATATGAACAAACAAAAAAGAAGTGATGCCTAGAATCTGGCTTGTGTCTGAAACTGTAAACTTCCTGTCTGATCATCAGGGGAGCATATTGGTATACCTTTCAGAGCATAAGGGTGGGAGAGGAGCACTCCACGGCTCTCAGCTTAAGTGGACTCTACGTATTTGTACTTGGGTTTCCGAAGTCGTCGATTTTTAGTAACTCAGTCTAGTAACAAATCCTAGCAATCTATGCTCCCATGATTTATTCTTCTATTACAGTTATCGCCAAAGTCAGGCAATAACCATTCTTATCCAATCTGGTGAATTCTCATTCGCTAATAGCTCATTAACTCTGACTTACCTGCCGCCATCCATGAGAAGGAAGGAAAACCTGCCGGGATTGCAACAGCTGCAATTAGCTCCGCGAGCCGCTTCCCTCCTGAGTGTTGTTGACCACTACTCTTGCTGTTTTGGTGAGTAAACTGACACTCTCTTCAAATGATGACAATGGATAGTTATTTTAGACTTTCTTGGTTGATTCTTTCGACTGGCTGCTCAAGAGATTGGTGGCCCAAGCAAAAGCCAAGTTAGCCAAGCTACCAGCCATGAAGCTTGAACGGCTGGGCAACCAGAACCTCAACGACATGTCGAGATGCGCATCAAATCGGTCGTTTCAAAAGCTCATTCTGGTGTGTTTTGTCGCATGTCCTGGAATTGACATCGGCCAATCGACACTGATCTACAATACCTTACCAGCAGCCTGGGGTTTTTGCCCTGTCTGATCAGGGCGGCGGACCGGGAGCTGACTACTTGGTCTCCCCAGTACTTTCGTTACCTAGGTAAGGTAGGTAGAGGTAAGGTAGCTGGCCAGCCAGAGCACACTGAATCTTAGCCCGGTAGACTACCTCGACTACCTACCTTAGCTAAGCCCCGAGGCGTCACTACGAGCACGGAATTCCGCCGCATTATGAGCAAGTCGCAAATTCCGATACAGTTACCAAATGCTTCAACTACCAACAAATAGCAAAAGCACGAGACTGGGTAAGCAAGTAGATACCTAGTAGGCAGGGTGATCATCGCCACCTGTCTCAAGACAGTCAATTCTTTCTCGGTGCACTCGGTTAACTCTTTGTTACTCAGTCTCAGTCTTGTAATATTCTCGCCTCCCAGCTGTCGCAATCCGACTTCTCGACGAGGCAGGCCCTCGAATCAAATCACCACAAGCTCTACGAGCGCGAGCTACCTACAATACAGTACTGTACAACAGAAGGGTCGATTTATCTTATCGCAACCCCACAGCTCCCGCCTCCATGCTCCAGGCTACCCTGTCACCTATGCCAGTCTCGCCATTCTCGCCGTCGGTATGCCCGGCGCCACGCGACCATTGCACCAACATGGCCAATGATAGAATGGTCGATCAGGCAGTCCGACGGCACGGATTCTGGAAAGTGTCAAATCATAGACTGGGACATCTCCTGCTTGTGAGAACAATGTCCAACACGGCGTTCTGGAAGGGCCTGGTTTTAAATGGGGAATGTTGTCCCTGCCATGGTGGGCATGGTCAGCCTGCCCCCTGCTCGCTTATGTTTCTGCATCAACACTAGGGCGGAAGGCGTGATAACGATGAACGTTTGAATGGAAGGATCCAAATGCGTATTTTCGACGCTGGTCGTGGGCTTGGTGGGGATGCTCGATGCGTGAGTGCCGTCGGAGGCAGGTACAGTACATAAGGGCTGCAGATCCCCTCAGGGTCGTTCTGGCCTACTTTACCTCCATCCTCCACTTCTTGTTCCACGGATCTGGTTGACAGCAAAATACCCTGGTAAAGCTTTACTGCAACAGCAACCATCATGTCGACTCCACCCACATATCCCAGTGAGGATAAGAAGGGCCCCTTATTTGCGGATGGAGGTGTTCTCGAATCAGGGAATGAGTCTGATTCAATTGACACCATCAAGGCTTTGGTTATCGAAGGTATGAGCGAGACACTCAATGATAGATGCAACACAGCTGACTGAATTCAACAGATCATCAACATGAAATCAAGCTTAGAACCATGTCTTGGCAGCGGGCTGCCTGGCTCCTCGCTGGAGACCAGGTATGTTTGGCTATCATGGCCCAAACATGGTCACTGTCGTGCGTCCAGCTTTCTTCAAACCTCACACCATACCAGAACTAACGTGTTCTCAGTGTTCTTGGCTGGGTCCCTGGATTGATCACCATGGTTGTTGCCGGTATCCTTTTCTGGATCACTTCCATAACCATGCACAAATTCATCATGAAGCACCCCCAAATCAAAGATATCTGTAAGTCCTTCCATCCCCTCCCCAGAGCCACCAAACAAAGCTTACACCCCAAACCAGGCGATTTCGGCTACTATGCATTCGGCAAGTCACGCGTCGCCTACGAATTCACAGCTTTCATGCTCCTCGCCAACAATATCATTCTCATTGGATTCCATGTTCTCACTGGCGCAAAAGTCCTCAACACCCTCTCCGATCACTCTCTCTGCACCGTCATCTTCTCGGTCATAACCACCATCATCGGCGTCGTGATGTCTCTCCCTCGTACCCTTAACCACGTCTCTTTCATGTCGATGTTCTCCGCTTTCTGCATGGGCATCGCCATCCTTCTCTTCCTCATTTTTGCCGGCATTGAAGACGCCCCTCTCTACGGCTACGGCGGCAACTATCCTACCCTCGGCGAAGTGAAAACCTATGCATTCCCGCAGAAAGGCACGGATTGGGTGGCGTGTATGAATGCTGTACTGAATATAACCTTCCTATGGGTGCCGCAGATCCTCTTCCCAACGTTCATCTCCGAGATGGAGAAGCCTCAGGATTTCCCCAAGGCGCTTGCTGTTCTGGCTGCGATCAGTACATTCCTGTTCATCGTGCCGCCGTCCATCGGGTTCAGATATCTAGGCCAGTATTCTACAGCTCCTGCGTTTGGAAGTCTTGGCGTCACGGCGTATAAGAAAGGATCTTTCGCGTTTGTTATTGTGCCCACGTTGGTTATCGGCGTTATATACGCCAACGTCACGGCCAAGTTCATCTACTTCCGTGTCCTCGGCAACTCGCACCACGCTCACAGCAACACGGTTATCGGCTGGGGACTCTGGGGTGCAGTCATGGTTGGTATCTGGGCCATTGCGTTTATTTTCGCTGAAGTGGTCCCCTCTATGGGAGACTTCCTGTCTCTGCTCGGTGCAGCATTTGACTCTTTTTTTGGATTCATATTCTTCGCTGTGGCGTATTGGCAACTATTCAAAGGGCGGCTGTGGAATGGTGTGGGGAGAAGTGTCATGACTGTTATTCATATCTTTGTTATGCTGTGTGGACTCTTTTTGTTGGGCCCAGGTCTTTACGCAGCTGTGAAGGCTATTATCGCTGATTACTCTGGTGGAACTAAGCCTGCTTTCAGCTGTGCGAATGTGGCGATCTAAAGGGTTGTTCATGGAGTGAAAAGATAGGAGATTGGGATAGTATACAATACCCAGGATAGTTCTATGGAATATAATCTTGTCGCATTTGAAAATCAAGGCGATTTATGGCGCTTTCAATTTATCCAGTCTTACTCTGCAAACTAGAAGCGAGATCCATGTAAACATCAGTGTCAACAGCGTTCCAAGCGTTCAATGAAAGACCTATTTTTACCAATTCTTCCGTTGCTGAGTTTTGCGATCCAGAGTCTACGCTTCAATAAATTTCCTCTGATATCTACAGGAGCGAACGTCATTAAGTTTCTGTTTTGAAGATTATCGAATTTTAGGTAGGAGAGCCATTGCTTGTCTCAATGAACTTTTGTTGTTGCTTTCTTTGTGCAGGTAGCGTTGTAGACTCTAGGCAGTCCGAGGCAGTGCAGTCCAGGCAGCAGGCTCGCTTAAGCTGTGCCTCTTTTGTCGAACTTCGCCTCAGCCAGATCACGATGAGAACTACATGTACATCGATCAATTGCTCATTCGTCAGATACTCACGGAGGTTATCAAGATTGCATAAAGTTGAATTTCTATCAAAATTGTGGCTGATCTCCCCTTAACATTTTAGCTTCTCAGTCAAAATGACCACCCAAACAGAAGCAGAGACATACTACACATCCTCAGGACAATTCAACGATCCCAATCCGTGGGCATTACACCCCCTCTCAAATCTCATCTCCGGCATTCTCGAACCGATCTCTCCCTCCGAAGCAATCCGAGAATGCCTCAACCTCGCTCGCCTCCTCCTCCTCTCTAACCATCTCTCAGCCGCCAACACCCTCCTATCAGCCATCTATACCTACGGACCGTCCATAACACCCCCCACCATCTCGGTATGAAGACTCTTCAATTCATACTCTCCTCTCCATAGAGCATTTCTGGCTATGTCATAGAGATACCCATCCCCGCCCTTCAGCGGTGCCTGAATTTAGATCTGGGAATGAGACGCCAGGGGAGAGGTTGGAGAGAGATCAGTGAGGCAAGTTTCGCGAATGTACGTTGACGGGATGGATGAAAGAGCATTGCGATCTGCGCGAGCCGAAAGATGTACATTGTTGGCGGGAGAGCGAGGATCCGAAAATGCTGGCCATGTGTTGCCGCTTGCTTGCTAAGACGAAGACCAGGGGTGAGTATGTGAGTCTGGCGAGGATGAGGGAGGCGCTGGATGTGGCTAGGAAGCTTTACGCTTTGCCTGAGGAGAGGAGAAAATTGGATGGGAGTAAAGAAGCTCGGTATAGCTGGCATAGTACGCTGCTGTACAGGAGATTGCCAATCGAAATGGCAATTAGACTTGGAAAGTTAGTTGTTGCGAAGGAGATTTTGAGCCAGGCATTGTGCAGTGATGGGTTTTGTAACGGTGGGTCCTTGGAGGAATTTTTGATGGTTCCGGGTGTGTGGGATGTTCTGCCGTTGCTGAATGCAGATGGTAAGAAGTCGAACCGTTATTTCATCCCGAAGAAAGATGCGGATAATCTAGTGAAGGGCGTGGTTGACGCGTTGGAGCTTCGAGCAAAGGAAGGGAGGCAATGGAGTCTGGCGCCAGGCAAACTCAGCTGGAGAAATTTGCTTGAGAGGCTGGCAAGAGGAGCGTGGAAGGCTAATAAGAGGGAGTACAAAGAAATAGGTCTTCATTCTTGGAAAGAGATTTTGGAGCAGCCCGCTGGTGAAGAGGAGATCGAGGAGGCTGAAGAAGAGTTTGGTGAGTTGCCAACGGATTTCAAGGATATGTGTAGGGTTGCGAATGGGTAAGTCGTGTTTCCTTTCAAGGCACTTGCTTCCAAGGGAGGATATTTGATACTAATTAACCAATGTAGCTTCAAAGGTGGTTACCACTTTCTGGCCGGTGGTATCTGTGGCATTGATTCGATGTTCTTTGACGACGGAGAGACAGAACTTGAACATTACGAAGGGGACTTCTACCCTCACGAGCTCGATGTTTACAAAGAGACCCCGCACCAAATGCTCCAACTGGCATGTCATGAAGACGCCGATGGATTCCAACACTATATCATCCCACACAAGATGTGGAAGGATATCGTGAAAGACAGAGAAGTCAAAGAGGGTGAATATCAGTACTGGCATACCACAAACTGGTCAGGTTCCGCAAGTCGTTGGGATACTATCTGGGACTGGGTAGCTAGTCTTGTGGAGCAAGTGGAAGGGATGGTGGAGAGAAATGAGAAGGTTGAGCATTATGATACTGAAGGGAAGCTGATTGAGGGAGAGGAAAGCGATGATGAGGGCTGTGGAAAGGAGAGACAAGATAAGGATGAAACCACTGGAGAGAATTGTCTGGAGCAAGACAAGAAGAGGAACACTAGCAATGAAAGTGACGATGACTGGGTGAAAGTGGATGGCATTCTAGAATAGTCTTCGGGGCGGGATTTGATCTGGTCGTGATTTTAGTAATGCTCAGATAGTTGTTTTAAAAATATCCCTGGGCTTTGTTCTTGACTGTGCCTGTGCAAAGTGAATGATGCATTCCACCAGACGGGCACTCCACGCGTCGTGAGATATCAAACGGCCCATGCAACGAACCTGTGATAACAAAAAAGAAGACTCTATAATTTGTACAGAGACACATCTATATGTCTCGACGGCCCGTTCATTTGCCCTTCTTAACCCAGTCCTCAACTACAGCTCTTCCTCCACTGACCTTATCATCAACAATGTCGACTGCCTGCTGGGTATGAATTCTCGCCATTCTCCACGCCTTCTCAACACCCTCTCTCGTTCTGATATGCCCATCTGCAATCGCTGGGAACTTCTTCTCATATTTCCACAGTAAATCCGAAACGTTGCGCATTGTTACTGGAAGAACCACCCAACCCGCGCCAATTCCAACAGCCAACGGAACAGCTCCTCTGAGGACAATGTTGCGGTTACGCGATACGATGCTACCGGCCATAGCTGCGACCAATACGTAGAGGGTGCCTGGCATGAGCCTCTCGCCGGATTGTGGTGAAGGTGCTAGAGAAGCTATCGTGCTCGTGAAGCTATCTTCGAGATGTAGGGCGGAATCCATCAATTCGTTGACTTTGTTCTCTGCGGTTGCGACATGATCGTATAGAAAGAGTCTTGTCTTTCTGATTTGTACTGCAAGACGGTCGGTGGGTGTTGGAGATGAGGATTTCGTGGGTTCTGAGGTTGGTTCGGAGGAAGGGACGGATTTTGTCGGCGCAGCTGGGAGCTCGTAGTCGTCGTATATTGGCTTTTTGGCCTGACATGACTATTAGAATATCTGCAAGACGACGACGGAGTGGTGCAACATACATTAGAACCCTCTGGGCCTTCTGCGTGGAGGGCTTTCTTTGGGAAAAGAGCCATGCCAGCAATGACGGCACCGGTAGCTACAGGCGCAACGCGCTGTTCCTGTTAGTAGACACTCAATTGGAGACGTAAGGTCTACCCACCTGCCGTAGCAATATTCTCGAAGCCATAATTCGATTGGCGACGACGTCGGCGTTCAATTGCGGAGTGGACTGAGGTTGATGATCTTGTTCAAGCTTGGGATGTTGAGGTCGGGTGCTTTATGCAAACTTGCATAAGCGGCTCTGCATAAATAATTCCTATTCCCTCGGCTCCAACTCGCAAGGCTATCAATATTCACAACCTTCAACCTTCGACTTCGACCCTTTGAGCAGTTTCTTCGCACTGGAAGGAATGTTCAAATCGGCCATTTCTCGACCATGGATATGTTCGAGATGTATTCGACAACAGATCCCTCCTCGAATTCGTCGTAGTCATGTCCAGGCCGTACCTTCGACGCCACTCGATGATCCAATTGCTCTGGAAGCCGAAGCTTCTCCCAGGCAGGTAGCAATAGGTCCGACGACTCCTGGGTCGCAGTATGATGACAAGACACTGGGTCAAATTTTTGACTCACCTGGGTTCTGGAAAGAATACTCGCAGTCTTCGAAGTCAGGCCACCATGCCGGATTGTTCCAAAACCGATACTTGACCAGCCCTGCAGGGTTCGAGCAGTTTGCGAATACAAGCCTGGAGAAGGCGAAGAGAGTTGTGGCCAAAATACTGGCAGCTTCAACAACGGAGCAGTACGAACATGTAGTCAAGGACCTGGAGAGGCTCAGTGACTTGCTTTGTCGAATTATTGATCTTGCGGACTTTGTCCGGGCTACGCATCCAGACCCAAGGATAAATCAAGCTGCAACAAGGGCTTATGCTAAGATGTATGAATACATGAATGTTTTGAATACAACTACTGGTTTGGCACGGCAGTTAGATGTCGCTATTAAGACGGCTGGATCTGCCTGGGAGGAAGAGGAACGGCTGGTGGCGGCGATCCTGAAGAGAGATTTTGCAAAATCTGCCGTCGATCTTCCTCAAGGCGACAAAGAGAAATTTGTTCAGTTGTCTCAGGAGATCAGTGAAGTTGGCTCTGACTTTGTAGAGTCTATGGAGTCGGCACAGCCTTTCGTCCAGTTCAAGAGCAGCAGTTTGTATGGCATGGACCCAATACTGGTGAAAGAATTTACACGATGGGGACAGGTTACACTTCCAGCTATAGGTGAAGCTTCCCATGCTGCACTACACACTGTATATGATGCGCAAGTCAGGAAACAAATCTTCTCCGCCGGCCGGACGGCCTCCAAAAGTTCTTTGAAGAGGCTTCATTCACTTTTAAGTAAGAGAGCTGAGCTGGCGAAACTTTCCAGATTTAAAAGCTATGCGCATATGTCTCTGGAAGACAAGATGGCCAAGACTCCTGAAGCCGTCAATGGGTTCCTTCAAGAATTATCTAAAGATAACCGACCCCGTGTTCAATCTTGCTTGACCGATCTGCTAGCAGCAAAGAAGTCGTACACCAAGAACCCAGATTCGGTTCTGGAACCTTGGGATAAGGAATTCTACATGTCGCAAGTACTCTCTTCGGTACCTTCCCGTTTGCGAAATGCAGACTTCTTGTCTTCCTACTTTTCTCTTGGGAGGGTGATGCAAGGAATCTCAAGGCTTTTCACTCGCCTTTATGGAATCAGATTCGTGCCTCGAGAAAATCTGCCTGGGGAGACATGGAACTCGGATGTTCGAACACTTGACATCATCTCCCAGACTGATGGCCATGTGGCAGTTATGTACTGTGACCTTTTCGCTAGACCAGGCAAATCACCGAACCCAGCACATTTCACGATTCGATGTTCTCGACGTATCCGGGATGGAGAAATTCAAGAAGCAGCAGCAATTGCCAATCCACTTTTTGAATCGGCAGAACAAGCTGCTAACGATGGAATGGCATTCTCTAGAACCCCAAACGGGGTTATGCAACTGCCCATAATAGCACTCATCTGCAACTTTGCTACCAATCCCGGTTCCAAGACTCCTTCTCTCCTCAGCTTCAATGAAGTCAGTACGCTCTTCCACGAAATGGGTCACGCAATCCACTCCATCCTCGGCCGTACCAATTTCCAAGAAGTATCCGGCACACGCTGCGCAACAGATTTCGCAGAGCTGCCGTCCATCATCATGGAACACTTCGCGGCTGATCCTTCTGTCCTAGCGCTGTTCGCTCGCCACTACGAAACAGACAAGCCTCTCCCCGTCGAAATGATTGCCGAGAAACTGGCTCTGGATAAGAAATTTGAAAGCGTCGATACAGAGCACCAACTCATCCTGTCCCTCCTCGACCAAGCTTGCCACTCTCATCTCGCGCTCAACCCCTCCTTCAACACGACCGAGGTATTTCATTCACTACAGCGCCAACATGGTGTCATGCCTCCCGACCCAGCTGGGACGTGTGGAGAGGGTTTCTTTGGGCATTTGTTTGGCTACGGTGGTTCATACTATAGCTACCTATTTGACAGGGTCTTAGCAGAGAGGATCTGGCAGCAGGTATTCAGTGGCGGAAGAGAAGGTGGTGGACTGGCTAGAGAAAATGGTGAACGATTCAAGGATGAGGTGTTGAAGTGGGGTGGTGCGAGGGATCCATGGAAATGTCTTGCGGGCGTCCTGAGGGAGGAGAGAGTTGAGAGTGGCGGGAAAGAGGCTATGCAGCTGGTTGGGAGCTGGGGTGTGGAAAGAAGGAGGAGGGATCGGTTGGAGGGAAGAGGAAGTAAGTTGTGAGTCGAAGCTGCTGATGTATGAAGGTATCTATCTGTAATATACTTGTAAATATAAGTCCACCTCATGGCTTAAGTCAAGCAATGTCGGTATCTGATTGTACCATGCCGGTCTTCGAGCTTCCTCGGATTAACGTCAACGTCTGGTGCGGTTTTGGACATTGAAATGCATATGCCATGGATGTCGCACTTGAGAGCAGAAAAGTGTCACTCTCTGGGAGTTGGGGATGGGGGGGGATAAGCGATCAAGCGAAGGTACCAAAACAAAGCCCAGACAAGCGAATCGGTGCAGGTTCATTCCACCGCTCGTACCAGCTTTACACAGAATCTAGTAGCGAGTCGAGCCAGTCATCGAATCAGTTCCCAATCGAATTGTAAGCTGTTTTATACAAAGGTGTATAACAATATTTGGCAATATCATCTTTTAACGTTTCATGTACATTTCTACATTGTGAGTATGAGGAACAAAATGATAGCCACTTAACATCCAAAAACCCGGGATAGTCTGAGGGGTCACGTCAATATATCTTCTAAGTCCACACTCATCAGCCAATCGCTCAAATGCATGTCCCTCTTCTCCTTTCTCCGTATCTGGTCCATGATAATAGCACGTAAGCCATTGATGGATGTCGAAGTGTCGAAGGCAGGACGACCCTGACTCCAAGGTTAAGTCGATTGCCTGCACGGCATGTTGATTTTGACTCGGTCTCGGATGGTCTGGGACAGACGTGTAATGTCCTGAGTACCAGTTGGACGGAGACGGAATCACTGGCAGAAAGCCCAAATGACATTTTAGAAGATAGTAATGGATAATAAATGAAGAAAACGATCTGTGACGATAGTGATTGAGATGAAATGAGACGGAGAGAATGCAGTGATGGGGAGGCGCAAGCAGAGGTCGGGAAAGTGGCTTGCTCAAACTCTACCAGGCTCAGCCTGATCAGATTTCGCCCAAGGTAGATTCTAGAGACTTTACCATAGTGAAATCTAAGAAGAGAACAACTATATTCCTCATCTTGGAGTGAGTACAAGCATCAGCTCGATGAATAGCCTGGTTGAAACAGAAACCAAATCCGGGCAGCTTCCATTTTTTTGTTTTGTCCCATGTCATTGTCACGTGATATACACCCCTCCAAGATCCCCCACAAATTCGCGACCAAAATCCCATGAGTCAACACTACCAGAACCTCTCCAAATAACGTCACATCATGGCCTCCAAATTGAGTCCCGAGGACTCGATAGCCCTGATCAAGGCCAACCTTGCTGAAGTCCTCAACCCCGAAATCATCGACAATGTCATTCTCAAGGAGAAACGCCCTCTCAAGGTGTACTGGGGAACCGCAACAACAGGACGACCCCATTGTGGTTACTTCGTGCCCATGATGAAGGTAGCAGAGCTTCTTGCAGCAGGCTGTCACGTCAAGATTCTTTTGGCAGATATCCATGGCTACCTGGACAACATGAAGGCCCCGATCGAGCTTGTCGAGTTCCGCGCAAAGTACTACGAGAAGGTTATCAAGTCGCTGCTGAAGGCTGTGGGTGTCGATTTGGCGCGTTTGGAGTTCGTCCTAGGAAGCTCCTACCAGTTGAATAAGGAATATACTATGGATAGGTTCAAGCTGGAGGGAATCACAAGGATCAATGTTGCGCAGAAGGCGGGTGCTGAGGTTGTGAAGCAGACGGATGATCCTACGCTGGGGGGTCTGATCTACCCTCTCATGCAAGCCTTGGACGAGCAATACTTGGATGTGGACGCACAATTTGGCGGTGTTGATCAGCGGAAGATCTTCACATTCGCCATGGAGAACCTGCCAAAGATTGGCTACGGTGTTAGGGCACATCTGATGAACTCGATGGTACCGGGCTTGGGAGAGGCTGCGAAAATGAGTGCGAGTGACCCTGATTCAAAAATCGATGTCCTGGATGAGCCAGCCGCTGTCGAGAAGAAGCTGAAGAAGGCGAAGTGTGTACCGAAAGAGGTAGAGGGTAATGGAGTCATTGCATTTGTGGAGCATGTCATTTTCCGTGCACTTGCGTTGAAGAACCCGAACCCGACATTCACGGTCGAGAGAAGAGACGCGGAGCCACTCCTCTACACATCTGTTGAGAAGTTGAAAGAAGACTATACCGCCGATATCGTATGTTACCCTGACATCCTTTTTGTGTTTATAATGACTAACACTTCCAGCTCACGCCACAACTCCTCAAAGCCGCCCTTACATCCCACCTCAACGAGATCCTCAAGCCTATTGTCGCCGAATACCAAGCTTCTGAAGATTGGCAAGAGATCGCGCTCAAAGCCTATCCACCCGAAAAGGCAGCCGTCAAGGTCAAGAAAGTTAAGGACAAAGGTGACCCTGCAAAACGAGCTGCTGCTGCTGCCGCGGCTGCTGCGAAGAAAGGTGTTGTTGCGCAACCAGATGGACATGTTGAGGGACCAGGTGCGGAACAGGTTACGGTTGGACCAAGTACAGAAGAAACTTTGCAAAAGTTAAAGGTTACTGAATGATAGAGTAGAAAGACCACAAAATACCCAAGAGCGTCCAGACAGCCAAAACATACTTTCTCTCTCGTTGCTGCTTTGCTAGCGCACATTTTCCTCACACAATATGTAGATACAGATAGTTGGTTTTGTGTCCTTACCGTTGCTTCAGTAGGCTAGCGCTTACTTTCCCACTACCTTACTGGCGTGATATTGCCCTCTCAGCGCTGATGTCGTCCTGGGCAGGTGAGTTGTAAACAGTCAATTCGATGTCTACGTGCCAAACGGAGCGGCGAGGTTATGAGTTTGCAGAATCCCACCAATTCACGAACCAACACCTAATTGCAAAGTATACAAAAATCTGCCCCTATTGACTCCGCGATGTATCCTTAATACAAAGAATCTCCCTTCCATATCAAACCAGAATGGCCGTCGAGCATTTCATCACGTGTAAAGACGCAAGCCACAAGCACAAGCCTAATTGGCCGGTGCACAATTTCCAAGACAAAATAAGCTCAGATATCCTCCAAAAACAAACTCACAATTCCTCGTAACATGACCTCGCTGTGGAACTTCCATTGGGTATCATGACACGAATCCCCTTCCAGACATCATGGCAGTCTCTCAATTCGATACAGCGCCATGCGCCAGAAATCTGGGAGCAGGTGAAGGATGTGTTTGCCAAGAACTGGCATTTGGGCTTCACTGCATTTGGAGGACCACCAGTGCATTTCCAGATAGTATGATTATCAGCATTTCTTTTCGGAATCGCCAATCTCGAATCACGATTTTAGTGTATGGAGATGAGCTAATAGCTATGACAGATACACAAGAAATTCGTAGAGAAAAACCATTGGATCGATGAGCAACTCGTATGTATGCTTCTAACCTGGAAGGACTTAATGTTGATGAAAGTATTTAGTACCAGGAGATATTCGCACTCAGCCAAGCATTACCAGGCCCAGCGAGTACGAAGATGTTGTACACTATTAATTACATCCACGGAGGTTTCTCAGGAGCCATCCTCGCCTTCTTCCTATGGTGGTAGGAAATCTCCACCCACATTCGGTTACCCTCAGCACACTGACCAAACGTCAAGCTTCCCGGGCGCCATTGCAATGTATGGCCTCAGTCTTGGCGTGAGCCGCATAGGAGATACGCTTCCCTTACCAGTCTATGCCCTTCTTTCAGGCCTCAACGCTGCAACGGTTGGTATTATCGCCCTCGCCGCTGTGCAGCTAGCAGATAAGGCAATCACCGACAAGTTGACTCGCTTGCTGGTATTCCTGGGTGGTGTAGCAGGTATGCTGTACACTAGGTTATGGTACTTCCCTGTCTTAATGGCTGGTGCCGGTGTGGCTACGCTGGTATGGGATTATCGTTGGCCTCACGCATTGATACTGTTGGTTTGGCGACGGTGGAGTACGAGGGAGACTGTTGGAGAGGGAGGTGTTGCCGAGCAAGATATTTCGGTTTCATCTTCCAATCGGCCGGCAACAGTTACAGAAGAAAGTATTCGCTCACGTCGTGGACAAGGTGGAGATCAGCAAATCCCGTTGTCCACACACCCTACCTCCTCTCCATATCCTGAAACAGACACAGAAACAGATCGTGTCGTACCCGCTCCAGTCGAGCTAAAACTCATCACTTGGAAAACCGGCATCTACATCCTAATCCTCTTCCTTCTGTCTTTCATCACCGTCATGGTCCTCCGCGCTCTGCTGAAGTCCCCCCCTCGCGGCGTCTCCCTATTCGCAAACCTTTACCTAGCCGGCACAATCATCTTCGGCGGTGGGCCCGTTGTCATTCCCCTCCTCCGCGAATACATCGTTGCCGAAGGCTGGGTATCTCCTCGGGATTTTCTCCTCGGACTCGCCCTGATCCAGTCGTTCCCTGGCCCGAATTTCAATTTCGCTGTGTATCTCGGCGCCCTGGCTACAGCCGGTACATCGTTGCCATCATTTGTTGGAGCACTAGTTGCATTTATTGGAATCTTTACGCCAGGAATTGTGATTGTGACCGGTGTGATGGGTCTGTGGAAGTTGTTGAGAAGCAGGAGGTGGTTATTGTCAATACTGAGGGGGGTTAATGCTGGGGCTGTGGGGTTGGTTTTCACGGCTGTTTATAAGCTGTGGCAAATTGGGTATGTGGATGCGGAGCATCAGAGTGGAAGTCCGCTAGGCAGAGATCCGTGGTGGGTTGCGGTTACCGCGACGAGTTTCGTGGGTGGTGCGTGGTTTGGGTTGAGCGCGCCGCTAGCAATTCTACTTGGGGGTGTCATGGGATTGCTTTGGTATGCAGTTGTTGAAGCTTGAATGGGTATTTTGGTAGAGTCTGGAAGGAAATCAGGACAGCAATTGGAATTGTAGGGCGAGCAAAAAGGAAATGGCGTGTGGTGTTGACATCGCTTACTGATGCCGCTTTTAGTGGAGCACTACATCTTGACCATCGGAAGCGAGCGAGAAGTAAACAAATGCACACACTCGCTATCCTTACAACAACCAACAGCAGACTTTAGATTTAATGATTTGGTTTCAAAGCCGATTTGCAAAAACAATTAGAGAGCTAACTTTTGGTGCCTAACAAAGTACCCCTCATTATTGGCTCTCCATATTGGTCTGGGGGTTCACCGATGTTGTCCAAGATTCTTAACAAACCAACACCACGCAAGATGCAGTATACACCTCCAGATCCAAGGAGACAATAACTAATGGGGGAGCTATGTTAGATAACGTTTGACCTGGCTAGAGTCGTTTGAGCCGTTGATTAAATGACGTGGACCGCCAACGTATGAGGAACCGTCCCTCACTTTTGACAGGGAGGGGGGTGATAGATTTGACGCCACCACCGTAGGGAAAGAAAGCGCGAAACCACCTTCTCTGGTACACCCAGTACCTGTTTCTCATTAACTTCTCTGCTTCAAAGTACTTTTGGCGGGAGCAATTTATACCGATAAGCACAAACTTGAAATGGTTTTTGGTCACATCGTCCCCTGAATTGAATCCTCACTGTTTTTCATCAATTTGATGTGGAAGCTCCATCTTCTCGCCGAATTCACAGCATTGGATGCGTGTATATATTTTGCGAGTACGGCGCCTCGCAGCCCAATGGATGGCGACACTGCACATCATCGCGATACAGAGTGCCCAGGGGATGAGACCCAGCATAATTAGATTGGCATTGATTCCTAGTACGAGTCCAAATATAGTAGAGAATGTAACTGCGAGGACGAAGATGAGGTCCTGGTAATTGTCTTCTCGCTGCCGTCGATATGCAAATGAAGATATGGAACAACCGAGAATAAGGCAAGCAAAAAGCATTAGAGCTGGTGATGGATCCAGAACGAACGAGAAGTAACGTAGGTATTTGGGATTGATTGCCATAGATGACCCAGCATCCGTGAAGTACTGCTTTACAGAATTAGAGTCTAGCCAAAGTGTTTGGGAAGGAATACGGACTGGCTCCTCATGATGAATGGCATAAGATGAACACAGCAGAGAACCAAAAGTCGCAAAGAAAATTTCCCAACAAGTCGCAAGTGTTTGAGCTGGACAAGGTACACTGTTGAGTCCAACTACCGTGTTCGATTTTGCAGCTGGCCAACCCCAAATGCCCGAAAATGGGCGTGGATCTCTCGGGGGACCGCTTGATTGTCCAATCTCAATATAAAATATGCTTGTCATGTCGAAATCTGATGGCTTGCAACCACGCGCCTGTTTGCGTCTTTATATCGACGGAGCTCAAAGCTGATGGCTACAGCCGGAACTCGGAGTTGTGAGGCTGGACAGCATCTCAATCTTTATACTTCGATATGTGACGAAAGACAGTCAATACAGGGCTCTGGTGATAGGGAGCTCGGGCCTCATCGAAATTGCAACACTCTCCACTCGGGCGGTGGAAACGCCATCTCTGAAGTATTGACACCTCGGCGATCTTCCTGTATCTCCTGCGGCTTGTTTCAGCAGATGCCCGAGATCAAAGAAAGAGCTGAAAATGTCTATGATTAGGAATCAACAATGGACTGATTTTTGCATTTTTTCCCGCCCGAGGCAGACCGTCAGGCACCGTTGTCACTTGGTAAGGCTACGTGATCGCAGGTCGGGCACGAATTGGCGTTCTCTCACCGAAGCACAGGGGTGTGATTGGCATCGCAGACGAAGGCAGTCGATGAGGCTGGATGTTGTCCGAACCATATTGTCGTTCTCCTTGCTATCAGTGGACAGTGACGCGCCCATTTTCGCATGTCTGGCAACCAGAACCTGAATGATAGCTTGTTGAGAATGCGCCTTGCGCCACAATTTACAAAAAGAAAAGCTGTCCATGAGTTAGCCAGTATACTGATCGAACAATTCCTTTGTTCTCATCATCTAATAGGATGTAGGGGACGTTGGGCCTTTTAATGTATGATGTGCTGAGGCCTGACGGAGAGCCCTGAAATGCACCTGATAAGATGCATATTGTTCTGAGCACTTTTCCAGCTGATTTGCACCCACTGGCTCAACACAAATCATGGCTGGGGTCACTGTATATAGATCATCATTTCTTTCCTCGGCCGCCATTCGGTGCCGTTGAATCTTACGACTCTTGAACCTTGGACACCAGGATCGAGCAACAACCTTTCAATTTCCGAAAAGACAAAGTCAACACCACAACCCCAGAAGACAACTCCATTACCTTGTATGCATTCTTGCTCTCGGTAAACTTGCTGAAGACCAATTCAATTTCCAAGATAATGGACGATCTCCGAGACGGAACCCTTGCGATGTCAATACCTTCTTCTACCCGGTTACAGCAATGGCAAAGCTTTGCTGAAACTCACCTTGTCGCACTGACTTGCGCCTTGATGTTTGCATCAGCTTTCGCCCTGCCTTCCTTTTCGTCGGCAGCACTTGGGCTAAAAGGACTTTATGAATTGTATTTGTCTCACTATCTTCTTGGAGACGTTCAGACAGCTAACCAAGAATAGCACATTGGGACTATTCATGTTCTCAGCTGTCTCATTTGGCGTGATTTATCGATGCGAGATCAAAGAGTATAAACTCGTTCAATTCCATTCCAAAGAACGAGGACTAACACTATCCAGACATATCGCGCCGGGACTCGCAGTGTGTATGCCTTTTGCCTTCACAGCCCTTTTGACCGTACGGCCCTCCCTGAAGGATTTTGCTCCATATATGCCAATTTCTGCAGCTATGGGAATTATGATCATTGTTTACATCGTCCCATGGGCGAGGAAGAGCTTTCATGCTCGAAATACTGTACAGGATGTCAGACTTGGAGAATTCATGAGAGCTGAGCACAGCATCAGATATTCTGGATCCGATGGAGCATCCATGGGCTCGGATTCAACCCGCTCCAGTGGAGTTCACCTGTGGATTTTGAACCGTTTCATGGGATCTGAGGTAGACCCCCTAGTTTTTGCACACCTTGGTCACGCAGGACACTACGACACATCCACAATACCACCACTTTGGGAGACGATCAGCACCGGTGATCTCGAATTAGGACTACATCCTGGCTCCAGCCGAACCAGCACAACCTCCGAAGATTCCACAGATCCGTTACTGCTTTGACACGGCAGAGAGAGGCTCATTACTGCTATCATTACCACTATCCCTTGTCCTAGGTCTACTTGGCTATGGTATTCTCCCTGTTTCAACAAATCTGCTTGAACTAAGGCAGCACGACATCCTTTTCCAGTTGGATGTGACATACGTTTATCATGTCTCCGAGGCTTGATTATTTATACCGATAGGACATTGAAAATGGCTGGAGGTTCACAGAGGACTCCAATGTCTTGAAATAACATCTATTCACATCTGCGAGTGAAAAGTTGGTAAGAGGCAATCGAAAAGAACACGTTTCCAGACAGTCCATAAGGATCATTTTAATTTGGAACCGTCATCACTCCCACTTGAGAGGGTTCCATGGTCCCTTGATTTCCAGAGTTCCAATCCAAGGCATAGACACAAGAGTTCCGAAGGATTGCTCCCCAGACGCCCCAGACGCCCCAGACGCCCCAGACTCCGCACCACAAACGTCACCACTTCAAGGACTGAGATCCCAAGATTCCAAGATAAGGACATTACTTTTTGCTTTTTGACTTCATGATTTCTTCTTCCTTCCCAACGGTCATATCAATCCAAAGTTCCCGGAGATGGGTTAGATCTCACAGGATGCCTCGCATTAGCACAGGATATCTTGACCATTGGGCCAATTCACTGGCATTGTCTGGACCTATACCAAAGAGACGGGACCAAAACATTTGCGGGATCGTAACACATATTTTTCCAACGAACTTTGATGAGACCCAGTTCTCTCGAAGAGCACCAGCCGCGAGAAGATGTGGAGATGAGGAAATGCCTGCGACAGCTAGCAGCCTGCAAACATTCATCTAAATCGTTCCCCATGGGGTGAAGGAGCATTTCGGAGCACTTTTGATTGGACGTTGGATGGCAGGAGCAGGACAGTGGATCTGTGGACTCGCTTCATGGAAATTTCGAGGGAACCAGATGTCTCCGTGGCGTTGTGAGCGTACGAAAGACTCAAAATAGATCTGGGAACTGGCTTTCACACTGAAAGATGTTATTGTGTTTCACGAGGGTGTTAGAATTATTGCGCAAGCATATTGTGGTTGTTTTCATCCTTGCTCTTGTTTTGATTAATACATGGGCATATTCACTTGAGATGCTGGGCTTGGAGCGAGTCCAAGGCCCGGTGGTGGTACATGTAACGGTATAAATTTCCGCCAGGCGAAGGATATCTAATCTTACGTGGACTGAGTGAGTTGATCGTGACGGGCTTCTACATTTTTCTTGCCCGTGAATTATCGTCCTCCGAAGTCCTCAGCATGCGTGACGAGAATCCCACCGACTGATGAGATTAATCACCTAATGAATTTTTAACTGAAAATTGGTGATATGCCTTACACAACCTGCGGATTAAGCCTTAAAATAAACTATCTATTGCAGAACTCGTTCGTAGAAAAGAACGATAGTTTCAAGTGAGTGGGCTCAATGGATGTATGCTAGGCCCGATTGGGAAAGACTAACTCCGTGCTGATTTTTGACATGAAGTTTACCACTTCACAGAATTCAAGCCTAGATACTGCGATCAAGAAAGCGGACTTGAGAAGTCGAATTCTAATCATGAATATCGAACATTTTCTTCTTTCGTCACTACCATACGACGAACCAATCTTCGTTCGCAATTGATGTCTTCAAAGCCGCATGTTCGTCGAAGTACCCAGCCATAGCTCAGAGACTCAACAATGTCATCAATTAGCTCACCTGCTTCAACAACTCCTCTGTCTAACCACTCTTCAACAAGTCCTCCACCAAGTCGTCTTCCTAGAGTTTAGAAATCTTGACAGGTCGATGACGACTTCTCGATTTGACAAAGATGGGGTCGCTGTAGACTGGTCCCTATGGATCGTTGTGAATACGATGCTCAGGGATTGTCTTGATTCCACCTGTGATAGTGTTTTTGTGAAATATATGCTCAACACCATCATTGTCTCTGCTCTTTGACGTATTCGCTCAAGTAGATGTCAGTCCAATCGTTTCACGAAGGACCCAGCCATGCCTGGAAGGGCCAGCACCTCGTCAAAGAGCTGTTAGACCATATTTCCCTACGCGTCATGCTGTATGATAACGTCAAATGCTGAAATATTGAGACAGTGTTTAAGTGTCAAGATGCCTTTGATATTTCAGAGCTCTATCCAAAAGCCGTGCGATATCAACGATGAAGAGATCCTGGACCTTCAATTCCAAATGAAGCTCGGGAAAGCGGCTCGAAGACCTTTCATTCTAAACTGGAAGGGCGAGTACCTCAACGACTTCACAAGTGTTGTTCACCGCATTCCAGTCACATGTTCATTCGTGCCTGTCTTGGATTCTTTTCAGAATAGAGTGAACAGAGACAAGCTTGCAACAGCAACACAATGCGAAGAGTTGAATGAGAAGTATCGCCGTACACTTCAGGCGGCGCTCCAACCAGAAACTTTGCAAGGCGGCGAAGCAGAGCAATGAAGTAAAATTTCTGCGAGAGACGCGGTTGATACTTTCAAGGTCGGTTCCGCTAGACACCGACTCCAAGTCCACCTCGCAACCGAGAAGTAAAGCTTTCTCAGAGGAGACAATATCCGCACCTGTCAGCTCAACTGTACAAATCTCAGACTGGGATATGCTTTTTGGCATGCTCTTATGGAGAGATAGTCCAGACTCTCTCAAGATTGCAGACGACTAGAGCACTATAACCTGACATCAACAATGTGGGGAATTTATTCGTGACTTGTGAAAGTACAGTGGAACAGTGTCAGTAGTCCTTTTGCTCTTCCGTTTCCATACTGCGGCTCCATGCAGCATGTCTGGTGTGACGAGATCTAGACATGCATCTGAGAGCTGTCAGGCTTGTTAGCTTGAAATTCCGAGTGAATTGGGGTCTCTCTTAATGATTGAAAGGTGTTCTGTCTTACAGTAAGTAGTACAGAATACGTAAACATGGAGAGACCAGCTGCGGGGCTTCCAAGCTTCAAGTGAAGATGCAGCTATGGTGCAAAGTTGCGAGGAGTTTGCTGGATTCTCGGCTCCGCTTCGGTGTTACCTCTGTCACATTCCCACGACCAAATCAGATGAGTTGAGGGGTGACGGAGCCGAGGCATTAGCTTGAATCTCCAACTTCTTGTTTCCCCTTGACAATAAACATGCAAGAAGACAAGAAGAGGCCATTTCGGAAGACGTCTTCCCCGCATTGTCAGTCATCACGTGTGGATGGGTGACTTGCATGTGCCGAAGCCACCAAGCCACCAAGCCACAGCGGCGCCTTTTTCGGCGGCTTCCAGGGAGTTCATGGACCACTGTGGACCACACCTCTTGGCCTGCTTCTCCTGCACCAAGGTAAATTCTTACTGCAAACTTACCTGACTCTCAACTCATCATTGTCTCTGACAAGGCTCCGTTCCAAGCCACGGATACCACGTTACCACGCCAGACGATAAATTAGGTAAATTAGTCATGTTGGTATTTTATGTACATAGACATCTATGTACATCGAGGCAGGTTCACGCAGCTTGAGATGCATCGAGCACGAAAGAACCAACCGGATTCGAGGGCGCGTCTGATGTGCGCGGTGAAGATGCATTAAGGTGAGGTAAGGCAAGAAAGGAGGAAGGTTACCTATAGGAGCTAGCTCCCCAAAGGCGCCCAAAGATAAGAGTCTTTACCCCAGCTGGTGCATGGAAGAGTCAGTCTCCTACAGTAAGGTAAAAAGGGGGGTCAACCATCAACCATCAACTATCCACCATCCACCATCCACCATCTCCCTGCGTATGAGCCTATCAAGTAGCACAGCCAGTGAGGGGAAGCCGAAGTCGAAGTCGAAGTCGAAGTCGAAGTCGAAGTCGAAGTCGAAGTCGAAGCGGACTTGATGCAGTGAAAGTTGAACGGTGCAGCTCCCAGCTCTTGGGAACTAGCTTCCATCCATTACTTATTGCATCCCATCCCATCGCATCCCAGCCAGTACAGTAGTAGTCTTGTCATGCCCTGTTCCTCGTCGGACCGATTGTCACGGCTCTTGGCACAGGGATCGGCCATATTTGACGGCCGCCTATCCTCTCCAGACCCAGACCCAGACCCAGACCCAGACCCAGACCCGGGAGCATCCCCATCTTGTAATTTACCCCTCCTGCCCTCCTGCCCTCCTGCCCTCCTCCTCCCCTCCCTTCCCCCTGAACACCCCCTGTTCTCCCCCTGTTCTCCCCCTGTTCTCCCCCTGTTCTCCCCCTGTTCTCCCCCAGGCTACCCCGGACGCCCAACCCCCGCGCGAGCGCCGGTGACATCAGACTACGGAGGAAAAGTAGAGCTTTTTCATCCGAGGTGAAGTGTTTCTTCGGGCCTGACATTATTATTCTGGGGAAGCATGCACCCAACCTTACTCCCGCTTCTTCTCAGCTAGGAGCTTCCTTTTCTGGAGAAGGTTGAGATGTCGTATCCACTTCTACTGCAGCTCCAGCTGGCTTGCACGACACGACACGACACGACACGACATGACACGACAGAAGAGACAAGCTCAGGACAGGACAGGACAGGACAGGACAGGACAGGACAGGACAGGACAGGGCAGGACTGGACAATTGGAACATGGGGCCATCCAGGTCGAGCAGGTGGGTAGGGAGCCGGGACAAGAAAACAAATTTGCTTAAGCTGCATGGGGTGCGTTATGACTGACTACCTACCTACTGCCCTGTCTTGTCTTGTCTGCTGAGCAAGCTCACGTAGCATCCTAATGAACCAATTTCAATTGACTTCACGCGAAAAAGTATATAGCTCTGACGATCGCTGCTTCCTGACATTTTGCTTTCTCCCCCTCTCTCTCCTTCCTTCCTTCCTTCCTTCCTTCCTTCCTTCCTTCTTTGTCGTTGTCAGTCAGGCAACTTTTTTCTGCCCTTTGCAGTCCTCCGACTTGCACCCTACTTCTGTGCTTCCGAGTACCAGCGTGAAGTCAATTGACGTTTCAATTCAAAGGATGTTGTTCTCCCCATCAACATCGCTTGTTCTCCTTGCAGGCTCTTTTGTGAGCTTTGCAACTGCCCAGAACGACGGCGATTTCTCTCCCCCAAGCTACCCCTCACCATGGATGCGAGGCGGCAATGGTTGGCAAGATGCCTATGCCAAAGCACAGCAGTTTGTGAGCGGATTGACCTTGCTTGAGAAGATCAATCTCACAACCGGTGTGGGATGGGAGGGCGAGGCTTGTGTTGGCAATACAGGGTCAATTCCAAGGCTGAATTTTGCGGGAATCTGCTTGCAGGATTCTCCGTTGGGAATTAGATTTGGTGAGTTTTCTCAAACTGATACCAGCTCGAGCAGTCGATTGATAAAGAGGTTTCTAGCGGATCTCAACTCTGCCTTTCCATCTGGCATGAATGCCGCAGCAACATGGACGACTCGCCTCTTCAAATCTCGCGGCAACGCAATGGGTATGGAACATCGAGGGAAAGGAATCGACGTTCAGTTAGGTCCTGTTGCTGGCCCACTCGGTCGTGTCCCTGCTGGTGGACGGAATTGGGAAGGTATGTCATGACCCTGAGGCCATCTAACGTAAAAAATCAGTAAATGAGAAGAAATGACTGACAATAGTCAGGCTTCAGTCCTGATCCCGTGCTCACCGGAATCGCAATGGCCGAAACGATCAAAGGCATTCAAGACGCTGGTGTTGTGGCTTGTGCGAAGCATTATATCATGAATGAGCAGGAACATAACCGCGAACCGAATGGCACGGTCAAGTTTGCGTATTCAGCGAATCTGGATGATAAGACTATGCATGAGTTGTATCTATGGCCGTTTGCGGATTCTGTTCGTGCTGGTGTTGGATCGATCATGTGTTCGTACAATCAGGTAGGTTCAAATCACCCGCTGTGAAGACTAGCTTCTGACACGGCACAGATCAACAACAGTTACGGCTCTCAAAACTCCTACACGTTGAACTACCTACTCAAGAACGAGCTCGACTTCCAGGGATTCGGTAGGTATCACAATTCTCCACTCAATGCTCATGTTAACATCCAGTAGTTGTCAGCGATTGGTGGGCACAACACACTGGTGTAGCTTCAGCCCTAGCGGGTCTTGACATGACTATGGCAGGAGATCAAAATCTCGCATCCGGGAACACATGGTGGGGATCTAACCTGACAGCTGCTGTCCTGAACGGAACGATGCCACAATGGCGTCTGGATGATATGGTAACGAGGATCATGTCTGCATACTTCAAGGTTGGTCCCTTCGTTGCCTTGATCTGGCTCACAACTTACACCTGACGCAGGTCGGACGAGACACCGCTCGCGTTCCGACAAATTTCAACTCATGGTCCTCAGAAACATTCGGCTACATCCACCCGCAAGCCAACGAAGGCTACCAGCAGATCAACTACCACGTCAATGTGCAAGATGATCATGCTCGTCTCTGTCGCGAAATTGCAGGCGCTTCGACAGTTCTTCTTAAGAATGTGAAGGGTACGCTACCGCTGAAGAAACCAAGGAGCATTGCAGTGATTGGAGAGGATGCGCATGACAATCCTGGAGGGCCAAACTCGTGCGGTGATAGAGGGGTATGTTCACTTTCTCGCTTGTTTGCCAATATGTCATGCTCATCCTTCTGCTGGATTGTTGTATTTGGCACTGCTAACCAACTCAGTGCAACCGCGGGACACTAGCTATGGGCTGGGGCTCAGGAACAGCCAACTTCCCTTATCTCATAGCACCAAACACAGCATTGAAAGAACAGGCTGCTCGAGATGGCACGAAATACACCAATGTCAGCGACAATTACAACTTTGCCGCCGTCACAGCCGCCATCCAAGGAACCGACGCAGCCATAGTATTCGCCAACGCTGACTCAGGTGAAGCTTATATCTCCGTGGATGGTAATACCGGTGATCGCAATAACCTCACACTCTGGGGTAACGGTGACGCTCTCATCCAACATGTTGCTTCCCAACACCCCAACACCATCGTCGTACTACACACAGTTGGTGCCGTCATCGTCGAAGCCTTCAAGAACCACCCTAACATCACCGCCCTTCTCTGGGCCGGTCTCCCAGGTCAAGAATCTGGCAATGCCATCACGGACATCTTATACGGCAAGCGTAACCCATCTGCAAAGAATGTGTTTACGTGGGGCAAGAAGCGCGAGGATTGGGGTGTGGATGTCGTTTATACGCCAACCGCTGATCCGCCGCAATTGAATTTCAAAGAGGGGAATTTCATCGATTATAGATATTTCGATGCAAACAACATTGAGCCATCTTATGAGTTTGGGTTCGGACTTTCATACACCACGTTTGCGTATTCGGATTTGAAAGTCCAGAAGATGCAACCGGGTCCGTATGAACCTACAAAGGGAACAACAAAGGCGGCGCCGACGTTTGGAACGATCGATTACAATGAGACTAATGCGGAGTTTCCGCCAGGGTTCCACGCCGTGAATAAGTACATCTATCCTTATTTGAGTGAACCTGTCCCAAGGGGAGAGTCGCAAAATTGGCCAGTGGGCAGCAGAGAGGGGACGCCGCAGCCGAAATTACCTGCTGGGGGTAGTGCGGGTGGCAATAGACAGCTTTATGATGTCTTGTATGTGGTTACCGCGACGGTCAAGAATACAGGGAGCGTGAAGGGGGTAGAGATTCCGCAATTGGTGAGTTCTTGCTTACTTCTCTGCTTTTGTGCGTGAAACTAATCATCATTACCAGTATCTCTCACTTGGTGCCCCAACCGACCCCAAGATTGTCCTCCGCGGCTTCGATGACCTCACGCTCGATCCAAATGAGAGCGCAACATTTGAAGTCAAGCTCACGAGACGAGATCTGAGTAATTGGGATACGGTGAGCCAGAACTGGGTTGTCAGTTCTTATCCGAAGACGGTTTATGTGGGCGGAAGTTCGAGGAATTTGCCATTGAAGGGCGTGCTAGGCTGAGTGAGAGTGGATTTATAAACAATATGCTACTACTGTGAGGCATTATATGATGTATCCTTCAAATTTTGAAGCATAAAATCAAAAAATCTACTTGCGTTACTACACATCTTGGGACACGTTGCTCCAGCGCATTATGGAAATTCTTATTCGCTTCTGTGACACTTCGATCTTTGTTTTGGAGAGTAAACATGACCAACCTTCGAAACCCGACCTTATGATCCCATCAGCAAGGGAAAATCCCAAGCATCCATCAGTGAAGGTGGTGTACTACTAGACTGATGGGACCCTCTGCCCAATGCATTTACACCTTCCATACTTGCTTGATAAATTCCTCGACATCACCCAGCAAGAGCTTTGGTTGTTCTAAAGCAGCAAAATGTCCGCCCTGTATCCCGCTCGTCAGCACTCTCCTTTCAACCTCTCGCCCTTATTCCCCCCCAAAAAACAGCAACAAAAAGGGCAATATATGATAGAACGCACCTTCTCATGCTCACGATAAAACACCAGATAACCCTCCGTCTCAGCCCAACTCTTCGGGACTGGGAGCAGTTCTTTCGGAAAGTTCGAGAAGCCGAAGGGCACGCGGACTTTAGGTTCAGTAGGTTGGTGGGAGGGTGAGAGGAAGCGCTGTTTGCGTGTCAGTATATCAGGATTTGGGAAGGAAACAGTGCATTGTGCTCGTTCAGAGCATCTCACGAGAGGTATTAAGTCATGATCAGACAGGAGCCCAATCCTCTGTAAATCAGGAGACCACACATACTCTTCGATAAGTAAATATACTACTTTCGAAACTCTGCGTGAACCAGTATAATGTCACGCTCTCTAGGATTGTCGAGAGACTTGGGTCGTCGTCTGTCCATGAGAGGAATTTCTCGCCGATCCAAGCGAGGAGGGCGAGCGGGCTGGAGGAGAGGACGGCGCCTATTGTGGAGGGGCGGGTGCCGTGCATGTTGGCATCTTAGAGGGAGTGTGTCAGTTGGATTTCAGAGGTGGAGGCTTGGGATTTGGGAAGAAGTTAGAAAGGGAGACGAACAGCCAGAACCGGTGCGGATGAATTCCTGGCCACGCTCAACCATAATTTTCTCCTTTGCGTTGAGAGTCGACGGCTCTGTTCCGGGAGGTGGAGCACCAATGTAGTTGAAGTTGACATGGACGGCTGCGAGGTTTGTCAGATCAGGTTTCGGAGGGGAAGCAAGAGACGGGGACCGAAGTGGGTAGGCACCATACCTTTGCAGCTTGGGTAGTTGGAATCACCCAGGACCTTGACGATTCGGCTCCCAATGTCTCCACCCTTAAGACAGATAAGTCTGCTGTCTGCAATTTTCAAAGCGATGAAATGCTCACCTGCGCAACATAACCATGGCCGAAGCCCAAGTCGAGCATCAACTGGTTCATAATAGCCGCCACACTTCCCACATCGAAATCCGTATCCAATGGTGGAGGGCTCGAGAATGCGAATCCCGGCAAACTGGGAACGATGACATGATATGGTAGATCTCTGGGGTCAGGATACTTCTCTTTCAGAAGCGACAAGATCGGGAGAAATTCGAGGAAGCTGCCTGGCCAGCCGTGGAAGAGCGCCAAGGGGATGGCGGATGGGTTGGTGGAGAAGAGAGCCACGAAATGAACGGTGTGTGTTGTGAAGATAGTGACTGGCTTGTTAGGAGACGAGGGTGTAGGAATGGGTGTATTGGATGTGTTGACGGTTGTTGTGAAGTGGGGGAAGCTGTTGATATGGGCTTCGGATTTCTTCCTGAGAAGTGTCAGGAGATGGCTTTGGAAAGAAGTGGATACTTGAGTTTTCGATGTAAAGCACAAATAACAAACGGGAGACAACTAATCATTCATGCAAGAGCCAGCTTCGAGACAATATAATTGATGCCAGAACTCACCAATCAAATTGCTCTAACCAGACTCTCTTCGCTTCAGCTAGCCAAGAAAGGCTTACACCATATCTACGGTCCTCCTGTTGATTTTCATAAGTTTTCTTCGGGAGTCTAGATAACTTCAGCAGCTGTCTGAAATCGGCGATTTCATCGTCCGAAATAGAGACTTTGAATGGTGTGGGTTTCTTCTGCACCGAAGCGGGGATCTCGGAATAGAGCGGGGTTGCCATTGTTGGCTCGTCGATATGGGTGGCGAGCGGGAGGGAGTTGATACTTTCCAAATCTTCGCGACTTTACACTTGAAGTAAAAGAACTTGCTTCGATGGAACGCTTAGAAGGTTGATCTATTGTTTATATACTGTTACCAAGTGAAGCCCTCCAGTAGCCTCGGAACGATCACTAGCGACTTAGCCAAGCTTTGTTCCACCGATCCGCTGAGCTTGCTGACAGCATCATCGCACGCGATTTGCTTACCTACTCCTTCCAATGTCAACTTTGAGAGCGTTATCGACAGATTTATTACATTATCAGCGCCAGCCCATATCTCAGCTAATATGACATTGCTCCCTATCCTTGCAGCTGAAAGGGCGTCAGTCTCGGGATATCAGTTAAGCCCCTTCACGATACGTAAACCAAAGCATCTTGGAGGAACCGAAGTCTGGCCTTACAAGTCTCAAGCTTATATCTCCTTGATCCAAACCACACTATTAATCCATATTCGAGTTTTCGTTTCCTGGAAATGAAGCTGATTACATCGAGTAAGGTGGCATCGCCTTGGTCATGTGCATTGCATGGATTGCAATACCTACCTACCTAAACTCCTACAGCGTTTGTGGCTCAGCATTCAGGCAATTTGCAGTCTTGGCTCTGTTGTTATCTTGACCAGCTTCGCACCTCCTATATGCGCGACTCAAATGGGTAGATCTGCAATTCGCGTCAGTAACGTAACCATTCATTCATTACAATACAAACCAGATCGTGGCAGGGAATATCCATATCCTGGCCGATACAAAAGGTCATCTCTGATACGTGATGGCAAGGGGAGATGAGGCGTAGGTAGCTTTGTTGTTGAGCAGTCATGACGGCTCCGAATATTGCCAATGTTGATAGGAGAACCGTGAGTATCTGGCCTCTGTTTCTGCCGCATTAAAACTAAATTAGTAGTAGTCAATAAGCGATCGCCCTCCAGCATATGAAGATGGTGTTCACTTTCCTCCACTGGCCGCACACCACTCACTTTCGGCAACAAATGGTTCCCAAATAGGATTTCCTGAAGATGACGCTCTTCCAAGAGAGCCATCGATAGCAGAATCTCTGCCTGGCTACTCAAGATCCGACATCCCACTCACCACTCTCCCACCACCAAATCCCTTCCGCGAAGTTGATCAACATGTTCCCTTTTTCAAGAACTACGGGAGGGGAATCCTCATCGCGGCTGTCCTACTTGTAGTCGCTCCCGTTGCTGGGGTAATCGGTGGAATCGTCGCTCGCAATGCCAGAAGAGATGCGTCCGACCAAGATATCCCCTCGCCGAAGTTTCTGGCATTGGCTGCTGCGGAGTGCCAAGAGGGAACCTTTGTGTTTTGGCAGACGAGCAGCTCGGATGATATATGGATGATTGGAACCTTGACGAGCGCAACCTGGAACAGAACATCATATGCCTACATTCCTGCGACAAGGCTGGACTTGGGTCTCCGCAATCAGTCTGTGTTGGCAAAGACTAATTTGACGGCTGTTTGTTGGCGAGAGGCCTCCTCGACTCTGGTAAGTCTTTCCGGCTTGACTCCAGACAGCTATTGATTGAAGGCAGCATGTACGGTTCTACTTTTACCTAGTGCCAGCTCTCTCTCCAGGGAACGGATCGTCCGAAGCACAGCTCACTGAGGGTCACATCCGGATGGTACCCGCCCCATGGAGTGAAGAAGTGGACACTTACGTTCCTGGGCAAATCCTCAAGTCCTCATTGGCGATGGTACCTGCTCAAGGTTCGCTCGCAGCTACTTATCTGCCTTCTCAAGGGGTTAAGCTCTATTATTCATACATCCCTGGCGACTCCTTGGCTGCGCATGCTGAGATCAAGGAGCTTTCATACTCGCCAGCTACCGATTCGTGGTCAGAATCAACAACCCAGGCATTGGCACATGACAGAGGTACTGGATTGGCTGTTGCTTCAGTCGACGACCCGGCGAAGACTGAGGTTTACATATTTTTTGTCAACACAGATATCCAGCTTTCGACTGTCAGATGGACAAACGCCACTGGTTGGGACAAAGGTTTGTGGTGCTGTTGAAGTTCTCCACATGCTGACATACTGCAAGAGAAACTCCCCTTGATTTTCAACGACAAAGCATCCATAACCGATCCCGTTGGAAAGCGTGCCGTCAACATCATTGCGGTAGCTCAAGGGAGTTCTTCCACTACTCAACTCTACTTCATACAAGACCATCATATTCGGGGCCCTTCATACGTCGCTTTATCGGCGTATTCCACAATTGATAAGCAAGACTATGATATGGACATTTTGCCCGATGCTATTGAGCATCCCGGACTCATCGCAAGTACCTCGTATGGAGAGACTGTACGCGTTCAATTATTCTATGTGACGAGAGTGGAGGATGCTGCTAAGGTGAACGGAGTCTCACAAGCTGGGACGAAAATTGTGAATGCCACTTTAGGAGTGGGACCGGGGAACAATTTGACATTGTTGACGTATTTGAGTATAGAGGACGAGGCACTCAACACGGACTGAAAGGCGGGGAATTCGTTATTGGTAGGTGATACGTGGTAATGTAATCGGGAGCGTGTGACGAGGAACGATAAGAACGACGATAGAAACACTTAGGGTCAGAACCGAGTGTCCGTACGATCGCAAGACAATTAAAGCCAGCTTCAACACTTTATCTTCAACATTCTCTGCCGGTTAGAGGCCATATCCCAAGGAAGTCAACAAGACCTAACCAGACCTGCGCCTTTCTCACCCTTCTTGCCCCAGCATCAGAGCTACACATCGCAGCGACGAGCCTAAACTCCTCCAGATGCTGCGCAACACTAGGGTGGGAAACATCGGCTGAAAGGTTTGTGCCGGTGAGGAGACTGCAGTTTCCAGAATCGGAAGAGACTGAGGATAAATTCGCTGTGGTTGTAGAGTGTAGTGAAATTGGAGGCTGGATTTATGTTAGAGATTACCTGGGAAAGTTCAGATGTTTTTGAAAGGTGGACCTGTTTGTTGTGGGATGGGCTGAGGCGGGATGCTTGTTAGTATCTGTGTCCGAGGAACAATGGAGTTATCTCTTCCACAGTTTCGTGGACGACAATAGAGATTAATTATAGCAGATAGCTGATATGCAATTTTCCAGCTCCGTAAACGAAGCAATTCATGCAAAGTCGCCGAGTGAGGTGCTACCAGGTTGTTTTAAGCACAGATAATGAGGAACTGCTCTTTACGGAATGTGAATTCAGGGAAAAAAGCGATCTTCACCGCCACTTACGCACAATTGTCTCGATTGGGATCTGTGGGATGAAATGAGGAAGCACAGCTGAGAAGCTTGTAAAATAGTAATCTTTCTTTGGTGTCCCATCATATGTCTCGATCAGGATCAGGACAAGAAAAGAAAACGTACTGGCAGTCCAGAGATCGGAAAAGAATTCAGATGTTTTGATTATTAGTGTTATTCTCATCAGACATGTGACAAACCTTGAGTGGAGGAATGTCAACAAATCGCGTAGCACTTCCGTCGATGGTCAGATAATTGACACGTGATGTACATGAAATTGCGGCTCCTCCTACATAAAAAAAAAAATCCCCATTTCCGGTTCCTGTGGAACGTGTTTATCTCAATAATTATTATCATGATAAAGACCGTCCTAAATCCATCTGCCGCAAAAATTGCCATAGGGAAGTTGAAACTCAAATTCGGCATTGGAAGCGGAATTAGCGAGCCCTATCACCGAGACAGAAGCGGACCATGACCCCAGCTTGCCGATTTGATGCAGAGTCTCCGATTCAGTTGCTTTGAACTTTATCCTCACGGAAACCTTCCAATCATAGGAAGAGAAAGCACGCTTCGAGACTGTGGAGACCAGCAGAGATTTGCTTCATAAGCGCATCCGAACCAGGTCACATCACCGCTGGGAGATCAGATAAAGGCTTCTAAAATCCAAAGACCCGGACTCGCCCATATCACGGCTCGCCTTTCGTAACCAAAGACAAAACCTGCACTGTTTTTCACCTTTTATCGATTAAAACATTGGAGAGGTGTAAACCCGAAGGATACAGAGTGACGAAAAATGGTTTGCGAAGCCTGCAAGACTATCCCGCCAGTTGTGGCTGAGGGCTATGTTGAGAAAGGAAAATGGGAAGACATCGGAGGATTGAAGACTTGTGAGTTGGTTGATACAGCGCTCAATTTGGAGTTATTCAGTACTGATACATATCATCTAACAAGACATCACTGGTCCCTCGGATGCCAAAAGCGCGATCCTAGATATCTATGATATCTTTGGGTTTGCACCTCAGACCATTCAGGGAGCAGATGCATTATCGGCTGCTTTGGGAGTCTTGGTCTTTGTGCCAGATTTTCTGCAGGGGGATTATGCAAAGGGCGAGGTATGGTTCTATTACAACCGGCTTTCCTCCCACCCGCTTTCTTCGGTTTTCTTGGACAAGAGTCTATCGGAAGTTAATGGCACTCAATAGTGGTTTGCAAACCCGACACCTGAGAATTTAAAGCTAAAGGGAGAGCTTTTGGGCCGTGCTTCAGCCCTCGAATCGAAGATCAAACTCGTCACGCAATTTGTCAAAGACGTGAAGACCAAGTGGACTGTTGAGAAATGGGCTGCGCTTGGTCTTTGCTGGGGCGGAAAGGTAAAGCCGAAAATTTTGAATGGAGATGCAAATGTTTGAAATGTACTGAAAATTCACAGGTTGTTGCTCGGACTTCAGGTCCTGACACGCTATTCCTTGTCTCCGGCCAAGTCCACCCTGGCAGACTTGATGTTGAAGATATCAAGAAGATTAAGATTGCTCACATCATCCTGGCCTCCAAGGACGAGGATCCTGCCGAGGTGGCAAAGTGTAAGGAAGTGTTGGAAGGAAATGCTGGGAATGGCTTTGTAGAAACTTATCCTGAGATGAGTCATGGATGGAGTACGTTGAAGCTTTTCAACGTCCGCTCGAAACTGCCAACTTTACTGACACGAGTTAGTGGGTACCAGAGCCAACTTCAGTAACTTTTTGGAAGCTAGCGAATACGAAAGAGGGTACCTCATACCTTTATTCCTTCCTTTGATCCAAGCTAACGTGCACATGTAGATATAACCAGATTGCCAAGTTTTTCAGCAAGCAGCTTTAAACGACATGGGGCCTTCCTTTAGCTCTTATAGTTCAATAGATTCTTTACAATGAGAGTATTCTTCATTAATGTCTCAATGTTTGGGCTCTTTCGTCTCCCCTGTGACATGGTGAGTATGACCCATTCGATTTGGTTCCTGAACTGGCGAAGAAGCTTTCTCAACCACTTCGCTCGTTCATGTAAGTCTCTTTTCTTTTCGTTCAATTGATCTCAAATACTGAATGTGAAATTTCCTCCGCCAGTTGATGGGCGCCAGTTCAAAGGTTGATATTCAATGTGGTTTGCCGTCTTTCGGGCTAAGCTGGAGGAGCCATCTACGCTGTCCACGCCAGCTTCTTGCATCCTTGTCCCAATTGAAATTCATTTGGTCAAGTCCTGAGCCCTAGATACATTCCCCCTGAGCAGGAATCTGTGCTACGATGTACAGAGCACGTTTCGCTTCTCATCTGGGTCATGCCACGGAGTATGGTGCCCATCTATCATCCTCACCCACACCATGTAAGAGCACGCAGGCGCTGACAGCTGGCAATCAGATGCAACTCATGACATTGCGCGTTGGAGTCACCATTGTTAAACAGTACATTCACGTCAGATTTAGCTCGAGGAGTTCTTCGTAACTCTCAGACTGCGTAACAACAGGTAAGTGATCAGGATCATCTTCCAAGTCGGGAGTACATTAAGCTTCTCGTCCAGCTCAAGCACCTATGCTTCGCCCGCTGATTGGATTTGCGGTCGATTAAGCCAGTATAAGAGCGCAAAATATCCCAGCTGGTGTATTCTGGTCTCCTAACTCTTCAAAACTTAGACTGACTTGTGTTCGAGTCCAGCCCTTGGTAAAGACAACTATGGCTTCGTTGTTGAGTTTCGAGCCACGACCACATGTGAAGATCATGTCTGGATTTATTAGTGCGGACTATTCTTCTAAATTCTCCTGGATTGACGACTGACCACTCAACAAGTGCTGGATCGTGCTCCAGTACGACCTGTTCATCACACCAAGTCTCGGCCCAGCCGATCTTCCATAGGCCGACTTAAGTGTCCCGGAGGAGGAGCTACGGCGACGGGCTAGGGCACTCAGTTATCCTGTGATAAAATTTGCATTTTATTGCGACGCCTGAGTGGCATTGTGCACGAAGTCCTTTTTGGGAATTGGAACAACGGGAGAGGCGATCATGGCGGTTAGCACAACTGAGCAGAATGTATCTGCGGTCATTGAATCGTGAGACGCTGCACTGTATTGTCTGAGGTTTTAATATTGATTTCTTTCTAAAGAAGAGAGCGGAGCCTTTATAAGCCTTCACTGGAAGTGAGTATGCCACACAAGAGACATGCCACCGAATTGATCCACGGCTCTCCTTTACTTACGAGTGACGAATCTCAAGGGCGTCTCGATAAAAATCCGGATAGCCGAAGACGAATATGCGAGTGAAATATGAGAACATCCATATATGGGAACTTCTACAGATCATAAAAAAGTTCTTACTTTAAGCAGAAATCGATGGATTTGTTGAGCATTCATCAGTAACCAGTTTGGCGTTGTGATTCTGAGGAGACTTATTAGGATTATGTTGAAAATTTGAGTAGGATATTCATGGGTCTTCACTCGCAATTTGACTGAATCCAAAAGAAGTCACCTCAATGTCGCACATCTAGCAGCTTGGCGCTGAGAGTTGTCACCCAGCTCAACGGAAACCCTGCGCTTCTATTCAGCAGGCGGGTAATCCTCAAAGTCCCAAAATTGAAACAGCCACCTTGTTCGTCACTGAAAATACCAATGAACAAAACATCCAGCACTCTCGTAAAGACATTAAAGGTCTATTCAGGTGATTCAGGTGACCCACAACAAGGCACCTGATATCCTTTCTGCTGGCACTTCTTACGATCAAGCAGATCGTTTCCTTCATTCACAGCCATCCAAATTCGAACCAAAGGGCCCAGAGGTCCAAAGATTGGATCCGAAGCAGGTATCGGTACGGCTGCAGCGTCTTCTTTCAAAATCTTCACCAGCTGAGGATCTTCGTTCCCAAGTCGCACATCCCAGTGCGGACTTCCCTATCACAGGACCAGCATGAGCAACCTTCCTTGAAAAGAATGATCTTTCAGAAAATGAGACAGAAATTGATCAAAGAGAGGCCTTACCTCGGGATATGCACCTGCATACTTGCAATCCGGCGAAGACTTGATCATGCTGTGAACCATTCCAGCCTAGTATTGCATCAGCTTCCTGCCCCAAACTCCCATCAGAGCTTCGATTTCGTCGCATACGGGTTGCACGAACAAGTCTCCCTTACTCAAGTAGAACTCGTTCCCAACATCTTCATCACGAGGCCCTTTCCCAAGCTTGATCGTTGTGAAGCCCCGAACAAAAGCATATGCTTCAACTGTGTTTGAGTGGTAATGTGGGGTATCGTAACAGCCATAAAATCCATCAACTCGATACCCGTTGCCCTTGAGGATAGCAGCTGTGCCGTCATGATCGTCTGGATCCGGGATGACGCTACGGTAGATGAGTATGGGAAGCTTGGAGTTTGGAACGTACTGCGTTGGTGCTATGTAATGGATTTCTAGTTTCTGGTCCGGAGGTCTTGTCGTTTCGTAGTCGGAACCCATTGTTGCTGTTTACTAAAGACCGGGGATGGAGACGAGCTCTGTCGTAGCAAAAGCCCACTCTTTAAGTTTTTCCTTTTTAATTTTAGCTGATCTGATGCAGATTACGAGTTGTAAGTCCACCAACGTATTTTATTTCAAGGGAAGTGAATAGCATTGAAAAGAAGGGTTGGCGGGAAAACTGCTAGGATCGCTGCGAGGAAACTGGATCAGATCATTACTTTACCCTGCTTTACGACTGTGATAGCTTAAGGTAGAAATGCCAAGCTCCAGATAGCTTCACTGATGAGAAGTGATCTTAAAGCAGCCAGTTGCCAGAAGTGGGGATGCCTCGCGAAAAACATCTCCAGGTAGGAAGGTAAGGTTGGGCTCTACACTCGCTTACCATTCGGGAACGGAGGGGCAGCGAATTATTCGACTCCATCTCCCAATACTCTGAAGACGACCAGAACTGCCGGAACATTCGTGTGATTGAGCTCACCAGTTAATCTATTGTCCAAATTCCGAGCCATGCTATTTGATGCCACGAGGAACGTCACTGCGTCTCTCAGCCAGACTTCCACAGGCATGATCCTTTCCCAGAGCTTCTGTTGGCATTCCCAGCTTTCAAGCGAAACTGCTTATTGTGCCTAACATTTGACTGCTATGCTGAGAAATAACACTAGAGTGCAATGCATATAATTTCATGCTGCAGTTGTTCCACTGTGCGTTCGAGGTATTGGATCCGGTCCTTTTTGCGCTCATGCAGGGCGCGTTGAGACACTCGATCCAACTGCAGTAGGTACTAAACTGATAAGCATCACTTTGTTGGCAGTACTCCTTCAGCTTAGTTCCTTACCGTATCTTCTTATGTATTATGATGCAGAGACAGACGACTCTTCGTTTCTCTCGCTTGCCCACAATTGGTCTTGCCGCAAAATCGGACTTTTGGCTGTGTACAAACTCCAAAGAATAAAAGGATAGGACGGCTGTAACAAGAGCGAGTTGCTCGGGTCACATGAGCGAATCTGCTTGTATGGCATGTTCCAGCGACGTTGGGAACGCAAAAACCGGAATGCAACAGACGTTTTCAAAGACAAAGTTTGAAGAGGGAATGTCAGTTGAGAAGCATGGTTTTGATGGACTCATGGCTAATGAGAGGAGAAGCATACTATCCTAGCGTTTAGCAACTGTATTGTCTGGACACCAGCAGACGATCCTTTAAGAAGCCCACAGGTTTGTTCTGAGCTATGAGTATTACTTATTGCATCACCAGTCCCTCAACAAACATGTCGTAGGTAGTTTTACTTACGAGTAACCTTGACAGTTCTCGCTACGCTTGGCACTCCTGTGCTAGACACAACAAACAGATAATAATGCCCCGGAATTAATATCCCACTGTCATTCGGCAGATTCGCCGTATACACATCCCCAACAACTTTCACATCCGTCAATGGTACCCGTCTTTGATCGCTATTAGTCGAATGGGTCACACTTCCCATTCTTACCAAGACCACCTTCGCCCCTTCACCAGCACCATTCACATCCACAACCAAGGTGTCACCAACTTTCACACTCATCGCTGAAACCTTTTCAATCACTGGTCGAGCAGCCAATCCTCCATCAGCTGTGAATAGATATGGCGGTGAGAATATTTGCCCATCGGCATGATCAACGGCCTTGTTACACTTATCCGTCTTGCTTCCTACCCCACCTCCAACATAACACAATCCTCCGCCACCACTAAACACCGTGCCATCGGCCAGCAAAATCGAAATCGAGTGGTAGTTCCTCGGCACTGCCTTAGGCGCTAAAGTCTTCCAATTCTTCGTCAAAGGATCGAACAATTCCGGATACAGGATCCCATCTGTGTCTGTGAAAACCATTGACTTTCTCTGCCCGCCCGTAACAAGCACACTCCCATCGGGGAGGACAACTGCATTAGCGAAGCCGCGCGGGTATGCCATATCAGGGATACGCTCGATAGTCGACGGCACATTTGGTTCCGTGATGGAGGTGATATGGGAAAGAGCAACAGCTTGACTATTGGTGTAAGACTGGCTGCCTCCTGCCGAGAGAATCTTGCCAGGCTCGTACATCACATTGATGCCGCACATGGCATCGCCCCCTGAGCGGGTGCCAGCTGGTGCGGAAGAGCCGGTACCCTTCGTGTCGAACCAGTTTTGAGCTTTCGAGGGACCGGCTTGGAAGACAGTGCCATTCTTCCAGGCGTAGAGCCAGGCGTGCTAGCGGGGTGTTAGCATTTTCTTCATCATCTGTCCCCTGCCATGTATCTCATGGATAGGATGAGACGGCGAGAGCACAAAACTTACATTATCAGTCCTCCACACACCCTCCCCATCAACAGTCAGCATTTCATCCGTCTTCGCATCCGGAAGTAACGTCCACTCATTAGTCTCCGGATCGTAAATTTCGCCATTCTTCCCACCTCTCTTTCCATTATACGAGCCTCCCAACTCAAAAACGTTCCCTTCACTCGTTGTAACACTTGTCTGATACCCCCTGGGAATCTTCATCTCTGGCCCTTTCGCAAACGTATTCGTCGCTGGATCATACAGACTGACAGCCGCTGCGTCCGAGCCACCACTGATCAACATCCTTCCGTCTTCCAGCGAACTCATGCCCGGACAGAACATGTCATGCTTAGTATTCGCCACCTCACGCTGCGATATTGCTCCAGTATTGAAATTGTAATCCGCGAATTGCGTACGCCCTGAAGAGCCTCCAAAGGCATCAGGTCCCCAAGACGAAAATACAAGCATGCGTGACGAGGATGGGAATTCAGGAACAACATATCCGGCAACGGGGATTACGGGGAAACGTATTAAATTTCCCCATTGTCCCTTAACAGCTGGGTCCGAAGCGAGATCCAGATTTATAACCGAGAAGCGCTTATCCGTGACCCAGATCAAAGTGTTGGTCTCCTCGGGTGCTTTGACGTGACATACCAATCCCGTGCTATCCCAAACGGCTTTCACGCATGTTGGTGTCGCGGAGCAAATCTTCACGCATTCGTCTAGGCTCTTGATGTTCTCGATGATTTTGGCACTCTCGCCTTGGAGATCCGTACCTGGACAGGTAGAATATTCCTTCTGTCCTCCATCCATCACAGAAGTTGCTTGCGTGACGGGACATCTCGAGATATTCTCTCCCTCGGCCAGCTTCTGGTCCTCCACTTTCTCCTGCTGTGCTTCCACTTTACCTAAATCCGCCTTCCGCACAACATCAGACTCCACATTCTTCACCCAAGTCAACTCTCCCACTGCGCCCTTGATATGACAGACCCTCTGAGCGGTTGTATACCGCGTTCGTGCAGGCTGGTGTGGTGTTGCAGGTGCGGACACAGGAGGAGAGGGTGCCGATGTTCCGAAGGATGAGGACTGACGGGCCACTGAAGTCGGTGGAGGGGCAGATATTGAAGCGCTTACCCGAGGGGAAGGTGGTGCTGCTTTCAGTGGTAGTACAGGTTGTCAGTTGTGATTGTGTTGGAGCGGAGTGGGCGAGGGTGAAGAGGAGGGATGTCGCTGGTGCGATTTTGCTGAATTGCATTGTTTCGAGCTTCTAGTGTACTTGTGTGGAAATTTAAATGAATGAAATGGTAATAAAAAAACAATCAACGCTTGAAAATATTCAAATGAATGTATAACGCATGAGTACGGGATATGTTGAATTCGAAATTACTGAATTGACAACAACAGTTGGAGCTCGAGCACCGAAAACGAAAGTAAAGAATGTAAAGGGCCGACAATACGCAAAGAAGAGAGAAATGAAAAGAAAAAGGGAGCTCTTGGGACAAGCAAGAAAGCAAGCAGGAGGAAAGTCATTCAGGCAGCAGGCAGGGACATATATACCAGCTGAGCTCGCATCCTCCCTATCTCTCTACCCATGACACGACAGCACTCAAAAATACGTATCAAACCATCATTGACCCCACTCCCCATTGGAAAACTTACCCTCTCCATCCTCAGCCGCAGGAAATTAACTCCGGGCCAACATCGGCTGCACTTTACAACGGCGATCAGACGTTTGGGCGGACACTTCCCCTTGAAGGGCCACAGTGTATTTCCAAAAGCAGGTTAAGTTAGAGAGAGTGCCAACATACAAACATCCAGCTGTTCAAGCCGAAGTGTTTCCTGTTCGAGAGTGACAGACAGGTGCGAGAGTTAGTGCCAAGCATTCATGTAGATAAGAACACCGTAGCCAAGAGCGTACAGTATTCTCCCAGCGCAATCTGAATTTCAATTCGTGCTGAGATATGCTAGTCCAGACTGAATTTACATTCATCCGACGAAATTTTGTGGTGAGCCTAGTTGTCACCATATAAGGCAGACTCGGAAAACGGGAAGGAAGAACAGAAAGAGATGTGTGTTGGTGGTAAGGAGATGCTGAGGTGAGAGGACCAAGCCGCTTGACATATTAAGCGCATCGCCACCCATGTTGTATGTTTCATTTTTAATTCTTGATCCTGGACGAAAACTGAGATGGAGAGATTGCCGAGAGAGACTATTGAATGAGAAGCTTGGAGGGTTCTGCCAGTGTGCCGGGCGCCGGGGACTTGGACTTGAAGTCCAATACGAATCGGCCGGACTTGTGTAGGGTGTTCTTGCTGTCGGTTTTGGACTTGTTGTCATTCGGTACGAGTATTCGGGAATTCTTTTGGGCCAGTGCCAGAATCTAAGAGAAAGCTGGGGAGTGCAGAATGTATACCTTTGTTACAAGATAAGAATGTGACATACCAGAGGATGCTTTCGCCATACCTGTTCCTTTGTTCTTGAAAAATTTCTGGAGGTCTAGGGTTTAGCAATTGCCTAACAAATAGTATCACAGCCCTCTTTGAAGTGATAGCATGGAGTCTGTCGTCAATCCTACTCCAAATTGCTATTGAGAACCCCGCGGTGAGCCAGAATCATGAGGAAGAGCATTCGCCCTCTACTCTTCCTGGAATCATGTTTTATGAAAGTCGCAGTGTGGCCAGCTGGAATGGGGTATGGTTAAATGCGGCGCAGAGCATATGGCAAATGTCGGGTTTATCCGCATTACCGTTACCATTCAGATATCATGCGTTTAATTCTTTCCGAGCCGCCGCTCAATTGCTGGACTGCAAGTGGACGCCAGATACCCGGAAAAGGAGAAAGAAATAGTCTGATGAACGAGGACATTGTTGCATGTCGTACTCACGCCCAGCCATCTAATCTGGAAAGATCAGTCTCGAACATCGTCTGGGGCTGCCATGTTGTGGAGCGAGTGCATTGTGAGCGTGGGCTGGGGATGGAAATGGCGCTGGTTGTAACGTCTGAGAACTTGGAAGTCCCGGGCGGATTTGTCAACGGGTGATCGCGGAACTCGCTTACAAAATTACCTTAGCGAATTCCGCAAGTACCTCCGTATTATTGGCCCTTCTGTTACCTAGGTAGACGTAGACATCGTTCCCGCGATGTCCATTCTCGGCAACTCCACAACCCGCAGCAGTCACACTTGGTGGCCGCAACCTCTAAGTAATTTCAACACTTTGACAGCCTCGGTCCCGAAAGAGGCGTAATTTACTCCTTTCTGAGTCACCAACAGGAGCGATTGCGACGACAAGTTGCACGGATCAGCCACATACCTTCAAGGTGTGGCAGGTGGTGTGGCGGAAGCGGTGACTGACATGTGGGACTGGACTCGTACGCGCGGCTGTTTGAGCGCCTCCCAAATCAACCACTGAGCACGAATGTGTGCTCTTCAAGTTTTCCGGCGGTTTCCCCTGTGTTCCATTTGCTTGCGTGTTGATGCTGTTGTCTGGTTGCCTTGCTTGCGAACTACAATCTTACGCGTTGCTTTTGTTTGCCTTGTCGGTCTGTAGTTCAGGCTATTTCTTATATAGTTCTTGGTGAGCCCGAGATCCATCTGCTTGTTCCATCATCATATTTCATCTTTTCACAAGACGGATACCGTTTCAGACCCAATCATTCAAAAACATACAAACATACAAACATACAAAATACACCATGGCATACAACAATAATCAACAAATTCCCTTCTGGGACTTTGTGCGAGCATTCGATTTGAGCGGCACTGGTGTTGACCATGCTCATCCAAGTCGGACATTCGAAGGCGAACCGCCATTTGGTCCAGGACCACAGCCAGCTCAAGCAAGCGGCTCTCACCCTCCACCACCCCCACCACCAGGATCATTCCCATGGGGAGGTGTTCACGGCCCTTTTGGCTTTCCAGGTGGGTTCGGACATCATGCATTTGGTGGCCCAGGCGTCCATTGTCGAGGCGGACGTCGAGAACGTCACTGTCGTCGTGACCACTCTGGCGACAGATCCAGATCTCGCGCTGCATCGCCTAGTGGCGAGGAACCTGAAGGTGAAGGACCAGACGGTCCAGCAGGAGAGCACCGGAGACATAGAGGCCATGGCAGACATGGAAGACATGATCATTCTGAAGGTGAGGAAGAGCATGGGCATGACGGCCCCCGACGAGGTCGTGGATTTGGAGGACGAGGAAGAGGACACAGAGGTGGATGGGGACATCACGGTCGCAGAGGATCTCCTGCTTTTGGAGGTCCAGGAGGGATGGGTGCATTCGATTTGAGCGCCCTTCTTAATGCCTTCAACAACCACCCAATCGGACAGCAATCATGGGCACAAATGCTCCGTCAATACGCTCAACAGGCAGGGCTTGCAGGCGACAGCCAACGATCAGGCGAGACTGGCATCCCTGAAGGATTCGAAAACACCTTCACCCCTCCCATCGATGCCTTTTCCACCGAGACGGCATATATCCTACACATTGCTTTGCCAGGAGCAAAAAAGGAAGACGTCGGGGTCAACTATGACTCTGACAAGGGGGAGCTGAATGTCGCTGGTGTGGTATACAGACAAGGCGATGAAGAATTCTTGAAGTCTCTGTCGCAGAGTGAGAGAAAAGTAGGTGTATTCGAGCGCACCATCAAGCTCCCACCTGCGAATGAAGAGAAGGAGGAAGTTAATGGAGATGGCATCACTGCAAAGCTTGAGGATGGCGTTCTAGTCGTCACTGTCCCTAAAGTTGAGAAGGAATGGACTGAGGTCAAGAAAGTTGACATCAACTAAGTGTAGGTGGTCGATAATGGTACGGGTAGGCGTTGGGATCGGACCTGGATTTGATTTTGGATTTTATCTTGGATTTGGACCTCCTTAGCATTTTATCATTTTATTACATCTGGTACCCGAGTCCTCTTAACAGGTCAGAGAAAACAATACAAAAAAATACCATCTGGCAATACCAACACTGCTCCTTTCCATGTGATACAATGGTGACAACTACGAAATGCCATAGGTAGGTAGGGAATATACAAAGGTACTTAGAATAGTAAAATGTTAGTAGTCGCATGGTCCAGGAAACGTGAAGATATTCAGGTACATTTTGCTAGGATTCGAATTAATCAAGGCATGCCTTGCTCGGCCGAACCCAAATACACTCCAGCTTAATTTCCTCGAATGTTGTGGTCTGTGCCAGCCGCAATGGACGTGAAAAGTGTACGGCCTCTCAGACATCGCCACCTGGAGCTCTTGCTCAGCTCGGCTCCCCAGCCCCAATGTAGCTTACGCCACATGTGGCTTGACTAGCAACTTCGGCTATCAGCAGTTGCCTGTTCAACCACACCACTCCACCATCTATTTTCATCAAGACACCACCATAACTTTTTGAAGTCTTCTTCAGGCTCGCCTCCTCTCTGTCTTCCTCTCTCCAATACCAGCTCTGTGTCGCGTACTTTCCCCGCAGCGACCGCCTTTGCTCTGGAACAAAGGTCGCGTGTTTACGATTGATCGGCACATTCTACGTCATTGCGTCCCTTTGCAGCTTCCGCTATAGCTATCCAGTCTTGCACATCCTCAAAGAAGAAAGGAATAAATTTGGCTCCCACCTTCGCGGAATTGCGACGAGGGTGTTCTGGCTTTGAACTCCTTCTGCAAACACAACCACAAAGATGTCAGACACAGATAGCCTGGACTACCTGCAAACGGGATTCGAGCCATCAACATTGACCGTCCCTCGACTACGATCAATCCTCGTCTCTCACGATATTGCATATCCTTCCGGAGCAAAGAAGCCACAGCTCATCGAGATCTTCACCAACGAGGTGCTTCCACAGTCGAAGAAGATTTTATCGGAACGAGCGCGCGCCCGCCGGACAAGCAGAGGGATTACGGATGCGGATTCGCAAGATAGCACGATTGGCGCGGATGAGGATCTGATGCCTCCACCACCGACTCCGCGAGCTCGATCGAGTAGGAAAACTTCGTCGAGATACAAGAGTGAGGAGAGCGAGTCGGATGCTGCTCCAGCCTTGAGAAGTCCGACGAAGAGAACGCCTAGAGCAAGCAGCAGCAAACACGCCAGGGCTTCGGAGTCGGAGACCATGGATGTTGATGGAGCGAGGAAATCAGTCCGGAGGACACGAAAGAGCGAAGCCCCTACACCTGTACCTGTCCCGCCGCCGAAGATGAAAATTGAGGAGTACGACGAGCGACCAAGTACCTCGAGAAGGGAAAGCGCATTCACACACGATAACCCTTTCCAGAGTGGTAGCTCACCTCCATCAGGCTTGAGCAGTGGTGAGAAGAAGCGAAAGAGTTTAGGTGCCACTTCTAGCAAAACACCTCGGAAAAGCTTGTCTGCGACAAGAAGACGCACTGATGGACATCAAGCTGATGCCGACGAAGGAATACACCCACCGACTTCCTCGACGTTCGAGATCCCAGTCAGTACTCTGAATGGGCTAAAAGACGTCGATGACAATGGCGTCGAAGCCAGCGAGGAGTTTACACCTGAAGAGCAGTTGGAACTGGTTCGCGATCGAGCAGTCAATGGACTGAATGCTGTTGGACCTCTCAGACCAAAGCGACATCAACCTCGAGGCTTCACTTTAAAGGGGCCCTTATGGGTCGCTGCGCTCACCATTTTTGGTGGATATTCAGCCTGGTACAGACAAGAAAAGGTGGCTGTGGGCTATTGTGGAGTTGGCAGAGAAGCTACACCCATTATTCCTGTCGGCGTCCAGGTCCCTGATTGGGTCAGAATCCTCGCGGAACCGGAATGCGAGCTATGTCCAAAACATGCATATTGTTCTGAGGCATTGGAGACCCATTGCGAGGCCGACTTTGTGTTGAAGCAACATCCGCTTTCACTGGGTGGTATAATTCCACTTGCACCAACCTGCGAACCAGATGGAGAGAAAGCACGTAGAGTTAAGCTCGTTGCAAGCAGAGTTGTGGATGGCCTGAGAGAGAGAAGAGCGAACTGGGAATGTGGCGATCTGACTAATGATGCTGGGCTCCCAGAGCCTACTGTCGAGATTGATGCAGACGAGTTGAAGAAGGACATAAAGAAACAAGGGAAAAAGGTGAGCGAGGCAGAGTTCGAAGAACTCTGGGCCGCTGCGCTTGGAGATGTTCAGGCGATGGACGAAGTCACCAGTGTTGTTGATGGGTAAGTCAAGAGCTTTCATTCAGATCTCGAATCCTTCATTTGTGTTCGATTGCGGTCCCTTTCACATCTTACTTTCTGCCATACATACATCTGACAAACACCCACTAACCAGGTTCCTCATCGCACCTACAGACACCGCCTCCTCATCAGCAGCACATCCCTCGCTCGCATCCCCCTCTCCTGCAATCTCCGACGAAGCGTCAGACTCACACTGGCAAGATATCGCCTCACGCTTATTAGCCTTCTAAGCCTCGTCGCCGCCGTCTTCTACGTCCGCTCCATCTTCCTCTACCGCTCAGCAGCCAATGCCCAAATCCCCCACCTTGTCTCCCTCACTCTCGACCGCCTCGCCACCCAAGCAGCATTCCACGCTCAAGACAAAGAAGGCGTCCCCGAAAGCTGGATTTCCATCGGCCAACTCCGCGATGACGTCCTTCGTGACGAGCATAGCATCCGCAAGCGCGAAGCCCTGTGGGCGAAAGTCCGCCGTGTCGTTGAGATGAATGCCAATGTGCGAGCCTCCCAACGTGAAGGTCGCAATGGCGTCATTTCGAGAGTATGGGAGTGGATTGGCGCTGTGCCCAGCCTTGAAAACGGCGGTGAGCGTAGACGGAAGAGTGGGAGAGTCAGTTGGGGGGTTTATGATGATAGAAGTAGTCCTGTGAGTGGAAATGATGGCGGTCCACAAATGGTGCAGAGCAAGTGGGAGGAGGCGCGGCCGATCTATTAGCGGGGTTTTACCCGTCTTTTTCTTCGTCGTTCTATTTACTCTACACTTCTTCTCTGGTTCGATCCGGAATTCCTTTTCTTTTGTCGATATTTGCGAAGGCAAGGAATGAACATCGCTTGGTGTATTATCATTATTATTATTACATGCGCTCTTGCATCGATCGCTTCTTGATTTGCACGCGTTAGGGTAGCTTTGGATGGTTCGGATAGGATGGCTGGGAGAGAGGTTTCTGGTTGGTTTAACGGCCGAAACTTATGATGCCTGGTCACTTACTTGGTGGCATGCTCACTTGGCCAGGTGCATAACTTATTGGAATATTAATTTGCCGACCCTGAAACCCTTTCCTCCCTCTTCCTTCCTTTCGCCTCTGATGAGTAGTGTGATGCATCATCCCCTTTGTGCTAAAGTTCAAATGCTGCAAATCTGGCAAGAGAAGGTGTGCAGCTCCTTCTCAGCGTGTCGCTGCTTGTCTTCCTCAGGCGAGCGAAACGGACTAGAATCTGCATACTGAAGGACTAGAAACCTTGGCCCACATGCCATAACTTTTGAGAGAAAGCCAGTCTCGGCGACCGATGGTTAGACAAAGAAGGTATTTCGGATTGACATTCTTGACTGGTGAGGATTCTCTATCGTGACAGTCTTTCGTGAAGGAGGAGTGACTGGCTGTGTTGCCATTTGACACCGGGAGGAGGAGCGGGAGTGGGCATTTGCTTTGCTGGAATATCTTCCTGGTGACAACTAGTAGTTTGATGCCTTGCCAATGACCACCATTTCAGTCTCGCTCCTCAAAATACTATGGGGATGGCTGGTGAGCCATACTCTTCCGCTGGTTTGTAGACCAGACTTTCAAACATGGGATATTCTACAAGTTGAAGATCCTCCAGTGAGCCTTGAGGTCGGAGGTAACTGGTGGAGTAGAATTGAAGACAGGCAATGATCAAGAATCCTAGTATAGAAAATCGTTGACGTCGGTTCGCATTGGCTTGGACTCTCTGACACTGAGGCATGGTGATTCAAACCTGTCTTGGAATGTTTAGAGTATCGAGTAGTTTCTAGAACTTGCGTATAAAGACTCGAATAACAATATTCACCAGTTGTCAAGGTTTTGAATGAGATTTTGTGCTTGACAAGGTAAGGAAATGAATGTGCTGAATTATTTTCATGTGGGAAAGTTAGGAAAGAATAGGCATTATCATGCTAAATTAGATTCTAGGCCAAGTCCAGATCCATACAATTCGTCAGGAATTAAAGTAGGACAATGACGGTCCACATTTCCGTCCCCAACCAGGGAATGTTTTGGTACAGCTAGCTAAGCGAGTCAGATCCTGTCTTGTGATCATGTGTCTGTCTTTACTTTGCTGCACAATAGCTAGGGACGAATTTGTTTGTTGTAAGGCACGAAACAGAGATGTGAGTTCTATCCAGTTATTTGCTGACTCTGGTGCAATACAAGACTCATCTCTGTGTGCGGCCTGTCCGCTGATATACACGTGACATCCAACCCTGGCTTGTGGAGGTAGGTATGTATCGTCTATAAATGACATCGAAAAGACCCAAATATCTACTTTGATTTCCCAAGCTGTATCTTAGACCTTGTTCGAGCTGTCCATCTACTCGCTACTCAGCGATCTCATCTATCAAATAGCGTTGCACGTGATAGGATACATGCAAGACTCGGCTACTGCCGCTGTCGCTTCGCTTCGCGGAAGATTCTTCCCCGCAACGTCACGTACTTCCTACTATCATTATTGAACGTTTATGTATGTTGAAGTCTAGCCCACTCAATCACCGTAATATATGATGATTCAGTACTTCGGACCTCGCAGTGTCCTGGCCACACCTCCTCATACGTCATGTCTCAGTTGCAATCCAACCCCCACCCCCCACTCCACCCTCAATCAGTAAAACGACATCAAGCATGTACTTCTTGTCGGCAAGTCAAGGTCAGTAGTTTCATGCCCTTCGGACTATCCAGGCAGTAGAATTGATCCGACATAGCTTCGCTGCGACAATGCTCAGACATTTCCCGCTGCCTGTACAAGATGCAGGAAGAACAATCTGCAGTGTCGAGTTGACCCGAATTTTCGGCGCATCCGCACCAAACAGTATGTCAACAAAAGAGAAGTCTCTCGTTACTGCAGCTAATAACGGATGTTCAGTCGTCTCAGTGAAGTCACGCAGGAGTTGACCGCACTTCAGAAAAAGCTCGCTGAGAAGTCAAATGACGATAGTCAACAAGGTACATCTACGCGAGGTGAAGATTCAACACAACTAGGCGAGAATGGACAGACAGCATTTAATGAAAATTTTTATTTCATGTCACCTCTACAAGATCTACCTGAGCCTACTCCTTATTTAGGCGATATCGAGCTGGAAGCAGACCAAGTCGTTCGGCTATTTGAGCAGTAAGTCGACCAAAGTCACTCAAGCACACCACGCCGGTCACATGATTGATTAGACCGAAGTTTCCACAAGCATTACTACCGGCACTGTCCAATCTTGAATACCCAAAGTTCTGTAGCAGCACTCTACAATCGAAGTCCCTTCTTGTTCTGGACCATCATCATAATATCATCACGCCATCACCCAACGCTAGGGTTCCTATATGATGTATTGACCGAACCATATCGAAGTCTACTCGAAAAGACGATGATGGCCCCATTGAACGCGCTCGAGCCGATCCAAGGAGGCGTACTACTTTGTGTCTGGCCATTAAATGTTCGGAAGCAGATATACGACCCCAGTTGGAATTACTGCGGGTTGGTCACAAATGCCGCTATCAGAATGGGATTACACCGCTCCGGAGGCTATCGGAGAGACAACATCAGTCCGTTAGAGAGCAGAGCTCAATCGAAGACATGGATGGCATGCTGTTTTCTCAATTATAGGCAAGCCCTGCTACATTTCCAGTGCCAAATATTGGACCTAATTAAGATAGTCATCTGTGGCAGACCGGCGTTTGCCTCTTGCCTGAGGTTCCAAATATGCTCAATAACATCTCAGCCCCACATGCAAAGATGGAAAAGGAATTCCTCATCAAGAATTCTATTCTCAAGCTATACGCCAAAACGACAACCGTTCTCGGAAATCTCAATGAGAACGTCGACTGCGCATTCCTCCAGTACCTCTGCAGAGATCTTGACAATCTGCGAGAAGCAAACAAAGAGATCTGGAACTCGGAGGCAGAGATCATCTTGCTTGGTGCCCAATTGTGCATTTATACGCAACACCTTGAACGAACATCTCGGCGCGACGGATCAGCCCAACGAAAGGTGCTGATTAGTGAGAACGATAGCTCGACTGATGTTCTCGCCAACATCGTCTTTGGCATCGCCTCGCGGCTCATCACGACTTTCACATCCCCAGAATCGGAGATACGACCCTACGTCCCTAAACACTACTTCCAATTACTCCTTTTAGCTTCCACACTGATTTTGAAGCTGAGTGTGGTGTACCCAGTGGTAATTGGTCCAGTGGAAGTCTTAGTGCAGAATCTGATCGCACAAGCTTATCAGAACCTCGACTCGTGGTCTGTGAGAGAGGGAGACGACTTTTACCGTGCTGCGCGGCTGATAGAAGCGCTCGCACAGGCGCAGAAGAAACATCAGCTGAAAATGAAAGAAGCACGTAATGCTTTGGGATCTGGCATCACAGTGCTGCGAGACGCAATTGTCACTCATAGAGCTTTGCGAGGTGAGGATGAGGATGAGGGAATGCTTCAACGTCAAGCTGTTCACGTTAGGGATTTTGGACAGAACGGGAGAGATGGAATACCAATTTCTCCGCATGAGCATTTGGTAGACAGGCCGAGATATCCTGATGGAACGGATTATGTGGATACCAATTCGTGGGAACCTAGGGTGCAGGATGCTTTTACGGACTGGAATCTGCCCTGGGGTTGGGATCCAGTCTGGTCTCAGGACTTTGGTATCAACATGGATGCGAGCATGTTTCTGTAAGGAAAGGGTGTCGGGCTACGAATCCTAAGTTCCAGTTCTAATGCACCTAACATCAACTAAGCCGTAACAATGATGGCTCAAATGGGGCTGGAGCCATTCCTCGACGCCATAGTAACATACCCAGACTTCATCATTGTCATTGTCTGACGCGCATACGATTTAGTTCCACAAGTCGCGTTCAGCATCTTATACGTACTTCAAAGTTCCGGTAACTAAATACACTGCTGCTAACAACCGACGAGTCTACACCGATAAGCAAGATAGTGGAAATGCGAAGCTCTGTGCGCGACTACTGAAGCCAAATTGTCCATAGCTACTGCGTCTCTTGATTGTTCTTTTGATATAAAGCCACTAGATGCTAGGATCGGGGGTAGGCCTTCTCGCGTTGCTACAACTGCGCTTTATGGGATGAGTAGACCCGATATACTGCCTGGTCAAGGAGATCGTCTCGACTCACGAGGAATGAAGTATACACAACTACCAGATGATATCTCGGCACATGTGGAGGGCCACCTTCAATTGGCTCTGTGACAGCAATGCTCCGTACACGGTGAAGCTCGAAGCCGCGAGGCTAAAGGCTATCAGGACTATCCTATGGCTTGTCTTCGAGGACTGACCCTAACTTCGTAATCAAACAGTTTGATGAGTGCCTCGAGAGGATCAAAACCACTTGATGAAGCAGAACAAGAACATTCAAGAGACTAGGACCCGGGCTTTTGGGGCTAAGGCGCAATGCATATGTACGTCAGTGCAAACTAGACAGATTCCGTAGATCTCAAGACGAAGCCAAACGCATGGTCAAGAGTCCGGACTTTCATATCTTTCAAGTTGCATTACAGTCATCTACGCTGCTGTGAATGGAACATGAAACTATCCTATCAATCAGTATTTCTCAACCTCGAGAACCAAAGCACAACGATGCAAGACTTACCAGCTCAGTACCTCCCATACCTTCTCTCAGCAAGCCAATATTTTTCTCAAAAGTCTCCGTCTCCCGAAATTTCATATGGGCCTCCTTACTCTCCCACCCAATAAGCAACACAGTTGCCTTCCCTTTCACAGTCCCATCCGCGTGTTTCCCCACATCAGTCTCAACACTGTCACCCCACGCACTGCCATAACATTGATCCGGCGTTCCAATGCCACTCATGAACCTACCGACGTTAGAGAGGAAGTGGGGTTTAGTGTCTAGGAAGGTAGCGAACTCGATGACAGGGGCGCGGGTCAGAATCGTAGGTGGGAAGGGTTTGAATGGAACGTGGTGGAAATGGACTGCTGCCATGAGGGCGCTCAGACTATCTTTAAAGGGTTCATAGGCTGGTGAATTGGTGAATTGAATGTGTGAGTCTCGAGATTCCCAATCTAGCGTTGAGAATATGCGTTAGTGTGGTATTTGCTCTTGGGATCGAAGGTGAAGGCAAGCATGGAGAGGAAGTGGAAATGGGGTCCTTACCAATAAGCCACATCAGTAGATCCGGGCTTTCGATTGCACGGCCGTAAGAAGATCCTCGGTATCCTTCTTGTTTCGCAATTACTGAAAGGCCTTTCCTCCATGCTTTTGCTGCATCTGATGAGCCGAAGATATCGACGCCAGATTTCAGAGTGATGTAGGCGATCTCTGTCACTGGGGGGCCCATTTTGTATTCGTTACTCGACCCGGAAAGGATTTAGTCTTCAAAATGGCTCAGACTGCACTTTATTTCTAGCGGATTCTACTCAGTTTTTGAGGGGGGAGTTGCTCGAGATTTCTGGTGTTTAAGTGGGCTGGAGGGGTATGCGGGGTAGGTGGGTACCTCACGAAGTTACCTACTTTAGGTAGCTGAGGTACGAGTAGGTAGGTAATTAGTTACCTTGGCTCCTGAGATGGCTCGGAAGCCCTGAGAGGACTCCATGCTGCTTACTTGAAGTGTGTACATTTCATCCATCCCATTATACCCATCCTCTTAAGGGCATTGCAAGTTTGGTGTTTCGGGACTACATGTACACAGTCAATTCAAGGGAATTTATCGAATAAAATCCTAGAAGGGGGCTTATCAGACCGATGCCAATCTGTCCCACGACACGGCATCCAGACGCCGCACCTCGCAAGACGACCACAGAAGCATTATTAGTAAACAGGTCCTCCGCTGGCAAGCCCAGTCCTCGACTTGACTAATGGGACATCCGAGCTCATCTTTGGCAAATGTCATTGTTCATTCCTGACGCGTAGTCCTTGAGTATCGTGCCCCATGTCTAGTTTGAGTTTTGATGCTTGCAGCATGCTGCTGCCATGAAGAGGTCAGGATACAGCCTGCCTTCTGGTGGATTCTTGGCAGACCACGGATACATTGCTACAGCTTTCTACATCCTCAACACGGCCGATAGCATAATCTGCTGGCAATCAATTCGATCTGAACATAAAATGGGTCACTAACAAGCTATACATGAGGATACCCAACACTTAAATCACCCAAGAGTCCAAGACGAACGGCAGCATGGCAGTCCCCCCCAAAGGCATACCAAAATATGTCTGACGACCAAAGCAGGGATGAAATGCTAACCGATTCCACGCTAACAGACTCATGTGCGAGCTTCCGTCTCGTCTCATTCTCTCCTTCAAGAGTCCAGGCCACCAGGTTCATTCAGTTGAGTTTTATTTCATTTCCCCTGAACTAGCAGCAAGTATGTAGAGAGATAGACAGCAAAAAGAGGTAAAGGCCCCACGAGCTAGCTCAATAACAAGATGTGATTGAAGAATATGCCCGATCGAGGTTCCCATTTCCTCCAACTTTTGGGAATCACAAACCCCACCGTAATGGATACCGTACCGTACCGTACCATAACTGCGCCAGTATTACCACCACCAAGAAGGAAACCCGTAAGATTGTCATCGTCATCAATAATAGAATTCCGTTTAGATGCGGTGCTTTTCGCTCTCTGTGGTATTTGGTTAGATTTCGGGCTCTCTTTGCAACAATTCAGGAAGACACGTACCAAGTCGCGAATAGAGCATGTAGAGAGCCATTTGATTGCACTCGGCTGTTCCTGTGATTGTGACCAAGCGCTCATTACTGTTATCCTGGGGCTCGTTGATTTTGATAACACTGCCGCTAAGCTGTCTGATTTCATTGATCTTCGCACCTCCTTTGCCAATGATAGCTCCGACCATATCATTTGGAATGAAGATCTGCTGGGTCAGTGGCTGGCCAGGAACAACAGGCGCGGCTGGACCTCCAGGGCCAGGTTGAGGTTGAGCGAAGCCACCATGGTGTGGTTGCTGTGGTTGTTGGGGTCCGACTCCTCCATATCCTCCAACTGCAGGTGATCCGCCATAATGCATTGGCACAGCTGGCTGGGATTGTGGGGTATGACCATGAGCAGCGTATGGCTGGCTGTATCCATGGCTTGGAGTAGGATGAGTACCACGGTCGTGACGCCGGTGATCAGGATGTCCATAGTTTCCTCCCGCAGGCTGAGGAACATATGGCACAACTTGCATGCCACCGGGAACAACACCGGCTGGACCTCCACTTCGAGAAGCGTACGCAGAAGCTGCAGGGCCACCGAAGCGCTCGGAGAGCTGCTCAAAGAGGGTGCTACCGACATAGTAAGTTGCAATATGGACAGCATCTGCGACGCCCAGGACGACCAGAGAACGCTCGGTTGAGAGTGGGAGGCATGAATCGGAAGCATTCAGACGGGCACCTGACGCTTCTTGGATCTCGCGGATTCTGACCCCACCCTTACCGATGATGGAACCGATCAAGATATGTGGAATGAGGAGACGAAGAGGGTAGGTCTTGGATTGTGTGCCAGAGGGATCTTCGAGAGGCTCGTTGTTAAGTGTACGGATAATGAGACCGAATGCCTAAAATGATCAACTCGAGTTCAGATACATGTTCAAAAAGGATGTAGTTACCTTTGCAGCTGCATCAACTACACCACTGACTGTAAGGATTCGCTCGACTGCACCCTTTTGATAATCACTGACGGTACACTTGGCACCAGACATCTTTCTGATCAGCGAGACATTCTCTCCGCCCTTGCCAATTACCGTAGCTGCCTCGGCGCTAGTGATAACAGCTCTGATATGAATCCATCCGCTCTCATCATGTTGAAGATGCGATCCGCCTGCGGGCAGTTCTCGGGAGGTGGTAGCGGTACTCTCAATTGAGTGTGCTGTGGCATCTGGAATGACGGTATCTCCTTGGCTGTCCTTTGCCTCGACTTTCGTACCGTTTGTTGACTCAGTCTTTGTCTCTCCATTCGAGCTGACAACCGGTGGCTCCGGAATATCGGCTACAGCCTTGTGTTCCTCCTCATCGTCACCCTTGACGATTTTGTCGAGCGCAGGACGCTTTGCTTCAGGCTGGTCGTTGGGGGCGGATGGAGAGGAAGGGTCTTCGAGAGGACGCTTGGTCGATTGAGTAGGAGCTGCCGTAGGTGAGGCAGACATCTTGAGTCGTAGCTATGGGTTAATCTCTTCACTTAAGAGGGAAAGTGGTCGGGAAGGAGGTCGAGAACAATATTTTTGGTATGGATTGGATTGATTGTTCGTTATGTACACCAGGGGTTCTGCGAAAGAAAACGTGCTGGTGCTGGTGAATCGGGTAGAGGAAGAGCGCGTGTTTTGATTTGACGGGAACTGCTGAGAATAGAAGATTGGATTGTGTGGTGGTCGTGTAGGAAGGGAGCAGAGAGGATGGTGAATCCAAGGAGACAGGTCTTGAAGATCTGCCAGTCCTTGAAGAGGAGGTAGGAGGTTGTTCTGAGGCGTGCGATGAAGGTGATATGATAGTAGCGGGTAGGTGGGTGGATGGATGGGTATTGTGAGGAATGACGATGTAAGTGGCTGATGGGAATTTGGCTCCGTGTCTGGGACAGAAAAGCAGTACGGTAGAGTAGAGACCTATCCTCAAACCTTTTGGTCCTTCAGCGACAACCGACTTGGGTGCTGCTGTCTGCTCTTTGTTCTTTTCTTGCTCCTGATCGTCTCGTCTCGTCTTGTTGTCTCGTCTCGCCTCGCAGCGGATTTCCGCTGTGCTTCCCGGCGGGTTGATTGCTTAGTTGGTGCGTTTCTGTTTCGTTTCGGGAGGGGGCAGTGGAAGGGTGTGTGAGTCGTGGATGAAGCTTCTTCTGCTGATCCGCGAATGGGGAAGAAGTTGACGCGGTGGACACAACAAAGTGTCAAGCCCAGCACGAGTCGGTGTACTGTGTGTGGAGGATATTGTATGGAGCAGCGAAAGGAAAGTTGCTGATGATAGGAAAGAGAGAACGGGGATGGAGGATGGCCGAAAGGCGACTCTGTTGGAGCTGGCTGCTGGTTTCGAGCTTTGGCGTTCGAGGTCGAGCGAGCCGACGGCACTTGCGTCCAAGCGATTTTGGTTTGGTTAAGGTTGGTATGGTTTTCATGCCAAGATGCTAACCACGTGACCTTGGTCCATTCTTCTAAACGCGCTACCTGTGTTGTCGCGTAACACGGAAAGAGCAAAGAGTGACGGACGGACGATCAAACTTGTTCACGGAGAGCCGCCTCAGGATCCCAGCAAACCAATGGTGTTCTAATTCTGCATTGCTCTATATTTGGCAGCTTTCTAATCATCATTTCTTGTGCCAGTGTCCCTACTGTCACCGCCCAAGAACTATGGAGGATCCACAGCTGCAGCGCAGTGCAAGCTCCTATGCAACGCGTCTGGACAGGACCCTTGATGCCCTTCAGGCCAGAGTGAAGGAGCAAGAGGCTCTTCTAGAAGAAGTTAATAACACTCTACCCATTCTAGAGCATTTAGCAACTAACATTGAATCAGCTCCGAGCCTCTACGTATACGTCCACCCTTCAAGCTGAACCAGCAGCGGATCCTAAGAGTCATTTGCAGCATTTGATGGCCCTCAAGTCTGCCTACGAGTCTCTTACTCCATCGCAGCCATGGCTCCTCTCACGCGATTCTCTCGTTCCAGGACTACTTGCCTTGCGGGACTCCGACAGAGTTGCCAATGGTAGCCAGCAAGCCATAGTTCACAAGGAAGTTACAATCAAGGCTACCCAGCAGCGACTGGACCAGCAACAGAGTGACCTGAATGACGCCGAATTGATGCAGGCCGAGATGGTGGGAAGGATATCAAGACTTGAGGAGCAAATCAACCAGCAAACAAAACAGTCACCAATTCAGACTGCCAAAGAAATGATTCGAGCAATGAAAAAAAGAAAGCAATATTACGACACGGAGACGGGAAGGCTAGTGAAAGCATTCAACGCATTTATTGATGATCATCTTGCGGCAATGCTTGCTGTGGAAGAGCTCGGAGGTCCTATTGTTGGGGAAATACCGGAAATAGATGAGGAGATGCTAGAAGGTGGTTTCAGTGCACAAGGACGGCTGAAGAAGGCAAAACCTAGCGAGGACAAGCGGCAGCGCCGTATCGATCAGATCTGGGGACCGAGACCCGTCGAGAACGATGACATGAAGGAGCCGTGGGACGAAAAACACGCAGCGGCTGCAGAGATGAGAGACTTGACAGAGGAGCTTCTGAACAGCCTGGTCGAAGCCAAGGGACACGGACCCGGTGCATATATTGACCTTCAGAGAGAGTCTGCTGCTGCAAGGTTTCTCGTTAGGTCGAAAGTTGCCCAATTCCACCCGAGAGACGCTAAGAAGCTTCGATTGATTGATTTTGGAGGCGAAATAGACGACTGAGTGAATGGAAATGACTGCACCAAGCAGAGACTACCTGACTATACAAGGAACATCTACAGACATCAGAAGCTGTGAGTATTTCGCGACTACCACTAAGGAAATTAACGCCACAAGTCTTCTAGCTCCCTCTCAACACCTGAAGTCGGGTACATAGGTAGTTGAAGACAGCGCGATATTTCCAGAATTCACGTGACAATACAGCATTGTGGAGAGCTACTCCATCGCTGCGCTGTGGAACCCCGATTTAAAATATTCCAGACATAGTTCATACCATTTTGCATTGTCTGGCCGAATGTTCACTGACAAGATGCATTATCGCTCAGAGATCTATCATATCTCCTTCGCTCTTCCGATCTTCCGATCTTATCAGTGAACCCGTCGGAGCACCCACTTTTGATTTTCCATGCCAATGTTTGCGAACAATACGTCTCCTGATACTTCCTATACATCATATATACACCTTCATCAGATCCAATATAGATTTATCATTGTCTATCCTGGTCGTTGTCTCTTGCGCGTCAGTCGTCGTCCGAGTCCCTCGACATTTATTGACAAAACATCAACACAAATCTCAATACCGATATTAATCAACATGATAGAGCTATACCGTCTCACAGCAAGCGAAGCTTTGCCGCTCCTTAAATCCGGTGAACTTACAGTTGAAGCCTACGCAAGATCTCTCCTCACAAGAATTAAGCACCGTGACCACGTGGTCAAGGCGTGGGCTTTCCTTGATCCGGACTTCGTCCTTGAGCAAGCCAAAAGGCTTGACCGACTCCCAGCCGATGAAAGAGGCCCTCTGCATGGTGTGCCTGTCGGTGTCAAAGATGTAATCTTCACGAAAGGTACCTTGTAATTCACTGACCCTCGTCTACGTTAAATAACTGCAGCGTCCTGGTAGCTAACATGATGGAAAGATATGCCAACAGCCTTCAACTCTGCGATTTACAGGGATAGATCACAGCAAAACGTTGACGCATCCTGTATTATCACGCTCCGTGCTTGTGGAGCACTCATTTTCGGCAAAACTACTACGACTGAATTTGCTGCAACGACTGTTGGAGGACCATCAACTAATCCCCATGACGAAAATCGAACACCGGGTGGCTCCTCCTCAGGATCAGGAGCTGCTGTTGGTGACTTCCAGGTAGAGACGTTTCTAGCGAACCAAAATTGAACTCTGACAGCCCTAGGTTCCAATTGCTCTTGGTACACAAACTGGCGGTAGTACGATCCGCCCAGGTTCCTACAACGGCATATACGGCTTCAAAGTAAGTTTCTACACTGTCTTCTCGTCTGTCGGAACTTCGGCTTAACACCCAAGCCAACGTGGAACGCTATCTCCCGCGAGGGACTCGCAGTCTACTCACAGACTCTCGACACTCTCGGTCTCTATGCACGCTCAATCGCAGACCTTGATCTCCTCTCCAGCATCTTCCGCCTCTCAGATGACACACCAATCCCATCATCACCATTCAGGCTGCAAGGCTCGAAGATCGCGTTCGCCAAAACGCACGTCTGGCATAAAGCCGGACTTGGACTAAAAGCTGCGTTTGAGAGGGCGAAAGTCCTGCTAGGTAATGAAGGAGCGCTGGTGGAGGAGTTGGAGCTCCCGGAGGAGTTTAGCAATACTACAGAGTGGCATGATAGAGTCTGTAAAGGCGAGGGTAGGAGCAGCTTCCTGGGTAGTATGTGTGACTTTTCTCCTACACTTTCTAAGCCCCTCGAGACAACTTCCTGTTGGATTTTGGAGTTGATGTTGTCCATCGCATCCAGATTACCTCCTTGCCAGAGACAAGCTCGATTCTCTCATCCAAAACCAAGTCGAAAATTCCTCCAACCTAACACGTAAAGCGCAACTCGAAGCCTACGATGGGTGCGCAAAGCTGCGCCCAGTATGGGACGATATCGCATCTCAATACGATGCAGTCTTAACGCCGAGTGTGCCCGATGAGGCCCCTTTGGATATCAATTCTACCGGTGATGCTGTAAGCCTTTCTCCATGCCTGATGCCTAATTTATCCGCCTCACATCTCTCTCCATATCGTGTTCCAAAGATCGGATGCTGAAAGATACAGTCTTTCTGCTCCATGTGGACGATTCTCCACGTACCTGCCCTCAACATTCCAGGGTTCGCAGGCCGAAATGGCCTCCCTATCGGCTTGACGTTGGTTGGTGCGAGGTATCACGACTTGCATGTGTTGTATGTGGCGAAGGCCATTGGTGAGGCCTTTGAGAGGGGGGGAGGGTTCGTCTCGAAGATTGTTTAAATCTGCATGGAATTAATGGGGTTTTGAAGATATGAATAGAGATATGATGGAATGCCATCCGCTCTCTATTCCCACTTCCTCTTGTTTTGCGGAATGCAAATTCAAAGCAAACATTGTAGATTGCGGCATCAGCCCGGATAAAGCAGCGCTACAGGCTCGGTATTTAGGTCATGCAAGCGAGGTAAACAAACAGCTCAGCTCAGTTGTATAGTATCGCGGTCCACGTTTCCGCGATTTAAACTGCACACAAGGTCATCCTCATTGTCCTCAATATTATCTTGCCAGACCCTTGTAGTCTTCCCAAGCAACGAACTGCCTGGAGACCGTAGCAAGATATGGGTATTTGGCGCATTGAAAGGTGGGTATTCGAAGCAAGCTCACAATTGGCTGAAGATCTCGATTGGCAGTCTGCTCTGCAAGATATAGCAAATCTGGTCTCGATGAAACCTGGGCTGCCTTTTCAGGTTTGAGAATAAGGATCAAAGTTGGCGATAAGGAAACGCGAGGCTCTACAAGCTATGCGATTGCACTCCGTGGACGGGCACAGGACTTGCAAAGTAATTTCCAAATTCGCTCAAATGTCTGAGAGGGAAGGGTCCTCCTTCCGAGGACACGTTTGGCATCTGCGTCGATGCGAAGGTTGGTGTCCCAAAAGGCTTTTGTTGCTGAGCAGAATGAATGGCAGAGTCACCATGAATGATTTGTGCTCAGGGAAGAGAGTTATTTTCTGAGCCTGGTTGTAATACAGTGTGTGTATTCTCGACATAATTTGAAAGATCTATACTTCATATAAGCACGTCTTACCTTCATAAACCATTCAAGCGTATCTACTTCATTGTATTGCATGACACTGCACGACGACCAATTCTGATTCCTATCCAGGACGAGATCAACTACTTCATACACATATGCACAATTGTATTCCCCTTTTCTCAGCCATCCCCGCTCACCAAAGCGCCGTTGCCACCAGGTTTCAATCACCACAAGCCATCATTAGCTATATATACCGATCCCTCGTTACCAGGATCACCCCAGCTCCCAGAAGTGCACCATCCTCACGTAAGTATATAAGAAAGCCATCATAAGACGTCCATCCATCGGTCTTCACTCCCAGTACATCATAAATGCACCCAGCCCATTTCGCGCACGCATCATGCATAAAACGAAAGAAGAATTCAAATCCCATCCTGTGCTATCCATTCCACAGCGCGTAAAACTCCCAAAAGGCGTGAATGTACCAAACCCTAGTCAAATTAAACCCAAAGAACAATGACCAAATCCCTAATCCCTAATCCATCCTGCTTATAACGCATACTATTTTGATTCGCATCGTAAAACAGAACGACGGTCGGAAAGAGAACTTGTAAAGAGAAGAAAAGTATCAATGCTATACAAATATGGTCCCTTGAAATCATCAATACAGCCAGCCATTCCCAAGAAAGAAAGTGAACGAACGCCTTGCTGAAGTGCGTCAAATGTTGACGAATTGTTTATGATAAATCGATGCGCTAGTTATCGTAATGTCCTATACACCATGGTGTTGCTCGCTCGCTTTCGGCCGATATGGGAAAGCTCAAGTATTCGTCAAGCGTTTTGTTTTCCTGGTGCTGCTCCTGCTCGCATTCTCTGGTGGTAAAACTCCAAAACGAGCTTTATATCTGGCGAGTTCTTTGAGCTGATCTTGGAGCGAATCCAGGACTTCGTCCATTGGGGCTCGAAGTTGACTAAGGTCTGTCAATGGAGCCTTTCCAGTTGCGAGATGGCGAGTTGCGAGAGTGGAGATGCATGTCTGTGTGATATTAATACCTTTTCTGTTATGAAGAGATAATTGTGTAAGCTTACCTCGATTCGAGAGACTTGGTGGGTCATGAAGTTCACCAAAAATCTGTCTGTAACTTCACCACCTCTATGCTTCATTTTCTCCAACATTGCCGTTTCGGGAGGCTGCAATGCGACGTTGTGACCCCTCTCTACCTCTAGACTGGAGCACAGCATCTCCAATCGTAGACTAACACTCCAAAGTGCCCAGACACAATCGGTATCAATGCTCAATTGGGTCTGTTGAGACAAAGTGGCAGGTTCTTCCACTTGCGTAAGCTTGTCCGTTTCGGCAATCCGCTGTTGGTAATGAATACGACCAGACAGAGCGTGTGGATACATGAGGTATATATATTCCGGATTTTCGAGACCCTTGAGTTTCCGTTCGCCCATGTCCTTGACTTCGAAACCTTGGCTGCTGAGGGAACGAAGCTCGCGGCGGATTGACTGACTGAGCATGTCATTGTCGAAGGCATCTTCAGATCCGGTAGAGCCAGATCTGTCGCTCTCGCTGTAGGTTTCCAAGCACCGCTGAATCTCGGAGATGAAATCCGCTGACACGGTGATCTGACCACCATCCGCAACGGAAGAAATTCGTGAAGTTCGGTTGACCATAGGTCCAAAGTAATCCATACGTCTTGTGACAGGATCATGCTCGCACACAGGTGCACCCCAATGGATACCCATTCTCACACTCAAACCCTTGAATATCAGATTATGGTCGTTATCGTAGACCTCTTGGCCGAGAAAGCTCGAAAGAACCTCCGATGGCCACTGTACTTCGAGCAACTGCTGCTGTACAGCGAAGCACCAAAGTAGGGCAGAAGTAGCTGTAGGGAAAGAGACCATAAATGCGTCTCCTTCAGTCTTCACTTCATATCCACCAATGATACGTAGCTGTCGACGCATGACTTCGTTGTGAAGCTTAATTGCAGAACGCATTGCGCTTGGATATGTTTCCCAGAGAAGTGTTGAGCTCTTGATATCGGTGAAGACGATACTAAGATCGCCAACAGGTGCTTGAACCTCTGCCTGCAGTCGGCGAAGTCCCGAATCTTCAACAGTCTCCTTCTTCTTTGGTCGTCTGGCTGGGGCGTAGCCTTCGTCGATTATGGCAGCCGGGTTGAAGGACAGACTTTGAACACGATGAGGTCTGATTTGTGCCCGCTTCTTCAGATCACTGACACCAATCATCATGACCATGAGCTTATTTGTTGCTCCGAAGGCGATCGCATAATCTCGTAATCTTTGAGCTGCTCTCATCAAATCGCCCCGTTCCAGTCTCGCAATATCGACGACAATTTCAGGTGACAGATACTCCCATAGCTCTCTTGAGGCAACAAGAATCATCTCATCCTGTTCCTTGACCGTGACCTGCGTGATGTGAGGAGCTGCCTGAACAGCAGGCATGAGCTGGACGTAGCCAAATGCCCTTGACACTTCGAGGATATCATTGAGCTTTCCTTGTCTTGAAACCCATCCACCAGCATCACGGATGCGTTGCCTCTCATTGGGTTCAGCAGGATCGTGCTTTCTTGTCAAGATGCGATGACCACCTTCCGAGTGAATTAACATTGCTTGTGCATCTCCGACATTTGCAACATATAGCTCAGATTGCTGCAAGAACATGACTGTTGCGACACCTCCCGAATGCAGATCCGCCTGGCTGAGTACGGCGGGTGCGGCTGAGCCTCGGTGAGATAACAATGATCTTTCTTCCGTGTGCTGCGTCGCCGCAGTGGCTAGATCTTTGTTCAGGGATAAAAATGCTCGTCTGAGCGCGTCCGCCGGGGTCTCGTCGGGGGTCGAGTTAACCTTCTTCAACTCTTCGCTGAAAATATGTTGGAAATTCTCATGTAGATACTTCGCGATCTTCGACCCACCACTGGACAGTGCTTGTCCGTCGAACATTCCCAGAAGAGTCTCTGTCTCAGTAGAATTAAACCTAGGAACGACCATGTCGATGATAGACAAATGCTCATTTCTTCCCAAGGTATCGGCCATTCCGTACGCCAGTTGTCCGGCGAGAGAGCCGGAGGTACGGACTCTACGGTCTTCAGTCTCATCTGGGGTAGTTGGGATAGTCAAGGTAACATCCATCAAGCCGAGAATTCGCAAATGCTGCAAAGCGCTGAAGTCTGTAAGATCACGCCCATCACGACTGCCAGCTCCTCCCGGTAAAGATGGTTTGATCTCAAGACGCTTGTTGCCAGAAAGATTCAAGTACTTCAGGTTGGTATTCCAATTCCAGTTCCAATCATATGGCCAATTAGAAACATTATACTTGAGCGAGTTGCTGCCACAGTCCAGTATTACCAGTCGATGGGCTTTCCCAAGTTCAGCCGGGAGTGTCTGGAACTTGTTGCCGTTAATGTGCAGAATCTGGAGAAGGCTGAACTCTTCGAAATCATCTGAAGGCAGAGAAGTCAATTCGTTCCCAGACAAATAAAGCTCAACCAGCTGAGGCCAACTCTTGAGTGTTCTTTGTGGCATGTCATTGAGATCATTGTATGACAAATTCAGGACGCGGAGTTCTCCCAGCATAATCAGCTCATCGAATACATCGTCATCAAGCTGATTATCGGCCAGATAGAGATTCTTCAGAGACCCCGCAAATGTGTTGAGAAGTCTCGCTGATAGGCCCGAGTCCTTGCGGAGCACCGTCGGCTGCGTCTGAATCGTATCTTGGGAAGCGCTCCTTGAGACGACAGAAGTCTTCCGACCTCCTTTGCCATATACTGAGACGAGGGAACTTTTTCGATCTGGTCCCCCTGGTACAGGAGACCCACCTACACTGAGCAAGCCGCTCGATGCCTGACTAGGCCTTCTCTGGCCAAAGGCCTCCAGAGGACCCAGTTCCTCAAAGCTAGAATTGTTCGAATTCTGTCCAGGGCTCCCGTTGAGAGCTCCTTGATTAGCAGCAGAAGCATCACCTGGCACCTGAGGAGCTCGAGAAGCTGGCTTTGGAAAGTTGTCCAGCACGTTCGAGGAAATATTGAGTGTTTCCAGCTTATTTGCCCACCACAGCTCCATCGGTAATTTCTTCAAATTGTTTTCCCGAACGTCAAGAAAGCGCAATTCTGTCAGACAGCCAATCTCGGCAGGTAGACTGCTCAATGAATTCCGAGCAATGCTGAAATGTTCCAGTTTTCTCAGCTTACCAATATGGCTGGGTAAAGAGACGAAATGGTTTTTGTCCAGAACCAGTTTGACCAGATTCGGCATTTTGTCGAATGCGGCATCCGGAATATGTGCCAGTTTAGCATTTGACAGAATGAGCGTTGTCAATGTTGGGACGGCGTTGAGTATTTCGAATTTGGTAACAGGGTTTGAGTTGAGACGAAGCACCCGAATTTTCGTGAATTCCGATTCGCAAACAGAGACCGAGTTGTGATCAGCAGAAATCTGTTCAACCTTGGGTAATTTGGCAATGACATCGATACTGGAGAGGGCGTTGTAGCGGACATCCACTTCTTTCATATTAATCAGTTCCCCAAAAGTGGCCGGGAGAGATCCATTCAGTCGATTGTTCGTAATGACAAATCGTTCCAAGTTTTTCAGCCTCCCAATCTCATCAGGTAAACTTGAGATACCATTGAAACTCATGTCGATGTCCACAAGACCTTCCAAGTCACAGAGAAAGTTTGGGAATGAATCTAAAAAGTTCGAGGATATATTTAGCGTTCTCATCGATTTGAACGCCCCGAAGTATGTTGGAAGACTCCTCAAGCGGTTATTTGCAAGCTTGAGACTAATAAGACCCTGAAGTCTCGATAACTCGGCATGTTCGAGTTGTTCTAGTCTATTATTGGACACGTCGAGGATCGTAAGACGGCTAGCTCTGCTGAGACTGGGTGGTAGTTTCCATGCCTCATTGTTGATAAATTTGATGTCGCGCAAATTCTGACATGACTGGATGAAGTCCTTTGGCAGATCCAGCGACAAGTTCCGCGAGAGGTTAAGAGAGATGATTTCGGAGGCTTTTGAATAGAGAGAGATAGGAATGGTGATCAAGTTGCGGCCAGACAAATCGACATGGCTATATTTCTGTACCCGACTGACTCCTGGATCATTGGTGACAGAGGCATAGCCGCTTTCTCTTGCTGGTACAAAGGAAAATCGACACAAGTAACTGTTGTCTTCTCTCCCAACGTCCTCAATCCTGTCGTTCTCCTCGTAACCAGCCTGTTCTAGAAGTCTCTTCTGGATTACAACAGGCCTTTCACCAGCTCCAAGAATTCGCTGTAAGTCATGCTTCTTCATAACGATCTGATAGTTTTCCAAGCTGTCCGTCATGTAGGTCTTTTTTCCTACTTGGCTCATGATTTCAGTGACTGTTGAGTTCAGAGCCGTTGATAGAGTAACGAAGGTACCGTCGATCCTGAATATACGGATACAATATGGCGCGGCTTTTTCGTCGGCCTTGGGTGGGATTCCGGCTTCGTCTATCTCGTCAAGGCGAGACATGTTGTCATCGTTAACTTTTTTCACTGCCCAACTGTCGGGAGCATCCCATTTCATGCCTCCAGCGCTCTCTGCTTCAATCTTCGCCTCATCCTCTACATTGCCGACGAATATATTGTTGTCTAGTGGTGTCAGCGGAGGTGGCTTCGCTAGGATACCTTCCATATTCGACAAATTCGTGTCCAGACTGAAGATTGATCCTGGCGCAGCAGCTCTCTCGTTCGGGTCAACTACTTGTTCCATATCGTCCGTGGCCCTCGATTTCCCTTTCCGGAATGGTAATTTGTTGAATGTTCCTTGACGAGATGACCCATTCGGTCTGCTGCTTCCACCAAACTGGCCATTGTCAATCCGTGGTAGGTTGATCTCTGATCCAGCAACACTTCCCTCCCGACCCCATTGCCCAAACTCAGGAGATCCATAGCCTTTGCCATTGGGGGGTGGTGTTTGGAAAGAACGAACTGAACCGGGTAGTTCCTTCAGTCGAGCCTGTGGATCGTCCTTCTCCTTGTGTTTCCGAAACCGCCCAAGAATCCTCCGCTTCGTACCCCCGGTTGGTGAAGTTGATCCATCGTTCTGCGGCGGCTTAGCTGTCTTTCCGCTCCACTGGCTCATGCCGCTCGGTGTTGGGCTATTGGACCGTTTCGGCAGACTCGTACTCGAAGAATTCCCTAGTGCCGTACCCATCGAAGTCGGTGCACGCGCTCCTTGTCTGGAACTGAACCCCGAATCCTCCCTACTGACCGAGGGCCGCAGAGCTCTGGCGTCTTCGTTGCTCTTATTATGCCTGTGGCTGTGGCCTGGCAGGTGAACATGCCCTGATCGCGAAGAGGAGGACTTGGGCGGAACCTGGGGACCTTCGCCAGTATATCGCCCTTTGTCTGGGCCAGAGAGTTTTTCTCGCACAGGTGCCTCTCCGTATTTGGGGATGTCCTTGATTTAAAGTCAGTCAAGAAACGCTACCACCAATGCCATCGTCAGATCCCAAAAGGGAAGGAGGGGAGAAGATAAGGTTTTGTGCTCAGCAGAACCTATCTTGGTGTAATATACACAACTGCAATTGTGATCTGAGAATAAACTGACCTGGGAGTCTTGGTATAAAAACGGGACGACGTCACTGGAGGGAATTGGTGTTCTAGGTCGTGACGAGCCTGGAGATGCATCTCTTTGTGTCCTGTCCGTGGCTGACGAGTGGTTCCTCTCTCGATGGCTACGAGCAAAGGAATGCGATCGAGCGTCCTTGCCATGCGATGGGAGGCTTGTGTCAGAGCCATCTCGACCTGGAAAGTCCTCCCCAAAGAAAGTCTGAAGCTTTTTATGTATGCCCTGCCGTGATACACTCGACTTCGAACCTTGACTGCTCGCCGTCGTCACACTGGCCACTGAGGGCCTTCTTTCATCTCCAAAATATAAATCAGCAGGCGAATCGCTCGCATTTGTGTTCCCCGTCAAGCCAGTACCAGGCCTGAAGCCAGGCGACAATTGCGAGCCTTGCGATAGATTGTCGCTAGAGTCATTGTAGAAACTCGTGCCAAATGCGCTCGCCGGCGAGGTCACTGTCCCGTTCGAGGACATCCAAGGCGCAATTTGATTTGGTGATCCCAACGCAGTTGGGGGGTTGTGTTGAATCTTCGGTATGGGTCCTCCTCCGGTTTCGAGAACTGCAAGATCGCGACGGTAGTTGCCAAAATCGCTCATTCGATGGTCCCGAGGGGAAATATTGGGAGACGACGGCGAGGACGGGGATATTGCCGTGCGTGGAGCAGCAGTGGTTGGCGAAACTTGAGGATCTGTCTCGGGTCTGGGAGAAGGCGGCGATGCAAGCACCCGTCAGTCAATGAACATGTTCGCAAGGGTCCGACAGCTTCTTTGAGACAAGACAAGACAAGACAAAGTAATCGAAATCGAGGGTTGTGAAGGAAGAGGAGAATATGAATATCGCTCTCGAATACGAGTGATGTTGTGGCTCTCACTTACTTGTTACTGCCGTCAGTCTGGACGGTCATGGCATTGGCATTGCCTCGTCGCGATGGGCCCCGGAAGAGCGAGCTAGAGCTGGGGGGCCCTTTGACGGTCTCAGTCGACTTCCAGCTGTCCGTGCTCGAGCTCGTCGCAGAGCTGTTGCGAACATCCTTCTCTTTTCTGGTCATGGTTGACCGGCAATCGCAACTAGGAGACGGCCATGGGGGGATAAAGATGCTGCAGCAATGGCGGGGAGGTTCGCAATAGGCGTGCGCCGGGGGGCAGTGGTGGTGGTTGTGGTGATTGATGCGGTGGAGAGGATGGAGTGTGGTGAGGGTCTGGAGTGAGGTTGTCGTTTAGTGTAGTGGAGGGTGGAATTAGCCGTGCCGTGGCCGTGGGCACTGTTCCGCAGATGGGTTGGGCATAAGCGGGGCGGGCGAGCTTGCGGTCAGGCGGGTTGTTCCAGCTTCATCTGTATCTACCTCCATGAACTGGGTCGAAGATATTGGACTGCTGGACTGAACTACCGCAACAGATTGGACTACGGCCTGGATACTGTAGTCTCAGTAGCGTCATGTCAAGTCATGGATGATTGCATGCACGAGCACGAGCACGAGCACGAGCTCTACCTAGTCTGAGAAGCGAAGGCTTGGTGGATAATACCAAAGGCGGGGGGTGTCTGGAGGTAATTTACCTACCTATGCACCCACATATGACCACCTTCGTACCACAACACGGTTCGTCCACGATATATCAAACCACGGGGCATCGATATCCCAAGAGCGGAAAGCGCTGTGTGTCATGGAACGGCGACTAAGCAAGAGGACAACACACCTGACCAGGCCGAGCTGGGGAATAGTCAGGAAAGCAGCGGAATAAATTTTTGGTAAGAGAACTGTTTGAGCTCGAATAATGGGCTTTGTGGAGGGGGAGCGAGAGGAGGGAGTGAGGGAAGGGGAGAGACGGAAGACTATGCGGACGAAGAATACTTTAGATTGTCTCGTGTTGCATAGGTATTACTGACAGACAACTTGCTCGCAAGTCACAGCAGCAATTCTTGCTTGTGGCAAGACTCCGGGCATATCAAACGAGATGCTGCCCGCAGGGGAAGCTTCAACACAGAACTTTCGGAAAGGAATCCAAGAAAGTATATCTTCCCATTTCAGGCCACATGAAGTCAATCTCTTTCCAGCCTCTGTCAGTCCCAGAGCTCCAAGCCGCCCGTGCTTTACTTTTCTCCTGAACAAAGTACGTTATCTAATGTTTGTCGTCCGACTGCCGTCTCGTCTCGTCTCGTCGCAGCTCTGAGTACCCGTAAGGTCATGCGCTGAGACCATCTTCAGTCAGCTCAATAGAGCTGCGATACTCAATGGATTCATTTGTTCTTTGAGGAGAAGCAAGATGATTGGACAAAAATCCCTGAGTATCTATTGCCATGTCAATTCCTGTTTCTATTCGATTTCGAGGCCATCTGGTACTTCCCTACTCCGCTAAGACCTCACCATTCATCCATCACTGTTCTTACCAGTCAGACGACTCTCCAGAAGTTCACTCATACCCGTCCTCAATTTAGAAGCCAGTTCGTGTCGGGTCCCTTCCCGTTACCGTCAATCCCTCCCGATCAGAAGCTTGGACTTCATCTGCTCACTACCATAGTGCATCCAGCTGCACATCCTGAAACACCTTCAACGGCACCTCACACAAGCCCTCTTGTTTCCTGCAAATCGACCCGTGGTGGATAGATGACAGGATGGCATCGATCAGAGAACAAAGATCAAACGGCGATCATTCTTTACCGAGATCCGGAAATCTGGGGATGATGTCTTGAGGCTGTGGAACCGGAATAAGACCTGTAGACTTGGGACAAGGGATGTGAAAATATTCTTTCATGCGATGATACCAACGTCCCATACCTACAGCGTAGAATCTCTAGAAATCTGTTCCCAGGACCGAATACTTGAATGACTTCTATATCAACATCAATGTACAACTACGCGAAATGGTTTTCCACCACAGGGTCTTCGTTCCGTTTGCCCAAGTCACCGGGATGTCACATTCTGTGGACCAGTAACCACTTCCCGGAAGAAAGAAGGTTTCCTGCTTACCCTTAAATCCAATCCACCGATCTAAAACTAGCCACTTGTTTCTTCCTCTGTTTCCTGGGTCGTGGTCTGAACCTTGTTCTGGGAGCACTTTATTTGGGTTCGGGATTCAAGGTCTGAGATGGATCACAGGAGGCAGCTGCGGCTCCCCGAGACCAGATATGTGAGTCGGTTCACGTAATAACAAAATTATCCGAAATAAAAGGGAACATTGAAGGCTCTCTTGGTCTGCTTTCTTTTCTTCTGGCAGTTTTGAAAGCTGCTTTGCAAGGGTTGTTACTCAATGCATATCACATGAATTTCCATAGTAGAAGATTTTGTACATGAATAGGTTTAGACATTTGCAGATCTGCGGCTGGTGTATTAGTCATGGTAGAACCATATTCTTTTGTGCTCTATTCAGTAAGTATATCAAACACAAGACTTTATGATTACATTATCAGGCGCCCGCTCCTATTTATGTTCGTAATCTCTGCCATCGTAGCTTTTTATTCGGCTCCATTCCTGATTGGTAGGTGTCGACTATCGTTTGGAGAAGATCTGCAGATTTATATGCACAATAATACATGATAAATCTGTCAAGAAGGCTTGTGATGTGCTGGTTGAGTCGGTAGTAGGCACTTCGCGTGTTGAGTCTTGGATGAGCCAGGAAATATGACTTCGGAGGTGGAGTTTGGACAGGCCTGGTAAGGGGAGTCCCTTGTGTAACTTTCACGGAAGGCATTGTTCACCCGTTCGACTCCAGAGTCACACCAATACATCCTCGCCCAACTCTGGTGCTGGAGATGGAGGAGGATGAGCGTTGTTGGACCAGGATCCAAGGACACTGAGTATGGATATTTTGCTGTCGAGTTCCTAGTGGAGACTGGGTGCCCGGAACGCGATCTGGTCAAAACCACGGAGTTGGTATTCAGTAGAGCAAAGAAAGTTGCTCTTTCAGATCTTTGATCGGATTTGGTTGTGCATTCGCGCTGGAGGATTTCAAGCAGGTAATTCCACGGGAAGAGCTGGTTGGCCTAACCCAATATCTGCAAAATCCACATCCTTCTTCACAAACTCGTTCCAGAATCCCAGACATTCTATCAGGGCTCAGAATTAGTACTCCTTTTATTTGCTTGAGCTAAACATCGGACAAGTGAACTAAACTCACCGTCAGCCTCACAAAACTCCACCATAAGCCCCCTCACCGGCTTCCCAGATCCAGATCCGGACCGCTGATCTATCCTAGCATATGCCGGCCCTGCACTTGATTCGAAGCTCGCGATTGTGGCGACGCTACCTTGAGTACTGCGTCGAGAGAGACTTTTGGCGAGGAAAGGGGCTTTGCCGTCTGAGCTTTCTAGGGTGAGTGACTTGGACTTTCGGGTAGGTTGTCTAGGGGATTTGAAGAGCCCGGCTACTGATGTGTCAGTCAGTGGGCTTAACCTGAATAGGGTCATTCAGAGATTGAAAGGGTTCCTGAAAGTAGTGGGGAGTATACTTGGCCACTCGACAAACCCATGCTTCTGATCTGGCGTGTGTCTGAAGTAGAGAATGTATCTCGTACGAGAAAATTCATCGAGCAGAATTCGAATGGTTCCGAGGCGGCATTGGGTGTCTTTATCTGTTGACTTTATGTATTAAACATCCGCACAGTAGACGACTTTCTTGTTGAGCAAGAGGCTTTGGAATTCAAGATAATCTGCACATCTGTTTGTCAGATACTTCCTACTAATTTATACGTCGCGAACAGTGCTTACCCTCATTGTTGATAAACTTGTAGACTGGTGGAAACGGAAGTGTGACTGGCTTCTCATTTTGTTTTGTTATCTTCAAAGTATGTGAACCTTGAAACTGGACTCGTAGCTTATGCGTCTTGTCAATGTGGCTGTTATCTAGAAATGGTTTCATAGACGTCTCGACGAGAGAGGGTGTGTTAACATCGATGGTATGCTTGAATCTGATCATGCCGTCCATACTCGTTGTCGTTATGACTTCTACATCGCCAGTGTCAAATCGCGTGATTGACTGGATGACAGCACTGGCACGGTAATCAAGGTACGATAATTGCACGGGGATCTGACGGTCCAAACCGAATGACTGCCTGCGGGAGATGGAAGATGTTGAATGGGTCCTGCTGTGGGACAGAGGTCTTGGCTGACCGGGTGAGGAGGATAAGGAGCCTCGATTCCGATCTGGGCTGCCATATGTGGGCCCGGACCACCCATCAAATGGAGATGTCATCGGCGACAGAGAACCAGAGGACCTGGGTGATGGTATGGGGATTGGACGTGGAGGTGTTGGTGGTTGAATAATACCAATAGGAGGATGTAGCCTCTCTCTTTCGATCCTCTCTTCCAACTTGTTCCATGCTTCAAGTTCTTGCTGAAGTGCAGTCCGTGGTTCCGTGACTGCGACAGACATGTCATTCTGAGGACTGGAGTGATTCAAAACACCAACAGCTTCTGCAATCTGTCCCCGCATGTCTTGCAACCTTTTAAGCAATTGGTTTACAGAAGGTTCGGCGATCTCTGAAGTTCCGAGTTCTGATATGGTGTCCATGGTCTCGACTCGCTTCACTCGCATCGAAAGGTTATCAAGCCTCTGAGATATTAAGCCCCGGACTTCATTTTGCTGCAAAACTTCTTGATCTTGACAAGGCGTGTTCGGTGGTAAGATCGCTGCATATTCGGTCTCCCCCAAGCGCGGTGTGTTCTGCCACGGTAGCTCGGCTGCCTGCGTTCCTTGCTCGATCGCACGTATAGGTTGCGGGGGGTGAAGTGCCTGCTCGAATTGGCGGAGGATTGGGTAGTCAATCTCTCTCGCCTGGTTTCCTTGCTCGAGCGGATATGTGATCAATTTCAGGTTGAGAGTGACTCGATTAACCAAATCAAGATGAGAAGAGACTAGGCGAAGGTTTGTCGATAGTAAATCTGCATGGGATGATTGAGATGCCCTAAAAAGCCTTTTAGTCATGAAATGACAGTAGAATATTGGATCCATACTTCATATCTCGGACCATAGCATTGGTGTCCAGTCCGACATCGAAAGCGGCGATCTCCAGAAAGAACTGTAGCTTCTCGCGAAGTCTAGTCACCGCCTTGCGCTCAGACGGCCACTGAACTTGTTGATACAAAGCAATAACTTGACTTTGTGTAAAAGTGGCCCTTTGTATCCATGTTGAGCGCCGTGATCGTATCGCCTTGGTATTAGGGTTGACTCGTTGGATGATTGACATATGCTTCTTGATGAAATCCGTACACTGGTCCCGCAGTTCCTGATGGGATCCATGCAGGCGATCATCCTTCATAAATGACAGTCTACGAGCCTCCCATTCAGATAGACGACTGGTGACATGAATGAATTCGTCGAAAAATTGAGCAGCTTCGAATCTAGCATTGAGAGGACCATCAGAGACAGCTTGCCATATTTCCCAGACAGCCTTCAAGCCAGCAATAACATCTCCTGCAGACCACCCGAAAGACATGTTCAGAAAGGTGAAATAGTGATGAGCATATGTCTTCACTTTTTAAGGGATATGAGGGGCATGAGGGGCACAGAGTCAAAGCCTCAGATCTCCAGGTTGTGCCTAGAAGGCACTGGCAAATCCTTCAAGAAGGTGCCCATGCGTTCGGTTGGCAGTAAGTGAAGCACCGAGATACTGTATACTGTTGAAGACGATCAAAGAAGACTCAGAGGTGGCTTCTGGCAAAAGCATCTCACAGGGAGGTCGTGTGTCGCGTGTAGGATGAACTGTTAGCTGGTAGATGCTGGAATGAACATGACGAAAGAAACGGCAGGCAACCGACAGGTTGCAGTAGCTGGCCGAGCCTGAATCATACCTCCGTAGAGTCGTTGCCCACCTCACCCTGCCATGACCTTTCAGAAGATCCCCCCCCCCCCCCCCCCCCCTCACGAGTCCACGACCGACCCAGGGCAGGGCAGGGCAGGGCTACCAGTGACCGACTGACTGGGGGCTGCGCCGCTTGACGCTTCCAGACAATCAATAATAATTCATTTCATTTCGTATCATACCGAGCGTACTGCACTGTATCGACGAACCGGGGATCGCATGTCCATCCTCCCGGGAAAGCGTCTGCCTCCACTCACTGGGCGCCGCAATACTCGACGCCCGCCCAAGTTAACATATCACAGCAGGCCTGGGGTCGCCCGAGAGAACTGTGTAAGCGGAATTGGAAGTGGAGGTGGATGTGGGTGTATGCGGATGTGGATGTGGATGTGGAGGCTGAAGAGTGCATACCTACCTTACCTACTGCACCTGCACACCTCACCGGTGCAGGACGGGATGAGAGGAGGACAGAGGGGAGGGAAGAGGGAAGAGGGAAGGTCAGTCAATATTTGGGTTGTTCGGATGTTGTCTTGTCGTTGTCGTTGTCCTGGTCGTGGTCGTGGTCGTCAAAACAAGCGAATCGGCTGGCTTCAAAGCCCCACGTTTTGCTTCTCAACGTTCAAGGGGCATGTTTGGTGTTTCTCTCGCACGCACGCACGCACTTTGCTGCACATGACAGCCGCCCCAAAGGTATTTCCATTCATATCATGCATGGCATGGTAAATCGCCTACCTTGAGGTAGGTATGGTATGGTGTGGTATGTTATGGCATGGCCCGACTCGACACGCTGCGCACAAGACTCCTGTATTATTGCAGTACTGTAGCTGCACGAGCTACACTAGTTACACCAGCTGCACCAGCTGCACTACTCCGTACAGTAGTTACACTAACCTTACTACTGAATATCAAAACGAGCTCGAGAGGCTGACCTGACCGTCTGCTCCGTCTCCAGACCGGTTGGCGTTGGCGGTTGGCAGAAAGAAATCCCTCGTTTCTTCGAAGCTAAGCCGCAGAGACCTTGACAGCGACAGTGACTATGATTAGGTACAGTATCCTGCAAATTGACGCCAAGTCATTTGTGTCTCGCAAAGATGATACTGCGGTCCATTCCCGCTGTCATCTCCTGACCATTATAATATTGGAACGCTCGCTGCGCAAGGCGCCTGCAGACGCCACATCACATCACACCCCCCCAAGCTCATCTTCAGCCTTGTAGGGCTCCTCAGATGTGACTCTTGCTCATCCGAACTTGGGGTCCGACCCCTTAACCTACGCTCATAATATTCGTGTAGATTCCTGCTGCAGCATGAGATTTGCATGAGCAAGTCGAGACATCGACTCAACCTCGATCGAAGGCAGGTCAAGAACTACGTGCAGGCTCCAACTGTACCATACAATCTGATTTATTTTTACTACCAACTGAGTTGCGATTCTGCAGAGATCCCTGTCCCTTCCAATCATGGTATTGTGGGGATTCAGATGGCTCAAGCTCTTTCTCAATCCATACGCAAACGATGATTTTGAACATATCAGTGTTTGTACAAGCTTCCTTGGTTCAGGTCCAAAGTTGTTGACGATATCAGGAATCTGATCGACGATCCTACATTCTGGGCCGGCTAGAAGGCGCTGAGTTCTCCGAGTGGTCATGGGTGGTAATCGTTGCTGGCGTCGGCTTCTTTACCGATGCCTATTCCATTTTTGCGATTAACATGGTCATGCCTATGATCGATATCATCTATTATGACGGAAAAATGCATCATAATTACGGATTCGCTGTCGGCGTCGTCACGTTGGGGGGCTCGATTATTGGTCAAGTTGGGTTTGGACTCGCTGCCGACATCTGGGGCAGACGAAAGATGTATGGATTGGAGTTGATCATCACAATCTGTGCTACTCTCGGTGTCGTTATGGCATCGAATGGAATCCATGGATCGATGTCCATCATTGTCTGGCTTCTTGTCTGGAGATTTGTGCTTGGGATTGGCATTGGCGCCGAGTGAGTGTTTACTCTTCACCGTGCTAGTACTACCAAATTGACAACCATCAGCTATCCGCTGAGCGCCGTGATATGTTCCGAGTAAGTCATGTCTGCGGTCGGTCATGCTAAATTTAAGCTAAAGAATCCTCAGATTCGCTCCAACTCATCTGCGGGGGAGGATGCTGACACTTGTTTTTGCGTGTCAACCCCTTGGCCAGCTTGCTGCCAGTCTAGTGTCTCTAATTGCTATAGTCAGACAACGGAATGGCATTCCCTCGGACTCAACTGCATACACGGAACTGATTCCACAGAAATGCGACCCGGAATGCTTGCAGACTTTGGACTCAGTTTGGCGTTGGATCATCGGTGTGGGAGTCATCCCAGCGGTAATCGCTCTATGGTTCCGCCTCACAATCATCGAATCACCACGGTATACCGCAGACGTTGGCCAGGATAGTAAGAAGGCAGCCTCGGAATTACATCGGTACCTTCTCTTGCAGGCGGAACCAGTAGGAGCTAGATCCATATCACTCGATAGCAACCCAGAAATCGTCCGTAGACGAGTCTCTTCTGGCGCTGTGTCGGGTGCGATGAGTAATGAATCTGGCCAAGCAAGTCGTTCGCCATCTCCTCACAGCATTACTCGGGCTGAATTGCCCGGAGAAGATACTGCTATAAAGAATAATGAGCAAGAGACCATTCGTGTGTTCTCTCTTCCACTGCCGTCTGGAACGAGCGAACAGAGACAGTTTGCCAATACCCTTTCGTCAACACAGCAAGGTAATGTATTGTCTCCATTTGAAGGACGCGACCCGTTCCGTCAAGATCTAGAACAGACTGGCCAAAACGCCGCCCCACCTCCCCCCAGCTGGAAAGATTTCAAGAAGTATTTCTGGCATGACGGGAACTTTCGAACACTTATGGCCACGTCATTTTGTTGGTTCTGCCTCGATCTTCCATTCTATGGTTTAGGCATGAACTCCCCAAAAATTATATCAGTAATCTGGTATGGCAAATCCGATCCGCCAAGCGGAATATACAAACTCCTGATTCACGATATCTGGCAGAGTCTGGTCGTCGTATCACTGGGAGCAATCGTTGGCTGTGCCATTACTTTCGTTGCCATTGACAGACTAGGACGCCGGAATATCCAAATCATCGGATTTTTCTGGCTTTTCATCTTGTTCATCATTATTGGAGGGTCGTTTTATCATTTGTACGAGATTGGGGGATCAGCTGCTACTATTGTGCTCTACATATTATGTCAGATTTTCTTCAACTTTGGTGAGCTAATCCTCTTCGGTTTTCTTGCATCATTACACATCCCTAAGATTCTGACTGGCATTTACAGGTCCAAACACAACTACATACATTGTCTGTCAACCCCTTCCAATTCGTGTGTCAGCATGCTGACTAGAACCTATAGATGCCTGCTGAGCTCTTTCCAACGCGATATCGTGGTCTCTGTCACGGAATATCAGCTGCATTCGGAAAGCTAGGGTCCGTTGTTGCGCAGCTATTTCTGGCCTTCATCTACTACGGAAACGGAGTGGACTACACCCGAATCGAGAAATGGCTTCCCTACTCCTTACTCATGTTTGTATTTCCCTCTTTCCGATATTTGTGACATGCTTGACCTCTACTGACATTTTGAACTCTAAGTTTCTCTATTTTCATGCTCCTCGGACTTATTACCACCATTCGCTGGATCCCAGGTCAAGAACATGGCCCCGATGGAACAGTTAAAACTCTCGAGCAATGGGAAGTTGGCCGTCCAACTCCCAACGGCTTCTCCAATACCTGGACCGCTCGAACAGTCGAAGTGGCGTGGAAATTCCTCACCACAATATCCATGAGGCTGTATCTTTTTGTCGATGGCTTGGCCGGAGGTGATGCGAGAGAACGAAGGGAGATGGCTCGATTGGAACGGGAGAGTGAGGCGGATAGGGAGAGGATGAGGGAGTTAGAGGGGCTAGAGGGAGGAAGGAGTTGTACAGATGTGTATGGCGGAGGAGATCGGATTACGGCATTTGGGATAGGGAATGCGAGTGACGAGAGGGGTCCTAGTCCCTTTGTAAACGGGAGTGCGCATAGATCTTAAGATGTAACTGGACTTAGAGGAGGTGGATTGCGCCCTCGCACAGTTCTAATTTCTTTGAAATTTCAAGCACCTCCGAGGTCCTGTGGGGTACTCATCCATCAACGGGCCTTGCCGAGCGCGAGGGAACAGAGGTAACGACAGACATGACCTTCCTCAACTTCCACGTCGTCAAACAAAATGTCGGCATAAGTGGCCCTAGTTTCTTCCAATGATCTTCAGCACTACTAACATTACTATCTAGGTATAGTCACCAGAGAGATATTCGATCGAGGCCATGTCAAATTCGACTTGAGCAAGTGCCAGGCTGTGACATGCACCGCTCTGCTCATGAAGTCGGTCTGTGAGCACTGAACATCATATGAAGCTTTAGGCATTAGACCACTCTTGCATACATCTCTGGCTTCTCTCGAAATCTACCAAGAGATAGCTCTTGGTTTCTTGGTCGGTAGGGCTGAACGAGTTGGCTCGGCGAACAAGGGTAGCGAGACGATCGCGGAGTGGATACTCATTCTTGACACTTTGAAACCAGTTCTGGTCAACTTGCGGCTATGTTCTGTTTCGTATGTCTAGCAATTTCTTCAACAGACTGCTGAATGGCTTATTGGGTCTTCTCCGAAGCTTCTTGGCCCAATGGCCAGCTTGATGGTCTCCTGAGCCTCTGTTTCGCTGTGAGAAGTCTGATATGAGGATTATGAGGGCAGGTACCATCAAACTTGACACAGTGTCTTCTATTGGAAAGCAGCTTGCGACGAGTCTAGAATCCTGATCTTCAAAGCCCTGGTCGAGCCCTTCTTATCTCGAGCCCTTCTTATCTCGAGCCCTCTCGAGCTAGTTCCTAAAGCATCCTTAAAAGCATGTCCGATTCTGGCTATTTCGATCAATACTATTCTCTACTCACAGGGAGAGTTGGAAAGCACCAACCCAGCTTGCCAACAGGTATATGCTGCTTAACAGAGAAAGAAAAGTCAAGAATTGCAGCATAGACATGGCGAATCTGCTTGAAACTTTCGGCTACCATATCATTTACTTTCCAACTAGAGTTTGATCGCTCATCGTAAAGTTTGCTAGCTTGGATCAGCTTTGCAGAATAGGTTTCAGAAAGCACATCGCAGGGGATGGATCAGGGGATGGATTTTCACTTACTCATAAGATCTGATGATGAAAAGCATCTTTGTAATGTCGCTCAATGCACCACCAAAGAATCCATATTGCTGTAATTGTCCTGGACCGCCCCTAGAACTTGCTTGATTGCCCACTACGCCAACTCAATAGTCTCGAGAGCGCCTTTTATTGCATAGTCCGTGATTTGAACGAAACGGTCTCTTCCCTCTTAGGAGACTGTACTCAAATGGTCGAGCGGCCTCTGGAACGACAAGTGATAGGCAAGTTAGGCTATGCTCCTCCTCATCCCTCCAAGCCCTCATCTGAAGGCTACATGTACTTTAAGCAGCTAGAAGTAGAAAATATAGCTTGTAGTCCATACAGGACATGCAAATGCTCGTCAGAACGTCCTGTTCTCTCCTCCCCTGCCAAGTACTTTGAACTGGAGGCCACGCGCCGCGCCATCATTACGTGGCTGCCGAATGAGAGCGCTTCGAGTCGGTGAGTCAGCAGTATCAGTTCGGAGAGGTAAGCACTAAATCTCTCACTGGAGCTGCTACGTCTAGATATGCATTTGCTCTGCGGATTTGGTGGAAGCGCATCGTATGAATTGAAAGGATAAGCGTGGGGAGAATGAGAGACGACGGGATTAGCGAAGTAGGTAACTTCGCAAGGACCTACCTATAGCTGTTCCTATAACTATAGCTATTCTTATAATTAGTTAGAAACCACAGGTGCGTGCCTGCCCTTATTAAAAATCGTTTCCTCTCTCTTCTCTAGAAACCTACTTACTTATATTTCTATAAAATATAATAATAAAATATTATAACTTTATAAAAATAAATTAGAATACTAATAAATTAACTTATAAGTTTTCTAGTTTTAATTAAATATTTAATTATAAAGTTATTAATTAAATAAACTATATAAGATTTAAGGCTTAAAAGTCTAAAGGTAACTTAAGGTTAACTTAAGGTAGCCTAAGTATAAGGTAAGCTAAGAAAACTAAAAGTCTTAGTTCTAAGGAAATTAAATTAAGTCTATTAATATAATATTTAGATAATTAAAATAATTAAAGATTAATAAAAAAAAATTTAGTTTAATACTTTATTCTTATTTATAGTATTATATTAATAGAATAAATCTAATTTCTTTAAAACTAGGACTTTTAGTTTTCTTAGCTTACCTCGCGCTTAAGCTATCACAGGGTACCTGGGAACATAAGAAGTAAAAGAGGTAATATTATATTAACTGAAACTTAGAAAGAGCTATAGAGCTCGAGAGGTATATAGCCTTTAAGAGCTATAGCTTACTTAAAATAGTAAGAGCTCTTAACACTATCTCTCTCCTTATACTAGGCCGCTTTAGCTAGCTATATATATATAAGAGTTTATTACTTATTTATAGCGCCTCTGTAGAAGAATTATAATTAAAGAAAGCTAGAAAGAAAAAGAAAATAAATAACTATAATTATAAAACTTCTACTCTATCTATAAATCTATATACGCCTCTATTCTACTATATATAGTCCTATAAGGCCTACTTCGTAGAGGTACTATAGAAGTACCTTATAGTAGGTATAGGAGCTATTTAGTTTTATTAATATCTATAGATAGTTTAGAGTTATAGTCGCTATTATCGTTATTATCACTATTAATATTCTTATCGCTATTAGTATCTCCGATTTTAATACTACTATTACTAACTTTCTTATAATATTTATAATTAACTACTTATATTATTATATTAGATTCTCTAGTATTTAATTACACCTTACGATTAAGGTGAACTCTCTTAACTTTTCTACTCTTATAAACTCCTCTAAGTATATCATAGTAAGCCTCTATCTTTATTCCTCCGAGGATTTTACTTTTACTACCTTATAAAAAACTAAATATTTAAAAAGCTATATATAGTAGCTTAAAAAGTATAAATAGTTTCTCTTCTAGAATATTATAATATATTATTTCTTTATTCTATTATCTAAGAGCTTAATTCTTATACTACTTATTAAAATAACTATAAGCTAACTAAATTAGTATTACTATATTATACTTCTCGTAGATTTTAATATCCTTTATATCGTAATTCTAAAGAGCTACTAAGTAGTAACTATAGAAAAGCTATAGTTCTACTAGAGTAATATTTTCCTTAGAGTAAAATATTTCTCTTAAATAAGTAAAAGATACTTAAGTATTATATATTACTAGCTAAATCTTAAGTTAAATAAGGACGCCTACTTAGTAGTTTTAAAGTAGCTTAAGGAAACTAAGCTTAACTATAGTCTTTCCTATTTAAAGTATCTTCTTCTTAATAATATTACTATAAGTATCTTATTAGAAATATCCGCCTAAGATACTAGTATTAGTAGTAGCTTAAGCCTTTTAGATAAGCTTTATAGTTTCTCTAGTAGAGGTATTCTAGTTCTAGCTGAAAATATAAGTAATAAACTTATACTAAGATAAGTTTATATATTCAGATACTAATAAGATCAGGTTATTAACTCCTATACTTAGGTACTAAATATCTTCTTTAATAAGATCTTATAAGCGACGGATAATATAGCATTCGTAAGTATTATTATAAAGCGTATCTATAGCGAGATATATAGCATAGGATATACTAGTAAGATTAGTTCCGTTATTACCTAAACCTTTAAATTCTATCTCTCTATTTTTATTATTATTAATATAATTATTAAGGTTATCTTAAGTTAGTCGAGATATATCCGCAGTAGAGCTATAGTAAGTTACTAAGGTTAGTAATAGTTTAGACTCTTAGTTAAAAGAATTGTTATTACTAATAATATTATTTAGAATCTTTTTAGTTTTAACCTTATAAAAGAGGTTAAAGACTTAAGCTCTTAATTTTACTTATTTCCTTACTTTCTAGAATTTCTAAGTAAAAGTTAATTTAGAGAATCCTTTTATTAAACTCGCGGAACTTAGTAATTTAGCTAGTAGAGTCTTATTCTTCTTACTAATCCGAATTATCTTTATTATTAAACTACTATTAATAGCTTAGTAAGAAGGTAACTTATTATATAAAATTAATAGTAATATAGTAGAAAGTAGAGTTTATAATCTAGAGTCTAGCCGTAAGTATACTATAATAAGCTACTATAGTAGAGGAGGTTAGTTTATAGTAAGTTATAAAGTAGTAGGCGGTAGGCTTATAGTCTAAGAGCAGGAGTTATTATTACTATTACTTAATAGTTAGTCTATAGCTCTCTCTCTATAATTAATCTAGTGATCTAAGATCTTAAAACGTTTCTTATATATAATATAGTATTAGACTAAGCTTTATATAGCTTATAGTTTACTTTCTTATATCTTAAGGTCCTTATTTATTCTACTAAAACAGCTTATTATAACGATCTAAGCTAAAGCCTTTTAGTACTAAGCGAGAAAAGAGTTAAAAGTAAAGTATATTCTATTCTTATTCTTCTTAATATATAAAGTAAATATATCCTTTATAATATAGATAGTCTTATTATTAGTAGGGCTAATATTAATAATATTAAACTCGGGGTTAATAGAGCTAAATATTCTAGCTATATATAAGCGAAGTTAGTACTACGTATTAAAGCAGTTAAATAAATTAGATCGGTTATTATAAATAATATAGAAGTGAACTCGTAGGTAGTACTTATCACAGATTACTTAGGAGCCTAAGGACTCTTAGGTAAGAGGGGCTAGGAGATTATAAGCTTAAGGAGATATTTATTCTTAGAAGAAATCTTCTAGGAAGTAAGAGCTCTTAAGAGAACTCCTCTCTTAAGATTTTATAGTATTATAGTAGCTACGTATATTATATAACTTAAGGTACTATAATTAAAAGATATAAGTTTTAGCGACTAATATTATATAATAAATTCCTAGATCCCCGGATCTTATAGTAAAAGAAGAGATCTAGAGATCTATAGATCTATACTAAAAAGATCTATAAGAATAAAGGTTCTATATAAGATTAGTATATCTACTATTAGATAAGAGCTTTATACTTAACTTTAAATAGTATTCTAATACTTAGTAACTATTTTCTTATTTATATAATATACCTACCTCTTAATTATTAAAGATTAACTATAGCTTTCTATATTTATAATAAGTAAATACCGGACTATTATACTTTAAGTACTTTCTTATTAGAGGTACTAACTTATGAAAATAATATATCTTCTATTAAAGGATTATTATTAAATAATAACTTAGCTCTTACTAAGGTTTTTAATATAAAGAATATACCTAAGATCGCTGCCTCAGATCTTTATAATAGAAACTAATCTAAACTTAGAGTATACCTTACGTAAGTTAAGCTCTATATAAGCTTTAATAGTTATTAGTTTACTACGAATACTAATAAAGTCCTTTAGGCTTTATCCTTTCTCTAAGGATCTACTTTTAATTAGATTAAGACCTTTCTTTTAGATTATATTTAAAACTGAACTAAGGATAGAAGAGTCTTTATAGTAATAACTAAAGAATCTTAAAAGATCTTTATAATTTTTAAAGGTTTTAAATACTAGATTAACTATGTTTTTAGCGATATTAATTAGAACTATATTACTAAGCGGAATATCTAGAACTTAAAGTAGGTTAAGTCGGTAATTATATATATTACTACTTTCTAGTAGTTCGCTAACTAAATTAGCTAGAATAATAATACTCTTTAGGTATAGTACTATAAGAGGTTAAAGAATAGAGTAAAAGATAAGATAGTAAGATT